TGAGGGGACGAGGGGGACGAGGGGTGAGAGGGCGATGGTTCTCTTTGCGGGCGAAGAGCTGATCTGCAAGGAAGTTGAGGGCGACATGGTTTGTGAAAGAAGAGGATGATATGTACAGGCGAGAGAGGTGTTCAAGAGTGGAGAGGAGTGATTACGATGGGGCTGAACGAAAAGATTAAAGAGATTAAAGGAAGAGAAGTAGGTGGATGGGTAGGGATATGCAGAGACGAGGGAATAATTATATGAAAGTGGGCTCCAGAAAGGTGTGCGATGGGGGCTATTCCTGGAAAATGGCGCGTGTGGACGGTATGTGGGAGGAGCCTCTGTCAGACAAGAAACAAGAAACTAGAAAGGAGGGACCTGTCGAGAAATGAGAGATGAGAAATGATCGGCTTTGGGCTTTGGGGGGTATGGTGCGTGGCGGGGGTGCACAGAGCAGACAGACGACCAAGAGAGCGAATATTTCGAGATGTATAAAAATAGGGAGCAATTGAAATGGATCGATGGATCTATGGGGCTGCTGCCGATCCAGGGACGACTGAGGGCGAATGGAGCACAGACAGACTAAAGAGCGAAGACGAGACTAAAGCGCCGCAGAGGGGTTTGCTGTGGATGGTGGTGCTGGATATATGAATCTGATCCACATGCGTGATGTCAGGCTGCGGTGCTGTGTGCTGTGTGCTGCGAAGTATGCTGTTGTGTGTTGTGTTGTGTTGTAGTGTGCTGTTGTTGCTGTGTTGCTGTGTTGCTGCTACAACTAGAGGAGCTGTATCGACCGAGGAGTGGGGGGAGTAGTGGATGAACAGCGGACTGGGTTGAGTATGAAGCAGTACGGTGAGCGTGTGAGAATGAAAACAGTGTAGGAGTGAAAGAGTGGAAGAGAGGAGAGAGAGGAGAGAGAAGAAGAGAAGAGAGAAGAGAAGAACCAAGAGAGGTAAAGAGCGATCAGGGCTCGCCCTCCAAAGATAAAGCGGCTGCACTTGCGGCTAAAAAGGCCCGCCTGGTTTATCCTCCAGCTCCGTCTGCCGCTGCCGCGTAGACTACTTAGACTACTGGCTACTGACTACTGACTACTGACTACTGACTGCAGTCTAGTCTATGTAGACACATTATCAGCACTCTAAAATCAATTCATTCGCCGCATTCATATTCATATTGGGCATCGACAATTGTCCCCATTGTCTACGCAAACACGCCTTCAATCGACTGGCCGGGTTTCTCGGCCTGCCAATCGCATCCCGCCAATCCAAAATGCTCCTGGCGAATCATCGTGGCGATATTCGTCAGCAAGGTCTCGCGAGAGGTGGGGAAGAAGCCGGCGAGGCGAGATCTGTACCTATGACATCCTTCCAAATCCCCCATCTACTGCAGACCCCATTCATTCTATGCAATCTACAGAACGGCGTTTCCTCAGCATGTAGTCAATCTGGGGTACACTTTTGATCTGTGGGCATCATCATCATCTCCAGGCATCACAATAAGCTGGGGACTCCATGGGAAACCTCCGAAGCAAGACCAGCAGAGTCTACGTAGCGCCCCACTCGTACCAGATCGCACGCTTATTTATTTTATTTCTGGGTTTTCTTTTCTGTCAAAAAGGCAGAACGCTAAATTGTCCAACATCCTCAAAGCATGCTGTTCGGTCGAATTACCGGTATGACTACTACTATTACTACTACACACACACACCCACACACCATTTCTCCCGATCGCACTCAATACACTCTGCCATTGAGCGGCAAGCAGAACCCTGCCCTCAGCTTGCCAAGCAGTAACACGGATATGAAACAGCGCAAACGCAACAAAGAGTCATCATTGTAATCCTGACCACGCAAACGCAGATTCGCTTTGGATATATGATATATGAAAGACAACTTCTTGTTTCCCCCGAGGAATTTTCTGGATCCACGAAGTGACTGACACACACACACACACGGCATTTTAGATTTCCCTCCAAATCGTGTCTAGTTCACCAAAGCCGGTCGCTTCCTTACATACGAGGGTTCAATGGAATCAGCTGTGTAGATTAGACTACGTGCAGCGCAGGTGTCTAGGTTAGTCCAGGTGGTGTAATTCTTTTCTTTTTTGTGTTGTCTTCGTGCCTTGGAGTGATCAAAGGTGCAGGTCAGGGGCAGAGGGTGGACTTGCATCATTGTCGATCAGATCAGTCTAGACAACATGTAATTTGTATTACCGCGAGACTCGGTGTATGCTACACAATACACGTACATGGCAGCACCCCCACGAGAGGGAGAGGGGGGGAGCAATGACTACAGGAGTCAACAGGGCAAATGTGCGCATGGAAAGGAGCGAGGGCGAATGTTGAGCAAAGGCAGGGTCACAGGCACACAAACACGCTGCCAACTTTGTGGTCACCCATTAATTCTTATCATTAGACCTTCTGAGCAATTCAGCATTCAGCCTTTTTGTGCACCACACCGCTTAAAAAAATAAAAAAGATTCCAACACACACATTTTAGTCCCACCTGCGGAAAATCATTTCGCCTAAGAAAGATAGAATGAGGCACTTTTTCCCTTTTCTTCTTGAGATGTTCCGGGCCCTCCCTCGCCTCTCCGGCAGAAATGCATACACCCTCATACACCCTCATCGCCTTCGCAGGAAACATATGCAAAACGCAGGCCATGGCATGGCAGGATAACAAGAGGGTCCGCATGGCGATAGGGGGGAAGAGGGGGGAAATGCAAGGCATGGCATTGCTGCCCCCATCAATTGACCCACTGCATGGCAGAATAATTGATCCAGAACGAACTTCATAACACAGCCATAGTCACTTAAGGATATGGGGCAGAGGTGGTCTGTATTCGAATGAGTGCGTGATCTTTATTGTCAGAGGAGGACCCGTACCTGCTGTCACTCGCCCATCTGCATTCCAAACGAGAGTGCAACTCGTGCCGCTAACTCCCGCCTGTCATGCTCCGACATCGACTTGCCTTGTTCTACTTGAGCAACATGCACGGAGAGAAAAAAACGGCTCGTTTTCGGTTAATTCTTCCGCTGCGCGCCTTGTGTCATCGTCTCTGCGGATTTGTCATATCTTCGTGCTGCGCTAATAATGATTGTATGTACGTACCTCGCAGTCCCTGCAGCGTCGCAATAGTCTGCGCCATCCCCTCGTCCTCATCAATGCTGGCAAACAGGGCCTGATGCATCGATTTAATGGACTCTTGGTTCGGTGTTGATATGCCTTCTGTTGTTGTTGTTATGGTTGTAAAAGGAAATGAAAATAGAAAAACGTGTTAAATATGTACACAGCATTTCAATACGTAAACAAAAAACAACAGCGATCCACGTAAACAATGCAGATCCTGAAGATCCGCATGCAGCAACTGCAGATTCTTTTCTCAGGGAACCAACACCTTACCATCAAGGTTAAGGTCCGCAAAGTCCCGCAACTCCTCTCCTCCAGGCCCCGCCGCCGATACCACATAGTCGCCAAACTCAAACTCGTCGTCACCGTTCGCGTTCAGCTCAAACGAAAAATCGTCAAGTTCTCCTGATGACTCCTTGCCTCCGGCCTCGGACGACGTCGTCACTGAATCATCCAGGGAATGCCCCAAAAACTTCTTAAATTGCCTCTCCAAAGTCCGGTCAACGTCAACGGACCGCGATGACTCTTGACTTGACCAGAACTCCATATCATCGTTTTCCAGCGCTTTGATCTCCTGCTCATCTAGATCGAAATCGTCATCGAACCCGTGTGTACTAGCACTGCTCTTCTTGTCCTGCTGGGATTCAGAAAATGCTCCCATTGTCTGGGTTAATATCCCTGGTCCATGCCCTGGCGCTGTTGGCGATTTTGATCGGTTGTGCAAATTTAGCTCTGCCAACGCATCGTAGAATGCACGGTCATCATCCACATCGTCCTCATCATCGTCACCATCGTCCTCATGATCCAGCATCCCTTCGTGCAATTTGCTCAGGTTGGCTGGGTCAAACCCTGCGAGACTCCTCCTCGGACCATTATCTCTGCAGGATGAATCGTAAGTCAAATCCATGTCATCATCATGAAACGACATCATCATACTTCTCTCATGCTGATCCCGCTTCTTGTTGCTCTTCCTCTTTAAGCCATCCCACATGTGCGCTGCCAATGCCTCCATGATCCTGTCCAGACCAACATGCTCATCTAGTAGGCGTTTTTATTTTGGGGTAAAGGAGCAAATCGCAAAGAAACCCGGGTATAAATAAACAGAGTTAATACACACTGCAGAATAAAAAGCAAAAAAAAAAAAAAAGAGCATTTCATATTACCTTGAGTCAAATCGCTTGGCTGATCCTGGAGGTCAATATATTCGAACCCATTGCCCAGGCACCAGTCGTCGTAGTCTCCAATTATTTCATTGTTGACATGGCTCTCCTGCATCATCTCCTGGGTCCTCGGTGCACCCGTCGCCACGCATAACGTGATTGAGGGCTCGAATCTTTCTACGAAGGTAAGCCACGGCTTAATATCGTGGAACGTGGACGGCTATGTGTGTCCAATGAATAAAAAAAAAAAAAAAAAATCGCGACATAGTCAGTAGAGGGATCGACAGACCAAAAACAAAATCATCCAAAGTCCAGTTTTGTACCAACCTCGTTCTTCGAAAAGCAAAAGATGACCGCCTCAATCACAGCGCCCATCTCGTCCAGCTCTCCTGATACAATCAGTCTCTCGACCTCAGCCCTCCCCTGTGCCTCGGTTTCGTCGATCCAGAAATCCACCTGAACAGAATAATATTTTGTGTCGATCGTCCATGGGATTGTCACTCCAGAATGGTCCAACTTGGGTCGACCTTGTGTGAATTGTGACCCTGCAGGAAAACTCGACTCAGGGGTGCTGTTTTGCGAGTCCTGCGAGTCCTGCTGCTGCTGCTGCTGTTTCTGAGGTCGCTGTTGTTCCTGAGAGGATCCCTCCTGTGTGTTTTGGGACGAAGATGACAAAGACATGGACGATAATGAGGACGGCATAGAAGTTGACATTGGGTCCGACTGGTCATCCGCATGATTTGGTGGCGTATGCGCCGAAAAGCCCTGACTGAGCGCACCGTGCTCCTCGACAATCGTTTCCTCGATCGTCGGGACAGGAATCGCAGGCAGGATCAATGGAGACGAAGGACGGGACTTTGAGACGGAAGTGGTGGGCACGAATCTTGACCCCAAGATCGCTAAGGATGGGCATGAAATGAATCAGCATTTGAAGAGAATGGCGCTTTGCATCACTTTTTTTTTTCTTTTTTTCTATATATATTTCTCTAGCCAGAAACCGCTAACGACTGCTGCTGCAAGGACATACACTGGACGAGCGAAAGTTTGCCGACGCCTCTTCTGCCGACAACGAGGATCTTGTTGCGTGATGGGTTGTCGGACGACATCATGGTGTGTTCAAGTGAAGGAATGAGTGGAGAGGAGGTTGTGGTGAGGCGGAAAAGGGCCAAAGGGGGGGTTCACAGAAATGAGACGAGACGAGAGTAAGAACCCAAAAAGATCGCATCACGGCTCTCAGCACTTTCATTTGACCCTGGCTGCGCTCCTTTGATGGCGAATAAAGGTGCAAAAAAAAAAAGATAACTAGAATGTCAAAGACAATCGATGGTCCGTCTAGCGATATTTAAACAACACACCCCTGGTGTCATCTGAAGCCGCGGACAACAATGGTCAATGGCCGATGGGGATGCTGCAGGGCAAATTGAACAATTGATTCACTCGCGCATTGTCCTATCATGTCATCCATTCCCGTGCTCCACAGCTGCAGTTCCAAATTATGCATTATCAACATTAGTGCCTGCAATGCCTAAATGTATTGTCATAGTTTCATAGGTCGAAGTAGCTGCGCCCTGCTGAGGACTTTTATCGCCGACAGAGGCATCTTTTCCGCCGCCTGCGCATTTTCTCATAAGCAGCAGACATTCCTCTATTCCCACCAATCTTAATTGACACGCACAACATCATGATTCCAAGCGCATTACTCTACCTGCTTTTGATACTCTCTTTGGAAGGGGATGAACAATTACAAGACGGCTGTAGGTTCAAAGATGAACGACTCGAGTCGATAGAACGTGCAGCGTACTGGCTCGATCTTGTATGATACCCTCGCCTGAGGTCGGTCTGACAGGTAGAATCAACTCTGAAGGAAACTCGACAGGTTTCTCGGATACCATGACTTGCTGTGTGACCAAAGGACCGAAGCACACGAAAGATCTGGAAGCCCAAACGTGCGCCGACAGTGAATAGAAACGCCACTAAACAGAAAAATAGCCTGACAGCATACAAATCCAACCTGATGAGTCTGAGACCCAGTCCCAGAACGAGCACAGTCTATCCAGGTTAGAGCATCTTTCATCCCTGCAGCAAACCCATACTGTCTTTTCAGGTCTTTGATATTTTTCCAAGGTGTTTAAAGTTGATATGAAAAACAACATAGTCGGCAAGCATTTTCAGTGAGCACACGGGAATGCATGAATGCATTCAAGAGTATTGATATGGTGGCACTTCTAGACACTTTGAAACGTCCTTTTTACAGCTCCTGTACTGTTTAACCATCTCCATCCACCCAATGCTGGCACTATACTAGTCCTGATGTCTGTGGACACGCCCGAACTCTTTTCGTCCACTTGCTAAAGTCGCGACCCCTTCCCCGAGCATGGGAAACATGCCCAGGACCAGTTGACTGGTGGTGCTTCTCAGATTATGGACATGTTCATGGAAGAAAGTAGGGTCATACGGGTCGATGAAGGTCAATTTCCCTTTTTCCTTACCATTGTGCGCGCGTTCTACCCACGCGTCTCGAGTTCTGACGTTATTGAAAGGGCTGAAGTGAGATCAAATGGCCCTGAAGCAGGGATTGGCGACCCAAACAGTTCCCTCTTGTCCCAGCGAACGAACGGTCAGGCTGGAAGCTACTCTGTCCTGATCAGTGGGCAATGGTATCAAGTATGGCGCCTCGTCTATTAGAAAATAAGTTAAACAGCGAGTATTGCTTTGAAGTGGAAGCCATGTTTACGCAATTGTCGCTTCCATAACATCACGGAGAGTGCGGTCCGTGAGCCTAGCTGCGCCAATCGTACTATCCACTCCATGGTATATAGCGGTCCTGCAAGCGCTTACAAAATGGGTCGATCTACTGCTCGCACTCCAAGACCCAATTCAGTAGTGTGCGGATTCAGTATACCAGGGCCAACTATCCATCTTTTTCTTCAGCACTTTAGGATATCATTTCTCTGCTGTCACCTCCTCTTTTTTTTGGATGACAGCAAGGTGTAAAGAAAGGTATAGCAAATATAACGGCCCACAAGCGTTCGTTGATCTAGGATGTGGCGTGATTGAAGACCTAGAGTAGAGAGTGCATGTGGCATTTATTTTTCACCGCACTGAGGGAACGCAAAGGAGCAGACATGGCCTGATAAGTTAAATGCTCCCCATCGGCTTACTTCCTTCGGGGGAAAACGAGTGCAACTATTGAAGACTGGTGCGGTTTGTAAATGAAATGTGAGACCGCATACATCCTACGGTTGGATTTTTTTTTTTTTTTTTTCAGGAAAGCAATTTGGCTGAATATAAGAAAAATGCTGTGTCCATGCTTACAATTTGCACTCCTTCGAGTCGTCATTCGTCGTCATACCAATGAACATAGAAGTTGACAGTAATCCAGAAATTGCTCGAGCGCTTTACAAAGCTACATCCTATTTTTTTTTTTTTTGGTACAAAGTGCTTTTTAATGCCAGGTGGTAGTTGTAGCCTAGACCTTGAACATCCATCCATGCATCCATGCACCCATGAGTTTTAACTGAACAACACACAGTAACCTCTGATCAGCTGTTGAGCTGTGTTACAATAGACCAGAGCGCCTGAAGACGAATCGGCATCCTTTTTACCATCCCCGCGGGAAAGGCACGCATGCACTAAACAAACGATAATCGGTTTAACTGGTCCACCATAGTCTAGGAAGAGAGCAGAGAACAAAAAAAAAATATGTCGTACCAAGGCATGGCGTGCATACGCGAACAAAGAAAGAACCAAATACCGCAGAGTATTCTTTCTTGGAACACGCAGGCTAAGCAGTACACCAATTGGAACGCGCCGTAATATCTATAATGTTCCTACGAGCTACACTACAATGAAAAAGGCAGCGTCTAATGATTAGTCTACACCTTTTATCTCCTCCTCAGTGGCCAGATCATGCGCGATTCAAGATCGCTTTCAAAACAAACCATTGGTCTGGGTAACAGGGAGAGTGTACGCTCTATGGTCTATGGCTCCATCTCCTCGACGCGTATAAATACTTTCTTTTTTCCTCTTTGCCCTCTCGTCTCCCTCATATTTACTCCTCCACACACATCATCCCAAGCACACATCAACCATGGTTTCTATCCGCGTCGCCGTCGCCGTCGCCGTCTTGGCCGTCATGTCCAACGTCTCTGCTATCCCTGCCGCTCCCGCTGTTGCTCCTGAGGCGGTTGCTGCCGGAGATGTTCCTCCCGGCTATGCCTTCTGCACTGAGCGCCCTACCTACATGGCCTGCTACAACCTCTGCGGTGGTGCTTACTGGTTCATTGCCCCCAAGTGCTGCTGTCAGTAAAGTGTTGCCGTTCCTTTATCGTCCACGCATTGGATATCAAACCGGGCCCAGTCCTCTTCCTAAGCAAGATCGGGAATGTATATTTGGAGTCGAAAAGGGTGTCGAGCTATTGAGGATGCTTCTAATCAGGAGCTAACCCCACAATCTAGCATGTATAAAAAAAAAAGAATCCAATAAAACCATCTACATACTATTATTATTAGGGCTAGCGCCTTACACCCAATGTTTGGTGTGCAGGTGTTGCTTGCTGTAAGAAGACTTTCCTTCCCCCTCCTCCCCCCGTTCGCAAACATTTTGAGACTTTTTTGATCTTTGTCAGCGATGATTGTGCTACATATATCGTCCGTTGTCCATGCATATTTGTTTTTGTTTGTTTTTTTTTCTCTTAAATTGAAGGCCCGCCGATACCGCTGGGAAAATCGGGTTGTTTGCAGTGCACGTCTTATGGAAGGTTGGCATCTAGACCGGGGGTCTTATGGCTGAAGATCTTATGCGACTTTCACAGTAAGTTGACCAGGCACAAATGCAGGATGCGGAGAAAATTATCTACTGTATAAGAAAAAAAACAAAACAAAAAAAAAAACGGATTGTTCTGCTCGAAAACAAAACTGCTATCGCGTAATGATGCCATCCACAACACAGATCAAAAACGTGCATCGTAAGAAAGAAAACACCTACAGGTGCATATTGCGCGAATCACCAATGTCATCAGTGTATGTGATGTAAACATGCTAGGTGATAAGAGATGTTATGTTGAAAAATAAGAGTATCTTTTGCCAGCAGGACCCGAACCATTGATGCTGCTGGCCTTTTAGGCAGCATTCAGTAAAGACTCGAACGCTCAATATGTCACTCAAAGTGTTCTAAAGGTCTCATTCCTAGCACGCTCACGATCTTGGGCCTGCAGGCCCCATCGTCTTCACGCTAGTGCGAAAAAGCGCGTCTGCTTAAAAATGAACGTATTTTATGCATAGCTCTCTCTTGTTTCTCTCGATTGCAAGCTGCAATAAAATACATGTCCTCGGAGGTATTGTAGTCGTGAAGAAAATATAGAGCTGATCACGGCTAGAAGAATCTAAGGGATGCATAGAAGGGGTGCAATTGTCAGTGTGGAACCATTGTCTGAATATGCCTCCCACCAATTGGCAATAGATAATAACAATAACCGTGCCAGTTGTTTGGCCGCTGCCGCAACAAAACCATACCATACTCTGTCTATACTTCTTTGTTTCGGTCGAAACGGGTTTACGCGTCTATCTAACCCCATACAGGTTTACACGGCTTCACCACAAACAATGACTACACTCAATGGTCCCACCGAAGGAAGCGGACTCAAATATGGAAAGATGGACGACAAGCCGTAAAGAAACCGACAAACGCATAAAGATGCATGAAAAGCCATATTGGTTGCTTTGTCGGGCTTTTCGTATCCACCGAAAAATGGCGGCCTACGAGTCCTTGTAGCTTCGATTAAAAGCAGTGATTCTCACCGGTGAATATTTTTTCACCAGTAAACAAAGAATCAGTGAAATCCAGTGAAATCCAGTGAAATCCAGTGAAATCCAGTGAAATCCAGTGAAATCCAGTGAAATCCAGTGAAATCCGGTGAAACTCAGTGATATAGTATAAAAAAAGTTGTTCACCACGGTTAACCATTCACCGGTGAGAATCACTAATTAAAAGAATAGCAGCAAAACAATGGGTGGAGGGGTATAGAATTATTTATTCAAAGATCTACATTATCCGCCGAACGAGTACTATGCATGGTCCAAAAGAACCTATAGCTTGGCATCCAGTGGTAACGGCTGGTTCAGTGCAATATCCCGCGGCCGTCATCAATAATGATTGGGCGAAGGACATTGTGCTGTCTTATCGAAAATACCTATTGGACCTAATTAAGGTCAATATGGATTAGTTTATGCTTGCCAACTGCAAGACATAAAGCAAGTAAAGCGAGAAAAACGCCTCTCTTTTGTCGACAAAGAGTGCAACGCCTTCAAGCATCTCTGGACGCGTATCCAGGATGTTGGGTCGCATTGCAAGCACAGTGTCTCCAACACTAACCCCATTTTGATTAAGTGTAATGATGAGCGAGTATGAGCGCTCCACAGCCTCTACTTCCACCCTAAAAGGAGGCCTGCATACTGTAAGGACACCATGCATAGGCTGGAAGCTGCTTCATCTACGAGGCGCAGAAAGTGAACACTCATCCTACCTCATCGAAAGGAACATCAGCCCTGACAGACACACCCTCCTCAGTCTCGACTTCCAACCCCGAAGGGTACCCAGAACGACTCGATCAGTCGATCCATCGGCCCAAGACTGATTTCTCCACGAAATGGTGTTGCGCGCTCGCAGAAGCGAATTGACAGGAATGAGAGACACAGAAGGACGCGTGAAGGCATTCTTTTTCTTTCACGAAATTGATTAAGGAGCGTTTTGGATCTGTGCTGGAGGAAAAACAGGCACAACCCCCTTTTGAGAAGCAGCACAAACCTGTTGGCAAACCGTTTGGTGAACCAGCACAAACCTGTTGTTGAAGCAGCACGGACCTCTTGGCAAAGGGCACTAACTGCTTGTAAAAAGCAGCATAGCACATCGCAGAGTCTTCTTGTCTTTTGTCCATTCTCAATAAACTCTTCGTGCCACCTTTTTCCACTCAACACATGCAATTCTCCACCTCACACGTATTTTGCAATGGCCAGTCAGAACGAATATGACAACGATTTCCCTTTGACGACGATGTCGACGATGTCGACGATGATTACCATGACGAGGACTGCACTAATGAAAGGCCCATGGACAAACACTTAATGGTCAACGAGGACGAAGACGACAAAACTGATGGTTAAATTGCAGTGCAATACTTTACAATGGAAAGATGAGAGGAATAGTGGAGTCGATGAAGCAATATGAACCAGCATGTGCGCTGATTGTGCCTATGCTGCTTTTTGCAAGCGGTTAGTGCCCTTTGCCAAGAGGTCCGTGCTGGTTCGCCAACAGGTTTGTGCTGCTTCTTAAAGGGTTATGCCCCTTTTGCAAGCCAGCACATGCTGGGGAAAGCAAAAATTCGTACTCAGCTCAACTCTCTACTTAGTGCTGGACATCTAGTCGCGACATGAGACTTTTTGATTAGAAACGCCTATTCATTTTCAAGTACAACCGCTGAATCGAAGTTTAGATCATTAAAGTGCGCATTACCCTTCCTTCTACAAACCAATGTTCGCCGTTTGTCAATATAACCTCTAGTTCAAAATTTTTTGAGCTCCAACATTTTCTACGTACAGTCGCGACTATACTACCAGCAACCCAAGATCTCATCACTACATTTTTACAATCGTTGCCATGGCTGAGAGCAGCAGCAGAACAAGCAATGGTGGAAAGGATAATGTGGCAACGTTGGGTGCATTACGAGTACACGGATTTTTCACGACTGCATCCGTCGAGAACTAGACCGTGGCCTCTTTCCTTGCATATTCAAAATCTACAGAGGACGCACTGGAGGAGGGCCACGAGAAATTCAGCAGGTGCCCTTCCATGATGGTTGACGTAGACGCTCAGGACCTTCCCAGCGGAGCATTGGATCGCGTGCAAAAACTGCTGATCGAGTCAAACTTTGATGATTCGGTACCAATAAGTCCTGCAATCAATTTTCACGTCGCTAACAAACCTGCGGGATACATGACCAGGGTGCAGGTTTCTGACGAGGACAGGTTCGCGACGGATATAGCAGAATTCCTTCTGTGCTTGGATACCCTTGTCAGTCTGCTCACCTTCAAGCAGCGGCTTCTCATGACCAAGGATCAACTGAAGAAGTGCATCATCAGTCGGCGCGAGATCTGGAATAAGCGGAAGTTCGGTCCTCCCACGACCCCTCCCCATGAGTCGAAACTCCCTGTGCTGCCGCCTTCCTCTCAGCTCGCCAAAAGAACAAGACAGTGAATCTTGTTCTGTAGATTTGGTATAGAGCACTGTCTTATACTCACAGTACATATGTATATATAGTTATTTTATGTTTATTCGATAGGATGTGCACTTGACAAGCAGGCGGCCTTGAGGCAAAGTGCTGTCTGTGCATGACGAACGGCCTTGGCCATTATAGAATGACACGAAGGGCAGGGGGACAGGGAGACAATGGATGTGGAATTGGTCCGTGCTTTTCACAGTCTCTACTTTTCCCATTGTTTCCACCTTTCAGGCGTTTTATTTAAAGAGATAAAAGTCGATACTGTTCCTTTTCTCCCCTCTTTGCATAGGCATCTGCCATTAAAATAAATCATCCAGTGGTTCAGTTCTTGCTACATCCCTTCCCTCTCCCTGCGTTGTAATCAGACCTGACAAGGCCCTCGGACTCGGCACAGATTCGAGCTCAGATACTAATACTATAGCGCTTCGAGCTACGTAAAATCAAATGTTTGCTATCGCGCCGCCACGAGAAAACATGGATTTTATTGCCTATCCTCGGCTCTACTTTTACAGCGAGGAGCGTTCTCAGTGAGGTTCGCTATGCTAAGGAACGCTGAAATGAATACATTAACGAACCATCCTGGTCATGTTCATTTCGTGGGCGTTTTCAAAGTTTGCTCCGCAGCATGTAATACGTCTTTTTTTTTATGTTCTCTACACGATGGACTCTTTATTTAGGCACACAAGTCAGGGACATCCCATTGTATGAAACACACAGCCTAGCCTTTCTGCTAAAGCTCAAACGAATCAATATCTGTGCGTTAAGTTATACCCTCATGTATTGTCGTAAATAAATCCCTCCCCCCCCCAAAAAAAAAAAAAAAAAAAAAAAAAAAATCGCAACTCCATAACGTGTGCCAACTGACTCTTTACTCGTCTACCATCTCATCCTAAATCGCGAATAATTAGTTCCGCATCGCCGTATCCGCAGTGCCAGGGTCAATGGTACTGTGTCTAATTAGTAGGCCCGAAAATTCGCCATTATTCGGTTCATGGAATGAGTCTATAGCGCTCGGAGCCACGAATATTAATTGTTCATGGACGCATCCTGGAAACTTTTATGGAGCTAAGACGTTGATATCGAACAGGTCCTCGTTCACACTATAATCGCGGTCAATGGAGCAAAGAACGCGCTCAAGGAGGCACCACCTATTAAAGCCATGCCTGGGCAGCGATACAGTGGATCCCCGCCATGGTCTTGTCAGATCCGATCCTGAAGCTGCTTGCGTATATAACGCAAGTTCCTGCATATATAAGGGGTCTCTTTACAATTTAAAAATGAGCCGCACGCTGGACGAGATCGTGTAGAGGTCCCTCGCGTAATGTCGGCACAGCCGCTGCCTGCCGTCTATGCCTCGTCGGTAAAAGAATTTAGACAGGGCGCGATGAGGAACAGGAGTGTCGATGGTGCTTGTAGTACACTATAACCCCCCCCAAAATAAAAAGCATGCAACTTTTTTTTCTTCTCTCATTTATCTATAAAAACGACATGGTTATCACACGATTCTGCACCAGCCGCTCTGTCAACTGTTCGTTCAACTCCGTATCCAAAGTGAATGTCCGCGACGTGTTGCGCAAACATTTCCATGTCTCCAGCATCCAGTCCACCTCTTCCATCCCCATCTTCTGTCCAGGTGTGAACAGAAAACACTTCATTCGTTTCAATGACCCCAGGATATCCAGTCCGGCACTCAGACGATGATCCATCTTGCGCAGTGCATACCGAGGCAGCGGCTGGGCCACATACCGGGTCACGTCCAGTGTCTCCAAAAGCTTAAGCGCCGCCAGTTGACGATACACAGCACGTTGCCGTGCGTAGAACTCTGGGGTTTCGGGATCTGCAGCTCCGTCCATGTCGATGAACAGCCGCAGCGACCTGATCCGATGGCATCCCCAGGCCGGGGTCACCGCAATATCTTTAGCAACTTTGTGCGTGGAACCATCCTTCAGGGGATTGTCACCACCACCGCCATCACTGCCAGTGCTGTAACCCTCGAACAGGTCGCCCACAAACACCTTCCCCGTAGAAAAGTCCTCGAGTCCTTCCATATCCACCAACATTTGTCGGATCATCGGGCTCGACACATCCGAGCATGCATATAGATCCACCTTCCTGACTGTCCGGTAAAAAGACGACATCACCAACGCGTCAAACGACAACGGTCCAAAACCCGTCTTCTTCAACATTAACTCCTCCATCGCCCTCGGCAGCGCCTGGAATAGCTCCACCAGCCGCACATCAAGAAACTCCTCGCCTAAAAAATCCATTCTCCGCAGCTGTGGCCAGGTTCCCTGGTGTACCTGCGCATTAAACATCTCGACCGCGAACTTGACCGGCCGTCCCGTATTTCGGTATCTCCTCCAAAAGATCGATCTCAGGTCTGGACACAGTTTCATCAACGCAATCTGGCCCGACGGTTCCATCCCACGCACGCCATTCAACCGAAGGTTCTGTATCCGGGTCAACCTTGCATTCTCCATCGGGTCATTGCCTCCAAGGTCAGCGCACGCCCAGTTTACAGGCAAATCCACCTCCTCGAGCTGTAGCTCCACCAGCCCCGTCGCTGCTGCAGCAGCCTCCAACACCGCCAAGAAGCCCTCCTTGGTGAGTGCGACCTCTTTCAGCATGAGCGTCCTTAGTCGCTGACAGGTCCCAATCGCACGAAATACCGGTGGACGAAGTGGCATCCAACCCCGTATCAAGAGCTCAATATGTTGCAGTGAATTTGCATTATTCCCGATCAAGGACTCGAGTTGCGCGGTCTGCCAATTGTGATGTGGTGCTGAACTGAGGGTAACTTTGAGAGACTCCAAGTGCGTACAATCCTTGAGGCGATAGTATGTACTGGGTACCCTGCGACCCCTGTAAACGATGGATCGGATAAGTCGGGAACGTGCCTGAAGCTGGTCGATAGGTGGACGTTGGTCGGTGTCGTTAATAGAAATATGGTGCCAGAGGAGTGGACTGAAAGAATCGTACCAGTCTTGCGAGACCAGACTGCAACGAACAAGATCCCCTCTGTGAAGGAAGCGGCCGATGTTGCTTCTGATTTCATGCAGGTCGAGTGGATGGGTCATGTCGAAGATGTTGCTGAAAAATTGATGAGTGATGAGACCGGTGGGTGGAGTGTGAGCTTTGTATGTGTAACATGGTTGATGCATTAGACGCAATCCAGGTACCACCGCAGCACGTACCTGTACGTGCTCCTAAATCAGCTTCGCCAAGCGGGTCGATTTTTTTTTTTTTTTTTTTTGGGCACTGAAGACCCCATGGCAGGGGTATATGTTCTAAAACGCAAAGGCTCTACATTCTGAAAGACAATGCGAAGGCATGAGTAGTTGTTTCATGCTTTATAGCTATTAAAATGATACCGGTGCATATGCTATCCGGACTCTAAAATAGACCCATCCTCCCACCCATGGACTCCTCCTATGTCCGGTCTTCAAAAAAAAAAAAAAAAAACAAAGAACTCGCGTTTCTACTTGGTATTATACGCTTGACGCATCAACAATATATCTATCATAGCACAATGTAGAATAAGACAAGGAGTGAAATGTTAGAAATAACCCTATTTCCAGATGTCCGAGATCCTCTCCAATGGAGATTGAAAGGCTACATATAACTCCATTCAGGAAAAAAAAATGATGCCATCCTGCAACAATAACATTCGTCCACACGCAATCACTGATGAAGCACCCAGTCCCTTACCCCTTCTTCGTGATCACTCCTCTGCACGTAATAAAGGTCGAGTACTTGAGCACAAAGTTCGGTCTTAATTCCTTCGCAGCCCTTGGCAAATAGGGCTTCAACAATCCTGCAAACGTCTCCTGAGGCAAGATATTCGTCGAATCACCATGCGTCAACAGCTCAATGCCGTGTTCCTTCGCATAACTGATCAGATCCCTGGGCAACACACAGCAGTCCTGAAGATTGACCTGGTTCACCTCAGGTGCGACCGCTCCGTGGCTCAGAGCAGCGTTTTTCAAGATCTCGAGCTGTTGTTTCGAGAACTCGGTCACGCCCAAACGGCCGATCCGACCGCCCTGACGCAATTCCGAAAGTCGCTTCCAGACAGGCAAGACAATCGTTTGCACCTCCTGTGTGAACGCTTCGACCTCGGACTCATCCAATCCATTCTCATCAAAGGTCTGGTTTGGCAGCGCAAGAATGAAGTGGTCCAGCTTGATGTCAGGGATTCCAAGCAAGGCTTCCAATTCTGAAATGGCGGTGTCCAAATGCTTAACCGATAATGGTGCTCCTATTCCTGAAGATGTGGACGATGGAAGATAGAACATCTTGACTATAATGCCAAATCCAGGAGGACAGGTTCAACGCGGTTAGATCCCTGACATGGCGCCCAACACGGCGACGAGTTTATACAACAATTGATTCGGGTCAGAAACTGAACATGCCTGTGATTTCGTACGAGGAACGGTCGCCCTCCAGAGATTCAACGCTAGTCTCGTCCGTAATAGTGATAGTGTTATCTTTGATCTGCGCAGACTCCAGGGAGTAAAGCAATGTCTCCTGCAGGGCTGAAACCAACTAGGGGAGAAAGTACAAAGAGTAGCGTTAAATGGTATGGTCATGCATACATCACATATTCTATCCAAGATGTACACTGCTCAACGCCCGCACAGAGCATCCTTCCCTCTCCGCAGCATACAGACACATGCAGTATGCTGATCCGTCCGCTTTAATATATTATATATTTTTTTTTTCGTTCATGATCCATATTCAATTGATCATTACCTCCTGGTTCGACTTTTTGAGGTTGGTGGTCAACTGACCTGTGGTGCCGGTACGCATGGTGTTCCCGGTATAGAGCGTCAAGTGTGAGAAGTGATCGTTGGCGAACGATACGGATGTTCCTGCTACAGATGCAGACTTGCTGATACTTGATCCGTCCACGACCTTGACACGTGCTTGGCCGTTGCCGTTCGTAGTCGACTCGCGGAATTCGGAAGTGAGGGCGGTCATAGTTGATGAAAGTGTGAGGTCGGAATGAGAGAAAAAAAAGAGGGATGAATGTATGTGTGTGAGTGAGGGAGAGAAAGAGAAAGAGAGAGAAAGAGAGAGTTGGGAGTGTACACAACAGCGAAAAAGAAAAGAACGCTCGTTCGGTTTAAAGTTTCGGGATGGCAGAAAAGAAAAAAAAAAAAAGCAATCAAATCAGATCAGATTGAGAGGCGGGTGGAATGAGTGGAATGGGGAACGAGAAAAGCGAAAGCGTTTTATCAGTTAAACAGCAGCAAACAGAAGAACGTAGCGTGGGAGAGGTATCGAGCTTAGTAATTCCAGGTAATTATTAATACGCCGACTAGAGCTCACAGAAGAAAAAACGAGGCAGGGGGTTGCATAGCAAGGGGAGACAGACCCGCATGTCAAAGGAAAAGTAATAAGGTGGAGATTGTCCTTCCCATTTATATCTCGTCGCTGGTATTCCCACCGGCAATGCAACAGATCCTCCGCTGTTGCCTGAAATGCACTTTGGTATGCGTTGCTGTCTGGAGTAAGGCATTAGGTCCGTGTAGACATGGGATTATCTATAGTAAATGATGCTCCAAGGTCTGCACATTCAGCTGGCTTTTTCTTTCTATTTTTATTTTTTTCTCTGTTTGGGGTTGAGGTCCATTAAGATGATGATGGTAAATAGCGATCCTCTAATCCGAAGCGCGGATATTCCTGAGCACATCGTTCTCGTTCTCGTCCTCGTCATCTGAAATCACCAATTCACGCTCGAACAGAGCAATGTCCACGTCCACGTCACCCTCCTCCATGAATGTAGCATCCGACTTGGCCAAGCTGTGGTCGCGCTCGAACAACTGACGTCCTGTAGGCTTCAGCGCCTTCGGGTCCTCCTTCTTCAGGCCCTTCTCGATCCGCTCCTTCTCTGCCATCTCTGCATCAAACGCCGTCTTCCACTTCATGAACACCTCCACTGTGACTTTCGTGCCTGCTCTTTTCCTTTCTTCCTCCTCCATTTCCCGCTGTAGTTGTTCGTGCTCCTCCTTCTCTCGCCTGGCCATGTTGACCTGGATAATTTCCGTGAGCGCGTCCTTGGCAGTTGAAGCCATCGAGAACACCATGCCCATACCTATTGCCTCCTCAGCCTATATGATAATAAAAACGCGGTGAATACCCATTAGAGTCGGAAGATCAGGACGAACAATTGCTTCCTGTACACCGATTCATTAAAAAGGCACATCCAGGATCCTCCTCCTTTCCTTCTATTGGCGACGAGTGTAGCGACTTACAGATTCAGTGACCTTCTTCATGATGGTGTCGAAATCCTCCTGCTCCAGCTCTCCTTCCTCAAAATCCAGTGAAAACTCGGGCAACGAGTCGGGGTATGTTTCTGTGTATTTGACATGCAGCTTGAGCGTGTCTACGCGGTTCAATTGCACACAAATGAATATCGACGTTAGGTTCCTGCGATCTAATAGGATGTAAACATGGAGATCCTTGTTTCTCCCATGTATTGGTCCACAAATAGCTGTCGCTTACATGTATCATCGCCGTCCTGCTCGTCCGGCACAATCAGAATCGTAAACTCGCCAGGATCGCTGGAGATCTCCTCATATTCATCGGGGTAGATGGACTGGAGCGCTTCCAACTCATTCGCTTGCTCTTCCTTGTAATCTATTTTCCGTTACGTGACAACATGTCGGTAAATAACTGTTGTTCTTTGTGTACTCGCTTCCAGCGCTGTCCATGCGGCCTTCCTGTTGTGTTCTTGAAGACGCCGTACCTGTCATTGTGGTCAAGGTCCTGTGTCTATTCAAAGAAGAAGGGGCAAACCAAAAACACCCTTCTCCATCAGATCCAGTGAACAAGCCACCCTTAGGAAAACTCGTCCTGAAAACTTGCAGTTGAGGTCCAAAGACTCCAGAAGACCCCCCCACATCATAAATGATAGGTATGTAGTGAGTAAAGTTTTTATTTTAGATGCAAGTTGGATAAAGAGGCAAACGCGTTCTACGTTCAAAAGGTCTCTGTTTAAGCGGTCTTGTCATAGGCAGAATCGTGCACCTTCTGGGCACGACCCGAGGGATCGGCAGGGCATCCCCAGTCGCCTCTTGGGATCCATCTGACAACGGACTCTGTGCACGCCTCCTCAGGGAACCACTGCTCAAACAGCTCGCGGTAACGATACGCCTCCTTGGTCTGGGGTGTATCCTTGGGCCAGCGCTCAGAAGCCTTGGCAAAGGCCTCGTCAGAGACCTTGGCCGAGGCAGTGTCCTTCAACGAATCAATCCAGCTGTAACCAACTCCGTCCGAGAACTGCTCCTTCTGGCGCCAAAGAATTGAATCGGGCAAGTAGGGCTGGGCGTTGGGGTCATCTGAGGTATCGAAGGCCTTGCGGAGAATGTACTTCTCCATCTTACCCTCACTCTTGATTGACATCTTGGCTTGGGGATCGACGTTCATGGCGACCTCCAAGAAAGCCTTGTCCAGGAAGGGCACACGAGCCTCAACACCCCATGCCATCGTCGACTTGTTGGCACGCAGGCAGTCGGCATAGTGCAGGTTCTTCACACGGGTCACGGTCTCGGTGTGGAGCTCGGCAGCGCTGGGGGCAGCGTGGAAGTAGAGGTAACCACCAAAGATCTCGTCGGCTCCTTCTCCAGACAAAACCATCTTAACGCCCATAGCCTTGATCCTCCTGCTCAGGAGATACATGGGTGTAGATGCACGGATGGTGGTAACATCGTACGTCTCCAAGTGATAGATGACATCGGCAACAGCATCTAAACCCTCCTGAACGGTAAATGTGTACTCGTGGTGGACGGTCTTCAAGTAATCGGCAGCAACGCGAGCAGCGGCCAAATCGGGGGATCCCTCCAAACCGATCGAGAAGGAGTGAAGTCTTGGCCATGACGCAGCAGCGCTCTCATCAACATCATCTCCATCTTGGTTCAAATGTGTCTTTCCGTCAAGCATCTTCTGAGTCTCTCTTGCTGCGATCGAGGCAATCAAACTGGAGTCGAGACCTCCGGAAAGCAAGACACCGTAGGGGACCTCAGACATCAATCTCTTGCGGACGGCCTTCTCCAATGACTCGCGAATCAGCTGGTAATCCACAGGTGAGTCGGGGATCTTCTCACCATCCCACCAAGTGGGCTCGAAATACCGTGTCGTCTCGCCGGTTTCAGAGTCGAAAATGTGACCAGGAGGGAAAGCAATAATGCGGTCGCACTCCTCGTTCAAGGACTTGAGTTCAGAGGCAAAATAGAAGGCTCCGGGATATTTGCTGTTCCATCCCTGATACAAAGTGGTGATACCGATGGGGTCACGAGCAGCCAAGATCCTGTTCTTCTTTGTGTCGAGGAGGACCCAAGAAAACATGCCGTCGAGGTGTTTTACGACATCAGCGCCAATTTGCTTATACTGGAGAATATTTTGATATATAAAGAAAAAAAAAAGCGAGCGAGCGAGCGAGCAAGCGTACAGCATTAATATCTTGTCACCAAAAGATGGTTTCTTTGGATTACTATCGTCGATAGCAGGACCTGCAAAGAGACTTACGAGATGGAGAATGACTTCGCAGTCAGACTGGGTCTTGAAGTGTGTGTCAGCGGGGCACATCTTGCGGAGGGCCTTGTGGTTGTAGATCTCTCCGTTGACAGAGAGAATCAAGGACTCGTCGTCGTTGGTCAAGGGCTGGGCACCAGAGTCTGTTTGGTATCACGGAACGGAACAAAGAGATCGGTTAGATTTAGCTTCCCGCTGTTCTTGTCATACCGAATAGTCGAAATATAGAATCCATTATGGTTTGTAGAGAAAACGGAACGAGTCATCGAATGCCAAGTTTGCTGCTCTCGTCCTTGGATGTGGTCGATGAAATTCTCCGATAACAGAGTTTTTAACGGCCCTGTTCCTTTTTTTTTTTTTTTTTTCATACGACCAAAAAATGAAATAAAATCTCGAGTGACTCACCAACACCAACGATGGCCAGACGCTCGTGGCAAAGAATGTGGTTACCGGCAACAACGCATCCACCCCAGTCGGGACCACGATGTCTAAGCCTAGCAGACCAAGCAGAAAAGCAAACCAAACGAGTCAGTAAACAGGGTCAGCTTAGACGCCACCGATATGAATTTCGGCTTTCTCTGTTTGCCCCTTTCACAGATCAGATCGAGAATTGATTTATTCCTCGGCTGCTGTACACCATGGCTTCCTTTATAGACGCCACCAAATAGAACAAGCATGACTTGATTATCCAATCGCGACTTACTTCTTGGAGAGGATGAGGGCGCGCTGACGGAAGTTGTCAGCACCGCCAGGCAGGTTAAAGGCACCAAAAATACCGCACATGGCTGATTAGAAGATCAAATACGAAAAGAGAGGGGTGAAGAGTATGGGCGGGGGGGTATTCAAGGCGTTTTAAGGAAGGAGACGAAGCGAATGAGTCCGACCGGGTGGAGGGGAAGGAGAAGGAGAGGGTAGTAAAAGAAAGAGGCTGAATGGAAAAGTGGAAGATAGAAAAAGAAAGGGAGTCAGAGGGAAGACCCTTTTTAAAGAAATCGCCTTCCATGTGCCTCATCCCGATAAGCGGTGCAGCATTACCGATAATTCGATGACTACCGCCTTTTCCTTATTTTATGATTTTGCTTCGGTGTCTGACTGATCAGGGAGATCAAAAACCTTGTTCGGCCAATCGCCGTTTTGGACCAAGGACACTCGGAAAAGGTCCTCGTCGCTCCAGCACTCACTGGGGACCACCACTACCCGCAAACCAACAATCCGCAAATAGACTGACTACCCACATCCACACAACACCCATGTATTTTTTTTTCTCAGAGGGTTGCCATTGTCCATTCAACCCCCTTGCTTGTAAGGTGCCAGGAAGGAGGGGAAAGAGGATCCAAATCTGTGATGACTCGCAGTGTTTGTGAGACGAAGGAGTAATCAATTGATCATAACCCTCTTGTAACCTGAATTTTGCCCCGCCTCTCACCTGTCTGCATCTTCTCAGCCCGCCTACAGTAAGATCGAGTCATCGCGAAACCGAGGAGTACAGAAAAAGCAATTAAAAAAAAAAAACGCCTCAGCCTAGCGACACGCCGTATTTTTTTTTGTGTTCCGTTCCGTGAAGGAACAGAACATCGGCGTCGTCTTATCTACCAACACCTGTCTGATGGTGAGCCAATAACATGTGCACGACCGAGTCCAGTTGGTTAAGTACCCACGGGTCGGGTCCGGGGGGGGGGGGGGGGGGGGCATTGTCGCCATTTGCAACGTCTCTTCGTCATTGCCTGCATTCACAACGTATCTCCGATCGTCAACATTCTTCTTTTCGACTTTCGACAGAAAGCACAGCGGAGCAACTAAAATCAACAGCCATGTTCCATACAAGCGTATTTAATAAATATAGTGCGCGTCTAAAAAATGAAGCACAAATCTGCACCTCAATTTCCATTCATGCTTCCTGCCCCTCATCTTTACCACTTCTCACTCCACACGCCTCCTTCAATATCATCCGTCCAGTTCTCCTTCATGTTCTCTAGGAACGCATCCTTCTCCACATACTTTTGCACGACCCATTCGCTCAGCTTCTCCTCATCCGTGGGCAAGTCCTCGATCTGGTAACGCCTCACATGCACATGAAACTTGTACTCGGGGCTCAATTGACCTGTGTGGACACGCACCAGATCTGGCGGCACTCCAAAGCCCAGAGTCCTATGGTAGTAGGCGAATGTAAAGTCTACAAGGTAAAGCAAAATACATGGAGGTTAATCGTAGTCTAGCTGGATTTACTAAACAAAGTAAGAGAAAAAACAAAAAAAAAAAGGCGCCAAAACGGCTGCAAGAGGTGACCGTTCTTCACTCGGGAATTAAAAAAACAAAAAAAAAAGGAAATCATAGAAAATCCCTAGGATGGATCGCCACCTGGCTGAATCCCTCCAGACGCGATTTGTTTGAACATACCATAAACGCACTTGACATGGGTTCCACGGAACTTGTTGACACATGCAATGAATCCCTTTGTCCTAGGCATCATGACATTCGACAGCAACGGAAGACCGCGTCCCATCATGAACTTTTGAGAAGCAGCCAGTTTACTAGGTGTCAGACGAGAGCCCTCCAAGAAGCTGGCGATCCAGACGGGTGCCTGAATGTCCAGTATCTGTGCGAACATCTTGTTGATCTTAATTTGATCCTGCTGCCAGTTGCGGTTGATAAACAACATGCCCATGATCCACATGCCCCATCCATAGAATGGGATCTATTGCAAGATGACAGGAAGACAAATAGAATCAGAGACCGCTGTGTCGTGCTAACTTAAAAACGAGACTAACAAGGCAAGGCAATGCATGGTAAGATGTCCTGCTTCGCACTTACATATTTCAACGAGTCCTTCGCAAAGTACTACCAGTGACAGTCAGGAAAGAAATATAGCGTTAGTGGCAGTGGCATGCAGATGTATGGTTATGATGGACTTCTTGCAGCGTTTTTCTGTACCTTCATGTAGTTGACCATGCCCCTCCTTGCTGCGACTGAATGGAACATGTAAAAGTCGACAAAGGACCGGTGATTACCAAAGACCAATGCGCTCTCGTGGTGCGGGATCTTGTCACCCGAAAAGGTGATAACAGCTTTATGTTTTTTCTAAGTGTCCGTGTACCGGTTCAGATTAGGAAGAATAAAAACCATAAAATAAACATCTAGGGGGAAATCCTCGATCACTTTCAGGGTCACACTGCCCCAACAACAAAAACACTGCGTGGAGAGCAGCGCACCCTTCACTATCATCCGCTGGTACCCGTCTCTCCTGCGCAGATTCTGCATAAATTCTGCATAGATGTAGAGACGATGCGGCAGGATAATGAGGTATTGCTTCCCGCTCTTGCGCTGCTATACGAATTGATTTTGCTTTTGTTGCTCCATGTGCACTATCCCGATGATAATGGGTGTCCCAATTGATCCAACATACCTCCATGATCATCTATTGACGTATGAGAAGACAGAACAATGGATGTGAGTATCAGTTGACGAGAATAGACCATGCGTTATAACTTGAAACAATAAAAGTAGCATACCTGCATGACCTTCCACATGGAACCGGCTACACGGGCGTTCACCTCAAAGAAGAGGCGTCTCGAAAACGGTCTCAAAAACAGCGAAAACGCCTGGACGACATTGAGCAACGAACAGAAGCTAGAAGAGAGAGAGAGAGAGAGAGAGAGAGAGAGAGATTTTGATGACGCAAGAGGTTGTAGAAAACGACATGCTTTAGTGTCCTGCAGTATGCATAGGTGAGCGCACAGCTTGATCAGTTCCCCTCATGGACTCGGTCAGCATGGCGACTCTGTCCGAGAGGAATCTGCAAACGTGCCGAATGAGCGAACGGACAGTCGGAGGTACGTATGCCGTACCTGAAGAGGGCGGTTCCATAGGCGAAGGCCTTTGCTGGTCGAGTGACAACTTCGAGCATGTCTGGCCTGGTGTTGTGTGTATGTGTGCGACTGTAGGTGAAGAAAGGCGGCCTTGTCCGTGGAGGATTGTGGGGAAGGGAAGCCAGAATGTGAGCCGGGCGGGAGAAAGGTAGAACAAAAAAGTTTACATTACCCTTAACAACACACAACCCTGGACAATTTTTGATTGGTTGCCTTGTGCTTGGGCTAAGCAGCGAAGGGGAAACATAGGCTTTATCCTTTTGTAGCTGGATCCAGATCCGCTCCCCGTCGTGCCCATAACCTGCGCCGTTGTCTATCATCCAGGGCCAAAGCCCGTATCAAGCTTTTTTTATGCTTGTGGAAGCTGTCTTTTTTATACGAAGTCGAGTCCGGGTTCTATAGAAAAATGTTGTCCAAGTCATCCCATGCCTGTTGAGCTGTGCGGATCAAATTGACGAATTACCTAGTCTATTTCTCGTCTTTGGTCCGTTGGATGAACTGATTAGGAGCAGTGCGGATGTAACGAAAATTCACAAGTCGCTCAGAACATGTAGGGCCAAGGGTATGTGGCGTTCGGCGAGGCATTCGATAGCGTTGAAATAGCCCGTAGGCTTATTCGCCATGTAAAAAAGTAGACTGCAGGACAGCCTCAGCTTAACAGAAATGAAAATACGACAGATGGTTATTATTATAAATATCACACCATTACCTTCATGATCCTCAAGCCTTTTGTATCTCTCGCTTGCTACCCATGATATTAACATATATCCTGTAAAGGCCGTAGTGCTTGTCGGCGTCAAATCTGGCTTCAATGAAATCATGAAGCTCATATAATGCGCCCTTAGGACCGGAATTGAGAGCTTTTGGAATCGTTCCAAGTAACCGAGTGCCTCATATGGCAGCGACGCTTGTGTCGGGATGGGGTGAACCAAGATATCCTTCTACTCTTGTTTCGTGAACAGTGATGATGAAGACGTTGTTGCTCTCGACGATGAACCCGTGGATGAAGCTAAAACAGGGAAGGAAAGTGTGGCATAATCAGTAACCCTGTGTTGGCTGCTAAAAAAAAAAAAAAAAAAAAAACGGCGTGGCATGGTACTTACTACTGGTGATTGCACTTTAGCCTTCTTGGTAAAAAAGCATCTTCCACCTTTCGGTTTGAAGTCCGTATACGCTGCGGAATAGGAATTAGCGATTTATGTGTTTGCTTGGAGGCTTTCAAGTCGGCTTACTCTTAGAAACAGCTGAGATAGGATATAGCATGAAGACAAATCGTTGACAGTCGGCTACTGCTGGCTACCTTGCCCTAGTCCTCGCTCTCTTCCACAGCGTCTGCCATTTTAGAAATGAAGTCGCTTTTCTGTCAGTCCTTAGGCCCTAATGGCGATGACGACGTGATACAAGGATCGGCCCGATCATTAGCAAATGTAACATCAGGATCTGGGCATTAGCATCAACAATAGATGCTTTTACTTACCCTTGGGCCTTGTTGATGGTACTGTGGTGATAGAGTGTTCATAAAGTAGGAACAATAGCCTACCGTGCCTGGCTATATTATATCGTGGGTGCATGTACTCTACCAAAGTCAATTACTGAGATGTTCTGTCTTTACTTCCCGGCTGAAGAAGTTATAACGCCCCGTGGCAAAGGCTCGTGGGATCAGTGCAGTGTTTATATTACCTTGTTTGGAGTATGTGAGCGGTGAGTCGGTGTGCATGAGTGTGCTGTGCGCGTGGACGCGAAAAAAAAAGGTTTAAGGTTTTGGCGCGTTCACAGATGCGCTTTTCAACAATGAACGAACTGTGGGAAGCCATGCTTTGATTTCGTTGCACCTTGATTTCCTTTATCATTCTTGCCGCTCCATTGATTCCTACGCAGAACTGTCGGTGCTCTTCGCGCTTGAACGCGCACTCTTCCGGTTAAAAATCTCGAATATTGGAGGCAAGATACATCTGGAGGGCATCGAGTTGCGACCGTTTCCCAGCAACTATTCAAAATGATCAGCGCGAGTTGCAAATGCCTCCCTATGCACGGCCATGACACTCTACGAACCAAATGGCTTTCCGAAGGATATCGGGGCTTTCGAAACATCCATACATCGACTTCCGGCGCACCCGCCAGAGTCATTGTGATCTATTTTCATGCTCGAGTAATGAGACAAGTCTGATGCTACCGAATCTTAAAGGCGACTACAGGCTCGGATTCTCAAGATCAGCGTATTGTTTTGGCTAGACCACGCTCGTGGACAGAAAAGGGGATGCGGGAAACTAAGGCCACGAATCGAGAACTGCTTTCTATGCCAATGTGCGTTGTGCGAATACAATGGAGAGCGAATTTTTATTTATATCGTTCGTCCATGGCTATATGCAACATAGGCGCGCATAGTAACCTCCAGCCTGGAAGATACGCTCACACAAATCTCTCGAGTGTGTTGTGCTTCCTAGGAATACATGTACGTCTTGAACAATGGCTGGGTGTTACGGTATGAGCTCTTCTAGGAAGCAAAAATAAGAATGCACGGAAGAGCAGAGGACTGTTGCACACGGGTGATGCAAGTGGGCGGTTTGGCATGCAAGCAAGGCCGGGGGAGGGCGAAGCTCCGTCATTTTTATTTTGTTTGTTGTCTATTGCCGCTGAGAGCGATAAGAAATGAATCCCTTTTTGTGAACAACAGGTCTTACTCAGGAATAGTTCCAGCTGTTTGAATGGCAAACCAGCTGGGCGCATCATCTTTTCTCCTTTATCTCCCTCACACTCCCTCACACTCCCTCTGCACTTTGCTGGTCCTGGCTCGGCTTTGTCTCCTCCATCTCCATCTCCATCTCCATCCCCGTCCACATATCGCAGAACACACATACCCGCGCGCTGGATTTCCTCCTCTCCACCTCCGTCCTTACCGCAAATTCTGAGTTTTACTCCCCATCTTCCCGCCTCCCCACTCACTCGGACACACACAGATCGGCGACACCGACAGCAACAACAACAACAACAACAACAGCAACAAGGAAGGTATTGATCGCAAGATAGATCGGAAGAGCGAAGTAGCGATGGATCCCTCACTGCAGCAGGATTCCTCGACCCAGCCGGTCCACCTTGCCGACCTGACCTCGACTGGATCTGGCTATCAACAGCAGCAACAACAACAATTTCAACATCCTCCTAAACAGGTTTCAAATACCCTTGGTAGTGGCAACAAGCTCCAGCCTGATGATTTAAACGAAAAGTTTCTTGACTTGAATGACGACAGACATTCGGTCCACGGACAGCAGCAGCTACAGCCACAGCAACTCGCACCACAACAGCAGCAGTATGAAGACCATTTATCTCCAAAGCTCGAGAAGGACTCTGTCGATCACGAAAAGAGTGCCGCAGAGCCGCCTTCTGCCGCCCAGACTCCAGCCAGGAACTTCAAACTCGCCAGCCTGGTCGATCGTGTCCGTCTTGCTCAGCAGCAGGGACAGGAGCACCAGCAGCCTGCATCACCAACAGAAACTGGTTATCATCTCAATAATCGACCTCACCTATCCCCATCTCATCCCTCTGATCCGACTCAGCACCCCTCCGAGAAAGGTACGCATTCGTTTCTGCTTGAAAAATAAAGAAGACGGATTCACAATGATAAAAAAAAAAAAAGGCAGAGATTGATATAGAAAGAGGGATACGAGGGGGAACGTTCATGGATGAACCAACGTCTCGAATGCTGCATAATCTCATATATTTCATTCTTGCCTAACATTTTTTTCCTTTTGTTTGTCTGTTTGTTAAATTCAATGTAATTTATCATTTGCATCAGCCGCTGTAGATCGACTTCGCCAGTCCAGGCCAGAGGGCTCTACCCCGACAAGGCCCTCCTCCAGCATCCGTAATGGGGTCGGTGATCTTGAGCACGGTCAGCCACATGACCATCATACTCATCATCGTAATGATGTTACTGGAGACGCACCGCATCCTCATCTGTTCCCAAAGATCTTTAACAAGGAGAATGTTCGCAACGCACTATTCCTGAATAGCGCTACTACTGCGTTCGCAAAGTCAAACCGTTCCAAGAGCTTGGGAAATGTGGATATCCCGGTGGCATCCTTGGCGGTGACAGGGTTGGCTGTTCCTGCGCTCTGGCTACGAAGAGATGACAAGGGTCGCCGTTCAGTAGGTTAATTCATGCGCTATTTTTATCACTGTTCATTCAGTGCATTTGAAGTGGGCTGTACAAAATTAGATTCTGCCAAATATGCACATATGGCGGTTCCTAGCCGCCTGAACAAGCGACTCGCGCTAACGGCTACATCGATTGCATCGCACTATAGCCTCCTGTGATCTTCCAGATGCTGAAGGTGGGTACAAGCGTTTGTGCATCCAATTGAGTATCCTAAGATTCTGACATTCAGAGGATATTGACCAAGAAACCGCTTCGCTATTGTATATAGCTTGCTGTTGCCGATTCCGAAATCAACCTCAACTTCAGCAAGCAAATCCTCTTCCGCGTGGAACTGCAATACGGCGATGTCAAATGGGTCATTCGCAGGACGATGTACGATTTTTACAAGTTGCATCTCAGCCTTGCAACAAAGCGGTTCGACAACCTGCCAAAGTTTCCTGGTCATGTAGGGTTTCGTGTCTTTGATCGCGTTCAGGCTATGGCGGCGCATGGCCCTCGTAAAAATGCCAACTCACCGTTTTTTCTTCATCCTCCAGCTCTCAGACGCCTTCGCGATGGTGAAAGCAAGTTTTGGCATGAAGACTGAGGAAAGGACAAATTACCTTCGACGGACAAACCTCGCCCGTCGCCAGGCTTTCCAGAACTACCTCCTCCAGGTGCTGCAACAACTCTGCTGGACGATTGCATACGACTTGTACGAGTTCCTGGAGATTTCAGCCATGTCAATTACCAAGGATATGGGTTGGAAAGGCAAGGAGGCGTATGTGGATACCAAAATTACTGACAGCACCAACGCCATTTGTGGCTGCAACGGATACTCACCATGGAGAAAGAACTGGGCCCTGCTCCGAGATTCTTATCTGGCGTTCTGCTCTAATATCGGATCGAACGAACCCACGGAGGTGTTCATCTTTGACCAAACGTTCTTCGTCCAGCACAAAGAGCAACATATGGGGCTGAATATGCATCATATTGAGGTCGGAAATCGCCACCGCAGGATCGAGATCAAAGGAGACCACAATCGTGAGATGCGCGAATGGATGGACCATTTTAATATGATGAAGCAGTCCAGCCCATGGGTAACCTCGCATCGATTTGGCAGCTTTGCGCCGCAACGAGAGGATGTCAAGGTCCGGTACTATGTGGACGGCAAGAACTATTTCCATGCGATCTCGGATGCCATCCTTGCCGCCAAGAATGAGATCTACATCTGCGACTGGTGGCTATCTCCGGAACTGGTAGTGTCCAATAGCATGTCAGTGTGTCTTTGGAGTGGATTTCGATGAGCGGTGTATTGATACGGTTTACTGCTCACCTCTGACCTCTGAGGGCCTTTTAGTACCTTCGACGTCCTCCAGAGAAGAATGAAGAATTCAGACTGGACCGACTCTTAAAGAGAAAAGCCATGGAGGGAGTCATGATATATATTGTCGTCTACAAGGAGATCTCACTCGCCTTGACCCTCGACTCTGCTCATACCAAGATCTGGCTGCAGAATCTCCACCCCAATATTCAGGGTAAGCATGGTACCGCCTGTTGACATACTACCAATTTTCATTCTGAGAACCAATTTAACTTGGGCTTCTGTGGCTTTGACATCTAGTCCAGCGTCATCCAGATCACCTTGGTGTTAAGACGACCCAATTCTGGGCCCACCACGAGGTATGTATCCATTTCGCGGGTTGACTGAATACAACGAGATTTTTCTACAGCATGTTGATCAACGTTGTATGTTGTCGTGAGTAGAAAATCTGTGTGATTGATTGTCGACTTGCATTCATCGGAGGTCTGGACATGTGCTTTGGACGATATGATAGCAGGACACATCAATTGTCGGATTATCATCCTTCAGGCAAAGGAACCATTTGGCCTGGTCAGGACTACTCCAACCCACGCATTAAGGACTTTGTCAATGGTAGGTTATCACTGCCTATTCTGCTGGAAGCTCCCCCAAGCCTCCGAATAGCACTCTCTGATTATATTTCGATATTCTTTGATCCATCTCATCTAGTCAAGGATTACAACAGCGATCTAATCGAGAAGAAGCTGCTGGCACGTATGCCCTGGCACGATGTCTCACTTGGAGTGGTGGGTCAACCCGCACGCGACATTGCACGTCATTTTGTCCAGCGCTGGAACCTTGTAAAACGTGAAAAGGGCATGAAAAAGACACACATGAAATTCCTGACGCCCAAGGGAGAGTTTGTGAGTACTCGCAATGAATCCGGCTGGACTGGTACGCAGAAGGTCCAGATTCTGCGAAGCAGCACTATTTGGTCTCAGGGTGTGGATTTGGAGCAATCTATCCAAGCTGCGTACTTGGCCTGTATCCAGAGCGCGGAGCATTTCATTTACATCGAGAACCAATTCTTTGGTAAGCAAATGACACTATTGCATGGCGACAGTAAACGTCTCAGGGCATTGTAGCAAAACTGACAATTTTTTTTTAACAATTTATTCTGTTAACAGTTACACTGGCTACGGAAAACGGCAATCCGGATATCAAGAACAAGATTGGTATCGCCCTTGTGGAACGTATTTTGAAAGCGCATAGCGAGGGCAAGAAATTCCGTGTGATTGTGATCATGCCCCTGATGCCCGCCTTTGAAGCCGATATCATGTCGAGCGAGGCAGGCACGCTACGAAAGGTTATGCATTTTCAATACGTGTCCATTTGTCGTGGCGGAAACTCTGTCTTGGAGCGCCTGATCGCCAGTGGCGTAGATCCGGATCAGTACATCGGCTTCTTTGGTCTTCGCAGTTTCGACCGTATCAAGCACGGAAAATTCGATGCCATCGTAGAAGCGGTCAAAGAGGCTGAGCAGCAACAGAGGGATAAACAAAGAGGTCAAGCGGATTCTGGACAGCAAGGAAGAGCTCAGGGCCAGGGTGACTCTAATCAAGATACCAAATCGCTCCCCAGCAGGGGTAATAACAAGTCCCTGGCATCCAAATACTTGCTGGAGCCCATTCCAAAGGGCGAGGCGGCGGCGAGAATTAAGGCCGTTGCCGATGATCGCAAGGGGTTGGATATGCTCAAGACCTGGGATGAGAGTATCACCAAGAGGGCCATGAACCAGGCGATCATGGAGCATGGGTATGTTCCAGCGGCGACCGATAATTCGTTGGCTGATGAGCGACTGAACACTGAGATCCAGCGCGATACCAGGCAAGCTGAAAAAACTGAGGCAGCCAACCAACCTTACAGAAAATCCGGGCGAACTAGCCCTGAGTTAAAGGATGGATTTGGAACGAGGATGCGCGATAAGCTAGAGAGGAAGAAGGGCGATAAGGATAGAGGAGATGTGGAGCCGCGACATCACAGAATGGCCAGGAAGTCGCGCCTCCAGCGTCTCCGTCACCCACTGCACCATGACTCAGACGAAGATAGTGATGACTCTGTTCAGGAGGAGGACATTGCGGAGACTCGTGGATATGAGACGGATATTTCGCCAGAGGTCCGCTCGACCAGGGACTCGGAGTCGATAGTCGAGCCAATTCCTGGAGCGTCGGCCGCTGCTGCTAATCAGGAAGGAATGGCGCGTCCTCAAGGGCCGACTGGCCCAGATTCAGAAGAGGTAGCGGATCCTATGGAGCACCCAACGGCGGACATACCTGCTCCGGTTCATGTCGAGGAGCCGACTGTAGACAACGAAGTCGATGATTTCGTGACAGAGCAACTGTATATTCACAGCAAACTGATGATCATCGACGATCGCATTATTATCTGTGGATCAGCCAATATCAATGATCGCTCCCAGGTCGGATTTCGCGATTCAGAGATTGCTATCATCATTGAAGATACTGAAATGGTTCCCTCGCGCATGAACGGTGAGCCATACCAAGCTGGAAAGCTAGCACATACCCTCCGTGCGGACTTGTTCAAGGAGCACCTCGGATTGCTGCCACATGTGGAGCACGATGTGGTGACCGAGGCTAGTGTTCTGCCTGTCGATCTGGATTCACCCTCCAAGGACCCAGAACAGACCCGCCAGGAATTGATCCGCAAGGCGAATGAAGAACAACAAGCACAGCAGGAGCAACGGTCACAGCTTCACCCGACGCAGGCTATTGACAGCGAGATCGTGTCCCTGGAAGAGAACACTATCCACCGTGAGCATGGATATGGACATGGTCACGGACTGGATCATGGACATGGCCCTGAAGGAGGCCAAGATCAAGGCCAGCGCCGTCACCATCGGTTTAACGACCGCCGCGGTCGCGTGCAGGTCTACATGCCGAACGAGGAAGAGACTCAAGCTACTGACCAGTGGCGCTCACCCCATTCCACAGGACAAGCCAAGAAGCGGGCCGCGGATGATCCCGAGGCCGCGCACCAGATTGTGACGGATCCACTCCACGATGACTTTTACGAGGGTTGGTGGAAGCGTGTGGCGAAGACGAATACGGAGATCTTTAGGGAGGTGTTCAGATGTGTGCCGGACAATACTGTCGAGACCTGGGACGACTATCGTGACTTTGTGCCGAACCCGAAGAAAGTGTTGATTGGACATGTGGCGATGGAGGGAGCAACGGTTGAGGACGTGACGGAGCGGTTGCAGAAGGTGACGGGACACTTGGTCGAGTTCCCGATCAATTTCTTGAACAAGGAGAATCTTATGGGAGGAGCCGTTGAGGGTGTTGTGGTGCCTATGGAGATCTTTACATAGGGGACCGACAATGATGGAAGGCGGGCGTTCTATCTGGAGAAGGACTCTATGGTTTTTCATTATGTATGTCTATATACTTTTTTTTTTTTTTTTTTTTTTTTTGAATAAATAAGAAAATGAAAACACTTGATATGAGATGTAGACTGTCAGGGTGCTATTGAGAAAACGAAGCGGCTTTGCGCCCGTTTCTGCTTTTCTTTTTAATGCCAAACATATATACGAATAAAATGATTACGACTTCTTATGAGAATAATGTTCAACGACATGAAGATAAAGCCTCGACAGGTCCAACGTCCAGCGGTACCAATGCGAACTAGGGTTTGACATGAGTGAAGTTGGTCGAACTCCCGTTCTTTCGTCTAGCTCTGTCGACTCGTTGCCTCCTGTGCATAGCCTGCGGATGCATTCCTGCTGTGAGATGTCACTGGCTGAGCTGCTGCTGCTCCTGGGGGTTGCTGTTGCTGCTGTTGCTGCTGCTGAGCATATGCTTGTTGGTACTGCATGTACTGCTGGAACTGGTCGTGTGAAACTGCCTGGTAGAACTGGGGGTCGATGGCCTGTTTCAGAAACCAAAATATATCGTTCGGAAGATAGCAAAAAAGATGGTATTTGGGAAAATATATTAGCGTAATGTAAGGTTTTCAGTTATAAAAGGACTTGGTGGTGGGTGGTGGGTGGTGGTGGTGGTGGTGCGTTGCAATACGGGGCTTACGTGTGAATAGCCGGGAATGGCTCCTGGTGCTGGTGGGTAGTACTGTGCATACTGTTGCTGCTGCTCGTCGTATGCCTCCGGCTATTTCAAGGCGCAAGAGGTTATAGGGAGACAGACAGATAGATAGACGGGTTAATATCCAAAGCGGACAAAAAAAAAAAAAAAATGCGTCCATCGCTCCATAAACCAGTTGCTCAGTATCTTCCTGGTATTTAATTACCTCCGCTGTGGCCTCATCCCCTCGCGCAGAGGAGGCCCGCTTGCTGGGCTTGGTGGGCTCTTCTCTGGGGACGATATCAATCAAAAAATCAAACTGATCGGATTTCGAGGCTGCTGTGGCGACATCGCTCCGCTGCAGTGTCCGCCGCTTGTTGTCTTCGGCCTGCAGCCATGCCCGCCGTGTGATTTCGCAGATGAAGATCTCGCAGCTAATTGTTGAGACACGACACGACAGAGTGAGTGAGTGAGGAAAGGACGGAAAGCGGGGGTTTCGGAGTTACAGTCTATGAATATGTTGTACGTGTGTTTTTTGTTTTTTTTTTGGGCTTTGAGCCGTCCTGTGTAATTGCTTCTTACGCTTTGGAGAAGAGGATAGGTGCCTCTGCAGAGATCATCTAGTAAAGAAAAAATATATGAGACAACACCCGAGAGTTACATTAACATTAAGACGTTCGTCTCTCGATAGGATAAGAACAGGCAAGTAAGACGATACCTTGACGTCAGGATCGGATTTCATGACCTTCTTGATACGTGCCAGCGGCAGAGGATGGTTCTTGAAGTCAGAATCATAGTGCTCAGCAGCCAGGATTTGCTCCTCCCAAAAATCCTGTGCAAACTGCTGCTGCTGCTGTTGTTGTTGCTGCTGCTGTGTCATAGCTGGTTGGGTATTGGACTGGCTGTTGTCTGCGGGCTGTTGGTGGATCCTTGTTGATGATGAAGGATGGGGGATGTCAAGAGGGAATGCTGAGGGCGGATGTTTGCAGCGGAAAGAGGACGAGGAGTGGCTGGGAGGATGGCGGATGAGCTGGTTCCTGAAATCTGATGGGCGAAAGCAGAGAGAGGGAGAGAGGGAGAGAGGAGGAGAGAGCCAGCCAGTCAGGTGCTGGGGAAGAAACACACACTCACACACTCACACAAAGGCTGAGAGTCCTGGACTGCGTGGGGAGCAATTGGCCAATCAAAATAAGGGCTGGAGTCTCATCTTTATTACCGGCCGCAAATGGAAAGGAAATAGGGTTTTGGCCACCAACCCTGAGTCTTTTCCTCTTTGATCGCTGGATTCCTCAATGCTGTGCTCCCCCCAGCTGCCCCCCTAGAAAGGACTTGGGTATCAAACGATTTGCGGCAAAAAACCCTTTCGGATTTGATAGGCTTTAATCCTGACTGAGACCTCCTACCCGTTTAGGCAGAGAAGACACATCTTCCCTATGACGACGTAATGACCGACGCGAAACTTTACTCATGACGAATAAAGACCTTTGCACCCATCAGTCTAGTCCCCTTTGCGAATGATGATGATAATACATGATGCAATTCCCAGTAGTACGCGCTATAAAACGGACCCCTTCTACCTACATTTCCTCATCAAACACGCAAACAAAATCTCCATCTCACACTTCAACAAAACCCAAAGAAAAAAAAAACTCAACAAACATGTCCACCTCAAGAATCGCCAACTCTGTCAAGTCCGCCCTCGGTGGCGCCAAGAAGACCGTCGGCTCTGCTCTCGGTAACGAGTCCATGCAGGCCTCCGGCAAGATCCAGCAGGCCGAGGCCCAAGGTGCCAATCTCGCCGCGCGCGCAGAACAGCAGGCCAAAGGTGTCGCCCACAACGTTAAGGGTGCAGCCCAACGCACCGTTGGTGCCGCTACAGGAAACAAATCCATGGAAGCAGAGGGACACGTTAATTCCGCACGGGGGGATGCTGAGCGCAAGATCTAAACACAAAATCACGACACACTCAACTTGTTACCCTTGCCCACCACTTTGTACATATATTCTGCACATACGCAGTGAAATAAAACTGTGAACAATATAGAAACGATTTTATTACGTTCATGTGTGGATGCATGTTCCTCTGAGGAAGAAAGGGTATATAGGAATATGGTTGTTACGCCTGGCTAGGGCACGATGGTGATCACGACTCAAATGGCCGGCAGGACATTGTTCAAATGACCAACTGTATCGTACCCTGTACCAAATTCATCCGTGCATCTCCACTGGCCATCGACAATGAACTTGAATTGCTGAAGGAACGAATGAAAATTGGAGGGAAGTATAGAACCATAGTCAGTAACAGGCGCACGGGGGACAGGGTGACACTAGAAGAAAGGAATGTGGAGAAATTGGATTCCACTTTTTTTTTTTTTTTTTTTACGGTGCTTACAATATTTTGGGAGCGGTCTAGGCTCACGATACTCTCGAAATGGTCCGGGCTGTGGAGAGATTTCTTCATAACGATGGTTTCTATGTGGAGCAAAAAAAAAAAAAAAAAAAAAAAGGGTAAGGCGAAGCGGGGAACAACAATGTGGTTGGTTAGTTGACACTGGTACGACTGGTCTTCCAGGTAGGTTGCAACGTTACGGTTATTTCCTTTCCATAAAATAAAAAAAAGGAGGGGAGCTGCTCGAGTACAGAACAGAATACACCAAAGAGAAGCAAAAGGTGGGTGACACGTCCATTGATGATAGATGCTTCTCCTTGGGCGGGTCAAACGCGCTTCAAGCGGTCGAGTTCAGTGCCTTCTTTTCGTGCAATCTCTACAGTCAGCGCTGTGATCTTTTCAGCCTTGCCCTCACCCCCTGGCGCAATATGAACCACACAATGCGATAAAAGGCTTGCAAAAAAGGATGAAAAAGGAGAAGAGAAGGTAACATTGGACATAACCTGAAGACAGGAGGGCTGTATCCCATCGGACCAGCTAAGCAACGAAACAAGGAGATAAACAATCGGAGATCACTATTCCATACTTTCCCATTTGTCAAAGGTGCCAGTGACCTTGACGAAGTTACCGCCTTGCTTCCATTTGAACTAGACGAAAGAGCAAGACGAAGAAAACAGAGCGAGGGTGATATCAGTAATGGTTAGCGCCAACAATCCCTGGTCCTGTATAAGCGGAACAAACGTTGAAGATGGGACCAACCATGTGGGCGACATATTGCGGCGCAGACTTGACCTCTAACGCATTCACGTTCGTCTCCATTTCCATTTCTTGTTTTTTCTCTTGTTCTTCTTTTAAGACGTCCACGGAAATTGGCGTCAAGGGTGCACCAATTTCTGCGACTTGTCCGCTCCTGCTTTCGATGTCCAATTGCGTAGGCGAAGCAAACAGGGCCTTTTCTCTTTTAGAAAGACCAACATCGGCACCTAATCCTCGCTCTTTAATCGAGAATGGGGAGATGGGAGAGCTTCCGTTTGAGGATCGTAAGCTACTGGTGAGTGCAGGCATCGAGAATATCGAAACAGGGGAGAGCATGGCCATTGGCGCAATTCTTCTTTTTGCAGGCCAAGCAGAGGCAGGGGGCTCGATCGGATGTGCTGGAGATGACTGGTCGGGGACAGCAGAGACTTCAATTTTGCGTCTGCTCGAGTACCGAGAGACTGAGAGGGCATCATTGATGGTGAGCTTCTCTTGCTCGCCGGAAGGAGTCTGCGAGCTCCAGAGAAGATGGATAAGACGGACGGATTGGCAACCGAGCATTATTTTCACTGTGTGTTTTTTTTAAGTGTATGAGCGGGCTTGTGGGTGAACAAGAAAACGTAGGTGGAGGAAGATCGAGGAGAGGCGAGTAGGTCAAAGGAGAAGAAGGAATAAAAGTGAGGATGATCGCATTATGTAGATTATATACGGAAGAAAGAGGGAGTGCTATCGATTGTTTGTGTAAATGAAAATACACGAGTTGGGGGTGGTCGTGCATAGCGCGAAGCTCTAGTGAAAGGAGGGATAATTGCCCGTCTAAGGCTAGCGGTGTTTTATGAACAAGAAAGGACGCGTAAGAAATAATGCGAGCGTGCTTGTGGACGCGTTCAAAATGTACGCGTGCGGTGGGGCAGTTTGTAGATTAGACTATGCAATCTATGCAATCTATACAATCTATGCAATTTCGCTGGCGCTGTGGATGGGATCCTATTGGTTGCCGCAGTGCGTTGCGCGCCCTAATGGGATTGGATTCTGCAGAGCATGCGAGAACCACCAGCTGCTCTCATGCTCCTCCTCCCTTCTCTTTCTCTCGGGTGAGAAGGGGAGATATGGAGAAGTGGAGAAGGCAATGGCTAGTCACCGGAAGCACAGCCAGATCAGAATGACCTTCCTCAGGGGTACCTGGGGGCCGATCCACCCGGCTAAGCTAGGGGAACAAGGGATTATTACCCTTGTTTCGCAGCAAGAGTCGGTGTTTCAAACAACTGACACCATCGCTCGTCTGAATGCCAGGGTGGACAGCAGAAGGATAATGCTCAGATCGTGACTGAAATTGGTTCTGCTCCCCCCCCCCCGCATTTTTTTTTCTGCTTTGTTTTGCTCAGCCTGTGGGCAGCAGACACATTCGGTTAGGCTAGCAGCGATAATTCGCTCAGGCAGCAAGGGTTCATGTCAACCTTGGCACCCTTTACGCTCCTTTCTTCCAACTTGCATCCCTCCTTTTCTCATTCGATTCGGCTGCCACCATTCCCTCTCCCCTCCTCCCTCCTCCCCTCTTCCTCCACTCCACTCTGCATTCACTCCATCCCCCTCCTCATTTTCCACTCCATCCACAGTCTTTTTTCATCCCCCTCTTTTCATCCAACCTGTCATCCAAAGCAACACAGCGACAGGGGCAACCTCTGCCCATCGGGGTGAGTCTTGTTATTGCTGTTGTTGCTGTCGCTGTCCTTCCCTCTCACCCCTCTCTCTTGCTTGCCATTGGAATCAACTAACAACTACGGCAAGCGAAACAAAAGACAAAAAGGAATCGCACATACACGATTTCGCTCGCATACTCTCTCTCTCTCACTTTCACACCTTCACTTTCACACTCTTGCCGCGCTCTGCACCTCAACTAATCCAACCTAATCCTTTGCTTTCTCCCCTTTGCCTTCCTGCCTCCTGCCTTCCTGCCTCCTTGTCCGCCTTCTTCGATACTCCAGCTAGCAATTCTTTGAGCGTTTAGAAAATTCCTTCCTCGACCTCCACTTCAGCTGCGGCGTCTCTGTGGGCCTTGATGGCAATGAACATGGTAAGCCCAAGGAAGATCATGGCTCTCACTTGCTTCAATTGCTTCGTATTGATGACATATCTGCCGCCCTTCCTATTTTGTTGACTCCTCGGCTCAACAACCATAACCGCTGACCCTGACCTCCCTTTCCTCCCGCCGTTTTACCTTCTGAAATATATAGACGGACAGCTGTGGGTCCTCGGGCGACTTTGAGTCCTTCTCCCACTTTGCACACCAGTCGCCGCAACTCGATGTAAGCACCCTTTTTTTTGTTTTTTATCTTTCGACAACCGCTCCCTTTTTATTTTATTTTTTTCTATTTTCATGTTCTCTCCTGGCTTGTATTTATATCTGTCAGCTTGCTAACAAAAGGGACGGACTGGGAATGGTCGTGTTGACAACGCTATTACATGAAGTGCTGCCTTCAACATTCCCGTCCCTTATCTAATTCTTACCATTTTCTCCCCTTCCATTTGGCGCGAGAGACTGACCCTCCCAATATTTCTTTATGCATTCCTCAACCTCTAACCTTTCCATCAAACGCTCTAGTTCTCGTTTCTGTCCTCGCATGACACCTTGAAGGACCATCACGTAAGTTTTTGACTTTGCCCTGAAGCTTTGCCCTGGCTGTGCTGCGTTTTACTCGTTCCGATTTTCTCCAGAATATCGCGGGCAAAAGCGTCAAACTAAGGCTTTGCACCCACAATTAATGACAGGTACCGGCGCTCTTCAACTCAAATCTTCCCGATGACCTGCCCTCTCTCGGTTTGACTGGAGACACTATCATGGATGACACCCACCCCACAGCGGATCAAACAGCACCCAGAAAAAGGATCCGTGGCGAGCGAATTGTCTGGACACCAGAGGAGGACGAGTATCTACGGAGGGCTGTTCAGATCTATGGTGACAAGACTGAAAAGTGGGCAAAGATCGCGGCGTGTGTACCAGGAAGAACCAACAAAAACTGCCGAAAGAGATGGTTTCACTCCCTGGACCCGAGTTTGAAAAAAGGCGGATGGACCGAGGAAGAAGACCACCTGCTCAGGACTGGCGTCGAAAACTTTCGCGGTCAATGGAGTAAAATCGCCGAGCGTATCCAAGGACGAACTGACGACCAATGCGCAAAGAGGTGGCGTGAGAGTCTCGACCCTGAAATCGATCGCGCGGCATGGACGCCCGATGACGACATTCTTCTGCTGAAGAAGTTTGAGGAATATGGCACTCAGTGGCAAAAGATCGCCCTCTCCTTCCCTGGTCGACCTGGCCTTCACTGTCGAAACCGTTGGCGCAAAATTCAACGGAGCCTGAATCACATGGAGCGCGCCAACAAGCGGCGGCGTAACCAATTCAACATTAAGGAAATGCAGTCAGGGACACAGCGTTCGGATGAGTCATCAGGGAGAAGCCGACTACCGTCGTCTGACGAGACGCTGCTCCACGATGCCTTTCTAGATGACCAGTATAACCTTCTGGAAGATAGTAACGACCAGACCGAGGACAGGAACGATTCGAACCCGGACGAGGAACGACCGTATGGCTGTGCAATCCCTGGCTGCAAGTTCGAGAGTTCATCGCCCTCGCTATTGTTCTACCATTTTAAGGCCTCGCACCACGGAACCACTGTCCTCAAACCATTCCGCTGCACCGTGCCAGGATGCGAGGACCGTAAGCGATACAAGAATATCAATGGTCTCCAGTATCATGTTACCCATGCTAAAAACACCCTCGGGCACTCAGGACATGGGAGCACCCAGCAGGACAGTCAGCAGCAGGCGACTGTGTCGTCGCCTGAAACCAAAGCAGAGGATGCGACACCAGATATAACCGCTGCAGGAGATGCTCTCGAACCCTACACCGCATCCTTCAACAGGCCTGTCAGCAAGCCGCTCTCCATTGTTCCAACTCCGGCCGAAATCCAATATCTTATTCCTCCGGCCATGTCCAAGCCTCTGATCACTCACCAGGCATTCAACATTCCCCATACCCCAGAGTCATTGGAGGAACCACTCGTGCCATCTCCGACACTTTCGTTTGAATCTTTGTTGCCCCGATCGCATTCAACATCGCTGCAATGTCCCGAGCTCGGATGCGGGCAAATTTTCCATGTGCTGAATGGACTCACTGCTCATATGGCCAACAACCATGGCCATCAGCATATCACCATGAAGAGCAGCGACATTTCTTTCGGTCCGGACTCGATTGCGATTCCAGAAAACGGTTTCGACGACGTCGACATGGATTTGGGACATCTGGAGAGTTCTCCAACCATTGACACCAACATGTTGTTGATGGACGATGCAGAAATGCAGGCGCAGCTGCAGAAGATTGCCAGCCAGAGCTTTGGACTCGGTCTCGACGTGGAGATGCCCGATACCACGCAAGACCTCGACATTCTCTCGATGAACGAGCTCTTGTTCGCGAACCACATTGCAAACTCACTGAACAACTTCAGCTCGTACAGCAACAGGATCCACTTTGGGACACACATCAATGTCAGCGCAAACGACTCCTTGACCCTCCCCTCGACCCCGGTGACGTCTGCAAATGTGAGTCCGAGAATGATGGCGATCAACATTCCAGCAGATATTATCGCACCCGTCATGGAAGAACAGATCGCTACCACTGGCACTGTGGCGGTGAAGAAGTTTCCTTGCTTATCGATGGAGTGCTCAAAGTCATATGGAAGCAACAGCGCCATGAGGGCTCATATGCGGCACGAGCACCCTGGCGTGCATATCAAGCCGGGCAAGGCAGTGAGCGCGAGTGCCAGTCCACCAGCTATGGAATTGGTGTCGGCTCCTCAATCGCCTGGAACGGCCATAACAGCGACAGGGAGCACAATGTCAAAGCAGCAGAAGCAAAGCTCGCAGAAAAGGACGGATGATTCGTCCGAGAAGCCGTTCAAGTGTCTGGTTCCAGGATGCGGAAAGGGTTATACCAACATCAATGGGCTAAAGAACCATCTTCTTCAGGCACATGGGTCTACCCCAAAGAAGGGCGCCAGTGCATGAGAACCTGTCACGACTGTTCCTTCCTCTTTCTCCTCCCATTCTCCCACTTTACTTCAAAAACGATCTCTCCTCATTAATCCTTCTTGCCCTTTGCCTTCCTTGTATTTTTTTTCTTTTCTTTTCTTTTTTTTTTTCTTTTTTTTTTTTCCTTTTTTTTTTTCTTTCTTTTTTTTTCGACAAAGACCAACGCGGCAAGACTTGTAAATAAAACTGCGTTTGACGTCCTGTTGAGAAAGATTGCTATTTCTAGCTAGGGGCTATGCACCTACGAAAAAAAAAAAAACGTGTTTGGGGCCGAAAAAAAACGCGTTTTTGCTCCCGGTTGACTTGCTTGGGGAAATCGACGGGTGGATCTCCCATCCCTTGCCTCTTCAACATGTAAAGTGTCAATGAGAAAGTCCCAATGTGGTGTCTACAATTGACCATCAAAAAGCTAGTGATCGACGCTCCTTTCATTTTATACATGCAGAAACAACGCGTCTTCGGGGGGGGGGCGGTTGCTTAAGAACGGCGACTATAGTCCTAATATCAGTTTATCCACGGCGAGGTCATCTTAGTCTCGCGCGAGACTTTATGTTGTGTGGTGGTGAGCCTTAAAGTAGGCCATATCATCCATACACACATCCACACACGTACACATCCACATATTCACACACACGTATCTGTCAAACAATCAGAGGCAACACTCGCTCCTATGCTCGTTTTTTTTATCTTGCATGATGATCAAACCTATGGCACAAACAGTATTCGGATGATACGCGATTTGGTAACGAGATCACCGCGTCGAGCAAACCATTCGTATTATGGCAATTGGTAAGAGTGGCAGTGGCGGTGGGTATGGTGGAGGATGTCGCAGTAATGGTGGCTATAGTAGCTACGGCTTTTTTTTATTTGGATTAGTTTTGCCTGATGTGGATTCGGTTGAATAAAGCAGTTTTCTTGTCGCATGCGTTCGGTTAATTACAGCCTGACAAAGCATTTCATTTTAAGCGACAAGCGAACCAATATATCTCCAAAATGAATAGCGGATTAACCGAATACTGCTATTATCCCTCTTCGATCTCGGTTATAGAACAGTTTCCGTCTAAAAACTTCTCGTGTGCTGGGGGACGTATTGTTGAGAGAGTTTTACGCAGAAGGAAAAAGGGCAAGAGATTGCTGGGATGGGAGACCTGTCAGTTGGGGGAATGCGCCGTTGCCCAAGCGATCGGACACATCCATTGATGCGCAAAGGGGGGGTATTTATTAGATGAATGCGGTTTACAAAGAATCGAACGGTATGGTGCGCAGGACGCTATGATACTAATCAAACAAGTAGAAAAGAAAATGCAAAGACTATACAAAGACGGAGTACACGAATTTTACTCATTGCCGCTTGCGGAGGATAGCTCCCGCCCATCCGACGACAAACACCGCCGGGGGCACCGCTTTCTGCTCCTCCACCACCTGTGCCAACGTCCCCAGCGTCGCGTCCATAGTCCGCTCATTCGGGCAATGTGCGTTCTCCACGATCACCACAGGCACATCTGCAGGCCATCCCAGTGCTCCTGATTGCATCCGTTCCGAGATCTCCTTGGCTTTACCTACGCCCATAAGAATCACCACGGTCTTCTTGTCGTCATATGTCGGGAAATTCTCTGGCAGGACTCCACCCTTGGCCTGTGCGGTCGTAATCACGACCTGATCTGCGGATCCTCGGTGCGTCAATGGAACATGTGCCGCCAAGGGTGCCGACAGCGCAGATGTGATGCCGGGGACGACTTCGGTCTCGAATCCGAGCTCGCGGAAATACAGTATCTCTTCAGCGCCGCGACCAAAGATGAAGGGATCACCCTGCTTTAGTCGGACGACGGTCTTCCCCGCCTGTAGGCCCTGAAGACACCATTCGTTGAGCTGGTCCTGGATATAGTCCGATGTCTTGGAGACTGGAATCGAATCATGTTGAGGTTCCAGAGGCAAGGAGGCACGTTTCTTGGGTGCGATACGGACCTCGCCCTTGGCAAGGTCGATCACACTCATAGGGATCAGGCGGTCTGCAACGACAAGATCGGCTTCTTCCAAAAGTCGGATAGCCTTGAGCGTCAGCAGTTCAGGATCGCCGGGTCCGGCGCCAACGAGAATCAATCGGGCGGTCTTTGGGTGTGTCGGTGGACCCTGCTTTTGCGTGGTATCAGCTGTTGTTGAGACCACTTGGTTCTTGACAGGGGTGGTGAGTGCAGTCACGCACTCTGTGTCACCGCCGTTCATTTCTTTTTTGTCAGCACTGCTGTAGACTGTCGTCTGGTGCTCCTGTTCCTGCTGCAATCTCTCCTGGACTTGCGCATGCGAGTACACAAGATTCGGTTTAAAGCCCGATAGAACTACTTTGATACTCTTCTCATCCAACATCGCCAGATCCTCCATCTTCCACTGTTCACACACTCGACTCATCCACTGCATCCGCTTCGGCCCCAGTTCCGGGCCTGGAGCCATCTTCCGAAGAGTCGCTCTCAGAATGCCGACCTGTTCAATGGCGTCTCCGACACGAGGGGGCAGATGATCCGCAATGTGGCGTCGGACCAGGTTCGCAAGCTTGGGTCCCTTTCCGGAGGTCGAGACGGCGACTTGGAGGTTCTTGTCACGATGTGTGGAGCAGAAGTAGAAGTCGCATTGCGGGGGTACGTCTGCGATGTTGACGGGGATGCGCAGCCTTCTGGAGAGGTGATAGATGTGTGTTGAGAGAGGGATGTCATCGATCGCGGAGAGGACCATATCGACGGCGGGTTCACTATAGCTGGTCTCGTCACCGTCGTCGTCCTCGCTGCTGTCACTGTGGCTGTGAGGGCGTCCATTCGTGTATTCATGCACACCGTTGCCATAGCTGTTCATATGAGCACCTCCGTTTGTGTGATGGTGTCCGTTTGCCTGAGATCCTGCTCCCGAAACTGTGTGCTCTCCGAATCGAGTGGTCAGGTCTGAATCCTGAAAGGGTCGTCGTACCAGGCGAGTGTTCTCTGGGTGGTCCTGAATGTGTTGCTGGACAGTTTCGGAGAGTTCTTCGGTCTCGGGACAGATCACTGTGACCCTGGCATCGGCTTCGAGGACATTGACAAGACCTAGCACGGGTGAAAATGTAAAAATCGGTTGCGGTTAATAAAAAAATAAAATAAATAAATTAAAAAGGAGGGGGGAAGCAAACTTACGACCGGCAGCGACGAATCCTCCACCGATAATGAGGACGTGCTTGTGCTTGATCTGCCAGGCAAGGATCAGGGAGGCTCCAGGGCGGATGGGATCAATTGCGGAGCGGACCATGTGTGAAATAGGATGCGGATGAGTGGAAACGATGAAGAAAGAAAAAGGAGAAAGAAGAACGAGTTGAAGAGAAGAAAAAGAGTAAAAATGGAGGGGATTGAAGAATGAAAAGAGAGATAGCGATGTTGCGCAAGGTGACGAGGATCGTGGTGACTAAAAGAACCCCAATTGATGTGATCGACAGGGCAAAGCAAAGACGAGAAGACACAGGTTGCTCGTGTCCGTGACGGCCGATGGCACCATTTTGCCGTATCTGTTCCTCGATGGCGAAAGGCGTTTTATGATTGGGAGCCAATCACTTTGTCGCCATGAGCTTAAAACTGGAATTACTAATTTAGTGGCGTAGTTTCTGTAAATGTAACTTGTTGCAAATAAAGAGGCAGTAGATTGATCTTTGCTCTCATAGCCCCGCTCGACAGGGTAAGCAGATAGGCCCTTCGCACAACAACAGAAGCGATCGACCATGTGAGCGGGGCTCGATTGTGCAATTGTGTCCACAGAGGAATGAAAATCGATAACATGCGGATCTCATCTTGCTGTGTCCATGTGTCCACAATAGCAATAGGTAAAAAGATAGACGAATCCATTGATTACTACGGTTGCAAGTACAGTACAATGGATATTGAACCCCTCGGGCCATGCTGGGAATCCGAGAGGTTCTTTTTGTGTATTTGTTTTTGCATCTTTCCTCTGCAGCCAGTGGAATGGAGGGATGCCATCACGTGGCCCGTGCATGGCCATTGCTTGGTTGCTGTGCGCATCTTTTGCAGCCTCGGAGCGCGGAGGATTGCCAAAACCTTTTACACTTTTTTACACTCAACAGCTTTTAAAGGGTACCTTTGTCCCTTTGACCTTCCTTTTCCCTTTCCTCTTTCCGGCGCCCGAAACTTTCCTCATTCACTCTCCTCTCCTTTCCTTTCCTTTCCTCCTCTCTTTCTTCATTCATTCGTTCATTCATCGCCTGAATCGCACGAGGCGGGAACACGGCGACCATGGAGCATTCTTATCAGGACACTTGTCGAGGTGACAGCATAGCTGCCATTATACCTACAGAGGAAGCAGACCCTCTCCTCCGCAAAAGCGCCAGCGATGGCAGCAGTAGCATTGAGACTCGACGCGCTACTCAGCGTTCCCTGGGCTTCAAAAATGTCGTAATTTATGTCCTCATTTTCCTGAACCTTGTCCTGCTCACGAAACTGTGCTCGACGTATTCGCACCAACAACAGAACTACAGGATATTCGCGCTCGATGAGAAAGAACCGGACCGCGGACACGAGCACGGAGGAGAGGATGCAACATCAATCAGCTTCTGGCTAAAGATGGGCTTGATTGTGCTTCTAGTCATGATCGGTGGTATCTTTGCAGGTATGTTGTTGTTGTTGTTGTTGCTTATTTAGATCATGACACCAAAATGAGCAAAACGAGTCCACGCGCTTCACAAAAGCCTTATTTATCCTATGAGCGCACGACACTAGTTCATTCGCGGAGACATCTTTTGAGCTTTTCTCACGCTCCCTCTCTCATTTCTTTTGTACTGTTAGGACTGACAATTGGGTTAATGGGCCTTGACGAGACCAATTTACACGTACTCATGGCCTCGGGATCGCCTGAAGAGCAGGTTCATGCCGAAACCGTCTTTACGCTTCTGTCGCGTGGAAAGCACTGGGTGCTAGGTAATAACTCTAAACATCATAAGCAACTACGCTCACTATCTTCAAATTTTAACCAATCGCCGTTTTTTATGTGCTTCATCAATTAGTAACGTTACTACTGGGAAATGTCATCGTGAATGAGACGTTGCCCGTTGTACTGGACTCTGAACTTGGAGGAGGCGTCGTTGCTATTCTGATTTCGACCATGCTGATCGTCATCTTTGGAGAGTAAGTTTGTATTGCTTGATGACAGGGATGCCTGACTTCTGAAGAAAAAAAAAAGTCCTTAAGCTGTGGCTCCTGATAATCTCACCATGATAGAATTATTCCTCAGGCCGTGTGTGCTCGCTATGGACTCGCTATTGGGTCATACTGCGCTAAGCCCATGATCATCGTCATGTATATTATGTCTCCCATCGCTTACCCGATCGCCCTGCTTCTCGACGCATGGTTGGGCGTACATCATGGAACAACTTACAGGAGGACAGAACTCAAGACGCTCGTGTCCCTGCACCAGGTCGATGGCATCGGCGAGCTGACGGACGATGAAGTGACCATCATTGCTTCGGTACTGGATCTCAAGGGGAAATCTGTATCACAGATCATGACGCCCCTTGAGGATGTCTTCACATTGAGCGAGGATGCCATTCTGGACGAGGAACTCATGGAAGAGATCGTCTCTGCAGGCTACTCACGCATTCCAATCTATCGCCATGACGACCCCAGCAATTTCATCGGTATGCTACTTGTAAAGCGCCTAATCACCTACGATCCAGAGGACCATATCGCCGTCAGACACTTTACAATCAACTCGCTCCCGGAGGCCGCGCCCGATACCAGCTGTCTCGATATCTTGAATTTCTTCCAGGAAGGACGGTCTCACATGGCGATGGTGACCTCGGAGCCTGGTGGACTTGGTGTGCCCGTTGGTGTGATCACGCTCGAGGATGTGATTGAGGAGCTTTTGGGAGAGGAAATTGTGGACGAATCGGATGTGTATGTGGACGTCCATAACAAGATTAAGGTGATCCGGAAACCGGTCAGGACTAGCAATATGATCAAGAACCTGAAAACTCTTCTACGGTCGCCGGCGATCAGCAATGCTGCTACGCCGCTCCTGGGCCCCAGTGGAACGTTCGTGGCTAATACCCAGGGCGCGTCGGCAGCAGGTACTCCAAGATTAGGGGAGTGCCGAGTGCCTATGCCAGCTGAAAATCAGAGCTACTATATGGCCACAGGAAAGACAATTTTGCAGTCAAGGACGACGTCTTTTGTAGGCGCTGCCGGAGAGACTCGACCGTTGCTAGATGTCAATGCCGGCAGACATGAGTGCGAGTTCAGGACTGGATCATTTTCGAAGGGCGACCATTCGTCATCTATTGGACGGCATCATGAACCACAGCAGGAACAAGTCCGTCAAAGGCCACGCCCAATGGAGGAGGCATCCGGCGTGTATTTCAAGGAACAGCTGGGGCAGGGAGCCCGCAGTGCGGCTATGTCGCCATTACTGCCACTGGCAGAGGCTGCCCAGATTGAGTCGCCTGCCATTTCTGTTAGATCCACAGGTGCATCCTCTGAAACGACCACAGCGAATGCAACAACAGAACCAACAACACCAGCGTCGTCTGCAATGGGTACACCGTCGGTCAAGCGCGCGACTGTATACTCGGGGCTGGGATTAGACGGAATCGATACTAGTGCTGTGCCACCAAAGTTGGCGGACGGGGTGCCATCACCTGCACCGTCCACAGGGTCCTCTAAAAAGAAGAAGAAAAAGAAACGGTCGAACATGTAGTACCGTTTTTATTTATTTTTTGGACAGCCAAATTTACTCAAGGCATACATCCCTCACACCCAGACACTATACTCATGCACATAGCCATCTTCCACATCGCATACTACCCACCCTATAACCGCCGACCGCATCGCATTTCACATTATCATCATCATCCGAACTTTACGCGTTTTACACAACATATGGCGCGTTGCATCTGTTTTGCGTGCTGCAGCTAGATTATTCTATAGAAAACTTTTTTTGGATACTACGCCCCATTGCACGACAACGCAACGTCTTATAGACATCCAGGTGCTTTTCCGTAGGTTCCGTAATAAATTACAGAGTATACATAAAGTAAGTACAGATCGTATGTTGTACAACAGTGTTTTCGCAATAAGTGTGAACGGTTCGTATTTTTGAACAGTAAGGCTTTTCAATTCTGGTCTCAACGGTCTTTATACAGCTTGTTTGCTGTGCAATATAGAGCCGTACCAGCATAGGCATGACGCTTTACAGTGAGGATCGTTACCCGTTGATGCCCGACCTGGAGCTAAAAGAGCGCTGAGTTGTGTTCATTATAAAAGAGCATGCAATTCACAAGGCCGCTTTACCCTGCCCTTGTTTCCTGCTCCCTTCCAATACGCCTTCCTCCTCTTTTTTCATTGCCCATGTATGTTTTTATTTTTGTTATTCTTTCCCTTGATAGGTTTGGTTACTATAATATCTGCCACGAAAGGGTCCGCTAACTGCGGTATCGGAGGAGCTTACGACCTTACTGTCTACGCTGTCTTCAGCAGCTGCATTGGACAGCTTGTCGACAAACTCGGTGGCGAATCCAGAAGGCCAATCCGGCCCATCTTTTTTTAACAGCTGTAGAGCATCGTATCATGTGCAAACAGACGTTCTACAGAGGTTGTTCCGACTAGCAAGAAACTCTGGAAACTCCAAGACTTTGTCTCCACATAACTGCACAAGTCCTGAAGCACTCTGGTGTTATAAATGCATCGGTCGTTTACGCGGACGGGCGACTTTAGTATAAGGAGTTCCCAAAGAGGGATCGGAAGTGACGTCGCAGAGACGACTCGACGTTGTCTTTCGCCGCCAAACTGCATGAGGCTGAAGGGTCGCCCCAAATAAGAAGAACTACGGTGTCCTCGCAAGCACCGTTGAGCGCACGGATTTAGAACTCCATTGCCAGATACAAAACTTCATTAGAATTATACAACATCCCTTACACCTTGACTCTGTCCTAGAGTTTTCCCTCTATGTATTATCCTCTATAGTCTGTCTCTGTCTCATCGACCTTTCTTTCCATCGCAAGCTACACATTAGAATCCGAAGAACGCTGGCATACCACTCTGTAGAAAAAAAAAAAAAAAGAATGTTCCTGGTTGAAAGCATTTTTTTAGGAAGCGCGACTCGAAGAGCGTCTGCACACATACCGTACTGGCGATTCGAATGTTTCGCAAAGAATCAATTTCTCTATAATGTTAGCTGAAGGTTGCGGAACAAAATATCGATAGCTCTTGCTAAAACCAATATATCTGCGTTGACAAAAGTATGGCCAAGATACATTGGTCCAAAGACTAGTAGTTTTCGAGACCGAGTATGGCGGCTTGAAGACCATCTTGTAATTACCGATATGGAGCATTCAAATACATGGAAAATTATATTAAAAGTACTGGGCTGAGCAACGGGAAGGTCCTGGCGGAGTTGAAAGGTGAGGATAATGGCCTTGGTATTGAATGTAGAAGAAGGAAGAGTGAAATAGGGAATGATGAGGTGGCTCGTTCTGCGGAAGCAGAGGCGGTGTTTCTTATGCTGCATTCATCCGCTTAGAAATTGATCTGAGGAGCAAACGGAAGCTGCTGTGCTAGACTAGCATTTGAACCCACGATGAAGGCGTTTCCCTCTGGAATTATGATTTGCGCATATTTTTTTTTTGCTTGGAACTGGAAGGTGATTTACCAGGGTTGTTTTGAACAATTGGCACTCGATTTTTTTTTTATCCTCGAATTCTACATGTAGTCTTCATTGCTCATTTTCTAACAGTAATATAGGCTCTTTACTTGCAGTGCGAATAGTACCTTGTGGTCTAAATGATTTGTGGCTAGAAGCGTGTTTGTCAGAACGCTAGGAGTCTAGAGTCCATACATGAAAATATGAAAACTATTGAAGCGTGTCAGGACAAGTAAGAAAGACATGGGGAAGGTGTAACAGTAGCGATTGAGCGCCGAGCTACTTCTACATACGCTGGGTATTCGCTTGTGGCTAAGTGCTTTGTCCACTGCGCTGTGCCGCCGCCTTAAATGCCACTACGTCTGATCAACGATAGGAACTCTTCCCTCGTCTTGGCGTTATCTCTGAAGACTCCGAACATGGAGCTGGTAATCGTTTGGCTGCCTGGCTTTTGTACTCCTCGCATCACCATGCAGAAATGGCTACGTTCCATAATGCAAAGGGTTAAAGTACGCATGGTTAGCTAGCATTCATTAAAATTGATGCAACGCGATCTCTTAAGCCATTAGAACAGGTCCTGCATCCTTACCTAGCCTCCATAACAACAGCGACTCCTTGGGGGCTCAGCAACTCCTGCAATGCGATGGCGACCTGCTTGGTAAGACGCTCTTGAACTTGGAGGCGACGGCTGAACATCTCTGCCAAGCGGGCGATCTTGCTTAGTCCTACAACCTTGCCGTTCTCGGGAATGTAGCCAATGTGGATCTGTACACATAAGTCCACAGTAAAAGAATGTCAATAGAGGCAATACTAGCAGGCTTTCATTCGTCCACATCACTTTCTCCGACATGTTGCATCTCTGACCTTGCCCGTGAAGGGGACCATATGATGTTCGCACAGCGAGAAAACATCAATATTCTTGACAATCACCATCTCATCGTGATCTATAGAGTCAGAGATCTCCAGGCTAGTACCATTTCGTCTTAATATCAACTGTACGATCCAAAATCCGCCAGTCCCAGTGCCACGAAGTACCTTCTTGGAATAGAGCCTTGTTCATGAGATCTATCGGAGAAAGAAAAATAAAGAAGGGCGCCAGGTCAGCTGTGATTCACACTACCTCTACTTTTTTTCGAAGAGAACTGGGCTCTCCTTAAGATCCATTGAGGTCCTTACGGGTGACGCTCTCCTCATAGCCCTTGGAAAAGAACATGAGTGCCTTGGCATAACGCTCTGGGGTCTTGAGAAGTCCCTCGCGATCAGGATCCTCCCCAATGCATTCCAAAATTGTGCGGACGGCTCCGGAAATCTTGTTGATCCTAGCTGCACGCGACTCTTCAGTGTCCTCTCTGCGCTCACGGGCTCCGATACCTATATGAAAGGACCAACATTAACGGTCAGATATGTCGTTCCTAACGCAGTAAACGTAAGATAACATTAATGAACTTACTTGGGAAACTGAGACCGTCAAAATCGATTGGAGAAGGACCACGGGCATGAGGAGACTCTGCTTGCATGTAGCTGCGTCCAGGGGTGCGGGAGTGTCCTGTTAACGCATGGCTCACGATCGCTTGTGTGGCAACCTTGGGATGGACAAGTCTATTTGGATACCCAACAAAAAAAAAAACGTTGTATTAGGGTAGATGTTATTACGCCGTTGAGCCGTGGGAATACTAGTGTGAGATCAGTCAGCGAGCAGATCAGATGAGGTGGCATGATGCGCATTGGCTGATCCTGATCTGGACTAATTCCGATCCTATTCCTGATTTCATTCCTGACTCTAGTATGATCGTTACTCATTCCGCCCTCGGTATGATCTCCGCAATCATGAGCGATGAGCTTACTCCAGCTCCGCAAAGGACAGCGATGCGGGGTAAGTTTTTTTTTTTTTCTTTTTTTGCTTGCTTGAGTTCCTGCTGCTACAGTTACAGATCTTACTCAACTTGATCAGCTGCTGCCGCTGTAGGCTTCATGAGGTTGGCCATATCGAGAAGAAGGAAGGAAGGGAGCGAAGGATCAAGGCGATGAAGGGGGTGTCTTTTGTCGAGGGAGTAAAGGAGCAGAGGGAAGAAGAAAGAAAAAAATTGCGCCGTCCGTGTTAGCGAGCCAGTCATTGACGGAAGAAATTATAACTCTGCTGTTCCTTGTGGAGAAAAGGCTGTTCTCATTGGGCAGCGCCTAGTGCCACGCGGCAGACCAGTCTTACACACGATCGGAATCGTATACGCCAAACCCCTCCTGCCAGTGCATCGTTGCAGGGTTCCTCCCATACACCTGCCCAAGGCTACACTCATATTTAACCCATGCTACCGCACAAAAGACCCCTACTTGATTCATTTTAGCTATCTATCTGTCCTATGGCCCTATGCCGCAATCTCCACTGATGTCCATAATGTGGCATGCCCTCAGCACGCAGACCATCGAGTTTTGTTCAGTTGACAGTGAAGCTGTTGCTCAAACTCGACGAGGGGTGGGCGAGAGAATACCACACAACACAGGGATACTGGTCATAGGGTGGATAAATTCCGCCCAAACTCATTGGCCTGCTGTACATTTTAGCCAGGAGAGAGAATGGCAAGTCACCATTCTTGCCAGATGAACATGGCATATTGGCTACTGATAGACTGGAGCATCGTATTTTGCCACCAAAAAAAAAAAAAAAAAAAAAAAAAAACGCGTTGATGAATCTGAAACGCGCTAAGTGGCTGTGTAAGCTGCGGCTAGACAGAGACGCGTTGTGCTGATGGTGACCCCATCACAGCGGGAAAGCATGTTGTGTCCCAACAAAAGGGTGCAGTTTCCGTGGTGTGCAAATACCTATCGCTAGGAATGCATTGATACAGCTAACGGTATGCATGCATGCATAACCAAAGGCTTCGTGTTTGCTGCTCTGTGGCACATGCGAAGAACGGCTGGGTGTAAATGCCAAAAGAGCAATAAAAACGATCTAGGGCATCCCCAGCCAGAAATAACCAGCACACAAAGCAGGTGCAGCTGCACCTTATCTTTTTCTGTCATGACAATGGCACAAGGACAATATATTCTCCTACTGTTTACAGGCTGCTTTCCCGCTCTTTCTTCCCTATCACTCTCCACTTCACTCATTACTGCTCCCCTTCCATTGACACTCATCTGTTAGCACCCATCCGGCAGCTCCATCAGCCTCGTTTTGTCACTTGCGTCGATCATTCTCATTCTCATTCTCATCTCTCCGAAGCACACCTTTCCTTGAACACATACACCTCCTTCGACCTGACTGTATTCTCTCTCCTCTTTGTACTTGAAAACACCTATTCACACTACCTCCCCCGCTTCCACTTCACTCTTTTTTCCCATCCATGTCGTCAAAGAGGTCTTTCCAGCAGCGCGAGGAGGAGCCATGGCTGCGATATCCAGACCCGCAAAGCACCACCAGGGATTACAGCCGCTCCTCCGCGGCTTCCTTTTCTTCGGCATCGCCCAGGCATCAGTCCTCTAGCTCGTTCGAGCGCACTCGCCAGGACCGCCTCAACCGCTACAGCTTTCCATCCCATTCGACTCCGCAACTGCAGTCCTACCGACCAGAGACCTTCTCTATCTCAACAACCCCTTCCACTTCGAAACACAAGCGCTCCTTGTCCAAATCGAACGCGTCCCCAACCTCGACATATCATCATGGGGAGACCGACCCTACTTATCGCTTCCCCCAACCCGCCTACCGATCGTCTTTTTCTTCTAGGAAACATCCCCAGCCTCGTACCCTCTCCGAAGAACTATCCATGGCTCTGCAGCAAAGCCCCGAAGACAGTCTCCCCTCCCCAATTACCCCTTCACTCGTCCCCTCGAGTCCTGCGGACATGCCCTCGCTCTCATCCTCGTCCTCGTCTTCAACTCTCTCCTCAGGACACTTTCCACTCTTTAAGCCCTCTTTCTCGAGTCTGCAGAACCAAGGCTCAGGTGGACATCAAAAGCCAAGACCATCCCCTCTGTCTTTGCACACCAGCAACACACATGGCCAAGAGGTTGGATCAGGAGGAGTGCATCTAGAAGGAAGGGCGAGCCCCTCGTTTTCGGTCCGTCCTAGTAGTCCCACCTCCGCCCTCAGCGGCGACTCGACCACGGCTACAGACATTGCTGGCTCGCCACGTGCGGCATCTGCAACCGTAGCCGCAAACCTGGATGGGTCCTCGCCTCTACTGCCTCGATCCAGCCTGTATCAGAACAATTTCGGAACCATGTCCTCTGCAGCGTCCATCTCTGACTCCTCTTACTACTCGAACACCTCTTCACCCAGCACCTTGACTTCACCCTGTTCAGCGCTTTGCCATCATAGTCGTTCTCGCTCTCGCCATCACCACCCAGCTTGCCAACATCACACAGATCTGCAGCAGTCAGCACCAGAGTTAGAGTCAGAACCTATAGTGCAGCATGGACCCAAGCCCGGGCGCGCTACCAAGGGTGTTCATCGCTTTGGACTACCTCAGTTCCGCCCAGAGATCGATGACTCCCACTTTGGAACCGTCGCGATTATGAAGACGACTTCGACTTCGACGTCCGGTTCAGGATACGGTATTCAACGTGCCAGTCGGGATGATGATGATTATTTGGACGAACCTGGGACGTACGAACCACCGAAGAAGCGATTGCGATCAACCGCTTCGATGTTGCTGGATGCTGCGGTGGAAACGGTGATCTTTACAGGAGCTGTTGCGTTGTCGGCCTACCAATTGTTGACGGGCAAGGGCAGGCTGGGTCATTCCAAGCAGTCGTCAATGGCTTCAAACGATGCGGATAATGCAACTGCAACAGGAGAGACCTCCAAGGCACAAGAAGAAGACCCCATGGAAGAAAAACTGGCATTGGTAAGTCCCCTTTTTATCTTAAGATTCTGTACAGACCGAGGCTGTCATGGTTGTTGGTCACAGCGTACCACGCGTTGCAGGATCATGTCTGCTATTCTTGCAGCCTTGGCGATGAAGGAAAGCATGCAGGACGCAACGACTGAACATGCTCGGTCAATTTCAATTGTGGTCTGAGCACTTTGGAAGGCAGCATTTAAAGTCGCTCACTATTTTTATCCTTCCTCATCTCCGACTGTTGCAAATAGCAAATGGATACGTCCGCTGTAGCAACACCGCGCGCACAACGTCCTTATTCCTATGCGGGTACGACGGCAAGATCTACGCGCACCGGCGGATACCATAAGGCCAGGACACCGCGCGTATACAGATCGCGACAGTCCTACATGTCCTCAGGAAATCTGGGCCATTCACGTACGCTCTCGATGCCTGTACGGCCCAACACTGGCACTGAAGACACGGATGAAGCATTTTTGAGGATGGAGGCTCAATTGAACAGCCTCATCGCTGAAGGAAAGCGGGCATTGAACAGCAGGATCGAGGTCTGGGACGAGGAATAATACAACATGACATATATCACGGTTGACAGCCATTGCCATCAAATACTACTGTCCCCAAGGCCTGCAGCCACGACAGTAGACATATAGCCGTTTCAATAATACAAAAGTGATCCTATTTATTCTTGTGTGAACGACGAATGGTGCATTGGTGCGAAAGCAAAGATATCCGATACACATGAAGCTAGGCGATGTCTGAATAGTGCAAACGGACTCCAATTGATCACCTTCAAGAAAATATCACAGCGGGAGCGCCATTGCTATTGCTGATGTTGCTGGAGAATCCTGGACTGTATGGCTGTTTGTTGGGCATAGTATTGATATACGCGAAAAACCCGGTAGCCGACCAAGAAGAGCGCGAGAGCAATCAATAGCGGTAGTTTGCCGCTCCAGAAGTGTCGCTTTGGGGCTCCAATTTGGGAGCGAAAGACGCGCTGATCTGGTCTGGTCTGAGGTAGTGGGCCCCGCTGGGCACCTGATCTCGCCAGTCGCCGTGGTTGCTGCAGCATGAGACTCGGATGCCAAACGAAGTGAATGGGCGAAAGAACCTCAAAACTGTGCCGACGTCACTCTGTGTGTTTAATGTCAGCACGTTGCTCGTCGACTATTGCCCTCCTATCCTTAGTTGAACGCATTCACTTTTCGCGTCGCTTCATCCTAATTCACACACTTTTCAAGGCCGACGAGGAAGAGGACCCTTTCAGGAGAATAACAGCAAGCAGCAGCACCCTACAGCATATCGCCATGAAGTTTTCCGTATTATCCTTGTCCGCACTGCTGTCGACGCTCGTGTACAGCGCCTCAGCAGCATCGTCACCAGAGGCACCCGCAACCGTGTACTTTTACTCGCATGGACGCCCCTCGACCTCCGGTACCATCAACACTAATAACGGTAATAAGTTGCCTTCGCTGAGCTTGAAGGAGACCCGCGCAACACTCGCGCACCTTATGAACTTGGGCCAGCTCACCAAGGACGAGACATTCGTGGACATGCATGGACCGATTCAGCAGGTGTTCGACCAGCCCGGCATGGCGAGGAAGGATCTGTTCGAGACTATGGGAGGCAATCTCGTCATGGTTGTGGAGGGCGTCCATAGTCCTCAAGGTATCACGCACTTTGCGTTTGCTGACGCCGATTTTGTTTGTCCTTTAGTGCGGACTGGTGCTGGTGCTATTGCGTCAATTGGGAGAACTGACGGATTTATTGCATTTGGAACGTAGATCTGTTGCCTTCGTTCGACCCTGCGTTCACGGTCGACTCGAGCGAGGGTCTTCAAGATGTGATTACAGAGCTCGGCAACACTGTGCCTTCTCAGGATCGATATCTCTTCAACACTGTATGTTCTTTCTGAGTGCCGCCGTTTTTGCTCGATCGTTTGTTGCACATGATCAAGCGCACGCTGACCTTATGGTTCCTCTCCTTTTTTTTTCTTTCTTTTTTTTTTACGACGTATGATACTTGATAGCACAAGTCGTCCAAGTCAGGGGATGCATTGGTGAATGAGCACCTCGTTGCGGTGCACCATGCCGACGTCGACGTTTCTGTGTTTGATCTTAACAAGAGAGTACGTTTGAACAAGACACTTATCACAAGGTGCTTACGGACTGGGTTGTCTTTTTCTTATAACAATTCTAACATCGTACTTGGAACCATTTCATCGTTCTCTTTTACTTTCTAACCCTAGGCTGATGCATTGTTTCTGGAAGAGTCTGAATCATTGAGCAACTATTTTGAATCGTACAAGAAGACGCACAACAAGCATGATCAGGACTCGGATTTCGTCCGCATCACCCTCAAGGGTCTCGCTGCCCTCGCTGCCGAGCACGGTGTCGACTCTGTTCAGTACAAGGCCGCTCAGCAAATCTTGAAGGAGTTCTTGCAGCTGGTAATTTCAACAATCTTGATCATTGCGCAGGAATCAATCAAGGACACCTCTTTTTTATGTGTGGTAATAATGAACTTTTGTCCCTAACGCTTTTATAATGAATCTGTCTTTTTTTTTTTTTTTTTTTTTTTTTTAGATACTCATCCCGGAGTTTGAGCAGATCCACAAGACCTACACTACGACCTTCATCTTGGTCGCACCCACGACCAACCACCTCGGATCCGAACTCCACGAGGATTTCTCGTCAACATCGCCTTTCTCGCACAATCCCCTGAGGAAGCGTGCGCTCCCCTCGACGGGTAACTGCTTCGCGACCGAGGCCGACTGCCAGGCGAACACGAACGGATGCAATCAGCACGGTGCCTGTGTGTTGAGCACGGCCGCGAACTGCTACCATTGCAAGTGCGAAAAGATCGACAACACTCAGTACGGAGGCAACACCTGTGATAAGATCGATATCTCGATTCAGTTCCATTTGTTCTTCTGGCTGGGATTGGGATTGATCTTGGCGGTCGTCCTTGCTGTGGGATTGATCCTCCAGATGGGTAATCAGTCCCAAGGAGGCGTGCCCGTTGGACCGACAAGGGCAGAGTTGAAGAGGGATTAAAGGGCCAAATGATGGAGGAATGGAGAATAGAAAAGGGATTTTGGAACTCTTTTTGGGTTTATGATGAGGAACGTCGCTGAAAGCTGCGAGCAAAGGCAGCCTTGACAAAATAAAAAGCAATGCAAAACGAACTTTTTCCTTTTTTTTCAAATAGTTAGCGACTTTTACTTGGTGTGCTAGCATGATTTAATTAAAGGCTGCAGTCTGATTTTAACCCAGAATCAGCACAGCGCAGAACAAATTCAGCATAGGCAGCACCATTTCACCTGCATAGTACAATACGATGCCAATACCGCCGCTGTATAGCCCTGCATGGGATCTCCCATGCGATGCTATTACCCGGAGGTCGTATTTTTTTATTTCCATTTTTGTGAGTGAACATCTCCACTCTAGTTATTTATCCTGCGAGATGAAGGAACTCAAACGTCTAACTAGTAACGTACGGCAGAACAGGTTGTCCGAAGAAGTTAGCTCGCTTAAGCGTAAGAATGCCTCCAGCGCTGCTGATTACAGGCGCTCCAAACCCAGCATGAGTCGCTAGTATTGTACTATGCAGGTGAAATGGTGCTGCTTATGTTGAATTTGTTGTGCTGCGTGTGCTGAATTTGTGCTGCATTGCGCTGAAGCAGCATGCCAGCACGAGTCTAAATTCGAAGCCTTGCACTCGTGTCAACTTTGAGCGCATTTTTTTTCATTTTAGGCAATGCAATGATATGAATTCGTTTTCTATTGTTCATGAAATGTGGGTTAATCTAAATTACATGGAAGGCGGCGGGACATATTCGCTGCTGCTTTGGGCGTTACTAGTTTCAGGAATGGCCTGTGGAGCTCTAGCTCCAGGCGAAGGACTTGGGTATGCCTGATAGGTCGCAGTGGTCCACACTGGCGACTGGTATTGTTGTACTGGTGTTTGGAATGGGTTCGATTGCGATGGAGCTTGGTACTCCGTCGCTTTGGCAGACATGGCCATCGTCGCGGTCATGAATGGGCTCGGACTTAAGGTCACCGAGGATGATACTGAGGGTGCGGAAAGATGTGGAGGCGGACGGTGGTAATCCTCAGGCGACATAAACGGGTTTCCCTCCGGTTGTTGGTGCAGGTATACCACGGCAGGTGATTGGATCTGGGGGGTGTGAGAGACTCCCGCGTATAGCACAGCAGGAGATTGCATCTGGGGCGTGTTAGGGACTCCTGTGTACAGCATAGCAGGCGATAGATGCGAATATGCCCCAGGTGACTTTTCCATTCCGCCAGCGGACATGGAGGGCGAGTGGTAGTACTGCAGATTGGGGTCACCCACGATGCCTGCGCCAGACATGCCATCGTGGTATCCGTGTACAGGGCCCACGCCGTCGTAGCTCCCGTTCTGGTAGTGGCCGTTCATATCCATCTTGTTCATCTGGTACTCGTTACCGTAGCCTTCATAGCCGCTCGCGTTTCCGTATGTCATCTGCGGACTCTGTGCCAGCACTTTGATGTTGCTATCATGATCCTCTGAAATCGCAGCTGCGGCCATCGCGTCTGCCTGATACGCGGCTTCCTCCTCGTGTTTCTGGCGCTGACGCTTCTTCATGACAAACACACCGACGCCGCCAGCGATAACAAGCACTGCAAAAAGACCTCCAATAATCGCGCCCGTGTTGTTATGTCTGAGCTTCTCATCCGCATTATAGTTGTCGGTCCATTTGTCGTCGTTGAGGTTATAGACAATCGGGAGGTTGTTGAGCATGGTATTGCGGTTTCCACCACTGGATCCGCCCCAGGCGATGAACTGGTACGAGTGGACCGCACAGGCCATGCGCGTTCGGGCCACGGGTGCTTCTTGTCCTTGTTTCCATTTCCCACTGCTGACATCGAGGATATAAATGGTATTGAAGTACATGTTGCCATCTTCCGTGCCTCCGAACAGAACTACCTTTGAGCCGTCCTCAGCTAGTTTTTTTTTTTTTTTGAAAAAAAAAGAAAAAAAAAAAGATAAGCAATTGTATCTCGTTAACAAATGGGCGGGGTAGGTTGATACGGTTAATAGTTCGCTTACAAGCAGCCATGCAGTGATCCAGACGTGCCGGCGGTACATCGCCTTTAGTGCTCTAATAATAAAACAGGGTTAATATCCTTATAAATCTATAAAACAAACCACAGACTCAAAAAAAGCTACGGTGGTCTCTCATTCATCTAAACAATCAAACAAACAAACAAAGACCAGGTCCACACTCACCCACACACACTCTCTCTCACACACACCACACACACACACACACACACACACTCACAGACATACCCCCCAAACCATCTCCGCGCACAAAAGAAAAAAAGCCCATTGTAGTTTCAATTGTCTTCCTTACCATTGTCTTCCAGGTCTTTGACGAAGGGACATACTCGCTCAGATCCCCAGATCCCAGTCCATTCGTGTTCGCCGGTGGGGCCCTTGTTCCTCCAAAGGTCAATACCGAATTCCTCGCGCTCGCCCACACTGCAGCCACATCCGTCAGGCTCGTGGCCGCCGTCGCCGAGCTCTGTGAAGCCATGCTCTTAGCCTTGGGATCATACACTGACAGCTGATTGTATGTGTTATTAGCCCCATACCCTCCGATCATATAGACCAGCCCCGTATTCGGATCCGAGACCGCCGCATGTCCCTCCAAATAGGTGTAGGGGGCCTTGACCCCCGTCATATTCTGCCATTGCCCAGAGTTGATATCGAACGAACTAAAGAACACGGGTGTGCTCATGCCTCCGATTGCCAGCAATGATCCCTTGGTGCCACCATTGGAGGCTGCACTGATGGGGGCTAATGCCAGATGAGTTGTGGACTGTCCGTCCTTGAGTTGTGTCCAGGATGGAGATGTGGTCGACCAGGAAGTGGACAGATCGAGGGAGATGAATTGGTTGGAGGCGTCGGTGTCAAAACCGCCCTGGATATAGAGAGCGTCGTTGATCATGGCGAATCCCATGCGGCGGGAGCCCACGGGGGCGAATTGGGCATGTGCGAGGGGTGTGAAGGTTACGGTGGCGATGAGGGCGAGGGAGCTGGAGAGGAGGAAGAGTTGTTTCCGGCTCCTGTGGGCCATTGTGCCGGATGTGTTCATTAGAAGGCGATTGATGATGGGGAATCGAGGACAAGAAGGCGAGAGAGGAGAGGAGAGGGAGGGGAGAGAAGGGCTGCAGCAGTTGTGAGGAGTCGTTAGATGGAGGGGCGTGAAAGGAAATGAAAGGAAATGAAAGGAAATGGAGGATGAAAAGAATGAAAGGGGGAAGAGAGGGAGAGGCGGAGAGCCGGGGAGAAGAGAGAGTGAAGCGAGCAAGTAGGGATAGAAAGAAGGAGGGTGCGCGTGCTATTCTCGGTAAAACTTCAGGAATGGGGGGCAGAGGAATTCGTGATAGAGAGCACTTTAATTAACTGAAAAACGCGAACGGTTCAGTCTGCTCTCTCGCACACACACTCTTGAACGAAAATAAGCGATCAGACCGAGGGAAGGGAAGAATGGAGGACAGAAAGCGATGAGCGATGACTGATGAGGATGGTGGGGGGGGAGGGGGAGAAAAGGAATGGAGGAGGCACAAAGAGAGATGAGCTGTGTGGGCGAGTATTGGGCGCACCATTGGGCTGTACAGTGGCAGAGCAGCACAGGGGAATCCCGTTTGAAGCCAATGTGGTACACCACTGTTTTTTTCTTTAGGCGCCATTCGTCAACACCGCACACAGCGTCCAACCTACCTAACGCAGCGTCTTTTTTTTTTTAATTAAAGAGCGGAGGCACAAAAAAAAGGTGAGAGCAATCTCATCCGCCTACTTCTCCCCACTCGGGGTTGTTTGTTCAGCGCCCGGCCTGCTTGCGTTGCCCGTTGTCGTTTTGTTCCCCTCATTCTGCATGAGTATGATGATGCATGTCGTACATTTGCGTAGAAAATAAAACGGCATGTACAATGGCCCGAGAATAACACTGCAGATCTCGAGGGATTGACCTTCTTGCGGGTCTTCAATCTTGCCATTCTTTCTCTTCCTGATCTACTAATAAATCATGGGCAAATTCTTCTGTAGTAAGGCAACAAATCTAATCTTCTCTGCTAAATCGAAAGACGAGCGAGTGAAAATTGAGTCGTACAACAGACTACGACCACGCCGCCCATGGTCCAACTGTTCTGTAGTAGCCTCATCTTCGGCCGAGAAGAAAACAACAAGCATCCCCACCCATGGTCTCATTCTGCACAACACACTCTAGAGTCCAAATAAATTGGAGCTAAATTATCTCCGTTCTTCGCCTTGCTCCTCTTTGTTCTTCCGGTCGGTTTTGAAGACGAGTGCCTGAGGCGAAAATGCGGCGCGCCCTCAAACCGTGCATGCAAGGTAAACTCCCTTCCCATTGTTCCCCATCCACCTCTAATATTTCGCATGATAGTTTACACCACATACATTGCATCGATGGTGTCTTATTGTCTCGAAATGCCAGCCTCGCTCATTGTGCATCAAACGGAAGGCGCCACATACTTCATGCAAGGTCGGCTAGAGACCCGCGGACAACATGAACATGTAGCAATAATAGCTAAAATGTAGGAACCTTCGTCCTCATCTTTACCTACAGCCATTTGCAACAACAGATACACTCCAGTTCACACACACTCTCCTGGGTACCTTCGCTCTTTCGCCTCATGCTCTCTACCAATGTATATCCTGGATTTCTTCTCTATATGTCTGGCTCCCATAAATGTTTGAATCTCTCAACCGCTGTTGTCTTGTTGTATGTACTCTGACATCCTGTGGCCAAAAATATCCATGCATCGGTCAAACGGCTCGGTGCTCACCAAAATTCTTATACTTTCTCAAAGCGCGTTGTACCGGACCAGACCACTGAATTCTTCCCCCTTACTCTATTTTACTACATGTACAACTTGCACCAGTCTGCCATAACAACAGGTTCCACGAAGGCCCCCCCCCCCCCCCCCCCCCCCCTTTCCTTCCCCCATATGAGTCGCATTGCCTTTGTCATCTTTTTGTTGTGCAAGGAGACGGATCAAGGCTCATCTTGAGCACTTTTTTTTTTTTTTTTTTTTTTTCATTCGATATTTTCTTTGTCATTATCCCGATGCAACCTACGACAGATCCTTTGGACATCGCACAAGATCTGGGGGGGGGGGGGGGGGTGTGGAGTAGGCATATTGTAAGCAGGCAGATGGTATTACTCACAGCGACTCTTTTTTGCTCTGGCTATAGAACGCGTCCATTCGTTTTGGGTACCTAGTTTCTGAGGACACATCGTCGAAAAAGATCGCGATCGGGATAGAATGGATTTGCCTCGACGCTCACTGTTCTTGCTCGCCCTGACTTGCACTAGTTCCTTTCGTTATTCTATCCCATCCTTCCTAACTCAACCCTCTGGAGCATTTAATGAAGCGCTCAATTTGAGGAGATAGGGAACAATAGATCGGTTGAAGCCATGTTTCGTTGCAAAGATCATCGTCCACCTTGTCCTTTGGATACCATTGCGGGGACAATGCCGATTCACTTTTGTGTTTTTTTCTTTCTTACTTATACACGCGGATTAAACAAATAAAAGAGAAAAAGCATACATCTCTCTTATTTCAATGCTTAAGACCTTGAAGGTCGGCATGTTGTGCTGGTAGGCTCGTCACTAGGCCAATTATTTCGACAACTTGTGGCTGGAGGTTTCGAGGCCAACTCATCGCACGTATATTTTCAAGGACCAATTAAAATACAGCGCCAGCATAGGCCCCAAAGAGGAGGATAAAGACGCCTGATCCAGCAGTTCGCTCTAAGTGAAGTACCTTAGAACGTTGCAAACCAGCAACGTACACTAATTGAAGCTGGTAAAGGAGATTTTTCCGCATCTTTCTATGTATGGCATGCTAGACAATGGTAAAAATAAAGATGCGCATTGTCCAAAATGATATTTTAACGACGCGTCTCTTGGTTACCTATCCTTGGAATGAAAATTATTTTCGCACTTTTTGCGAACAGAGACAAACGAGTGCTAGAACTTCGTTTTTTTTTTTGCTTCGTTCCGCTAACAGAGAATTTAAGTATGTATCTGAGGATTCTAATGAAGTTCTTTTTACCAGAATCGGATCATGAGTTGTGGAAAAAACGCAATTGAAAGACGCTGCGGTCTTATATAAAACATAGACATAGTCATCGACAGCCATTGACAGCTCTTATCTCTCGCGCTATTATAATAGTATATATCTGTTTTATTAATATTCTTGTCGTCTTCGTTTGCAGAAATGGTATTTTCTTAAAGGTAGTTCCTCAGCATACCCAATTAGCTTGTGTAGTCTATCTAAAAATGCTTCATCACAGTGTGATGCTCTAACGTATTTTTCGAGTGCCTCTACAGCAGCTAAAGCAGACACATCTAGAGTATCTTGCTGCCACTTCTCCTCTTGCTCCTTCATAGCCACCACTGCGTGCGCTTGATCCAGTAGAGGATCATCATACTGTCACGGATAGTACCATGGTGTGTGGTAAAAAATATCAACTGAGAGCGCAGCCGAATTGCCTCATGTTGATTTGTGACTTGGCCGAGGCGCTCTCTCTTTTGCACGCGTCGTTCAGATACGCGTAGAATCTCTGCCTGGTACTTTGCCTCAGTATTTGTCCCAGCCCGCCGTAGGCCTCAGCCTATTGGAACCCAGTATACGTTTAGCCGAATATTCTTTATTGCTATTGCCATTGTCATGCCCGCTGCATTATCTTGAACCCCCCTAGATCATTGGCGTATTCCTAGCCCATGTATATCGCGCCCTGTATCAGTAATCCAAGCACCCTTGTCCAGGACCCTAGAACACATAAATAAAATTATAAAACCCATAGCATGGAACCTCAGTCTGCAATACAATTCTTACCTACCTTGTCCATCTGTCTGCCTTCTGTCTTCCTTTCATCATACAGCCCTTCACCCTCCCTGAGTCTATCCTTGAAAGCATCTCCTTCGCATGTATTTTTAAGGCTCTCGGAGAGTTCTCGAAATCGGCTCCATGCGTCATTGTATTCCGCTTTGGCCTGGATTGCCTCGGGTTCAGGACCGTCAGGATCGTCCGCACCGTGATCGTCCGTGATCGAGAGGTTCCCAAACTGCAGCAGGTCAATGCTTGCATCTTCATCCGCGATTATGAGGTCTCTCAACTGTAAGGGATCAATGCTTGCAATATCATCGTCAGTGATATCGTCAGCTCCGCACGGTATGAATATCGGTAACGCGCTCCATTCTCAATCATAAAGCAAACAGAAAGACGCATTGAAAGGTCAGTCAATGATACCTTCATGGTGAAACCGACTGTGGTACATTAATTGTCATACGTGTCCCATTGATTGACAATACTTACAAGCTTCGCTATGCTTAAGTTGCCGGTGGTAGTGTTGAAGTTTACAGAAGCACGCAATCGATACGCATGCAAGTATCAATGTCCTAGTCAAGATTAAAGCGGTCCGTTAGCATGCCAACTTAACACAGTCAAGTCACTTAGTTATTATTATCGACAGTCAACATATTATTCCCTAGCACTTTAAGCACCTTGCCCAGCGACTAAAGATTATGAGTGCGCGGGATCCACGCGATGGTGCCGAAGATGGGACGTGAATGGAGCGGAAGGGATGGTCTGTAAAAAGGTCGAAAAGCGCGTTTATTTTGCGAATCGTCCCCGCCGTTGCCACCACTCCCACGCAACCCCCACGCCTTTGTCCTCATTACAAGCCTTCTCAACATCACACGCCCCTCGTCATCACACCTCTATTCCATCACCGTTGCCGCCTCTCCCACATCCTCGCCTTCACTCGCAAACCCATGTCATCACACCTTTTCCTTCATCAATCACTATTGCCACCCCAGCCCATTGAGAACATCTCTTCGCCGCCCTCGGCATCCTCCGCTGTCACGACCTTTTCGCCATTTCAGCATCCCCACCGTTTGCCTCCATTCCCACGCCTGTGTTCATCCCTGTCTTGTTATTCCTCTCTCTGTCATTGTTCTCTCTCTCTGCCCTTTCCTCCCTCGTTATTTCTGCCCCCTCTTACTCGACATCTTAAGGCTTTATTTGATCATGATAAGTATAATGGTGTGTATCGCCGACCTCGCCGCACTGGACTTTGAGTGGTTTGCCCTTTGTAAAGCACCGTTTTTTCTCTTGAAACCACCCTAAGCAAATGCAGAGGTGTGATGCGCAATGTTCTTTCGACATTGTGCTATCTCTGTGGCCAATCTTGTTTGCCAAGATGGTCTTGCACAATAACTGCGCCCGGGGCTCACTCCGGTAGTTAAAGGTATAGTATGTGGTGGTGTGCCGTCCGGCGCTCATGTGTGGCAGCCCTTGGTTGTGACATGGCCGGGCACACCACACCACCTTGTTAGTGTCCAAGGTGGCCCCTTGTACAGGTTCTCCTCGCGCTCCCATGTTTTTGTTAACGACTGATAAAAATAACAGAAACAGAAACAGACAGTGGATAATGCGATTTTTTTTTTCTTTGAGTAGACCTTTACTCCTACGCCTCCACTTTTGCATTTATTGGCAAGGCTGACGGAAGTGGAACTACCGAACGCCGTTGCAAAAGATCCAAGTACCCATTTTTTCCGCTCGCATCCGCCCAAGGAATGGCTGCCCGAACCCTATCTTGAAGACGGGGAATCAGACCTCCAATCGTTCTTTGATGCGTTGAGTGTCCTCAAGGTTTCTCGCGATCCTTTTAATGCCCAGATTCGATCGTTGTACTGTTACTGTATCTTGGTTTTGAAGATGCTTAAGGATCAATGAGATGCCTACTGAAAAAAAAAAAAATCACTACAGATCTTATGGAAGCAGGGGGCCATCAACAAGAACAATAGGTCTCTTGTCACAGCCTCATTGTCATGTACCTTTTCGATGAATCCGTGTTTTCTGCATTGTTGGCTATAAAACGTTGAGATGGAGAGATAAAGCTGCGGAGACGAGGGGGGGAGGTGAGAGGGGAGGGGGAATAACAGGAGTGCAAACCGAGATAACAGTAGGACATGGAGAAGAAAGAATGATGGAAGACGGGAAATAGCCTCATTCATTTTTTCTGATTTAACAGCGGAGTAAAGCCGTTAAAGGGGTCAAAAGCGAAAACAAACAGCTTCGCCCAATTTTGTGAGCAGGTAGAAATGTATACAAATATGTCGCATTTGGCACTTACAAATCAATCGATTAATATGGAATCACTGGGACTTCGTGGAGATGAGGCCCGGCTTAGTCCTGGGGCGGGGGTACCGGAAATAATGATCCATGGATTTTCTGTAATGGCTAGTGCTGGCTTTGGTGCTGGTTTGTCCGAGATCAATTGCGAGCGCACATATGATATTATTTACCTCCTCAAAGAATAACGGGAGTTCTGTTGTTCTTGCCCCATGTTTTTTCTGGTTTCTTGTAAAATCCTGTTGGGGTGCTTCGTCACCCCATGCGGGATATAGACCTTCATCACTATTCCATCAGGCGTACTCGCGTTAGGTCTAAAGATAGAAGTCTGATTGTGGATTCCACAAGGAGGTGCGTAGTGTGAACGAACGGTGCTTTCTCAAGTGGCGAAAGTGGGCAGCAGAGGTTTCGGCATTTCAGTGATCCTGTGGAGACGTAGGGCAGAGCCCTTAGCTAGATTTATCCACTTCCTTCTGCTATTTGGCCTGGCACTGGTGGTAGTGGCCACGGTGTTGGTGATTGTTGCAAGGGCGATGGCAGGGATACTTTGGGAGGTTCGAGGCACACCGTAGAGAGAAAGTGTCATCTGTTACTCCATGATGTGCGCCAATCGATGTGCATAGGTATGGGCCGTCGGGACGAGTGCATGCTAGATGTGGGTTGTGGAGATAAATCACGCTGCGCTCCGTGTGGCATGGTCCATTGTGCGAGTAGAACGAGCTTTTCACATGGCAAGCATGCGGCCTCTGATTGCTTTTACCGCGCCAGTTGAATGGTATGAGTTGCAGTCGGATGGTCGCCACACACTATATACACATGCCATGGACAAAACATGGAAATTTTGCTCTAGTCTTCGGTGACCATACGACCGTTCATACCTCTGAATTTGTCCTATTATTCTGAAGATTATCATTGTTAAGTGAATAAACAAGGGAAGCGTTGTAAAACGCGTTTTCTTTATTTTTCGAGTTTTGTTCGCGTAAAAGCATGTAGACAGACATCCATTAGTGGACGTTTTCGCAGACCGATAGCGATGGGGATCGGTCCTGGTTTATTGTTCACTATCGGGAATGATCCATGCGATACGACTCGGATAACAGCCAAGGTGCCCGTGAACATTGATATGACGGCAGTGTTAATCGCAGTTATTTTGTTATCCTGGCTATTGCTGCCTTGCTACCTTGTACCTGGGGCTTGCCACTGTTGTCCTCCTTTCTATATTATTGCTGCCGCTCCTGCATTGTACCTGTTTTGGTGCGCACGGAATTGTATGTATGAATTGCCGAGCATTTGTTTGCGGTGGCCAATGGTACCCGTTCTCTGTCGCCGACATTTCGCTCGTCAAAATGTCTTCTAATTCATCGCTTGTTGCTAGGCGGTCGTGTTGTCGGAATAAAAGGAATTAAAGAAAAAAGAGAGGAGGAATGACTTAAAATGTGAGATTTAATCAGGGTGGTGCAGACTTCGATGGAATCGTCTTAAGAATAACATGTTTATTGAGAACACCAGCTTATTATATACATGACCAACCTTTTGGTGCTTTCCTCCCATGTTCTTAGGATGGGACTTGATGGATGGCTCGTGGAGAGCCCAGCCCAATGACTTGGGGCTCCATGGTCTGGGCAGGACGGACAACAGCCGACTCGACACTCAGATGGCTCCTATGCGAATTGTCCGAAGGAAGGATGTCGCTGCTCAAGTGAGAGGAACGCAGAATTTGTCCCTCTTCCATGACTAGAGCTGTATATGTCTAATACATCTAGGCTGGGACTCTTTCCTCACGCCGCACAGTGCTTATGAGGTCCCATCACGTGGAGTCCATTGATCATTGTGTGCTGCGTCTCTCCAGCTCCTTCAGCTCCATTGCCCGCGAACAAAAGTCCTCTTCCCCAGTTCTCTCATTCCAACCGCGCTCCTTTCTCCTCTCCCCTCTCTCTGTCTCTCTCTCTGTCGCTCTCTCTCTCTTTCTTCGTCATCCACATACAAATAATTTACAATGAGTTCCCGTACGACCACTGTTCGACCAACTCGAACAACCACGAAATCCTCACAGGACAATGCCACCTCTTCGTCCCAAGAAACTACCCCACCGCCATCACAAGATCGCTGTGCCCATTGCAAAAAGTTTCTCCCCGCTGTCAAAGCCGAATGCAAATACTGCCGACTCGTCTTTTGCATGGAGCACCGGTAAATACCTGAGGCGATCATTATCTATCCGCCCGGTGACTCTGTTTTCTGGTTTTTTTTCTTCTTCTAGACGTGCCTCAATTGCTCGCCCTACGCTTACCTCGAATCTCGAGCATATTCGCTCCTCCCTTTCTTTCGCATATTCTTTAGACATCCTGAAACCCACTCTCCACAAGGATGCGCCAAAAAGGCTCGGGAACAGACCCGCCAGCAATACCAACGCGACTCTGGACACATCCTCGGCTCCGAATCCCACGATCGCGGTTCCACACACCGTCTAGGCTGGAATCTGGAGCAATCGAGACAAGGTCTCCATCAGCGACTCAATCAACGTGTCCAATCGCTTAAAGAATCCTCCGGTAGAGCTTCGTCTTCTTCTTCATCACCAGGGTCAGCATCACCAGGGCCAGCATCAGGATCAGGATCAGGGACAGGAGGAGGCACAAAGAAAGGGAAAAAATCACCCAACAAACCAAAGACATGGGGGTCTGGAGGAAGCCGGTTAGGTGGCGTGCCTGGATCTGGTGCATCTGGAGGAGGAGGTAATAATGGCGATAATGGTCCAGGATCGGCATCATAAAGACAAGCATTTTGTGCAGGTCAAGCTTGATCAGAGCGAATAGCTGATTTGTACTTTATTATTTTGTTGTTGTTGTTACTGCTGTTGCTGTTGCTGTTGGGTGCCTTAGGACAAGATTGTACAAGAATAAAAAAGAAATGAACAGAGATATTATGAAAACAAGTTCCCTAAGAGTTGTAAATGCGTAGATTGTAAAAAAAAGCAAGAAATACATATGCACCGACTTGATTCGTCATGGTCGGAATAATTGTTGCTTGAGAAACAATGGACCCGAGTGGGTTGTATTTTTTTGATCCGCCACCAAATTGTGTACATGATACTTTTCGTCCGACGATCGACATCGATCAAAAACGGTGACGATTAAGATCGATGGCGGACAGGGATCGGCGCTGAATGGAATCTTCGATCGTCCAACGAAGGCGAAGCATGGTGTCCACTACCACTATGGGGAGACTGATGATGATGGGAATAGTTATGAGATCCCTGCGGCGACGAATGAGATTGGTAGTAGGACGAGGAGGAAGGCGACGACGAATAGTGATGATGCCCCGATTGCGGAGAGTGCTGCGACGAGGTCGATGACGAATGACGATGCGCAGATTGGTGCTGTTGCATCGGCGAACTGTTTGGATACGACTGAGAAACCGGTCCTGGGCTTCCCATGGACGATGCCGAATTCGAGAGCGACCCCGATTGAGACTGCTGGTGGTGGTGTGGATGGTATGCCGGTCCTTCGCTATAGCCGCGACTGTGTTCGTATCCATGATGTCCGTTCGCGGGAGATGAGCTTGATAGGGGCGATCGGCTATAGTCCTGCGAGTGCTGTTGGCGGTGGTTAGAGGAGCGATGAGAAGAGTGTGTCGGGGGAGCAGTGCTACCGCTGCTGTGGTGCGCAAATGACATCGACGGCTGCTGGTGATGGGACGGAAGCGAAGGTAGCGACGACGACATGGTCACATCCATGGGCTCGGATTCCGGGCTCAGGCTATCTGTGCGACCATTGCTGCTGTGCCCATTGCTGTGCCCATTGCTGTGTCCGCTGCTGTGTCCGTTCGAGCCCTGAGGTTCCCATCGCAGGGGCCTTGACTGGGAGGGATGGTGGAAGTGAGAGGGCAATGACGATGACATCTCGTGGTGACCATGATCCGAGTGGTGTTGCTGGTGCCCAGAGCCTCCCTGCGGATAGTGGTGGTATCCATTGCTGCCATGATCACCGCTGTGGCTGTGGTGGTGCATGTGGCGAGGGAGACTGCCACCCTCGCCCTGGTATGAAGACGAATGGCCGAAGGATGGCGAGGGACGGTGGAAAGAGCTGGGCGAGCTGCTCCCAAAGTACTTTGAAGATGCAGGGCCGATCGAGCGGGATCCATGGGGCGATGTGCCGTAGCGATCCTGGAATCCGTTGCTGTAAGGGTGGCCATTGGGGCTGGGCGAAGGTGGTGAAGAGTTGGAGACAGAGTGTGACTGCGACCTCTGCAAGTATGGGCGGTTGGGGGCAATGGCAACCTTGGAGCTGTAACTGAGTGAATCCAGCACTCCAGCAGCAGCAAGTTGCTCTCTGTTCTCGCTATTAATGCAGCAGATGACAACGGAAGGACAGGAAGATGAGTACCATACTCAGGGATGTACACTATCCATTATCATAATTAACAAAATCCTAGATGTGTACCTGATAAAGCTCTTGATGTCGGGCTCATGGCCCTTTTGGTGACGGGTCAGGGTCGTACGACGGGTAAAGGTCTTGCCACACCCAGGATGTTCACAAACGTACGGGCGCTTTCCTGTGTGTGTCCTGCGGTGACGAGCAAGCGAAGAGGACTAATAAGGATCAAGGGATCAAGGGACCAAAGGCATTAGCCATCGCCGTTAATGTATACATATAACTCCTTGTAGGAAAACGGGCTCAACCAGTGCACACGCATCGAATGACGCTTGTTCACATGAATCTCCCGTTTTATCGTGTTGTTGCGCTGTTGCGTTGCGCACAAGCACCAAGAAATTCAGGGGCTTGTGACTCCTTGACCATCTTTCCTGCCATGTTCTTGTGTGCTGCTTCCTGTTACCAAAATGTCCATCCGTGGTTCCATCGTGTCCATATTGCATCTTGTACTTTGTGTGTGCATGGGTGGTTTTGGTCCCATCGTTCTTGTAATTGCATGTCAGGGACTTGACTTACATCACTGAAGGATTTCTGACAGGATTCGTATTCGCAAACATGGGGCCTTTCTCCGGTGTGGGTGCGATAATGAACGGTCAGGGCTGAACGTTGAATGAATTGCTTCCCGCAGCCAGCCCAATCACATTGGTACGGCCTAGGGGTAGCAGAACAACACAGCAAAAACAGAGATATAGAGTGTTCGTTAATATCACGGCGCCATCAATAGCACAAAAAAAGGGACTTGGCCAGACCATGCTGCTCCATAAGACTGCATCCAGCCCCCTTATAATCCTCAGAAGCATGACCCGGAAAAGGAAATGCGGTGCTGCATCAATGGGGGGTTTGCTCAGCAGTGCATAGGGACAAAAAACTTGATCACACACCATCCTTTTTCCTCACACTCGTTCTATCTTGCTTTTCCTCACACCCCCCGTTCCTTCTCTCGCAATTAAGACACATTGATGAGGAGGGAAGAAAGACTAAGGTAAGCGAGACCGGCTGTTGATCCTAGCCCAGTGAGTGATCAAATGACTCTACCCTGTTCTGTTCAGTCCTGCTCAATTCTATGCAGTCCTTCCAACTCAATTCAATCCATTACCTTTCGCCAGTGTGGATGCGCCGATGTCTTGCCAAATCAGATCGCCGAGAAAACGACTTTCTGCAATGCTCCCAGGCACACTCATATGGTCGCTCGAGGGACTCCATTGAGACTGTACCTTCGGCCTCAGAGGAGCTGCCATTCTCGTTCTCGTCCTCGCCCTCGCCATTATCCTCGAGGTCGATATCAAGGTCGATATCAACATCGTCATCGTTGTTGCTGTTGTTGTTGCTGCTGCTGTTGCTGCTGCTGTTATCGTGCTGGGCTTGTCTGCGCATGTCCTCCTCCTGTTCTTGTAGTTGCTGCTGCTTGAGTTTCTTCTGGGCCTCAGAGCCCGAGTTCAGCATGCTTCGAATATCCATTTGATCGAACGTAAGCACACGGACGATAAAAATAAAAAATAAAAAAAATAAAAAAATAAAATGAGAGGGAAAGAGAGAGGTGGAGAGGTGGCGAAAAAGGAGTCAGTGTTCAAAAAGGACAAAAACAAAAAAGAGGGTGCACGGGACAAGTTGGATGGGACTAGTGCCGAGTGATTCGAGGGTAAGAATGAGACCGTTTACGGGATGAGCAACAAAGGGGGGAGGAGGGATTGGCTGTAAGCAGAACAAAGATGTGAGCTGTGAACTGCTTCTTTTTTCTTTTTTTTTCTGCCTTTGATGGCAAGATGTGAATGTGAGTGTGTAGATGAATGAAGAAAGAGAAGAGGAGGAAGGAGGTCTCGGGGCCGTTTTTTTGTTTGTCCCAGCAGGCAGGGGCAGGAGGGAGGAGGGGGTGAGTGGGACGAGAGGTGGGGGGGAGAAGGAAGGTTCAGAAAACGTGGTGGTGGAAAATGAGAGCACAAAAAAACACAACTGAGCACAACCACTAACAAAACAACAACAACAAAAAGGGATTCGACGGATCCTTTCTACTTTTAATACTCAATCGAGGGCAGGGGGTGCTGTGGTGCTTTTGGTGGCAAACAAGCAGCAGAAGAGGGAGGAGAAATGAAATGCGTGGGCGAATGGAAGAAAGCGAGAGGGAAGGAAGAAGAAGGAAATGCAGGGCAATGAAATCGCCTTGGGTTGGGTCTGTACACTAGTCTCAGACCAATCTGTCTATTCAAACCAATACAGACCGATTCAAACGTACTCTAACCCAGCACTCTATGTATATTGGCACATTGAGTTTGTGCGGCATGCACAAAGGGAAAGGTCTGATCCACCCAAGGGCTACCTCTGAGCGCTGCTCTTGCGCAGAGGGACCGAGCGCACCCCTACCCCCGTCCGTCTATTTACTGTACTTGTTTTTTTACGCTCTGTCAACATGCAAGCCAAGCAGTGGGAACCAGCCTACCACATCCCCGCCCGCGTAGCCACCCCGATCGAATGCACGGCCACTCGGACCCATTCCCAAAATTAGAGGGCGGGTAGTCAGCCTGCTTGGTCCGTTCTCTCTGGTTCTTGTTGAGAAATCCATGCAGTCGGCTCAATCTCCACTGTCCCCAATCAACTGTCGTCCATAAGATCCGGTATCTCACTGATTATTCTTAAAACAATTTTCTATTGTCAGCCAAGAACCCTGCAGTCGATGTTCCTGAAACCAAGGAATACTTTCGCTCAGACTATTGGGTATGTTCCACGTCCAAAGAACCCTAAGCACTTGTACTACCGCAAGATTTATCTCCGTCAGCACTTACATCATTTGTCACTCGGCCTCTGTCATTTGTGCACTCACAATGTCCACTCACCGTGGATGCAGACACGGACGTACAAAGCAGGTCTATGGTCTCCAGAAGAGAACACTGTCATAGAACAGTGATATGGAGAACGGTCGCACACCGCAAATCAGACATGACTGTACATTCATCCTTACCCAGATCCCTCCGTTACCTATGCATCGCTGCTGTCTTTTTTTATTTTCCATTGTTTTTTTCGAATAAACGATACCACATGTCGATGGCGAATGGAATTGCACGTATTGTCAAGGGTACATAGGAGGAAAGATGTATCCGAAAACCACATCGCCAAAGACGGTTCCTCTCCTCGCAAAAGACTGGGAGAAAAGGGAGCGCCTGCAGGAGAGGAATAACTTTCGATCCATGTGCGATGATGGGTCGGCATTATTCGTAGTTGCCCCTCAATCTCTTGCTGTGGGTTTTTTTTTTATAGACGAACGAACCACCTTGTGAACGATTAATCGCTACGGCTACAACGACCACAAGAACCCACGGCCCCCTTCTTGACCGTGCCATTAAGCTCGGTCCTGCAACTTACAATTGTGTACCTGCATGTTGGTCCAACAGTATGGCCGTGGGTCGGGCAAGAAAAAACGTGGAGTGAACGTTGCCCTTTTGTTGTTCAATGTTGTTCAGTGCTATTGTTCTGACGCCGGCCAAAATTACTCCGTTGGATTAAGTGAAATAGATGGAAAACGGAGATTAAGCCATGGGTAGGGGCGGGACCACCTTTTAGTTGGCCCATAACTTTAGCCTTTAGCACGTTGGTTGCCATAAAAGCCTTTTCTTTGACTTTACAGTTTATTATCTACGGATAAAACATAAATAAGGGTTCACGAAAGTAACAGCTCGAGCCCACACGGCCTTCTTGAGAGCACACGGCGACATGTCTCTCCTCTCCGTGGGACAGAGCAACATGGGCTAAGGCCCTCAGAACAGACCAAATCCTTGGTTATTGATTTCAAAATGAGCTGTGATAGTCTACTGTCATGGCGTGGTGGTGTGGGTGAACACATGTTGACAAAAGAAAGAAAATGCGGGGTAAAACTTACGACGCGCGATCCACTTCTTATTGAGGACGCGGCAAACTAATCTAGATGGTGTGTGCTTTTTTTTTTTATCGCACCAAGCCTGTACCTGAATTACTGCCGCATGTTCACTTTAAAGAGCGAACGGCAAACAAGCTTCTGATCATCGTTTTCCTCTCTTTACTCTCCAGCCATTCGTCCATCCACAGGCTTTCGCCCACTACTATATCCTCCTCGTTCATACGCCCCTCCTCCAAATGGACAGGCACAAGGTTATAACGCATACTTCGTATTGGCTGCATAGCTGATGAATAGGATCTTTTTGTTGTTGTTGTTGCTGTTGTTGTTGTTGTTGGTGGTGTTGGTGTTGTTGTTGTTTGTGTGTGTGTGTGTGTGTGTGTGTGTGTGCAACCGATACTAAATATTTCTCCCGGAAAACAAAAACGCAAGGCGAGTGAGCGCAGACCAGCGCCCGCATGCGCCCATAGGCCTTCATTAAAAGTGTTCCGTGTTGCACGCTCCCTTGTCCGAAACTTTGGCAGCTGACCTTTGGCGCAAGTTCTCTTTTTGAGCCCTGCGGCCGGTCGTGGAAGTGAACAAAGTATTATTTTTTATTTTTTATTTTATTTTTTATTAATCCATGGACAGGACAACAAGAGCAGCGAAGAAGACATAATAGTCGTTGCACGAGAAGAATGAAAGGAAGACAAGCATCTTCTCTCGTGAGAGGCTCAGTGGGAGGGATGGGAACGCGTTTAGCTTTGTCAAACCCGGACCGAGCATGAGAGCAAAGATGAAGGAAGGGCTGGTGTTTTGTTTTAGTCGTTGTTATCTGCATATGAGGTATCTATCCCTGTCCTTGATAGTAGTCTAGTTAGCTATCACCTTGTTTACGCTCACTCTCCATCCCCCTCTCTTTATCTCTATAGCATCGTGGCACAAAATCGACAGCATTAAACGTCGTACACACACATCCTTCTATCCTCCCTCACAATATAATCCTCCGCTCCTCTCAAACCTCCCCTCCTCAGTTTGTGTGGGGTATGATCGTACCCCCCATATGATCGTACCCCCCATATGATCGTGCCCCCCATATGATCGTGCCCCCCAATTCATTTAAAACCTTACTTTTGTGCCCACCAGGTTCTTGCACTTAAAGGATTGCCCTCGATTGTGTGCTGTGAACGTACATACTTAAAAAAAAAGGCGAGGGCAAATTTACTGGGTTACTAGGCGACAGTTGTGGTGCACAATGACATCACATTCCAGCGCTAAGCTCGAGCGAGCTCCTCAAGGCTAAGACCTAGAAAATTGAACATCCGCGTGAGTTGGGATGGTAGGCTATAAGTAGTCTAGTATTTTTACTATTGACGAGCAAAAAGGAAAAAGTAGATGATGAGTCAAGCACCTCAGAAAAGAGATTGCCATGATTTCTGTGTACGTTCTTGAGAGTACCAGGACTGTGGGTCCAGTTGCTATGTTGCACACAAACTAACGAACCCAGTTCTCGAGCGATGACGGATGGTGTAGGGGAACCCAGATGGGGTTCCTTGGGTGCACGAATCCAGGTCCCTGCACCAGAATCCATTAGACTGTTCCGATTGACGAGCGTCATGTAAATCAACGGCCTTCGCATTCACGTTGTTGTGTGCTACATTTGCCTCTTCTCCGAGGAAAAATATTGGGTAGCTGCTTTTCTTGAGTGTATTCTATGTATATGTGCTCCCTTTCGCGCGTCCGCATGTGCATGTGTTGCCTATATTTGAAAGAACGTACTGCGGAGAGCAGATGGAGGCAAGTATCCTGCCTTGGCTTTTCATTGAGCATCGCTTTAGCTGCATTCGTGCTCGAACCCAATTTTTTTGAGCGCGAACAGATCACACATCGTACGATACTCGCATGGAAAGAGGGAGTGAGAGAGAGAGAGGAAAAATAAGAAGCCGTTGCTTAGTTGGGGGACGTGTGCTTGCAAGAAGAATTTCCCTTTTCCTTTTCCTTGCCCGGGCCCCTCCCCCCTTATTCCTCTCTCCCCCGCATGTCGCTTCGCCCTTCCCCGCCGTTAGACCTTACGCCCTCCAAGTTGCGAGCGGTGGACCCATCGTCTATAGAAAATTCTCGATTTGCAAGCTGTGGGGGCGATTTTACAGCATTCTCACTCGCTTTGTGCCAATTGTCATGTCATCACCAAGAACACGCGTCATACCATTAGTCTAACCCTACAGGCCTAGTCCCAACCAAACCTGGCACTCACTCCAATGATCATCCTCTTCAGACGAACTTAGTGTGAACACAGACAATCACCTAAACTCGAACTAACTAACCCCCCCATCCCTTGTTTATCCCGCCCAATGATCAAATAGACAAAAGGTCTTCCGGTTGGGGGGAAACGCATAGGTTAGTTCCGAATCTAAAATGCCGTCTAGCGGCACTGCTCCCACGGCCATGAACATATCACATCTCCGCGCGTGTCTGTCGGGCCGTTAGGACAATAAACTACCAAACACAAATCGACCAAGGGCGCATGCGCGTGTCCGGTTATATTACATCCGTACCCACCATTCACGCCCGCAGTGTTATTTTCTCGGATGTATCAATTTGTTTATCCCACCCTCTTCCTTTTCCTTTTCTCAAACCAAAGATCATGTAGAAATGGCTCGTGTATGGTACCTTTATAACGTGTGTATGTTTTTAAAGAAACGCGTGGTAACTATGGCTCCGTGCGCTGCTCCTCGCGACGTGTAATCTTGACTGGCCATAATCTATTCAAACAGTTTCATTTGTTTTTTTTTTTATTCTTGCAGTTAGAGGATGCATCAGCCTGGCCTTTGTAGTCTACTTCGGTACCAATTGCCACGCGAGAAAAATGAAAGGGGGGAGGAAGGACCAAGCGCAGCACGTATTTTCTTTTATTTTTTCAGGGGCGGGAAAGTTTGTACATCTTGCTTTTTTTTTTTTTTTTTTTTTTTTTTTTTTTTTTTTACAAGCGCGTGTCTGTGTCCATGAATGATGGATGTTGTCTATGCATGCATGGACGCACGAGCGCTCAAATTTGGCTTGCTTTATTTTGCATCACATTCAAGTCAGAGGAGCAAATGAGGAGAAAGGATTGAGGCGTACGATGAGCACTCGGTCGGCGTTTCTGTTTATTGGATCTTCATCGCCAAAACAAGCTGAAGGTTAGGACATTTCTTGTCTCCCCGGTTTCTTTACCTCCTATTGAGATCAGATCTCGATCAGCGTGCCCATGCAGCAACTGCACCTCTGGACATCATACTCGACCTGATCCACGATCCGAGGTATCCGATGCTGAGGGTACTCCCGCTCCTGGGTATAATGCTTCAACGACTTGCTCTGCGCTGCCGGACTCGCAGAAGAACTCAACAACGGTGACGGCGTAGAAGCTGATGACGAAGATCCAGACGACTCTGCCTGCTGTAGTACCTGTTGCTGCGTCTCATGCGGCAGTCGCAACCGATCCAGGTATTTCAATTTTCCACGACTTGAGATATTCACATTGGGACTATCACGCTTCGGTTCCAGTGACGCCAGAGCCCCCTGAATCTGCAAATCTTTCGCCTGCCTGTTCTTCTCGGTTGCCTCATCGACCTGTGCACACTGCTCCACCACCGTGTTTGATGACAACAGGCCCTTACTAGATTCGGTTCCTGTTACTGGTATTGTTGTTGAAGTATAATTTTTTTGCGGCTGTTGTTGCTGTTGCTGTTGCTGTTGCTGTTGTTGTGGTGTGTCATGACCAAGGGCTTTGCGTTGCGGGCCCCTGCGTCTCTCTCGTTGCTGCTGTTGAAACCCATGTTGCCGCTGCATCAGATCAAGTTGCAGCTCCAGCGTAATCTTTTCCTGCCGCAAATTGTCGTGTCCTCGTTGAAGCACCGTTATCTGGTCCATCAATAATTCACACTTTCGTTGCTCCAGCGTTTGAGGCGCCTCTTTGGGCAACGCATTCATAGTGAACCGACGCGTTGGCTTGGACCGGCGGGAATGAGAACTGGCTGCAACCGAGGACAAGATCGATGCTAGGGCACCGTCGCCAAGAACGAGTCCTCCGTGGGAAGATAAAGCCGATGTCGAATGCGATGATGCACCACCAGTCACAGAAGAATGGGTCGAGGGCGAATACAATGCTGAAGAGGCCGAAGAAGGGCGGTGAACAAGTGCCTGCGCCTGTTCCTGTCCCTGCGAATCCGGATGCTCGATCGCCAACTGCTGTTTCTGCCCCATCTGCATCTGCGCCTGTGCTTGCTGCTGAAGAAACGCGAGCTGTCTTTGGACCTGGACATGCTTATGCCCCATCGCCAGCACCAGATCCTGTAGCCTCTCGACCTCATCCCTGTACCTTGCCACCACCCTCTCCAGTTCCAGCGCAGCCTGTCCAGCCCGGTACCGTTCCCGACCCAGCGTGTCCGACAACTTTGCCCTCTCATCCAAGATTTCCACAATTCTAGCGCGCAGCTCCCGTAGTTGTTCGATCAGATGGCGGTTCTCGTCCTGTAACTGATCCGTCTTATCGTTCGAAGTCCTAAGCCGTCTCAGAAACTTTGCATTGTCCGCATGGCAATCGACCATTTCCAGCGACAGCGAGTCCCGTTCCATGACAGCCTCCTTAAGATCGCGGGCCTGGTGTTGGACTTGTGTCTTCAATTCTTGAATCTCCTTGTGTTTTTCTTCCAAAAGTGTCCTGGACTGAGTCGCTTCGGCTTGTACCTTCGATAGCCGGATCAAGGTCATCTCGTGCTGCTGTTTCAATGTCCGTAATGACTGCTCCGTATTGTGCGATTTTTGCTGCGCCTGCGAAAGACGTTTCTCCCGAACGGTTAAGTGTTGTTCCGATCGCTGGAATCGGTTTCGTAACTCAGACAGCTCAGATTCGAGTGCTTCGCAGCGTTCCTGGAGAGGCGAATTCGACACGGAAAAAGACCCCGGTGACGGCGGATAGGTAGACGTGAGTGGAGGTGAAAAAAATGCAGACTGACGGTGGCTCTGTCGGCTACCGTCGTTGGAGACACCCTTCATGGTAGAAGTAAAGGCCGAACCAATGGCATTGCCACTGACGGTAGCGAAAGAAGAGGGACTCTGAGGGTGATCGATGTGTTCTGTTTCTGTCAAGGCACTGTCGTTGCTTGTCCATAGGCTACGTGGTAGTTGCGCACTGCTCGATGAGGCAGTTGTCGTGGCAGTGCTGGTGGCGGTCTTTTTCAGCAAGGACATGGCGTTGTGGTGGTTACTGTCTTGCGATGCGTCCGATAGCTTGAGTGCCATGGCTGAAGTGTACTAACTGTGCAGTGCAGTGAGATTTATTCCTGTTCCTGAGACCCCTTCAACACCTCCGCCTGCAGCCTGGGCAATACAAAACAGTGATGAAAAAAGAATGAACTAAGGAATGTGGATGACAGCAGGAATGCGAATGAGGACAAGGTTGGAATGCAGAAAGAGAAGAAGAAGAAGAAGAAGAAGAGAGAGAGAGAGAGAGAAGGGTACACAAGTCGGACAAACCTTTTACGCCCACCATAGTGTCTGCACTGGTCCACTTCCCATGAGTCTGCCCCACATGCGTCTGCTCCACATGCATCTGCTCAACTGCATATTCATTCGACATTTGACGTGCTGCCATACAATTTGAAGCATATGACATTCATGACAAGTAGCGGATATACGCGCAAAAACATAGTTCTTTAATAAAGTGTGCCTACAAAGAATGGCCTTGTCCTTGCCCCATTCAATGTCTCCTCATCTCCTTCACATCAGACACCTCGGTGTAAAAACATGTACGCTCTCATCCCACGCACAAGTGGCCACCTCCCGATCCCGATACAGATTAAAGTCGACTCCGAGCACAAACTCCGTGTGCGCATCATGGATCTCAATCATATCCCCTGTTGTAATATCCCACATCCGCATCGTCATATCGTACGAAGTTGATGCTACTAGCGATCCCGAATGCGGCGAACACTTCACCTTCCTCACCGCATACTCGTGTCCCCTCAGACAATTCAGTTCCCGATCCGGACGACGCAAATCCCACACCTTGATCGTATGATCGACCGATCCTGTTACAACCGTATGATCCTGGTACTTATTCCAGTCCAGCGTCAATACCTCATTTCCATGAGCGAGGATTGTCTGGATCGGTGCCGGTGAATTCGCATCCCACAACTTTACGGTGTGATCTCCTGAACAAGATGCGAAGAGACTAGGGGAGTGAGGAGACCACATTGCAGAGTACACGCAGTGAGAGTGTCCCTTGAACGTCTGTAATGACCGAGGACTATTTTGATTCCACTATGAGAGAAAGGGCCACAAGGAGGAGGAGGAGATTAGGTTAAGTTGAGTATTCCTTGGAGCATAAGCTTGATACGATCGAGCAATCGACTCATCTTTCTTTACCAGCTTGATAGTATTATCCCATGATGCACTCAAAAACGTATCCTTGCTGACCAAGTTCCAGTTAACCGAAAACACCTCCCTCTGATGCTCATGCCAGTTTTGAATAGGAAAATCCTATAGAGAGACAAAGAAATAGTAGCAAAGGTCAATCAATGACTGGTTTCCTGGCCATAGGAAGGCAGCTAAAATATCGGTCCTGTCCATCATCTGTTGCAATGAAGAAGAAAAACAACAACAGCGACCTACAGCCAATGTCGTATCCCAGAGCTTTATGGATCCGTCGCCGCTAGCAGTGATCAACTGGTTCTCGTTCACTTCGCTCCAGCACACATCAAACAGTCCATCCTGAGTATCGAACCTATATATACCAGAATATAAAAAAAAAACACGCACAACGCAGAGCGGAAGACAAAAGACAAAGCCCGTTAGTTGCCATTCCAGACATACATTCGAGTGAACTCCTGCTTCAATCGGGGCGCCGTGAGTTGTGTGCGTGAGAGTTATGTCTTCGGTCTGCCTGATCAATGGACTGAACAAATTTTCACTTTGACCGGAATTTAATTCCCCTGAGCCGATCAGTACCCGCCGATACCCACCCAGATCACGCATACACGCACACCGTCCTCCCTCCTCCCCTCATCCAAAGAGCACAGCCAGACCAGGAAAGCAAATGGAGAAAAACGAAAGGAGGATCTCCAAACACTTACACTCGCTCGACGTCGATGGCTCCTGCTGTCGGTCCTGCTCCAGCTCTAAGGATATGTAATCTTCCGTTGCCGACCAGTCCAAAATTGGCAGCCGATGCCACCGCCAGCTTCTCTTCAAAAAACGGGCTCCATTGCACCTGGTAGTCAGCAACACGCAATTGAAACAATAAAGTAGATGGCAGAATAGCAGCAGCGAAGGTCAGCGAAAGGAAGCGAAGGGAAGCGAGAGAAGCGTTGTCCGCTTCGAACAAAGTAACCGAAAAAAGGTTCGTACAGCGTATCCGTTGTAGCCGGTGGTGCGATGCTTTGCGAACATGAGGAATGTATGTGCTGCAAGTCTTGTTACTGAGAACGAATTCGAATGTCACTCCTGAGGAAAAAAAGAACGGGTCGTCAAAGCTGTCCGCGGGTTGCAATCGTGCTGTGAGAGAAGATGCTGCCGTTGCAAGGGAAAGAAGGTGAAGGGTGAGGGAGAGGCGGGGAGAGGACTCATACTGCAATTAGAATAACATGTGGGTCTCGGCACGTGAGTTGACCCTGCTTCCTTTGAAGCTTGGACAAGCACCATGCCCAACGAGAAAAATATACACAACAGCTTGATTTATTTACATGAGTGAGGTTCCGCTGGCACTCCGTCTGTGCCTGTTTGCTCATTTACGACAATATCCGCAGCAACAAACGAATGTCGATCTAGTAATTCTCCAATTCTGTTTTTACACAGATATTGCCTCCGCTGCAGGTGGTTCTTCATCCTGACTACCAGACTGCAGCTGTAGTTGCCTCGGAGATAGCCCCTGATCATCACGATCCAGCGCCTCAGTAACAGCATTCTCCGCGCCTCTCGCAAAGCAAATTGCGGGTTTCTTGCTCAGCGTGACCTCTTTGTCAATCACTATGTGCTTGATGGACGATCCTGGAGCTTCATACATGACATCCAGTAGCAAAGATTCCTATTTCAATAAAGGCAATCAAGCCTTAGAAACACGTCCTGAAATAATAAGACGCATACATTCCGCGAGGCCTAACATGGAAAATGAGCCTTACCATGATTCTGCGCAAACCTCGGGCTCCTGTTTGCTTCTCGATAGCCTGGCCTGCAATGGTGTAGAGAGCCGCCTGTGAAAAATGAATCTTGATGTCGGCCAGTCCAAAAAGTCCCTGGTACTGCTTCACAAGAGAGTTACGGGGTTCTGTCAAGATGCGCACCAATGCTGCCTCATCTAGATGGTTGACTGACGCAACAACAGGCAATCTTCCAATGAATTCGGGAATCAGCCCAAACTTGATCAAATCTATATGTCATTTCCGCAAAACACAGTCAGTACACCAACACATAAGAACATAGGATAACCTAGGTCGTAATTGAGCCACCATTGCCCGGGCGCCTTACCAGTTGGGTCAACCTGCTCCAGGAGCCGGCTGACATGATCTGCGGCTCTCTTTGACGAACCAAGCTCGGACGACGGAGCTCGGACTGTCGCGTCAAAACCGATCGAGCCCTTGGAGACACGATCCATAACGATTCTCTCCAGTCCAATGAATGCACCGCTCAGGATGAACAAAATATTACTCGTATCGACCGAGTAGATTTCGCCCTTCGCCCCCGGTCCTCCACCACCAGAGCTAGGTCCACCAATGCCGGGGATGCCACCTTTGCGACCTGTATTTGATCCGTTCCAATTGGATCCATTCTTTTCCGTGACATTGACAACCGTACCCTCCAACATACGCAAAAGTGCCTGCTGGACACCTTCACCAGATACATCCTTCGAGATCGACATAGTGTCGGGACGCTTTGAAATTTTGTCAATTTCGTCAATGAACACGATTCCACACTCTGCCTTTTTGATGTTGTAATCGCAGTTCTAGAAAACGACATAGGTTGGACATGTTAACACTGAGCAGTATAGAGGATCGTATCGCATTTTAGCACACCGGGCTCACGAAACATACCTGCAATAGGCGATGAATGACCATCTCGACATCTTCGCCAACGTACCCTGCCTGTGTGAACGGGGTGGCTATGTATCGTATTAAGAGTATGATTAAAATCTAGTGAGAATTATTGTAGATCAGGCGCAAAAAATAGCACAAGAGTTAGGACATACCATCTGACATGGAGAACGGGACATTGAGAACCTTGGCTAGTGTCCGGGCTAACAAGGTCTTTCCTGACCCTGTGGGGCCCAACAAGAGAACGTTACTCTTGTCAAAAATGGTAGGCGGTGGTTTGGGTGGACCATCGGCTTTCCGCGCTTGCTCCTGCTGCTGTGATGGGGGAGATGGCGGTGGCTTCTGATAGGTATCATACGGCTGGGAGAACATCGATGGCGGATTCTGCCCATGTCCGTGTCCGCTCCCATGTCCGTTCGTCGCAGAATTGATCCAAGGTTGTCGGTGTGGGTAGTGAATGGCCTCTATTAAATTGCGGGAGTATATTGCGTGAGTTTAAGGTGTTCATTCCCGCCATTAAAGTTTCCGCATGACTGCTCCAAAATGGTTTCCCAAGTCCCATTTGAAATCTTATTCATCGCTTCCTTACGTCTTCCAGGCACATGCAGGTCAGCACTGCTATTAGTGCTGGGATCCTTGGAGTCAGGAGTCGAGTCCTGTCCAGGAGAGGTTGGGGCCGATGGTGATGACGATGGTGTAGATGGGCTGTATGGCTCGATGATCGGGTCGGGTGTGCTAGGTCCCTCACTCATCAAAACACTGGAGCTATAGTAGACGTTGGAGGATGGTGACGGTGGATTGTTCGCAACGGCTGTCAATGAATCTTGGATCTGTTGCTGGCGCAAGTTTTCGTTGACACGCGAGTAGTGATTATAGACTGCGACAGCTAGGATCTTCTTCGCCTTTTCTTGTCCTATGACATATTCGTCCAAGTGTTGAACAATCTGAAGTATAGAGCGGTGTAAGAGAGATAGCAGAAGAACAAGAGTTAACATGTGTACGTCAAATGGAGATATCCCAATGTCGCATTGCTTCGGCTATTACCATTCGTGGATTCTGGACACTGCCCATCCACTCTGAGGACTGCGATGAATTCCCGTTCTTTCTGGCAGAACCAGAGTAAGTCTCGCCAGCCCCACCACTACCACCTCCTCCACCGCCACCAGTGACATCACGCGACTGGAAGGGACTTGAGTACGGCGATTGTAATGGGTAAATGGTAGACGAAGGCATAGCTGCATGAATACTGTCACCCGACGGAGTGTCTCCTGCTGCGTAAATGAGCAATTGCGAATATGTGAGTAACCGGACTATCCAGGGTGGAAAGGGAGGGGGAGGACTCACTGGCTGCATGACTAAGGGCATCATCGGGTTAACGTACCTTTTGAGGGGTGTGATCCTGACCGACCCTTGGCAATGGCGCCCCTTACGTCCTCACCTGCCTTCTCTGATGAACGTAGCCCTGAGTTAATACTTGTGGCAGAGCTTGTTCGATCATCCCTCTTCAAAGCAGTCTGTGCCATGAGCCCTGAAGGTTCTGTGGAGCTCTGTTTCGGCTGCCTCTTTCTGGTGACTCGAGTAGTGTTGGTGGAAGCAGTCTCTGAAGCCTCGTGCGAAAGTCCTGTCGTCGCGGCTGAGGAGGAGGAGGAGGAGGGAGAAGAAGTCGAGGACGACGAGGACGAGGACGAGGACAAGGAGCTCTTGGGCGGCTGGCTTGTGTAGCGATGAACGGTCGACGAGGTGAAGAAGCGGCAGGGTAGGTCTTGACGGACGATATCACCCGTGGCATCCGTGTGGTTGCTGTGCATCCTGCCTCGTAGAATGAGACTGGCAGCCCGATAGTGATGAGGCCGTCTCAGCGCCATGGACCAATGAGCAGGACTGCCTGCTCGCATTGCAAGGACCATCATGGGTGGGAAGCAGATGTCGGAGTACGAAGTAGGGATAAGAAGGAGCAAAGTCGATAGCAGATGGCGATGAACAAGGGAAGGGAGAAGAGTGAACGGAAAGAGCAGGTCTACAGGGAAACGATAAGGAGGAAGTGGAAAGTAGAGGTGCCGCCAGAGGGGGGAGGTCCCTTTTGAGGGCGAATGCGGACTGCCTTCTGTTCCGATTCACTCATTTTGCTCGCCCATTTTGTGCAACACCGCAGCACACCACTTGTTAGAGGAAACAATTGAACAATGGTACTTCATTGTATATAACTCGAATGTATTGCTGTTATATTATTGATGAAGATGAAGACAAAAACGAAGATGCAAAAGGATGAAAGGGGTGGTTGCGGTATTATAAGCCGAATGTTTGGAGGCCTATATGCATAGGGACGTAAAGAGGACTGAGACAGAAGAGAGGCCGATATCCATCTCTTTTTTATCTTCTGCGTTTGCTGTCCTTTCGGTCACGGTCATTGCGGTCGCTCTTGCGATTCTTCCTGTCGTCCTGCTCATAATCACGCTCACGCTCACGGTTGCCACCCCGGCTCTTCCTCCGCATGATCAGCTTCTCCAGCTCACGCTTGCCCTCGCAGTTCGGGAAACTGTCGAGGTCAAAGTACGCCGGTGCAATGTCCAGCAACCACTCCGCCTTGACCTCCGTTACCGTGCGGATATAGTTCTGGTTCGTCAGCACGAATTCATTATAGATCACCCATTCAGCCGCATGGTCCAAGCACGAACTGGGGTGCAGGCGAACGACCTGGTTGTCCTTGACCGTCAAATAGTTCTTTCCTGACCTTTCCTGATGGGCAACCTGCATAAAGTATCCTGCTGCAAGGGCCTTGCGAATGCCCGTGTAGTATGGACCTCTCTCATTCTCAACAAATGGGAGCGAGACAAGGTCCAGATCGCAGCGCTCCATGTATCGCTTGAGCTGTGTCCTGACATTGTCGGCTGACTTCAGAGTACGGTAGTTACAAAAGTTGTCGTAACACCACTTTTGATCTTCGCCTGCGGTCTTGTATGCGTGGTATACATTCAGAAGAGTGAGATGGTCGCTATCCGGGTGCGAGAACTGTTTTTTAGCTTCATCTGCCAGCTTGCGCTGCTCTGGAGGACGCATAAAGACCAGTGGAACTATCATCGAACAAGAGTAAAGACGGAAAACCGTTAATGAATCATTTCCAATACATGACACCAAAGGAGGATACAATAGAACACATTGAGCAACATCATACCATTTAACAAAGAAACGATCGTCATGATCTCGTTAGAGCATCCATATTGGGGACTGACAATCAGCATCTTGGCGAGCTGAGGATCAACAGGGAAGTCAGCCATTGTGCTTCCAAGAGGGGTCAGGTTGCCGTCATCATCCAATGCGCCCAGGTAGTTCAGCAGCTCCAATGCACGCATAAGGGTCTCAGGAGCTGGAGGGTCCATGAAGTCGAAGTGGACAAGGTCATCGATTCCAAGCTTCTTGAGCTGCAACACAACCGTGCCCAAGTTACTCCTCAAAATTTCTGGGTAAGTTGTCTCGATCAGCTCCTTCATGAAGGCGTTTTCAGTGTACAATCTGAAGCACTTTCCAGGGCGCGTACGACCAGCACGACCCGAGCGCTGCTGAGCCGAGGCCTTTGAAATGGGCGAGACCAACAGGGACTCGACACGAATACGAGGGTTGTACACCTTCTGCTTGGAGAAGCCGGGATCAATGACATAGACGATACCGTCGATGGTCAAGGACGTCTCAGCAATATTGGTCGAAACAACGACCTTGCGTCCTGGCCGTCCTCCAGGAGTCTTTGGTGGCGGCGCATCATCATAGATCCTTTTTTGTGCCTGTGGGGGTAATGTCGAATACAGCGGCAACACCTTGATAGGACCAGCATCAGGCATCTGATCTGCCTCTTGCTTGATCTTCCGGCACGCGTCCTCAATCTCCTCCTCTCCTGTCAAGAACAGCAAAATATCGCCGGCATCGTCGTTGCGGTGGATCTGAAGAGCAGTGAAGATGGCAGCCTCCAGGTAATCGCTTTCGGGCTCAGGTGTGTAGTAAATCTCGACAGGGAAGGTACGACCGGGAACACTCATCAATGGCGCGTCATCGAAATACTTCTGGAATTTTCCAGCATCAAGCGTCGCAGACATGACTACAACTTTCAGATCTCGTCTCTTCTTGATGATCTCCTTCATCAATCCCATCAGAATATCGGTCGAAAGTGTGCGATCGTGGGCCTCGTCCAAAATGATAGCGGAGTAGCGCGACAACAATGGATCGTTCATAGCCTCTCTCAGCAGCATACCGTCGGTCATATATCTATCAACATTGAAGTCAACAACTGCGGGTTTAACAACATGTGCGTATTTTTAAACAAAATTTAAAAAAATACTGCGGCGAAAATAAATCTTACTGGAGCATGGTCTTTTCACTTGTGCAGTCCTCAAAACGAATGTTGTAGCCGACTTCCTGACCCATGACTACATCCATTTCCTCGGCGACACGCTGTGCAACAGACATGGCGGCAAGACGACGAGGCTGCGTACATGCGATCTTCTTGCCTTTGAACGCTGGCAGATCGTCGAATACCATGAATTGGGGAATCCTATGAGTTTTCGGAAAGAGATCGCCAGTTAGTCAATCGATAGAGGACGGATAGAGACCAATTGAGCGATGCAGAAAAGCAGCCGTAACCTACTGAGTGGTCTTTCCAGATCCAGTCTCTCCAACCAAGATAACGACCTGGTTGTTCTGCACAAGATCCAAAAACTCCTTGCGATGTTTGTTGACTGGCAGCTTGCGACGGCCGGCGAGAATCTTGCGGTATTTTTCGCTGAAGGGCTTGTCAGTGAATGGGTTGGTGGCACCTTCCTCTGCAGCCTCGCCCTGTTCGGCAGTAGTTGCGCCAATGACAAAGTTGTATAAGGGATGGTTGGGGGTAAGGCCATGTTGGTTCTTTCCTGAAGCGCCGCCAACGAGTCGCTCGCTGGGAGGAAGGTGAGCGAGATAGGGATTCTCCATTGGAGCGTCAGTCTCCTTATCGGCCTTGGACCGCTTCTGCGACTTGGATTCAGACATGGCAAAGTGGATCCCTGTAGATAGATGGAGAAAGGAGATGGGTGAACGAACTGAGAGAGCTTGAAAAAAAAAAACTAAAAACATAGCAAGATGGCAGTCAGAGTAGCCCTTAAGCTATCGATCCCACACCCAGTTTTGAATATGATTCGCTGGAAGCCGATATCCAATGAGATACGAGATCCGAGGGCCTTGAAGGCAAGCGAGGGAACTTTTCATCTCGTTTTCCATCACTCTCCTCTTCCTTCTTCTGAACACCATGTCGAGCCAGCCTCTGTATTACGCTGTGGGCTTTGGCGTCTTTCTGGTTGCCCTCCTGTTCTGCTATGTACGCTTTATACAAATGTGACCCCTTCAACGGTTCCTGTCAGTCATCAAAGTCGGTACCCTCACACAATACCTGTCGTTTATTCTCTAGGCCTACGATCTAAGCAACAGCTACATTTACTATCCATTGGCGGTGCTCCTCGGATACAACATTTCCATGAAGCTCATCAACTATTTCATGCCGACTGCATTTGATCCTCCACCACCCCCTGCTCCCACGACCCGTCAGGGAAAGAAAAAGGCAGCCAAAGAAGCTGAGGCATTGGCGAAGCGCAACGAAAAACTTGCAAGGAAGGAGGCGGATGCTGAACGGAAGGCTACTGAGGCACGGGAAAGAGACTAAAAGAAGGAATGGAGGTGCATATGGAACAACACTGTCTTCTTTTTAGACGCCACACTCCTTTTACGATCGACTCCTGCATATCTTATGTACTCGTACTGGCATGCTGGCACTCATAGAAACCTGATTTGGGCAACAGCTGTATTCTAATATAGTCTATACATGGACGCGTCGCAGCCTCGCTATTTAATGGAAAACGTGTTTTCGATGAATAAATTAATAGAACGCCTTCTCGCAGAACTAGCATACTACGTGAATCGATACCTCAGACCTCGGTTACAATCCCCCCAAGACCGATACTGTGATGATCATTGTCGCGATATCTGCTCATTTTCTGGGAACGTTTTATAAACTTCAATGCGTCAGCAGAGTACAAGAAGAGATTATGGTCAGGAACCAAGGTGTACCAGTTCTCTTATACAGGACATTGCATTAACCTTAAATGTGTGCCTGAGCCAAAAAAAAAAAAGAGGGGGTACCAAGGGGCGGCAAGGAGTCACAGCGAGAGTGAGGGAAGACCCAGGGAAGATGATTCTGCGTAACTTCTCTGATGCTCGGTCTTTGCTATCATCATTTCGGGATGAAAGATTGATAGTAGCGCTCGTCGTCATATCACAAAAACCCTGAAGCCAGTAGATACACTATTTCAGAAACGACCCGCATATTGGATTGAGGTAAATATCAAGCTATCAAGCACTTCGGTAAATAAATGAACCATCTGGTGCAATCTGGTCAGGATTGCGTGAACATGGATCAAATGAAATTCTCGAGGAGAATATAACGGTCAATCTAAGAGAGTCGCCACGTTTGAGTGGAGTAGGCGAAATATTGGACATCAAGATACACAAGGGCCCCTTCTTAGACCTGGACCTACTACGGCTTCAGGGATCCTCAGTCGTAGGCGGTGTAGTAAGTGCACCACAAAAAAACACTTGATTAGGTGCAAAATCTAATCGAAACGCGTCAGTTCTGTCCCACCCCTGAGATCGCATCTCGTGCAGAATGCATCGGGTTGATAGAGATACATCTTCGAGCATCGCAGAGTGGATCGGGTCGATGGAGAGCAGTATCGCCTTCATCCGAGCACTCTTTTCAAAGAAGTTCGATACGCCCAATTTATTACCAATTTAATAGACAACTGCCGACCTTTCCATATTTGAGCGCTCTGAGCTTTATTATTCTCTCGAGCACTCAAACATGCAGCTGTTCTGAAGGAGGAAGAAAAGGCGAGCTTCGGTTTCATCTCACTTCAGAGATGCTGCCGACTCCTGAATATACGATACACTGCAGCAACAATAATAAAGGCTTTCAGTTCTTACTGCTCGCATAGCCCTAGAGAACACTTGTATTTTATGCAATCCCTATTTTCCTGCCGACAAGCTTTTGTTGTTGTTGTGGGGTCCTCAATAGGTCCCAGCTTTGTTATGAACAAACCATCTATCCCGCGCTGGGAATCAAAACCATCCAAGCGATGTTTACTTTTTTAGTTGACCAAGCCAAACCAAGGTTCATAAGTTCTCGAGGAGGAAGCGCGCCTTCCGAAGATTCTTGTTTGTTCGATATTCTGTTATGCAAAATGGCGAGAAGTGTCTTCTGTGTCAGGAGCAGCATACTATGAAGACGATGGGACGTCTTTTTGAGTTGTAGCACGTATAACGGGCGAGTACTCCATGAGAATAAAGCAGTTTCGTTTATGGCCGATGCAAAGAATCCGCGTCGGTTCATCAAGTACTTAGTAATTAATGTTGAAAAAAAACAACAAGATGAGGGTATCCATGGGCAAATATTACATGTTGCGTCTCTCCTTCTTCCTCGCTTATTCCTTTTCCCTCATTCCATGAAATGCAGTACTATGTAAAATCGAGGTAGGCCAAACTAAAGAAACACCTTTCTACTTCATCTCTGTCCTCGGTCGGCATGCCGCGTCAGCAAGAGTAGCTTGATTCAGGATACGGCAACGTTCCTGGAGCAATGAAGAAACGCAAAAAGTAGGATAGTATCTCTTCCGCGGCTGATGATTGGCGTAAAGGCATTCTAGAAACGATCAGGTCATCCTGCCTGCACGCTACAATGCATGTGCAGTCTCGTATGTCCGTCACTGTTTGTTTGCGGAAACCAAGAATGCGAGGAAAGGCCAAGCGGCCGGCAAGGAGATAGTGGACGACATGGCCGACGTGGTGCGCTGTTCTAATGGACTTGACTCTGCCATGGAACTGTCGAACCAGGCATGGTAATGCATTTTTTTTTCTTCTGGCGCATTAGACATCAAACAAAAAGCAGGAGATGACAGACGATTCAAATGGCGATAGATAATTCAAGCTTTAGGAGCACCGCTTCCACGCAAAAGAAACAGCATGTCGTGGAAAGAACAGTAGCTGATAGCTTAAAAAAAGGCCTTAAGTAAACAACAATGTGAGAAGATAAGAGACTACGAGTGAACCAATCTGGTCAGAGCGCATGGGGCCATCGCAGGTTATCAATCTTAGAGTCCTTCACGTTCCTACGGAACTAGATACTAGTCCGTCGCCTTTTGCGTGGCCGACTGCCTGAGCACGGCCAGAGACGACACTCCCTTTCCCCCCCCCTATTCGGAACATGATTGCATGGTATGCGCCACCTCCCACGTGGGTTGTATCTGATGGAGATAGTAGCCCTCATGGCGACTGTCCCTCCCTGTAAGCAAACCGCTTGAAGCGACGATCGTTTTCCGTCATATCAAAGTGAAACTTGCTGCGATGTACTCATTTGTAAACGATATCAAATCATACTAGAAATGAGGATGGTAGGTTGAGCGAGATACACTGCATGCATCATTGTCTTTGCTTGCAGACAATGATGATGCTTGGGGGAGGGGGTGGGAACGAGTCAGGTCCTCTGCAATTTGAAAATGGATATAGTTCTTGATTGTCGCCTAGGAAGCAGCATCGCTGATGGACTTGCAGTTGTTCATGACCTTAACAGAAAGCAGCAGAAAACCTGCAGGAATATGTAAAAGACGAAGGCATGCTGATTAGCAGTTCTCTTCATCCGCGCTCTACGCCCTAGCGCGCGGCGGCGCAACGATGAGCAGCACATCGATAGTTTTTGGTCTGTAGTACAATATATTTACTCGTGCTTGAATAGGCGACATGCGGTTAAAGGACGCGTTTGTGTGACAGGAAGTTGCTACCTCCTTTTTAGGTGTCGCCATTTGGCCTCATTCAGCTCCATGGATCTTCTACGACGACAATCATGACGATGTCTGCACGTGTGGCATGGGTATGATCGTAGGTTCATACCATACCCTGCTTGCTCGCGTAGGTCGCGACTTCATCATCGCCTGGTACTATGTTTCTGTCGCCTATACATATATTCGTACTTCACGATGTGTCTGTCGACATCTATCCTTATTATTCCCGTCAGAGGGAGACCGTGAGACAGCAGCACAATGTGGGTTAACTTGTTATTGTTTGCTTGAGCCTGGTCCGGGTCACTTACATGCGTGTTCGTAACAGACGATCATGCTATGCAGGCAAGGACGAGTGTTTGTTTATGACTCGGCGGCATAAAGCAGATGGCAGGGGCGACATCTGAGGAACGGATACTTGCTACTAGGGGGCTGAGGGATAGAGGGGGAGGAGACATCAAAGCCAGGAGAGTGCATAGCAGAGAGAGAGCGAATTGCAGTTAGTGCGTTACCGCCATCATTGAGCTTGTTTTTTTTAGGCGTCCCTTGGTGTCATACTCCTGCATAGCATACTGTCCACTTCCTCAACTCTTCGTTTTCTACCCACCATTGCAATCCACGTGCAGAGAATCAAGAAAAAAAAATAGAACAGCAGATCTCCGTCACGCAGCTGTGTTTTTTGCCCCAACCATACGCCATCAAGACTGAGCCGTGCAGCTCAAGCATCTTTTCACTCTCGTGACAGCCTTGTCTTAATGTACATTAGTGTATCACGCACTCAAGTTGTACCCTTTCATCCGCCTTGAAGCACCGGGCATATGGTCAAGAGTCGGTACTGCACGTAAGTAGGGCTCCTAAGCTGCCTACTGTTTACGCTCTCTACTAATGTCGGAGGATCTGTGCATGCATCCTTCAGACCTGTTGCTCCACAATGATCATGGGCGCGCCATTGTGTCGATGCAGGCGGACTTTGAGTAAAGATACCATACAATGAAACAAACTATTGATAATCCTTGTAATGGAGTTGAGCCATTTGCGAACAAAGACAGGATATGGCTCCGCTTTCGAAAGGAGTGATGCACTACTGGGGGAGTTTTTTAACCGCAGTTCGTTGAGCCCTTGAGCAACATGAACAAGGCGCCGGGCGCCAGGGCATCCTGAAAATAATACGTGCGACTCAGGAACGGTACCGAAGCTCTTCGAATTAAGGAAATGGACCATCTGCACTCGAGAAGCCATTTTACTCTACGTCAAATGTCGCCATGCTTTTGTCTTTCTCCTCGATAAGGATTGAGAGCGTGATAATGGAACACGATCTTTGGTGGTCACCCGCACTCCAACATGATGGCCTGGCAATATAGCACAGTTTTCATTTCAACTGCTTCTTCAAAGAAGCCATCGGGACAGAAAAAAAAAGGGGGTGAATCGAGAACACAGCGTACGTGTCCATATAAGGACAGTGCCTACAGACTACAGTTCCTTGTTCTTGCAATTTCGTTACATTAGCTTCAAGTTGCTGGATAAAGACGCGTGTGCTTCGGTGGTGAATTGGCCGCTGCAGACCTAGCACACTCCTTTTCTCCATTTGCAGTCCCTAACGATGTTGCTTCAGCTAGTGGAATTGGGAAGGATTCTATCCCCTATATGGAGCGGCTTCAATCCTTAGTCTATGGAGCTCTCATGTACTTATAGTCCCTTCTCTTCTGATTTATTCTTAATGTATGCTTCCTACGTGGGCGGCCATTCATGGCTGCCGTTGACGGATGAGTTCTCGCAAGGAGAGATAGAATCCTATCTTTTTTTTAGAGCCTCGAATTAATTTTTTGAGGCGGAATTTCTTCAGCTTAAGACGACCTCATTAATCCAGACCATCCGTAGGTCTACTCCGCTTCGCGAGGCCCCTTTTCTACTGCCGAGATAGCGCGCTTTTTTTTTTTTTTTTTTTTTGAAAAGGAGCCCTGATCCCAGCAAATCTGTTCGTAGAAGCTATCCACAAGCAGATATTAACACTCGGCAGATTCCGCCCTTGTTTCCGCGTTCGCTTTTGAGCTGTTTTGGACACAGATGAGAACGACGTTGTCAACAGAGCTGTTTCTTTGACTAAAATTAGGGTTCCACAGCACAATAGCCTAGCCTTTGCTTTGCGCCTTAACCCCTGATCAAGACCCACCTGTAAGAATGAAATTTACCCCTTCGTACTTTATTTACTTGACTTGAGGTAACGGCTTTCACTTGTTCGGTCCCCTTCCTCCCTCTTTCTTTCTTTCTGGATCCTGTCCCTCTGAAATGCAATACAAGGGGGTGGGGGAGAGAGAGTAGTACACGGAGAGGCCAGGACACGAGCGACACCTATTCTCATCGCTCCCTCTTTTTGTGCGTCCTTTTTTCACACCCTCCTTTCTATCCAACCATGCTCGCGCGGCTCTCTCCTTCGGGGCGCTTCTCTGGCGCCGCTTCTTTGCAGCAGGACACCATAGATTAACTTGTTTCCATCGACTCAATTGATTTGGTCTTCTATACTGCGATCAGCTCCTCGGCTCTTACAAAGACAAACAGCTGTCTCCTATTCAATGCAATAGAATACCCTCCTCGTTCGTTTATTATCCACTGCATTTACTGCATTCGCTGTATCGAAAAGGCACACGCTTGAAAAATGGGGTAGTAGGCGAGTAACATCCCTCGTGTCCCTCTGGCGATCGTATAAATGCTGGCGTATTCCTCTTCCTTTCTTCCTTTTTCTCCTCTTTCTCCACTCAGCAAACACATTCCTCATCTTCAGATCCACAGTGACCAAGACTTTTCGCTATCTACCGCTGTTTTTACTAGCACTACTTCAAAATTTAACGCGTCAACCCTAGATCTCATACCGAACCACATCTATCCAGTAGTTTCTTGCCATCCATTCTCTTGATCCCCAAGTCATACACCAGGGATTCGTTTCTTTCCATCCTACAAACCTCAACGTCGTGTTTAAAGAGGCAGAAAAAAATGTCCAACCTCGTGCACGCTTCTGTTGGCATGGTCGTACCAACCTTTGTCGAGGTCCCTGCCATCATCAAGAAAGCAACAGCACCCTCAGTTCAAGTCAAGACCCTCTCGTTGAAGGATTTCCATAACCAGGAAACGCGGCCAAAGTTTCTTCAGGAGATGCGTGAGTCCCTGATGAGGATTGGCACGTTTTACATAAAAGATCATGGCATCGCTGCCAATATGACTACAGACGCCATGAAGGCCGTGCAAGAATACTTTGCACTGCCTTTAGAGGAGAAGAAGAAGATGTTGATTGGAAACAGCAGACACTTCCGCGGGTACAAGTTGCTGGGTACGTTTCATCGTAATATGTCTCCACTGGACACAAAAGGTCGTTTTCTTCAATGGCTTATGCAGCATGCAAGGCTCCTTGTACCCAGCATGTTTGATGGGGTTATCTCCTTCATTTCTCCTTGGTAGCGCGTTTCTACCGTTTACCATTTATAGCAGACCACTAATCGCACGCATTCTTCCCTCCTCCCTGAACATTTTGCTTGTCCACAGGTGATGAGTTCACGAACGACCAGCTAGACCACCGAGAGCAGCTCCAATTCGGTCCCGAGCAGGCTCCCATCGTGACCTTCAAGCCTTCCGTCTCTCCAGACTACGAAGGGCTTCAAGGACCCAACCAATGGCCAGCCTCGACCGTGGCACTCTTACCCCATTTCAAGCCCTGCGTCCTCGAATTCATGAACCAGCTCGAGACGCTATCTCAGCAATTGATGGAGGCCATTGGGCTGTCTCTGGGGTTGAGGAGTTCGTTTTTCCGCGACCTTTTTGGCCAGACCCCATACTACCGCTTGAAATGCGCAAGGTATCCTTCAGTCAAGAAGGGGAACACGATCGGATGTGGGGCCCACAAGGACACTGGTTTCCTGACCCTCCTTTTTCAGGACATGGTCGGCGGTCTGCAAGGCCAGGACCCCCTGACGGGTCAATGGATGGACACGAAACCTATTCCCGGGACAATGATTGTCACGATGGGCGAGGCGATCGAAAAGTTGACCGGTGGATTGTATCATGCCACAGTTCACAGGGTGTTGAACAACACGTCGGGCCAAGACCGGTATAGCATTCCCTTTTTCTTCGATCCTTCTTTGGACGCACAGATCGCTTGTAGGATCGAGGGCTTGGACACGAGCGCACAACTCGACTTTGTTACGAAGGCCGGGGAGAACAAGATCGATGAGCTGGTACATGGCTTGGGTATCACCACGCTCGAATCGTCAGAGCCAACAGAGACGTGGAGCAATGGTGCTCATGTCTTTGAGACTGTACATCGCTGCCATCCTGAGGTCTATTCGCGGTGGTACACTTGTGAGTTGTGAAAGAGCACAGCCCCCAAGGCCGATCTTTATTCCAATTCGGGCGATCCATACCCAGTTTTGCATTACCCCTCAAAAATTAAATAAAACATAGCTGCTATTACCATTCGCTTTTTTCTTCCGCCCAAGTATTCTAATAATATTGTTTTTTTCGTGCAACGGAGCGCGCCTTCATGGCATCAACATTGCTGCTGGCCTAATTGCTATTTACATAAGGATCCATATACTGCAGATCGCGTTGATGCATTCCTTTGCCCATATCCTGCAGATCGTATTGACGTGTTCCTTCGACCCCAAACAATGTGCTGATAAAAAACGAGCCTTGTTTGCAAAAGCAAACCATGAAAACCGAAAGCTGGTCTTTATTTCGGACAATTTCACAGGTTTGCAGGAATGATTGACAGACACCACCACTACCACAGAACGCATGGTTACAAAAAAGAAGACCGTTTTTTTGTTTAAGCCTTGAAGCCGCGGGAGGCACGGCGACCACGGGCCTTCTCGAACTTGCGACCCTTGCTCTGGACATAGGGCTTGGCGTGCTTGCCGGGACCCATGCCAAAATGCTTAACGGCCTCACGGGTGTTCTTCTTGCCACGGAGCAAGACAGTGTTGGCACCGGTGGGGGCACGGAGGGCGAGCTGATCAAAGGTGATGACCTCACCGCCAGCCTTCAAGACGCGGGCCTTGGCGGTCTTGGTGATGCGCAAGCAGGCAATCGACAACTTGGGAACCTCGAGGAAGCGGACATCATCAGTGACGGTGCCAACAACGACGGCGGTCTTACCCTCCTTGCCAGCCAGGTTACGAGCAATGCGGGAAACCGACATAGGGGGGCGGTTGACACGCGACATAAAGAGACGCTTCAAGACGACCTTGTTGAAGGAAGAGTCCGTACGGCGGGCGAGGAATCTGTAGAGCTGTCAGCATTAGAGACAAATAAACAAACAGTAGCGGTGAGTTTTCAGCATCCTTTGTTTGGTCGAAAGCGTAGCCCTTCTTAGGGAACTTGATGTCATTATTCTTCTAAAGATATTGGCTTTGATGCTCCTGCTGCAGATAGTGTGTAGTCCAAGTGTTGCGCGAAGGTTCACTGATGCAATCTGGAGACATCAGATTCTTAAAGGCCCTTCAAGCACTTTTGTGATTCATTCCGCCATGCTTTGAATCCAGAACTGGTCCACTTTCGAGTTGCCTCTTATCACCCTGACTTCACTCCAAAGCTTCCATATAAGGCGAGTAGGGACGACAATGGCACGTAGACGTAGAGTCAGCGTTGAAATGACTGTATTCCTCAGTGTGCTGCCCGTGTTGAAGGCGGCGTATAACGAACAGCGGTTGTTTGACTGAGATAAAAGTGGTTGCTGAATCATGTTTCGTGTTGCAGACCGTGTTGTAAGTCTGGTTGTCCCTGTGTTTCCTGGCCATTGTATCCGGGCATCCATGCATACCTTGACAAGCAACAACAGGTAGACATCCTCGGACTTGGGAGCCTGACGGTTCTTGTTGCGAACGTGGTGCTTCTTAATGTCAATACCCTATTGAAATAAGTATCAAAAGAACTGGTTAGTGTGCAAGATCAAAGGTCCATCATTGTCTTGGGTTCGATGGAAGGATTCCTTGGTCCTTGTCCTTTGGTGCTACTGTTGGAAAGGTTCAGAGCGAAAGGCGATCGGATTCCAGATCGTTAAGTGGACCAGTGGTGTCATCCTCTCCTTTACACTGATAGGAGAAAAAGAAAGGCAGAGTCGAGATAAGGGAGCTGATGTGGGTGGTTGCATCCTGTCCTAGATCTCATTCATTACTGCGAGTCGCATCCTGTATTCCTGCTTTGTAAACCTTTATACATAGTTGATTCAAAGGAAAACCTTCTTCTACCATCGACTTCCAGCTGAATGATGGTGGACACTGATGAGATTTTCGTCCAAAAGTGGCAAAGTCGAGCAATTGATGTGCAACAAGGTGCTCCCGTATGATACCGATCCTTGATCCTGTATCGCACCCCGATGAACGAGCAATGACAACGATATATCGATCGATGGATCACTGATGCCGGGAGTCGCATTGGATGTCGATAATGGGTTTTCTGGAATGTGTGTATCCGCTCTCTTCTCGTTCGTGACTTCTAACCATTTTTGTAAAGATTTAAAGCAAAGAGGGGGTTCGTCAAGTCCGCACAGGCAACACTCACATATTGAACGGACTTTTCAGCAGGCTACACTGAAATGAACCTTAGCCCTTAAGGCGGGCGAGAGATCTTTGTATACATCTCTTCACATTGGCACCAACACTTTTTTTTTACTCATCTTGCGCTGCTACCCTGTTTCCCCTGTATTCACTTTTCGATATGCCCACTGATTGAGACTAATAGACTTTACGAGAATAAAGCTGAAGCGTTTAGTTGCACAGTTGATATGGTGCGAAGTAACTGGTCCTTGTCGCATGCTGCTGTCTTCCTCTGGCCCACAATTTCACGTACTCTCGCGTTCACTCTTCTCCCAAAAGATAACACAACATAATGCTCCTTCAGGTGTATCCATGAATATCGTTTTCATGTCTGCGTATAAGTTGAGCAAAGATTAAACCAAGCGATCCCTCTGAAAGTGCCCTGACGTGTTGACTGTTCAACGCTCGCTGTGCATTTGGGTATGGACCATTCTGTGAGTAAAGATTGGTGTTGAAAAGGGATCGCACACCCCATTGAGAGTAGCATACAACACATCTAGTACTTAATAAACAAACTGCCAATTAGTATCATGAAGTCATTTGCCGTCGACTGTGCCCAAGTAGTGGCTTTGGACTGAACGACCTGTTCTATTTCAATCGCAGCGGTATCTTGGGGCGCTGACTTGATCGATCCTTTTCTCTTCTCATCCTTACATTCACTACCCTTACACTTACACATCATGGCACCAAAAAAGGAAAACAGCAAAGGTGCGACACGAATGGTTGCGAGCTTTGTTTTATGAATGTCTAGCATGCCGTCTTGAATGTAGCGCAGCTTCGAAACTGATCTTGGTTTATTTTAACTCGTGGCGCAACTCGTGTAGTGGCGGCTGCCAACGAGCGCAAGGCCGCAGCCCAAAACCAGAAGAACGCCAAGAAAGCTGTTGAACAAGAATCTGCCGAAGCTGCCGAGTGGTCAAAGGGCTCCAAGGCCAACAAGAAGGAAGCTGAGGAACAAAAGAGAGTACGTTTCTTCAAGTCGTTTTTGAAACATGACACGGATACGATCGATTGTCATGCGGCAGCCGGTTGTATTCGCATTCACACAATTAGTGCATGAGCTCATGATGTCAATCTATTTGATGGATCTTTCTTTGAATAGCAAGAGCTATTGGCCAAGAAGCGCGAGGCCCAGCGTGCCCTTGAGGAGGAGGAGAAGACTCTGAAGAGCAAGCCAAGCAAGCCCGTCAAGGGAGAGGAGGTAAGTCATCTTTGGGGACCCAGTTTTGAGCGCTGCAGGACCCTGACGGTCTTTTTTTCACGTCGAACAATTGATTCTAAACCTTTTGCATGTCTCTATGGCTTTCGATCCTAATATGATCTAGAAAAAAGCAGTGAAGAAGGCCCAGAAGGTCGAGGCATTCTCGAGCGAGACCAAGCCTGTGGAAGAGTTTTCTGCCTCGAACATTGATGATGCTCTTGACCTCCTAACGCTCACTGGACCCTCGACTGGCGGTTCTGGACAAGCACCCATTACCACCGGCAAGGGCAAGGATGTTGATCGTCATCCAGAGCGTCGTTTCAAGGTACGGAACATCATTTTGTTTGCGATTTGAAAATTCTAGATGGCGCAAGGGTATAAATGCTGACTTTGAATATGGGTTGTGATGATCATTAGGCTGCATTCGCTGCATACGTAGAGCGCGAGATGCCCATTTTGAAGAAGGAGCATCCTGGACTGAGACAGAACCAGATGCAGGATATGCTGTACAAGCAATTTCAGAAGTCGCCCGAAAACCCGTTCAACCAGGCCAACGTTCTTGCCTATGATGCCAACAAGGAGGAGGAGCGTGCGCATGTTGAGGATCGCAGACAGGGTATTGCTAGCCGCTTGAAGGCGTAAAGCAACGAACCAATGAAGGCGTTGTTTTTTCAACACCAAGGATAGATGCCGCAGTAAGACTTGACTAAGAATTGCACACAGGAGGGTCATTGTTGGGCGATATAATCATACAATTAAAGTAGAGAAACAAGAAGAGGATTTTTGAAGACACAGAAAATGCATTACATCGTACAATATGAACGCTCATATGAATAATGGTTTATTCTGGCAATATGAAGGTATGAAAGTAAGTAAAAGACGTATTTAGACTGTAGCTTCGAACTTGCAATGAGCTCTTTCCTTTAGACAACGACTTATACAGATTCCAGGTTAGAAAGAGCCAACTTGGCGATGCACTCTTCAGTCTTTCACTTGTCTCCGCTATAACCTTGCCCTGAGTCGTCTTGAATGTGTAGCTCTTTTCTTGCAGTGCATCTAGCAGACGTAGGGATGGCTCGAACTAAGGCATCTCATGCAAATGCAGAAGAATATCAGTATCAGACCAAGGAGATTGCAGCAGTCGATCGACATTGATAGCACAAATTGTGCTCGGCGACCGCAAGAGGCAGCTTCAAAGACCCACCGCTAGTTTTCTTTCTTTCGTTGCCTTGCTTCTCTTAAACTTTGCGAAATCAACATAGAGGACCTTGTCCATTTGATCCGCATTCTTGACGAAGAGAACTATGCTGGGAGCATCCATCGGCATACCTACTTGACGAATGTTAACAGCCAGCGATTATTCATCTAAGAGAAGATGCCTCGGTTCTTGACTGTTCAAAAAAAAAAAAAAAAAAAAAAGCGATACTTGAACTAGCATCCATACCTTCTTCTTCGATGCTGAGTCTAGTGCGTTGAGTTGATTGACCTTGATTTACGTACTCTTCTTTTTTTACTGTTGAGTTCGCAACTCTGCTAAACACTTACAGCAATGCCCCATGCATTGCACCCTATCAAGAAGTATTTCCAAAGTTGATCAAAGCCAGCGAAAAATGTCAAAGGGATTGTTCATACTGTATGAGAAAGTGTCTGCATGGGTGAGTACATATTGGTGGTTCATAGCGCTTTCCCTTTCAAGACTATGTTAAATGCTGACTCACATCCCATATCGCCCAACGTTGGATAGTGGATAGGTGCATCTCCGCTGGGTGGGACCCCGATTAAACGCGTGCAATTATAGATCCCTGAGTTTGGATGTGCAATTAAGGAGGGATCCTGATGACGTTGCAGAAGAGCGGCAGCAAAGCGGCTTAAAGGGCAGGTCCAGAGGTGTAAACAGAACAATAATAAGGCCGAGTCTTCCGCCTCTTTTTCGAAACTAATCCATCTTCTTCCCCCTCTCCCCTCATCCCCCACCCCGTCTCCGTGGATTAGACCATGTACGCCCTTCGCAACATCTCGCGTCTCTCCAAGAGCGCTGCCGCCATCAAGACCGCCCCCAAGGCTTTCAATGCCGCCTACATGAAGAAGGGTAAGGATCTCATCACTCATCATCCTTCCTTCTAGGAAACCAGCAACAACACCCAACAGGAACATGTCTTTTTCGCAGCGCCCCACACATATCCTATACACACCACATACACGCTTTTATTTCTTGCCATGGTCCCATTTGTTTCTTTTATCGTTTCTCGCACTCAATATCAATTATCCGCTATCATCAACTCGCGCTTCCTTGCCTCACACTGCCCTCCCCTCACCCATGCCTGGCATATTCCCACACAACCAACCAAATGCGACAGCTTTTTCAGTGGACGATCCGCCACTGCTGATCACACAGCTAAAACGTAGCAGCACTTGATGAGATGCCGGCAGCAGAGATCGTCTCGCCGCATCACACACACTTGTCTCTTCCGATGGGGAGGATCAATCGAATCGGAAGCGGTGTTTATATTTTTACCTGTGATATTTTTTGAGCCTTCCGGGGACGGTCTCGATCTTTTGGTGCCTGGTGCCTCAATCTGAATCTCAGTCCAGCAACGCCTCCCTGTCCATAAGAAAACTCCCCAACACACTGGTTGCCGAACGTTACGGGATCGGATGGATCGGATGGCCAGTGGCCAAGTCTGATCATATAGGAATCGATCTATCGAGCAGATCGCACTGATCCTGCAGTGTTTCTGTCTATTCTTTTATTGGACCTCCACTGAATATTCGACTGGACTCTCTTTTAATTGGGCCATTCATTCAACACCACCAGTGAACGTCTTCAGTCACTCTTACGACGGCCACTAATACAATTCCTATCTTTGTTCGATTCCATCTCGCTCTTAGCTGGCTATGCCTCTGAGGCCAAGTCCGCCGGTCAGATTCGCTCCGTCATTGGTGCCGTCGTCGACGTCCAGTTCGACCAGGGCAAGCTCCCTTCCATTCTCAACGCCCTCGAGGTCAAGAACTTGGACCGTCGTCTGGTTCTCGAGGTCGCCCAGCACTTGGGAGAGAACACTGTCCGCACCATTGCCATGGACGGTACTGAAGGTTTGGTCCGTGGCCAGCCTGTTGAGGACACTGGCGCCCCCATTACCATTCCCGTCGGCCCCGAGTGCTTGGGCCGTATCATCAACGTTATTGGTGAGCCCATCGACGAGCGCGGTCCCATCAACGCCAAGCAGACTGCCCCTATCCATTGCGAGGCTCCCGAGTTCGTTGACCAGTCCGTCGTCCCCGAGGTTCTCGTCACTGGTATTAAGGTCGTCGACTTGCTCGCCCCCTATGCTCGTGGTGGAAAGATTGGTCTCTTCGGAGGTGCCGGTGTCGGAAAGACTGTGTTCATTCAGGAGTTGATCAACAACATTGCCAAGCACCACGGAGGTTACTCTGTCTTCGCCGGTGTCGGAGAGCGTACCCGTGAGGGTAACGATTTGTACCACGAGATGATGGAGACCGGAGTCATCAAGCTGGACGGCGAGTCCAAGGCCGCTCTTGTGTTCGGTCAGATGAACGAGCCCCCAGGTGCCCGTGCCCGTGTCGCCTTGACCGGTTTGACCATTGCCGAGTACTTCCGTGATCAGGAGGGTCAGGATGTGTTGCTCTTCATCGACAACATTTTCCGTTTCACCCAGGCCGGTTCCGAGGTGTCTGCCCTGTTGGGTCGTATTCCCTCTGCTGTCGGTTACCAGCCCACCCTTTCCACCGACATGGGAGGAATGCAGGAGCGTATTACCACCACCAAGAAGGGTTCCATTACCTCCGTCCAGGCCGTCTATGTGCCCGCTGATGATTTGACCGATCCCGCTCCCGCCACCACCTTCGCTCACTTGGACGCCACCACCGTCTTGTCCCGTGGTATTTCCGAGTTGGGTATTTACCCCGCTGTCGACCCCCTCGATTCCAAGTCCCGTATGTTGGATCCCCGTATCGTCGGTGAGGAGCACTACGAGACCGCCTCCAAGACCCAGCAGATCCTCCAGTCGTACAAGTCCCTCCAGGATATCATTGCCATTTTGGGTATGGACGAGTTGTCTGAGGAGGACAAGCTGACTGTCGAGCGTGCTCGTAAGATCCAGAAGTTCTTGTCCCAGCCCTTCACTGTCGCCCAGGTCTTCACTGGTTCTGAGGGTCGCTTGGTCAAGCTCGAGGACACCATCCGCTCCTTCAAGGAGGTCCTTGAGGGCAAGCACGATCACTTGCCTGAGGCTGCTTTCTACATGGTCGGTGACATTGAGGACGCCACCGCCAAGGCCGCCAAGATTGCCGCTGAGATCTCTGGCAACTAAATTATCGACTCGACTCCCCAATGCCGCGCCCTCCTCTCTCATCCCTGTCATCTCGGTTTAAAAAACAAAATACAAATTCTTTTCACTTTCGCTTTTCCCGCCATGTTCGATACGATTCAACCCTACTCTTTTTTGTTCAAAACACGCCGTTCTCCGTTTTTATAAATTGATACAAGTATTTTCAAATACAAACCCCATCTTTAAACAAAAAGGCGGACGAAAAAAAAAAATATACAGCATTCATTTCAACATTATGTGAAGAGAGTACAGTTAGATACGTGGATAGGTGAAGGTGATAATTGCACAGCAAAATATCCCCGGTTGTGGGACAAAGGGCCGAAAATGGTCAGTTTCTTGTAGGGAGTGAACTGTAACCGGCTGCAGCTTGCTGTGTTCCCATTTTGTTTGTCTCAATAGTCTATGCGTGCCGATGTTTACGATCGGTTCCTAAACTGATAAACAACTTGTCAACAACCATGTCGTGGGATAGGGTGGACTCCGAAGTTTATTCTACCTAGAGGAGCGGAGACTGACTACGGCACAGGCTCTTCCTTCCAATTCGTGTGGAGAAAGTCGTGGAGAACACTTGGGTACGTAGGAATGCGTTACTGAGTATAATCGCGTCGAGTCAAGTCGTCGTAATAAAGTGAAAGGAGAGTGGGGCGCTGCGATACGCGATTGTCTTCAAGAGACATGGAGAGGACACTGGTCTATTGGATTGGTCTGGGAACAAAAGAAGCGTGGTCCATAAGCATGTGAGGCTCCTTTGAGGTCTTAGACTGGCCTTGTTGGTTAGCCTTGCAGGAAGAGATGTCCCCAAGATCTCTTTGAAAGTGACAAAGGTCCTTCTGCTTAGCCGAGGAAGGGCGGTCAAAAAGATCGGGCTGGTTCCTGAGGACTACATACCACTCCGGGACAATATATACATGACTAGAGATTGCTTCGTAGCTAGCCCTTGTCTGTAGGGAAAGGTGTCTTGGTGGGTGGATGTCCACTCCGTATGGCATGGCGCCCAGTGGGGGTGGAGTGGAGACGAGGTCTTCTGTCATTTCCTTCGCTTCGAGTGAATCTTTGTTTTCGAGTGAGCCGTGGATGCGCGGAAGAAAGTGTCACTTTCGTCTTCGGATGAGAAGTGACAAGCGTGGGGTTTTACTGCCTGCAGCAGGGCCCTGTTACTGAGGCTGCTTCTGTTTATGTTCTCCCTACATTCGTGGTGTAACCCAGCCGGAAGGTCGCTCTCCGCTCTTCGGACATATGGTGTTGGCTTCAAGGGTAACCAGGTGCACTCATAGCACATATGGTGTCGTATGGGACAGCACCCTTTCTTCATGTGGCAATGGGGGAGAGGGGGCCCAAGACTTACCCCACATGCACATATCCACTTTATTATATAAGGTAGCCATCCTTCCCTTCTTTCCCTTCTTCTTTCCTCTTCTCATCGAATCACTCACCCCTCCACCTTCCTTCATCATCTCATTCCTCCTCCTCCTCATTCCTCCTCCTTCTTTGTTCCTTCCCTCGCTCGTCTTATTTTTTTAATCCAACCGAGACAGATACCAAATGGAGCCTTCGTCAACCACAGCTTCTGCCCGTCTCGCCGCGGTGCAGAACCACCTCACGATCCAGCCATGCTTCCAGCGGTATGCGATCCACAACGATAAGCCCACAGGTCCCGCTGATCTGGCCCGCGAGCGTGCCAATGCATCCTTCAAGGTCGAGGACATGACCGAGGTCATCCTCCGCGGCAAGGAGAACGTCGAGGCCCTTGTACGATCACACATTCCTTAGACTATGCAGCTCATTTGCTATGCCGATGCAGTGCAAGATGAACACAACTGACTGACATTTTATCCGCTGCCCTCTCGTTCAATTGATTCACGGGTACATGACATTAGAACATCGCGTTCCAGCTGATCCAGCGCGACCCGGACCTGCGCATGCGTGAGGGCCACCATTATGACTTGACCAGGGCCCAGGACCGTGAGCAGACAATGCGCCAGATCGCCCGCACGCTCGAGTTGAAGAAGCAGATCAAGGACCCTCGTCTTCATCAGGCCTTGTTCATGGCCATGGCCTTCTATTCCGAGTCGTACTCGATGAGGATGTATGTCCACGACATGTTGTTCAAGCAGGCGTTGTTGCTCTTTGGAACTGCAGAGCAGCAGGATAAGTGGATGGACGATATCGAGAACTGGAGAGTCATTGGATGCTTTGCCATGGTACGCAGGCCAGAAATTATGAACTGAACGCCACCGAATCGATGCTCTGAGGAGTAGAATGTGTTGTGCTAACAGAGGAACGTTCTTTGGTTATTCGATTCTGGGTTACGTGTAGACCGAGTTGGGACACTCGTCCAACTTGCGCGGTTTGGAGACGACTTCGACCTACGATCGCGCCACCAACGAGTTCGTGATCCATTCGCCCACCTTGACCGCCACCAAGTGGTGGATCGGCATGTCTGGCGAGACTGCAACCCACACCGGTAAGAGCAGTGACCAATTTTTCGTATATGTATTCAGTATTCAGAATACAGTCGTGAATTCCAGATGCAAGGAACAACTTGGGGTTCCTACAATGCTTCTTATGCAGCCGACCCACAGAACGTGTTCATCATGATCGTTTTCACGGGCAAGGGCTGGCAAGAAGGAGGGGGGGATTTGTAGTTTAAAGTGACAACTTTATATCCGCTCCCGCCCCGCTCCTCCACAAGCGATTTGATTCTTCGTGAAACCTTTACCTAACCATAAGCTTTCTTTATTTGTTGCTATGGAATAATAGTTGCTATTTGCCAAACCGTCGTTGATGGAGAGAGCCACGGTATCAACTGGTTCATCGTTCCCCTCCGCGATCCCAAGACCGGACGCCTCTTGCCCGGTGTGACCTGCGGAGACATCGGCCACAAGTCCTCTCGCCAGGGTCTCGACAACGGCTGGATCCAATTCACACAGGTCCGCATCCCCCGCGAGAACATGTTGATGAAATGGGCCTCGATGAGCCCCGAGGGTGAGTTTACACCTTCGCCTAACCCTGTCCTGTCCTATGCGACCCTCATCCCCGAGCGTTTCACGATCCTGAGCGGATCCCAAGTCGTGTTGGCCCAGACCTTGACAATCGCCGTCCGCTATGGAGCCGTCCGTCGCCAGGGTAACCACGACGAGCAGATCTTGGACTACCAGACCCACTACACCAGCTTGATGCCCGGAGTTGCATTCATCTACATGCTTAACATCGTCGACCGTGAGCTGTTCGATAAGTGGGACGAAGTTGCTGAGTATGCCCAGACGGACGCTGGTGCGTTTATGCGCGAGATCCCTGATCAGCACGGAGTCTCGGCTGGTTTCAAGGGAGCCTTGGCCTGGTACGTGACCGACATCCTGGAGTCTTGCCGTCGTGCCTGCGGTGGTCACGCTTATTCCGCTTACAACTCGATCGCTGGACTGATCGGCGATTATGGTGTGGTCACGACCGGAGGTGGAGACAACGTGGTGTTGATGCAGCAGTCGGCTCGCTACCTGATTACCACCCTGAAGTGGGCCCAGGAAGGCCAGGAGGTCGTCGGATCCGTCAGCTACTTCAACGACTACAAGAAGATCCTCCAGAACCCCAAGACCACACTCCAGGACCCTCGCGATCTCCTCAACCACGATTTCGTGATCGATGTCCTGACCTGGGCTTGTGCCAAGAAGGCGACTGACTTGGGCGCGATCCTTGCGGAAGCTGGCAAGGCCAACTTCGACCAGGCTTGGAATGCCAACCAGACGGAACTGGTTCGTCTTGCAGATGTGCACGCTTGGAGATACTTCTTGATCTTGTACCAGCGTGGTATTGACCGCGAGAAGAGCAAGACTGTGTACCCAATGTTGCGCAAGATGGGTCAGTTGATGAGCACTTTCGCGCTTCAGAAGCACTTGGATCTGTTCATGGAAGAAGGATACTTTGATGGCTCGCACTCGAAGATGGTGCGCCAGCTGTTCTTGGATCAGTGCAAGGAGTTGCGCAAGGATGCGGTTCCACTGGTGGACGCCTGGATCATTCCTGATTATATCATCAAGGCGCCCATTGGAAAGTATGATGGAAACATCTACCCGGCTTACTTTGCCACGGTCAACGAGGCCCAGAAGTCGTTCGACCCTCCAGCGTACTGGCACAAGTATGCGTCACCCTTGGTCAACGCCCCTCGCCCTGGTGAGAAGAAGGGATGCCATTGCTAGATTGTCGTCAAGTAACCGTGCACGCGCAATATAGACCGGGAAGGACGGAGTGAGATGGAGATATATCCTTGTACAAAGACCAAAATAAAGCTGTTCAGCAGAGCAATTATTGTAATACTACGCCTTTATGAGGAAATGTTCATCTGGAGGCAGGGTATCTCGTAGGATGATGGCGCCAGGGATGCATACCATGGTACGAACCCGGATATACTTTCCCCGGAGTGCGGCGCGGCCACTCATTGGGCTGAATACATTTTGTGGAGTGCAAGAAAAAAGTGATCGGCAGTCACTCTCGTGCCCTTCTCCCCCCCCCGAAGCAATAGAAGGATCTGCATCCTCCGCTTCTCTTCAACGCACTCTCCACTTTCCACTTTACTTCTCTGGCCAATTCTTCGTCCCCATTTCATATACCTTCAACATAAGAATGTCATCCATGCAAAGCACTTCACTCTTCAGCGTCAAGGACAAGGTCGTCCTCGTCACCGGCGGAGGTCGAGGGTAAGATCCCTTCCTTTTCTCCTTCACCAAACCAGTACTTTTTTTCCAGTCTGTTGATCATCACTTTGACTTTTTCCTGTACCACTCTACTTACAACTGAGTTTTCCATTGATGCCAACAGAATCGGATTGATGATCGCTCACGGATTCGTGGCGAACGGCGCCAAGGTGTACATCTCCTCTCGGTCCGCAAAGGTGTGTGACAAGGTCGCGGAGGAGCTGTCGAAGCTCGGTCCTGGCCAGTGCATCTCCATTCCTGCGGACCTCCAGAGCCTGGATGAAGTCAAGCGCTTGACGGCCGAGATCGCCAAGCGTGAATCGAGTAAGCAACAGAAACGCAGAAGATGAAGGAGAGACGAGAAGAGAAAGGAGAGACGAGAAGAGAAGAAGAGCGTCGATCGAAAGCCCTGTACCAGGATTTGGTGAAAGCTGATGTACATCATATTAATGCAAATGCTGTACCATGCATTCGATTTGTCTTTTCGTGTGAACAGAGGTCCATGTCCTCGTCAACAATGCCGGTGCCAACGTAAGTCCATCCACATTCCAAGCGTAGCCTATGCCCTTTTTTTTTTTTTTTTTTTTTTTTTTTTTTTTTTTTTTTTTTTAAATTGCCTATCCTTCCATTCTTCTGTTTCATCTCACGCTCAATGTAATCAATGTACAAATATTTCCTCTCTTTCTCTCTCTCTGTCTTCTAGTGGGGCGAATCGATCAACACCTACCCTGACCAAGCCTTCGAAAAGGTTCTCAACCTGAACCTCAAACGCGTCTTCTCGCTCACCCAATCCATGCTCCCCTTGCTCCTCGCCGCTGGCACCTCCTCCTCCCCTGCCTCCATCATCAACATCGGTTCCGTCGATGGTATCCGTAACCCCAGTCAAGAGACCTATGCCTACTCGGCTTCAAAAGCCGCGCTCCACCAAATGACCCGCGTCATGGCTGGACATCTGGGATCCAAGCATGTCACCTGTAATGCGATCGCTCCAGGACCCTTTGAGAGCAAAATGATGGCACAGACGCTCAAGGACCATGGGGATGAGATCGTGGCGGGTGTGCCATTGGGACGAATTGGACAGCCTGAGGATATCGCGGCCACGGCGATTTATTTGGCATCCAGAGCTGGTGCTTACACGACCGGGGCGATTATTCCCGTCGACGGAGGAGTCTTGGTCGCGGCCAAGGCATAAAGTAATGTCTCGTTCAGCGTGAAAGTCTGGTAGTCTGTCATTTTTGTAATAAATCGAATGAAAAAATATTTTGATCGCTCAAGGTCGAGCTCGCTTGCTTTTTTTTTTTATTTGACCTGTAAATTTTCCTGTCAAATCTCTTGATAAAAAAAAAAAAGCAAAGACGCCAGCAGGACAGTATAGCCCTCCCACTCTCTAGAGCGCCAAGAAAGATCCCATGAGTGCGGTTCCAGCCGCAAGAACCAAGGCCGTGAGACCCTGTCCATGACCATGAATCAATCCATTCGCAGTGTTGGGCGTAGTACTCGTGTTCATCGGTGCGATCACTTGAACTGTCGCCTGCCAGTAGTACACATTGGGTCCTGTACCTGGAGATGTAGGTGGTCCAGGGATCGGGATCAAACTCGTCGATCCAGCTTGCACGGAGGAACTGGTCGGGGTCGCGACACTGCTGATAACGCTGCTACTGCCGGCGTTAGGGACTGAGCTCGTGCCTTGAGCAGTCGTGTTAGGTGTGATCACCATGTTGAGCTGTGAAATAAAAAAAAGGGATGGTTAAGATCCTGTGCAGAGTTAAAAAGAACAGCTGGACAAGATTTTTGCAAAAAGAACGTACAATGTACGCGCCCACGGGGTACTGAGCGGCGGTGACATTCCAGGTCTGGGTGGCCTTGAGAATGGCGCCCGAGGTGATGGAGACGATCGTGGTGTTTGACGACCCGTCCTTCTTCGCGACCGAGATGTTAATCGAACCTATACATTCGAACGAGAAATATGAGGATGATAAATGTGTCAGTAACTGGTTGCCTGAGCAAGGGCTCATAATGCCGGAAGAAAGAGCGGGTACAGTAAAGAGTACAAAGCATGGGAAAACTCATTCTTTGCTCTCACTCTCACCCTCATCGACTGGATTCTGTGCACAAGGCGTTCTCAGCTGATAAACACCGCTCTACCGGTGATGCGGCAAGAACGAAGGTTGAGAAAACAATGGTAACTTACTGATGGGTCGCTGGTCTTGGATACTGGCCGAGATGGACAGCATGGTACCCTGGATGACGGTCATGCCATTGTAGGGCGAGGTAACCTGGAGACCCGGGGTATTGATGAACGCGGATTGCGACGGCGTTGGTACCGTGGCCGAGGTCGATGTCGTAGCTGTGCTGGTGATGGCAGCATGAGAAGTGGTAATTGACGACTGTGCCTGAGTACCGGACAGGTACTGGGCGCAGGTCAAGGCGATGAAGAACAGGGGTTTGAAAGAGGTCTTCATAGTGAGGTTTCTTCTGCTGGGGCAGTGTGAAAATGTGTTGGTTAGGTGCGGACTGGTTAAAATTGTGGAGGAAGAACTTTAATAGCTTCTTTTTTTAGTACCTTTCGGGATGAGATGAGGAATGGGCTGGCGGTTGAGGAGGAGGAGTGAATGAATGAGTTGGGTGCGGAGGAGCGGTGGGGTTGGCCGGGTACAGGTAGAAAGGAGAGGGGCGTTATGGGATGTGGTGTTAGGGTATAGGAGGGCTGAGGGACAAGGAAATGTCTGTCAAGGATGGAGGTGGTCGTGTGCCTGAAGAAAAGAAAAAGAGAAAAGAGGAAAGAAAGAGAGGAAAGTAGTTTCTTTAACAATATTCTTTCTTCTTCCGCGACTGCATGCCCTTCCACCCATTCTCCTCTCCACACGCAGATCTCCCGTCTGGAGGTGCAAAATGCTCTCCTTTCACAATTCAGGCTTTACTGCCCGTAAACTGCTCAACCGTTTTTGTTTGCTTTAACAATCCCTCATTCTGTGAAATGTACAAAACGCGTAGCACAAAGAGCCTTCGCCTTTAATGCCTACTGCTTCCGTACTTTCCAGCCGACAGGGCGAACAGTTGATTCGTGCTACTTTAATGATGGCTCTCATGCGGAAAAAAAACGAGCACAACATCGCATAACACGCTAATGAAAGGGCAGAGGCACAGGCACAAGCGCGGACAGGGTGCGTTCTTAGGACGACCGACCCACACCCGCTACTTGTTATGCAGACATTAATGGTTGGTACTCCCAATGGTTGCCCCAGAACCTAAACGAACATGCGTCAACACAGGGCCATGTGAGAATCGATTTATCCATGAAACGGGGTAGTAAGCAAATAAGAACATATTCAATGTCTTCCATACCCTGCTGCAAGAATGCCACCTGCACCTTTCCATGGCATCTGAGGACCAGTGACAACTAAAACACATAAAGGTCACGTCGTTAGATACCTGTGCCCGTTATTATATCAAAAAGGATAGTGCTTATTGGCCTTACCCCAGTCAGGCACTAGTAGGCCAGTACGCTTGGGAAAGAGTCGTGCTGCAGTTTCCAGTCCTTGAACATCTAGTCCTGCGATTACCATCGCCAAGTTGGACGAACCCCATGGTCGGATCATGAGAAGCCCGGTTCCTGGTTCACGGAACTCGTTCGAGGAGGCAATCTCGGACTTTGGTAGGATGGATACAACGCCACTTTGGCTATCAATGGTCACTGGAAATAAAATACATGTCTGTCAGTGCTGTGGCAAGGCGCCAGTTGCAGGTAAAACTCCTCATGTGCGTATGTTATCACCTTCTTGCTCCGATTGAATGAGGATGTGGTTCGTAATAGTATTTTGGTGGCTATCGCCAATCAACACTAGATTGGGTCTCTCTTCTTTGCTATGCTCGATATCTCCGATAGTAGCGAGGTATTCCTCGTCCGTATAGATTTCGACGTCGCCCCTTCCGTAAAGAAAAATATCGTGCGCGACAAGTTTCGCGATCCGATCGGCTGTGCTGAGCAGCTCTGGGGAGACCAAATGGGTGGTCCCTATTACGATGACAACCCGCTTTTCAAGCACCTGGATTGCTGGTCCATATGTTTCAGGGTGTCGCTCAGTCGCGGTCCACTCGTTAGAATCATCAAACTATATGCAGATGATCAGCGAGCGACACAGTAATTATAGCTATGGGATTATTGAAAGATACAGAGCATCCACCACGACCGTTTCCGAAGAGTTGACATACCTGCCAACGATCTCCTTTTTTCGAAGTTCGTTCACGGATAAATGTGCTTGATGATAATGGCGCATCTTTTTGGAGATTAAATGTCATCCCGTCGATGACGATCGTCGAGATAGAGCCACGCCGTGCCTCCAGACTAGGCGAGTCAGCGAACGAGAATCGGCGAATATTTGTCGTTTGCAAGACCCAGATGGTTGAAGCCCCCTTAGATCGCTCAGTCTGTTCGTCGCCCAAGATGCTGACCTTGATCGTTCCTTTTCTACATAGACGTGAAAAAAGTCGTTCAAAAATGCGAGAATTGTGGACACCGGCGTACCCTCGATAACTTTATGTCCATGACCTGCTTACCTGAATGGGATCTGTAATTGTTCAACTTGAATGCCGCCTTTTGACCCCATGCCCGCAGGGTTGATAACAGTAATCTTGAATGACTTTGAAAATGGAAGATGGACTACAGCTTTTTTGTCATACTGATCCTCTACAGCACCTTCAGATTTCGACACTACATCATCGTGCAAGTGCTGTTTCAAGAAACCTTGCATGGTTCCGTCGTGCAAAATGTTTGTAAACCAATGCCCACCTCCCGAGATTTCAGATAAACTGGGCGTAAAGATTACATCGAGTCAGCACAAAGATTTGTCAGGACGATCGATGGCATCGTAGTGAACGCTATGCAATGTACCTGATTGAAGAGAAATTGTGAGAGTTTTCTTGCCCCAGACGAACCATCTTGCGAGAGTTGAACGGAGGGACATTGTTGTCTGCACTACCTGTTCTTGCCAAGGTCGGGATGCCCACCTAGGAAGAGAGCAAGAAAACATATTAAACAGCTGTTCAGCCCAAGGTCACTCTCCTTGAGCATATATACGTACAGCATTGGACATATGAACATCGTTGTCAAACTCAATAATGGACGACTCTAGCAGCTGCATTATTCGAAAATATAACATAGTGTTCAGTTAGAGTGCACTAGACATTTGCTCCGCATGTGACTAGATATCAGGAGGACTCAAATTTACTCCACGAAGATAAGAATCCGTATGCGAGTTGCTTAGCCAACCAAGAAACGGTACATATTGCTTGATATTCACGTATCCAGCAGCGGGTGTGGCTACGCGGTAGGAAAAAAAAAGAAAAGAAAAAAAGACCAATTATGAAAGATGTTTAGACAGTTCCGTATCACTCTTAGTAGAATAAAAGATTGAGAGTGCACCATCGAACGAACCTGCGATCGCCTTGTCGGGAAAATGTGTCACGAGAAACCATGCTCCTTGGCCCCCATTGCTGTGACCGGCCATGAATAGTCGTTCAGGATCGGGCTTAATGCCAGGAATGTTCTTAACTGCGTCGGGGACCCCTGGTAACTTGTCTGCAAGACTATGGATAGCATTCATGGCATTCTTAACGCTCGCTCCATGCCAGTCGTACCCCCTACAAGCACATGTACAAACGTGGGGTTTAGTCCGTGCCCGACCCACAGATATGGCGCCTCAGCTTGGTCAAGTAATACCGTACCAAGGCGAGCGTCCTGTTGGTAACACGATCTATGTCGAGAGTGTTGAAATGTACGGTAAGAGTTCGATGCCTTTCAATGAAGGTCGATGGATACTTTTCATATGGAGTATATATAGCGCTTACCCAAGTCCTTTCTCGTTGAGTATACTCTGCCAACCAGAACGGACTCTGTGCAACTTCGACACCTAAGAAAATATTATGCTATCAGTCGCCGTTGTAGATATACTAAGAATAAGAGAGTAGATGCACGACCGAGACCTACCCGCTCCATGGAGGGCTACAATGACGGGTGCAGAGTCCAACGGCTGCGACGACGGTTTGCTCGGTGGAATGGCAGCAGCATAATGAACAGTGCCGTCAAAATCTAAAAAGGTGTACTTGTACACCTTACCCCATTCCTTTTGTTCGATGCGAATTAAATCGGTTTCGAGTGCCCCCGTCGATTTTTCCATGTTGTTGCCAGATCTCATTATAGCCAACTCGAACCTTAGAGAAAATTCCAATCCCTGAATACGTTGGCCCTCCTGCAAGCTAAGGCGAATAGTAACCGGACGATGGGTTCCAGGATACAGACTAATGGATCTCAACTGCTCTTTCAATTCTGCTGAGAATTGGTTGGAACCATGCTCGACTTTGACCGACCTAACAAGAACCCTCTCTGGACCCACATTCCGGAGCGCCACACTGATATACTCGCCAGCGAGAGCATTATCCACAGCATCCATGACAACATATCCTCCATAGCCCTCCTTGGCTACCTGAACCATTATTCCGTGATCATGCTGTGTTGTCCGCGGTGCCACCTTGAGTTCGCATCGGAATTTGGAAGGCGGTGGCAACACAGCGCCACCAAATATTCGCACCTCATGAATGACTCTTACAGAGATGGTATGTCGAGTGTTAGGAGCCAGACGGAGGGTATGTCGCGTGAGACCATATCCGTACCAGTCGCCTGAGAGCCGTTCGCTGTCGACATAAAAGTCACCGACGTTTTCGCACTGGATGGTGACAGAACATTTACCATCTTCATTTGGTGGAAAGCATGAGGCAATGGAGGGCACGATAAAAGATGAGCGAGCCCAGGCTTGGAACTGGTTGAATGCCCAGCCCATAAATTGCTGATTGAATTTCCAACTGGCGATTCAAGAAAACCATAATAAGTCGTCAGAAGTCGAAAGCGTTGGCATTGAACGGACAGAACGATCGAGCATGTAACGTACTCGATCTCAGGATATAGAACATTGATCCATCCTTCTGAGTCTATTTCCGTAGTATGCCACCGCACGATTCCATCCTTCGCCAACTCTGATGGGTATTTTGCGTCCTTGTCATATGGGAGGTTCCTGAAACCGCCTACAACATTGCATAGTAAAAGGGTTGAAAGGAAAGTCAGTAGCCTTATACGCGAAATTGCAAGTGCACTTAGTAAAGCCGCGAATTTGGACCACAACATACCGAATGCTTCCAAAGGATCTGCGCCGAAATCCTGCTCGCGCATCCCTGTCGGGAAGGGTCCCAGGACCTAATTTATCAAATACGACGATTTGTGTTATGTTGAAGTTACAAGAGAAGGGTTACATTTCTTTGCAAATTGGACAGCCCTTCTTGCCTGCCAGCTCCTGTCCATTGATATCGAAAGGTTATCTTCCTTTCTGGTGACAAAAGTTGAATCGGTACTCATAACAGTCTGTCCATGATCCTGTATAACAAGGTCCTCGAACAAAGAAGGCCGGCACTCGATGGTGGCTCCGATGCTAGCGATGAGCATGGTCAGCGTAATTGCAGAATGGGACCTCATCAGCTTCCAATGACCCTTGTTTGTGTTGAATTCGGATGAGGGGAAAAGACGGAAAGCTTACATTGGTGGTCGACCCTGTTACTACAAAAGGGGAGATAAGGTTTTCACGTTTGTGCCTCGTGGGAAAATGCCGCTCAACTGAAACACGCGCGTCAAACCTAAAGACGCCAAACGCCAATGGACTCGCGTCGCGGTCTTTGATCGTTTCAAGGTTTTTACGAAGCCTGCATTCAAAGATTGCAACATCTTTGTCAATTGAACAAGAGAGTAGCGCCTTTTGGAGATAAAGAAGCGCCTGCGAATGGCTACCGCTGCAATCCGAAATGGCTTTCCTGAGAAATACATGACCACATTGAGAAGCAAAGGATTCGCAATGGCTTTATCTACTAGATCGAATCCTCGAGGATAACTGTTAAATAGCAAGATTTCTCTCCAAGGACGCTCTATCTCTCCACTACATACCAAGACTCAACATACTCAGTAGCACCTCAACCGCCCATACCTACAACGCACATTTTTAGCCCGACTAAAAGCACCAATCTACAAAACCAACAATATGAATCAGGTAATTTTAAAATCAAATGCACCTGTCATCTTGGCACTGCGATCAAGATGGAGATACTAACATTTTGATAAATATCAATTCTTCCCCGTTGCCGAACTAGAACACGCACGTGCCTGTGTGCATGAACATAAATGGCACGCTAGTCCATGGCACAAAAACGACGACGACTTCCACGATGACTGAGGCAATGAGTCAAGGTAACACACGGCATTGAATGATTTCATGCGCTACTACAGCGGTAAAATATTAACATCTCTTTGACCGAATTTTAGGATTCGGGGCCCCTCTCATCATTGTTGTCGAACAAAGAAAGGATGAAGTAGTCAAGGCTGTAATAGGTGGCGAGACTGTAATCCAGCATTCTGCGGTAAGAGCTCGGCCCCATTATGTTTAACCTGGCTCTCCCTCGGCGAACTGCACACTCACATTCACATTCATTGGCCTACCATATTTTCTTGTACAATTTCATCCTCGCATTAAAAATAGTCGCGATGGAGAACTGAATATGGTGACGAGATCCGCGACACTTACGGGACTGAAGTGAGATGGTGTAGCGTATCCAATGGGCAATGGCAGCTGCTCTAGTCTCATTTATCCTGTACACACACACTCGCGCAAACAAGATGAGGATACACAACCTCAGCCGATGTCTTTAGAACATTAATCGCTTTATAAAATAAATTATGATACTTTGTATATAGTCACTTGTTCCGGATTATTTAGCTTATAAACGAATCGATGCCAAGCATAGCAATCGACCAATTCCAGGTAGCTCCCCACCCTTCTAGAACTACATGAGGATTTTTTTAACGCTTCATATCAAGCTTATAACATAAAAAGATATAATATCTATCCTCCAAATAATATCTCCTACATGTTTATGAGACCCACTGATGAGCTTATTGGGTGTAGAGCGCATCATCCTTCCACGCGGCTTGAAAGAGCACCATGTTATCTATAAAAAACACATCCGAGTACAATAGACCACCATGCCTTCCACTTCTATCGTTTCTCATCATCTCCATCATTTCTTCTAAAAAAAATCAGACAGCGATAGCTCCATCAACACCTCTGTATATCGCTTTCAATTTTTACGAAATCATAAAGGCAGTACATTTTACAACATAATATCATAAGTTGGAAGACTTGACGCATTTCTGCTTTTAAATGCACTCTCAGACCTTCACACCTTTGAAATGACTGAAGAGTAGAGACTTTTACGGCACCAATATCTGCAATGAGGTCACTCATATCACCTACAGAGTCATTCAATGCCTCTAAAGCACACGAGGTAATCCCAATGGTCTTAATGAGCTACTATGTCCTCTGGATAGTATAGTTATTCACATAAACTTCACTTTATTTTTCAGACTATGGGCTAAGATTCAATGTATCGAAAAAAAAAAATTTGGCGCGTGAAAATCGAAGATTTGCCAGAACTGACAAACGGGATATGATAGTCATCCAGAGCGCGTCGATAAGGGTTCAGAAGACGCTGCTTGCTTCTTTAACGTTAACCTGTTTGACTGGCAGGTTATTTTCGTCATGCTTCGCTTTAGACATCGTGTATCCACGTAAGCCATAGCTATACGCTTCATTCATGGTTCAACTACAAGATCCCCGTGGCACCTTATACTGGTGATGAATAGTACGGCAATACTTAATCGACGGAACTATGTAGTGCATAGCTGGTCTCGGAAGGACAGCTCATGACCAGCAACGGCAGCATTTTCTGAGCTACAGTAACCAGGAATAAAACTTCCATATTGATGGTCCATTATACGCGTAAATGTTCATGCCCCACAAGGCGGGTTCACACATTTCAAGCCTGTTTATTCCCCATACATTGCTTCGTCAAAAGGAGTTATGGATAAACAATCTGGTACTCCACCGTTACTGGTTGAAATGAACCACAGCGGCTGGGCTCCCGCATTGATAAATAAGAATACTTCAGAATAGCGTACTCTTCCTTCACGAAAACGGTACGAGAATAGACATGGTCGGTCCTTTAAGATGAGGGTGGTGCGTGAGTAAGGCATGAGGGCCGGCATTACACTTCCCACTTTAAAGAATTATGCCCTCAAGTTCATAAACTCTGTCACCAGTTTCCTCTTTGCCACTCGCTCAAACGTACAAGTCGTTTCGTCATACTTTTACAACGCATGACCATAGTTCCAAGCCTGCAATGTTCTCATTCATGCAGAGTCGTGCTGCGTAATGGATGCGAGGATAAGGGCAGCGTGACCCATCTGCTTTTCCAAAACAAAACAAAACAGCAACTTGAAAGCAGCTACTGACAATGGTAGCTTCGCCCTCGTGCACAATGTAGAAAAATTGAGGAAACGGCAAATTGCTGTTCTCCACCTACCTTGTTCCTCCACCTACACATTCTTAACGTCCAACATTCATCACATATTCACTTCAATTAGAACAAGATGGCATTTACAGACCAGCAAAGGGTAAGTATGACTGGGAGCGTACACTTCTAGGCGCGAAAAGCAATGCCAGTGAAGGACCATTGAGACTTCCTTATCAATGGTACAACAGTTCATGGCGTTATCATCCTTGAACCAAGACATAGACATCTTCGGGATCCACGTTCATGGTACGGTCACTGAGATCGAAAGATACGATTTCCATTGCCAACACGGAACTCAGGGTAAGTTAGGCAGCAGCACTCAGCCAATATGCTAGGCTTTTATCGCTTGTTATTGACAGAAAATACAAATCATGCCCCTAGATTGGGCGAAAATCTTCAAGATATGCGATCCTCTTAATCCAGGAGTGAAGCAACCAGTCATAGTGTTTGCGAACCAGCAGGATGACCTACCGGTGGTGAATCCAGGGGACTATATCGTGATTTGGAACTGTGGAGTAGGTGCTCGCTGTGATTCGCACTCATGTCTAGTGACTCGATGGTGCTCATAGAGTGTGCTTTCACTAACACTGTTGTTCCCTTCATTGTTTGAAAACTGACGAAGTATTTCTACAAGAATAAATGGGGTTACTCAATTCGTGCGTGGAAACATCTAGGCAGCATTTGGGAAACTATACCCAGAGGGCAGTGGCATTTAACCTAGAGTCCGATAGCAGAACGATCGCAAGAGATCAAGGAAGTTTGACCCTTGGCGATGCAGAAAATAAAATGTGTTTAAAATAAAAATCCTATTGACAGGCGTTTTTGTGTAACTATTGCTGTGCTCCTCCCAACTCTGGAAAAAAGAAAAATGGACATGGCCCTGACAACCATGATGCTTCGTCTTTCCCCTTTTCCCGCACCTCATGTGGTTTTCGCTGCTTGGCGTCTTTTGTTTTGCCTATGTGCTGTTCGCCAAGTGAGCTTGCAAGATGCTTCGCCATGTATGATGGCTTTTCATGCCTGCACTGCAATTGTTCACGCATGCTTGTGCGACAGAATAATATGGAACTTTTGGCTCTCGTTGCACGCGAAACGTATTTTGGAAATAGGTAGCCAATGAAGACAGCCTCGCCGCACCTTTGCCTCTCATCGCAAAGCAGATAAAAAGACGACAATTCTTCTTTACTATCTTTTTAAACCACCCATCCCTTCCAAAACCAAATCCATAACACAATAACCCACTATATTAACATGGTAGCTACGGCTCAATCAGATGTAATATTAACTGTGAGCAGCAGCTTATAAAATACGAGTATTTGGTCAGCAAAGGACGGAGATACTAACAAATCTTAGTAAATGTGCTCTCCCAGTTCATTGCAGTGAGCGATTTGATCAAAAGCCAATTTGCTATCAATGTTCAGGGCATAGTTGTCAGAATTCATCGCGAGAAATTCAAGTGCAAAAATGGATCGGCCGGTATAGTACAATGAATTTCAAGCAACGCGCCAAGACGCTCTGTTTTTCACAGTTTTTAACCTTGACATTTGTCACTCTCAAGACTGGTGTACATGGTTCGAAATCCGCGATCTAATAACAGAAACGACAAGAGAAGCGGCTATTTATCAGAAAGAATACTCTGAGTTGCCAGATTTGAAGCCTGGCGATATTATCGAACTCAACCAGTGCAGTGTAAGTACTCGACCATTCGGAGTGTTTCTCTTGCTGTATAACCTCAAGCTCGCCTTTACTAATCCTGCTCTCTTAAACATACAATAAGTACTACTGGAACGAAAGATTTGGCTTTCAAGTCCGCATTTCCCCATCTTATGAAGGTGCGTCTTTCAGAGTAAACCCTCAACCGCAGTCTAATGGACTCTCACAGTCTCAGAGCGGCTACAGTAATGGCGGTGACGTAGCGCCAGCTGAACCCGTGCCTTCTTCGCCAACTCCGATGGGGCAGCAGCAGTCGACACAGTCGACGAAGTCTCCAGCAACTGAGCCCGAGAATCCGAATTCAGAACAAGAACAAGAGCAAGATACTCATAGCGAAAACAGCGATGACAGCATCGTACCATCTGAACCCGCACGATCGTCACCAAACCGAACGGAGCAGCGGCAGCCAGGCCAGTCTCCAGTAACTGAAGCCGCGAGTCCTACACCCTTCGATGTAGATGAGACACTTGGGCTGGGGTCTCTTGCAATTTAACCCGCATGTCCACTCCAATATCGCCGCAAATTTGCACAGTAGTAGCAACAGTACTCATAAGTAAGATCAAACTAAAGGTTCCTTTTCAAATCTATGTTCTTACATCCTCTTCGTATTGCATGTCGAGGAAAAAAAAATATTAAATAAAAAAGCTATAAAATAAAAAATTATATCAAATAGGCATTAGGTGTTGTATTTGACAGGGATTGAGAGGCGTCACACATCCAAATGGACCTTCATCTTGAGGGAACCGACCGAAAAGATATAGCGAGAGAAACGAAGTGAGTACAGTAGGACTTGTCATTGCAGGCCTTGTTCCCTGATAGGTCGCTGCCTTCGTTTGACAAAGAAATCTCGGCGTGCTGTACCCATGCAAATCCTTATCGACAATAATTTTACGCGCTAGAGCCGCGCAAATCTTTCCTCTTTTTGCCCCTCGTTTATCGTCATTTCATTCTTGGATGATTTTACGTGCTGGACCATTAAATAAGGGGTTTTTATCTCGATGAATGACTGATGCCAACCTCCATCATCCTGAACGCTTTGCACAGAAATCGATGTGTTGAGAGGAGCAGACTTTGATTAGCTTAACAAGGGGGGTATTAGGCATAAGATAACCCTCAGTTATCGCAATTCTTAGTTTAAAGAAGCCGAAAATCGATAATGGCCCATACGTTGGATCATCCTGGCTTCCACACGCCCTGTTTAACTTTCGACCAAGATGCCTCCCAAACGGTCGCCGACGACCAGGTTTCTCACTCCACTAATGCTACAGAAAAGTACCACGAGGTTCAATACAACTTCCTCGCCGAAAATGCACCATTCGAGTCTGCGATCCGATGCGCCGCCATGTTTTACAAACAATTCCACTTCGCAGGACCTTGGGACGGCAGAGACGCGCTTCGAAAGACCCTAAGGTCCTTGGAGCAATCAGGAAACAAAGATTTTGCGGGATTTGATAAGCAAATTGAGGTATGCGGACTATTGTCTTTACGCTTGTCGTTTACTATTCTTCAGTTTAACGATTTTTATATGCTCTGTTAAATAGTCCGATTCATTCAAGGAATGGGAGCGCGACTACTTCGACATGGTCAGGACTTCTAAAAAATCAATCATGGATGGCTTTCTGACGTGGCAAAAGCAGCAGGCTCAACGAGCGAGTATTTCCGAAGGAAAGAAGGTGCTATTGACTCGTATATCCTTGGTCAGCAACCTGGCTTCGGAGGCTAATAAGGCAGCTGAGAAAGAAATGCTGGACTCATCAGACCAGGTAAGATGTACCAGACCTGCTCTTCCTTAATGTGCTACATTTGTATTAAATTTGACACCAATAATTAGTTAGCCTCCTAATACCATTGTCTTATATCTTTAGGAGATTTCAACAGCTTCTGGCAGCAACTCATTACCGAGTGAATATTCTGTGCGACAACAACAGACTGAGGATCCCACTGTGCCAGAACCAGTCTCTGTAGCACCATCCACTTTGTCGTCTTTATCCTCATCGTCGTCATCGCTCACCGTCTCTCCCCCAGAGTCCCCATTCATCGACGAGAAAAGCAAAGTAATGAATGTCGGAGGTTTAAAATGAATTGGCTGCGCCTTTGATTAGCAACCTCTGACTTTACCTTTGAACTAATGCTCTTGCTTAGCATCCCGATGTAGAAGTTGATGTGGTATCGATAGCGGAGGTCGGAGCGATCTTTAAAATCAAGCTCTTCGACTTTACTGGCTGCCTTGGCGACATGAACGTGGGGAGGGACTTTAATAAGTACTTCACGCGATCTGCAGAGCTGAAGTACAACAAGGACTCGTTTCCCGACTTTCTGTGAGCGGATGTGACAATATCGCATGTATCGTTTTTGAACACCCAACCACCATACTAACTGCTCTTACTCATGTGTGTTGTTAGGGCAATTAACGGTATACTTTTCTTGCGAGACCGACCGACCAAGCTACAAGAGGAATGTTTCAAGCAGCGCTACCACAAAATTCTGGAGGTTATGAAAGGATACATTCCGGAACCAGCGGATGATACAGTCGAGGAGGCACTCAGCTCCGTTCGCAGATGGAAAGACGTATGTTTATCAGGTTTCCATTCTTCGCTATATTTGTAACATTGTCGCAATGAAAGTCATTGACTCTACAGCGTTTGATCTAATTCACTCGTTTGCCATAGACATACGAATTCAAGTTCCGTAAAGTGCGTGACGTTGGCGTGGCTCGAAGGGCTTTACAGGAGGCTGTTGAGGGTGCAAAAACATCGTCCTGGAAATGATTATTTCTTCACGGCTGCATGAATCTGAGCAGCAAGAAAACTAGTCCCGTTTCTGAAGCGGATCAAACCTCCTCGTTCATTTTACCGATGCTATCGTGCATCATGACTAGGCCGGACGAATGCAGGCTCGCTCAGTAAGTGTTTGGACGTAGCCTTGGTATAGTTTACACATGTTTATAAGTTGATTCATACTAGCAATTTTCTAACTCTCTATTCCATAATTTTTCCATCACTAAAGCACTGCCACCACCTCAACATCAGGAAGTATCTTCGTTCGTCTCTGCCAGGATCTGTCGGATCCTCCAAAGCACCCTGATCTTATGGCGAAGCATATTAGCTGCCTTGATGTTGGCTTTGGAGAAGTGTCGTTCGCCAGTGGTATCGCCAAGGACACGGGAGACATTTGTAGGCTGGCGATATGGTCTAAGTGCACGCTGGACCAGCTGAACGAGCAGTATTTTGGCGCTGAGGATGTTTGCATCCCATTCTTGCAGATTGTGTCCACCACATGCACGTTCTATCAAATGAAGCGTGTCGGTACATTGTGTGTTGCGGTGCAAGTTGGCGAGATGGAGATTGTCCAAGACCTTCCCGGACTGATCTCTTTCGAGCCACACGTGTTCACCTGGCTGGCGTTGGACTTGGCTTTCACAACATTGCTGCAGAACATTGGCACAGCGACCAACAGCAAGAGAATATCTTTCCCTGGTCTCTATTACCACGGTCTGTGCACCCCATCGGCCAGAAAGATGCCGAGGCACTGAAATAAAGATTTGGGGTGCATTCTCGAGTTCATTGATATTTTAAATCACCAGAGAGCCTCCGGTATCGCATGGGGGGAGATGCTTCGATACTCGTGCTCAAAATGTTGTGGATCACTACCCTATGCGGCCATCGAATCGCGATCAGATCATCGTCGTCCAGATCTCGAGTAGAACCGATAGATCTCATTTCCAAGACCTTTGCAGTGCTGTTCCCCGACTGCACAAAATTCTCAATGGCGCGCTATTCACCTTTTTATGGACGTCCTTACCTGTATCATGTCAAGGACAGATAAGACAGGAATAGTGTAGAATAGGACAAGGAGGTAGGTGAAAGGGAAAAGGCCAGGAGATAACGTATTGCAAACTGAAGTTTTTTGAAGTAAAGGCTGCTAAGTGTTGGGGATGAAAGATGAGTGAATAAAGAGTGAGGATTGAACCAAACGATGAAAATGTGCAATAGCAAGAAAAGCTTTGTCAGCAGCATAATGGGTTTGCACTTGGTGCTCGCACTGCATTGAAGGGACATCGCGTATATCTGGCCCGGGCGGTGCACAGCCTCGATGGCATCACTTAGATCTTGATCACCAGAGCACCTGTGCAACATTCACATCTACCCGCAATGAAGGAGCTCCTTGAAAGACTACAAATGGAATACGGACAATACATTAACCCTGGTTTCTGTTATTGTCAAATGCCTTTTCTGCTTCTGTTTTTTCTGGGAAACCATTTTTTTTTTATCATGGGCCTTCGCCGCGACTCATTGATTATGAGAAGTGCGTCAGATAGCCGGTTTCGTTGTTGCTGTTGTTGTGGTAAAAGCAGATCCATTAGCTGAGCCAGACGCGCTTTTTCACGTATATTTTTGTATCCGATCTTCACCGCGAACCACCCCTGGGGGCTTTTTGTCTTTGGTAGGGTGTGTCATTGCTATTTTTCTTCAAACATTATTATGGTGGTTTTTGTACGTCAAGCCGTCTCGATGTATTCAGTGAAACGGGTCTCTCCACGAAAGAATGATGGCTACAAAGTCTTGGCTCTGCATGGACGTCAAGAACTGCTATACTAGTCCTTCGAACACATATCCAGTCACAGCGACGGATTGGCAGGCCAGACTTTTTTTACTGCATTTCTACAAATGTGGATGAACAATAATAGAGAGGTGCTCAGTTCTGGTGCTATAATTGGAAGATCCTTGTTCTCTCCCTCTCTCTCCGCGCTCTTTGTAGGGGGACCAGCATCGAACAAGCAGTACGTTCTGCGGATAGGAGTGCTGATATCGCCGTGACTAGCGCACAGATCTTGGGACGGCCAAGCTCCTCGCCGCTTTCAGAGCGTGATCTTGATGGCATCAAGTGCACCATCGTGCGTGAGGTAGGCACAATTCTGGCGTTAGCCAGCCGCCTTGATCCAGTTCAATCTGGAGGAGCTAAAAAGTCCATGATCGACCAATAGACGCGCCATGTTGCCATAAAGACCTATACACATGTCTTCGATCACTTTAGGGTGGGTAGAAAGGAAGCGGAAGGTGTAGCTCTTGAAGACGTGACAGCACATGGAAAGGTCTGCAGCTGTGTCAATAGTTGTTTCCACTCTCCTTTATCCTGAAGGTGGCAGCAAACCGGCCACAGCGGTTTCTGTCGTCAGCGGCATCATCTCCTTTCTCTGTTTTTTCTGAAGGTCGTAAGCTGCTACGCCATCTAAAATGAGGTTTGGGTTCAGATTCCTGAGGGACATTTCGAAATTGTGAACTGCGCCCATTTTTTACCGCGACTGCAGATTTCTCGTGTGGTTATACTAATAAGGAAGAAATGAAGTGCTGCAGAGTATGCGCATAAACATGGACAATCCTTGGAGAGGGACGCGTGTGTCGTTGCCGACAGTCCTTTCGGCCACTCCCAGTGCTGCTGTCCACAGCTGCGACGTGTACCCACTTGGAGGTGTTGTTTGTAGCAGGCTGATTTTCTTAAGAAGTGGATGCAGCACAGCCGTATGTGAGCACTTGATGAAATAAGAAAAAAGCTGGAGAGGATGCAGCCAGCACTGGTTATGTTGGAATAGACAATTTGGTCCGAGTCCAACATACCCACGGTGTATTGTCTTTAGGGACTATTGTATGCCCGCATAGTGCTGCAAGAGGATAGTATTGCTGTATGTGACCTATATGGTCATCGTCGCTGTAGCCGTTTTTTCCTTGTTTCACTCGTTCTCTTTCCTTGCTGCTTGTTCCTGTGTTTTATGCCTCTTTATCCTTGTGCACTCCCAAGTACATCATTGGCTGCTTAAATAGACGTGCTGGCTGCACTCACAAAAGACACTCTTGTGGTGGTACTACTTTTGCCATGTCTTTTCTGTCTATTACTTACTATCTTTCCATGCCTGTATGCTCATCAAAGGAGACCTCTCTTCCTTTCTTCCTCTCATCCTCTCATCCTCTCATCCTCTCATCCTCACTCCCTCACTCCCACTCTCCCTCTCTTTGGGCCTTTGCTGTCATCTTACCACCAAAGTATATTTCATGTCCCGATAGGTCACCGGTCAGATTTATTTTGCCACCATTATCTCCTTGCTTGTCTCTGTCCACTGTCTCCGCGCTGACTATCGCCCACTATCTCTTTTTCTTTCATATGAAAGGCCCGAAAAGACTATACCGATAGGAGGCACTCTCTTCGCTGCAGATAGCAGTGATGACGTGTACCGTCTGTCAAGGAGGGAGTGTCCACTGAGGACTGAATATGAAGCCCTCCTCTCTTCTCTCTTCTCTCTTCTCTCTTCTCTCTTCTCTCTTTTCTTCCTCATCTTCTCCCCGGTTTTCTTCCTGGTCTTCAAGGTAAGCTCTTCTTCCTCTTCCTCTTCCACCTTTACCCTGCTCCAGTTACTCCCACTTTCACTCTCAGTCCTTCACTTCTGCTGTCTCTTGCCCTTCTTTCTCATTGCTCTCTCCCACTGCTCTCTCCCATTCTTGTCCACCTCAGTCTCGTTCATCTGCACTTCTTGTATCTCTCTCACGCACTCACCCACCCAGCGCTCCCTTGTCTCTATTGCTTCTAGCTCTCTCTCTCTCCCCTTCTCCTCCTTTGTTTACTTTTGCTTTTGCGTTTGCTTTTGCTTTTGCTTGGACTTTTGCATCTATCACTGCTCTGACTCTGGCATTTGTCTAAGCTTCCGCTTTTGCTTTTGCTTGTGCTCTGGCTTTTGCTTTCGCTTTTGCTTTTGTTTGGACTTTTGCTTTTGCTTCTGCTCCGGCGTTGCTTTTGCTTTCGCTTCGACATCTGCTTTTGCTTCTCCATCCGCCTTTGCTATTGCTTTTGCTTTTGCTTGGACTTGCGCATCTATCACTGCTCCGACTCTGGCATTTGCTTAAGCTTCGACTTCTGCTCTTGCTTCTACTCTTGCTTTATTACACCTCTCTAAAAAAAAAAGAAAAAAAGAAAAAAAGAAAAGAAAAAAAGAAAAGAAAAAAAGAAAAAAGAACAAGAACAAGAAAAATACAATTCCCCACCCCCCAAAAAATAAGAAGGTCAAAAGCCGAACTTTTTTTCCCTTGTGGTTTTTTCTGGGGTACCATGGCTTGCAACCTGCCCGCGGTGTACCCTGCACAGTCTTTACTTTCCTAAGTAAGACTGACTGATGGCAAGCCAATCCACTTTCCTTTGTATGTATCGCTTCGAACCCCACACCTTAGAATCAATATGAAAATGAAATAAAGAGAAAGAGATGTGGCACACACCGCACCAATTGCGTATTTATTATTCTACACGAAATTTAATATGCTGAGCTCAAGATACACTTCTCATATTTAATAAAGCACTCTGAGAACGAAGTACGAGAAAAAATTCATGATCATCCTGTTTAAGGTTAAATGATTTGGAGTGTGTAACGACTCATAACAGAATTGACGCGTCGTAGAATTCAAGGGGGGGGTTTTTTTTTGAGGAAGGAGGTTTATTTTATTTCAGTGGATAGATCATCTAACCAAGATAGAACATTGAGGATGGAGATAAGGATGCGGATGAGGAGGGATGAGGAGCAGGAAAGAAGAGCATTCCTTCCCCATTCCTTCTCATCACACTGTTGCGCTTGGAGATAGTTCTTTTACAGTTGTATGGAGTAAGGAAACTCCCAATCTGAATGCTCGAATAATTTGTGTTCCACACTGAATACAAGGGTCTAACGCACAACTACGCACACTGTAGCGAGTGGTCAGCACAACGGTCTTCTTGTTCAACTGGAACCATAATTCATTATTGATATATCTAAGCAAAAGGGTACCTGTAGTGAGTGGTCAGCACAACGGTCTTCTTGTTCAACTGGAACAAGGAACAAAAGACCGCTGGCTTCGATCCTCCTTTTATACAGGCACAACCCCAAAACCTAATATCAAATCCTGCGTACCCTCGGTGGCTGCTGGCCAACAACACCTACTGCACCTGCGTAGCACAAACCATACGCTTCAAACCTGTTATCGTTGTGTATTCATTAGCATACACCCAAGAATTCATTCTTTCGCCCAGCTCTGTAGTAGAGATCAACGCTTTCAATCTAGCACCAGACCAGAAGAGAACGGCTGAACATCACAGTCGTCCGTCTCAAGGGAGACTAATATCACAGTAAACCGTTTGAATAGGGCCTTAGCGACTGTGTATGCAGATTTGTTTGGCAAGGCATCCAGCAATGCGGACCGAGTACAGTCGCAGTAATTGATTGAACTTTGTGTCCGAAGGTACCATTCATTCGGCTTGGAAATCGATAAATTAAAGTTCGTGGAACTACTTCAAAATCGACAAGTTATAAATTGAATTTTCCTGCTTCAGCTCGCCAAACATACAAATACACCTCCGTGTCGCCGACATTCTCGCTCCTTCTTCATACCCCACTCACACCTCTTTCCCCTCCTTTTCTTTCATATACACATTCTCCACATTCGCCATGACTCTGTCAAGCAAACGCAAGACAAAATCGTTGTCAACCAACATACAGCATGACCCTTCACATATGGGTCCAAATGGCCAACTGTTGCTCTTTGGAACGCCAGACCAGCCCGCAGTGACCTCAGGCCAGGTCGTGTTCGAGACTGATCATGCCGCGAAAGGCGAGGTCTTGGAGATTTTCTATTCTGTGGCGGTCGGCATTGAGTGGCGAGGTAATCAGTGGTTGCAGCAATGTACATGTCCAAACTCTCTAACAACACTCTTGCCATGCACAAAAATATTGATCCTCAATTTTATTGTTCTATCTGCCTCGGAACTCGATTAGAAACGGCTGAAAAGGTCGGCGGTGGGTTTACCCTCCGCACACCTATCGAGCAACGGAAGATAATTGTCGCATTAAAGCATCCAAAACCTGGCATGATTAAGGCTGGCAAGTGCTCTTCCAACGTCAACTTTCCAATTGAACCGTCCTTTCCATCATCCATGCATCTTCATAAAGGTTTCGTTGCGTACAAGATCCGTGCTCGTGTGCCTCAAATCTCCGAGCAATGACATTCTTCAGGAACGAATTATCTGGGTTCTCAACTCTAATATAACATCTGGGCGAAGGCGTGGTGAAAACCTCTTACCGCTCCGTGTTCCCGAGTCGACTGATTCGCAAGCATACTATTTCGATGAGGCATCGAACGAGCTGGTGTCAAGTCGAACGACAGACATTTCGTATACATTGGAAGTCCCTACTACGACTTTCATGGCAGGCGAGACAATAGCTCTCGCTATGGAGTCAGTTCCTGAGCTTGAATTAGCAAGGGATTCGGTACCCGTATTTTCGAGCGAGGAGTATAGAGGCCTTTTACCTCACTGGCTTGGCAAGAGTCGATCACAGGATATGTCCAATATGCCTAATATCACTGTCTGCCTGAAGCAGACTGTCACTTATTCGAATCGTGACAGGAGTAGAACGTTTCACGAGCATGCCAAGTTTGCATCCACACTCCGGTTAGATAATGAGATGGGAGGTACTTTCGCCAACGGAGTTGTGAGAGATGGCTGGAAGGTAGTGTTGAAGATGACCCTACCCAGATTGGGCGCCAACCGCGTGGATACGGAGAAGGAGGCGCATGACGAACCGGAAGGATTAAAAGCAAGTCTGGACAACCCGTTCCTAAGGATTGACCATAAGTTGCGGATTAAGCTGAAATATGATAAAACCCTGTTTTCATCCAAGGTCCGCAAGTTCGAGAGTAAGTATCTGCCGGTATATTCTTTCTTTCCAAAGGGCATGAGAATCATGACTTGTAAAACTTATATTGCGTGTCCGTACGCACCCTTCTAGTTCCTGTGACCATTGTCGCTCCTTCCGGTCCTGGGTCTATCCCGTTCCGATTTGACGCTATACCTTGGTCCTCCAAATCGACGGGTTCAGGGGCATCTTACACCAGCACTAAACCAGCCAAATTGAATTCCGTCTCTCATAACGTGAAGCTAGCCCAAGGCATTGCAGCTGTCCTGCATGCGGTTCATGCTGCCTAGGGACATCAGCTTAAAGAGGGGATTTGAAGAAGCCCCCCAGTTCTCGCTGTGACAATCACTCCCAGTTTTTTTTTTTCAGGCAAATAATTCCTCTCCTTGTCTGCTTTAGCTTTGTGTTGAATATTATGAGGCTCCTGCTAATGCTAATTTCAAATATTGGAAGAGATCATTCAGGGAGGTTCAATTTTAATTGAGCAAAAATGGTATAGGGATGACTTCAATAGGAAATCATCCCCAAAAACCAGATTCGACTGTAGACGTCTTTGTCCTTAGGATGGCAATGTACTCCCCAGGTAGATGTGCATGAATTGCCTTCATTGAGTGATAGCCTTTACGCGTAATATTCACGCGTTGGCACACTCTACAACGTTTTATGAAATTCACAGTCATTGGCCATGTAGGGCCAGGTCCTCACTATAGCATTTGTACCAAGGATGACCGCTTTGTACACTTGATTGGATAAGTAAACTAGTCAGATTACTGGCATTTCCACCCTGCTCCCGCCTCACTCCTTTCACTTCACGAATAGCACTTCTAAGAGTTGCAGTGACAGCTTGTATGTACTCCAATGAGCACTTTCTAATCTTTTATTCACTGATGATGGCACCCAGCTTCATCCGCAAGTCCCCCGGCTCCTGCTCGCGGTTTTTAAATCCCTCGGCCATAGCTTCCTCCCATGCTCTCTTCCTCGCAGCCTTTCGCTGCATTCTTGAAGCTTGCAATTGCAGTCGTAAATGTTGAGACACGGTATCCTACGGTGGAAGACCAACCTGGTCAACACTGTCAATGATATCTTAATTCAGTTCCGGATCGGAATGGTAGCTGATCTCGAAGGCTTCGCAAATCCGTGAGGTTAGATACAAATGCTTACATGGAATTTTGTGCTTTGTCGTTACCACTATTACCCTAAAAAAGCACATGCTGGATGTCGTATTCTTTAGGAGCGTGGTCGTTCAGACTCGCTAATAACATCCATAGAAAGTCTCTCGCCCCTCACTCTTCCCTGTCCTCACATTTCGTCTGTTGTCTTCATCTTACTTTCCCGTTTACTTTTTATCTCACCATCCACCCTGCCTACAATGGCGGCATCGTATCCCGTAATCCTATTGTACCGCACATCTACCTTTCATCCCTCATTCATTGTAAAGTTTGGCCAAGTTGCGCATAGCATTTTCGTCAAGGCTCAGTTGTGAGTACTGGTCTCGTTAGGTCCACTAGACACAGTGGGGATGAAAAAGAGCTGTGTCACTATCTCTTGTTACAGAAAATTGAGCCTTAGAACTTAGATAGATGGAGCAAGGGATATCATCCACTATTCGGGTTGTTCTGCCTGGTGATTATTGTTACAACAGTGGATCTCATATGTTCATTGGCAGCAATGAAAAACAAAGATATACTGGAAGCACACTTCCACGCGACGTGCAAACGCAGCGTATAACATTGTGTCGCTGGAGTCATGTCCTCAACTCTGACATTCTCCATGGCTTTGACGCTTCATTGCCTGAGAGAGGCGAAGGGATAAGAAGATCGCGAATCCATAGGTACGCTAGCAGAAAGATTTGCGGCATGCGCGAATTCTCTTTATTTGGTCATTCACAGACTGCCTTTCGCGTGCATATGTGGCCATAACGCCTTTGTTCTTTGCGCCAAGTGATGATATGAGCGTTATTCCTTTGTATGCAGACAGCGAAGGCATGTCTAAAAGCCAATGCTCCGGGTACTTAAGCGAGCCTTGCTTCCCATTATTCATACAATCTCCGTTCTTCACCTCTTCCTCACTTACACTACTCCCAAACACTCATATCGCCAATATCCTTTTTATTATCTTTTATGCGACTTTGCTTTTGCATGCTCTGAAATCAAATCCACTGCGATCTGTGTGCATAGTGTAGCCCTATCACTATACTCTTTTTTATTTTTTATTTTTCAATGCCGCACCTTCCCCAGCATTACTCTGAGCGGATGCAGGACAAGTGTGACGAAAGGTCAACGAAAACGAATTATTCAACGCAAGGTAGATCTCAGCGCATAAGACAGACATCGTTATTTCAGTAGTATGCCTATCAACTTCTCATTCCGGCGAATGACAGGTGATTAATTCTGGTTACTCTTTTCTCTGTGTGTGATCTCTGTCCTACACTGGTAGTCCGCCTAGGCGCCTCGCAGAAGCAGTTCGCTCAAGGACACAACCGAGTAATTGGTTCTCCTCAGACCTTGAAAAACTCAACAGGCTGTCTGCCTGAAATGAAGCACCATATTGAGGAACAACGCGTTCAACCGAGCTCTGCTCCGTCAGAAACCCCACAAAAAGGATCATCGCCCTCCTCCTCACGCGGATTGAAGGTCAACATCAACCCAAATTCAGCCCTTATTCAGCCAATCGTTATGACGGACGACTATCCGAACCTAGCCAGGAACGAGCGTGTCTTTTCGAATCCAAGATTGAATCCAGTACAGTCGCGCAAGCTGCAGGAGTTGAGAGAACAGGCAAGACAGCTTGAAGAGCTCCACAGACAGAGATCCTCAGATCTGCAGCGACAGCGTGCAGCATTGGCAGAGGTCGCCAACGATTTGCTTTCCTCCAGATCAGTGTCTCCTCCCACCATGTCCAACAAAAAGGGAAGCAAGATAGAAGTTGTGGACTATACCGCTGAAATGCGGAACGGCTTCATCGGGGCGGATTCCAAAGCAAATCCTGATGAGAAGGCCAAGGCTTCATCACCCTCCGCAGTCCACAATGAGCCAAGGAAAAACAGTTCGAAGGCAGAGCAGATGCTTAGCGAGTGGCTCAGGACGCGGGGTCATAAGAACGAATACGGCATGCGATACTCGAGGACTAAATCGGCAGCATTACGTGTCCCGGAGCGCATTAATTCTCCAAATTTCCCGATTCCCAAGGATGCCTACCAGCATACCGGTCAGGCGCATATGGGCAACGAGGAGGACTCATTTATAAGAAAGGAGCCTGCGACCGATTCGAGACCCGAGTGCAACCACTCGCATAGTAGCGATGACGCTCGATTTTGGTCTTGCTCTCTTCCAACTCGCAATGCTCATCCCCACCTAGCTGACGCCGGTCAACACAATTTTGCCCACAGGACACGATCACGATCCTCGAGCGACGCCCTGGCACCACCTCTTGATCCTTCTGGAACAAGCTCATCTTTTTCAGGCTGCAAAACAGCTTGTGGACATTTCAAGCGGGGATTGACAACAATAAAATCATGGATTGCGGCACCGTCTGTGCGAGCTGCGCGACGTAAGGCTCCGACGTCCACAGAACTTAGAGGCGATAGTGACGGCAGTAACGATCTTCGGACGACGTGCAAGCCCGACGGCAAGCCAAGAGCCGGGGATGACTTTGACCCAGTGACTTTCTCTGTTCTAGATCGCTTCCGTAGTCTTAACCTACACTGGCGACCTAGAAGCCTAGGAAAAGGAGAAGGACTACATCAAGCGCGTCCTCCAAACGAACCCAGGCTTTCAAACTCTCAAAATGAAGGGGCGGATAGGACAGAGACTGATATCCGGCCCGCGGCCAGGTGTCAAAGCACCGACAACGAGCCATCGGATCGGCTTTTTAGGAATCTTCAACGTCCTGCTACACCTGTGAATGAAGATGAAATAAGCAGTATCGTCGCGCTGTATAATTATTATGGGAGCTCTTCTCCTGAGAACTTGACGACGAACGACAGTCCTACTATCAACTCGGTCTTTAATATCCCGACTCCAATTCTTGTTGAGCATGACAAGGACCGGAGTTTGAGCCAGGCTGTTCAGACACTGATGTCGCGTCAGGGCCAAGTTGAACAGAAGATGCAGCCCTTGGATCAGGCGGCTCCAATTCCTTCGACAAACGTGCTTGATGACTCGGTATTCGATCGACGGGCAGCAACTTATCGGCACATTGAGCAATTGGTTCAGCTTTCAAAAATATCAGCAAGTTCAAACAAATTTTATTGGATTCTTCCGGACTCGGGGATCATCGTCAACGGTCTGGAACTGAGCACCCCGAGTTCAAAAGAGAGTGCCTCTAGATTTATTTCAGCAGTTAACGCATCACCTCAAGCAGATATACTAAATGACAGTATGCCAGCAGAGCCCAACCCGGAAATGGAGTTGGGTCGCAAGGGTCCGGGCTATTTACGTTACTCCACGGGCGTCCGCAACCGCCACCGCAGGTCCAAGGTGCACCAGTACACAGGAATCGCAGGCTGTATGAGCTCCACATTCGATATTTTGACACACGCAAAGATCTACAATGCCGCATCCAACAAATACTTGTGCTCTGTGAACCGCCTCCGGCATCAAGACGTGGATTTGTACTCTACAACGTACACCTGTTGCCTCACACCTCCTCCCGATGAGGAAACGTCTGGAGACTTAAGCAGCAGTAGCGTGGCTCACATGCATGAAGGCTTAGCGGAACAGTCATTCGAGAAACAATCAAGTTTGAAGAGGGCAAGCGAGCAACTCGATGCCACGGTCTCGAACTCCAGACTACTTGCTGTGAAAGACTATACTAGAGTGAACTCGGACTCTGAAATTGATGTTACTGACCAGGACAACGATCGTCCGCATCCAAGGCATCACCAACAAGCGACTAATATCCACCGACGCAGCCCTTCTACGCCGGAGATATACGAATCTCATCCGCGGCTCTCAACTAGCAGTCTTGAGCCAACAATTTCTGCATTGTACGGCTGCACTGGGTCCGGCGCGGCATCATCATCTGAAAGTTCTTCTCCTTCACCGCCTGAGATTCCACTACCAGTGTGGACAACAGAATCCAACCTCAACTATGTTGTAATCGCCAACACTACGGCCATAGTCACCTGCGGGTACTGTCTTCGAAAGTTTTTCGTGACCTTGGCTGACCCCAACATTCTCGAGCGACATCAGCGACACTATTGTTCAACGCTGAGCCTGCAGCAACTACAGCGCTGGTATTGTTACTTGGAGACCCTTTTGGGAATCGGGACAGCAGAGCAGCAAACGCGGGCCGTGAATGCGAAGGAAAAGAAGGAGAAGAAATATCGACGAAGGATGCACGCATTGAACGACGAGATGGATCGAATGATGGGGCAGATGATCGAGCTGCAGGAAGAACACAAGGCGTATCTTTCCACTATCGTTGCTTCTGAAGCTCCCAACGACGGAGATCAGGGAGATCTCGAGTGTGTGTTCTTTAACATGCCGGTTATCGGTGTCACTGGTGGTCGATGCGCTGCCTCTGAAGCGACCCTAGAAACCACGGCCCGCATTGGACGATTCTTGTCTACAGCGGTGGACATTGCGTCACGCATCGGTCGGGCGTTCAGTTGCATTCGTGATACGTCAATAGGAGCATCTCGCGACGAGAGAGCGGACATGCTTCTAGGCGAAAATGATGAGGACGAGGACGAGTTTTTTTAACGCACCAGAGCTGTAGGACAGCTGGGATCCAGACAGAGTAAATAAGTTTCGACCAATCACACACGCGTCTGCTCTGAACGCATTTTTATCAACACAGCCCACTGAGAAGCGAAAATTCTGCATCAAGTAAAGGCGACGCAGTAGACTCGTGTGAATGACTTCTATGTAAAAAAGGAATTATTCGACCAATTGAGAGCCCAAAATACCGCTTCTTGGAGGTCGCTTTATCTCTCCTGGGCAGCTCTATAGAAGAGGCACCAGATCACGCCTCTTATTTTATGCATTTTCGACGAATTACATAAATCGGGTTATAGAAAAAGCGCCTACTCTGGTGCTGCAGCTCCATCTGTAATCCCTCCCTTCATCGAATCTCGTAATGACCCTCTCGCCTCAGCTTGTCGCGGCCGCCATCCAGGATGATCCCGACCTGGCTAAGGCAGTTCGGGATCTAGTTGTCTCTCATCCAGACACCGCCCCGGTGATGTCCCGTTTGCTCACTTACTTTCAATCGAGGCAAACAGTGTCGGGGCAACAGGACACAAAACGGCCCAAGCAGAATCAAGGGATCGCTCATTTCTTCAACAAACCCAACGAGGCCTCAACAGCATCCTCGCCCTCCACGACTGTAGCTGTGACCAAGACATTGACCGATATCGGTCCTGCCATTTACACAACATCGGCGCTTTCGTTTCTGCACCCAGTTCGCAAAAAACTGGTCCTCTCCCTCCACAAGAACGACATTGCCCTCCTGTCCTCGACTAATGCCTCGGAAATCGTCTGCAGTGCGCCTTACGAGGCCCTTTATCGAGTCCTAGCCGTGCCGTTCTTGGAACGCACCACGAAACAGACGGCCCTGATCCTGTTCTTCAGACATTCTGGCATCAGCACCTCCTCCAAGGACGCTATTTGGGCGGTCCCACTCGCAGACGACGGTAAGGACTTTGCACTGCAGTTCCATGAGCAACATGAGCAGCTCGCAGGACTCTCAGAGGATCTTCGATCCGGGACCGCGGCCACAAAGACACCCATCCCATTTGTTTCACCCGCCATAGCTGCGACGTCGAACAAACGACCAGACCATTTGCTTGTCTCGATCCTGTCATTCTTCCTCCAAAAATCTAATCCGGCACAGTACAGTTCTGCTGTGGAGATGATCCCGAACCCGACGCCGGCCTATCCGAACTTCTCGGCCCATTTGAAATCGAACCAAGGCACGATCTACCTTCTCCCCACAGGAATCTTGTTCGCGTTCCGGAAACCGATCTTGTTCCTGCGCGCGGCCGCTATTGAGGCTGTGGGAGTCCATTCAGTCCTGTCGAGGACATTCGATTTTGAGGTGATCATGAAGGATACTTCAGTGGCTACACCCGAAGACCTGGAGGGCGTCCCAGTCGACAACAAGGACGGTCGCAGAGCAGTCGGATTCGGTATGGTTGACACTAAGGAGTTTGGGCAGATGGAAGAGTGGATCAAGAAAGCCGGGATCCGAGACCGGAGTATGAGCGAGGATCTGAAGGCGAAGGATAAGGCCGTGGCGTCGAAGAAACGAGAGCGTACTGTGGATGGTGAGGGTGATGTGGACACCGACGGCGGTGATAGTCAAGTGTCATCGGCTTCACAGCAGAACGGATCGTCGGCTAAGAAACAGCGGGAGACATATGATGACGATGACGATGATGAAGAGGATCAGGACTTTGCACCGGAGAGTGATGAGGATAATATTATGGAGGAGTACGATTCGGAAGCTGAGGGCAGTGACAGCGATGAGGGGGAGAAGGAGTCGGATTCGAGGCGGACGCAGAGGAAAGCCAAGAAGGAGGACGATGAGGAGGATCTGGAGGAGGAAAGTCTTGGGGAGGATAGCGAGGATGATGAAGAGGAGGACGAGGAGGAAGGAGGTGGGCAGGATAATGACGACGACAACGATGACGACGAGGTGGATGAGTTAATGGACGACTAGACGATTTTACTGTGCACTGTGCACATGCATCAAATACAGCGCGACCTATCTGCTCAGAAAACCATTATGCCCCTTGCTTTGTTCGCCTTGATACGAAGAGATCTGTTTTGCATTTGGATACCATCAACGGAAAGGGCAATGGCATCCTCAAGTCTTTTGGCCCGTAATATTATATTTGGTGCTGCTCGTCCATACGGTTCGTTTTTCTTTTATCTTTTTGAGAGATGTTATACATGATGTACAAAAAAAAAAAAAAAAAAAAAACATTATGATCTATCTGTCCGCCATGGGACACACCCCTGGCGTCTCAAGAACTATCCGTCGTCCGCCGGATTTTGTCCGCGAATCACAGGAGAGTTATTCACCGTCGACGCGGACGAAGATGATGTCGAGGAATCGTTGTCGGTCAATGGGACATCTAGATAAAAAGCTCTCGATTGATCTAGCACCTCCATTGAACGCTTATCAACCTGCTGTTGCTGTGAATGTTCTTCCTGCAATACTTCACCCTCATACTCTGATCTAGAACTCTTCCCCTCTTGTTCTTTCTCGTACACATATTCGGATTCGAAGCCCAGTGTGATCTCTGAAGATCGTGAACTGGACTGTTGGATGCAGGGAATGGACAGGTATGGTCCATACGGAGAATTGAAGGGAGTTGGAGTGCTGAATCCGCTACGAGGCGAGGTTGTGGTGGATGATATGAATATTGCTCCTGCGGGAGTGGAAGGCTCAGAGTCGGGCGAGAAGTCGTAGGCGCTATTCGAGGCCATGTAGGCTCCAAGTTCTACTTTCTCCATACTATCGCTCTGGGCTGACAGTCGATTAGAGCGCAGGGCCTGGATTCTATTGGTCTCTTCCTCATCGCCATCGTCGTCGCAATGACGATTGTGAGATCGAGAGGCGTCGGGTTGACCTTGCTGCTGCTCCTGAGGATCTCCGGAGCGGTGCTGTCGTCGACCGCGACGACCACCCTTCTTGGACTCGTCCACGAGTGTGATCGAAGAAGCGCTCGAGTCTCGTCGTTCGGGCTTGTCATCCTTGCTGTTGATCTCCAGTGCGGATTTCGGCTCCAAGTATCTGGACGCGAGTCCATCATGCGGCTCGACTTCGTCAATGTCATTCTCCAGGCTGCTGCTGGTGTTATTGGCGCCCTCATGTCCAATAATGCTGTCGTCATTGTCCTCGGTGCCCTTTCTCGCCTGTCGTCTTCGGTTGTAGCACCGTGTGAGGTAGAACGCCGGCACGACACCGAGCACGAACAGAACCGCCATCGAGAACATGATCACAGACGTATACCTCTTCGCACCATCTTCCTCTCCTGCTCCTCCGCCGTTCTCTGCGCCGCCACCAGCGTCCGACTGCTTATGTGGGTTGGTGCTAATGAACGCCAGGGTGAGCGACCCAAAGACCAAGAAAAACGCGACCATCACGAAGAACACGGCCAACGGCCAGAACACCTTGACGGGTCTTGGATACGACGGCTTCTTCTTTCGGAGATACAGCAGTCCCAAGATACTCAATCCATACCATGACCATCCGACCGCGGAGTAAATCTTTGAGAACGTTTTAAAATCCAGATTGATCAACGCGTGGATCGACGCCTGTCCGATGAGGACCAAGATCGCAATGGCCTGGGTCCCTGTTCGCGCCCACTGCCTCCCAATCGGGAAAGGGATTACAGAGTTATCTTTAGCCATAATGACCAGCAAACGCGAGCCTGCCCAGATGTTGGCGTTGATAGATCCGAGAGCAGAGGCGATCACGGTCCCGGCCATAAGGAAACCGCCTGGTTTACCGAGCACGGTGTGGCCGGCCTGGAGGGAGAGCGAGTGCACGTGGCGGAGATCGTAAGAAGAGAGGATTGAAAAGAACGCAAAGTTGGCGAGGAGGAAGAGGACGGTGACGAAGGGCATAGCGATCCAGACTGCGCGCTTGAGGTTCCGCTCCGGGTCGCGCAGCTCTCCGAGACCGAGGTTGATATTGTTGAACCCATTGTACTGTTGTTTCCGATTGAATAAAAAATATATATAGAAAGAAAAGGTAGATGTGAGCTTCATGGAAATCCTATTCACTCAACATCCAAGTCATCTTCCACAATTACAAAAAAAAAAAAAATCGTCTTGGCTTACAGCAAAGAACGCGAAGCACAGCGCGCTCACATAGTCCAGCACGTTATGACTTGATTCTTCAATCGGAATACTCAATGCCTCCGATTGTGCATGATGCTTGGCCGCCTGGACCGATCCGATCACGATTAACATGCACATTCCCGCAATCTTAAAGACCGCCAAGATATTACTTGCATACTTGCCCCCCTCCCGAAAGAAGATATTAATCAGCCCCATCACCAGGATTGCCCCGATCGCGAACGCCCTCACCACCCAGGGCATCTCCTCCGCATGCGGTACATTCGGCAATACCGCCCCCGTATGATCCCTCGGCAACGGCTCCTTCGGGAATGCGTCGTACGCCGGCGTACCTGGGGCATAGGGCGAATGAATCCGCGGTATGTCATACCCTGTCCCATTCAGCACACTGTACCCTGCTCCTCCCAAGGTTTCGTTGATCGCATTCACTGCCACAACAGTGGCACCTCCTGACTTTAAATACGCAATCATGTCAACGGCGTATCTGCCCAGGACACCAGCGATACCCGCGGTGCCGATCGGGTTGAGGATCGTGATGAAGGACCATCCAAAGACGCGGGCCACCTTCTTGCCGTAGGCCCGAGAGAGGTACTGAAAGTCGCCACCGGATTCCGGGAACATGGTGCCAAGTTCTGCATAGGCAAAGGCACCGATCGTACAGACGATCCCCGCAAACGCCCAGATCATGAAACTGGTTTGTGTGCAATGCACGGAGTCGAAGAGTGGGCCGGGGGACGCGAAGATCCCTGTGCCGATTAGTGTGCCAATGATCTGGAGGAAATTACGGTGATATTTGTGTGACGGAGAAACGGAAGCAAGAACAGTCGTCAGGAAACGAGGAATGTGTGTGTGTATGTGTGAGAAAGAGAGGGAGAGCAATGGCAAAAGTTAGCGTTGCTGCTCAAATTGTATGAATGGCGTTGACCATTTCAATGGCTGCATTCCATACGAACAATGGCAAGTTGTCGTACCATGTCATTACCATAAGAATAGCACTCGTCAAGCCCATGGTCCGCTCTGGAGCTGACTGTGCTGATTGTGTTGTTGCCTGACCCGGTCGGCATCCAGAAGGATCTCCCGTAGTCGTTGATGAAACCTGCGATGATGCAGAAGAGAATGCGCTGTACTGACCAGCAGTAGCAGCCGCATCATGGCGAGAGGACAAGGATAAGGAAGATGAATGAAAACTACTTCTGCGTTGAAATACGTTGGATATTGAGGATGGGATAGTCATGGCGGATTATGCTGTAGTGTTTGTATGTTACAGTGATAGTTTTAGTCGTTGCGTGTGACGGATGTGAATGTACGTTGGGTGTAAGTGTGCAAATAAATAAGAATGAGGGAGGGGGAGCAAGAGACGGTGTATATGAGCGTTTAAAGTCTTGAAATGGCGGTAGGATCTAATAAAAGGGGTAAAGAGAACAGAGCAAGATAGCATTGCGGTTAGAACCACACGGAGACAGTGGAAATCCTTCGGGAATTAAAATAAAGAAATAAAGCTATTAAGAGGCGCATAACGAAAGGCATACGTGTTCAAAGAGAAAAAGTGTGTGCAGAGAGAAAAAAAAAAGATGTATTTAGGACCGTGACAGATGATGGGTCCTGGTCCCCGGCCCGCGAGCTGGTTGAACCGCCACAACTATGTAGTGCTGTGCTGCTGCGCATACTTTCTCAAGGTTTGTGCGCGCGGTATGTTACACGAATTGAATGGGGTGAAGGAAGATGACGTCTGTGTGTATATGTGAAAATTGAACCTGAAGAAATGACCTGACAGAATAAGGAAACAAGAAAGCCCAGTGTCCAATTATTTCTGTTTTTGCTCGTAATCCTGTTCAGCGGAGAGCCTGTTTGTTCTGTGGAAGAGTACTGATATGACCTCCTCTTATTCTCTTCCACTAGTCGAATCTGAAACGAATAATGGTTGGATTTCCTTCTCCAATCGTGTGTGCTCTGCCTATAGGCGATGATGACGATGGTGCTGATGATGACGGTGAGAGTGAAGGTTACGATACTAGCGTATGTGTGATGGTAGGAAGACAAAAGAGAGGGAGATCTTCATAGCGCCCGTTTAGTATGAACTCGAACCATGATCCCAAGACGAGCCATCTTTCCCATCAAATCATCCCTGTTAACCCGAGTATTTCGTAGGACACCTGGATACCTTATTTGGAAAGGCAGAGACTAGGTAAGCATAATCTCCCACTCGGTCCAAAAAAAGACAAAAACAGGGAGTAGACCTGGCGAGTATGTTTCTGCAGGAATGTACTTAAACTCAATATCACTAAATGTGTATATGTTGTTGTCCGCACTGGACAAAAATAAGTACCTTTACTGATAGGATACAAGCGCAAGCTAAGCGAGAGAATACAAAGAGTCAAGAAACTAGGTGAGATGTGGTTCTGAGGAGGCTTGAGAATTGAAGGGTGTCTTTTTAATATGGGGGTGCCTGTAAGATCAAGTGTTTGACAAGATAAGGTGCATTGAAGTGGATAGGATATCATCAGAGAAGAAGAAGTTGGAAGAAAGCGGCGACGGCGGCGGCGGTGTGTGTGTGTGGGGGGGGAGGAGGGATTATGTGAAGCAATAGTAACAGCAGTTTGTTCAAGACATCTTTTTGGTTGCCGTTCTTTCTAGCCAGAGGTACATCGTAAGTGCCTTGACAGCGGAGGATTATCTCAACAGAAGATAGAAGAGAGAGAGAGACATAAAGAAGAGAAGCAGCTAGTATCAAACATAAAGCGAGAGATTATGGAGAGGAGGGGGGCGCATGTACGTGTAGAGGATGATGGCGAGGAGGAGTACATGGCTGGTGACCCATGTAATACTTTCTAAAAGAATCCGAAAAATCCAGCAGGACAAAAAAGACTGACGCTCGGATGTATATGTGCTGTGACAAAAATAATCGAATTCGAGAACCGTGCTTAACATAGGAGATCAAGGAGGGGGGGATGGAGGGGGGGAGCCGGACGGGGTGGTAATTTAAGTCAGTAACGAGGAAGAAAGACGCTAGAAACGACTTGGAGAAAGAAAGGGCTGACAACTGCATGCAACGGAAACATGAAGGGGAGTACGCGAGCGAGGAGGGTGGAAGAGCCGGTCTAGCATTTATTAGCGTTGGCAATGAGCGTAAGGCGTGCAAGGTCCCGTAAAAAGGGGGCTCGCGGTTCTGGACTGCATGAAACACACATACACATCACGCACACAGAATGGATGCTTAATGCTGCCTGAGCATTTCATTGAGCCACGAAGGTAATCGAGAGAGCTATGGTGGCTGCCTGTATGCATGTGCAAGCAAATTACCTTGTTCTCGAGATTGGAGGAACTCGGGAAAAAATCAGTTGGAAAATGATATTGTTTGAAAAAAGGAGTTTAGGTAATGGGATGAAAGATGTCGACGAAGGGATGCTGCAATCAGGGCCTAGAGAAGAGAAAAGAAAACTGTTTTCTTTTTCTACATCCTTCGACAGCCTGGCTATTTCTCGTCCTTGTGGTTCCACGCATCTCACGCCAACATTTTGCTTCTAGCGAACTGCCGGATCGTGTTCGACACTTGACTGGTAGCCCCAATGACGCACTCTAATCATCCAAAACGTCTTTAGTGCGGTTTTATTAACAGGGACATATTAGAACATGGACGTGGCATGTTCTTTATTTTATGTCAAAGGGCCAGCTAATGATGATCATGGTTTCTTCGTTCTTGAGCAAAAAGATAGAGATCAAGGGTACCAGACTTTGTTTCTTGCTCATTAAGATAAGGCGACGCACATCTCTTTTCATGCAAAAACAATGTTTTGCTTTAGTTCAGTCATTAATAGGTCAGTTCACCCGCATGGCCCCCATGTTCCAGGGATTTTGGTGGCGACAATCGTTTGTTTTAGAAGCGCGTAAAAAAAAAAAAAAAAAAAATCATCGGCCCACCCTAAGCCAGAATCCCCACTCCCCAGGAAAGTGGGGATGATAGCTCGTTGAAACCGGACGCTTAAGTACCGTGAGATTCATTTTTCCTATTGGGATAGAAATTGGAACCCGATGTCGAATTCAAAACGGATGATCGATAGATAGGCATTTGGATGAAAAACAGCGCTGCATCATCCGCACACTTAATCAGGCTGGATACCCCTTGGGGGTGCTTACTTGTCAAGACACTACTGCGCACGCATTTTATACCGGAGTAACGATGCACATCATTCGGCGTTCAAGATGCATCCTGCAGATCGCAGGTGTAAGCATGTCGCTGTGGACCTGCACTCAATGCGCAGGACATCCGGAGCACAGTGGTCGCCTACCCATTTCTTTGTGAATATCTCTGCGCAATTCCTTGTTTCAACTGCGCCCAATGCCTTCTGGATTTTTTTTTTTTTTTTGACGCGTAGAACTACATCGTTTGCAATAAGCCAATGGAGCAAACTTTATTATTATTATAAATTATAATGTCATCGCTCAAAATATTAGAGAAAAAGTCGTTTTGTTTGTTGTAACTATTATATGTTCATTCCGCCAATATGTTCTAGACGCGTACAGGCACGGCCGCCAATCCCACCAATTCAAACAAAATCGGGATCCCGTCAACGGCCAAAGCTCCAATGCCTGCGTACACGACCAGCTTTGACACAATATCGACATCAAACCGGCTCTTTGGCGGATGCATCCTTTCGACCCTCAACAGCGCCTCCGCCTCATCCTCGAACCGACTAGTCAATCCGTCCTTATGTCCCTCGTCAACACTTCCACACTCTGTCGATCCATTGCTCAGCACCGAAGAGTCGCGCTGATGATGTCCGTCCAACAGTGGACTCTTCTCCTCCATGCCAATCTCCTCATGCGTCGCTCCCTTCCTTACCCTCAACCCAATGGATAGCCCTTCATGTTGCTCCTTCTCGTACGCTGCCGCCGCCGCCAACGAATACTTCTCATGCACATCCATCGTCGATTGGAGTCCCACAATCTCAGCATTGCCCGACATGCTAGGCAGATCAATCACCGAGGGCACCTTTCCGATCGGATACCTCGACAGCGTGTTGTAGGTACTGGCAGGGATGAAATGTGGGCGGTACGGCAGACTGAACAGCTTGTAGACTGGTGGCAGGAGCACATACAACGCCTTCTTTGCCATCAATCGCCACACAAACAACGTTCCAACGCCAAAGACCAGTCGCAGCGCGCTCTTGATCAATCCCAGATCTGTGCTGTAGGGGATTGTAGCCGGAACGGGATAGTTGGACGAGTACGAGGTCGATGCGAAATGAATGCTTGCAGGAATGAGGCCCATGATCACCGCAATGAATGCCACACAGTCGTCAAAGCAAGGGCAGTCGTCCACGGGGTCCGGGATGATGGAGACCAAGAAGATGCCTGTTGCGATCACAAATGGAGGCACCCACCAGACTGGACTGACCATATAATACTCGATCGTGCGCCTGAATGTCCACTGGACCGCCCAGATGGTAATCCCAATAATCGATCCTCCAACACAGTCTGTGATCGAGTGCATTCCACAGTAAAGACGGCCATAGACAATCGAGACTGCATAGATGATAAGGCCAAGGATGGAAAGCTCGCGGGTATATGGGCTCCATGAGGCTGGGTCGGTTGTCAGCAGGTGGCAGTAGAGAAAGAGAGCGACGGAGATGGCGTTGGTCGAGTGTGAGCTGGGGAATCCATATTCAAGACAGGTTGATTTCGAGCGCGAGAGGCGGACGATTGGCGGTGAAAGTGGGCGAGGCAAGCACAGGTAGTCCTATGGCCATGGTTCCAAGGCGAGGCGTGCAATGGTTAGTTTTCGTTCACTTATTGCTCCTCTGGATAAAGTGATTAGCCATCATTTGTTTGGGTGTGCGTATCGGTAGGAAACCAAGAAAATGAGAGCACCCGCACACAGCCAACTTTAAGAAAAAATCCAGGCCCTGCCGCCACACATGTGCTGCAATGCTCACGGATTTGGTCCCTGCCCCCGCCGCTGCCATGTGAAGTATACAGCACCAAGGCAAAAAAACGTGCTATGACCAAATCAAGAAAATTGTGGTAGTTGACCTACGGAGGTCAAGAAGGAGCCAAGAAGGCACTACCGGACGCTAGCCACGCTAACTTGGCAACCCATGTCACTCGCTCGTCACCAAGAAAAAAAGCCCTTGCAACCTGGTCCTGTCTGTATCTTTTTCCGTTGCGTTTGTTGCTGCGCTAAAAGGGGAGCGAGCGTGCAGACTAACTAACAACAACAAAAAAACACAAATGTGCATCACGCTGCAAGCTTCTCTTCCAAACAAACATGATTTGATCTGGGGTCGTTGTGCTGAAAAAAGAACTCGCGGCGGCTGGATGAACGCTGCCTTTCCATAAGTGAATCTCCTCCTGTCCCTGAAGACCTGGCCCTAGATTTTTTTCCCTTCTTTGCTGCCTATCGATTGTCATGTTCCTGCTCCAGCCCTTGTATCAAGTGTCTCGCATTCTTCATGCCAGCTCCGCCTACCCACTGTCTGTCCAATCCATTCCGAAAAATAAAATAAAATAAAGCGCTGTGCCTTGAGGGAGGATTGATTGCTGTATGGTTTCGATACCTTGAAGAATCCTGCCCAGTAGACACCCATCGCAGCGATCAGTGTGAATCTATTCAAGAGAGAAAAACGCAACGAGATAAGCACTTTGAACTGCAATTGCCTTTAGTGCCGGCGGCACAATGACGACCTATCATGGCTCAATTGCGCATGTCGATGACACATTACCCACGAGCAATCTCAGCAAAGCCGAACCAAAAGAGGACGGGCAGGGCGATCATGAAGAAGGCGTGGTTGCCAGAGAAGGCCGTCGTTGTGAAATACACGTCCAAGACTGGGTGCCGTACTTTTTGCTATTATTGAACAATGACAAGATCACTCATCTCGTTATGAAACTGAACCCATCGATGAGGTAAATGGAGAGACAGGTCATTCGATTCCAATGAATTGTGATGTTGCTATTTTTACCTGCATCGCATGCAGGATGGGTGTTTCGCTGCGGACATAGGGCAGGAGGAAGCGACGCAGGGCAGCACGGACGGGTGTGAGCTGTGAGTCGTAGTAGGCGTCCGAAGCTACGCCAGCAGGGATCTCGATGTCGAACTCCTCATCGAGCTGCAGCTGCTTTTCGGATGAGGTTGCGACCATGGCTGCCAGGAAGGGCTGCGTTCAGGCGGAAGATGAAGGAGTGTGGGTGGAAGCAAGTGAAGGGTGTGAGGGGGAGAGTGTGCTCTGTCTTGGACGTAGTACTTGTAACAGTAAGGAAGAATATGGGAGTGAAGCAGTAGCAGAGGAGGGGTCGAGAGAGAAAGAGAGAGAGAGAGTGAAGGCTACCACCCAAAAGCCATGAAGAAGAGTGAGGGGTCAGCACAGGCAACCGCTCGCATTCCACACTCTCAGTAGCGGCAGCAGAGACATGTCATCTTTGTCCTACGATAGAGGGGTACGGTGTGTTTGTAAACCCGCGCCGTATGAAAGTGAACCCCGCTCCGCTCTTTGGTTGTTTGGCGCGCGGGTTTTTGTTTCTCTAAAGAGAGAGAAAAAAAACCTGTTCATTCGTATCCCGGCTTCGGCTTGGTCGGGACATCGCTAAGTAAGAGTAAACCTTGCCATGGGGAGGATAGGTACTCATGAGCTATCCGTAGATCCATGCCATCCCAGTGATCCTGGCTACTATCACAGTCTCTACTTTTCGTCATTGTGGCAGCGTGGAGCACATCATTCCATGTAGTCTGAAAGATCTCCTTTCCAATTGCTTTAAAAATCGACGCATTATCCTGTTTATTACGAATAGTAAGCAATAGTAAGTACCCCCGTTTCCGCTATTCAGCAATCATCAATGGGAGGAGAAGCCCATTCCAGCTTCTCAAACGCCTGTAGTCGTCGCCGCAGCGCGGCCTCACACCTCTCCTGTACCTCATCTCTCGCCCCATCCTCCTGAACATCCTTCCACCACGCCACATTCTTCTCCACCTCCTCTGCATTCGACATCCCCACCACTAGTCCTTCACATCCCCTCCACTTCATCGCAAACTTGACCGCGATCTCTGCCAGATCCTTGCCCGGCGACTGATCCTCCACAATCTTGATGCAATCCTGAGCCGCTGAGAGCAGCGGTGCTGGGGCAGGGTGCCATTCTGGAACTGGGATGTTCGAGCGAAGCAGACCCATCGATACCGGGGATGCGCTCCAGATAGTGGAAATGCCGAGGTCTCTGAAATGGGCGATGTAGTCTTGGAGGAGGGTGTTGTGAAGGTTGTAATGGCAGTAGGTCATGAGGATATCGAGCGTTTGGCCGACACGCTCATGAAGCACGGGAATCAGAGCCAGCAAGTAGGGCAGAGGGTATCCTAAGAAAGACGAAGATTGTACGACTCTAATCAGCAACAGTGAACGCATTTTCTTGTCTGCAGAGTGATGAAAGCGGGTTTGATCTCGGTTCGATTCGATTCGTCATAACTTACCGCTGATGCCAACATACTTGATTTTGCCTTCAGCCTAATTCACGAGTTCAATTGGGATACCGCAAGTCGGTCAGGGACCCTTGATGATATTCCCATATTGCCTTGGTTATCAGGCAAAAACACCTGTATGTCAACAATGCACTGTACCTTGAGTCGAAAGAGTTCCCCAACAGCCTCAACGGCCTCGTCCACAGACACAAACTCGACATCGTGCGCATACACAATATCCAGATAATTCGTATGCATCCGATCCATACTCTCCTCGACTGACGCCCTCACCCGCTCCTTTGAGTAATTAAATTCCTTCTTCTTCAGCCCATACCGTCCCACTTTTGTCGACAGATAGTAAGTTGATCGAGGGTGCGTTGCCGAGATGGAGAGCAATGCCTTTCCAAGGACTTGTTCCGAGTTGCCGTAATACGGGGAGGTGTCGAAGGTGTTGATCCCTAGATCAATGGCTCGTTTGCAGGCCTCAGCGGGCCAGTGTGCCTTAATCGGGTTGTAGAGCTGCGCAAAGGCGGAGGTGCCGTAGATGATCGGGGAAACATCCATGCGGTCCTGAGGGACGTTCGGTGGTGTCTGGGGGAATACGTCTGAGACGGTCATGGCTTGACTGTGGGTGGGGTGTTAAGATGTCAGTAGGGTCTATGTGGAGGTCGAGGTGGGGAGAGTGAAGAAAAGCAGAGGAAAGATTGGGTTTTCGGTGCTTCAATAAAAAACAAATGAAAAAAGAAACAAGTGCGCGAAAGGGCATAATTGATTCTCACCGAGTGAAGAGAGTTCCTTGGGCGTATGTTGTTGCTGTTATTGCTCTCTTCCATTCTTACTCAGACCCGTTTCTTACTCAGACCCAGACCGAGTTGGTACCCACGGTCCTACCATTGTCATCTGCCTATAGCTGCAGCCAAAGGGAAAGAACCTACAGGGAGACATTGGAGACCAATGCAGGGCTCCAGGATCTGACATGTCCCTTTCAAGTTTGGGACTTGTTGTTGTCTGTGTAACAAACAACTGTCCACTCCACTGCCTGCCTTGGACTGGGCAAAACCCTCATCCCGCCCACACTCACACACCTCATTCCTTCTCTCGATGACCTCAATGACAGTGCAAGCCAAAAGAGTCATCGTCGTCGGTGGAGGCATTGCCGGTATTGCTGCAGGTAAGAGACGTTACAGAAGCCCTGTTTATTTTGTTTATTTATTTTTTTTCGTTGCGTTATAACACTGTGTTATTTTACTCATAGCGGCTGAACTCTCCAAAAACCCAAATATCCATGTAACCCTCCTCGAGGCTCGCGACCGACTTGGCGGTCGGGTCCAGACCCACCGCACCCTTATCCCCGCCTCATTCGAATCCTCTAATCTTGTGCCCCAAGGTTCTTCTGCCATCGCCTTTGATTTTGGCGCCTCATGGGTCCATGGTCTTGATCCCTCGAACCCACTCTTCCCGCTCCTCAAGACTGGCCTGGTCGAGTACCATCACACGTATACAGACCTCATGTTCTATGCGCCCGGCCAACCGGCATTGCCTACGGAGGAGAGTGATTATTACTGGAAGGTCGTGTGGGATCTGTTGGATGAGGCACAGGCCTATGCGGCAGAGCATAGGGAGAGCATACCGGAGGAGATGTCGTTCTTGCAGTGGCTGACAGAGTATTTAGAAAAAAGGCAGATTATTGACCCAAAGGCGGAGGGATATTTGAGTGAGAAGGTCAAGGAGGCCGTACGAGGATTGGTCTTGTATTGGGCCGATGAGAATGCGATTCCGTTGAAGGACGCCTCGATGAAGTATATGGATGCGGAGGAGGTTTTCCCGGGGGAGCATTGTTTCGTCAGTAATGGGTATGATCGTGTGGTCAAGGTCCTTGCGAGTAAGCTCAGGAATGCGAGGGTTCTGTTGGAACACGTCGTCGAGAAGATTGACTACAGCGGTATGGCTCAGTCCTTTTTTTTCCTCCGCCACTAATGACTTTTGCCTTGCGGAATGTATGCGCCTCATACTCAACATTGAACACCTTGAAACGATTTTTTTTTCCTTGGTTCCGCGTCGTATCCTAGAGTCTGAGGTCAAAGTCGTCACCAACCACGGCACCTTCCACGCCGACCAAGTCCTCATCACCCTCCCTCTCGGCGTTCTTAAAGCCCAATCCCACTCCCTCTTCTGCCCACCTCTCCCCTCCACAAAACAACACGCGATCGCCCACCTAGGCTTCGGTACCATGTTCAAAATCCTTCTCTTCTTCCCCTCATGCTTTTGGCCCCCAGGTGTGCACTTCATCAACTTCCTTCCCTCCGCCAGCACCATCCCAAACACGGATCTTGTCGCTTACTTCTCCCTTTCAGACCAACAACGCGAAGCCCTGACGGTTTACATGAAAGACCTGGCCAATTACTCATCCTTGATGCCCGTCTACAATATTTCGATCCTGATCGGGTATGCAACCAACCATGCCGCTGAACTCATGGAGCGCCTATCAGATGAAGAGGCACGGATGGTCTATCTCTGTCAACTGGCACATTACTACCCAACCTTGGCAACTCTGGAGGGAAAAGAATTCTGGCCAAAGATGTCGTTCATGACCCGATGGAACCAGGATCCGTTTGCAAGAGGATCGTACACGAGTATCCCTGTCGGTGCTTCGCCAAGGGATATCGAGGCGTTTGAGATACCCGTGGGCGCCAGAGTGTATGAGCAACTAGACGGGAATAATGATTATGAGCAGGATGGTGATGATAGCTACAGTTCGAGTTCGACGGCGGCGGTGATGGCGGTGGATGACCTAGAGGCTGGGAGGGTGTTCTTTGCGGGCGAACATACCTCAAAGGCACATTTTGCAAGTGTCCAAGGAGCATTGATCACAGGTCGACGCGAGGCGGCCAAGATCCTTGGTCAAGGATCCTTTTTTTAGATGATACGCGTAGAAGTGGAGAAGCCGTCACGAAGGACCACTCCTGATACAACGGTCATCATTCACTATCCAGCAAGGCATAATATGAATATGGAGATTAACAATGAATTAGATGTTTTTTTAAGTGTTTGTAGGAAAAAAAATGCTAGCTACTGGTAATACTGTACAAAAAATACATCGACGTTGATCTCTAGGATCTTTATCACGTTCATGACGCAGGCTTCTTCCTCCCCGCACCTAACGACAACGGCCCCAATAAGACCGACGGCGATAACCTCGCAAAACTCCGTCGTCCGCTCATCTTCTTATGACTCGCTGTCGGTCCTGTCGTCCCATCCGTTGTTAGGCTCTTCGTCAACCGAATCATCCCCTCTGGGGGTGGTGGCATCCTGTCCGGTGGTGACGACGATAGCAGCGCCGACGCATAATTCAACGAAGAATGGATCGACGCCGCCGCTGCCGCTGCAGGATCCATCGACGCCATTCCGTTCGGGCCAGCAGCGGCACCGATACCGCCTCCTGATGTCGGCACAGCCACTGTCGCTGCAGGTGCCGAGAAGAGCGACGACCGTTTCGCAGCCGAAGCCTTTGTAGCCGCCGTTGGTTCGGAATGCCGATGATGACGATCATGTTCCAGTTCTGGACTCCTGGATTCCTCGCGCTCGATCTCTGCCGTGATCGCGGGATCGAGTGATGATCTGGAAGTCTGTCGCGACAATGGACTGGAGTAGAAGAGTTGTGGACTTGAACTGTCTTCCTCAAGGTCGGATTGAACAGTTGAGGTACGTCGACGGAAGATTCCTTTGGCCTTAGTCTTGGACTTGATCAGCTTGCTGGCGGGCCGGACGACCGTGACAGGGACGGGGGAGTGGTTCAGACAGTAGCGGGAGACGCTTCCGAGGAGGAATCCCTTGACGGTGTTTCGGCCTCTGGTTCCAACGACCAACATGTCTGGTTCGTACATCTTGATCTATTGGAAGTCGTCAAAAACAGCAAGGTCCTGGTTCAGCCATGGGTTTCGTAATCTCGCTTTCATATCCGCACCCTATCGCAGCGATGACGGAATAAAACGCTTGTGCGGGCATACCATGTGCTGAATGGTGTCGCGGACGTTGCCAACGAGGCACTCGACAATGATGTTGAGCTCCTTGGACTTGTTCTTTTCTCTGATCATGCCCATAAGCTTGGCTGCCTCCTCGCGCGCTGCAAGCTCCTGACCCTGGAAAGATGGGATGCCGGATTTGGCAACTATGGCATGGACGATGAAAACGACGAGGTTAGTTCAGTGGAGCAGGTCCTGCTTGTGTTGCACCATGACGACATTATGGTCAATCCCTCGACCCAGCTTGCTTGATGAATGCATATCCCTCGTCTGATGAACGAATGGCCAAAGAAGAAAAAAATGCATGCGCTTGCAGCATGCTAACGTGTTGCTGTATTCAAGTGTATGTGTGCACACCCAACTGATAGTCGTCTCCTAGCTTTTTTTTTTTGGATCCAAACATATAATCCTGTGAACGGGGACCTTTTTACAAAGTAAACAGAACCCCTTCGTCTGCCTACTGCGCCCGGTGGATGATTATTATTTTCCCTTGTGCACATCTGATTGGTGTTTGATGCTCTAGTTGCCGTCTGTGCGATTCGATCCCTGAACTGAGCCTGCTGCCCCTGCTCCTTGTCCCTTGTTTCTGATCCTGATCCTGCTCCTGTTCCTGTGCAGCCCCTGTTGGTCCCTTGCAACTATGCACGTATACACGTGCGAGTATGTACGGTATGCTTCCCTTCAGGAAAGTACTTTTTCTGTTCTCTCGTCAGCTGGCTCGATTTTCCTTCGGCTCACTCTGTTGACGGGACGGTGTTGGTAGTGTTGGTTGGCTGTCGACAGGAAAAATGTGGAGTGCACCAGGCTTTCCATAAACCAAAAAAAAAAAAAAAAAAAAAAATAGAACAGAACAGAACACACACACAAACACACACAAACACGAGGCGTTCTCCTAATGTGTCGTTGCTAAAGCGGCCCTGAATGAACTTACAAGAGTCCCGTAGTTCGATAGGTACGACCCTCAATGCCACAATCTATTTGTTCATGAATAAAAAGAAAAGAAAAGAAAAGAAAATGCGGTTAGCGTAACACGTTGGATCATTATTGCATGCAATGCATACAATCATGCATGCAGCTCCTCCGCGGATAAAAAAAAAAGCGCGGGGATACATGCTCAACATTTTTCCTTTTTCACTGTCATTGTCGTCCACAATTGTCAAAAAAAAAGAAAAAGAAAAGAAAACGCCCACAATGTGGACGGATCTCATTCTTTTTTTGTGGACCAAAAATAACTCCCGTTACTGAATCCTAAACCTGGCGCCTCTCATCAGTCTAGGGAGGAACCCACAATCATTTCCCTTCACGAATTATGAAATAACCCAAGTTGCCCAATCAGAGTCGCTACAAATGTATTGACCGGATGGGGACTTGTCCGTAACCTGGCAGAAAGCGCTTTACATCACTAACAATCCTCTTGTAAGACCTCCCGGAATTTTTTTTGCTGTGGTGCATACGCCTCCTGACAGATGATGCGTTGCATTGAAAGAATAAATGATGTTATGCATGGTTGCCCAAAGCAGAAGTATAACACGCTAGAGCCGATCTAAGCGTCGTAAAATGCCTCTTCGATGTCATGCATCCACAAAGAAACGGTAAAAATGAGAAGGAAACGATAGAAAAGTCCCTAGTGCTCCTTACTTCATCACCATCCTCGACCATGTTTTCCATCACCCATTGCAGTGCATGGGCGCTGTAGTCATTGAGGTCCGTGCCGACGAGGAAGGTCCTGGAGTACTTGGTTCTGTGCCAATGGTCTGTTCGTGCCTGGAGTGTGAAGGCGTACTGGGCTGTGGCCTCGCAGTCGAGGGTGTCGAATCCAACCCGGGCAACGTAACCGTTTTTGGATCGTTTCTTAGGCGGGGCTTCGGTTTTGCGTGTGTCGTCGTGATCCTTGCTGCTGCTGCTATTATTGTCGGTAATGGATGTAGGAGCGGTGGTGAGAGAGGTCGTGGTCGAGTTGGAGGGAGAGACTGTGGCGGAGCTTGCGGGCGTGGAAGTGGCGGAGGAAGAAGGGGGCGCGTTGGAGGACAGGGTCAGGGGAGGAGTGTTGATCGCCGTGCCCTGGCTGTCGTTGAGTGTCATTGGTGGAGGTGAAAGGTTGAGGCAGAGAGGAATGTAATGAGAAGGGGAAGGAGTGGAATGAGCTATGAAGGGAGGGGGGTTAGAGGTGAGGGAAAGAAGAGAAGTGTGAGAGACAAGGAACGGGCAAGTCTTTGTTGTTTTTGTGTGTTGGAGCAAGTCCTCGGGGCTGAAGTAGGCTCATACATTTTTTTTTTTTTTTTCGCTGCCGAAGCACACGCACACTTCGCATCCATTGAAGGTAAACAACGCAAGGACATCCCTCAACCTAAAAACACGCATTCGCTCGACCCAGGTAATCGGATTGCCTCCTGCCACTCCCTTCCCTTCAAAGGAAAGGATCCAGCCAGCCCATCGACCGGCTATCCCGCGTATCCTATCCTACGCTGTCCTGTGCTGTCCTATCCTATCTGCACACTCACAACACGCGTTAGCACTCCCTTTTCCCCCATCTCCGTCATTCATACTCACAGGCACCTGTCCACTCTTTATGTTTACTCTGAGCACCGCCTGTCATTTCCATTTTGGGCCCTTCCACCTCTCCTTCCTTCGGCTGCCTTGATGGCCCATAGCTTATTTCAATTTTTTTTAAGCGGCGCCCGATTTCCATCCGGAAACAGGCCAACGGGCAATGGTAAGATATTTGTGTTCTTGCGCGCAGGCCACAATGAAGTGGTTGTCCTGTCTTTTTGTTCGTCATGGGTTTCAGCTGAGCAACTGTCCAGGCTACACACCATGTTTTAAACATGTACCTGGTAAGGTCGGGTGCGATTTATGCGACTTCAATGGTCAGTCCTCACTCCTGTTGTTCTCAATTGGGATGCTAAGACGGATTTTTGCATAATAGCGATTGAGTAAAGAGTCAGGTGTATGGCCACTGCAGCAAGTAGCAGTTCAAGAAAGGGCATTTGCACCCCAAACTACACTCCATCGTACCCACTTTTCAATTTTCTGACCTCTAGACAGCTCTGGCCTGGTGATTTTTGTGCATCCCCCAACCGATGAAATCCCCAATTGCAAAAAGGCACGGCCCGAAATTGCGATCAATCAGTGCTTCGCCCGTCCCTGAAATTCAACTGGCGGATTTCCTTTTTGGCCGTGACTGTGGGGACCCCTCATGAGAGAAACAAGATGCCAGCCACAGCGCCCAAGGTAGCCAGGCACCAACGCCTAGAAGCATCGACAGGAACACAACCTGCCCGAAACACACATACGTCTTTTTCTACCACCCGACCGAACCCTACACCGGCTTGCAACCTGTGACGTGTTTGACTCATGACCATGGATGATTTGGTGACTCTGGCCAAGACGGCCATCTCAGCGCGTCTTGCAGAACACTCCATGCCGCCAGCACTCGTCGGACTCGAGGAACAATACAAGTACGGATACCAGTCTACGCTTTTCAATTGGATGGTTTTAAAGTCGCACACGGAGATCCTTTATTTGATTCTTCAGTTTCTCAAAGATAAGATATCCTGATCTACTCATCCATAGGAAAGTCCATGGCTTGATGCGGCGGACGATTGAAATGGGCGAAAGCAACTCCTGTCTGATCCTAGGACCTCGAGGCACTGGAAAGACAATGGCAAGGAATTAAAGCAATATAGGGTGATACGGAAATGACAATGTAGAATGCAGCAAGTCGCGATATTAACCGCTCTCTGTATCCAATCTTCCACACAGCTCGTTCGCCAGGCATTACAGGAGATCGAAAAGCAATTCAGGATAGACATCAATCGGACCACGGATCATAATATGGATATGGATGTTGACGGACGCAAAGAATTCATGGTCATCCATCTCAATGGAATGGTCCAGACAGATGATAGAATGGCACTGAAGGAGATCATGCGACAGCTTTCACGGGAAGGCGAGTCGGAAATGGGAAACACCAATGTAAGACGGAATGAACTCGTAAGGCGCGCCTCTACATTTTATCCGCTCTCCAATGGACTCGGAACTGAAGACGATCCTTCTTCAATGGTTATTAGACATCATTCTCGGACTCGCTTCCCTCATTACTCACGTTTTTGAAGGCTGGAACGAAAGAGCAATATCCGATTATTTTTATCCTGGACGAGTTCGATCTGTTTGCGCAACATACGAAACAATCTCTGCTTTACAACCTATTCGACGTGGCACAGAGCGCAGAGTGGCCAATTGCTGTCATTGGCGTCACTTGTCGTATGGTAAGTTCTTTATACGCAACCGGACCGATTGAGCAGCGCCGGTGATTTCGGGAAGGAGTATCTAACAATTGTTTATTTCCTTTTAGGACGCATTGGAATTACTAGAGAAGCGCGTCAAGTCGAGATTCTCGCATCGGCATTACTATACGTTCCCACCTAGCGCCTATCACGACTATGCGGAGGTCTGTCAGAATGCCCTCTTGCTATCGCCCGCAGATTTGGAGATTCAATCGGTGGAAGGAATGCTCATGGGCGAAGATCTCGAAGACAAATTGATATTCATGAACGAATTCAACCGTCGCGTGAAGGTACAGCAGACAATGTGTTAGAGGATTTCCTCGCCTATCATTATAGATCGCGCGGTGAATAAATGCGATCCCTGTGCACAAGATGTCACTAACGACGCTTTTTTATTTCTTCGTGGATCATTTTTCTCGTAGATGCTGTTTGAAGATGGTGGATTTTCAAAGGTCGTGCAGCGGATATACGATCTAATGAAGGATGTCCGAGGGTTCTATCGCCTCTGTGTATGTGCATTGTTTCCGCTATCGCACATCGACGTTCAGCGGGAAAATGGGTTGCCCTCCTGTTTACTCATGTGCTAATTATGTCGTTCTCCTCCACGGGAGGGTTGTGCTTGCTTTTTTTTTTTTTTTTTTTTTTTTTTGGTTTCCTTCCCTTCCAAACAGTTTGGACCAGTGGCAGAACTTTCAGAAACACACCCCTATTTGCAGCCCTCCCAGTTCTACGATTCGGGTTTGCAGCAGCGGGTTGATAACAAAACCGAGCTGCTCAAGGGCATCTCGCTGCTGGAGCTGTGCCTGCTGATTGCAATCAAGCACCTTGTGGAGCGGGAAACAATTACGTTCAACTTTGAAATGGTGTATGATGAGTACAAAGATTTTATGGATATGGCTGTCGTGCGTGGAACAGCGTCGAGTTCGTTGGGCGTCCAGGGCATTAGCAGCGGAGGGACCGTTACCACGACCGAGACCGTATCCTTGAGACTCTACAAGAAGGCCGTTGCACTAAAGGTGAGAAAGCATGAAATTTGTCTGTACCCAAACCAGTGCGGTACGAGCATCGGATTTGGATCAACTTTTACTGAATATGTTTCAAATAGGCTTTTGAACATCTGGTGGAGGCAGAGCTGCTGCGGCCCGCAGACTCGTCCGGTAAGGGCCCAAAAGAGTACCGGATGGTGCGCGTGATGCTGGACTCGAGCCAGATCTCGGACGTGGTGTTGAAGCATCGGGATTGCCCCACGGTAGTTGCCCGCTGGGCGGCACGGCGGCAGTGAGCAAGAGCAAAATAAAATGGAAACTTTATGAGAGCGAGCACACAATTGTTTTTTTGTTTTTTTCGTTCTTTGCTTCGCTTCCTTTTACCCCGCATCAACGAAACCCAAGAACGCCTTTCTTTTTTTTTAAAAAAAAGGAGTCTTGAACAGTGTTTCCTTTTCTCTCTTTTTCTCTCATCAGATCTCACACCCCACGATCAGCAGATCCCTTCCTACCCTTTCGGTTGTAGAGACTCGTCGATCACATACATCGCGTGCCGCTACCCATACACCTCCTCTGTCACACTACTCCCTTTCCCTTTCGAGATCCCCCACACCACCCACCACCACCACCACCACCACTAACCCTACCCCGACCCCACGCTCCTCGAGTCGCCTCACCGATCATCAATCCGTGTGAGCTGACTCAACCCCGGTTACGAACCACCTCTACCCTTCTATTCAAATTGGATTCCTCAAGATCATACCTCCGCTACCGCTACCCATTGCCCTTTACGCAATCGATAGCAATACCCTGTATACTAGCTACACTACCTTGATCCAATCCACCTCCACCACAATTCATTCCTTCAATAATGGGCGGGTAAGTCTTGTATATTTGCTTTATTCGTCAAAAAAGTCAGTATTTCTTATGCCATGGCGAGGAGGAAGAGGGACCCACACGAGAAGAAACAAGGGGTGTTTGTTGACATTGAGAAAAAAAATTTCCCTCTGTTTGCTTCCCTTTCGCAGCCTGTGCCTCTTTCTCTCACAATGCTCGCCTGCCTCTCGTGGGCGTGTGTGTGTGATATTATATTTATATTATTATTACTGTAACTCGCTCATGCGGTTTTGGGTTACTGTATCGGTTTGGTTGGCTGGGAGCCAAAGTTGGGGGGTCGAGTGGTGCAATTTTTGTTCTTGGTCTCGTTTTCGAGGGGAGAGGAGGGGACACTAGTCCATAATGATGCCCATAAACTGGAACTAAAGACGAACAGAGCGAAAGAAAATGAGAAAACAAGCCGTGGTTTGGTGTCATGACATCGATGGCGACTGGACTTGCTGTGTGTGTGTGTGTATGTGGAGCGTGGGGAAAGTGAAGCGTGAGTGCTGTACGCATACACTACCTACAGCACACTATCACAAATACAGGCGCTTATGAGTTGTTGACGCCCATTGCCCATTGTCGGTCGTGTGTGCACGCGTATACCCCCGCTCCCCCTCTACTCCCTCTCCACTGCAACGGCTTTTTTTTTTTTTTTTGTTATTGTTGTTGTTGTTGTTTTTTGTTTTTGCTGCTTTTTTTTTCTACACTCCAATGCTATCCTCTCGACTCGCATTTTACTCAACACTCAATCAAAAATGCTCTATCTACCTCTACCTCTTCCGATCTCTAGAATAACCCTAGCCGACAATGCCCCTGATGATCCGGAGGGGAGTTTCATGCTCCCCACCAGCAATACCTGCGGCGGCGGTAATGGTCTCTACAACACCAGTCTGTTGAAGGATCTCAACCTGCTAAACTTTTCGGGCTCGCCTAGCTTGACACCCACGGGCGCTGCAAACATACTCAATCCTAATCTCAATGCCAATGCCAATGCCAATGCCAGTGCCAACGGTGGTAGTGGTAACGCGGATGTGGCAGCGCTGACGTTTTCAATCTCGGACTTTTTGGTTCCTGCGTTGCAGACCAAGGTCTGGGAGGATTGGCAGGCTGCAGATGACTTTACGTAAGTTTTTTTTTTTTTTTTTTTTTTTTTTTGAGAAAAAAGGGTCCTTTGCTGCAAAAGCGAGAGCTGTGAATTGTCACTCACCTCAAAACGATCTCCTTCGCCCTTGGTCCTCTTATCTCCTATTTCTCCTATTTATTATTATTCTGCACGCGTGCATTATCCATCCTCCTTTTTTTAACAGCAGCGCATTCGAGACGCAGAACGATCTCCATCATACCACTGCTAATGGCATGCCCTTTCATTTGGGCCTGGACAGTGTGCTCGGAAGCTCGCTCGTCTCGTGGGACAATGACGACCTTCCCGAGGACCAGGCCTATGACGAGTTTGTGTTTGATCTTCCACCCTCGGCTTTTGAGCCTCCAACAGTCAATGTCGCGGACCTGATCGTGGGGCCGCATTCTGTTGCGGGGTCGACCTCAGTTTCGCCGTTGGAGCTCCTGGCGTTCCCGAATGAGGAGGATGAGAGATACCGGGAATTGATGCTCGCGAATCTTTATGGGTTCACGGAGCCAGCGACGGGATCTGAGGGCGAGTCTAGCTCGTCGGAATCGGAGGAGGACGATGCTGAGGATTCGGATGACGAGGATGATGAAGACGAAGGTCACGATGGAGAAAAGGATGTTGCTGAAGAACCAGTCCTTGACATTGCGGCTGTCACCGTTGCTGATGCCGAGCAGGAGGTCCTTCCCTCCGACATCGAGTCCGAGACCATGATCATCATGGGGATCAACCCCAAGAAGGCTGCCACTGCTCCCGTTATGACTGCGGTGAGCAAGCCTGAGGATCCCAACAAGCGCCGAATGGAAGAGTCCCTGGCGGCACGAATCAGCAACGATCTCGGCCCTGAGCACATGGCGGGACTCTTCAAGATCTTGAAGGGCGACCAAGTCGATGATGAGGACGAGGAGATGGAGGTCGATTTGTCTTGTCTGGACGAGACGATGCTGGTCCAGGTCTACCAGTATGTCGAGACATGCTGCATGCAGACCATGGGATCGATCGTCGCAGCAGAGCAGCGTGCGGCGTTGGATAGAGCGCACCGCCAAAAGCAACAGCAACAGCAACAGCAGCAGTATCAGTACCGACATCAAGGGTACGAAGATCGAACGCCGGAATTGTCTCCAAGTTACTCTTCCTCAAGCTCGCCTTCACCCCCTCACTCATCCTCGCATCCTGTGTCGCCCACCAAAGGATCCCGTAACACCAACAAGAAGCGCAATGGCGCGACGATGGCATCGATGATGGTGTACCAGGATGCAAATCATGGGGCAGATCAGGATCCACACTGGAATGCTGGACACCATCATCCTTACAAGGCGACAGCCGCAGCAGCACCTACGGCTACGACGAGACGGAAACGATCCAACACTGCGGGAAGTCGCAAGATGCAGAAGGATGTCCAGCACATGCACCAGCAGCTGCTGCAGCAGGAGCAGCAGCAGGCGTATGAGGCATGTGTCGCTGCCGAGACTATGATGTTGCAGACGGCGGATGATGAGATGGATGTTGGCGAGGATGCCGAGATCGATGTTGTGGGCATCTAAAATACCATTCTGCAACTCTCTTTCTTTCTTTTTTCCTTTTTTTATGATTTACTATTGCATCGCTGGCTTCGGTTTTTCCGTTGTACCGTTGTTCAGCCCTGTGTACTTTACTCGCAAGCAAATGCTTCGCATGTAACTCAACCCTCGAGCGCTGTATTTCTATGATGACTATTTCTTCTTTTTCTTTTGTTTCCAAGTTATCAGTGTATTTTTTTTTTTTCTTCTGTACTTTTTTCGTGGTTGTACTTTTTGTTCTTTTCTATTTTATTTTTCCAGGCTCCGGTGGATGAAAAGATCCGATGGAGTTATTACTATTACTATTTTTGCTATTTTTTGAAAAGAGAAAAGAAAGACGTCTAGAACAGCAAATCCAATAAAACCTTCCTTTGTAAAAAAAAACGCGTCGTACAATTCGTATATCTAAACATACATATACATTGCCATGTCTCCTCGATCTACCTCACTATGTCGTACTCAAAAGATCCTGGAGTTTCTCCGTTCCATCATCGGTCTCCTCTTCCGCACCGCCTCGAGGCCCCAGGCAAAGCCTCTTAAGACCTCCTCCGACATCCTGCCCTCCTGAAAGTCCTCCTCATCCATCACCAACCTCCAGAACCTCGAACACCTCCTCCCGATCTCCATCATCCCCTTATCCGTCACATTCTCCAGACCTGTGATATCGAGTTCCCTCAGATCAGGACATCGTCTTGCCAGGGCCTCGATACCGCGGTCCGTGATCTTGCTGCAACAGGCAACATTCAAGGTCTGTAGACCTGAGGCGTTAAGGCTGCAGAGTAAGTCATCCGTGACAAAGGCAGAGCAGTGCGCGATGTTGAGAGACGTGAGAGATTTGCACTCGAGGGCGATACTCAAGAGCCCAGGGTTCTGGTCCGTGATCGAGGCATTGACATTGGCAAGGCTCAAGATGTGGAGGGGAAGTCCTGCGGCGGCGAGACGGGTGAAGGTCTCGCCCGTGATCCCACCAAGTCCTGCAGAAAAAGACGAAGACCGGCTATTCGAGAGATTGAGGACGTGGATCTTTTGGCATTGCTCATAAATCGGGGCGAGTCCTGCGTCAGAGATGCGTGTGCATCCGACGAGTTCGAGACGGCGGAGGTTTGGGCAGGAAGTCGCGAGGATGTGTAGGGATGTGTCGGAGAATTGCTTGGGCGCAGTGATAAGGAGGCTTTGAAGGAGGGGGATCTGTGGGAAAAGATGGGTCAGGAATTGGTCGGAGATGATGTAGTAGAGGTGGGAGAAGTCGAGCACGCGGATCAGAGAGCCGTAAGCGGGGTGGGCGAAGGGCGTAGGTTTAGGTATCGATGCTATTGGCTTTGTGAGAGTCGAAGATGGGGAGTTGCTGTCCTTGCTGTTGATGCTGGTGTGGGTGTGGATATGGGTGTTGTTGACTGTGGACATAGTTGTCGTCGATTCCACATTGGCACGCGCTATTCTCAATCCTTTTGCTCCATCCGCCGTTGCTGTCGTCATCGGCGAGACCTGGTGTTCGCTCGTGCAGTTCCCGCCCCAACCGATTTGCACCCGCTGTTGTCGCTGACTCTCGGCCAACCTCAACAACCCCGATGGATCATCCTCACCACCACCGTCTCCATCACCTCCATTTGCCGTATCCGATGAGCCCTCCTCCTGGACTGAGAATCCGCGCACAAACGTCCCTCCCCTGGCCGCTAACATTTCTGGCGACCCTGCCATGCGTCCATACGGATCCTGGCTAAGCCGTTCCGTATTCATTTGTTGTTGTGGTGCACGTGGCGGAGACGCCGTCCTTTCCGGCGAAGAATCAAGGCTGCCCTTTCGACATTTTTCTTGTCCATTCGTAGGGTTGGTTTTCGGGCTCTTGACGGTGGCACAGGCGTTAGAGGCGCTAGGATTGGTGCTGATCACAGTCTTGAGGAGCTTCATCCAGGAGACGTAGTACGTCATATAGGGCGAATGCCACAGATGCGGGATGACGCACTGGGACCAGCGCCTAGAGAGCGTCATGCAACAGAAGAGAGAAGCGTGGTCGAGATGCAGAAGGATCTGGTCGAGGATCTCGGGTGGTAGGGTATCGTATAAGTCTTCTTTATCTTCATGGATGGGGGCTGTGATGGTGGCGACCATACTGGAGCCGTCTTGGCCGTTGTATATTTCCGGCATGTTGTTGATGATACGTGTTCAATATGGGATTTCAGTAAAGCAGAGGGAAGTGAGATATTGACATCCGATAGTGATTGACCTAGTCGAGCATATCGAGCAATTGTTGGGAGCAATGAAGGGATTCAACGTCAATGGCAACGAGGTAACCTAGGGGGAGCGGTGTGAATCAGAATAACGAATAAAAAAAGATAGTAAAAAAAAAAGCGTGAAACCAAGATCCTTATACTGAATGCGATCATGCCGTGAGTACTGACTCTAGCTATCTCACGGGCAAAAAGCGATATGGAGACGGGTGGGTCACGGAAGTTTTTTTTTTTTTTTTTTTTTTTTTTTTCTAGATCATGGAGTTTCTCATCAAGTCGCTAAACTAGTGTCACTTCTTCTACTGGCTGGCCTTTGAGGATGATACCTTTTACTGCAGCAAGTTTGACGGGCTAGTTGTATCATCACACCAGATCCCAAGGGGCTCACAAAAGTTCTGATAGGCTCACAACCAAGCGCACTTTGCCTTGCGGCCATGCCTATTACAATGCTGCTTTGCTTGGGCTGTCAGTATCTTGTCCAGCAGTTTTCAATTACATGCAAATGTGTTTACAGGATGAACAGAGAGGGTTTCATACCATGCCTTCAGTGAAGTCTCCAGCTGGACGATATGGCCCTGTGGATTTCAATGTTTTTATGGCGATGGTGGAAAAATAGATGGAAAGGAAGGGAGACTGTGCGAAGGCAGAAAGACAGAAAATAGTCTGATATGTTAGTGGAAGCTGTGGTAGTTGAGGCTAATGTCACTTGGATGAATAGCGCATCTCACTTGTTGAAAACCTCCTTGATCCTGCGTACCTCATCACCAAAGGTGACATTGAAGGGCTTGTCAATGAATGAATCACCAGTACAGCGCTGGTTCGGGTGCAACATCTCGAAATAGGTGGACGCTACATAAGTGCCCGTGGCATTCACGTAAACGTCCTTGTCGGAATATCAGGGCTCACGCACTTGGAGGCAATGTAGATCTTTTGTGCGCGAAACTCGTGGTAGGCATAATGACCTCCATAGTAGCCCAGCTGAAAATATATTCCTTGTCTCAATTGTAGCTATCGCCAAGTGTAGGGGCAAGTTGTTCTATGCAGTTGTCGAAGGCACTATATATGATCGAGTTGCCGGTATTCGCCCCAACACAGGGTCACATCCTTGGTCATATCAGATACAACAACAGCCAAGCCTAGTAGAAAAAGGACTTTTGAATGTATAAGTAATAAATAAGGGAAGGAAAGCTTGGTGGAAAGGGTAAAAAAGAGTCAGTGGACAAGGTACAAGTACGGCGTTCTGGTAACTATCTACACGATAGCGTGTAACGATCTCGACCTTTTTCTGATAGATTCGGCACCAGGTTATTGTGCCTGGCAGCGCTGTGCAGATGAAACTGATGATCGCCGAGATCTACACGAATGAAAGAGACGCGCTGTTATAGCTCATTACCTGGAACAGGTCCAAGGGTGATGCTTGCTGAGTAACAGCGCGTTGATGGACGCGTCAAAAAGGGGTGGTGGCTAGAACTGTAAAATTAAGAGACGCGCAAAAAGGCTCGTGATCTTTTTTTCTTCTTGATGGGACGTAGTGCCACTTACGTGTCATTAGCCGATAGACATAGCACCATCCTTTAGCCGTTGTCTGAATCCATGGGATGTTGAGGAAGGTTTGTTTTGCATCAATGACCACGTAATGAAAGGTAAAGTGATGCATTATTGGCAAGGATGCTTCATCAAGGGAGGCATGAGGCGAGAGGGCTTTCCCCATGGTCCGTGTTGTCATGTTCCTTAGCAGTGGTCGAGTGATCCTACCTCAGAGTGCGATATGAGGGTGTCAACAGGTAGCTGTGCGGTTCTCACTTCGTATCCATAATATTTATTCCCATGTCTTTGGGTGTTCATGTCGCCAAGGGCTCTAAGCACCATAATATTCAATTTTGACAAGCGCATCTCTGATCCAAGACGTTCATAAGCGCACTAGATTCCCTGGAATATGATAAACCACTTCGGCGTGTGTTATTGTACCATTTTAACGTGTGTTTTGTACCACATTCACACTGGCGGATCTCTTGCTCTGGAAATGTTTAGAATCCCTTCCGCCATGGCCACAAAAAAAGGGGATAGCATTTTAACCACTCGATCCGCTCCCTTTCCTTCGAGGGGCCTGCGACTGTGCATGTCCGTGCCATTACCATTCTTGCACTGCAAGGGGTGGCATGAAGAAGCATTGTAGGATGGCTGTCTGTCTATTGCTGGCCAGGTCTTTTCTGAAAAGAGGACGCGGGGAATGCGAATCTCTCCTTAAGACACCCAAGGCTATGCCCGCTTCTTCATCCTCCCTTCCTCCCTTCATCCTTCTCTTCCCACCATTATTGTTTGTCCCACTCTCTTCCATCTATATGTGCCATTGATACATACTTACCTTGCCCATACTCCATACCATCTTCACCTGTTCGCTTTCCTGTATATCAACCCTGATCCACACGGTACTGCACTACCCTTTGTCATCTGTTTCAACCTCCGGAAAACGCGACCTTGACTGATGCTTGGAAACGGGTACAAAGAGCGTCTTGCGACTGCTCAGAGCAACATCGGCCCGCTCTTGATTAACCTGTCCAAACAGCCCCCGACCTCCCAGTCTCAGCCTCTGCAACAGCAACAGCGGCAGCGCCTGCAGCCTGCTGAAGATAATGAGCCCCACCTGGATATCCCGTTCAAGCACTCCTTCGCGATAAAGTTGATTTCTAACAACAACAGCGTGATCGCACCCTCTCTTCCACCAGCTCTTGTCCCCGCACTGGAATCCAACTCTGCCTCTCGCCACTCGCTCCGAAGGCATCAGCGGCAGCATCCAAGTCAACAGCAGCAACAGCAGCAACAACAGCAACAGCAGCGCGTATCTCGCTTACCCAACGCATCCATCAGTTTTGGAAAACTCACGGATCAGTTTCCAGAGCTGGGGTTACCCGAACCGAACAACATTGTTGGGCTTGCACGCTCATCTGCTGAGGATCTTTCATCGCCTGTTTCATCCGTATTTGGCAGTGTATCTCGTTTGACCACCTCTTCTCGCTGGGACCTGACACAGCACGCCTTCTATGACGGCAGCAGCAGCAATTCGCCCATGTCAAATCCTCCCAGAATCGAGGACATGACTTATATTTCATCCTTGGCATCGTCTTCTGTGGAAAGTGGACATGGGAATATTTTCCACACAGAGACAACTGGAGGTCCTGGCAACTGCCAATCCTTGCTGATCATGGGTGGCCAGCAAGAGGGTTCCGGAATCTCCAATGTGTGGGCGAATCTAGCAGCAACCACTTCCCTGGATGCGGCTGTGATCATCCAACGTGCTGTCCGCCGATTCCTTGTCCGGAAACGAGCTGGAATCAACAAGGTACGAAAACCGCCCCTTCCTAATCCCTTTGTGTTGACCACAGTATAGCATAGCGCCCTCGCCCATCTATTATAGCACATGCCATGCAATACCCTTCTCCATTCCAGGATGAGGGCAATTTGGAATGTTATCCTCCTTTATTTCCACGCACTTACCGCTTCATCTTCGTACTCTGTGTACTATACCGCGACCACACATAGCATGCGACCAAACATTGCAACAATCTTGTGCTCAAGACGATCGCGCCTCTCCAGAGTGGTACACAGTTAGATTACCAACAATATCCCTTGACTGACAGAGCCACCACAGCCACCACCACCAATAAGGACAAAGTCGATCTGGAGACACTTCAACACACATGCCTTCGCCAATCCGAAGAGATCAGCCAACTGAGGGTGCTCATGACCAAGATGCTACTCGATACAGAGGAGGATCGACGCAAGTTATGTGAGCGAGACCGAAAGATCGAGGAGCTGGTGAAGCAACAGCAAAAGTTGACCCAGTCCGCCAGCCTCGCTTCAGGATTCATGGATCTGTCATCTGCAAAGAACTCTATTGCTGCCCCAACCACGAAATTTAGCGGCCATACCGTTGGTGTCAACACTGGCACCATCGTGTCCTCGGCTACTCTGCCATCCATGAACACATTCGGTCTTCCAACTGGTGCTGTTGGGGACGATGCTTTGTCAGATATTGTTGCGATAGATGATTTGTATGAGACCAACCTGTCGTACGCCAGCAGCGTTAGCGGTCCTCCTATACATCCACTCTCGCTCCCATCCAGGTCCAACTCGATCTCCTCTCTCCAGTCCCAGCCGCCGGCGCCGCATTCACTGGGACTCAAATTCAATAGCGCCGGCCAATCGTTGATCTACCAGCAGCAGTATCATGGATTGATGGATATGGCCGACTCACCGTCGTCGTCCGAGTTTCCACCCTTAAACGAGTCTTCCTCTACCTCATCGACCTTTGGGTCTGGAAGGGGCATTGTAGGATCTCAGCATGGTTACACATCCCAGTCTAACTTCCCGCTGTTGAGCCATCGCAGCTCTGGTAGCTTCTCTTCGTCCTCGCGCGCATTTGATTCCCCCGCGATTGAACAACAGGGATCGTATCCTTGGAATACCCCAGGCGGTCTCTCGCATTCTCAGTCTTGGATGGATGACGTAAGTACCAAGACTAAGGCCTAGCGCGAAGACCGGCTGACATATACCTCTAATTCTTGTTTACTCATATTGAAATGTTGTACGTTCATGGAAAACTGCATTCGGTAGATGGCAGCTGGATATGGATATGATAGCAATGTTCCATCGCCTGTACAGCTCCAACACGGTAGTCTGGGTCACGGCGGCGGATACGATCCCAACCTCATCAATCAGCAGTATCCGCACGGTGGTCAACAGCAACACCAAAGCATCCCCTCGCACAGAAACAGCTACCGGCGCCATAGTGACAAGCCTTTTCATCTGGACTACCAGGTCAGCGCGCGTCGTTATTGTAGCGGCACTGTTTTTATTCTGGTAATATTCTGATTATATTGTTAATCCGCGTTTCCACCTTTAAAACAGATGTGCGTTGACCGTATCCTGCAAGCGACCGACCAGCAGGCATCGATCCACCTGCAACAAAAACTCAAGACCTCACCACCGGAACAAAAGATCCAGATCATCGACGCGATCCTTAGTCAAGCTTACGCGCTGATGTCGAACCGCTTTGGTAATTTCCTGATCCAACGCTGCTTCGAGTTCGGATCCCCACAGCAAATCGATGCATTGGCACAAGCGATGCGCGGCAATGTTCTGACCCTGGCCTGCGACCCGTTCGGATGCCATGTGGTCCAGAAGGCATTGGATAACGTGGAAGAGGACTGTAAGGCCAGAATCGTAACTGAAATGTTCCGTAGGATAAGAGAGACCATTGTGCATCGGCATGCATGCCATGTGTGGCAGAAGGTATTTGAGATTCGCTGGACGGACGCGCCGCCCGCGGTCATGACATATGTGAACAATGCGGTTGCAAGACGCTGGGCCAGCGTTGCGGTCGATGAGACGGGCAGCTTGGTCGTACAGAACATCTTTGAGAACTGCGCCGAGCATGATAAGGTAACGACCTTTCTTACTTCCCTCGTTGGATTAATTACATGTTTGTACCCAATGTTGACACTGCACTTCTTGATATCATGCCATTTAGCGCCCCGTGCTGAATGAAATCCTTCAATCGGTCACTATGATCGCCAAGGGCCAGTGGGGCAACTGGGTCATTCAGCACATTCTCGAGCACGGCGCCTCCGCCGATCGCGCGATTGTTACCCAGAAGATTCTCGAGGATGCCGTGAATCTGTCTCTCGATCAATACGCTTCCAAGGTCGTAGAAAAAACCCTCCGCATGGCTGCGATGCACTCGTTCTCAACGTCGTCCTCCTTGCTCTCAGCCGCTAATGGTGTCAACACTGACAAGAGTAGCAGCAGCAATAACAGCGATGACGCAGGACCACCCGCTGTGATAGTGAACGGTAACACGATCCGTTTGACACAAGAAGATGTAATGAACCAGTACATCCATATCGTCTGCGATGGAGTTCAGGACCGTCCTCGCATCCCATTGATCGACATTGCAGCAGACCAGTACGGCAACTACATTGTACAGTATATCCTGACGAATGCAGGACCTCAGCATCGAGAGACATGCGCGGCCTTAATCAAGCGCCATATGGTCAGTTTGAGGGGATCCAAGTATGGACAAAAGGTCGCATTCATGGTTGAAAGGTGGAGAGGGGGCCCGTTCTCTGGAAACGGTAATAACAATAACAGCAACGGAAACAACAATGGCGGAGGAAATATGGGGGGCGGAGGATCGTCGGGGGGACGCGATTCGTATGGACAAAAGTCCGGTTCAGGCCTGGATGGCGGCAACGGCAACGGCAACGGCAACGGCAGTGGAGGCGGACGGCGTCGATGGTGAATGTGCAATCTATTCATACCTGCTTCTTCCTTCTAGTTCGTTTTATACCCTTTGAAACATCTGCTTATCTATTTCTAGTCAAAATCTATCATGTCTTTGAATGCAATGTGTCTTTTATTATCTTTTGTAACATGCGTTGCCGGCAATAAAACGAACACTTGATTAAAACAATGCGTGCAATGCCTCTATCTCCTAGTTAAACATGAAGCGTTTGAAACGCAGCCATGCTCCGTCCATTGTCAGCTTTGGACGCACATCCAGGTAGAAACTAGGTGCTTCTGGGTAACGGGGATCAGGCTGTCCTGAGTAGAAGTCGATAATATAAGTGACCTGCTTTCCGCATCGGTCCACGACCCAGTCATGCCGATCGAATGGCAATGTGTATCTAATATAGTACGAGCAATTGAAAAACATTACTTTTCATTATGGCGCCAATGTTCTCCAACACCTCGATTGTTCATGCCTATGTCCTTACCCCATCCATGAGCGAATCCGTGCCTTGGGCGTGATTTCCTTTGGCTTTCCTTCGAATTTGACTAGCTTTGGTCCACCGCAGTTACTGGAAAGTGAGTGAATAGCAATAAGTGCAAAAAGAAAATCTGTGAGCATGAAGTCTTCTCCGCTTTCTTAGGGCATGAAAAACACACGGCGAAAGTTGTGTTTCTTACGCCCTTACTTTTCTGTCAGTTTCTCCCATCTCAAGATATGTTTCCATGCCATCTCGTTGACCATGTTATGAATGGGGACCACAAACTTCATGTCTTCCTCGCGAGGGCTCCAGTTCTTGCGCTTCATTGCATTGAAGAACATTTGCTCCGAAGGGTAGATCCACACTTTGTCCTGATCGCTATCCGGATCTGGTGCATGTGCTCCCGCAGCAGATGGTGATGGTCCGTAGGGGTCGGCGGCATTCGCAGCCTTGGGAATCGAGCTGACCTCACGTTCCGTATTGAGGTTGGCAGACTGAGACGCTGTCCGAAACTGATCTGGTGCTGCAGGCATATTATTCGTAGGGTCGATCTTCAGTGCTGTATCTCCTCCTCCTACGGCGATCTTTTCTGATCCTGACGGTGAATTTGATGATGGACCCGATGCTGTGTTATTCTGCGCAGATCGAGGTAAAAAGTGCTTGTGGGCTTCCGGAGAGACAGGGCACTTGGTGGGCTCACCCTCCGAAGTCGTCATAGGGACAGCAGGGTGGCCCTCGGGAAGATCTGGATGGCCGGTCGGCGCATCTTTCGGAAGGAAGTGCTTGAATGTCGAGTGGTCAACAGGACATTTGGATGCGTCCGCTGCTCCTTTGCTGTGTGGTTCCTGAGCGGTCATTGTCGTGTTGAGTGGTCGAGTGCTTGTCGAAGAGCCGGATCTTTACACGCTCGGAGCGCGGAGTTGATCAGCCAAATTGGCGAAAGAGGTCACGTGTGCCATTCATTCCGTTCTGAACCCAGGAAGTATGCATCGGCTGGGTCCTTTCACGGTGGATGGGGGCCTAAGTATACACTGGGGCTGATATGCTTGTGATAATAGCATTGCCACAGTCTTGGTTGGGCGCTGACATTGAAGTGCAGGGTCCCGTGTTGTGGAGGCCCTTGGAGTGGGAAGTTCCAGGTGATGACAACTTGAGACACGTCACGTCGTTGTTTACGACAGGACTGGGCTGGCCCCCAGGTTGGGTGAGTGCGTATAAAGACAGCGAGTGATACTGTCTGTTGAACATCTTGTATTCACCAAGCAGACAGGGCGATCTGACCTCGAACAAGAAAGAGCTGCGTCTTCAGAGAAGGTAGGCGCGAGACAAAGAGCTCGATTGTCTCTTCTTTTGGAGTGCGTTTGTTTTTCTGTGGGACTGGGCTACCACACCGCGTGCAGGTGAATTATTTTTACTATGATGTTCCACTGAAGAGAACACTTCTTCTCGCATCGCACAGCAACCTGATCGACCAACCGCCTCTTCAACCTCGCTTCACTCATCAGCACCGCCGGGCAGCAAGGTAACAGCGGCAGCAAGAGACATCCCACCTTTACGACAGCTCCAGCCAAACGGACGAGTTATTCCGCAATCTTGAGCCAGGGCGCGCGTGGCTTCTGTCCTGTCACCACTGTACTCTGTTTTTAATATAACCCCCACCAACACTAATACAATGAAGGAATCAGCAGAGCATGCTGGAGCATCAACATCAACAGCATCTATCCAGGCGGGGAAGCGAACCTACTACCGGAAACAGTCTAATCCATTCCAGAAGAGCCGCTCCAACCATGTCGATGGGAGCCGCAAGCGACAGGATCCACACAATGGACTGATCGTACACAGTAGTCACCAGCACCAGCGTGATCCCTCTACGCTCGCCAACTTTTGTCAGGCCATGCTTCGCGTCTCGGCCCTTCACATTTTGCAATCGGCGGGCTATGATGCTGTGCAGGTGAACCCCATGGCTGTACTGGTGGATTGTCTCGGTCGATATCTGGAATTCCTCGCCGAGTCCGCCAAGGAGTTTGCAGAGCATTCAGGGCGGTCGCAGATTACAGCGTTCGATGTCGTGGATGGGCTATCAGACCTCGGGATCGAGTTGCCGGACCTCAAGGAATGGCTGATGGAGAATGGCGGGGAAAGCATAGTATCTGGGAAGTCCACAGCATCACAATCAACAGATGGTGCTACAGGAAGTGACACTTTAGCGACCTCGGGGACCGGAGCTTCAGCAGGCCAGAATGCACCGAATCGACCTGTATTGCCTTCGTGGAAAGGAGCTGACCCAGGACGTCTCATTAATGGTACGGATGGACAGAGTACGATTAGATCTTACAGGCATGCCACTTTGATATACATTTTTGAGAAAGGATCTTTAATACGCATGTATATGTCCTTGCGATAATAGATCTCCTCTGGAATGGGCGGAAAACAGACACGGCTCGCAGAGATACTTACGAGTGGCATACCGTACCCGAATGGTTTATCATGCCAGATACAGAGGAGGAGCAGGACGCGTTTGCCTATCCAGAGGCATCGGATGATGACGATGCAAAGGAGCAAGTTTCAGCGTCTAAGAGCGATTCCAAGGAAAGCCGCATACGGCACCCCAGATGGATCCCAGAGCTGAAACCATCCCATATACCCGACTACATACCGCCGTTCCCGGGTTCTGCAATCGTGGAGGATGATCTGGATGAGGAGGAAGAGGCGAGTAGCAGCGTATTTAAGCCCAGTCAATCATCAGAGGAGTTTGACGGGAGTATGTCAGCACTTGCAGCACCGGCATCAGAACTGGAGTCGAAGGCGAGAGAGCAAGGGATTGTCGATGATATCTCAGCACAGCCAGGATTGGCAAAACTGTCCATCAACACCTCGCAGCCGGCCCCATCTACAGCCACCGTTGAAGGTGTAGAAAACACTGCTAACGCTGCGAAACGAACAGATGCCAATCCATACACACATGTCGTGCCATTTTTGGAGTCATCGCTTCCGTTCTCAACCCTTTACACTGCAATCCCACCAAAGTCAACGTCGAAGTCCAGTGCCGGTCCTGTTATCTCAAAACCTTCTCGGCCAACGCCCACTGGCCTTTCTCCCAATGCACAACAGCTCTTTTCAGATACGCTGCTGACCCTCATGGACCCCGCACCCACATCCAACAGACGCGCGAAGAGACGATCCAAATTGGTAAATGTCACTGCCAGACCCGGGGAGCTATCCGACACATTATTCTCTAATACACAGCAATCAGGCGTCATTGACAGTCTTTTGAAACAATCAGCACCATCTTCGATTACAAATAAGTTCGCCAACCCAGGAGTGTCTGTCCAGGATGCATTGTCGCCGCCACTACCGTCGGAGAGAGTTATGAATGGCGTCTACTCGGATTACCATTCAGTTCCGGAGCAAGTTTCTACAGGAGGACGTGCTTCGACCATTCCAGGAGGATCCAGGAAGAGCTCATTCTCGAATTCACCACTTTCAACTGTTACCTTTCCTCCAAAGGAAAGTCTTGTCGTTTCATCAGTCAGTAGCGGGCAGGTGTCAGGATTGGCTGCCAAACCTAAAGCAGGATCCCGCAAGTCAAGTCTCGTAGGCGCTGATTCGACTGCTCCAGGATCAACACTATCTAGTGCGCCCGCTAGTGTTATATCTCTAGCACCGGTAGCAATACCTGTGATTGCACGTTCAGGATCCACTGTCAGTGCTGCTCCGATCAACCCCAGCATATTGTCCAGGATAGGATCCAATTTTGATCCCGCTACCTTGCTCGCTGCCCAAGGCTCCAACACTACAGGCAGTAACCAGGTGCCGATAACAAACGGAGTCTCTGCATCGACACCAGCTCAACCGTCGCCAGTTCCTGTCCTGTCAACAGCACCAGTATCGTCGGGTATCAAAAACTTGACAGCGAACTACCTTGCGTCCAATCCCCCGGCGTCGACTTTGGCGAAATCCGCACCATCAACAATAACAGCCTCCGCAACAGCAAAGGCACCTGTAGGGCAAATGAGGGCGGTTCCAAAGCCAATACCAGGCCCAATTTCGCTCTCAGGACTGCCACTCTCAATATCATCACCATCAATGGGTGCGTCGACAGCCAGAACACCCTCGACAGCAGCGGCAGTAACTCCTACCACACCTTCTGTACCCACAGCGCCAAAGATCCGTTTCAAATTCTCTGCTATCTCATCATCGGGTGGCGATCATGACTCCTCTTCCTCAGCCAGTAAACGGGATCATTCGTCCGGTAGCCATAGTTATTCTCATCACCGGTCTTCTTCTACGACCTCAACAGGATCGTCCCATAAGAAGTCCAAGAAATCATCACGAGAGTACGACTACGATGACGATGATGAGGACGGCGATGGACTTGCGCGTGAGAAGAAGAAGAAGAAGAAGAGTAAGTCGAAGGACAAGGATCGGGACCGCGAGTACGACTGTGAGAGGAGCAAGGATCGAGATAGCGATGGGAGCAGCCGACACAAACATCATAAGTACCATAAGCATCATCGAGATGACCATTCGTCGACAAATGGCACGTACTCGTCCTCGAAGTCGTCGTCGCGCGCGGGCGGAGGATACGGCTACTCGACGTACCAAACGGTGCCAGTGGAGGAGGATAGCACGGAAGTGATCAATTGCATATGTTCCCAACCGACGCTGGACGACGGGCTGTTTATGATTGCGTGTGATTCATGCCAGGAGTGGTTTCATGGACGATGTGTTGGCATTCGCGAGGGCGACGTGGTCGGGACGTGGTACTGTCGGCGCTGCACTGCCTCGGGACGTGCGCGTGTGTAGACTAGGAACGGAACAGCCCATTAAATGAAGCAATTGGAGTGCTGCTGCTTCGCCACACGTTGTCCAATGTGCTGCAGTTGCTCTGCTTATTCACTGTGCTACAATTGCTCTGCTTATTCAGCAACAGGTGTTTGTTGGATAGCATTTTGTGCACAACGAACCGCGCCTTCGGCCGATCGAGGGGCAAAGTGCCGCGGGCGCAATGGGGTGACTGCCTTAAATAGCCTTCAAGCAAACAAGCCGAACCCTTTCTTCACTCTTCTCATTCACCTCTCACCAATTCCCATTCGTCTCCCTTTCTTTGCCATTCATTCGACTCGTAACCATGGACACTGTTCAGCAAGAGCTCTTTGGCGGTGCTATCACCATGGACTTACCCCGCAAATTTGAAAATATCAGGTAGATTTCAATAGGCCTATCTTACTTCCTTTTTCTTGTTCCCACCCTATTGATCAGCCCTCGATAGCTCATGTAGCCATGTAGCCATGTAGCCATGTAGCCATGTAGCCATGTAGCCACCGCCATAACACTAAATAAACTCCATTGAATGACGCATACCCTTTTACCTTAGTCATGTCCGAGAGGTGCCTGATCATCAGGAGGTCTTTGTGAACGTGGACGAGGACCAGAGTGTGATTGTGGAGATCTTGGAGCTGGCAGCTGAAGCCTCCAACGAGGCATGTGCCGCGTAAGTCGCCATTTGTCAAAGTGCTATTTGCTTCTTCTTTTTATTCTCGAGGGACGTATGTGCGTGAGTGAAGGCGCAGTGCATTATAGTATAAGGGTGTTAAGAACTCGTAATTGATACCGTTCTGCGTTTTTTCTTCATAGATTCCACTATCAGCAATTGGCCGAAGATAACGATGCTGAGGACGCGTCCGTGATCCAGAGCGTATCTATTCTCAACAATGCAGAACTTCCAACTTGGCCGTAAGGTTTTTCTTTCCTTGCATGTTTTTCTGTTGGATTGATTACCTTGGTTGATCCTGACCTTTTTATTTTTTTACTTTATTCAAAAGTGCCGAGGCGAAGATCTACCTCCTCCTGGGCCAGCAGCGCATCGCAAAGTTCAACGAACGCCAACGCCAGCAGGAAGCCCAAGCCCAGGCGCAAGCAGGCTCATCATCGGCCGACGCCCGCAACCTCGTCCAAATCATGATGCTCGTCGTCCGTCTCCCCCGCCAGGGGACCGACCTCGTGATCTCCTACAATGTCCCTCTCCAAATCTCCGAGTCCAGCTCTTCTAAGCAGGTCGCGCATGAGGGCAGTATCCAGGAGGCCGAAGTGTGGTTCCGAACCCTCGTGGGAACTTTCCAGGTCAGGGACTGGGGCCTCTTTGGGAACTGAACTGAGTAGAATACAGAAGGGCACGGACGGATGCGATTGAATACATTAGGATAGATCAACACCATGCAAAAAGATAATAAATAAAAGAGGAGTCCAGCGTTTATTCAAGATTTTTATAAGAGAAAGGGGGGGATTACAATTTCTCAACATAACTGACGTGTCGCCAGAGCATCCTGGCGCGGCGTCGCGAGAACTTGATCTCTTGGAGCAAAGGGTGCTCGCGACTCCAGAGGTTCCAGTAGAAGCGGTCGTTGCATGTGTCGTGGTCAAGACCGTCCATCCAATGGGCATTCGCTTCGGCACTGTGGCTATTGGGGTCGTTGGATTTTATTGCTGCAGCTGCGCGTTCGCCCAAGTACTGATCCAGCTCATCCAGATCAGCATCGTGCTTCGAGATACTGTAGTAATCCGATCTCTCGATATCCTGTAGGTTAGCTGTGCTGCCTCTTGCTGTGCATGATGGAGCTGAGGAAACCATGCTATCTGGTGGAATAGATGATACATCTGCGGCATAGATGGTGGCGTCAGGACCGGACAGATCGTAGATAGATTCGCATGGAATGGAATCCTTCGAGGTCGTCATATGGCTGAGGATATATTCTTCTGGACAATACATCCATCCATGAAACACGCATGCGCTTGGGTTTTCCTTCTTCGCGTCCTCTTCATCCCTATTCCCATTCCTCCGTTCTTTGAGCTCATGTGGACGACACATCCACTGGTCATGATAATACTGCAATGCTGCAGCGAGATGTCTGTCGAGATTCGCGGGCTGTTGGCCAGATTTCGTAGACATCATGTCCGTGATAATGGTCTTGACAACTCGGGCGGATTGTTGTATACCCGAAAGTGGGACCTGAATGCAGAGATGTAGGAGCGCGAGATAGAGCTCGTTCGGCAGGCGGCGTGCTCGGGTGATTGGGGAGAGTGTTGGGTTCAAGGGTTGAAGAACGCATGGCGCGTTAGTAGTTGTGGTGGGTATTTTTGAACGTGAAGAAGGCGAATTCATGGCAGCATGGGAGGTGATGTTAGTTGAAGGCGAGATAGCAGAAACAGAGTGGGTTGGTAGGGTATTGGCACCGCATCCAGACAAGTCGACAGTGGCTGAGGATGCAATAAGAGGCCGACTCGAGAGTTGGAAGAACATGGACATACTGCCACCGATGCTTGCACTACTGCTGGCAATGTTAGGTACACTCACTGTCCTGTGGGGCTTCAAGGGGGCAGAGGTAGATGGCGCTAAGGTGCTCAAATGTGGTAACTGGCGGATTGGGCCCACGTTTCGCATATCTGCGTAGATCTCGAACGTCAGATCAATCAGGCGTCCAATGGTCATCGATTGCGATAGATGTGAAGGTTCAATTCTTTCGTGCTCCTGCTCCTGATTCTGTGCGCGGACAATCGCTATGACAGTGTCGTATATCGCCTTAATCATGTATTTCATCACAAATGGGTCTCTCAACTGAGCCTGGTACTGGGTCAAGGGGTCATTTCGCATCTGGTTATAGATCCTGCACGCCTTCAAGAACCGCGACGATTTTTCCGGAGAATTGATGGCTACGATTAGAATATTGTGCAGGAACACGGTCAGGGACGTCGTGCCCGCGACAATAGGGGCAGAGATCGAGGATGTCAATGGTATGGCACCACTACTAGCCGAGACGCCGCTGTTACTAACACTTGCGGCCGTTGATGAAGGATTTTGCAGCTGACTCGGTGATCTAGGGCTGCTGGCATTATTGGAACTAAAGAAAAACGGGTTCATGGTCGCCTTGTTGTAGATGACCCAGGCGCGTGCCTCCCAGATCTCTGGATCCTCCTGCTTGGAGTTCGATTTAGTCATATCTTTGTCCCTGAACAAACCCATGTCAGTCCGTTGGTTACTACAACCGTCATCCAGCTCAATATCGTCGTCGTCGTCGTCGCCAGAGCAGAAATCCTTGGCCAATATATTAGGAGATCCTGGCAACTTGAGTCCCAGACCGCCATGACCCAAGAAGGCGCGTTTACAGAGTCTCATCACAATCTTGGCAGTGTCTTTATCCTCGAGTGTAGGACCCATGCGCTCGTATATCTGACTCCAGCCGTAATCGAATTGTTTGTGGTTAATACACTCCTCCAACATGCCATTGTCCAAGATTGTGAGGTAGCGGCTCACTTGAGAGCTGGATGTGCTGCTGTTTGACTGAAGGGACAGGCGAGGCGGTGGAACCTGTTTGACCTTGACTGTTGGAGGTGCAGTCGCGTCAAAGGTGTAGGAGGCAGTACTAGCAGTCGAGTGTCGCCGTGTGGATGAGAAAGCAGAGAAAAAGGAGAATGACTGAGAGGTAGTAATAGGTGCCGCGGTCGTCGACTCTGGGAATTGCGGTAGAGTCTGGGAAGTAGTGGCCCCAATCGATGGAGCAGAGAATGCGCCGCTGGAGGCAACACTGATCAGAGACGCGGTCGATGCGCGCCTGCTAGGTCGCTGCTGCCCAGCGAGATAGTTCCGCTCGGTATCGGCGCAATACGACCGCAATTCGGAAGCCGTGAGCCGGTCAATATTACTTGGCGCCTCGACAAGCCTAGCGCGTCTCCCCTCATACAAAGTCTTGATCTCCTCCCATTTTGAGGCATCCAACTGCAGTTTGAACCATTCCTGAATCATGACCTTGTTGGCCTTCTCGCGCTCTTGATCATTCTTGGCCAGGGACACTGCAGGAGTATTAGTATGAGTCAGGTATTGGTCGAGAATGACTTCTGCCTCATGTAGATGGCGAGGATTGGAGAACAGATGGCAGGAGATGGCAGTACGGTAGGTAGCGTCGATCCAGCGGGCAGGGTTGATTTTGCTGAGGCATAGGAGAGCTTCTTCTGCAGATTGCTTCTCGAGAAGGAATTGACATATTTGCAAATGGTCGGTATCCTGAAAAGTTTTCATAAAAGCAGATGAGATTAGGCAATAGTACCAATAGGCCATCAAACAAAAATAAAATGCATCAAACAATGGTGAACGTTAGATACTCTTACCTGAAGTTCATATCCCGCGTTCTGGATTGCGTTATACAGCTGCAGGTACAGGGCCGTGGGGTTGATATTTCTTTGACGCGTAGCTTCCTGGGCTAGCGCCTCTGCTACGTTACACCGCATCATGATCCTAAGCAGCTTCGAGTACATTTTGCCAACCCTCCTCTCTGCGACAGCAGCTTCAGTAGCTGTAGCCTCGATTCTGTCCATGCCCTCGTCCTCGCCTCGCACAGACAGGTCTGTTCTCGATAAAGTCACTACTCTATTTGGATCTTGGTCATACTTTGACTGAAGTACATTGATGGTCGACAGGATTGACACATACGACATTTCTATGTTCTTGTCTCCGAGAAGGCACTGGATAGTATTCCTAACCATCCACTCGCTTGATTCCTCCCAGGGATGGTCCTTTGGCGCAGTCTCCTGCTCCAGACAAGTCGTATCTTTTTCGCACAGCCGGTTGACGATATAAAAGTCGTCGTCGGGCTCTATAATGGCGACGAATGGCTTCCGCTGGTGTCTTGGCTGTATCGTATTCTGATCCAAGAACGAGATCTCGTTTCCAGACTCCGCGAATCTCAGAAAATCTTTTTTGTAAGTTTGAACTATCCTAGGCGTCAGGGCATGAAGCTCAAAGCGGGCCACCGGATTCCGATCTCGCCGATGTACAGGTCGTGGGGCAACAGGGCTATTGGAAGCCTCGACGTTATATTTATGAGTTGGGTAGGGCAATTTTGATAGTAATCTTGAGGATTGTATAAGTGAGATCGCATCTTTTTGCGGCGGTGTGCCAGGTAGCGTAAGAATGTCGCATCGGTTCTGTTGCTCGCCTTTTTTGGATTCCATTGTCGCAGTACCATTTGATTCTTTAGGATGTTGTTGTAGCGTCGCCTCTACGATAAAAGCCCGCAAATGTTGTTTGTGGTTATAGGAGATCGTGTCCTGGTCTACTCTAGTATCAAGCCCTGTCTGTTTCTCGCTTGACGCTACACCACTGTCGCACTGTTTCTTTTTGGTTTTCTTCCTGTGCATCTCGCTTGTATCTTCATTATTGTGTTAATAGCTGCGTATCATAAAACGTATTCTCTTTCATTGACCCTTAAGGCCACAGGATATATGAAATACTTACAAGTGTCACTCCCATGATCGACTGTCGGGTTCTCAGTCAGAGAGGCGGGCACATTAGCTGAGTCCTTCGTAGTGTTGTCCGAAGAATTTAACGAGACACTGCTGAAAGAGATCGAGGAGGACGTTGATGTTGGTTCAGTCTGGGAGAATAATGAGCAGGCGGTCGTCCGCGACACCTCTCCAGAAGCCTCAGACATACATGCAGACTTATGATCCTGTTTCTTGATCTCCCCGTTCATCAGGGGTGCGGTCGCTGTCGAAAATCCTACCATTTCAGCTGAGCCGACGATAAGGTTAGCCTTCTTAGCGGCAGCAGCATCTTTGGCAGTTGACGCACGATTCTTGATGACGGCTGATTTGGACGCCATAAGTTTTAATGACAGAGTTGAAGCGATCAAAAAAAAAAAAAAAAAAAAAGTGCAATTGAGCTCGCATTATATCCACGAACTGGTGACAAAAAATAACATACCTTCTCGCCATTTCTCGGAGGGCGAAAAGACGACCATAAAGTTGCAGCCATGGAGAATAATTTGTCTCCATCTATCCTAGAAAAGAGGGATGTGCAGAATTGTGTTGATTGTATGGGAATAGCTGGAATACAGAATTTAATCCTTTTTTTTTTTTTTACGGTTAAGGGAGGTGTTTGCGAGGGGGGAGGAACAGTGGAAGGCGATAGGAGGCATGTGGGACCGAGATGCCTATCGCTATAGATATGTCTTGGGTGCGATTCAAGAAGACAGAGTGTTTCATGGATAATCTATAGCCTTATGGTGAATGACTTTCAATGAGGCTTTGATAGCGAACGAACGATTGCGCGTCTAAGATTTAGATTGAACTCTTCAATGGACGTTGCATGAATTTTCGCGCCGCACATACCTGAGACTTGTCCTTGAGGTCTACACGATCACAACTTGTCGGCAGAAAGATGCAGTAGGCGCTCAGTATACTCGGCGGTAAAAATTATAAAAGAAATGGGCTGAATGAACATTCCTGCTTACCGCGGCTTTCGTTGCTCATCCAGAGATCAGGGTCATAGACTAAATAAGGCAGAGATCCCGGGCGGGACATGCATGCATCTTTGTGTCGGTGCAAGGCATGAGTGGCCTTTGAATATAGTCTACGCGGGTTTAGGCACTGCTCAATATGAAAAATCAAATAGAGAAGTAGCGTCGATTAGCTCCATTTCACTTATGTGTGTTAACAACTAGTGCCACTCGTTTTCATCGCCCAGGAGGAACTGTGCATCACTTGAACTAATTGACCAATCCATGACCACCGGACTAATTTATTGAATGAAAGAAAAGAAATTTTGACACCACCGCGTCTTTTTTTTTTTTTTGATTTCAAGCGTTCTTTTGAACAGCAATCCGGTGCAATGATTCTGCCGGCTTATGCCTTGCGACGTGCAAGTGGAAAAGGAAGAAGAGATAATGCAGTTATGGAGGATGTTAGGGTACCCTCTCACACGTAAAGAAATGCTCGATGACATGGCGGGGCATGCGAGTGTACAACATGTTCAAAAAGATCCAGGTCGGAGAACTTTTATCACCAACGGAATACCTTCAAAATACCATCGTTGCATTCCAGACAGGTCTTTTTCTGCTCAAGCACTGCGGACCAAACCTTGCGAGCGCCCGACGATGATGCGCATTGTTCGGATGCGGCTCCTCGCCCTCTTTACACAGTAAAAGCTACTCCGACTGGTATAATGGATCATTACAGACATTACAAAAGGACCGAAGGGCAGTGCTCATTGTTTATTTTTGTCGCAACAATACTATCATTCATTGGAAAGTGCGCTCGATCTTTATGGCAAAATTGTAATCTTCCCAGAGATCAGTGGAGCGCCATAGCTGAGCCGTGCCGTGGGAGTTGGCGAGTGGATGATAATGTATCATTTGCATACTACAGATATCTACACCGAGTCGATGCGGTAATAGCTTTAATTCTTGCGCTGGACCCCGCTCTTTATGATCCTTCTTTCCATTTTGTGGTCAGGCCGGGTCTGTTGTGCTTTTTTTGTTTCCTTCAACCAATGTGTTTGCATATTTTTGTTGTTTGATGTATGGAGCGCCCCTCGCCGTCTGACTGCAATTTTCGCCCCCTTCGAACGCTCATGTATTGAGCAGAAAGATGGAAAACTGAACAACGACACAATAGACATGCGAGTAGATCATTTTGGTGCCTCCTTAATCGTTCCTCGCGTTAATTATGGCGTTCTTCCCTCTCCACTTTCTGCTGCTTGTTCTTTCCTGGTTAATGACACAGCAACCCCGATCTGCTGCCGAAAAAAAAAGAAAAAGAAATCGTTTTTTTTTTTTTTTTTTTTTTGGTGGTTAGAATAGGCATGCGTTTGTATTTTCGACCAGCCTTCTTTTCTTCCTAGCCCCATCGAGGTGCTCTTTTTCTTCAATTTAGTCTGCAGCTGGGCACCGGGCACAGTTATACAAGTCACCGGTTTTCTTTTATGTACTGTATAAAGCGCGAGTAGTCTAAGCGTAGAAAACGACTTAACGGATTGACTACACTCCCTTTTGCGAAATAGCACACATTTCATAGGAAAAGTGTGCTATTTCCACTGAATCGAAAGTTATAAACGATGCTATTCACTTTTATGGCGGCGGTGACCCTATCTTATATCCTCGCAGTGTTTACGCGTGTCATGCTCACTTTTTCCCTCCCCGAAAAGCAGCACGATTGGTGATCCGTAAATCCAAGCAGATATAAAATCTCGACTGAATAGTCCCTTTATATTTTTGATTCAGTGGAAATAGCACACTTTTCCTATGAAATGTGTGCTATTTCGCAAAAGGGAGTGTAGTCTTCGCCGATGAAAAGAAAAGAGCAGCAGGACATATTTTTTTTATTCAACGAATGGCTCGGAAGACGTCCCCCTGTACGATTTGCAGGGTTCCTTATTTTTCAAGCGCTATCGTAGATGGGTGAACAAGAGCTGGTTGCGCGCGTCACTGAAAGTATTTTGCATGGATTCTGTGCCAGCCTCCATAACTGCAAACACAGCAACGCATAGAAATATTATTAGTTTAGCTGAATTGAGTTATGCCATAAAATACGGATCTCTGTCCCGATCTGAGATCTGTTGCAGGATCGGGATCTTTGCTGACTTAAATTTTTTTACGCAAGTTTGCGCCTCACTTTGAGATAGACTATGCTTACATTCATTCGTAACTCTCTTGACGATAAGCAGCACACGCACATTCTTTCCCGGAAACAAACACTCATCCCATCCAGAAACACATCCGCACATTCACCCATATCCACAGCATATCGATTTCTTGCCGATCTAAGTCCTTGCACAAGCATGCATCATTCGTATCATCCGATCGTTCGTGTCGCCCGTACCATTCGTCTTTCCGATTACACATCCAAAAAGAAAGGGAAGAAAGAAAAGGGAGTAAGAAAGACGGTGTAGCAGGGGGAGGACACCTGCTGGGCCTGATCGATTTTCCTTCCCATCTGGGCATTTGAACTGTACGTAAGGGCATTTTTGCATTTCCATGCCCCTCGCTGTCTGCTCTCTCTTTCTCTCCTTTCTCACCTTCTCGTCGTCCTCAACCCTCCAATAATTAGCCGTCCACTCACCCTCGACCGCACACTTTCCTCGATCCCCACCCGCATTCACTTCCCTCATTCTTCATTCGCTCTGCTCATCTCCCTCTCCCTCTTCCCTTCCTCCCTTCTTTATTTGTTACCATTGCACTGGCTGCCTTCTATACCGGTCGACCATCGGACCCATCGCCCCTTCTTTTTCCCGCACACTCTCCCCTCCTCCACATCTTTTCCTTCTTTTCCTTCTTTTCTCTCTGGTCTTCTTCCCTGGCCAACTACCTCCTCCTCTCCTCTGCCGCTTCTTTTGCACGCAGCCAGCCAACCCCATGGTCTAGCCGCTAGTCTGCCGATAAAAGAGAGTCGTCGCAATGGATCCGCGGCAACGGAACTTTCCCTCTGTCGCTCAGAATGCAGAGAGCAATCTCCCGTCTCTCTCGCCGCAAAAAAGTCTCAGTGCCCATCATGATCGTCACTTGCAGCCGAATCTCCCTTCGCCAACGCGCACCTCAGTCTCCTCAGCCTCCTCCACCGCACCGTTCCTGCAGCAGCACCTCTCCTCCTCCCATCCAAGAACACCGTACTTAAGCCATCACATTCCATCACCTACACACTCCGCCACCCTCACCAGCCCATCCTCTCGCTCACTACAGCTGCGCCGACACAGAGATTTAGACCGTCTGGAGGACGTTCGCTCGTCTCGACATTCGACTCCATCATCCACCTACGAGAACCCCACTCAGACTATTGATCCCTGGCCCCAGACCTATTCTCCACACCCTACCTTCAACGTCGCCTCCACCGCGACCTTTTCCACTCACCTAAGCCATCCCTTTGCGCGCCCCGTCGTTTTTGATCGCGGCGCCTATGATCGCCCTACCCTATACAACCAATTGATCGGGCCTGGGGCACCCAATGATCCCTATATTGATCCTCATAAAAAGCGATCTTTCGGGAGCCACGAAGTGTACTATGGTTCCAATGGATCTGCGTCAGTTGCCTACGACGATCAGGAGATCGCACGGTTACGAAGGTTGTCAACAAGAGAAAACAGCGACAATATCACACCCCCATGTTCCTCTTTGTATCGTCATGGCGATGATATACACTTTGCAAACAGAGGGGAAGCATGGCAGCACGAAACTCGGGAGAGGCTCAATGATGATCTGGAATATGGAGATCACCGGGGGCGACTCATTCCTGGTACAACGGCAGTATCATCATCATCATCAACAACAACAATATCTAGTCCACATCCCCATTATTCTTCAAATCTGCAATCGCAACTACCCTACTTGAACTCAAAGCAGATGCGTGGACACTCTCAACAGCAACAGCAACAGCATCAGCATCTACATCCGCGCCCGCATCCTCATCCGCACGAGTCTCCGGCGATGTCGCCACGACAGTCGGGCTCTCAACTTTCTTTGGATGTCACACCCACGGACAATGTCAGTGCTCACAATCGCCGTCATACTGACCGATTGCAGTCGCTTGATCGCACACATCCTCATGCAGTACTGGAGCCAGATAACGAACCACGCAGGTCCCATCCACACCAACCACATCCGTGGACACAATCTTCTTCCTTGGAGCCCAGGGCATCACTGGCCTCTCCATTGCATTCAAGCCTTTCCTCTTCCTGCTTTTCATCGTCTCAGCCCCAGTCGCAGCACTTCCCCCAGCTCTATACCTCAGGCCCTGGTTCCACAACGCATGCAGGAGAGAAGAGTGCACTTGACGGCATTTCATTTCAGCAGCAACAGCAGCAACGTACGCATCTAGACCCAAATGATTATTCGCACAGCCTTAGCAGCTCCAATTTGGAGAGACTGAACCGTCCTGATTGCCACGATCATCGCGATCATCGCGAATGTCGCTCCTCATCTTTATCTCATCCTTACACTCACCAGCATGATGCAGAGCCCCCTTTCATGCCCCTAGGGTCTTCTCCTTATGCCACACAGCCGTACCTTCATGCAGATCAGGCCCAGCAAAAGCATTCTCGTCCAGTTCATAATTCCAACCAGGCTAACGCTTACCCTCCACCCAGTGAACTACACGACCAGTCATACTCTGTTCATTCGACATCTGTCCCGTCGTCTTCCACTGCTCTACCCTCACATCCTCCTCCAGCTTCACCAAAAAGATCACCACCAATTGAGATACCCACGTCTTCCGGGGGCGGATTTAATGACCATAGCGAGGGCCCAAGACCACATCGCCGCCAGAATTGTCATGAGGACCAAGAAGATACCGAACCCGACAGCAGCAGCAGCAGCAGCAGCAGTCTGAGCAGCAGTCAGGCGCAATGGCAGTCTTCCTCGAAAGACATGGACAACATGAACTACAAATTCGGGACAGATATGCCTACAACGGTCGATCTCAAGTCTGCAATCGAAACCTGCGACATTCTCTGTCAGTTTGCACTCCATTATGCCAGACAGGACCCGCATGAGACCCGGGCCCAATCCAATGCTGGCGAGGAGCGGGATTCTAATCACCGTGCCAACCTTCAGACCATTCGAAACTTGAATTCAGTTATGCTGATGGGCGTCCAGGCCACTAGCCGTGAGGGAGCTGATGGACGGCCCCGAGCAGGGGATAATGAGCAACCAGGTCGATCAGGCGATGCTTCAATGGCGGATAGTGGCGACGATGGTAGTGACAATGACGAGAAGTCTGAACTCAGTTTCGGAGCTGGTCCGCCTTCGAACGAGATAGTGCACGAGCTGGCCAAGGCTGCGACGTCTATCTTTCAGCTTGGAATCCGTATCAAGGCTTGGGTGAGCATGTCGCCTAAGGAAAGGGAGCTCGATGAGGAGATTAACATCATTCGAGGCAAGCGATGCCTCTTCATGGATGGTTCAGCCACACTGCCTTTGCCCAGTCTAAATCTTCATAATTTCAAAGGCGAGCAGGATCTTGCGCAAGGGCAAAATGAGTTCAAGGGTCTGTATGGCCGATCCAAGAATGCGAACTCGCCATCGTCTGTTTCCGGACTCAAGCGACTTAGAGATAGCAGCGCGGATCCGCGGATGCAGGGCGAGCGCGAGCGGAGTCATTCACAGTTCAACACGCCTATGGGTCCATACAAATCGATTGTCTCTCCACAGGGCGGATCAACGTTGGATGAAAGTGGCCTGACGAGTACAAAATCGACAGGCAGCATCAAGAGCTTGATTTTGGACAGCAGTGATGGGACACAACAAAAATACCGCAAACGAGCCAAACGCATACACCCGCCCGGACGGTGCCTGTCATGCGATTCTTCAGATACACCGGAGTGGCGACGCGGCCCCGAAGGAGCACGTACCCTGTGCAACGCCTGCGGTCTCCGTAAGTTGAAGTTTTTTTTTTTTTTTTTTTTTTTTTTTTGCTGTGAGAGCTGAACGGTTTGGCAGCAACGAGCAGGACACTCATCTTTACATATTTTTTCTTTGCCACCAGATTATGCCAAGCTACTGAAACGCCAGCAACAGCAACAGCAACATCAGGAGCAACAGCGACAGCAGAACCAGCTCCAGTATGACGATCAAGGAGGAAATATTAGCATAAGCAATGTTATCGGCAAGAGCCTTTCTCGTATTCGGCTGCAAGCTCGCGATGTTCAGTTTCAAAGGCGACTCAAGGATGGTATATTCACAGATGGAGTGTCGATACCAGAAGCAGCATCATCGTCATCAACAGCAGATCTGATGGATCAAGACTATCAAACCTAAACCCGCCATCACTACCAGTAGCGGCGGCATTGCTATCAGCAGAAGCCGGCCTGGCAAAAGTACCATCGACTCAAGTCGGCTAACAAGTCCTGACAAGCAGCAACATTTTGTCTTTGTGTTTCTTTGTTCTTCCCATTCGCTTTATTCCTCTGTTTCATTCTAGCATTATGGCGTTTTCTTTTTTCTAGTTTTGTTACCACTAACGAATAACCGTGTACTATAGTTTTATTTATAATCCTTCCATTGTCATTTGTTCACTCTTTTTTTTTTCTGTTCTCTGTTCTCTGTTGTATAAATGAAGCGAAAGAGAATAATATTTCACGATACCCGTATTCCTTTTGCTGTCATATCAAGAAATGTGCGTTTATTTGGGATGCTGGTTAATGAATAGTTCGCTGGAAAGAAGCGATGCAGACGCGTCAAAAGGATCATATTTGCATTGCTTAATAGCAAAGGGCATAGAACCGTGCCTGGCAATCGTCTTGAGTGGCTATTAGAAAAAATAAACCGCCACCACCAGAAAGACTCGGTCAGCATGATGTTTTGAATGGGATAGAGAAAGAGGCCCTTGACAAAGAAAAAAGAGGAGATGACAGCTTACATTCAAGACGGTTACCCATCAGCCCGTTGACCAACACTGCAGGGCAAGCACCCTGACTCTGGACCTGTTCACCGAACCAGCTATGTTATTTTTCAAATCAAGCAAAAAAGATATCGTAAGCATAAAGTCCGCAACCACGCATTCTCCGGTATCAATCCACTGACATTATCCTTTTTTTTTTTTTTTTTTTTTTTTTGAGCCATTCCGCGTTCTTTGCTTGTTTGCTTGCTTGCTTACCTCTTGATCCACAATCTCTGATCCGAAAACAACCCTAAAGAGCTAAACGCCTCCCTGAATCGATCAACATTCGTGCCATCGACCAAGGCCAGCTCCGATCCACAGGCCACACACGCCTGGAGGGCCTCCTGATAAGTTAATGGACTCTTGATCAAGAAGGATTGCATATCTGGTAGGTACACTCGATCCCTGGTCCTGCATCCTGGCCCACCTCCACTTCCGCTGGCGATGTTGTTCTCAGCGGTGACGGTACCGAATTGCGGTTGCTGTTGCTCGGCTTGGAGGGCGAAATTGGCGTAGGGCTGGAACTGACCGCGGTCGCTGCCTTGGCGAGATTGCTGGGTGTTACCTATTTGGGAGTTCCATTCAAGGTGTGATACCATTGAAGCGCCAGCAGGGTTGTGATTAGGGTCGAGATGATGGTTTGGGTCGTTGCGTGCGGGGTATGCGAAATGTGAGAGGATGGATCCACCTTGTACGCCGCCGCTTGAGAGCGTTAGGGCCAGGAAAAAGGCGGCAGATAATGCTGTGATGGATGTGTATATGGACTTCATGTGTTTGTTTGCTTGCTTGCTTGGTATCTTGAAGGTGGGGTTGCTGTTGTTTTGTCTGGGGTTAGTTTGAAAAAGGTGGAAGCGATGGGTTCTGTCGAGTTGGGAATGAGAAGGTGATCAACCGCCGAAGGCGTGACGGCCTAAAACCAATCCCTTTAGGGCATTTTTAGCATGAGTGCAGAACGATGACAAAAGAGCTGCTGCTGCTGAGGCAAGCAAGCACCCCTAAGAGGATGCGATCGATAACTTTTGGCAATGCAGTGTTCCAGGGTCATGGTGTCTGTGCGGGAATGTTGTTAATTGCTTCAACGGCTGCTTTCTTTGTTCGATGCCAATTGCTCTATGTTTTTTTATTTCAATGAATATGGCAAATGAGAAGAGGTAATAATTACAGAAATCTATACATTTCAGGGGGGAGAGGCAGAGCAAGCAATGGGGCAGCAACTACGAACGGAAAACGATCAACGGAGAGCGTCCCTGGGCGCTCCTGACAGATCCATGGATAGTTGCCCACGGGGTTGAGCAGGATCCATGTCGCGACGTGCCCACTTTACTTTCCAAGTTTCTTACGCAACGCCCTGGTTCTCTTTCGTAGTTTCTTGTACTTGTGCTTGCGCATCTTAATTCTCCGTTTGCGCAGAACACTTGTCATATACATAACACCTGCATGGCTCAGGGACGGATCCATAATCGATTCTGCTGTCGCTGATATTGCCGCTATTGATTCTCCTGATGTTGATGCTTCTGTGTCCTCTTCCATATGGCTCAATTGCCCTTCCTGTCCCTGCTTATCGGCCATGCGAAGGAACGCATCGATCGTCTGGTTCGCATCCGTAAGAGAGGGAGGCAAACTCGCCCAAGCAGTTGCTGTTGGTGTCACCAATGCTGATTGAGATAGTGATGTTGGAGGCGAGTATGGCTGAAGAGTTGAAAAGTAATTGGCAAGGTCATACACAGGATCTAAAGGAAAAAAAAAAGAAAGAGACAGAATAACATTCAATTAGTATGGCTGTCGATCTAGCAGGTACAGAATACACCATGACAATTAACATAGGGATAGCCAATGCCGCATGTTGTGCGTATAGATAATGCGTCATGCCATATTGTGTTAATTCGCTCCTATGAGCCATCGATCGTTTAGTGTCACGAGTCGTATGTTGGCTCCTCCCCCGATAGAAAATAGAAGAACGGCTTCCTGGCCAGATAAGGGAATCCACCCGTGCATTAAACAAAATGGAGTTCTGGGGTATGAACGAAGACGCAAGGAAAGCATTTCTAGAAAATATGGCTTCAAAAGCGCACAAATAACTTGCCTTCATAGTCCTCCTCGTTCATCAAGTTACTGCTGTTGCTCGTAAACATGGGTCCGTTGGTGATCCCCAATAAAGGGCGGTGGAGTGCAAAGAAGGAGCCGTGAGCGAGATCTACCCGGTGGAGCTCGAACGAGGCATTGACAGGGGCCTCATTCGTTGTGATGGGTTCCATATCCGCATTGTTGCTGTTGTCATTATCACGGCTTGAGGAGGACGAGGATTGGTGGCGGACGGTGCCAACAAAGACCACTGGACGGACAAAGTGTGCGATTCGCCGGTCCCTGAGAGCTGATTTCAGAACAGAGATTGGCGGAGCACCAGCCCGCTTGATGAGTCCTGTAAACATCGAGTCAGCTATTGACTATGCAGCAAGGATAATGGGAAGCTTTGAGTTTCGGCGTACTTGTTTGTGCTGATGAAGTGGTGGAAGTGATTTGGAAGGATGTGAGATGAACAAGCCGGACCAGAAGGGCAAAGGCATTCTACGGGGGACTATGGTAACGTGATTATTCAGCGCAGCTAAAATGTTCGTTATTTCCTGAATGCCTTAATGGTGCTCTTCCCAATTTCCCAATGTTACCAGGAATATGACAGAGAACTGGAAAGGATAAAACGGCAAGATGTGGCAACGGCATGGTTCACGGTGCATGCTCAATTGGCGTTGAGTGCGTATATGCGTATGTGTTTGTGTATAGGTCGTTTTTTATGTTTTCACTTTGATCGGTGTATTTTATGTGAACTACAATGATAGTACTCCAGATACACAGGTGATGATGATGCTCCCATGGACCGGTTGCTGTTGTCGCTGTTGTTGTTGTTGTTGCTGCTGCTGTTGTCGTTGTTTTTTCCTTGACAGCAACCAGCATGTCAGCAGAGAGAGTGGGGGGTGAGTATGAGCAACAAAGCAACACAAATCAGTCGGCTCTTTATAACCTTCCTTGCAGGTTGTGTTCAACCCTTGTCTTGACTTCCTTGACTTGACTTATTTTCGGCACATACACATACAAACCACAGGGGAGTCTGCCCCTCTCGACAACATTACATACGCCCGACTGCTTCAATCTCCCTGTCTATTTTTTTTTTTTTTTTTTTTGTATTTTCTGTTTGCCTTTCCATTTTCTCCCTTCTCTCGTTCCCGCTCTCTTCTTCTGTCACTTCGTCCCTGAGTAAAGGATTCTTTCAGCGATTTTTTTCATTTGCGAACCAGGATCATTCGGCCTTGATCCGGCACCCACAAGGACATCGAGCTTAATAACTACCAAGGACAGGATCCTGATCATCGGATTCAACATTCAATCGAACACTTTTTTTTGTGTACTCTTCAAACCTGTCCTGTCCTGTCCTGTCTCTTCCGCCTAGGAAACAGAGGAAACCAATAGCCAGACTTAAGCAAGTCCATATCGACGGCTCTTCTTCTTATCGATTATCAACTAATTCGACTTGTTGACCAAAGGACTTCAAACGACGACCTTTTGTTGAAGGTGCAGATATCTGGATGGCAATGACTACTTCGCGGGCACGTTCAGGAAAGCGAGCAACAGACTGGGCAGAATTCTACAAGAACGGACCTCCTCAGGAGGTCATTGTTATCGATGATGATACTCCGCCCCCTTCGTCCTCATCGGCATCTTCAACGTCCTCGCGCCACCATCATCAAGTGCCTGGGAGCAACAGTGCCAACGGCAGACATTATCATCATCATCGCAGCTACCATGACCCATACCAGCCTGGCTCTTCGCCCCGATCACATGCGATGCCGCCGCCGCCAGCAACTTACTCACATCACTCCAACCACGCTGACCAGGGCCCGCCAGCAAACGGCCACAGTAGTAATGGGCACCACTACCATGCTTACAATACGTCGACACCCATGGCACCCGCGATCTCGGACCCTGGGCCTGGTCGTACGCTGAGACGGTCCAACAAGCGTCTGCCATCGACGGAACTGATCCCAAGAGGACCCAATGGATCGTACTCACACTCAACAAGCCAGCAATACCATCATCAAGAATATTATCCTCCGACTGGGGACCATGATCCGCGGCACTATGGTTACCAAGACGATCCATACTCATCTCATCATCATCCACCTCAATCTCATCACCATTATCAGCAACATTACCCACCTCCACACCGCCACCAACAACAAGAACATCATCTACACCACGCAACTAATGGATACGTAAATGGCTATTACCCTCCGCCGGGACCAGCAATGAGCTCGATACCGCCAGCAAAAAGGCGGAGAAAGTCTATTTCAGATGTCAAGTATGTCGGCCCGCCACCTCCTCCACCTGCGTCCCATGGGAACCATGGCTATTCCGGATATTACCCTCCACCAACCAATGGACCTAGTGTAAGCAATGGCGCGCCTGCGTCGAATCGGGACGTAAGTTTGCAGGAATCTTGAATGGCGTAGCGTTGTAAATTTCTATCGGCTTTGCTCTTTTGAATATGGGCTATCGCTAACTGGGTTGATGGTGCTCTTCGCTGATCTTTGTTACTTTAGGCGCTGCCAATTATGCCCACATGGGATGACAAGGAAGGTCATTATATTGTTGTGCCTGGCGAAGATCTCACGTCCAGATGTAAGTTAGGCCACCTTTACTCATTTCACGTCGCTTTTTTCCGCAAAGAAAAAGTCCCATGGGATTTACCTGGTGCGGATGAAATTATTTGGCGAGGCTATTATGAGGAAAGGGGTCCTAACTATTGCTTTCGATACCTGCTTGCACTAGATAAAATCATTCGCCTTTTGGGACAGGGTACATTTGGAAAAGTCGTGGAGTGCTATGACCGTCAGACTGGAATGCATTGCGCTATCAAGATTATTCGAGCGGTACAGAAGTATAGGGACGCCAGCAAAATTGAGGCTCGAGTCTTGAACACCCTCAAGCGGAGTGATCCGCAAAACTCCTAGTAAGTATAAGAACAGTGTACTGTGATATTACATTTTGGATAAATTGCGATATCGTATGAATTGAAATCCTCATCAATTCCTCCTTTCCTTCATTACCTTCTAGTAAATGTCTTCATTTGAACGACTGTTTCGATTACAGGAATCATGTATGCATGGTGTTTGATCTATTGGGTCAATCCATATATGACTGGCTCAAAGACAATGCGTTCTGTCCGTTCCCGCCCAACCAGATCCAATATTTCGCCCGCCAGCTATTCAGCAGTGTCGCATGTAAGGCTGCGGGACTTTTAGCTTGTTCGACGAAGGGTCCGGAATCGCTAAAACGATTACCAATCGGTGGTTGTTAATTCTTACTTCATTTCATTTCTGCCCCTTACAGTTCTTCATCGTTTACGACTGGTTCACACGGACTTAAAACCGGAGAACATCCTGCTTGTTGATGGTGATTACCGACAAGTACCCTACAAGGTATGTCAGCTTCCATTTCTTTATCTGCACCGCCATATGCACAGGGGTTTGTGCTAATATGAAGTGCTCTGTTCTTCTTATATTTGATGATTAGAAATCGTCGATAAAAACGAGAAGAGTTCTTTTGGACCCAGAGATTCGGTTGATTGATTTTGGAAGTGCCACTTTTCAGGATGAGCATCATTCAACTGTCGTATGCACACGGCACTATCGTGCACCAGAGATCATTCTAGGTAAGCGCTCTGTGCAACCGTTGTGCGATCAATTGCCTTGCCTTCTTTATAAGCAATTCTGATTGTACTTTTGCGCGCGAATGAAACTAATCTTCATGCATTAAACATTTTATCGATGTCGAACAACTAGGACTCGGATGGTCATATCCGTGCGATATTTGGTCTATAGGATGCATTCTGGTTGAGTTTTTGACAGGCGAAGCGCTATTCCAGACACATGATAATTTGGAGCATTTGGCGATGATGCAGGCTGTACTGGGACCCATTCCCGACAAACTAATTCGTGCATCCCAGTAAGTCCTTGGAAAGTGATACAAGGACAACTCTCAAATGATAGGGTCATCATATCGTACGATGTTAATAGTTCGTTCGTTCGTTGCTTTATTTCCTTGGTTGATGTAGCAAATCATCGCAAAAATACTTTGTTCAAGGACGATTGGACTACCCGAACGAGGAGACGAAACGTAACAGCCGGAAATATGTTAAAGCATTGCGGCCATTACGTGTATGTGTACCCATCCATGTCTTGTTAATCCCCTTATGATCCCCTCGTACCGTTCTTCTTGCTAAAACTGACATTGTTTTCGCTTACATGGTTTATCAGGACTATGTGGTATCGCCGGATAGTAGTGAAGAAAATTCGGCTTTTGCACGCGAGTTCTTAGATCTACTCAGTCGGCTGCTGGCATATGACCCTGCAGAACGAATCACAGCTGCCCAGGCATTGCGACACCCTTACTTTAATTATGTCGTGAACGAGAACGGGCAAGTACTGGGGGTCAAGAAGTCGTCGTCGACGTCTTCTGCGTCCTCGTCTTCTTCGAGATCATCCGTAACTGCGGTATAATGTCGGTGTTGGCCAGACTCTTGTAGCCAGCTTCTTTTTTTTTAGTTTTTTTTTTGACTCTTTTTTCTTTTTTTTTTTTTTTGCCTTTTTTTTGGAGGGCCTTGTGGAGCCCTTTAGACCTTTTAGGATCCCTGTTGAACCTTCCTTCTTTTTTTTTTTTTTTTTTAACTTTTTTTTGCGGATGCGGATACCGGAGGATATAAGAAGATATAGAGACAGACCCTCTTAAACTCGGATACTGGCATCCAGCGAGGGGATCGTAATAAAACATGTTCCTACTCAGCACAACACATGTTCTCAGTCGAATTGTATCGAGGCGCTCTACCCGCAGTAGCCATTATTGCATTCGAGTTCAGAAGGACTGAACGCGGTATTCATTGACCATGTAGACCATAATTTACATGCCTTGGTATTCTGACAGGGTCGACCCTTGCGTCCTTGTCTGAATGTCTGCTCTATTCTAAAAGCTGCTTCGCCCACTTCTTGCGTGCACAAGACCTTCAAGCAATTTGCTAGCCTGAAACAGAGTAGACAAGGCATGCATGCCTGGAGCATTATAGATATTTATCCTAAAACGCCTCATTCACGCGCTATTATTAAAAAATCATTTTTTGTGGATAGTACGCCAACAGGCTTGCGTCTTGTGCTTACTTTGCTGTTCCTCCAAAACAGCTTCAACAACGAAGCATCTTCTTCTTGCTATTTCTCGTTTTTCAACGATCCAGTACCGTCACGCTCTCTGGTGATCACTCGGTGATTTTTGGGATATCATGCACGAGGTTCCTCACAGTCTCATCTTTGGGTTAGGACCATGGACAGAAAAAAGTGGCCGCAAGATAAAAGGCGAGAAACGCAAACGAAGACCCACAAAGTTATCCTTTGAATAACTAAGGAACATTCAGAGTGGTGCTTGCACCATAGGGATTACTCTTTAATAATATCGCGGGTCTCCGGTATGAAAAGACAGACGAAAAGGGACCATAGATCTCAGTCGTTGTTCATACGACCGTCCGATGAGTTATCTACTCCTAGATGAAGACGATGGACTCCTCGGATCAATGCCAACAAAGGCGAGGTGATGCTTTTGCGAGACCTTTAAGAAGAAACGCGGCCTTGACAGGTATTTCGCCTTGTATGTATTCTCAAGGTCGCGGTTCAAAACCTCAAGTCTTCAACTGATCCGCACCATCAAACGCGACCAGACCATCATCCTTAGTAACAAGACCCACCTTCATGGTGGCGTTCAAAATTGATCCTGAACCAGCGGCTGCGGGCAATGCGTCCTTCGCGCGATTTATCATTGACAATTACATCTTGGACAAGGACCGACTATGTTACCGATAAGTGTCCTGATCCTTACCATGGCGGCGCCCCAGGCGAGGGAGATATATAGCATAATTCGAACGTTGGCATTGCTTTGAGTCCCAGCGTATTCTCTTGGCGGCCTTCACGAAGCCGTCTGATTCGAGAATATGGATGCCATTACCGACATCGAGGACCAATGAAGCTATTGTTTGTCTTTCCTTAGATCTATCTCTTCACTTCAAATTGCCCCTCTTTCCTAAGTTTCTATTCCCTAGTGGGACGACTTGGTCGAAGCCGCGAGTCCTGCCTGCGTGTTTCACGAGCAGAAGAGTCGCGATAATAACGTTTGTGCTCAATATCCACCCGAGCCTTAATGCCGAAGGCTATAGCTGGCACCGCTTCGCCAACACCAATCATGTACTGATCCCGTACTCACTAGGTACCATTGACTTTGAGTCCAGGAGGGAGACGAGGCTATATGAACCTGTTTTTGCGGTCGCTTTTCGAGTTTCAATGATAAGTTGTATTTTCAGAAAGGAGAAGGGCGTCAAGGCGTAGAGAGACATGGGTCTTGATACAATAAAGCGAAGCACGACGGCTTATTCCAAAATACATCCTGCACTAAGCGTACAAGCGAGGACTCACTCCGGAGATGCGATCTGTCGAGAGGCCAGGATAAAGCTGTTGCAACAGGCGATCGTTGCAGAGCTCCTTTGTAACAAAAGGCCATTGGTGAAAGCAGCAAGACCCACCCTCGCCCTCCACGCCGTGCGCGTTCAGTTGAGTCCTGAGGACTGGTGTATCGTATCTGATGCAAGGCGTAAACATGAAGGGGGATAAGGTTGCAGGGGAGGGGAGAGCGTATTGATAGAAAGCTGTGTATTTTTTCAACAGATTATGCACCTTCCAATTGTTTGCGCGCATTTTCCAATGTTGCCTAACCTGTTTTTAAGGTTGTTTGGTTGCGCAACTGGTTCGGCTCCGATTCAGTGGATTTCCTACCAGATTTTGAAACGACAGGTCGGGTCGCGTTCACATTCTCTTTTTTTTAAATTACGCTTTTTATTATTTTATACCTCGCTCTAAAGCTGGTGTCATGAGTTGTTGTTTTTGTTTGTTCTCTTTCTCAAAAAAAAAGTTATGGTATGATATAGTTGATGGTTGTGGCGGAAGTAGGATGATGTGAAGGCTAAGCGGAAAAAAGGATGGAGGGGTGTATATGCATGGGGTTTGTTCAAAAAAAAAAACTAAAAAAAAAATAGAAAGGTAGGGTAAGGTAGGGGGGTTGGTATGACCGAAATTGTGAGCCTCGCTCTTTTTTTTCTACACCTTTCCGAAGAAGGTCTTGCGGCGCTCAGCGCGAACGTTACGGGTGCGCTGGATGACCATGATGTCCTTCTCGCAGTAGGCCTGGTTCTCAAAGTTGTAGTAGATATCCGTCAATGGGGTCTTGCACTCTACACAAGAGAAGCATCCTGGATGGAATCTCCAACCCTGTATTGAAAAAAGCAACAATAAAGAAAAGCTCTTAGAAACCATACACATTGCAGGAAGAAGGGACACTGAAGAAGAGAGATGATGAATAAAGGGTGTTTGCTTACCTCCATAGTCTGGGCACAGGGTCCCTCGATAGGCTGGTCACAGCTCTTGCAGAGCGAGTTGTTCAGCTTGTGGTAATGTCTCCTGCAGTAGGGAGCATCTCCGTAGACATAGAAGCTCTTGTCCGGGAAGGGCTTCCTGCAAGTTTGGCATCCAAAGCAGGCTGCGTGCCACTTGCCCTGGAGCTTGCCGTCCTGTGCACAGACTGCCTCCTTCTCGACTGGCAATCCGCAGGCTCTGCACTTCGGCAGGAACAGCTCTCCAAAGTCCTTAGGGCAGTAAACTCGTCCGTTCTTCTCCACATGGCCTACGGACTGCTGGATTGGCTTCTTGCACTGGTAGCACATCAAATGGTGCTCATGCCATGACTGGCCCAGGGCATACACAGGAGACTCGCCCTGGATGGGTGCCTCGCATCCTGCACAGACTGCAGCACGGCTTCGAGAGGGTCGCTCCGATCGCTGGGCATCCTTTTCCATATATCGCTGATAATCCTTCTCGCACAGCAGACGACCTTCGTATTCATGGCCATGGCGAGCGGACTCCAGCGGTCGGCGGCAGCGGGCGCATTTGAAGCACTCTGGATGGTAGTCGCCATGTGACATCTTGATCACATCCGCAACCTCTTGAGGCTGAATATCGTGCTTACAGCCCTCGCAGTGCTGGACAGCGCCACGACGGTTAGTCGATCGGCTGCGTGTTGTCGAGCGTCCAGAAGTAGTCGATCTCTCACGATCACGCGCACGTTCACGCTCGCCACGTTCTTCTCCGCCACGCTCACGTTCCCGATCACGATCGCTCCTCTCGCTACGATGGCTGCGCTCTCTGTCCCTGTCCGATCGATCTCGGTCACTGCGCTCTCGGTCGCGGTCGCTGCGAGGTTCACGATCACCGCGATCGCGTTCACTTCTCTCGCGCTCCCGGTCACTGCGCTCTCGTCCTGAGCGGTGGCTGCGAACGCTATCTGATCCACTTCCGACCATGGGCAACCCTGGTGTAGGTGGTGGAGAGGCGGTATCGCGGCTTCGACCGCTTCCAGACTCGGGCAGATTGGGCCGAGAACGAGAGCGGTGAGAGGATGCTGGGCGAGACGAATCGCGCGTCGAAGCGGGCATGACATTGATTTCCTGAATCAAATTGTCCATCAGAGCATCGAACTGATCTCCACTGGCCTTTCGTGTTGGTGGTGCTCGGCCTGCAAAGACGTAAATAAATCATAAAAGATATGTTAGAGGTTTGATTTCATACTAATCACTTGGTACCAGTAGTTGTGCCAACGGTACTTACCTCTGGTAGGAGCAGGCGAGGACACATCGGGAGGAGTAGGGGGTCTGTACGAAGACTGCTTCGATCCGGACAATGCGTCCACAGAGCGAACATCCTCAGGAGAAATAGGAGGTGAAGGGGTCTTATAGGCAGATGATGGATCCTGACGACCACCACTTCGAGACGAAACGCCGCGCTCGCGTTCTCTCTCCCGCTCACGCTCCTTTTCTCTATCGCGATTGCGATCGGAGTCGCCACGGTCTCTCTCACGGTCACGGTCACCGCGTTCGTCTTCTGGGTAGCGAGATCGGTCTCTGTCCGATCGCTCTGAACGAGCAGAGCGCACAGATCTCTCAGACCGCTCTGACAACACCGTATTGGATCGTTCACGCTGAGCAGTGCGCTCGGTCAACACGGACGAGGCACTCGATCCAGAAGAAACCGTGCGGTTGAATCCATTCGAAACCGCTGGTGGGGAGGAACCATATTCATTCTGTTGACGGTTGTTTCGCTCCCACTCTTTCTCACGTTCGCGATCTCTTGGGTCCCGTCCATAATCTGTCCTGGGATCTGAATAGACAGGTCCGCCTGTAGGCGACTTAATACGTCCGTTTGTATCCATGCCCTGGATGCCGAGTCCCTGAGCCGAGGCAATCGAGGGGCTACGAGCGTTGGATTTCTGAGGCACTGCTGGTTGCTGCGAAGCTCTCATGGAGTTGGGACTAGTTGAGAACTGACTGGAAGCATCCGTCACTGGAGTTTTAGAACGAGGTGGGATCGGTGAGCTCGAGCCATATCGGTTGTCGTCCATGGGCGTCCTTGAGCGCGAGGGCTGCTGTTGAGACATGCCGGGGAAGCGATCATCCATGGGTGTCTTTGGAAAGTAGTCGTTCTGCTCTCGCTGGTAGTGGCCATTCAATCCATTGGAGAGAACTTGTCTATCATAGCTGGGAGCAGTCGGGGTTGTTGGCGAAACGGAAAGTGGTGAGCCCGTGATGTTATTGCTGCTATTATTATTTTGACCACTGCCATTGGGATTGGGAGCAGGCGGTGACGAGGTTGTCGATGTTGCTGACTTGTTCTTTTTGGCATATTTTTCCAAGAAAGGGAGCGCGGGTCGGGGTGCGGCTCCCGAGGGGCGACCGGGCGAGTTGGGCGTGCCATTGGCGCCATTGGCGGCGCTGTTATAGTTGTTGTTGCTGAAAGAATTCGATCCCAATGATCCTGGCTGGGGTGAGCTGATGGGAATGGGCGGTGGTTTGTATCCTGGTCTGTATGCGCCCGAAGACGGTGCATCTGTTTAGCATAAAAAAATGGTATCTCTCTTAGCCTCAGATACGAAATAAGATGGGCAGCAAAGACAAAAAAGGGCGGGAGCAAAATGGACTTACCATTCCTGGAAGGGGCTCGTGGTGGTTGTGAGGAATAGTCTGTTCGGGCTGTTCGGTATCAATGGCACGCACGGAGTCAGTAATACGCGAGGGGGAAGAGGCCGAGGAGAAAGAGGGGAAAAAAAAAAGAAAGAGGGGGGGTTGTATACCGACACGAATGGTAACGAGCGAGTGCCATGCGCGTTGAAAGGTAAATACAATACAAGGAGAAAGGGACGAAGAAGGTCAGTTATGAGATTTAAAAAACACTATCATCAGCACCAATCTGTCGTTATTCCCTTTCTAGTTCTCCTGCAGCCAATTGTTGATAGCATTAGATCCGGCTCCTTTCCTGGTTCCAGTGCGGCAAGTAGCAGTAATCACTCTTGGGCTGTCTAGCATACCTAGACGCCCAATACCAGATGCGCACTGCAGAACATCTGCTGCCATATGCCATTGTCTCTTTCTCTTTCGTTGATGATATGTCAGGTTTCACTCTCGACGTCCAGGAACACAGTTTCTTATTCGTTCCTGTGCGGGGTAGAAGTGTGAAAAAATAAGATTCCCTCGCCCTCGCTCACGTCTCACACTCCGCGGTATCCAGTCTGGTGACCATTGTGGGGTGGGGGGATGGCAAGGTGCAATTGTCCTTGTATTCATTCCCTAACTGCTTCCCCTCTCTATACATTTCATTCTCACCCTCTTTGACCCTAAAAAGAGGTAACTTTGATTAGAAGTACTTACATTTTGGAGCAGGAATCGCTGGGAGGGCGGGCATGGGTGGTGCAGAAGAGCAGATATGCTCACCAAGCAGGCGGAACTCGACATCGTGCCCGCAGTCGGAGCACCGAATGACGGGCAGGATCTGGGACAAGCGTGGATCCTTGACGCTCATGGTTGGTTTCCTTTTTTTCGAAGAGCTGCAACTGGTGTTGTTGTAGGGCTGGTCGAGGTATTAGAGTAGAGGCGAAAGGACTACTGGTAAGGTGAGATGAATATTAAAAACGTTTCGTGGAACAGATGAAAGGCAGAGATGATGAACAGGACGACACGACAAGTGGAATGCGATGGAGGTAGAGGAGGGGATGGAAAAAGAAAAGAGGAAAAGAGCGGTGGGATGAAAGTTGATGAGAGTGATGAGAAACAATATAAAAAAGTGATGAGCACCAGAAATATAACGCGGAAGAGGGGGGATACTACTCGCATGCACTAGCTGGGAGAAAGAACCTTAGAATTCTATTGTTCTCTGTGGTTCTGTCTTTGCTTCTATATATTAAAGTGTCACAAAGCGAGAGGGAAATGAACAAGAACCCTTGTTCTCGTATGTCCCTTGGTATGATTCTTCGGCAGCGGTGAGGGATGACCAAGACAAGGGAATAGAAAAGATTATATATGTACCTTGATGAAGAAGAGAGGAAATGGAAAGGAAGAGATGCAAAACGAAGACCAAGGACAGTTCTTATTTTTTCTTTGTCCGCAGGCAGCAAGCAGCAACAGTGCACTCGTTCTATCCTATCCAATCGAAGGCTAGTCAACAGTAATAAGAGTCCAGTCAGGGCTAATCGAGCAGCGTTGGTGAAAGGCGAGTGGATTATACAACGCTAATACTCTGCTAGATAGCACTCAATTTGTTGTTTGTGTCCCCCCCATCTTCCCATCCCACCATACTACTCATTCACTCTCAGCAACTATGCCATGATCCTTTTTCGCATTTTTATTTCGATTTATATTTCCTCGATTGCGGACAAAAAAAAACAGGGATAGGGGACATCGTAAGCAGCGTTTACCTGGTGCGGGGGCAGTCAGTGAACAACACCGGAACGGCCATTATACGTTGAGTGCTGTACATTTGCTCGCCTGACCGATGATAGACTACTCATGCATTGGTGCACCCCTCGCATTGAATAAAAAAAAAGATCTCGAGAACCTCAACTGACGAACATGACCACACTCATAGGCATCGGTACGTTATAACTAACAAAAGATAATAAATGAGCAAGGGATCGTCCAGGTTAATGGAATACAGTACGCACTGCACTCAAAGCAAGGGGTTGAACGAATCAAAGACAAAAGATGGGCCCAAGGAAGAGAAAGATATCGTTTTCCACAACGGTTGGTCAAGGACCACATTTTCCTCGCATCTAAACATCCGTATCCTGAATTAATTGCTGCATGGGTATAGGACACAAAAACGTAAAGAGAAGCAGAAGCGAACCCAGGATATGCAGCTGTACCTTGACACATTCCATCGATCCTCGAAAAATGAACTAATCCTTCCAACGTCAAAGAAAAAGATCCTCATTTTCGGACATATTTATTTATATTATCTCCCTCTTTTTCGGGTTCATTCAGCATTGACCGGTATCCTAGCCCTATATAGCTCATCCAGGATCCAATGATAGAAATGAACATGACAAATAGTTCGGCATGCCTCGCGCACTCGATCGTCTTTTAACCCATGTCTAAACAAACAATAAACATGACAGCAATAAAGAACACTGTGCTCAACACAGGCGCTAAAGTCTCCTCTCCCCCCCCCCTCGAATCAACCGTTGCCTCACAAATACCATATAGCATTTAAATAAAAAAGCGCATTCAACAGACACAAGTTAGTGGGAGCGAGAGCGACCGCCAGGCGACCAGAAAAGAGATAGCGAGATAGAGAAAGAACGCGACTTAACCTATTTTTATGTTAGTTCCAGATTGGTGCTCGCGACAACTCTTCTGCTCTCAACAATAACAACAACCACAACCAAAAAAAAGTGCTCTCAATTCCTTCTGCAATGTTGGTTTATCTATAATGGATTTCTCGAGCTGTCTCTGATCAGGTAAACAACGCAAGGAGTCAGCAAAAAAAAAAAGGTTGGCTGCGTTGTAGAGCGACCAGAAAGGTCATGAAAGATCGGCCGCCCATTGCGGCGACCTCATTAACAGATGATAGAGAGCACTTGCAGGCCAATAATTTGCACGAGTTTGCGCCCAATGCCCTTGTCTCTCGCTCATGGTTGCCCACAAGCATAAATTTACTAGCCCTGAACCCATCGTTTGGCTTAGCTAATAATGGACTAGGCTAGGGACAGCTCGCGAGAGCCAAGCACAAGGTATGCTCAAGGTCGGTCCTTTCACACGGTCGTGCCACTGCAGCTACAGCGGACCTATTGAGGACCTGTTTAAGCCATTGGTCCCTTGCAGGCCTTCCCCTCTCTCCACTGCGATTCGTCGTGGTATCAAGCCCCTAGTGTTCTTCGGCGCGCAATGTCTTTCTCCGTCAATGTCCTTGGTGGTGTGTTTCCAGATACGGCTGCTCTAAAGGCGATCTTCGTTGCGTAACTGAGAAGGACAAGTCATCTGTGCGCATTGGATATTTTATCACTTCGGGAACAAATGTAGGTGTCCTTTAAGACGAGGTTTGTCTCCGCAGCGTATCAACGCGTGCGTGCTATCTAATAGGAACTTCTCATCCAACAAAATAGATCGGCTTCGAAGGAAGCTCCAGGCGAGATTCTACCGTGACTGCCCGTAATGGCGCGATGGATCACGTCGCCGTCGGATCGCCATAAAAAAATCGTCTTCCTACGACCTCTCCTGTCCTCCCATTCCTTCCTTAACCCCTTCCTCATTCACCATCATGCTCAGGGCAGGACTCTCAACCGTCTCGAAGCGGAGCTATGCTACCTTCAAGCCCGTTATCTCGGCTGCAAAGGTACAGAAAGGACGACAACTGGCGCTGCAATCATCATCAAGTTTCAGGAACGCAGGGAAACAGTCCTCTGTATCCTAGCCTGCTCGCTGGTCGAGATTCATCTTTGCCGCCAAAAAGATAACGTAGGGAGGGTTTTCTGGAAGAGATCTTGTAATAACACCAACTCCCGCTATCTTTCTCCCCATTGCCATCGCTGAATTGCTCCATTAGCCCGTCAACGGATTCGTCGGTGCCCTTGGAAATACACCTCTCGTAAGTCCACTGATGTTGCTGGAACAGAGGAATAGCGCCATATCATACCATTTGGCATTCTTCTTCAACATTCAAATACTTTCATACTGTTTATAGATTCGTCTTAACAAACTGAGCGAGGAGACCGGAAGTAACATCTACGCTAAGGCTGAGTTCATGAACCCTGGTGGGTCTGTCAAGGATCGTGCTGCTCTCTACGTTGTCAAGGATGCAGAGGAGAGGGGTAAGTCTTGCAAATACCTGGTTTGCTCCGAAACGTCATTTCCGCTGTGTATTAACAGTGTAAAGTATGTCTCTCAAATTGATGCGAACTCACGAATAGGTCTTATCAAGCCCGGTGGCACCATTGTTGAAGGAACAGCCGGTAACACCGGTATTGGACTTGCTCATGTCTGCAGAGCTAAGGGATACAAGTGTGTGATCTACATGCCTAACACGCAGAGTCAGGAAAAGATCGATCTCTTGCGCATGCTCGGTACGTCCCGGGATGGTAGCCAGGCGGCAAAATATTGCAAATTTGTGGGTGAATCATGATCTAACCTTGATTTCTATTTCCACGCCAACTTTCAATGGCATAGGTGCCGAGGTCTACCCTGTCCCTGCCGTTGCATTCGACAACCCACAGAATTACAATCACCAGGCTGCTCGTCACGCCGAGTCGATTGAGAACGCCGTGTGGACCAACCAGTTCGACAACACTGCCAACCGTCAAGCCCATATTGAGACCACTGGTCCTGAAATTTGGAAACAATTGGACGGTCAGGTTGATGGATTCACCTGTTCCACCGGTACCGGCGGTACGCTCGCTGGTATTGCCAGATTCCTGAAGGAGAAGTCCCAGGGTAAGACAAAGATCTTTTTGGCGGACCCTCCAGGCAGTGTCCTGTATAGCTATATCAAGAGCGGTGGCAAACTGAACGAGCGTAGTGGCAGCTCCATCACTGAGGGTAAATCAGCCATTTTTCCATCTCATTTAGTGCCTCCTTCTTACTGCTTGTCGTAGCTTTATTTATCTATGCTGACAGGTACTTTTATATTCTACTCGTGAAATACAGGTATCGGTCAGGGCCGTGTTACCGACAACTTGAAGCCCGACATTGAGTTGATCGACGACGCGCTTCATATTGCCGACGAGAAATCGATCCATATGATTTATCGCCTTCTGGATGAGGAAGGTATCTATGTCGGCGCCTCGTCCGCATTGAACGTCGTTGCTGCGGTCGAGATGGCCCAGAAGTTGGGACCTGGCAAGAATATTGTTACGATCTTGTGCGATGGTGCCTACAGGTATCAGTCGCGACTCTTCAGCAAGAAGTGGATTGAGTCCAAGGGATTGACGAACGCCATTCCTGAGCACTTGAAGAAGTATGCGACTTTGGACTAGAATTGGGGAAATCAGGAATTTAATAAATAAACTGCTTTCTGTATATCATCAGCATCGACCATTACCATCCAGTGTTTGAGTTGGTCTGATCTGGCTTCTGTCGATCTTTCAATTTAAGGTTTGTCCAGTGTAAAATGTACCATAACTTCAGTCTTGTCAACCTTGAACGCTTTTTTTTGGAGGCACGCCAGTTCACGCGACTTTTTTTTTGTGCCCAACGCGGATGATCTGCGTACATTCATGTCGCTTTATTATAGTGTTACAAAGTTCATAATTGTTACTGATCCTGTTGCCGCTGTCGCCTTCAAGGGTACGCCCATTGCCTTTCTGTTGTGGCATTCCTGTCATGTTTTTCACGACGCCGATTGCAGATGCTCTCACGTAGAGTTCGTCCTTGTCAAGATAAAGTAGACAATAAAGAAGACGATGACAATCGCGCTGACCATCCAGCACATGCTCTTGCCCAGCTGTTGTGAGGCCATCACGTTCAACTTGTGCATCGTTCCTGCGAAACTCGTTCCAAAGTCATTGAATGAATTCGTCTATGGACATCAAATTTTGGGATCAAATGGGGTTTAGAAAAAACGTGGCGTCACACGAGGGAGCGGGTCTATAAAGGAATAAGGAAGAAAGCTCCTTTACGTTTTGATCCAGGATCGTATGCTGGCCATGAACTTCGTTCTGGATATCGACGGTAATCTAGCAATTGAGGCAAGGAGCCAATGATAACAACACCCAAGGATCTTTTTGGTGAGCGGATTGGCGTCAATTGCTTCCTGCAAAAAAAAAAAAAAAAAAAAAAAAAGAGGAAGAGGGTGCGCTGTGTTACCTTATTCAAGGCAGACACTTTGGAGGCCAACTCCTCCATTCGCAGATCATTCTGTTGCTCGAAAAGTAATGCGGTCTGCTGTTCCCGATTGTAGGCGTTGTTGTTATGGCTACTGCTGGATGAGGCCCCAAAGAGGTCTGCTCGCGCCTGGTTCTGGTTCTTCCTATTGAACAAGTGGTAGGGCGTACGCCGAGAAGAGGGAGGTGGGGATTAGGAGCAAGTTCTGTTGATGAAGGCGAGATATGAGCACGACAGTGCCGTAGCGGGATGCAGAGAGAGTAAACTTGCCACATGGTTTAGGAATGAAAAGTGTGAGTTGTGGAGTGGGGATGTGGAGTAAAGTCGAGGAGGAGGAGAAGCCAAGTGCTTGATGCCAGGGAGATGTGATGAGAGAGACCGAGTATTTATTACACAGTGACCGCTGAACCTCCTTTAAGGTATGGCTGGCTAGTTCCTTCAGCCCATGCACGACTGTCACCGCGAACCATGACAGATCTCATTCCACTCCACGACCACGCAGCCCTCCAGAGCGCTCGATTCATCCGCCTTCTCGAATCCATCGATTACCCATATGAGATCTCACCGGAGGATGTTCACGCCGTCCTGTCCAGCCAGTACCAAGGTAGCGCTCAGCACCACGCTGCAGAAGGTCTTGATACCACAATCAGCTCAGCAGCACCAGCGTCGGCGTTCCTCGACTGGTTGGTCGAAAACGTCTCCGCAGAGACTAATTGGCCAGGCTACAAGCATACTCGTCAACAGCTAAATATCTTACAGGACCCTGTCGATGAAGGCGACAACGACGACGACGATGAGGAAGAGAATGCGTCCTTGCAACACCTTGACCAGCAACAATGGCAACTCCAGTAAGTAAGATAACCTAGACAATCATGACCACCCAAAGGATTTTTTTGTACGAATGTCTTCTAACACTTGATACGGTCTCCTTCGCGTTCCGCGTTCCCTAGAAACACGTTTGCGTCGCTTGAGAATGAGCTCTCGGATCTCAAGGCACTCGAAACGCTCTCCCTCGACTTTGACCGAACCCTCGACCTCGAGATCCACGATACCTCCGTCAAACTCGACGCCACCGCATCCAAACTCGCTGAAACAGCAAATTCGGTCTTTTCAGAATACTTGGTTCCCTCCCAATCCACCGGTCAAGGCAACGATCATGATCAGGATCGGGATCGGGATCGGGATCGGGACATGGATGTAGACATGGATCGAGAAAAGCCAACGCGTTCAAAAGAGACAGGGCGGCTCTTGTACCAGTGCCAGGAAGAGCTGTTACAAATTCAACAGCTTGATAAGACATTTGTTGAAAATATGGAGTTGCTATTCCGACAAGTCCAAGATACCATCCAAAGACCAACTTCCGCAACGCTCGGCAGCAGTGGCAGTACTTCCTCGTCTTCAACAAGATCGTCGTATAAGCCAACGCCAACGATGGCAACAATGGCGGGGAGAGGAACGGGGACAGGGACAGGAACGATATCTTCACACCTCCAGTGCCTCCTAGCCTGCAACCCTTTGCACGACCAAGAACTCGTCCGTCTCTGCTCAACCTATCGTGCCACCAAAATGTCTCATATCCGCGCCGTGGCCCAACTCAAATCCCTCGAACAAGAACTCGAGTACATGAAAGACCTCGACGCAGCTCACAACAGCACCTCAAACCAAAATGGAGACGACGATTACGACGTCGCAATGAGAGACCAGGACACGACGGGCGACCATAGGATGTATTCGCTCGCGAGCTCTCGTAATCAGATCCTCCAAAAGACACGCCAACAGGAAATCGAGTTGATATCCGTCCAGCGGGAAACTGCAAGGCTCATACAAGAAATGGACCAACTCCTTTCCGATCCTACCCCAAGACCCCCTTCATTAGCGGTGACAAAGCTTGGAGCCGGATCGGGTCTCGGCGGTCGAAATTCTTTACCCACCGCCATGTCTGTCGGAGCCGAAGACGACTCCGGTGCCTCTGGCGGTGTTCTCTTCGAGATCTGTGAGCGCATCGCGAGGAACGACATCGAACTCCGCTTCCTGACAGCCGCACACCGTGACTTTTTGAAGGTTCAAGGTCAAGCCCTTCAAGATCTCGATACCGCGGTCCAACATCTCCTGGATTATTACTGTCTCGGCCTCACCCTCGAGCAAACCCTCAACATCGAGAGACAGACCCTTCAGCAACAACGTGATCTTTTAGACGCTGCCGTCCAAGAAGCTCACGCACTCCAAAGTCAGTCGAAACACCTGCAACAGGTTGCAGAGAGTCATTCCCGGATACAACGGCGACAGAGTGCACTTGGTACAACGAAACGGGAACGGGATCCGAACGAATTGTTAGAGTCGGTGAAGCAGAGCCTGAACTTGAGGGAGCTCGTGCGTCAGGAGACCCAAGCCATGCAGGACTCTATCCTTCAGATGACGAACGTCAAGGACATGCTGGACACGCAGCTGTTGCAGCGGTACTCGAGTACCAAGGAGATCCACTTTGTACCAAAGACGCTTCACGCTCTCAAAGAAGATCTTGTAAAGCGTAGTCGACAGTTGCAGCACGATTACACAGTTCTGGACGACCAAGTCCAGCAGCATCTCATCCACAGCAAATCAAAGACAGCAACATCCTCATTAACAGCAAGCACTAGGTATAATCTTAATTAATAGATAAGAGCTGCCTTTGCAACCGCCCTCGTTTATTAGAGAGGGTTGTCCCCGATTGGAGAGAATAGTTTTAAAACCGGTCCTCGCGGTCGGATAGATCATCGTCAACTCTGCCATCCTCCTCTTCCTGTAAAATCTTCTTCTTCCTCAAATATCTTCTCCTTCTCTTCACGGGCCCCAAAATACATCCGACCACGACCAACCTCACGGCTTCAAAGATCAGGAACCCGACCAAGACCCATCCAATAAAATACCCTATTAACCTCCACCTTATCGTCACATACTCCTCATGACAGAATCCGCCCTCGGGTGAGAAGGAATACATCCCTGTCTGATCATTCCAAAACATCTGAAAATACTGTCCTAGCAATGTCGGCGGCGCTGTTTCGTACCACTTCTCGCTCTCGGGTGCATACGCCACGGGCTGAGTGCCCGTTGGATCAAACAAGAACGACGACCGACGTGCTCGGAGCTGGGCCATGATATTCTCCGCGGTCCGGTTGCCGTTCGTGTTGAGGATCGTCCAGCTGAAGGCACCCGAGTCTGGGTAATGAACATCGGTGCCGGTGATCAGGATTAGGTTGTTATCCTGGATGAACTTTAGTGAGATCGTGTCCAGGGTTCCGCCGTTTGCGACTTCGAATCCGTCCACGCCCATTTCGACGAGTTGTTCGCGGCTCGGGTGGTGTTGCATCCTCGGCAGTTGGTATCCGTACTCTAATGGATGTTAGCGAGTAATGAGCGTTAGAACTCTGTCTCCAATGGGCCCCGCCCGTCATTCGTTTCGAGAATTGACGGAGGCAGAAGGATATATAGAACACGATGACACGCCATGCTTCCTCATCCGCCTCACCTGTCGTGTTGCTCCAGGGGATATGATTGATGATCGCCAAACCACCCAGCTCATGGGCCCTCGCAATCGTCGCCCGGAGTTGGTCGTCTGTCGGCCACTTTGTGATCGCATAGTCGATCGTCTCGTTGATCCCGATCAGATTCATATGTAACCGGCAGCATCTGTTACAATAAAAATCCTCCCCTCCCGAGGGTGTCAGATTATCAGATAAAGGAGAGAAACGATCGTGCGTAGCGAGTAGATCATCAATATGCCAATTTGAAACAACCACTCCATGCAATTGACAATAAGGATGTACATATCAAAGACAAAGAAAAGGGAAAAGACATACGTGAGTTCCATGGCTGGGATGACCGTGATCTTGTCCGCATACTTCTCCAGGGCGATTTTCTGAGCGGCCAGTCCTCCCGCGACCGTGTTATGGTCACTCACCACCAGAGCGTTATACCCATTCGCTATATATCCAAAACAAAAATTGTCTGGTTAGCAAATCATAAACAGCATACAAATATATATTTAAATGGATAGTCCATCATCTTTTTTTTTTTCATTTTTTGTCTTTGAACTTACCGATATGCCACTTCAACAAGGTCTCAGACCCCATCCTGCCATCTGAGTACCTTGAATGCGAATGTCCATCCAGCAACACGTCCCACTGGTCCCCAAAGGTCTCATTCCACGGCTTCAGATACCCTCTCGGGTTAATCGGGGTCCAGTCAAAGTCGTTCACTTGCGCATAATCCAGTGATTCAGGCTGTCCCTCCCTGAGCGAATACATGATCGTCGACGCGATCAACACGGCGAGGATCCCGGTGAGGAGGAGCGCCCGAAAGAGCGGGCCCAGGATTGTGGAGCGAAAGATCTGGCGCTTCGAATGGTAATGTGGCAAGAGCCAAGGAGGGAGGGACCGAAGGGGTTGGGGGAAGGAGGAGACGTGAGCCTCGCGGTCGGGTGTGGAGAGATACAACTGGAAGGATTGTAAGGGTGTCAAGATGTATCTGTGGATGAATTGAGAGAATTTCGAACCAGGGTCGCGGCTGGTGTCGTCGTTGGTAGGAAGAGAGGCATTGGAGTGAGACTGGTGCTGGTTCTGGTTCTTGCGGATGGAAGCAGCAGGCGATGCTTGGGGTGGGAGTGCTGCTGGCGCTGCTGAACCTCGGTGGGAGAGCGAGACTTGGGAGGTGGATGGACTGCGGATGGCATGATTGTTGTTACTAGTAGGCGACTGGTCTTCCTGAAAGGTGCTGTGGGCGGCTACGGAAGGGCTCGTGGACTGTGAGGAAGGGATGAGCAGGATGTGGTCGCCTCCATCCTGGGTTGGCGTGGTCATTGTGTCTGTCTCTCCTCAGACGGTAGGGGCGGTGTGAATGAGAGGGCGGGCGAAAGAGATGAGAGGGATGAGAGGGATGAAGGGAGGGGCGGGGTGGAGCGGTCTGTCGATGAGCAGAAGAAGAAAAAGTAGAATATAAAATGGGCGAAGGCAGAGTGAGACGGTCCGAAGGGTTTGGGTAAAAATAGTCGCTTGTTTTAGACGGACCCGCCTTGGAGATCCCACGCCCCAATGCTCTCCCCATTGACCATCGACTCTTTCAATAAGAACTATCTATCTCCTTGACACATCGGAGAAAGCTAGAAAACGCCGTTGTTGTTTGTTTTTTTATTCGCATAGAACTTTTTTTTTTTCTCTTTTTTTTTATATCTACTTTTGCAGACGATACATACAGAGAGAACCGTGTATTCAACAGAATATCGCCCTCCACCATCCCACACCCCTTCTACGCGTTCAAGGGCTTGAACTCGTACATCTTCGAGTCCTTCTCAAACTCGCAACCGAGCTCAAACAGCTTCGTGCACGCCTTCGAAAAGTCTTCGAAGAACTTCTTCTCGTCCTTCGCATAGATCTCCACCCACTTCTTGAACTCCTTATCCTTCGTCAGCGCCATGTCCGAAGGCAGCATCATCAAGGACTGTGACTCCTTATCTTGGAACTGCTTCGGGCCATCCCACTTGCGCTCAACCCACTTGCGACCCAACAACTCGGTAAAGAACGCGTTCGTGAACACCGTTGGCGACGCAGTCCATGGTCCATCGAATCCAGAGCGATCCTTGTGGCATCGTCCCAAGGCGTGCGCGCCCAACAGCGCAACGATTTCTTGGTCGTTGAATCCCATCCTGTAGAACACATCGCGCGCGTGCTTGGGATCCGGGCGTGCTCCGTCTGGGAGACGACCATCTGGGGCAGCATCTTCCTCCATACCGTCCACACGGCCCGATCGCCACTTGATTATCGGTCCTCCCTACAATATACATCATACAATATTGATCGTAGTAAGCAACGTTAATCACGTCCACATGGTATGTTCACAGCAGATACAAGAGGCTCGGTTCGACTTTTTTTTTTTTTTTTTTTTTTTTTTTTTCGACTTTGACTTTGACTTACCATCTCCTGGATGGCGCAGACACCGGCAAGGGTCCACAGATCACCATAAGAGATATCTGGGAAGCGGTCCTTGACACGGTTCAGACGCTCACGCGCAATGCCCAACCCCGCGTTTGCGCCCACGGACGACTCGGACTTGAAGCGCATCGTGCCCTTGCTCGATCCTCCGTTCTTGGCGGCCTCATCCCAAGTACCGGAGGCGTGCCATGCCAGACGGACAAAGACCGGTCCATAGCTGCCATCATCATACTGATCGTCCTCGAGGAGCGTCGCGATATGGTTGTACACCTTTTCGTAATCTAGTGGCTCCGTCTTGGTCTTGCCGTCCTTGTCCGTGCTGCCGATCTCTGCGACTCCGGCAGCTTTTGCGACCTTGGGCAGGCCACCCTCTAATGATCGGTGGTGAGGATCGAAGAGTCTCTTGATGAGTGAAAAGAGCAACAATGAAAACCAGACGCGACTAATCCTTGTGACATGCCCTCCACATGCACGCATATACACACACATATAAAAGTTATGGCATTTTAAGGTTCTCCGGTTATGTCTCGGCTGCTCGGTGTCCGAGAGGCCCAAGCGTCATACAGTTCTCTCTCTCTCTTTCCTCTCGTACGTATTCGGACGCGCCTGATTGAAAAAGCATAAATGACCCTGGACACAACCTTCCCCGCATCCGTATCGTCATCGATTACGTCTATGCCGCGGGAGCCCATCCTCACTGACTGGAATGAATGTCACCCCAACTCAACCCGCGCCACGTACTCTTTTTTCTTTTTTCAACATCGAATGACACCCATTGTCAACGGATGCAGTTCGGTGGAAGGAATGAAGCGAGCGGAGGCAGGGGGTCAATACAGTTTCTTTATTCCTCTGGTCCTCCCCTCCCCTCTCCTTCCCTGTTCCGAAGCTATTCCTGATAGAGAAGGAGGAATCACTCACTACTCCCCAATGTCGCACACGGGTTTTTAATAAATAATACCTTGCCCCCCAACTGAAAAGCTCGATTGACTGGTTCAAGTTTGATTGACCAGACGACCAGACGACCAGACGTGTGAACAACCACCAAAAAAAAATGCATGGATGGAAAAAAATCCCTTTATGGTTTAAGAACGGATTGATTGGTAAAGTGAACAAGCACACAAAAAAAAAAAAAAAACACGAGATAGAACAGGTTGGGGGGACCGAAGGGAAGAAAAGCCATTCGGGGAACCGAGAATGAGCAGATGATGTAAAGACGAAAAAGAAAAGAAAAGAAAAAAAAAAGTAAAATGTGCACCGAGAAAAAAAATTCCCATGCGCGCAAAAAAGAAAGAAAAAATCCCCCTCCCCATACCATCCCCCATGAACCCGTTGCCTCCCCCCGGATCTCAATAGCAACAACACCCGAGAAGTACAGAGAGGGGCCCCAACAAACCAATTCATCAAATGACAATACATCGGTTCAGTAATAACCATCCCTCAAAAACGCGTCTTTTACATTTATAAAAATAAAAAATATAGAAAAATATGAAAGAGCGCAGCAGCATTTCCATGGACTTACGTTCTCCGAGGTAGTAATGGTATCCTGCAGCTCCGGCCCCAGCAGACAATGCCGCGATCACCAAGGTCGACATCATGCCGCCGCCGCCGCCGCCTCCAGAAGACTGCTGCTGGGGCTGCGCAGCATAGGTGCGGATGGCCGAGGAGAATCTTGTGGACGAACGAGCCATGGAGGGTGTGCCCACCAGCGCGAATCGCGCCGCGGACGTCAAAGGAGACGCCCGGAGGAGAATTCGAGGAGCAAAAGACATTTGTGTTTAGGCGAGTCGAGGTAGAATATAAAAGGGGAAAAAGACAAGATGGATGAGAGGAGAGAGAAAGAGAAGGTGTGGGAGAAGAAGAAGAAGAGCAGAAGAAGAAGAAGAGTGGGCGCTTTTATTCCGGTCCCACATGTCTTCCCCCCCTTGTTCCTCAATTGCGTACAGGAACACGTTTGTACTTGTTTTTTCCCCTCTCGGATCCGAACACGGCAAGCGAGTCGCAAGTGCTGCCCTCCTTCCCTCCCCTATATACCCCTCCCCCTCCTGGGTAACCCACCTTCGGACAACAACTCCCCGCGTCTCCGCAGGCATGCACACAACACATGTATCCACGCCAGGAGAATCGGGGCACAGGGTCGCCATCGCTACTCTTGTCCGCGTTCAGGCACCCCCCTCCCCATGATTGCACCTCCGTCCAAACACACCGCGCCCCGCCAATCGACCTCGGTTCCTCCCCGCAGGAACCGGATACTCAACACCCAAACAAAACACGGGTCCAGTCCTGCCGACTATTGACCGCCTTGCACAGCACTGACTTCGCCACCCCTAGATGGGCACACAACGCTTCTATCGCCTACATAGCAAAAAAAAAAAAAAAAACATACTCCACTGCGCAGCAGCCTGTTTTTTCGTTTGAAGCCGCCCACATTCCTCCCTTCCTCCCCTCCTTCGGAGCTCCGAAGGGGGGAGATCGAAACATTATCTTTAATCCTAACTCCGCTCCTGAACGCCTTCAAATAAAATAAAATATAAAAAAAACTGCCCGCGTCACATCAAACGCTTAAGCATCAAGGCCAACCATGGGCAACATGGCAACCACGGCAGGACATGCACACATCAAAGACACACCCAAATTTGTCTTCTCCCCCTCCCCACAAACACAGACACATACACCCCAACGGTCTTCAAATATTAACTTTGTAGCCATAACAACGAAAATATGTCAATATCTTTTTTCTTTTCTTTTTTTTTTTTATTCGCTCGTGTCCATGGATCCTATTATTCGTCCTTCTAATAGAAGCTACTTCTTCGACCAAATCTTTCTCCGTCGCTTCGCCGGATCCTGTTGCCGCTGCTCCTGTGCTTGACCCGCCGCTGCTGCCATAGCCGCCGCCTTCTCCAGCGCCTGACTAACCTTCTTCGTCTCCACAGGCACAACCTGTTGTTCCACAGTCTTGGCTGCCGAAACCAACACCTTCGGCTTGAATGTCGCCTTCTTGCTCGCCGGCGACGGCAACGATGGCGCATCATCATCATCCGAATCCTGGAACCGCCTCTCCGCCTCAATCTCCCACTCCTCCAACTCTTCCTCCTGTTCGTCTTGTTCCTTTGCCGGTTCTACTGTTGCTGTTGTTGGTGAAGCGGCGTTTGTAGCTCCTTGTTGTTGACGATGATGGTTGTGGTGATGGGGATGATGATGATGAAGATGACCATTGGGCTGACCCTCGTCGTCGCCATATCGGCTTCCTATCGTGAAGGCCTCCCACACTCGCTTTTTGTCTTCACGCGTCTGCTGACTGTCCCAGCCGAGTCCGACCTTGACCTGCTCCTCTATCGGTACCTCGGGTAGGTATTCCTCCAGCATCCTCAAATTCACCGGTCGGGACTCGATCTTTTGTGACAACGCAATCAACTCGGAGGGAGTCTTTGGTGCAAGCTATTAGAGCGATGGAGCGAGTGTATGCAGTAATGATCGTCAGCAAAGAGTCCTTAAACAATGAACCGGGTTTCCTGAAGTACCATCGATTGTTCCTTGCAAGTTGTTTCCATCCTGCAATCAAGAATCCAGATATCTCCACGGTGCGGATGAGCATGTTCATTCTATCGCTGCAACTCCAAAATTTGATCTTGACGAGGGTGCTGACTCTAATCCTGACGTTGAAGCCGCCCAAAAAAGATAACTCTGTATCCAGATATCCTATGATTCAACCGAAAAACGCGCCCTCCATGTCCAAACTAATCCTGCTGTACTCTCTATCTTGATCAGCTTCCATACTGGCTATTGGCTTACCTCCTCTCCTTTGCCGTTCAGGATCACACTTGTCACAAACCGCTCCGACTTCAACTTCTCATCCTGGGACGCCAGGTTGTAGATATCGACAAACAGACACAGGAACGGGTTCTGCTGAATCGGCACATAACGGTACAGGCAATGCAGCAGATACAGCGACATCACCCTAATCTCCCGTTCCTGGTGCTAAATCCATAGATAAGGAAAAGATGGCAGAGAAAAGGAGGTGCATATCATTAGTACGATGCCTTGTTGCTCTTTTCACAAGCACAGTGGGAGTGTAACATCCGACAAAAAAAAAAAAAAAAAAAAAAAAAAGAGAGAGAGAGACGATTAAAACAACGAATGAGATAATATTCCGCCATCACATGCACGTTCCCTCACGGCCCTCAAACAAACTGCACTCCCATGAAGAAAAATAATAATAATGCACCTGCATTCAACAATGGCGCCAATTCAAATAAGATGACTCTTTTTTTTCCTTTTACTTACCTCAGATGGACGACCCTGGGCGCCACAATTCTTCTCCAACAAGACCCTCAGACTCGACTGAACCGACTCGACTGCATTCAACAGATCCATGATCGCACATCCTGCCCGGAATTCCCGATCCGCTGCCACAGACGTCAGAAAATTGTTCCCCGTCCGCTGTAGAACATGGTCGAGATGGTTCCCGAGAAAGGCCGCAATCTCTTGCGATGGCACTGTGATCATAACTCTCCCCGTAAGCAGCCTCTCGCTCTCGTCTCTCGTTTTTCGTTCTTTCTCAAGTAACGTAAAAAGGTGCTCTAAGGCGATCTCGGGATCTCGGATTCTGCCCTTCTTATCGCCGTCGTCGTTATCGTTATCGCGATCGTGGTCGTGGTCGTGGTCGTTCTCGTGGTCCTAGGTTGTGGATGACGACGTTGCTATTGTCGATGCCGCCGTCGTAAATTACAACTTTGTTCTCGTTTCGAATCCAGGACGACAAAATGGGGATAGGACCGTGATTCTGAATCCGGAGATATCTTTCCTTCCGTTCAGAGAAAGATCTGATCTCGACTCACTGCTGAGACGTGTTTCTGTCCTGGGGGGATTATACGCCGAAATCAGGAGGTCAAACACAAAGTGATAAAATCGAGTCGATGTTTGAATTCCTTTCGTTTTTCTTCTTCTTCCAGATATAAAAACGTCGGCGTCCTGTCTGTTTTTCCTAGTAGCCATGACAAATAGAACAGAGAGAGAGGAATAAAGAAAGAAAGACGCGGGTTGATTAGAGCTGGCTTTCAAAGAGCAGATGCAGCAGTAGTGAAAGAAAGAGTGTTGTCGGAGAGAGACGGTAGCTGACTTTACCGGCTTAACAAGATACGATTGTGAGATGATGCGAGCAGTTGCTGGTTGCTCAGATGTAAACAAAGGCGCTAAGGAGAGCTGCGTTCGGTTTTTTCTTGACTGACTTGCAGCGCGCCCAAAAGGCAGAGAGCGGCACAGGAATTTTTTTTTTTTTTTTTTGATTCTGGATAGATTCCGTCTGTGCGAGGACGCCGAAATCGTGTACAAGTTCCCGTCTTCTTGACAAACAATAAAAAAAAAAGAAAAAAAAAGAAAAAACCGTTGAAAGTCTGATGGAAGAGAACAAAGAAAGAGGTAGAGGTGATAGAGACAGGAAAGGTGTGGTGGAATAGTTGATAATGCTAAGTAATTGGCAGTTGATGATAAAAAGAAACGAGGGTCAATTGAGAGAGAATGATTCAAGCCTTTTTGGCCGATATGAATTGGCGGCAAAGTGTGGTTGAAGATGAAAAGATGTGCCGTTGAAATGGTGTGTAAAGAAATAGAGAGAGGATGCTATCCTCTTTTTTTGTTTTTGTTTTTTGTTTTTTTCCTCTTGAAGAGAGTGCAGAATAGAGGTGTAGAAGCCGGTTGCAGGTCCAAGGCGCTGAAGCGGGACGAAGGAAACAAAAGGCGTGGGATGAAAGGGGGACAAAGCGCAGGTCCTTGGTTGGTTGATGGTTGATTGGCTAGTTGATTAGTTGGCTGGTTGGTTGGTAAAAGAACGAAAGAAAGAACGGAGGAAGGAAGGTGATCAACGGTGCCGGTGTTGATCCTGATGATTCCAAAGAGGCAGCAGAAAGTGATGGTGGAGCTGATTCAAGCGGTGCTGGTTCCTTCAGGACGAGTGCTTTGTCTACAGGGGCGCCTTTCTTTCCTTTCCTTTGAGCTCAAAAGAGACTATGTGTTTCCGGTGGCTTTCACACAGTCACCCGTTTCGCCTGCTGAAAAAGAGCCCAAGCGCGAGACTCGCGAAGGTTGAAGGTTCGTTACCCTCTGGAGTTGGGGGCTGAGGGGATATCCAGGTTGGTGCTGGAACCCATTGCACTATGGCATACCAACTGACGACCGTGCATTTTATTATTACATTCGTTCTACCTTGCAACAATAAAATAAACCGTGCCCAACTGCGACCTCTCCTCCTCCACAACCTCCAACCCGGCCTCCTGCACAATCTCCTCAATCTCCCTGTTCCAATAGCACCCATACTTATGCACATGTCGGTCCAATTGCTTCGCCTGCATATCCTTCATAAACCCCCAGCTACTATTCCCGTGCTCCAACAACAATAGTTTCCCGCCAGGCCGCAATACCCGCTTCATTTCCTTCAGCACCTGAACGGGATCCTCGAAACTACATAATCCGAATGTGTCGACCACGGTATCGAAACTCTGATCTGGGTATGGGATCGCAGCTGCATTCATTGTTTGGAAGCGAAGCTCTGTCTCGACCACCTGTGTCGGCTGTGCTGCTGCTGTCGTGGCTGTTGTTGTTGTTGCTGTCGCCATGTCTCCTGCCTGCTGCTGGTGCCTCAACTGCGCCCTCCGCTCCCCCTCCAGCTGTTTCCCCCTCCTCCGCTGATAATCCCATCGTCTCCCCAACTCACTCTCCTCGACCTTCCTCTTCAACACCTCCATCATCCCCTCCGAAAAATCAGAGAACACGATTTCTCCACAGCATCCTTTCGGATAATAATCCACATTCCGGCCCGTCCCCGACGCGATCTCAAGAACCCGTCCCGTCGCCTGTTGGAGAAGACGTTTCCGTCGACGTTGGATCCCGAGTAAATACTCGTGCAGACCAACTTCCTTATCGTATCCGGGGGCGAGTGTGTCAAAGATGCTTCGACGGACTGATTCCGAGGGGAGCATATCAGTGTCCTTGGCATTCGGGTCCGTCTTGGCTCCGGAAGGGAAGAAGGTGAGCGCGGCCGAGACACCGGTCGCGTAGGTCAGGAGACCGCCGATGATGAGCTGGGTTCGGGAAAACCGACTAAGAAACGACATTAAGGCAATGAGAGCGGAATGGAGTTGTCCTGTCCTGATGGAGGCTCCTGGAGGTCGAAGGATGATCCTGATCCCGAACGAAGAGCGATGAGCTCAAAGTAAAAAAAAAAAAAGAAAAAAAAAAAGGTTTTCGTGATCATAGTTTCGGGTTCGACGACTGTTATCAAAATTGGTGGCAAATCGATCACCATAGTACAGTCTTAGTAGTCTTTTGGGGCGGCTCAGATAGGCATATAGCCTCGAACACATTGCTCAAGGACACACATTCATGAACACCCCCTCGGTGAGTAGCCTCACCACATTCCCCCTCCCCCTTTTCCCCTCCATATTCTGCCTATATCCCAACGTTCTCAATGGTTTTGGTTCACTACTCACTTGTCATCTTTTCCAATAACTGATCTGCGCTAGAATCCCCCGTGGAATGTACCTTCCATCCACATCTCACGTAAAGCCGCCCAATTATTTTTTATTTTATTTTGTATCCGTCATATATTGCCTAAGCAAGCAAGCAAGCAAGCAAGCAAGCACAGCTCCTGCAATCGAACAACAATATAATCCCCCGATGCATGTACAAATGTTGTGTAAGCTGTATTCTCGTTTTTTATTATTACCAAAGATGCTAAACCAATTTAATATACACGTATATCATAAGGCTGGTCAGTAGGGGTAGCAGGAAAGGAAGGAAAAGTAGGCAAGATCAGCCCTTCTTTTTTAATAATGATGATCGTGTGTGTGTATGTGGATAAGTGTACTGGGTAGAGGTGTATGTAATGGGGTATGTGGGGGAAGGAAGGAAGGAGGGAAAGAGGAGAGGAAAGGAATTAAGAAACAACTAATAATGGGGAACTTTTGCTTCTAGTATCCATGCTGGTATCCACCTCCGACGTTCGAGTGTGCATACCCACCCTGGTTATATCCTCCGGCCTGCGAAGGAGCGTATCCACCACCGGCCTGCGAAGGAGCGTATCCGCCGCCGGCCTGCGATGGCGCATAGTCTCCGTGTCCATACCCACCACCGCCGCCGACCTGCGTCGCCGCATAGTCGCCATGTCCGTGTCCATAATTGCCATGGTCATTGTATCCGTGATCATAGCCATGTCCACCACCATATCCACCCTGATTATATCCTCCTTGGTCCTTGCCGGCAGCATAGTTCGGGTCATAATACTGATCATCCATCGAGCTCGGGAACGCAGTGTTGGCGGTGTACGGTGACTTGATCGCCGCTGGCTCTGAGGGCTGATCTCCCAACTGGCGCAGGTGCACAGTGTCGGACTCGTAGCTGCGGGGATAATCAGTATAGTCGTCTCCACGAATCTTGGACTGGAAATCGCGCGAGGGCTATCGACATTGAACGAAAAGAGAAAGATCCCATAGATTAGCATGAGTGCCAAAACAACAACAACAACAACAACAACCCCCTCCGAAATGCTCTCTCGGGTCTTGAGTCCGCTTCCTTTCTTTCTTGCTGGCGAGCAACTTACCGAAAGCTTCCACTTTCTAAAGACCCAGATACCAATGGCTGCAGCAATGACCACAGAGCCCACGACAATACCAGCCGTGGTTAGGTTTGCAGTACTACCGCTGCTACTCGATGAGGATGAGGTCGCAGCAGGAGGAGCGGTGGATGTGGTGCTGATCAGGGTTGATGACAGTGTGGTAGTCACGATCGGGGTCTTGGGCTTTGTGATGTCGGTCGAGGTAACAGGGGGGGCGGAACTCGTAGTGTTGGCGGCCGGGGGGGTCAGAGTGGCCGGTGTGGTTGGTGGTGGTACCGACGGTGCCGTCGTTGGAGCTGAAGTCGTCACTGCTGAGGTGGTTGGCTCATGCGTGGCTGTTGTTGTTGTTGTAGTAGTAGGAGCTGGGCAGAAGGGCGGGATGCATTGTGCGTTGACGGCGGAGCTGCATGCGAGCGCCAGTGCCAGGAGGAGGGCGATGTTCGATTTGATATGCATTGATTAGCGTAGGTTCGACAGACAGACAGCGGGTCCTTTCTTGAATAATCAAGCGGAAATTATATCCAACGGCTCGATCGCACTAATGGAAAATGGTCGATGGAGATAGCCCAAAACTGTTTACCGCAGAAAGAAGAGGGGGAAATGGGGGGGGGTGATGTTTAGTAGTGCGTTTTGTTAGTGACAAAAGAAAAAAAAAGGACGCCAAAAGATATTCCTCCCCCCTCGTTGCTCGCCAGACTATTCAGCCAAGTCAGATGGCCTTCTACATTCCATCGACATTGTTTTTGTCTGAAATAAAATGTGAAGCATTCAGTCAGGTGTAGCAACGACACGTAAGGAGGGGGAGCATAGATTGACATATCTATCTCATTCTGCCATGTTTCTATGCACACGATCGTCTTGAGCAGAGTTAAGCTGCTGCTGCTCCGCTACTGCTCGTTTGTTCCTGTAAAGCTTCGTTTCCCTCCCCCGGCGAAATAAAATATAATAAAAACGTCCTCAATGGCGCCGTGTAGAATTTCTCGCTTGGGCTGTCCGGGTGTGGGGAATGTGCTGAGTAAAATAAACTGCTGGTTCAATGCCCGCCCGTATTCTCTCGAGCGGGCACATGTAAGAGCTGGAAAAGGGATTTCGTACCTTGCAGAACGTACGCTTGACTGCGTGAAGTGTGGGGAAAAGCGAGGGGGGAGGCTGGACTCAGAGGAGACTCCTCGGTTGCATCAATAAAGTGATGAGGTGTGCAGTCGTGATTGTTGTAATGAGGGTGATTCAGGAACAGAAGAGGTGAGACAGGGCAAAGCGCCGAGAGGACCACTGCGACTTGTTGCACTGAATTTGCTGGGCGAGGGGGGGATAGCGACCAACAGAAAAAGAAAAGAAAAAAAGATGAAAAGATGGGGGCGGATGGGGGAGTCGAGAGGGATGAGGAGGAAAAGGAAGAGAGGAGAGAGAGGGAGAGCGAGAAGGCGCCAAAACACAACAACATTGGCCCAACTGTGTGTTGCGGGTAAGACGAACAGAGTTGAGGTGGGCCAATTTTAGAGGGATTGTTTGTTGTCTGTCTCCAGCGCTTCAGACACGCTTCCGCTTTTGCTTCACCGCAAACAAATGAGTGCCCTGAACCAGCATGCTCTCGTAAACCATTCTTTCGCATCCTATCCTATCAAATCATACCATCGCTCGTTGCTTGAGTAAACAACACCATCATCCGCCTCTCATCCACACACCACAGAACGAAAATCAGAGGGAGAAGGGCAAGTGCTACCTTCCTTTGCCCTGCGCCAGGGGCGCCAGCCAGGCTGTAGCGCCCATTCAGGACAGTTGCACTTCAAATCGTTACTCCCTAGCCCTCTCCGCCCGCCTCAAACCTTAGACGGCTCTCATCTCTCTAACATCCGGGAAAAAGCAATAATCTGCGGTAGACTCTCATGCTCATGCTCAATAATAATAAGGAAATAAGGAAAAAAGCTCGCATGTCTAGTTTATCGTACCCAGGATGTCAGGATGGAATGCTTAATTTTACTTTTTTTTTTCTCGCCCTTGAATTCCTCTCGTAAATACCCTACCAGGCTGGACGCTGTCGACTTCTACATCACTTTACAAAAAACATAAAAAATAAAAAAAGCACAGGAATGATTCGATTCGGCGGCATTTTTAGAGGCGTGCGGGCACATGTGCGACATCCCACCTCTCCCACCAACAAACAATCGCCGCCTCCTTCATAGTCCACCCTTCTTCTGAAAATGATACCTATATATTGCCTGTTGTACGACATTGCGCTTTTTTTTTCTTTTTTCTTTTTTTTTCATAGCGTAAAAACAAATAGCGGTCTTGAGCACGTTCTTTCTCCTATATCCACATCTGTTGACTTTCTTTATTGATACACATACCAATGGCGTTACTGTGTATGTTCATGGAAATCGTCTGGTGGACAAAACACAGTGCATCCTTCTTCTGTCTTCATTCGCTCTTTGTTATTCATGGTTCATTTTGCGATTATTTAATCTCGCCAGGACGAGTCCCTTGCAGTTTTTTTTTTTTTTTTTTTTTTTTTTGCCGATGGCTCAGTTCTCATAAACGTTCTTAGCTCTTGATTGCCAGATTCAATATCAAAGGTTACGTCTTCGTAGACGGGGCTGTTGCATCACAAGCGTGACAGATATTTCTCTCCCCCCCCCCACTCACCCCCTCTTGAAGGGTGGGAAGCAGATTAGAAAACGACGCTTGTTTTAGTAAGACTAGCAGCCTCCAGGCTCTGATAATTTTTCTTGCAATGATTCGCTATCCTATTGGTCTTTCGTCATGAGCAAAGCGCACGCTTGGTGTTTAATTTAGTGTAAGTCGCCCATGGCCCAAAAGTCCATTTTTGTTACTCACTGGACACAGCAGCCACAGTAAATAGTATATCTATGTCAATAGAAGTCAGTCAACTTTGCATTATAAATATGCCTTGAACAACCATTGAGTTCTGTGTACGTACCATGGGCGCAAAATAGCCTTAGATACACACTCGGCTCTCTGTCTGGATGAGAAGAATCAATGAAAGATGATGGATGGACTGAAATGATCTTTATTTTTAGAGTTTGAAGGCCCACAGCCCTAGCATTGACGCGTTTATCAAGCTATAACGTGTTAATATGCTGTTTTATTGTAGAGAACGAGCAAAGTGGACAATGGCCATGAGATTAAGAATACAACATAAAATTGATCTATGAGAGAAAAGAACGCTTTAAAAGGATCTAGTCGAGGTTCTTGTCGTCTACCATATTACTGTTCGAAAAAAAAAAAAAAAAAAAAGACCCTGACCTACTTCTTCATCATCTAGATACCAGTACCATCGTCAATGATTGTACCGTTGACGTCGGAAATGACAAAGTACTCCAAATCGTACGAGTCATGCGAGGTGTTCAAGGCAGCCCTAAACGACAGGATGTTGTTGGTGGCAGGTATGGCCAAGGTCAAGGATCTCTGGGTGGCACCGAGCTTCTTTGGGCCATTGTAGTCCTGGGTATAGCCTCCCAGGTGCTTGCCGCTGGTATCCTTGAGCGTCATGGCTGGGAGATGACTATCTGCGGCTTCCAAGCCACTTTGGCCGTTCTTGGCGGATTGAAATCGCACGCGGATTTTGGCGTTGGGGACCTCGTGTGGGTTAATCAAGCCTGCGATACCAACGACTAAACTCGCCCAGCCAACGATATTATCGACGAACAACATGGTGGATATAGGCGGATGGGTGAAAGAGGGGTGGATGTGTGGAAGGTGGTTTGGATGTGAATGAGAAGAGATTTACTGATCTGAAAAATAAAAACGTAATGACGGATCGAATGCTTTTATAGACATATTGGACAGCATCATACACTTTTTTCTTCGCTCCTTTGAATAATGTCCATTCCTCGATGCTGGGCTTCCCCAACGGCTATTGCTCACACCTCATGCAGTTGTACGGTCGAGTGTATGAGGAGGAAAGGTATGCTGGCATCCAGATGTGGGCATGTCTGTGCCACCGCACCACCTCACGCAAATCCCCTCGCCCTAGATTTCTTATTTCTTCTATGGTTTCCAGGCAAAGTCTTGCTGAGGTTGGATTGTGTGAGCGGGTTACCTGGACGGCGCCTCCTGAGCGGATTTTTGTTTGTCATTCATTATATTTAGAATCGTACTCGGCTCGCCTTTCGATCACAGCGCCCGGCTGCACGAGGATTGTCATAGCACAGCAGCATCGAATGTCTAGGCATGTAGCAGAACGCGCTTGTACCACGATTCTAAACGCTAATAAGCTATGCAACACTCACTTAATACATGCCTCTAGCTATACATGTATCTACCTGATTGGAAGGGAATATCTTTCCGGTAGCTTGACATCGGTTCGGATGTCTCAAAGTAGTACTTCCTTGGCGGCCATTGTGCATCCAAAAACAGTCTAGTTTTATACATGAATAAAGCTTGACTCGGGATCCCAGCTCGGTAGCTTATATCCTATAGGCTCCTGTTCTCGGAACCGCAACATAATGTAACACCCATGGAACTGACAAAGGTGGATGGGGGCAATCGTCTACTTGGAACGGGCAAGCAACGTTAAACCAGATATGCTTTCCGTGTGGGGTAATTCTGGAGACGCGACGTGGTTTGGGCTCGCGTAGCAGACGCAAGATAATCACGAGCCACTAGGGTCAATTGAAGTGAGTGCAAGTCTGTCCTCAACCTTAATTCGTGACATCCTCCTCGTCATGCACGGTTACTGTTACCCTGTGAGCCTGCTGTGAAAAAAGAATTCTCGTTATCCAGGTACGGTTTGTGAACGGCTTTATTTTTGTTCCGTATGATAATGTCATGGGGGTCTAATGAACATATAAAAACGAACCCTCTTCATCGTTTATTCATACAAACATACGCACATACACATACACAAGCACACACACAGACACCATTGTTGCCAGTTACTTTTCCAAGGCCTTCCATCAAGCCATTTCCCTTTTGAATTGGTACGCATTATAATGGATTACTTTTTCTTCTACTCCACATGTGTGTTAATTGTATCTTATTTATTTCCATGACTCTAGTTGCCATCGACTTTTAACGCGTCCAAACAATGCAGCGAATAGATGCAGGAGTCGTGGGTAACTTCGATGTCAATAATGCTATAAACTGCTCCAAATGTTGCTATAACTTGCCGGGAGAAGGCTACACCTTGCCAGGAGAAGTACCCGGGCCGGTCATCAACGGCACACACATGCTCAACGGAACAGACGTGATTCGCGTCTACCCAAGCCCAGTGGGCTACTTCCGCAACGATTCCGCGAGACCCATCTACATCCTTCCTTGTGCGATAGACTACATGGGTGAAAGTGTATACTACTACCAGCACTCTTCCTCGACCAAGCTTCACATGTCCACTGTGCTGTTCCTTGCTCTCATGTTGATCGGCTTGGTCCTTCCTTTATATCAATAAAGACGCATCTTCTTTTCACGCCTGGTTGTCAAACATTTCCTGTTGATGCTGTTGATGATGTTGCTGAAGTTGGTGGACTCATTGGCTATAGGTATGGTAGCCGACTGGGTGAAAAACTGCAGTGTATCCTGATCCGTTGAAGCATACCAATGTGAATACAATAAGGTAGAGACGCTTGACACAACCAATATCGCGAATCAGACGAGCTTGGGCATCAAGCACCGTGGGAGTCGTGACAGAAAGGATGACTGGAGAGATGGAGGATGAAGGCGATATTGGAGACCAGAGATCATACGATCGGCTGTTGGGGATAGAAACAAAGGAGAATTGCTTGCACAGAGGTGACAATTCTGGCATGAACTACTGTACTTGCCAAGTAGGATTATTGGAATGATAAAAAAGAACTTGTTCTCTCTTTTTTTTTTTTTTTTTTTTAATAGAATTTGCGTTCCCTTGCTTGGGTGAAGGAGTTATACACAATGTTTTTTTCGTAGCCATAAGAACCTTAAAATAATGGCCAGCAAACGACGCGCCTTCAACTTTTTTGCGCATGTCTAGGGAATGAGACCAGCTCCATCGGAGAAAACTATTTATAAAGACTTTTTTGCCGACTCTCATTCTTTGGCCCCAAGGTGCTCAATCATATCACCATCGCTCTTGAAATCGGATGCGGAATACATGGAGATACCGAAACAAAGTTAGTCCGCCAGAATGGGATGAGGACGGGGCCAGGGGTAAAAAAAAAGCAAAGAAGGAGGTTGAACCATATTTGACAGGGATAACTCACAGCTGTTCTTTCGTCAGGGGAAGGACGCGTGGTCTAAAAAAAAAAAAAAAAGGTAGGCAATACTTCCCCACGTGATGCATCCCTTGGACTTGACCATTCGTTTCCCCCATTCCTAACTTCTCGCCTTTTCCCCTTTCAATCCTCAACCAGCATCTACTTTTTTTTTTTTTTTTTTCTTCTTGACAGAAAATCCTCGACATCACAAATATATCAACTATGGTAAGAGGATTCACTCAACTGGGACAGGACACGGACTTTATCGACTGAGTCAAGGACAAGGAATCAGCATCAGGCACCAGGGATGCGTGGAACATCCTTTTTTAGAGGACCGCAGACGGACGGGGATCGCGTCTTGTCAGTGGCTCAAAACGGCTTCCTTCACCATGTACTAATCCTACTGCTTTCTTCCTGCCAAATACTTTGATATCCGTGTAGGCAACCATCAACGAAGATCAAATCAGCGGTACGCAGCAGTTTTTTCACCTTTTGGATATCTCTCCCACCCCCGTCCTCTCCCAGCACGTCCTTCTCATGAAAAAGGAAAAAAGGACAGAGCGGAAACTCGTCCGCGTGAACACTGAATGGCTTTCGATAGAACGCATTGGAATACCACAGTTTCCGAGCGAGCGAACGTAACTGGAAACTTTTTTTCGCTGCTCTACCACTATCGATTCTGACCCAGACTTTCCCTCCCCTTGTTCCTCATCTTTGCCGATTGCAACAATAACAGAGTTCAAGGAGGGCTTCAGCTTGTTCGACCGCAAGGGCAACGGAACCATCGAGGCATCCTCCCTCGGCGACCTCCTGCGCGCCATGGGTCAGAACCCCACTCAGGCCCAAGTCCGTGATCTCGTCGCCCAAGCTGACCCATCAGGTACCAACCTTTCAAACCCCCTTCTTTTTTCGTGAATGGGACACTAAAAGAAGACAACGGCAGCAATTGACACCTTTTTTATTTTATTTTTTTCTTGGCCTTGGTCTGGGAAATATAGGCTCGAACCTCATCAACTTTGACACGTTCTTGAAGGTGCTGATGCGTCCGGACGGATTCAAGCCTGCGGGGACATACCAGGAATTCATCAACGGCTTCAAGGTCTTTGACAAGGAGGGCAACGGATACATCTCTGTTGGCGAGCTGCGTTATGGTAACGTCTTGACTTTTTGCCGCTCACAAAAAAATCTGATGTCATTGTTAAAGAGAGAAAAATCAGGGGAAAAAAGAAAAAATATGGTAAACTAACGGTTTCTGCTACTTGCTACTCTTTTTTTTTTTTATAGTGCTGACAAACTTGGGCGAGAAGCTGACGGATGCCGAGGTCGATGAGCTGATAAAGGGCGTTGAGACCGACAAGAGCGGAAAGGTCAATTACGAAGGTAATGTGGGAATCCAACCATTCTTCATTCTGCTCTTGAACTCATACATGCACACTCGTATGTAGGACAGAGTGGATGTTTTAAGACCACAAAGCGGAAGAGCTGATCCCATTTCTTTTTTTTTTTTTTCCTTTGTTCCTCTCGATATCCTTAGATTTCGTCAAGATGATCTTGAACTCGTAAACATATAACCCCTCCCCTCCCTCTCTTCAGAATTCGATTATTTTTTTGTTCTCCTTTTCTTTGTCGCCAGATTTCCGTGCCGTAGTGTCTTTGTTTTTTCTTTCTCATTCAAAATGTATACCTAAAAAACCGAACTCATCATTCAACGGATTCGTCGGGACTGTAAGGCACATAAGCAAACCATTCAAAAACTCCAACGAAAATAAAAAAAACTGTAGTTGCGAATACGACAACGTTTCTGTCGATTGTATTTAAACATTACTTTATGCTCTTGGATGCTAGAAAGACTTCTTTTTTCTCCTTTCTTTTTTTTTTATACAACGTGTATGAGATGGGAATGTAAAAAGCAAATTATGATAGCAGTGGAAAACGAGCAAAGAAAGAAAAAAAATGCGTTATGAATGCATGGGCGAAAAAAAGGACAATGGGCATCATGCAAAAGAAAAGAAAACCAAAAACCCCCCAAAACCCCCAGTTAAAAAAAAAAAGAAACCTCTCCCGTCTATGGATACCCCGCATACCGGTACGGCTCCTGCTCACGGTCCAGATGCGGACGTTCATGTTGTAGTGGCTTCTGATCCACCTCCACCATCCCCAATCCCAACTCCACAACAGCCCCTCCAGCACCCTTATTATCCTCGACCGACAGTGGTCCTCCAAGGTACCGCGACGGAGGCGTCACCGTCGCACGGGTATCCTCCTCTCCATCCGGAAGGCTCTCGCCATCGTCGGGCGCAAGCGTCGGTGGTGTGGACGGATTCGATAAAGAAGTAGACGTCTTTGTCGATTTCTTGGATGTGGATGAAGATAATGTCGAGGGCGACGAACTTGTGGACGAAGACTGGGATATCGTCTTCTGGGCCTTGACTCCATTAGATCTTATGTGCGATACATCGGACGAAGAAGAAGAGGGCTCGACCTTGACCTTGACCGCCACTGACGGACGACGTCCACTCTCCAACCCCGGTCGTCCTACTGCTATTGCCGTTGCTGCTGCTGCTGCTGAATGGTAATGTCCGTTTCGGAGCGCCGTGAGCATCTGGATATCATTGTTCTGTGCCTCCGTCATAGCCGAAACACGTTCTGACTGTGGAGGCGGCGAGGATGACAACGACTTTGCCGAGATCGGAGGCGACGAACTCGAAGAAGAAGACGAGGAGCCCACGGAATTAACGAGCGCCCCTCGTTGCTTGCTGACCATGCTCACTACCGGATCCTTATCTCCCTCTCGAGACTCGTCCATCCCCAACAGGATCGCGGCAGCCTCCATCAGCTGCACCTGTTGGTGTTTTGACAGAAGAAATTTGGTGGCGCTCTATCGTGTCATTCAGGAGAAAGAGAAGAGGAATAACGCGCATTAGGGGTTTCGCACTAACTAATCGTACTTTTTTTTTTGCCACTAAAAAATAAATAAACTACTTCTTACCTTCCAATACACAGAATGCAACCACCGGTGCTTCCACAAACAGTTCGGATGCTTATACACCTTCCCACAATCCATACACTTGTGCACCTCCGAAGATTCCTGCTGCTGGTGATGCTTCTTATTCACTCCCGCGCTACCACCACTACCGCCACCGTCCTGACTACCCGCTCGCCCACTCCGCGCACCATCCTGCTTGATCTCTCCATCATCCTCATCATCCTCATCCTCCAAATCCACGACCATCCCCTGTGACGATGCCGCCCGAGACCGCACAGACTGCGCAGACTGCCGACCGCTTGCTGGCCCATTATGGCTCTGCAGGTACGACCTATCGTCCCTCTGCTGTTCCTGCTGCTGTGGCTGCTGTCGTTGAGACCGATGACTCTGCGCGTACACATGCTGCTGTTGGTGGTGCGGGTGATGAAGATCAGCATGCGCAAGACGCGATCCAGGATGTGACCCGTGCGCAAGATCATAATGTGGTCCAGCACGTTGCTGTTGCGACGGGCGTCGACCACCATGCGCGTGCGGATGTGCGTCGCGCGTATGCAGATGTTGCTGTTGCTGCTGTTGCTGCTGCTGCTGCTGAATCTGGATCGGGTGCTGATGCTGTGAATGCGTCCTCGAGTGTGACCTATGCTGAGGAGGCGCCTGATACGGATGTCCATGCTGCTGTCCCGACGAAGGGCCATGGGTCCGACTAGGTCCGCCTTGGGTCTGGATCTGGGGAGGGGGCGCGGAGAAGGTCGAATGCGCGGTGCTCCCGCCAGAAGAAGAATTGTTTTGCGAGTACTGGACCCCATAGTGGCCCTGATTGTTCGTTGAGGGTGAGGATGATGACGAGATCGAGGGTTTGTTGGTGATAATGGGTTTCAGGGTGTGATCCGGGACGTTGGGATGAGATCGGGAGTGAGAGCGTGAATGAGAATGGGGCCTGCTGGGATGTTGTTGCTGCTGTTGTTGCTGTTGCGGTGGTTGCTGTTGATGGTGTGCTGGCGGTGATGATGGTTGCTGCTGGTGATGGTGATGGTGGTGGTGGTGTGGTGGTAAGTTGAGGTGTTGGTGTTTTTGTGTCTGTGGTGGGGTTGGATAATCAAATGAAGATTCGGGCTGTGTCACCATTCCAAAGCTTGGATGGCGCGCGTGAAAATGGTCAAGGCTCTGATTATGACTTTGACTACGGCTTCGGCTGTGCGAGTGCTGCTGTTGATACCCATGCGATTGTTGGTGTGGTTGCTGCTGCTGCTGCTGCTGTTTCTCGCGAGGCGCATTGTGGGGTGCATTGGCGGGATGCAATGTTGCTGCTGCTGTTATTGCTCCTCCTGCGTTTTGCACTTTCCCCTGTGCTTTCCCTTGTGTTTTTCCTTGTACCTGTGCTTGAGCTTGTACCTGTGCTTGAGTTTGTGCTTGTGCTTGTGCTTGTGCTTGTACTTGTGGTTGTACTTGCGACCGTGCATGAGGCGCATGCATGTGCTCGTGATCCCCGTGCAGCTGTTGAAGTGGTTGAGACTGTTGCTGTTGTTGTTGAGGATGAGGACCTTGTTGCCGTTGTGTTGGGGCGGGATATGGTTGCTGCTTCTGTTGCTTCACCATCATGCCAGGCGGCGGGTCGACTGGTGCTAGAGATGATGCCGAGGTCGAGGAGTAGGAGCGGGCGTGGGAGGGGCGAGAGGAGGCGGCAGTTGGTTGTTGCTTTGGCGGAATGTTTTGAGATGACAGCGACGACAACGACGATGGCGATGATGGATATGGGTGGCGATGGTTTGGATGGTGCTGTTGTTGCTGAGGATGATGCTGTGGGTGGTGGTAGGGATGGGAATGATATGGCTGTGGATGATGGTACGTTGGCTGTGGATGCAGGCCAGAGGAGGAAGGAGGGGGAGGGACGGTTGGTCCTGAGGGGGATGAAGAGACCATGGGGGGAGGGGAGAGTGGGGGGAAGGGATGGACGCAATAAAAAAAAGGAAGAAATTGAAATCTGAACTGAGGATGTGGATGGGGATGGAAAGGAGGAGAGCACGGAGCAGCTGTTTTATGAAAATGGGTTGCTGCTGCTGCTGCTGTTGTTGTTGTTGGTTGTTGTTGTTTTCGGCTATTGCTGCTGCTCTTGCGTGCGTGCTCAGGAGGATCCTCTCTTCTCGTTCTATGAGTAAAATCAATGGATTGAAGGGATGGTTCGAGGAGGGGTGAGTGTGCCATTCCACTTGTCCTGTCCCAGTTTATGATGACAAGGAGATTGATCGACAGGGATGAGAGGAGACCCAGCCATCCGTGTTTAAAGATCTCTTCTCTTTCCCTCGCTCCCTTCTCTTCCTTTGCCGTCTCCCGTATACTTTGTCATCCAGATTGCGCATGGACTTTGAGGACCGTTATTGCATACACACACAACAGACATCGACAGGACCCACATGTCGATGAAGAAATTATATTTTTTATAGAACGTGGTCGGGTTTGGAATAAAAATGGTCGCACAAGAATATATGCGGCATGGTCAGACTGCACTGCAACGGGGAAAAGCAAAAGAGAAACCTTCTCCTTTCCCTCCGACGAGCTGTGTGCCCCTGACCCTGATCTGTAAGGAGGCGCGACGGTATGTCGGTATCCAACATAGAAATGGGAAAGAAGACGAAGAGGAGAGAAGGTCGTCGTCTTACTGAACTACTGCAGGAAAATAAAATAAAGTTGTGTGCTGCATCCTCTCGCAATTGAGTTTGAAAAAAAAAACCGGCCGCATTGGGATATATAGTAGATTCGATATGGGACATGAACATAAAAGTGCTCCTTCCATCGGACTCTTTTTTTTTTTTTTTTTTTTTTTTTACGAAACCATGAACATATCCAATGAGGCATAAAAAATAAAAAAATGATCAACAAGGAAAAAAGAAAAAAAAAATCTCAGGGCTCAATGGAGTGCCTCTTTTCATGACAACGTCTAAGGAAGGCATGGCCAGGGACCACAAGAACCGCGATGTGAAGAAGGGGAGAGCACATAGCTTCAATATATCTCCAGAGGGAAAGAAGGCATAGTTATTCAATGTATAGAAAAACGCGTGGTACCTTTACCCTTATTCCTTTTGATCAGGTCGCGGGTCGAAGAAGGGAACTTTGTTCTGCAGGAATGGAGATGCAATGGATTGCCGGTATTGTAGACTATGCAGAACAAAGTAGGGAAGAACGGGCGCTGGCGATGAAAAGGGCAAGGTGTAGAGTAAGCGGACGAGTGTGAGAGAGGAACGAAGATGCCGTAGTGGATAAAAAAAAAAATTATAAAAAAAAGGTTGTGTGTGTTTACATTAGACCCTCGTCAGCTTCCCCCTTCTCCTTGCGTGGGCAGAGGTTTGTCTTTCATCCTCAGAGAATTGGTTGCAATGGGATTGGACGGGAGGTTTGGCTGTCCACTGTCTCATAACAAAATGAATGGGGGACGAAGGTTGGTGGTGGAGATATAAAAAAAAAAGGTCTGCAGGATGTATCATAAGGATGTACCACAAACAACAAATACAAAAAAAAAAAAAAAAAAAAAAAATGCAAAGAACATCAATCCCAGGGATGTATGTAATAATACCCTTTCCCCCAGCCCTACCCTACCCGACCCAATCCAGCCCTGACCCTGACCAGGACACGCATCCTGGTGATCCTTCATAGTCCTGTCCTTCCTAGTCCTCTCCATCGTTGTCAATTGCGAGCGGTCGAAACTATTTGAGAATTGGTGGCAAAAGGCACGCTGTACCATACCTGTTCCGTATTTTATTCCTGGTTCTTTTTATCGTACGAGATATATGGCCGGGTCGAGTGCAGAGGAGAGCTTGTGGATGCTCGAGAAAGATCAAAGAAAAGACGGTGTAGACAAGGACGGAAGAAAGGTGTTGCGTGCTTGCTTCCTTGTGTGGTTCTTGGGTAGGGAATGCAAAAAAAAAAAAACTAAAAATATTTTCTTTTATGTCGGACAAGAAAAAAAAAAAAAAAGAGATGACACTACGTGTTGTCTTTGTCAGGGTTCTTCCTAAGGTCGTTGTTGGAGCAGCGAAGGCAAGGAGGAGAAGAAAGAGGAAGGGACGAGTGGGAGTGAAGGGACGAGGAGGCGAAGGGGAGGTGAAGAGGTGTGGAGAAGAGCGAGAGCGAGCTGTCTGGTCTTGCGGGCAGGAATATGGAAACAGACCCTGGGACTATGGAAAAAGAGAGTCGAAGGACAACAATCAAAAATGAAAACAGAAAAAAAAAAAAAAAGACTGCCCTGGTTAAGGTTTCGTTCTCCGATCCACGCCCTGCTTGTTCTTTCAATCGACCCTGTCATTGTCCGCCAACAACAACAAAGGCAACAAATAGGTCCTGACCCCAGCACACGCCCCGCCTGCACGCCACCCACCACACGCAAGTACAGAGAAGTATGTGGCCGGACCGTAAGCAGCGCACGAACCATACCCGCGGCACCCACTACTGGAGTCCTTTCATCCTTCTTTCCCACCCTCCCCTGTGTCTCTCCCCCCGCCATCACAGTCCTCCCCCAGGGCACGATCTTCTCACTCCCTCACTCCCATGTAGAAAATGCCTCCTCCCCATCCCCCTCGCTCGCTTCCACCGCAGATGGATCGTCCACGGGACCAAGGCCCGTCTAGACACTTGAAAGAGCGCGTTTCGATTTGGTGGCAATGGAACATCGATGTGTCGCTGGCTTTGTTTCATTTGTCGTTGCCATATATGGCCTGCCCGTGCCAGGATCGCCCTCGCATGGATGAGACACTGTGCAGGAAATATAAAAGCAATACACAGACCATCTTTCCCTCTCTCTTTCCCTCCATATCACCACACACCCCATTCTCATCCCCAGCATCCTCATCATCCACCACACACATACCATGGCCAGCGAAGGATTGAACCAGCACCGCGAAGGACTCACCACCTCGCACCATGACTGGACCATGATCCAGGTCGGACAACTCGTCCAGAACCAAAAAGTTATCACAATGTATGCGCATTTTATTCAACCTGGCCTCATTTTATTTACTTTTGATCTTTTTATCACTCAACCATGCATTGGGATCATGGCACCATGCTAACCCCACAAGGACTTTATCGCTTAAATCCATCTTAGTGATGCCAACGCTTCGGTCGAAGATGCTTGCGAAGTACGTAGATGGTCGCCTGCTTGACAACCATAATGTTTAAAACTCCGTTTTTAAGATTCCTTCCTTCGAACATCTATCTCATCGATATATAGATCCTCACGAAACACGGCATCCGCTCAGCACCGGTCTACGATCCTGAGAAGAAGATGTACGTCGGCATGTTTGATTACAGCGACCTCATGACCTATATTCTCTTGGTCCTCAAGAAGATGAATGTTTCCGCAGAGGATCAGACCATGGAGATGCGCGATTTGATCCAAAGGGCGAGTCACAGCCAGAATGTTCCCGTCAAGTTAGCGGCTGGTAAACAATCACCTCTCTGCTTACCTTTCAGGGGAGAAGAGTTAAAAAAAAGACGAACAAGGCATCGTAGGACGTGGGAATGAAAGGGATGATAACATCTTGACGTTTGATCAATTTTTACTAGATCTTTCTGGCAAGGACCCATTCTGTACCGTCATAGCAGAGACACGGCTCGGGGCTGTTGTGAACAATTTTGGCACGGGAATCCACAGAGGTATATACACAATGTGACATCTGCCTCAAAAGATAAGGGTTGTTCTACTGGCTAGGCATGCATGGTTTGACCACCTTTTGTGTAATCGACACCGGTAGTTGCTGTCATGGACTCTACAGGAAACCTTGCTGGAATCTTGTCACAATCTTCGGCATTGGACTATCTGATGCGCCATGTAAGGTTTGATATGGACTTTTGAAAAGACAGTGCCTTTGCTTTTGCATTTGCTTATTGTTATTATTATTATTATTATTATTATTATTACTATTATTGACATGAATTTATAGTTGAGCGAGTTTTCACAGCTTCAGCCAGTCATGCAGCAGACAGTAGGTTCAAGCGCTGATGCATATAAAAGTCCTGATATTTTTGTTGATATATTCGGCTAACAGTGTTTCTTCTCCACAAAAAAATGTAGCTTCAGCAGCTGGGTCTTTCAAGTAGTAAAGTATTGTCCGTGCAGGGAGACGCACAAGTCCTCGAGGCATTAATCGAAATGAGTAAGTGTTTTATTTCATTCGACAGGAAGGGCTACTGTAGCATTCTTTCTATCAATACATAACTAACCCTTTACTTTTTTTTTTCTCATGACTTTGTCTTCGGTTTCGGATTCTAGGCAAATATAGCGTCTCATCTCTGGCAGTGCTTGATGATCAAGGTGTCTTGCTCGGTAATATCAGCATGACGGACATCCAGGTAAGCAAAGCTATGTGTGTCTTTGTTTTCCACACTAACGAAACGATTGAATTTTTTTTCTCATTTGCTCTTTCTCCTCTTCTTTCTCCATGTCTAATAGCTGATCATGAAGGACCTGAAGACATCATGGTTGTGGCTCAGCTGTTTCCAGTTTGTGTCAAAGGTCAAGATTGCACAGGGCATGGAGGATGGCCAGGACCAATATCCGGTGATGGATGTGAATGAAAAGTCAACGTTCGGATACACTCTGTCGAAGCTGCAGGCAACCAAGGTCCACCGACTATGGGTCGTGAATGATAAGGGACTGGTTGCTGGTGTGGTCAGTCTCACGGATGTGTTCAAGATCCTCAGTACCCTTATCGATTCGTGAGGGCAGACTGGAGGGCGGACAGGAAAAGGGAAGTGGGAAGGCTGGCTGGTAATTGAACAGGCAAACGGCAAGAAGGACAGCAAGCAAAGCGAATGAGAGCTTTTTCGCGAGGGAATACTTCGATAGTTTGCTTACATACGGTTTGCTTACTCAGTTTGTGCAGGAAATAAAAATATCCGCTGCGATCACTTCGTCATCTGCAACGGCAACTCCAAAAGCGCTCTCTCAAAAATTTTAGCGGATGGTGACCAATACCAAGTCCGTCATGGGAGAGGAAAGCGCATCAATGCTAACCAGATTCGTCCCCTGCGGAACAAACAATGGATACAGTGAAGGTCTCCATAATCATCCTTACCCCTGGGCCATGTTGTCACCAGCCGGGGGCCATGACATAAGTGCTGCACACCGCCCCGATACCATACCGATGCCATGGGACTGAAGCGTGCCCTGCCATTGGCGGCACCTTTCTTTCATCTTTCCTTCTTTCTGTTTTGCTTGTCGCTCATAGTCCAGCTCCTTTTCTTTTTTTTCTCGATTGCTTGTCTCTGCCCTCTTTGTCCATCCACTTTCACACTTCCACAGCCACCCTTCACACCCTCGACTCGCTCCTCCAACCCTCACCGCGTCTTTGCTTTGCATTCGGATCTCTCATTCATCTCGGGCAGCTGATTCGCCACTCGATTTCAGGCACCAAACGACGACATACGCACGTTTCTTCTCCCGCCCTCCCCCCCCCCCCCCCCCTCCCCCCCTTTTTTTTCTTATCACCTGGCCCTTGCAGCATTACAGCTGGTCAACAACTACAGCCTTTTCTTTCTTCGTTTTCTGCTGTCATCCTATATACCTGGCTTCCTTTCTTCCGCCTCCTCCTCACATTCCCTCACTCTCGCACCCTCCCTCTCTTTACTACACACAATTATGATGCGTCCACGCTCGTTACTACAGTCAAGGCAAACAAGGATATCCTCTTTAACCCCACAACACATCATCTCAGTGTTACAACGCCGACATCTACGCCATATCTCCCTGGTTCTCCTCCTCTCCGTCCTCTCCACAGTCTCTGCCAGCATCACCTGTGCCCTTCCTGCAGGAGGCACCTACAAAGCCGGGGACTCTGTCATCCTCGACTGGGGTTCCGATGGTACCTCGCCCGTGGTCTCGGATATAAGCTCGATCAACGGCACACTCTACTGTAATGCCAACAGTGCCAAGATTGCGGATGTCTCGATCCCGAACGTGATAGGGCCCTACAATTGGACGATTCCGAGTGTGGGGAACGCAACGACAATTGGAGGGGATGTCGGTACCTGTGCACAGAACGCGTTCCATATCGAGTACTCGGGCGAGGCACAGGGGTTCCTGGGGATTGTCAAGATCCCTTGGGGGCCTGTTCGGTGTGGTACGATCACGCTCATGCCGGCGCCGAATGGAACGATTACGACCACGACTACGACCATGTCCTCGACCACGACAACGTCCACACCCACGGCTACGGAATCTTTGGGCAAATCTGATGGAGGGGGCATTTCGATGACCGTTATTGTGATCATTGCTGTGGTATGTGATTGTCGTGCGTGAGAAAAAAAAGGAAAAGAAAAAAAGCAAGGGCAAAGGAACGAATGGCATTTTCAGTGTGTTAACGATGTGGATATCATGGCATCTTGTGCTTGCTTCTTTGATACTAGGTCGCTGCTGTACTGGTCACACTGTTAATTGTCGCGCTCGTTGTCTTTGTGCGGAGACACCGCCGGCAACGGAAACTGGACAATGCGTTGATGCCCTGGAATGCGAGCAGCAGCATGAACCGATTCTCAAAGGTTTCATCCACAGACGACGACAGCGGACCCGGATCGCCCAGAGCCTCAGGACCTGGTGGTCATGGTATGACCTCGATTGCTGGAGCTGGAGCCGGAGCTGGATTAGGAGCGGGAGTAGCGGGAGCGTCGACGTCCTCATATGAACTGAAGCCTCAGCCGACGATACCCCAGTCCAGTCGTGGTACTTATTTCCAGGATGATGGCGATTTTGGTAATTATGGATACCACCAACAACAGCAACAGCTTTTGCAGCATCAGCATCATGGGTACGGCCAGCAGGGATATGACGGTTATAATGAGGAGGATGCGTACTATAATCCATACTATACCGGCGGTGCTGGTTTGGACGCTGGAGAGACTATGAATCAAAGTAATCCTTCGTTCTACAGCGCGCGTCACTCGAATGTGCCTGGAAGTCGAGTCCGATCGTCGTTTGCGCAGGATGGGTACCAGGGCGGGGACTTGTCTCAACAAGAATATCCCATACATCAGCAGCAGCAGCAGCAGCAGCATACGTCTGCGTACTTTCCACCACCTCCACCGACATCAGGACCGATGAATCCTTCACCGAATTCGTCGATGCAGTCTTATTCAAGAGCTGCGGCGGTGACGGGCGCCGGGTTGACGAGCACAGAAACGGGACACTCGGCGTTGACGTCTTTGCCGATGATGAGCTCCTCGGCGACGTCGTCTCCGAAACGGGCACCGCAGACGGTGGTGATGCAGGAGATGGGGCGGAAGGAGGCGGAGGAGGAGGCGACGAAGCAGGAAGTTGAACCGTTGTCTCCTTCCATCAAGGTCGAAATAAGCAGCTAGTCCCAGTCGTACGTTCCTTCCATACCCAGCCTTTGCTTTTTCTCGTATTCACCCTCCACACATACTCCCTCTTTCTCTCTCACTCATTCATAATGCACATAATATTAAATGTACAAGTTTTCTTAGTCTACCTAGAACCATATAGAAATGCTCTGAGGCGCGCAGGGGACCCTTGCATGCACAGATCCTTTTCAGAAGCACATGCATTTGTGCTTTAAATGTGGGTGTACTCTGTACACGCAGGAGCCTCGTCATTATGAAGGAGCCCTGGAGGAGCCCTGGAGGCGAGAGATAGAGAGCAGCAGCATCAGAGAAGAGCTAAAAAGCAAAAGAAAACACACCTCGTTGCTCCCCCATCCCTGCTCACCTCTGTTCCCCTCGTCCTTTCCTTCCCTCCATCCTGATTGTTAGTTGTGAAGTCGTGAGGCTGTTTACTTTACTGGACAGACGGAGCGGATCTAAATAATGTCATCTTTTTTTGGAGAGGGGCGTAGAGGAAGAGGGGCGTAAAAAAAACAAACATTCGCTAAACCAACCCCGATGATGCTTGCTTAGGTAGACTAATCTCCACTGGTTCGCGTAATAGCTCGCGCGTTTCTCATGAAAAAGTTCCGATAGTTTATTGCAAATAAATCTCATGATCGGGTCCACCATTGGAATGAAACGCCCATGGGGGGGGGGGGGAAGGGGGATATTCCAAAGGGGAAAAGCCTAGCGGGTTGATGTCATTCATAAGCATTATTTTTTTTGTTCCCGTTGTTCCTGTCTTCAGAACCCATCCATTGGCATACAATGCGATGCAAGATGGGCGTTCTTGGAAGCGATGCTCACGCTGGTTTTTATTATTACTAAGGTACATGTACTATAGTTTTTTCTTTTTTTTTTTTGTAGTGTGGTATGGTGTGGATGCTTTGATGACGAACAAAGCTCCATGCGAAATGAGCGGTTGAGCAACGAGAAAGTGAGAGAGAAGACGACCCATTTCGCACAAATTGTTTTCAGTCCGACAGGGGTTTCTATACTTTCATTAGCGTCTTCTTCCAACCTGCCTCGTGCCTTCTGCCTTCTGCCTTCTGCCTTTCACCTTCTTCTTCTCTTCTCTCCCCCTCTCCTCCAGCCAACTACCTCTGCTCCTCTTTAATATTCGTCTTCAACCATAACAAAGTATTCGGGGGTTGACAACGCCTCGCACACATCTCTTTTATTATTTTCCCTAATTTCTTGTATCCTTAATTGTCCATGCTCATCGAGTTACACTACATTTCAGCTACATAAACATAAATCTCATGTCCTCCACACATTCTCGCACCCACCGCTCCATCCTCCCCTCCCCTGCCACACTCCTCCTCTCCTCCTTCGTCCTCCTCTTCTCCTCCCTCATCTCCCCCACCCACGCACGCATCACCTGCCAATCCCCAGTCGGCTCCCACACCGTCGGCGACATCTTACCGCTTCAATGGTCCGATAACGGTGCCTGGCCCAAATCCGCAGATGTCTACTCTGCAGACGCGGACGTCGTCTGTTCCACGGGCTCAAAAACGATCTTGACGATCCCCTCGATCACGAACGGACAGTCGTGGACGATCCCTCCAGAAGTTCTGTCGGCGGGGTGTCCAGGCAATAGAATCCGGGTCGAGTATGGAGGGAAGGTGTGGGATGTGTTGCACCTGTTGCATGTCTTAAGCTTCTCAACCAAATGTGAGGACATGGTCATTGCAGAGGCTGTTACGACCACGACTACGACCACGACCATAATCACGACAACCACACCAGCGACAACGACGACTTTGTTGACCTCGACTATTGGGACGACGACGATGACGACGGCGACGACAAATGGGTCTTTAACGATAACTTCATTAACGACGGCAATGCCGACAACGACAACGGGGTCCCCGACGCCGGACAGGAACGGCGGCGGTTCCTCAACGACGATCACGACGACCTCACGACCAAACACTGCGGCGATCGTCTTTGGAATTCTTGGCGGGATCGTCCTCATTGGCCTGGTGGTCTTTGGGATCATTGTGAGCAAACGGCGGAAACGTCGTATGGAGGAACAGAAATGGTTGACGCAGGAAGCACTCAACCGTGCAGGATTCGGTGGCGGTAGTGCTGGGGCCGTTGGAAGCTCGGTCGCGACATCCGCCGGTAGAAGGGCAGGAGGAAGGCCCTCGTATGAGGATCAGCTTGGATTTTACCGACAGGATCCTGTTCCTGTAGGGAAGGCGCCTCTGCCGAGTCAGGAATTCATCCCCCTGACCCAGGCACCGGCACAGCATAGTCACTTGGGGAACGTTCCTATGATGCAGGAATACAACCATCGCCACCAACATCAACTTCCACCACCTGCAACGCTCTCTGGACGGAGTCCTCATGAAGAGCAAAGTTACTGGCCTCCTACATCTGGTTCTGAATACGAGGTCCCTCCACCGCATGGATTCCATACCTACGCCTCAGGACCCTACAACAACCATCATCACCACCACCACCAACAACAACAACAACAACAACAACAGCAATATGACCAATTTCATCCTGCTCAAGATCTTCGCGCCCCTGCATCCATCGCTTCACCGGCGCCGGCACTGGCACCAATGGTGACAGTGGGATCAGAGAGCCCAGCGCAGGGCCTGATGGCGGTGGCAAGTCCTCAGCCAACGAATCGGGATTATTATCAGCGCATGCAGAGTCTGGAGCTACCGCGGCTCCCGCTTCCACCCACGATCACGGCCCCCGGTACACAGCAGTAGTGGCAGTGGCAGTAGATAGTAATGAAGCATGGCATAGGCCTGTGGCGGCTGGGACAGGGATAGGAGCTATGGGGCTCAGGGGGGCTGTGTTGATAGGAAGGGTTTGAATAGGCAGGAGGATAATCGAGCTTTAGAAGCAGCGTAGAAAAGTGCTACTAAAGAATACGAGAACGTACCCCACATAGTCTACACATGTATGATCATTATTATGATGAAAACAATCCAAACAGTATTTATTCTTGGGGACGATGTCTACGGCGGTAGTTTGTGAACCAGTTATTTAGTTGTCGCTCAGTGATAGATGCTTCCTTGCAAAGTTCAGACTTCTCCTTTTTGCTAGGAAATGGATGGGCCGCATGGTCGTCGATCCATTTCTTGAGAATATTGGTGTAGTGCAGTTTGAGCTCGCGTCGGACTCGGGGATTGTTTGTCGATTGGAGGTCCAAGTCGTTCGTGCCACTCTGAGCAGGTATCTCGCATGGCATGCTTTCGAGGCTAGGATTAGGCGCGTTTTTCAGTTTCGCAAGCATTCTCAGACATACTGTTCGGTGTTCCATGTTCAGACTCTGGGCCACTCGCAGTAATGAGATGCCATCCCCGTCTAGATACAGAGTCGCCTCTCTTCGCATGTCGGTATACACTAAAAGGAATCGCTTGCGATTGCTGACCACAGCTTCGATAGTGTTTTCTTTTTCGAGTTCGCCGAAGGACGCGAGGAGATATTCTGTGTATCGGTGAAGGTGAGATGATGACAACATTTCCAGGTTTGGCCGGCGATCAGCGCCGAAGTCTTTTCGAACGTGCACTTGGGGCGCTTGGAGAGCAGTTTTGCGAGTAGGAAATAACATGCTTTTGTTGGAAGACGTTTTATTTTAGAATGTGAAGTGGTGAAGAGAGGAGTAATAGAAACCAGATCTTAGAGAAACCAGATCTGAGAGAAACCAATTCAGGACGTATGCGCTGACTTGAGACAGTTTATGTCAATCAGTGATCAAGCTTACTGATGCTGCGCCACAGCGTCATTCCAGGAGATGTTTCGTTGGTTCAACTTCAAGCGTCCGAATACCTGCTCCATGTCTACCTATCATTAAGAGTGTGAGCATTAGCCGTTTGTAATGAATTGAATCCTGGGCCGTAATATGATTGATGAGTAAGAAGTATATATGAGATAGAGGCTCGCCTTCGCATTGTACCTCAATGTAAGTCGTATGTGAGTTTCAGAACCGCGCAGTGTATAGGCTATACTTCGCCCTTCTGGGAGTAGAGTATGAGAGAGGCATGCTTAGTGAATCGCTATACGCTTCTGTTCAATAAAACTTAAGACCGGCCCATCTCCGAGGCAGATAGCCTCACACGCGAGCGTCTTGAAGCACTTGCGGCGCCTTTAGTGTGATCATGACAAACCTAGAAGCGGTAAGCATCAGTGATACGCAAGTGATTGTCCGTGTGGAACACGTCTGAGGGGGATGTGTTGATAAACAACGTCATCTTATTACATTTCAAGATGCACTGATGAGCGAGAACGGTCTCGAAGGACAAGTCAGACTGGGTCCGAGCTAGTGATGGATCTTTGCTGATGTTCGATAGAAGGGGGATGAGGGGGGGAACAGCTGGACACGCATAGATGGCTGGCTGACAGCTGGATTTGCTTCAGGCAAGGATGTGCTGTGCTATACCATACTATGTATGCTCTGCTGCAAATGTGGAGAAGGATCGATTGTCTCCTAAAAGCGGCAATCGGTGTTGATATGGGGCGATGAAGCGGTGTCTGACTGACTCTTTCTTATCCCCATCGCTTGTTCCCCACTTCAGCTCTGTCTTTTTACACATCGAAATGCTGTTCCTTTCCATTGCAGGCAACTGATGTCCGAGCCGAGGGGCGCTTTAATTCTATCCCGTGCGAGGGAAAACAATAAAATAGATCATGCCACTACAGCTGCAACTCAAAAACAGAAATCAGACCAATTGGCTGCAAAAGATTGTGGTTTGGGTCCTCCCACCTTCCATGTGCTGAAGTGAACTGTAATGCAGACATCATGCCCAGAAACCGGTAAAGTGGCGGGGGATTGTCGTAGCCAACTTCTAGCCACTGCTTGCCTTAAAAAGAACCAGACAACCAACGGCCTTGGCCCTTCCTTCTGCTTTATGTGTGTCACTTATCTCTTTCGGGCGTAGGGCTGGCACAAAATATATTAGTCATTGCCGAAAAGAGCTGCACGAATTAAATACGGAGGGGAAAGTATACAGAAACCAAGGCAGGTAAAAAAAAAAAAAGCTCCTCTTAAACATGATTCATTTTGCTCCGAATGCGACCAAAGAACGCTGAAGTTGTTTTTGCATCTGGGCCAGGCCATCCTCAAGGAGGGATCGATGGACCTGAAAGAGCAAGATCTGCTGAGATGCAATCGATGCAACTGATGCATGTGTCGTAGATATGGAAGAGAGAGAGTCGGGATCAAAGGTGAGACCCCGCAGAGCAGCGCAGTCGGATGCAGCCTGGGCAGGGGGGTGTCCTTCGTCTTGCATGTGGGTGGGGCGCGGATACGGGACCGGGTGCTGCAGCTCCTGTTCATCTCTACGAGGGAAGTGGCATGTTTGTGTGTGTGGGTGTGGGTGCGGTGTACGTAGTGTGTACGTGTGTGGGAATCTCCACTGTTTATGCCTCCGATGCGATTTTTTTAAGGTTCGTGTGTTTTCCGAAGCGAGAGTCCGACAGCGAACACAATATTGAGCACATCAAACACTGGACACATAGGACAGGGACACTGGAGAAAACATCTGCCCCCTCCTCCTCTTTCCTCTCTTTCCTCTCTTCCCTCTTTTCTTCTCCCTCCTCACACTCATTCTCCGCACTTCTCTCTTCCTCACACCCCTCTCCCATCCACCAAATCTGAAGATCCGCTCAACCAGACCTGAATCTTCTTGATCTGCCCCATTCCCCATTCTCCAATCTCAATCGCGCTCTTGCCTACCATGGAACTCGCCGCCAAAGCCTGCCCCTTCCTCCGCAACTCCACCCCTTCGGCCCTTCGCTCGCTCTCCCAGCGTCCTGCAAAGACCGCCATGGCCCCCAACGGTCTCGTTCACATGGCCCAGCAATGTCCTGTCATGGGCAAGGCCATGACCGTCCAGGCGAGATCCGCCATGATGGCCGGTGGCTGCCCTGCTTCTGCTGGCGCCCGCCACTTCAGCGCCTCGGCTGTCAAGTCCAAGCCCGCCAAGAGCCAGGTCCTTAGCTATGCCTCTGCTATCTCCTCCAACGATATCAAGGCCTCCGTCCAGCACGAGCTCCACAAGGCCAACCCTGCCCCTGGTGCTGGTATGGACTGAATCGAATCTGCTTTGATCAATCCTGGATCCAAACGTTTTTTGATATATCGAACTCGCATACTGACGACCAATTCTTCCTTCTGATCTCAAGCTTGCCCTTTCAAGCCCGTGGTCCCTGTTTCTCATGTCGCCCCCACCGCCGGCAAGACCTTTGATTATGAGGCTATCTACGAAGCTGAATTGGACAAGAAGCACCACGACAAGTCCTATCGCTTTTTCAACAATATCAACCGTCTCGCCCAGCGATTCCCTCGCGCCCATACCGCCAAGATCGAGGACGAGGTCACTGTCTGGTGTTCGAACGACTACCTAGGCATGTCTAAGAATCCTGTCGTGGTCGAGACCATGAAGGCAACTCTGAGCAAGTACGGTGCCGGTGCTGGCGGTACCCGCAACATTGCCGGTAACGGTGCCTTGCATCTAGAGCTTGAGGAGGAACTGGCGTCTCTGCACCGCAAGCCTGCTGCCCTGGTTTTTTCGTCCTGCTATGTCGCCAACGACGCCACGCTCAGCACCCTCGCCCAGAAGTTGCCCAACTGTGTCATCCTCTCAGACGCCATGAACCATGCCTCCATGATCCAGGGCATCAAGCATTCGGGTGTGAAAAAAATGATCTTCCGTCACAACGACACCGCTCACCTCGAGGAGCTTCTCCAGACCCTTGACCCCTCGATTCCCAAGATTATCGCCTTCGAGACCGTCTACTCTATGTCTGGCACAATCGGCAAGGTCAACGATATCTGTCGCCTGGCTAAGAAGTACGGTGCCATTACCTTCCTCGATGAGGTACACGCCGTAGGCATGTACGGTCCTCATGGTGCCGGCGTTGCTGAGCACCTGGACTTTGCCGACAACCTGAATCGTCCTCTGGATAGCCCCGTCAAGAATGTTATGGATCAAGTCGACATCATCTCCGGCACTCTCGGCAAGGCCTTTGGTGTCGTCGGCGGCTATATTGCTGGATCGGCTGCCTTGGTCGATATGATTCGCTCCTATGCTCCCGGCTTCATCTTCACCACCTCTCTCCCGCCTGCCATTGTTGCCGGTGCTGCTGCCTCGATCCGCTATCTGCGCAACTCTCCCCACGAGCGCATCGGCCAACACACCAACACTCGCACTCTCAAGGCCCACCTGGCTGCTTTAGATATCCCAGTCGTGCCCAACCCCTCGCACATCGTCCCAGTTTTGGTTGGAGATGCCGAGATCTGCAAGGCTGCTTCGGATGAGCTCCTGCGCTCGCACAACATTTACGTCCAGAGTATTAATTACCCCACTGTTCCTCGCGGCGAGGAGCGCCTCCGCATCACCCCCACCCCCGGCCACACCGAGGAGATGATGGGTCACTTGGTCCGCTCTCTCGAGAGTGTCTGGCAGCGCAATGGTCTGAAGCGCACCACTGAGTGGAAGGCCACTGGAGGCCGTGCTGGTGTTGTCGAGGGTGCCGTCGACCCTGCGCCCATCTGGACAGATGCTCAACTGAGCCTTTCTTCGCAGGTTCTCGGCGCCACCAAGCCTTTGGTCGGACAGACCCTCGGCGAGTCTCTGACCAGACATGCTTCGGTCGCGCAGCTTTAAAGCCCAAGCTAGATCTGGTCCTCCTTTTTGTCACCGATCGTCTCAGATGGGTCGCATTTTGGTATCAACATATTCGCTTCCTCATGCTGTTCTCTTTGCAATTCTTTGTTATATTGTTCCACCAATGTCTGCCAGCCGTGAACTGCTATAATAAAAAGGGAGAGCGAATCGAATATGTTTTGTACATCTGCATGTGTGTACTGTTAATCTTCATGTATGTAATCGTGCTTATCCCTCATGGAAGGTTTCTTGTGTTTTGCAGGTTGAAGGCGGCTCAGAGTCGTCCAACGGATATTCATCTGGCGAGACCGCGATACTGCTCATGGGCCGTCAATCTGACCTCGTCCATGTTTGCTCTACATGGGAAGAAGAAGCGCGTCAGCCAAAGCGAGCATAATTCTTGCACGCGCAATGAAGTATGTATCCTTATCTACCGTTCGTACCTTCTAATGCCCACGCATTGCATCTGATAGCCACACGAGCCCTGGCGTGTTACGATTCCAACAATCCTCAAAATCTCTTCCTTCTCAAATCCGTACTGATGGACAGAATCATCAGCATCGTACATGCGACATTGCAACGTGTATGGGCTGCCGATTGATAGGCTCTTAATACGAGGGCCCAGAGACATTGCCATCGAATGCTTGCGCTCATACTCATGCAAGGTTGGATCTCGAACCATGAACTCCCAGCAGTAATTATGGTAGGTCATATCGGAAACCAGTGTCCCTTTTCCGTTAAGTAGACAGACACATTTGTTAATCAGTATAGGCCTACAAACGTATACATCCTGGTACTGCTGCCTCAAAGCCATGACATACCCACGACTTCGACAAGTGCCACCGTTGATCCCTTCAGACCAGGCTCCGGTGCTTCCGCAACAATTGATCCGTCTATAACATGGCGAATCGATTTGGAAAACTGGACTGATCTGAATCTGACCCCACCTGCGTGAACCTCTGCAGGATCGCTCGGCCCCTCAGTTTTGATGGTTTTACCCTTTGTTCTTGAGGATCTCAATAAATTTCCTCTTCCAGCGTGCGCGGCTTTGGCCTTTGGCAATCCTATGGATAGGGGTAATGCCATCAAAAATATAAACTCTGGTTACTGAACAGCGCAAATACTGAATGAGTTCGTGGCTGTGATTGTCATACACCAACACGAACGTGCCTTCAGGCACTGTCACGCGATTCTTATCGTCGTGGAAGACTTCAAACATCCCTCCGTTTTTATGATGATGTCGATATGGCAAGCTGGAGTCGCAACCTGATCCGACACCAGAGTTTGGGAACGTGGGCACGGCCTGTGGCGTAGACTCAGACGAGTGCATGGAGTCATCGAAGTCGTAAGATAAATTCACATCTTCGTCCAGCATCGAATCGTCCGGAAAGTACTGGCTCTTCTAAGAATAGGGGATGACACAGCATAGATGTCAGTACTCTATAGTTGATTCAGCTGGTACATGTACCGATAGGTCAATACACAACACTACACGTACCATGGAGAGGCCCATCTGGTAGTGTCGTTGTACAGCTTTGTTTGAGACAGGTTCAAAGAAACCATCAATGACAGTTTGTCGTCCCTTTGGTGGCGTATGCTGAGAGAAGGTGACCATCTTATGTCTAGCTCCGTCTCCTGCTCTGATAACACCTATTCCTTTGTAGAAAGGCGTGTTATTTACAATTCTCTAAGCTATAGAGCAACCGGACTCGGTGGCAATTTCTCATGTTTATCGTGTACACTATGAAGTTAATCTTGAAGCTCCTTTCAAGAACTATGAGATCTAACTGGCAGAATATTGAGCAAGCGATGTCTTTTGCGTACCGTAATGTGGATGAGGCTGAGGCTGGCTATCGTCCATGAGGACTGGTGCTGCGAAGAAGTTCAAATGAAGTGGCGGGGTAGAGAAGTGGAGAAGAGATGTATGAACAGTTAAAAATACGAAGGCAAAGAGTAAAATGGTTCCTGTACGCACATTTATGGTTCGACATCCGTGACGGGGCTCAACCTGTCGCACGCGTAAAGTTCTTTGTCCTGTTTCACCTTTCACCATATTTCAAGATATGGATTGTGGCACGTCTTCCTTGTCCCATCATTTGAACGTTTCTCTCTCTCGTCCTCTAATCAGCTCGCTTGCCATGAAATAGGTCCTCCTGATCTGGATCAATTGGCTCCCTTATTCGCACTCCTCCCCTTTGGCCGAGCATACATCATCTATCTTATCACCATCTTCTACTGTCGCACAGTTGCGCAAATTCATCTCTGGATATTCCTTCAAGGATTCATGAACTCTACGCTTAGCAACTTCATTGTGCTCGATCAAAATTGACACTGGACCTAAGATGCCGGCTGCGATGAACGTCCTGTACTCAGAAATATCGCCGATGTCCTCTCATGCGACCTTTCTGGATGATATCACGCAACAAGCAGAAAAGACCACCCATGGAAATGGAATCGGGCATTTAGTCTCTTCCCCACACAGCGGCCAGACTGTATTTGGATTGGACACCTCTATACTTTTGGTAGATCAGATGTCACAGCTCGATGTCGAAAATGTCCTACATCCCACCCTCGCGAGGAAAACCACCCATTCGAAAGGTCGCACCTGTAGTATCGGCATATGGTCTCCAGGATGTTCTCTTTCGGCGATCAAAAGGATCGGCAATTCGATCGTAAACGTGACCAAGTCGTCGAGCACCATTTTTCGTTCATGGTCGACCAATTTGCATACTCCAATAGTTCCATTAAACTTGAACGAAAATGTAACCGGTGATCAAGTCAACATACATCTCTTCACTCCTTCAGTAACTACCACATCTCAGGAAGAGCAGACTCCTTACAGTTCGCATACCAACGGCACGAGCGGCAGCATCAAGTCCATACATTCTATGATGCACTCAGTTACCAGGAATCCGACCTTCCATGCCTTGAGAACAGATCCTTGTACATCAAACGACGTACTCGCCGTTACGTCAGGGACCCGCGACTTTGTATCTTCTAGGCGTCAACTATCACTTGGTGGCGACAGACCATTCCAATCTAAAGTGTGCGCCCCACGCACGGTTCCCAGTTATGACCAGCTTGTGACAACAGTTGAAGAGCTTCATGCTGCCGTTGAGGAGTTATCAAAAAGGATAGCACTCATAACGGATCTCAAAGGCGTTTCTCGCCCAAGTTCTCATCCATCTCGGTTGGGGCGTGATTATATATACAAACCGAAGGCATCGGACGATGGTACAGTATTACCCCCCTCCTCCTCCTTCTCTTTTTTTTTTTTTTTTTTTTTTTTTTTTTCTTGCTAAGCGCTGTTCAAAATCTAGCACTGATCTGCCGCCATACAAATTATCTCTTAAAGACGAACTCCAACTTCCTGGCGAGAATATACATTCTACACAACAAGATCAGTCATTGTCGCCTCCTCCAGGCGAGTCGCCGTCCATTATTCCTAGGCAGCTAATAACTGGGCCGAATGTTCTTAGTATTCCGGCAATCCCACAATTTGATCCATTGCTTTGCTTTGAGTCAGCAAGGAGTGCCGTTGCCAAGACAGAGCCGTTCCTACTGGCACCGCCATCTACCTTTGAAGCATCGGCAACAGTATCAGCAGAGTTCAAACATACAGAGCAAACGTCCTCCAGAAAAATACCTCAATGCTTCACGAACCTCACTGTCGAGATCCAGCAAGTGTTGGAGTCGTACCGAAGGTCCCTATCTATACTTCTCTCACCAGTGCTGTCCCAATTCTTGGCACCTCTGACCCCACGGCTAACTGCAGGCCCATGTACACAATGGCCGATGGAAGGTGAACCTATCTCGCTCCCTGCTAGTTCAGACCAAACTGACGCAGCCCTATTTCCTCATTCGCGCCGCAGTAGCAGGATTATTGTATCGTCCAATCTGGAGTCGTATCTGCCAGGGCTTACGACCCATATGGGAGACGAAGCAGTTATCGACCACCCTGATGGAGACTTAGACCTCGATGTGCCTGTCAAGCCGTACCCCGATTTTTTTAGACACGATCAGGCAAGAGACGGCATGATACGCCAGAAGAATGTTGGCTGCAACTTTTACATTCCACCAGCCGGTGGCATGACAGGATCAGATATCCAAGCGAGGCTGGAGCAACTGGCGCGTCTTTCTGAGGAACAATTGGGTTCGGTACGGCGGTCGGAGGAGCATAATCACAATTTACAGGAGTCTGAGGAGCAGTCGTCCATAAACAAGTCAGCCTCAATCAGTCATCAAGAGTCAGATATCAGCCGTTCCAGCGTTCGCATCGGGGACCATCTCCAGGAGCTACATGGGTGTTCGCGGTCATATGTTAAGACACTTTCAGGATCCTTGGAGGGGTCGATGCATAATGTCGCCCAATGTCCTAAGCGTATATCTCGGCCAGATGTAAGCCATGAGCTCTTCTACAACGGTACGGTGGCCTCAGGGGCCCGGACAGCAGCTGAGAGAGAGGCGAATGATGTTGCGGAGGATAAAGTTGCTCCCGACATTTGTAATATCGAACCAGAACCTGCTTTTGCAGAGTGGAGCTTGATATCAACGCAAAAAAACCCATCGACTATCCCAACAGATTGCACACATCCGAGAGCAAATTGCTCAGTGGAACACCATATGCATACATGGGTGGAGTACCATGCGCCATGAGGAGATTTAGAGAAAGAGAATTTGAGAACCATCACATAATAATGAATCCAACACATTTTTTTGACTTGATGGCAATAAAACACATGCACTAATACATTTTTTTTTTTCATACCTGGCATTGGCAGGCATTCAAGTCTTCATCAACAACGTTTACACTTCGCCAGGGATATGACAACCTGCGAATTACCCGCAGAACTGATGACCTTGATATTGGCATTGATTTATTTACCAGAGACTACCAGGTGCTTAAACAAGGATGAAAACACCTAGTGCGCTATATCACGACGGTATCGGATTATTAGCGACTGACCAAACAAGAATATCTTTTTTTTTTTTTTTTTTTTTTTTTTTTTTTTTAATGTTTTCAAGTTCAATAACTAGGTGAGCTGGCGTTTCCAGTGTTTGTTTGCTGATGAAACTGTTCCACATAACTCTCGACAGTGACGGAGATGTGGGATTCAAGCGGCGCGACCTGCTTCTCAGAGGCTATTTGTGTGCTCAGTGGGTGTCGACGATCGCCCGAGGTCCGGTCGAGGTTGTTGCCGGACGACCGTCCATTACCACCGCGGGAGGTCACCCAGTGAATACTTATCGCGTTCAATGTCACGTCCACGGTGCAGGAGGCGAGACAGATCAGACCGCGCTCTTGACCCTTGAAGAGCACCAGCGTGAGTACGTTCGCTGTGCTGAGTGCCAACGCGACCAGGGAACCCATCAGCGTCCGTCGTGCCACATCGCGGAGCTTTCCCTTGGAGGGACCTTGGAGCACCGAGGTCGGGGACATGAGGGGACGGATGAAGAGTATGGTTAACCAACTCGAGATCAAGATGTCGTACAGGATCAGGGTCACGGAGGCCGGGGGCAAAAGGCCGATCTGGCATTGACCGTCGATTTGGAGTTCAGAGACACGGTAGATGATCATGAGACAGAAGATTCCGAAATACGGGAATAGCATAGCGAGGTTAATGCGGTAGAGCTGAGAAGCATTGGGAAGACGCGAAACACGCGGCTGTGTTAGTAGTGATTTCACAAGACGCGAGAGACGGATTGTAGAATAAAAAAAAAAAAAGAAAAAAAAAAAACCCCCCCTTACTGTAAATTTGGAGCGGGTGGTGCCGACGGCTGTGACAACGTAGACCTTCTCCATCAGGAACAAATAGATAATGATCTTGCTGCACGCATACAGGATGATGCACAAGTATATGGACATGGTGCATGAAACCTCATTGAAATTGTTGGTCTGCACCAACATAGCGGCCATCAGTGAGAACGACCACGAGACAATGTAGAGCGATACCACCAGGCCTCGCGCGTAGTTGATCGCGCTCAGTTTCGTCCCTGCAGTCTTGCGCCCGAACAGCACCGACATGAACGAGATGCATCCTAGTGAGATGAACAGCGAGAGCGATTCTGTTGTGATTGCCGTAAGCAATTTTGGGGATGGGGAGAACTCGTTAGTGAAATCGGTATGGAAGCCGGATGTGAGGGACCTGAATGGTCAACGCCCATGCTGTTTGGAGGGAGGGGAGGAGGGAAGGGGATTTGCATTTGTATCCCAGTGAATGTAAAGAACGTCTTTTATGCATTGGCTTGGTTTTCTCATTCCGCCCCTGAACTTTTTCAAACAAATAGATGTAAAGGCACCATCTGCATGATTGGGCAGCATCGCATGAAACGTGAAGCGCGCACCAACCAGGCCTGTCATGCTTTCTGTGCCATTGTGCGACACATAGACAGATGCTGTTAAGTAAAGCTGTCGTATAGGCGCTTTTGTAGGATTGAGAAGTGTTGGAACAGCGAGGCCATGACCGGTGTCTGCATCGTTTTCGAGTGGGAGAGATGGTGTGCGTGAGTGGTGCGATCAAGAGGGACTGAACGTTACCTTCTGGATCCGGGGTATACATGGTTACGTATTATCGTCTTCCGAGAGGTTTGAGATTAGTGTACTGTTGTATGGCTGTACGTCGTAAGATAGGAAGCGAGAGACGAGAATGGGCGCAGTCCGATGGTAAGACCCTGTTCTTATCGAACAGGTGGTGATTATGGCGGACTATAAAAGGAGAATGGTCGTCGTTCGAGTGGAGGGTGGGAGAAGGGTATGGAAAGCGAGGTGGACTTGAAAGAGACCTACGGTCAGCAAGAAGTAGGGAAAGAAAAATCATCAATACGATGGTTGGTGGTGCTGTCGATGAGGTGGCTACGAACGCCCAGGTAGGTGAATGAACTTACGTCCAGCATCAAAGAACTGCTAAAGGACGTGTTGCTGGTCGAGTGTGACGAGGGAGGGGCACCGGAGTGAGGGCAGGAGGAGTGTCGAGGAGAAGGGGGATGTGGGTAAGCGAGAGGACTCTTGTTTTAATTGTCGTTAGGGGCCCTTTGATAAAAAGAAAGAAGATCGAGAGCAGGATCTGAAAATTGAGAGAAGAGAGGTCTCCACTGAATGTGGAGGAGGGCGTCTTTTTATAAAGTGCGCACTAAGGGTACACCACGCAAAACAACTGAGCTTTTTTGTGTGTGTATGGCCTGAGTTCGCAGAGTGGGGAAGTGAGGGATGGACATGCACTTTTTCAGAAACAGGAAACAGAAGAGGGGGAGGGACTACCCAAAGACAAGAGATGGAGATAGAGCGTACTGCACCTGTAATTGCGGTAGGAGTAATAAGCGAATGGGGGTGGATGAGGTTGAGGAGAGAGTAAAGACATCGGCCCATGGTTCTCCTTGTCACCCTTTTACCCTTTTATAAGCATTTGTGCGCTGCATGCTTCTTGTACCGATACTTCTGGTGCCCAGTGCTGCCTGATGCTCGAGCGGGTAGCTGCCACTGGTTGTTCGCTCAGGAGAAGGGACAATTTCAAGGAGCATAGAAGCGTAACAGATCACAAGGACCTGCTATAACAGCTAGCAAACACATCCAAGCAAAGCAGATCACGGTAGCCTACGGTACGTATGGCAGCCCAGGTAAAGCCAATCGTTCGACGCTTCGAATGCTCGCCACGGCACAGGCAAAAAAATAATAGCAAATTACAAGGAGGACAAGGAGGAGGTGGAGGAAGAGGGAGGTGCCGGACAATGCACATCGATCCTAGTATTCGGCACATCGTCCGGACAGATGCAGACGCAGAGATATTTCATACCTACTGCTCACGAAGAGCGATTAGTTGTTCGCTAAAAACCTCCGTTGAAAATGAATTACAGATATTAGCATTAGGCGCCATGGTCAGCCCTCCTGCTGCCCGTGTGGAGAGTACCATTTCTATATTTGTTTGTTTTGTTCATCCGTTGACTTTTCTGCTTTACCCTTGAATAAACCATTTATTTGCACTTTTGCATGGTCGAATGAATCTGGCCTAATGTGCTTTGATCAAGCCCGTGGGGCCATTGGCGACCTTTCCTGATGCATGTATTCAGGGCCGACGTCCTAATTCCTCCATGTGCTAGTTATTGAGTCCTGCACGGCTTTGCATGGACATCCCATCTATATCTTAAAGTGTACCTAATCTAGATGTATGAATCGGGGTCTGGAACGCTTGCGTTGGCCCGAGCGAAAAAAGCAAAAGCAGAAGCAAAAGCCGACTTCTTGGGTTATTTGGTTAGCTAGATATTCAGGATATTTGTTGTGGATGAGGCACTAGATATATCGCTATGCAACATTCGTACATATTACAGCCCCCCCTCCTCCTCGCCCCTGGAGGCGCCCATTTATCCAGCCTGAATCTTGAGGGGAAGAACAAATTACAAATGTTCGAGCGGTGCTCAACTGAATGGTGCGTAGCCCGCCGGCTTTTTTGTATTCCTTTTCTTAAACTAGGATAAAGTAGACAAGTGGAAGGGAGGGTCCTATGGGGACCTCCCATTACTGCTAAGGAGAGGAGGGGGGTTTAATTGACAAAAAGGATATCTGGAAATAGCAGCGCCTCAGATCGGATTACAGCCCTTTCTTTTTGTTTGTCTTCTCTTCGTCCTCGGCCAGCTTCCTCCCAAAACCATTCTGGTCTTTTGCGCCACTGTACATTCTTCTTTCAAGAGCTACAGAAAAACCGTTGCATCAACAGCTATCAGGTGGCCCTCTCTGACAGTCCCTCCTGCATGATTGCTGTGAGGGCCAAGCGTGGCTCTGCTCCGAGCATATTTCTGTGCCTATGTTTGTCTAGACCTACTGTTGCAATCGGGCAACATATCCCACAAGTACACAGGGGTGTGTGGATGTCGGTAAGGTACTTCAGAAAAGTGAGAGCAGAACAAGGTCATCGTTGGTCACGGACAATAAGCAGGAGCCAAACTGCTCCTGTTTTTGCTACCGTTGGGTATGGCTAAGAATGCGTCCATCGTTGTTTCTGGTGAACACATCAGCCAGGCACCTCGTGTGCAAAGTCGCTATTGAGCCAGAAACAACCCTCGTCAACACCCCCAAAACCAAAACCAAAACCAAAACCAAAACCTCCCTTGGATGGCCCACGGGTCATCTGAGTTCGCAGGAGCGCAACCCCCGCTCATGTTCAAGGAAAACGGTAAAGTCGCGACTTGGATGCCCAAATACCCGGATGCAGCATCCATTCATTTGCCGAGCAACGTTCGTTGTGCCGTACACGCCACCACTATCGAACGTTTATTCAGACCTACATGTCATGCCAACGGTTGAGAGGAGTAAAAAAAAAAAGATGAATACGCGATAAGAAGGGACGGTTGTGCTCTGCTCAACCCCTCGCTACCCCTACCTCCCCTTCGTCCCGATACAGCACAGCACAGCACAGCACAGCACAGCACAGCACAGAGGATCCAGGTGATGTAGCCGCAACAACAAAAGACACCTGTCATAGTAACGCCTCCGATTATGCTACAGTGCAACAACGTGAACAAGCAGGTGCATCAATGCAGCGCCACACCATGTGTGGGTCCATTGCAAACAAAGGCCCGAGCGAGCCCCCCCTTCCCTCCCACCATCGGATTCAGATTGGACGACCCCTATCTATCGATCGCTACGACGTACGCGTTCATGTCTTTGTCGCGATATCCTCTACTTTCTTTGTATCGCATCACACAACATCTGGTGTACAACACCCCTGACAGCGTCCGAGGCCATCTCAGCATCTCATCAACCTTGTATTCCTCATACAAACACACACACACACACACATACAATGGAAGAAAAAAGTGTGCTCAAGGACAAGCCTTTACTACCACTTATTGCCTCTATTATACAAAAGTAGAAAACTGATACTAGAACCAACTCGGAGCCTACTGGTCACTATGAACAGTGAAATGTGTAGAGAGTGCTTTCGCGACCTCACGAGCCTTAAGGTAGGCCACCTATCCAATAATGTCCCCATGTCAACCCATTTACCATAACGTATTAAAATAAACTTCATGCCAAAAGACGATGGAGGAACCATATTTGATTCTAGTCGAGCTTTGATGAGACTGGTAGATATAGAATAGATGCTAAACGAATGGATGCAAGATGCAAAAGGTAAGGATGCGGACAGGAGTGAGATGATAGAGAGGGGGGTTATACATACAGCGGAAAAAAAAAAGATATAAAGAAGGTCGTCTAGGGTAAAGGGAAAAAGGGCCAGGTCTGATGTCGTGGGTCGTTGATAATAAGGGTAACTGGGGTGGTTGTTTGGGTCGTATAACGAGTGTGGTCTGCTTATTCTTCTTCAAGCTCGTCCAGCTCCTCTTCGTTCTCCATGGCCTCGCCCTGTGAAGCAACTTCGTCTCCTCTGTACGGCCCTGCCTGCTCATGCCCTTCGTCAGTCGTGGCCACAGCCATCGCACCATCCTCTGCCATCTCTTCGTCACCTTTTCTCGACGCGTTCTCATCCTCCTCCTTGCGCGCCTCCAAATCTCCCTCAGTATCCTTAACAGCTGGGATACTGTCTTTACCGAAATCCACCCGACCCTCCGTTGACTCTGCAACGGTCGGCGACAAAGGACCACCGCACTTTGGCTTCAACGTCAATCCGAAATCGTCCGAGACAAACGAGGCCATAACGTTCGGTGGGATCAGGATTCTCCAGCCTGCAGTCTCGACTCGAGTGAAGAGCGAATAATCAATTCCTTGCTCCTTCTGGTCTTCGAGCTCAACGTACGAGGACGCCTTCGCGACACTCAGTGCCTCGATCGTTGGTGACGCTGCCGTGGGCCCCTCCATAGGCACTTGAACCCCTAGGCCGATCTTCTTGGATGACTCACTGTCTAACCCTACAACCTGCAGGCCTCTCACTGAGCCGGAGTGCTGCTGTCGGACAGCATTGGTGGCAGCAGCAACTACAACGGTCGCGGCAACCTCTGCTGCGGTAGCGGATGCCGAAGCGCTATCCACGCTGCCTTCATCCTCATCCGCCATACCTGAAACCGAGTCTGCCCGGCGTTTCTTGGAAGACCCAAATGCCACCTCATCGGGCGATACAGAGCGACGTCTTCCGAGGATTGAGGTCGTCGAGCGCGTCAGAAGATTTGGCTGCGAAGCCGTGTGGCGCAGAGACCGCTGCAGTTGCCCTGGGACACCCTCGAGTCCCAAGAACATCGCAACACGAGAGGGTTCAAAGGCCAGCTGATGACGGGGCTGCGTGATTTCGATTACGACTTTGGAACTCTTGCCGAGACACATCGCCATAGCGTCCGATGTATCGAGCTTCGTGATCGAGGGTACAGTCTCGGTTTGGTCGGTGGGCGACATGGCGTTGGGGAAGCAGGTCAACTTGATCATGTTCCGGGACAGGGGGACGGATGCGGGATTTCGAGAGGCTGACACACTCGTGCTGTAGAGAGTAGGATGGGAGCTCAGCCGAGTAAGGGACTGCCCAGTGTTGGGCTTCTTGTAGCCCTGGTGCACTCTTGCATAGGGCCCTGTTAAGGTTGAATAAAAAAAAACAACAACATACAAACGGCATAAGCATGCTAGATCATGGTCTGACGCGCCCCTCCAGATCCATATTTAGACACTTACGGGCATCTGATTCCTCAGCTGAAAGATCATCGGGTGCATATGGATCCACAGCATCTGCTTCGGCTCGTTGGGGCTGCTGATAGTAGGCAGAAAGTTGTGAGTCATGATGACGCGAATACGCATGGCGGTTACCACTGTCGCTTCCAAGAGACATCATCGATCGAGAAAAGCGCGCCGGGTCAGTTTGCGACGTTCGAGCACCCTGGACTGCTGCGCTCTGGGGCATCTCCATAGAGTCCTGGTTGTGCGTTAGAGTGGACGAATAAGGCGACGTGAACATCTTGTTGGAGCTGTGTCGCATTGTGCTTGCGTTCAGCCTCTCGTACTTTTCGCAGTGCTGGTAGCTGAACTCGTCGATCTGGCTCGCACGACGGTCAAACTGATGAGCGAAAGTACCAGGAATTGGAGGGGGAAGCTGCCCGAATGAACGCTGGCTGCTTGGGTGTGGTTGACTCATTCTTCGCTGGTAATACGACGCAGGAGAGCTGGCCTCCTCATATCGGTTACCCGATCCAGGCAACAATCCCATTTGTGGTGTATCGGGCTGTCCTAGCGCATGGTGTAGCGGCTCGTGACCAGGCGGGGAGCTGGAAGTAGACGACATGGCCGGTGAGCGAGCATCACCTGAGTGTCCAAGAGGGGCCAGCTTACTGGAGGATGAAGGCTGCAATGCCGCAGGGTAGGAGAATCGTCTTTCCATAGTCTCAGGCCTGGGATGAACACTGCCATAGTATTGAGCCGACTCTCTGCGCATGACCTGACGTTGCGGAAGACGCTGTTGCAGCTGTTGTTGAGCCTGATACTGCGGACTCCGCGATGAGTAACCATGGCTAGCGTTGTAATGTTCTTGCTGCTCCAAATACTTTTGGTGACGCTGTTGACCGAAGTTCGGATGAGAGTGCGAATGGTGAAGTTTTTGACCTTGTCGAGTAGCTGCGTTCAAAGAGCTGGAAGAATGCCCTGTTGGCGTAAGAGCCCCGTGGCTAAAAGTAGAATGCGCACGGTAAAGGCGAGTATCGTCGCTCTCCAAGGGAGGTGTTCCCGGGACCTGAAGATGATTCGAAGGCGGCGGCATGGTCGACTCTTCATTGTCCGTCATGGGTGACTCTTTGCCAGCTGCTGATGGTCGATGATATTGTAGTTGAGCGAAAGGCCGTCGGTTTGATGCTTCCTGTGGAGAGCGCCGATCGTCGACGGGGTGGGGATGACCCCCATTGATATTCATCTCCTCATAGCTCTGCTGATTTTCTAATTCCATGGAGCCCTCGCGAGCTTGGCATTCACCGAGCTGCTGAGGTCTCCCTGTCGTGACACCATCTTCATTCTTGTGCGACGGTCGACGAGATGTCTTAGTCGCGTGTGGCGGCGGTAATGCAAGAATATTTTCGGAAGACCCGTTTGCGGGCTTGGCAGAAGTGGGCGTAGTAGAGTCCGGCAAGGTGTGTCCATAGACGACGCTTGCGATCATGTTACGGATCTTGGACTCGCTGTACGACTTGTTGCAGATGAGACTCATCGATACCGGGGGCCTGCACTTGAATCTTAAGTTGCCGTCTTGATAAGGTGGACAAGGAAAGGTTAGGTTACTATATTGTAGAGCATTGACCAACATCGCAATAATGTTCGGAGCCTTACCTGACATGCCATCTCGCTGGATTGTATTGCGAGAAAAGCACTTGGCACACGGGATCAAATTCCTGTACTGTTTAAACAATGCGATTGTCTCTTCCTGTAAGGCGGATCGGGGCAGGGTAGCGGTCATTGTTCGTAAAGAGGATCGTCTCGATGAGGGGGCTGTTACGCCACTGTTTGATGTTAGGGGTGCACTTGTTGGTGTAGAAGCTGTCATAGGCGAAGGCGTAACTGGGTTCGAGGTTCGGGAACTCTGACCGATCGAACCAGGGGATGTATCGACAGCCAGATGTGCTCTGCCTTGATACGGCGACGATTGAGACGTTTGTTCGTCCTCCATATTCTCTGCATGGGCTATCGAGGAGCTTTGCGTCGATTGATCCGAGTCGATGGGTGCCGCCTTGACGTTCTCGTATGTCATGACAATATCAGGGGCATTCATCTGTTGCGGTGGTGAGGAAGTAGGGGGGTAGCGGTCCAACGACTTTGACTTGACGAGTTGCTGAGGCTGCTGAGGCCAGGAATTTCCAATAGAGGGCAAAGAGGAGTGATGTGGTGCAGATGATTGGGGCCTAGAAGAATAGGAGTTTAATGATGGCCCAGATGTGAAGGGGTGAACAGGGACGTCGACAGCGTAATCCATGTCGTGGTTATCGTGCATGGGCGCGCATCTAACCATGCCATCAGGTTCATTATCCTTCGTTTGAGACCTCAGAGTATGATCGTTAAGGCCGCTGGGATTGATGCTCTGACGACTTATCATAGGAGATGCAGACTTTTGAGGAGAGTGTTCTGGCCTGGCACTGTTAGTGTCGGTGAGTGGGCTGGATATTGAGGGGTGCGGCAAGGCAGACAGCATGTAGTGGATGTGAGCGCGAAAGGAGTTGTTGGATGCGTTGGTAGGATCTACGGATGCGCGTAGGTGGACGTGAGATGAAAAGAGGGGGGTGAGACGTCGGGATGGAGTAGACTTTAAGCGTGTTAGATGTGTTTGCTTGAAGGGAAACTATGTAGAGAAGGGAAGGTGGAAATGGAGGTGGATCGAGGGTGCCTTTTAAATACGTAAGCCGAAGACAGAAAGACTGAAGGGCAGAAGAGGTGGGAAGAGAAACTAAGAGAAACTAAGAGAAAAGAACAGGCTGGTTAGGATCGGAAGAGGGGCAGAAGCTGGTTCGTCGGTCGGAGGGACGCGTCTGTGGGGGTGTGTGAGGACACTGTCCAATGTAATGCATGCAAATGATTGGAGCACAGACAGAACGGAGAACCAAGGATGTGTTTAATGAAACGAGAAGGGCTGCTCCGGGAAGTAGGAATGTAATCATCTTGGTATTGGGTAATGCCGCCGCCGGTGATGATTTAAGGGACCGCGCAGTGGAATTCTTTATAATTGTTCATGGCTGACACCACCATCGCCACCGAGGTGCAAGGCAAAGTATTGCGGTTCAAAGGTAAAACGCAGAAAGGAACAGCAACAGCAACGGCAACAGCTAGAGCACCAGCAGCATCACCATACGCAGGTAGCCCACGGAAGGTCAAGCATGCTAAGACATACATGCAAAGCTTTCAAAGGCCTCCCTATTTCTTTCCTGCTCAATCGGTGTCGTAGTTCCCTTGCATTCTGCTCACACCTCCCATTTCACCATACAGACGGGGCATTATACATATTTAAAAGCGGGGGAGGGATGACTGTATGCTCCAAGAAAGTGGCAGAGAGCCAAAAGAGCTTCAAGGTACTGTCACCGTGGTTTGAGCCCTCCTTACCTTGGGTGCCTATGGGCGTAGTGTGCATCGACCAAGAGTCTCTAAAAATATTGAGTGATGAAATGGAAGGACCTGGATATGAGCATGGAAGGAGCAAGGTCCCTGTTATGGTCTATTTATATTGCAGAGGTGTAAAGTGTCTGTGCGATGTCTATGCGAAGGACTTGGCGCGAAAGTATAGCGCTGTGCTAACGCTGGAAGGCAGGGAAAGGTATCTCCGCGCGCGAGTATGGGTCGTGCACTCCCCGTTCATGAATCGGGGGTTATTCACACATAGTAGAGCACATGCGGTACCCATACAAGGGCGCGGATCAAGTTACAGACCAACCACGCACCCCGGATCCCAAGAAGCAACGTGAAGGAGAGGACCTATGGAGAGGGGAGGCGGGGCGGATGGACAAGGAGAAGACCAAAAAAAATGAGAGCGCTGGTGGAAAGGAAAGGTGGATTTTAAAAAGGAGGTGTCCAGCCTTAAGCACGAACTGTCGAATGGTCAATGAAAGGGGACCGGGATGACGGAATGGGGCAGCAGCGTGCCTTTTCATAGAGCAACACGCTCAAACACCCTTCAGCAAAGACTGAAGAGGGAGGGAGGGAGGGGGGTATAATAGTGGATTGGGTTGGAAGGGATTAGGTTGGCCCGGTTAGAGAGAAAGTGGTCCTTATCAATCAGATATGTCTGAGTAGCGAGCACAGGATATGGCTACTTTTTTCTTGTGAGGATGCACGCGCGTTTGATGGAGATCGTCTCCGGAGAAAAAAAAGGTAGATGGAAGAGCGTGGGCCTTTGCGACAGGATCGAACGCGAGAGGATGGTCAGTGCTTTTTTTTTTTTTTACCTTTTATGAAGCCCGAATTATCTGGGACGCGTTAACAAAACGACAGAATGAGGTGTAAACAGTCTAGGGAAGTGCTCACTGCACCAATTTAAACGGTTGTTGCTGTGGCAAAGCAGGACTTCAGACAGAGGAATGGTCTGATGGATTTGGTTCGCGAAGGGCTCCTTGTTAGGCGGGGCTGCTGTAGAAGCCGTGGGATAGGAGAGGAGAACGGTAGGGGAGGCGACGATGGCGTCCTTGGATAGATGTCTGTATAAATGCAGTGGAAGCAGATCGTCTTCAATGACACTATTTCTTTTTTATTAAGCAGGATGGAGACTAGATATATATATACGCGTCTTGTGCCCCATCCCCGATAGCGGTCAGGGAATAAAGGCATAGGACCGTAGGGACGTGCTACGCGCTGCAAGCGGTGAGCAACGACTGCCACTTGCGTCGACACGAAAGAGGACCTTAGGTGTGCTCCTCTTCCCTTGATTTCTCTTGCTTTCTGCCATTGCCCTTGCCCTGACTATCGCCTAATCCCCCCGGCCTGCTATCCGCTGTCTCCTGCACTTTTGTTTGTATCTCTTAATATGAAATCCCCGCAGCAGCGTACGGTGCAGCAATACATGAGGTAATAAAGGGCGCCAATTGTCAGCATAGCACTCCTTTCACTCGTATAGGGCCCTTTTAGGGTACATAAACACAACAAGAAAACACAAGGCGTTATGGCTCGTGCGCAGCATACTTTTTTTGGTGGTGGGATGGATGCATTGCTAATTATAGGGGGGCTGGGAAAAGAGGGCATGTAGGGGGCAGGCGGACCGATTGGGTGCTTAAGCCATGGATAAGAGGAGACATGGTATCTGCCTTTCTACGACCCCTCAATCTGTATTCTGCATGTCCTGTGGGTGTAAAGGTGTGTACAGCCCCTTCAAACATCTAAGATAGCATGAGCATGTTCGGCATGTTCGGCAGGGTGAACGGAAGGAACTAATGGAGCCGCCAAATCCCACATTCTTATGCAAAGCACCAAAAAAAGCTAAATTACCACCCTTCCCCCTTGCTCAGATACCCACAGACGGATAGTGGATATGGAAAAAGAAAATCTTCCGGAGCCCAGTAAAGAAAGGGGACCTGCATCGCAAGGCCTTGTCGCATATAGTCCGCACGTGTCCCTATCTCTAAGAATACATTCCAGCCATGGGCACGAAGAATGAAAAAGCTAGACTAGGGTGCGAAGTGCCAGCCCCTAGATTCCTTGGCGAGGTCGTCTTCCGCTGGGACAAAGGCAAGAGCGATCCACAATTTCGGCTCATTCTCGGAACGCGTTTGTTTGACGCGACCAAAAGAACGACGCGTCAAGGAATGGCGTTCACGACAGAGAATGTGAGCCAATGGTGGGAGCACAAGGCTGGGTCTACAAGCAGGCCACATATGGCAAGCAGATAGTCATTGAGGTCGTTCTTTGCATGCGCGCCGCCTACAAGCACGCCGTATCACGTCCATGATTTGATTTGATTTGGAGCGTCCATATCTCAATTAAGGTTCACAAATAGCCCGCGTCATGCGGCGGAACTTTGGTTGCGCAAGGTCGACATCCTCTACCGCATCACTCCATCCTCTCCTCAATCCCATTCCTCTCTCATTCCCCACCATCCAGCAAGCAAGGAAGCATGGCGGACTCAGCAATACCGACCCTGTTCAGCCAATTCTGCTTCTTCAAGAGCCTCTCGTACTCGCTCTACGAGTACGACTGGTACAACTTTGTAGAACAATGGCAGGCCATGGTCGCCGTCAACGCGCCTATCCCAGAGTTCACCCACAACCTCGTCCCCTTCTTCTCAAATGCTCGAAGGCTCATACCTGTCTTTCACCGCTACTTGAGCTTTGCTCGTCAGGTAAGGGCATGGAAACCGTCGCAAAGACTGAACAGGAATACGATGTCCATAGCACATTTGTCTTTTTTCTTTTGGGAAGGGGGTAAGCGGCTACCCAGGTTCATCTTCTGACACCAATCATTATTACCATATCATTCTTTTTTAGGATGCCGAGTTCTTGAATACGTTGACAAATGTCTTGATGTCGACCCCGCTGATGATCAAAGTCCAAGAGATCCTGCGGTCCCCGAGTTTGTTCCAGAACTATGTTTCCGCACTCAAGCTCGACAATCCCTCGGCATCTCATACACAGGTTATGCAGTCCATCCAGGCCTTCCTCTCAGCCCTACCAGCTCCGACCCGACTCCGGATCCAACGAGCCTTTGCAGAAGCAGAGGCATCCGATTCAATGGGTAATCGATACCGCAAAAAAAGCGAGCGTACTCCTCGAAGGAACTCGGCACGATACAGCACTCGGACCAAAAAAAAAAAAAAAACTAACATGCGCTTCGTTGCTTTTGCTTATTATTATCGGTAGGCTTGTCTACATTGACACTGGAGACCGTCTTTCAGCTGCTTCGCTCTGACACCCAGCTCTATATCGACGTCCTCACAACGCTGCAGCTTAACCAGACACGCAATATGCCCTGGGATACAGTGGTCTCCAAGATCAGGGGCATCGTAACCGCGAAGAAACCCTATATCTGGTCAGACATGGACCAATTCCTCAAACAACTTCACTGGGGTCATTACCAGGTTGATTATGGCTACCAGGACGACGCATCCTATGGCGAGGGGCACTATGGCGACTATGGCGAATACGAAAACGATGATATCGTGGAGAGGGTCGAAGGTGTGGATTATTATCCGGATGAGCAGGACGAGAGGGAATTCGGGCGGTTCGGTAGCGATATGCAGGGAACGAGCACCAGCACGGGGGGTGTCAAGGCGGCGCAGAAGTTCGAGGGAGGCTCTCAGGATGGCAGGAGCTTGGGTGACCAGTTCTCCAAGATGACAGTTGCAGATAAGCGTCCTGTCGTCGCGACGTTCTAGTGGGCGAGGAAAAAAAAACGAACGAAACATTGTAGACAAACGGAAGAGACGACCGACACTTTTCAGCAATATTTTTTTGTTTTCTTTTTCTTTTTCTTTTTCTTTTTCTTTTATTAATAATCTCAGAGAACAGCAGTACAGATACAAATCAGCTACTCCGGCGCTCTTTGCATGGCAGGATGGGTCTTCAACAAAACAGCAACTCGTTACTTAAAAACAGAAGCGACATCGTCCAGTATTCGTCTCGTCTCGGTTTCAGCCCAAGACGACACCCTCAACAACAACACCAATTCTCGAAACTACCAAAAAAAAAAAAAAAAAAAAAAAAAAAAAGTTCTGTATTCTAGGCCTCGTTCTATTCTTCAAGCGACCTTTCTTTCATATTGCTTGTCCTGTGTACTTTTAACATCGTGTATAAAAAAAAAAAAAAAAAAAAAAAAAAAAAACCTCTTCTTTCATGGTGAAGAAAATGGATTCGAGAGATCAAAGTGAAATGATAAAGATGATGATGCATTGCCGGTATCAATATCCCGCTTCGATTCTGCTGTGGAGGCAAGGGCCTCTCGTCGGGTATTCATAGATCGTATCATGCGCGCCCAGTCCAGTTCGCCGCTGCATATTCGGCACCTGCCTTTGGTGGGGAGTAGCAGGTGCTCGGGAGCAGGGTCCTTATCTTTAGAAGCGTACCCGTCCTTGGAAAACTGGATTGTCTGGCGTTTGGCTGTACCCGAGTTTGGTGGCGTAGATTTCTCTTGAGATATCATGGATGTTGCCATGCATCCCAGATGTCCGATCATGACGCAGTCGATTTGAGTATTGCTGCAGGACAGGAAGCTTGATGGATCCTATGATTGGAACACCCACACTTAAGTTAATATACTAGATAGATTCCAAAAAAAAAAAAAAAAAAAAAAAAAAAAAGGCAAGCGATGGATACGGTGTGGGACCTTACATTATAGTCGATGGCCTTGTTGCAGATCAAACATTTGGACCGGGCCTTACGGAAATGCTCATACGTATCTAGTTCTCGCGCTTTCACTTGTTCTTGCACCGCGTACAATAAACGTTAGCAGCCCACTTATGAAAGCCAATTTTTTTTTCCTGAAAAAAAAAAAAAAAAAAAAGAAAAGTAAGGAGGTACGGTCTCCAAATAAACCCTTATCCTTACTGTATTGGAGTCCGTGGTCAGAGAAAAGGTGCGCCAAATCCTGCAGAGCTCCGTTGTCCATGACAATATCCCGTCGGACCAAACTCTTTTGGGTGTTCCTGTGATTGCACTCCATTTCTAACCACAGCTTCAGCACCTCGGAATCCATGATGTACACAGACAGGGGCCACCGTGCCCACGAAGGTCGTCTCACCATGGTGTGGACGACACATACTTTGTCCTTAACGAGGACTGGCGGACGCCCCCTCTGGGGTTTGCTGGAGGTTGAGGACGCAACAGGTTCTGGGGTCGTAGGGGTATTGGACTGTGTTGAAGAGGCTAAAGTTGGCTGCTTATTGAATTGACGGGATCGCTCTGGGTTCTGCCAGGCCCACTCGAACTAGGTCATCCAAAAAATAAGAAATAAAACGGTACCATGTCATTTCAGTGCAAGTCCTATTGAAACTTGTCAATACGGACTACGTTGATTCCTTCCCCCCTCCAAAAAAAAAAAAAAAAAAAAGAAAAAGCAGTTGGTACCTGAAGAGCCGCAAGTTTGGTAGGAAAGCCGTGTACAAGCATCGCCATTTTCCTATTATTGATACGCAAAAGGACGTCTTGATCGTCAACATTGTACTCCCCCAAAAGTGCGTAAAAAAAAAAAAAAAAAAAAAGGGAGAGAGAGAGAGATAAAATAGGCTGCTGTTGTACTGTACCACGGTCTTTTTTTGTTGGTCTTCTTAGCTCCTTGGGTTAAGTCACCGTTATGTTGACGCAGGCGTTTGATCGGATTGGGTGTGCTTCCTACGTATCCGTGTGTCCTGTACCGAGGGACCGTTGACGCCAGTAAGTAGCAGCAGTAGAATGGAACCAGGGGATCCCTGTCCTTTTCCGGTTCAGTCGTGGTATCCATTCTCTGTGCCTGTATAGGATCCTGTCCCTGTTCCTGTTCCTGTTCCTGTCCATCTTCATCTTCATATTCCAAGTTGTTCGATCTGTTGCTGCTGCTTTTGGTGCTCTGCTGTGCCGATGCTACTGAATATGTGCCACGTGCAGGCTTGCGTCCAGAAATTTCGAAATCTTCATCATCGCCGAGAACCACTATGGAAGCCCTTCTCTTCTGGATCAGCATGGTTCGTTCAGGGTTCAGGGTTTGGGGACAGGGGCAGTTCAAGGAAGAAGATTTGCCGCCAAAAATTGAGGCCTTCCGAAAGAGACACCGTGACTGTTCATAGTACAACTGGTACCTGGATTTCCCCAGTTGAGTGCCCGAATATGTGCCAAAGCTCGGTCCGTGGTGGGGGACACCGGAGGTGCCGGTTGAAGCAGAAGTATGTATGTCTAGATAAAGAGAATACGTGGAATACCAAAACTCAAAGCAGCAAACCTGCGTGGATATGATGTTACGCGGGAAACGGTTGAGTAAAGGAAAAGACGACCTTGTGCCTGCCATGGCCGTTTGCGTCCAACTCCTTGCCAGGCTCGTCCCAGATATCTCGTTCATGTGACATTGTGCAGCTTGAGGGGCTCGGCACTCTATCCAACGCCTCCACATAAAGCTTCATATGGGGTATATGCCTCCCTTGAACGCATAGCACTGCTTTCATTACCATACATCCTTCTGCATCCCAACTTGTTCATCACGCAGTTCTAATACCAAATGGCGGGTCGGCTTCGAAGGATTCAAAAGGTGCGATGTCATCCTTTTGGGAACCGGATGCTAGTGATGTCATGGCGGCAGGAACTTCAGCGAACGAGTTGCGTCTTTACGAATGACAAGGACCTAAAAACTCAAGTGCGCTTTCCAACGCCGTGCCTTTTCTGCAACCTTTCTGACTCTTTTACGCCACTGAACTATATGAATCAATAGGAAATCGCTGACTGCCAGCGGGACCAGGCGTCGCATATCGATCTGAAGCTAGTCGAGGATAGCAATATCAGTATGTGTCTCAGCCTTGTAGGACAAATGAAGAGACGCCTGTATGACAATGACTTGAAATCATCACTAACGGTGGTACTTTCTATATCTTGTGCATTATGAACATGTATTACATCCGAACCGCGCCGATAGTGCACATGAAAGGTAAGAAGCTCCGATATCCCATCAAGGCTCTTGCAATACGGCTGTGCCGATATGCAGCCCTTCTAAATTATGGGAGCAAACGGGACTAACGATACATCTTGAAACGCGTACATATCTCTCTTAGGCCGTTTTCCAGGTAACAGCTGCGCAGGATATGGTCAACAAAGAAGCAGAGAGACGTGGGACCATACACGGGCTTTCAACACTGCAGCTTTTTATTTCGTTCAAGGTGATTTACCGACTCTGTCGCTATTTGATGCACGGCAATAGGTCCTGAGGGAACGCCATATGAGGGCGGAATGTTCCAAGTAGATATCGTTCTTTCCGACAGTAAGGCACCGTGAATGTTACATTGCATGAGTGCATGTGTACATGCATACAACTCGAGATTCATTTATGGGAGTACTGAACAAAGCGGATGTTGTTTTATATTGCAATTAAACTATTAGCCTATCCGTTCCAACCACCCAAGGTCAAGTTTGACACGAAAATATACCATCCCAACATCAGCTCTCAAACGGTGCGTGAACACGGCGGAGCTTTTTTTTGCCGATCTATGGGACCAATGCCCATATATGGGTCGCCGTCGCGTGACCATATTACTAAACAGTTCTTTGTTTTCGTTAACATGGTGGATCATGGGCATTAGGGCGTGATCTGTCTTGATATCCTCAAGAACCAATGGTCTCCTGTCCTGACAATTTCCTCGACTTTACTTTCGGTTCAATCCTTATTGTGTACTCCCGAGCCAAATGACCCCCAGGTAAAAATAGGAAACCAGGAAAGCGGCTATAGCAGGATGAAGACGGGAAAATAGACGGGACCTGCAGATGCTGCATCTTTGACACAACAGGCCGGACCGCCAACAACGATGGGATTACGCAAACGGAGGCATAGGACAGTTTAATGTGCTGCAAGAGCGGTATATTTTATGCATGGAAAGATGTGCTCCCAGCATATTCCAGTTTCATTATTATTTTTTATTTTTTTGACATTGCATTCGTATCGACCGTTTGTCATTTCCGTGAGCTATGAGGCTGCAGGAGTGGACACTTCAACAGGCAGATTCATACCTGACAAAGAGACAGGGCGGAGCAAATCAATTGTCTCCTCAGCGCTCGCTTACGGAAAATGAGCAATGGACGGAAATTATTTACGGGCGATGAGTACATATCCTTGATCAGATACCAAGGGCAGTGTTATGATTAGACTGGCCAGGGCGCGGGGCTTGACTAGGCATGACCATTGGATACTCCTCGAATAGTATGGATCGAGAGCACTAAGGACTCATGCAAACCGGTGACATCTTGTTTCAGTTGAGGAGGTCTCTTTTTCGCCATTGGTTGGGTCCCTTAGGATGGGGTCCCTTAGGATGGGGTCCCTGGTCTCTTTCGTAACTGGGAATGGTCGTGCAGGAATAGACACGAACGTGAAATGTATCGTCATCCGGAGATGATGTCTTTTGGGCTCAGGGACAGGGCTCCTCATAATTCTATACGCGGCAGAGATGGCAGTATAAGAACCATTTAATGCTCACGACTCTCTATATATTTTTGCATATATTCTGTGTAGGACGCGCAAGTAGCGTCTCAATATCTGAACGATTATCCTATATTTCTGGAAACGGCCCGGTTTTGGACAGAATGCTACGCCAAGCCCACAGAGGACGACCTTCTCCACTCTAAGCATGCGCCACAACTTCGGCAGCGGCTGAACGGAGGTTCCCAAAGCAGCAATGGGGCAGGCACGACTATGATGACGGGTGGATCAGTGTACCAAGATCAGCAGCGCCCAGCATTTGTCGCATATCCTGTAGAACCAGTGTTGACAGAGGAAGAATTGGAGAAGCGGCGCAAGGTCCAGAATCTGGTGGAGATGGGCTTCCCTGCTGACAGGGCACGCACGTTCTTGATCCGAGCGAAATGGAATACAGAAGTTGCTTTGGAGGACTTGCTGAGCAACTCTTGATGAAAGGACATTATTAGTACCAGATAAAAAAAAAAAAGATAAAAAAAAAAAGAGATATTGATAGCAAGGACGATCAAGAACAACAGCAACAACAACATGAGGATGACTATCATTATCCTCAACGTCAACGATGGCTTTATATTTTTTTAAAAAAAGAAACCAACGACGAAAGACGCATTGACTTGAGCTGAGCGCATGAAGGGCTATATCTGGGATACATAATACGATTTTATCTGCTAATGCGTGGGTACTTTTACGTGTACGAACAAATACACCCTCAAATAAAAATAAAAATAAAACAAAATAAAACAAAAGCAAACGGTCTGTCTATAGGCGTCCTTGTTTTATTTTATTTTATTTTTTTTTATTTCTGGCGGTTCCCTGATCTTGTCACTCGGCTTCTCCACGTTTTTTTAATACCGGACTCTTATCTATTCATTGTCGGTGAGTTTCTAAAAAGAAAAAGAGGGAATCAACTATGCTGCGTGTGTAACTAATCAAGAACGTTTTTTTTTTTTTTTTTTTGAATTTCTATCATGTCCTTTTTGCATGTTATGAAAGACAAAACGACTCCAGTTTAGGAAACCCGTAACGAGCACATCATATAGAAGACAAATAAACAACAGAGGACTTGATTTGAAAAAAAAAAAAACCGCAGTTTGTTTGCTTGGCCATAGAAAATTCGCCTATGTGCCTCCATCTCTTTTTTTTTTTTTTTTTTTTTGGAATAAAAAAAAAAAGAAAAAAAGAGAGGGGTTAAAGAGATACGATAGACAAAACGGTATGACGAGTGAGTGTGCTAAAATATATTCGAAAATGCCCTATTTTGCGTTTAGTGCCAATAGATAATGAATGCTACATGTGGCATATAGGGGGGGGTGATGGTGGTGTCAGATTTTGAGTACGGACCATGGCATGGTTCCATGGCTCCTCGGACGTTATTTATTAAAAAAGACAAGGAGAAACGATGGACGGCCTAAGGGCAGAAAGAACCAGAGAGAGAACGAGAGAGAGAGAGAGGGAAGGGAATGACATCGAGAGAGCCAAAAGATATTAAAAAATAAAAAAGCGCGATGTAAACAACGTGTTTAAAGAAGAGACGCGAACGAAAAAAAAGAAAAGAAAGAAGAGCATCTGCAGTATGAGACGAAGGGGTGGATAGTAATCTACTGTGCCTGAATATACATGAGCAGATGGACGCTTCTTTCTTCATTTGAGTGCAGCAGAAAAGGGAGTGCAGATCAGATCGAACTGTGGAGGGCGGGAGGGCGAAGGGCGAGAGTGGGGGTTGCGGGTGCGGGTAAGATATTATTATCATGACATTGACATCAATACCCGTTTGACAGACATGGGCGGGAAGGAGGAAGGACCAGTTTGCTGCAGGGTCATTCCAAGAAAAAGAAAGAAAGAAAAAAAACCCCTACTGGCCAGCGGGCGACCAGGATCTGGACCCCCCCCCCCCCCCCTCTCTCTCTCTCTCTCTCTTTCGCTGTACACTTTTCAGCCACAGCAGTGGACCAGTGATAGTCGAGGAACTCGAAACAGGAGCGTGACCTTCTTCGATGACTGGTGCGAGTTCAACTCCAAGGTTCCTTGGGACCGGGGGGCCTGCGTTCTAATCGCACGCACACGTAATATACGACACACACACACACCCACACCCACACCCACACCCATACACACAACATTTTCGTATACACACGGACACACAATTGTGTAGGCAATCAACCACAAGAGTGTTTCTTTTCTTGTCCAGGGAAAAAAAAAACCCCCCCCCCCTTGACTGGGAGGACAAAGGGCTGGCTGACGAGAGGGGAGCGACGAAGAGAGGAACATGGCTCCACTTTCTTTTTGTCAGCAGGGGAGGGAGGGGCACAAGGACAAGGAATCAACCAGGCCGAGAACAAGTAAGCTACGCTAGGCTGAAGTACTCTTGGGCTCAGTCTGCATAGACTCCACTTGACTCGATTTGGCTCGACACGGCGACAACACGTCTGGAAAATACAATAAAAAATAAAGCCAGGGCCTTTTTTTTACTCTGTCGTTTTCTTATTCACCGTTTGGTGTTTGGTGTGTGTATGTGTGTATGTGTGTGTCAACAGCAATAAATTGAATAGACAGGTGTGTGTCTTTGAGATAAACACACATGGGTATTCACTCCAATTCAATTGCGCCCAGTGTTTGCTCTGATTTATTTTATTGGCTCACTCTCCCTCATTCACTCTTTCTTTTTTTTCTACGTCCACACACCCAATAATCATTTCCCCCCCCCAGCTCGACTCCCTTTCCTCTTCCTTCCTTCTGTTCATAACTTTCCCTCTCTTTCTTTTCCTTCTCCCCTTCTTTCTCTCTCTCTCTCTCCTCTTTCTCTCTCTTCATATAAACCCTTTTTTTCCTTCTCCTTCACTTCATTCCCCGCAATTTCTTCCCTCCACAATCCGGTCGCATGTGTGTCCTCGTCAGTTGAACTCCATCCCCGCACTCTTCCAATCTCGCACCCAATCTCAATCTCACACTCACACACACACTCACACTCACACTCATACACATACACACACTCTCTCTCTCTTCCTCTCCTGCAAAGCGGCTTCTCTCTCCTTCTCCTTCTCCTTCTCTCGTCTCCCTTTCATGAGTAATAACACATACTACACCGGTGCTGGTGCAACCATGCAGCAGCAACAGCAGCAGCAGCAGTCTCTGGTGCAGCAGCAGCACCAGCTGAGGCTCGACCAGTTCCAATACGACCATCAGCGTCACCACCAGCACCAGAGCCAGCAGCTCGCCCCTGTTTCCATCGTCCCCCGTCCCCTGCCCTCCCAACAGCTCCCCTCACAGCAACAGCAACAGCAGCAGCAGCAGCAGCAGCAACATCCATCCTACACCAACAGCAATAGTGCCACTAGCAACATCACAGCTGCACCAGCACTAGCGTCATACGACAACACCAATGTCTATGCTGCTAAACCCAACTGGGACGCTGCGCTCCTGGCTAGCCAACATAGCTCTGAAGATCCCATGGCCTTGACAATAGGACTGGACGGTGCCTTGGTTTCAATGGTGCCTCGTTGGGATTCATATGACCTGAACAGCCTGCCCTCAAATCACATCATCGATCCTCGCACCGCTGCAAAGCCTGTCGGCTCCATGCCAAGAGCGGTACCCGAATATCCGCAGCAGCAGCAGCAGCAACAGCAACAGCAGCAGCAGCAGGGACACGGACATCCCGCGGTCATGCTCCGACAGCCGCAGCGGCCATTTATGGGCCAGGGACAGAATCTTCAGGGTCCGCTGAGTTCGGAGAGCAGCGGCCTGCAGTCGTCCGCGCAACAGCACCAGCACCAGCAGCACCCATCCCCTCCGCTGCACCGTCAGCAACAGACACCGCCGCAGAATCTCTTCACAACCGACTATCTCTTCGATGCTCCCTCGCCCGTCCCAACCATGCCCTCCTTGGATCTCGGCATCGCCACCGTTCCCTCGCAACACTTCAGCTCGCCCCCACCCCTTCACATCCCCGAGTACATCCAGCAGAGCTGCTCACCAGACATGATGCCTATCAAGACCTCACCTGTTGATAACCACCTCGCATGGGGTAAGAACTCTATGCTCCGTTAAGCCCCTTTATTCATGACCACTACGCCCACAAAAGAGCAAACATTCAGCTAACGGAGAAATACTGGTCCACCCTCCCGATGTTTGTCTCTCTTCCCCCCCCTCTCTCCCTCTCTTCCCGATCATCTTCCTGGTGTGCTTATAAGACAACGCATAGTCTACATCGTATTTGTTCTCTAACCTCTTGTGTTCCTTGACACTTTCATTATAACGAATAGCACCCTGGGGCGATGCACACCCAGACGAGCAAGTTGCGTATGCCACACCGGCTCACACCCACACCAGCTTTGATGATAGTCCGAGAGTAAGTTATCTGATAAGTCTATTGTATTTATACTTTATTGGCTCCTACAACCTTGTGCAAGACCCTGATCATTTTTCTACTCCACTACCTCTTGTAGGACGACTTTGAGTTTACTGGCACCAAACACCTCAAGGTCTTTACTTCGTCCAAGAAGGACGACGACGGCGAGTTCCGCAAGGGCCAGCAGTTCTATCTCAATGTGCACCTGAACGAAGAAGACCGCGACCGGTACCGCTACCTTCGCATCCCCACCGAGAACATTGTGCTGCCATGTAGGGCCGACTCGACCGGTCGTATCACCCTGAATGCGTCTGGAAAGCGAAGTGCCGATACAATGTCAACACCCACAAGCGCACAGGAAGAGGATGTGCTGTCCCTGAAACTAACCACATATTTGGAGCCCGAGCATCGTCCAGTCGTGCCCTGCGGTCGCTGCAAGGACAAGACACCCGAGATCCTGCGTTTCCATCCCGGTGTGAACGGCAAGCCCATGATTGACGAGAACGGCATGGTGACACTCCGTAACGGCCAGATCAAGCTGATTGCATCCGCCTGGTGTGCCAGCACGTCTCACCATCGCGGACCGGGTACGAAGTTCAGCTTTGAGATCGAACTCACCAGCATGGGACAGCTCAGCCACACCGGCCCGGCTCTTGTTTATCAGGGTCGTAGTGATGAGGTCGAGATCTATGCCAGCCATGGCCGAGACAAGGGCTCGCGGACCATGTCCAAGAGCGCAGACAAGTCTTCGTAAGTGCCTGTCCTCTTTATCCATTTTGGAGTAATTGCATTGAATAGGAATAAGGAACAACATGATGTTCATGTGACCGGGGTACTAATGAAACGTAAAAAAAACCATATGTTTTGTTTATTTCAGAAAATCGCAATCGCCGCCATTACACGAAAGTGGCAGTGCCGGTGGTCCACCCTCCCCCGCAAAGACGTCCAGTCCCCCAGGTTCGCCCGCGTCCAATGCAGCTCATCACTACGATACAGGCCCAGTCAAGAAGCGACGCGAGGAACCACCCATGACGCCGCCCTTGGTCGATACGGACTTGCCCCCGGTCATCAAGAGTCTCGAGCCCAGGAGTGGACCTATCTGTCAGGAGAACCATGTCATCATCATTGGCCAGAACTTCTCGCGCGGCATGACCCCGATGTTCGGTCGCGAGTACGGCAAAGTGATCGACATCAACCCGTTCTACATCGAGTGCACGACCCCACGGTACCCCAAGACGGAGACCGTGCGCATCTGGATCCATCATCATGAGAACTTTTTGCCCTCGGACAAGACCTACGAGTTTACGAACGAGCAGGCACAGAGTGAGCTGGAGCAGATGTTGAGGAACATGATCCAGTCGAATGGCGAACCCGGCGATGCCGCCTCGTATTTCAGTATGCTCGGACGTATCTCGGGCTTGCCCTCCTCTACCGATATCTCTGGACAGAGCCAGTCGAATGGATCGACGATGCTTCACAACTCTGTGCTACTGGGCTACCAGGCCGGAGTCGATATTTTGATCGAAGAAGGTATCGAGCTGGACATTGAGGATGACTCTGGACTGACAGGTAATGAAACACAAGCGTGGAAGACCAACAACGAGATATGTGCACCAGAATTGTCATTTGGACTATGTTGTGCTAATTGCCTTTATTCTATCTGTAACCCAAACAGCATTGGACTATGCGATCCATACCGATAACGTTGAGATCACCAGCACCCTTCTCTATGCGGGCTCGATCGTGTCCTATGAGCGTCTCGACAAGCTGCCCTTGCGACCCTCGACTGCCATGGCGACGCTGCTTAAGGACGTTTGCGGCGTCGACCTTCCAATGACTGCAACGATTGTTGAAGTACCGGATGTGGTCGACCAGACGGAGGAAGAGACATTGACGTCTTCCATGGATGTCAACCGTATTACAGACGGCATCTGCACTGTCCCCACCACAGGCACCTCGGGCATCGAGACCATCTCGGAGGAGGTCGAGCCAGAGGACTCGACCGAGCCCGAGTCCCATGTGGATCCTCTCACGACCATGTCGGCTAGCGAAGAGCCATTGACGGTTCCCTCGATGGACTCATCCCCACCAGCGGTTTCCTCATCAAGGGCTATCCAGACGCGCCCGATGCCCGACAGAAGCTCACGGCCCATGTCTATCAACACTGTCTCGACACAGTCCACGGGCATGGTCTCGCTGGCGCATACAATGTCGACGATGGCACCATCGGCCACGTCATCGATGATGTCGCGATCTACGCAGATGGGTGTCCGTCCAGGGAACCATGGTACGAAGGGTGGTCAAGAGAACATTTGGCAATGTGCCAAGAAGGGAAACCTTGCGCTTGTGAAGTATCACCTGGATAAGGAACCGACCTTGATCAACACGCCCTGGAAATTCGATGGACGCTCTGTCTTGAGCAGTGCTTGCGCCTCCAGTCAACCACAGGAACTGGTCGAGTTTTTGGTCCAGCGTGGGGCGCAGGTCAATTCTGCGGATTCGTTCTACAAGCGAACGGCGCTGCATGTGCTTTGTGAGGAAGGTGGACTCTGCCAGGATGATTGGCGGATTGCGGTCTCTCAGGCGGATCTGGAGGCGAATGAGCAGGACGTGCTCGCGGCGATGCGATTCCTGCTCGACCGCGGAGCACCTGTCGATGCCAAGAACCATTGGAAGGAGACGGCGTTGATGCGGTTGTTTGCAGGACGTGACTGTCCGTTGATGGTGCAGGAGCTGTACAGTCGAGGTGCGGATTCGAGACTGAAGAGTTCCAAGGATGTGTACCCACATGGGACAGCACTCAGCTACGCGGCCTTCTTTGGAAGGATCCGTTCGCTTCGGTGGATGATTGAGAACGATCTGATGTTGAACGATGAGTCGAATATCAAGGATGCGATTCGATGGGCCAAATCCTCCAAGGGCGAGTCGTCTCTGGGAGGATCCCAGGCATCAGTAGTCCAGAGTGTGAGCGCGGTCAGGAGAAAGGAGGAGCGCAAAGCGGAGGCGATCCGACTGCTGGAGAGCTGGTTGGGTGAGAGTGGTCAGGCGAAGCGGAAGGCGTTGGCAAAGAAGATTGTGGAGGAGCAGGCGGAGGGTTGGTGGAGACGTATGAGTGGAATTGTTGTTGAGGATGCGATCAAGACTGGAGCTGGAGCTGGAGCTGGTGGCGACCATGAGTCCTCGTCCTCGTCCTCGTCCCAGGGCAACAACAGCAACCACAGCAACTTGAAGATGCCTGCAGAGATGAAACCACTTTGGAAGAGCGTGCAGACACTGTCGGAGGGTCTTGCCTCGAGCCCGGATCAGACTTCGAGTTCGAGCGGTCGAGCCAAGTGGAATCCGTTGACGATGCTCCGAAAGGGAACATAGGGCGGGGAAAGAAAAAAAAATATTATAATTATTATTACATGAAGATACCCGACATGGAGCATCAGACGCGCTTTTTTTTTTTTTCCTCTCAGACACGATCTCAGTCTTTTTTTTTTCTTTCTTTCTTTTCTTCTCCCCACTCTTGCCATCTCTAGTTATCTATTGTTCATATATGTAGTTTTTTTTTTCTTTATTTATTTTTTTCAGGATGACCCTGCGTCTCTATCCTGGCCGGCATAAAAAAAAATGTACTTTTAAAAAAAAAAAACTCAACGGTGCAAAAAAAGCCTTCTTCACCGCGTGTCCTTCCCTTATTTTTTCATTTATTCATTCATTCCCGCAAAAAGGGGGGGAGTTAGTTGCAGTTTGTTCCTGCATGAAGGTCATTTAAAAATCGGGTTCATTCTGAACAAACCTTACGCCCTTTGCTGAGAAACGAGAGGGGGGAAAGAGAGAGAGAGAAAAAAAAAGTGAGGGGGACTGGGTTGGATAGCAAAGGGGGGAGAAGCTGAGTACCACCACTGAATTACGAGGCCCTGTTTTGCATGAGCATGAGCAGCAGCATTGGATCCGAGCCGGGCAAAAATTGAACAATTGCTGGGATGGGAGTAGGGAGTTTTGGGTCGTACGAAGCTCGCTCTCGGACCCTTCAAAAAGAAAAACCCTAAAAACGAAAAAAAAAAAAAAAAAAAAAAAGGTGACAAGGAAGCGAGCAGAAATGCGCGTGGGAATGGGGGTGTTTTGTGGCATCCATCGATGTGGCCCGTTGTTGACCACAAAAGAAAATAAGGAAAAAAAAAAAAAGAATGCGGTAGATCATTTTTGAGAGCATGGGCAGCAGGAGGAGCAGGAGCAGGAGGAGGAGGATGATGATAATGATCATGATAATGATGACTGACTCGGAAATTGCTGTCCTCCCCCCAATACTCCGGGGCGGCATCTTCATACTTCCGCTTTTCTTCCATCTCTGCCTGTACTCACCAACATCCCTCTCTTTCTTTCTTTCTCTCTTTCTCTCTCTCTCCTTTCCTTTCCCTTAATACATAAAGTCCATTCAATCCTATCCATCCACCTCCCCCTGCTTTTTCTCTGCTCTCACAACAGTCGACATCATCGACATCATCGACATCATCGACAACCCCTTCTACACCTTTTATCAAACCTCCATCCGGAAAAGGGACGAGAAACGAGATATAATAAAAAAAAATAGTATAAAAAAAATGATGTCCTCGAACACCGACAGCACCAGAGCTGTCACCCCTCCTCCAGAGCCCTATAACGTCTGGTCAGACAGCGATCCTGCGGGCGAGCCTTCCAGGACTTCCAAGGAGCACAAGAAGGAGAAGGAGGAAGGAGAACTCAGCATGGAGGAACTGATCCGAATCGAAGAAGCCGCGGGTGGTGGCAATGGTGGTAGTGGTCACGATGGACCAGGCTTCCATCTCAGTGCGACCAGTGACAACGGCTCGACTTCGCGATATAGTGCACAGACGATCCGACAGAAAAAGGGTCGGCGATTAGTTTCGTCCATGGGATCGTCTTCGCCCTCGTCTTCGTCTTCTTCTTCTTCCTCGTCCTCGTTCGTGATGAATTTCGAGAATTTTGAGGCGGAGGAAACAGTTCCTGAGAAGAAGGAAGGCGCCACAGCAACAGCAACAACAACAACACCAGCACCAGCTCCAGCAGGAGGAGCTCGGGATGTGGCCATATCCAAGGCTACCACGGTCGTCGCCTCATCGTCCACGTATAACGGTGGAGGGGGTTTCCCGTCCGTGGGGTTGTATCAGAGGTTGGGACGGGCGCAGGCATATTCTGCAATGGCGTTTGGGGCGTTTGGGTTCATCCATTTGGTGCCGCCGGTGCTGGCGTCCGTGGGCGGGATCGATTTGGCGAACAAGGCCCTCATCTGGGGACGCGTTTATTATCAGGTACAAAGCGGGAGGGAGAAAAAAAAAAAAAAAAAAGATCTTGAATTGAGGCGTGCTTCTGATCGACAGATACGTTATGCTTCTGCCGTTTGACACTTTTTTTTTGCTTTTGTTTTTTCCTATGAATTCGCGATGGAAATATAGACTTATGGGATCGAACAAGTCCTAGTATATGGATCGCTGGCTGTCCATCTCGGGACTGGACTCTGCAGGGCGATTGTGAGGTTCGTCTGGAAGGTCAAGGGTTCATCGTCCACGTCCACAGAGAAGAGAGGCTTGAAAACCATTACCACGACGACGACAAGTACCACTACCACCACCAAGACCTCGACCTCATCATTATCATCATCATCCGCGCCTTCAGAATCCACATCAGCATCATCCACAGTCATGTCCTCTTCCAGCAACAGTAACAAGGGCGGAAGCGGAAGCGGATCTGCTCCGGGCTTGTTCCCGTATCATCGGTTGGTCGGCTGGCTCCTGGTACCCTTCGTTCTTGCGCATACGTACCAGATGCGAGTGGTTCCTGTGAAGGTATTCGGGGACTCGGCCATGGTCGATTACTCATTCATCGCGTTCTTACATCGGATGAAGCAGCCGGCGCCGTATGTGCTGTTGGTCGGGCTCATGGCCTACCATATGTTTGGAGGCGGACCTGTTGCGTTCAATAGAGCGTTGCCAAAGTCGAGCGAGAGACGGGTGAAGGCCCAGGAATTGATCCGGTCGAGGAAGGCGCGTGCGGTGGCTGCGGGAGTGATCTCGACAGTCGCTTTGGTGGGCGCTTATAGGATCATGAGGGTCGAGGGGGCGATACCTATGACGAAGTTGTATCGATCGTTGTTGGTTTGAAAGGACCCCCGGTTGGTTAGTTGGTTGGTTGGTTGGGTTTGCCCCTGGATCGGAATCTTTGACTATGAATATGAAAGTCAGCTCCCTCCCTCCCCAAGTTCAGCCCACAAAATGAAGGTATAGAACGGACCCTTTCGATGGTCGTGTTCTTGTTGGGGGTTTCAATTGTCCATTTAGTTCCAACGGTTTCCATATCGGAACACTCCACACAGCATATTTCATTTCCCTCAATAAACACAGGGCCCTGTAAGTTTTGGTTTGGCCAACCCAAGAGCAACCACTTGCACGCTCATGATGGTCTTGGAATTGGTAGTAAGCGTGTGCCGGGAGGGCGCCAATCGCCTCCTTGACCAAGGCTACTAGAAAAAAATAAAAAAAGAGAAAGTATTTGACGACCTTCACTCAGGTTATGAGAGTTATGGACGGTGCCACATGATAAGTTTGTCAATTGGTAAGTAACGATGCGTCCGGACATAGTACTGGAGACAGAGACGACATGCTCTATGCGAGAATAATAATAGTCTAATAGTGTGTGTTGCCTGCCAAGTATTGACGTGACAGCTCTTTGCTGAGGAATAAATAAAATTAACAGCAGTTTTCTGCATCTCACTTTCTCTCGCTTTCTCTCGACTTTCTTTTCTTTTGAACACAATCGACTGTTACATCGCTACCATCGTCCCATCGCTACCATCGTCTCATCGCTATGGCTGAATACAAAGGTACACCCACACTTCATCGCAAAGGACAGTTATCAGGAAGACATCTTTGCATGCATTCGACCTTGCAGTCCTTCTCCATTCAATTGACAACAACAACAACAACAAAAAACTGAATTCTTCCTTGACTCTCCTGAACAACTCTAGGTTCTTCGCAGGAAGGTGCTCGCCACCAAAAACTCGAAAAGCAACGCGAGAGGATGATGAGCGAGTTTGAGCAGCAGCGGGCTCAAATCACCAGGGATAACGAGGTCAAGGTCTCGTCGGACAAATTCGTGGTCCAGAACGACAATGTCGAGGAGGCGCTCAAAAAGTCGACGATCGGTCTGGTGCATTTGAAGGATTTCCGAAAGGTGCGACAGGAGCTCGAGGAACTGAAGAAGCGGGAGGCGGCAAAGACGAACCAGCTGTAAGTGCGCATGCGAAAGATATAAATGCTGCGGATATATATTTTTTAACATGGGTCCTTTGGCAATTGATGTAACTGAAACTGTCCGTTTTTTTTTCTAATGCATGGAACAAATAGGCAAGAAAAGGTCGTCAAGAAAAAGACGAAAAAGACGATTTCGAAACTGTCATTCGCAGATGATGAAGAGGAGGAAGGGGGACAGGGCGATCAGGATGATAAACCGAACAAGAAGCGGGCGGGAAGCGATGATAACGACAGCCAAGAAGGAGACTCACCCAACAAAGATTCACCCCCTACATCAAAGAAATCAAAATTTGGCAAGGACCCCAATATCGATACGAGTTTCTTACCGGACCGTGAACGTGAGGAGCAGGAGCGGATGGCACGGGAGGAGCTGAGGCAGGAGTGGCTGAAGAAGCAGGAAGCAATCAAAAAGGAGACGATCCAGATCACATATTCGTATTGGGATGGCTCAGGACATCGCAAGGAGGTCGAGGTAAGGCGATCTATCTATCTGGATGTTTATTTTGTTGTTGCGTTTTTTTTTTGTGCCCATGAACATGGTTCTTGAACTGACAACCATTCTATGACATTTCCCTTTTCCGATTTACGCTCGGATTTGATATGATAGTGCAAGAAAGGAGACACGATTGCTCAGTTCCTGGAAAAGTGTCGGCAACAGTTCCAACAGTTGCGGGGCGTGAGCATCGACAATATGATGTATGTGAAAGAGGATCTGATTATCCCTCATCACTATACGTTCTACGACTTTATCATCAACAAGGCCCGTGGAAAGTCTGGACCACTATTCAGCTTTGATGTGCACGAGGATATTCGACTGACGAACGATGCGAATGTGGAAAAGGATGAGTCGCACGCGGGAAAGGTTGTGGAACGGACGTATTATGAACGCAATAAGCATATCTTCCCGTTATCGCGGTTCGAGATCTATGACCCCGAGAAATCGTATGGAAAGTACTCCATCAAGGGAAAATAAGCGGGGAAAAGGCGCCGAAAAAGGATCGACAGTCAGGATCAGGAAAGAGAGAAAATAAAGCTGCTCTATTTCCCCGTCTCTTGATTATCTCTCTTCTTGTGTTTGGGGTAGCCATACATCTTGAGTGAGGGGGTTTTTTTTTGTCCTTGCTCCAGCAGAAAGTAAATTCTACTTCGCCCGCTATTTACTTCTTTCGGGCTCCCCCCCCCTGTACATGTACCATTCATCGTCACGTGGTTATAGAAGGAGAGAAGGAAATCTGCCCTGAAATAAATAAGGTTATTTTAATCCGTGCAAGTGTGTTTCCCCGCGATACCTCCACTCAAATTCATTTCACATCCCCACCATCATCCATGTCAACAGTAACTTCGGACGTCGAATCGCCGGCTCTCGCATCAGAAGTCATGACCTCAGCCTCTCCATTGCCCTCTGCGGTCATGGCTCCCCCACCCCTCGACACGGCCTCCGTCACAGTATCCACGCCGTCCTGGCTGCTCTGGCAGTTTCTCGACTCTGCACTCCCCACGGGCGGATTCATCGCCTCAAACGGACTTGAGGCCTTTGCCAAGCTCCACCCTTCCCGAACTTCGGTCCGAGATATTGAATCCTACATCAACTGGAGTGTTCATTCGTGCGGGTACACTAATTTGCCGTTCATCAGCGAGGTCTGGAAACTGGTCGATGCCTGGACATTGAAGGATCGGGAGCTCAAGACAGAGCGAGGAAAGGCCAGGGCGATGGAGGCTGTGCTGCGCAGGATCTCGAATTTGGATCGGGAGTATGATGTGTTTATGAATAATGCGATCCAGAACGCGGCGTCGAGGAAACAAGGGGACGGGATTGTGATGATGGGGGTCAAGTGTTTTGCGGAGCAATGGGATCACAACAGGAATGCAAGTAGGAGCAAAGGAGGTAGAGGTACAGGTGGAAATGGAGAAGAAAAAGAAGAAGGAGAAGAAGAAGAAGAAGAGGGTGATGGAGGAATGGATGAAGGGAATGAATTGGGACCGAACATCCGGATCCTGAAACCGTTCAAGGCTATGCTGAGAAGCGAGGAGACTGCGGGACATTATCCGATTGCGTTCGCAATGATTGCCCGTTTGCTGGGGTTTGATCTTGGTAAGAGTGATCACTTTTGTTCGTTTGTATTATTTGGACCGCAAGTTATCGCGCTGAGAAAGAGGGCACTCATATAACTTTTTTTTTTTTTTTTTTTTTTTTTTTTTTTTTTTGGCTCTGATTTTACAGCAACGACACGATACCTGCATCTGCACCTGCATGCACGAACACTCCTCTCATCCGCGATCCGTCTAGCTCTGGTGGGACCATTCCAGGCGCAGCATATCATGACGCGGTCGCAAGCCAAGGCGCGATTCATTGATGCCAAGACTGCGGATCTGACAATCGAAGATGCAGCGCAGACGTTCCTCGTTGGAGATATTTGTGCGGGTGTCCATGGACGACTCTGGACGAGGTTGTTCAACAGTTAATGAGCAAGAATTTATTTATTTATTTTTTTATAGAAAAAAAAAAAAAAAAAAAAGAGATGCGGCGGATATTCATTCATTTGCCTCAAAAACATCTGCAAGTTTTAAATGACCAAGATCGCTTAACGTTTATAAACTGTTTCTGTAAGACGAGCGGGAATGGGATTAGAAAAAAATATTTATTGTACACGAAATATGAAGATGAAATGCAGTGCTGAAATAGTGCCAAAAAAAGAAAAAAAAAAAAGAAAATGTCAAGGTTTCTCTGAGCTGAGCTGAACCTCGAGAGAGAACTGTTGCCCACTGGGATCCACATATATTTTTTTTTTCTTTTCTTCCTCCTCTCCTGCTCGTTCTTTAAACACGGAAGATCTCTCCATCCTTGTAGTAGGACTTCAACGTGACCTGGAACTCTGCCATCGGGACCAAGAACAACTTCAACAACTGTGCCTGCTCAGGCGTGAGAGTCTGACCCTCTCTGCAGACCCTGTATTCGTTGGTCAGGGTGATGATACCGTTGTTCAAGGTCGTGGGCATGCCCAAGCTTCTCAACTGAGGTTCCATGTTGTGGGGGAAGACCTCCTCACCACGATAGACGGGTCCCGCGGGGACGACGAAGGTGCTGGTGGCCTTGACACCGGAACGAGCATAATCAGACTCTGTGTAGTTGGCAAAGTATTCCTGGATCTCCTGAGGCTCGACATTGGTGAAGAGGAGACCGACGTGTCCGACGAGCTGTTCGGCCAATTTGTGGAGGTTGTCCTTATGCTCGTCCTCGGGGCTGGTGCCGAGGGCCTTGGCCATGACCTTGGTACGACCAAAGAAGAAGCGGGAGGTCTTAAGCTCTGAACGGACGTTCTTCAAGTATGTGTTGCGCATGTTCTCAACGGAGAAAATCCAGATGTACTTGTAATTGTCGGCGCACTCGCGGATCTAGGAGGGGGGGAATAGATAGATAGATAGAGAGGGAGATATGTTAGTGAGATTTTGATTCCGTGGATCTGATATGCACTGTTACGGATCGGAGGGATACGATGACAGCGATTGAGTGGTTACCTGTTCGTAGAGAGCATCCTTGCCAGCACGACCCTTCTTGTCGGTCTGGGTGAGGGGAACTGTTTAGGTATCCAGATAGGATGAGAAAGAGTCATTAGTTGAGATGGTTCAGGGACACTCCAGACAAAAATCGAACAAAAAAAACCCCCCTGCAGCTCGCGGATATTCCACTTGTCGCTAAAGGTGCTAGGTATGGTGGTGACATACCAATTTTGTTGCGCTTGCTCTTGGCCATTGTAGTGGTGTAGTAGTTTGAGTAGGTTGGGTAATGAAGGGGAAGGAGTGAGAGGATGGGTGTTGACAGTAATGGCAGTTCTCTCTTCTGTCCCTTCTTTTTTTTTTTCTTTTCTTTTTTTTTTTTTGTAGTAAACATGACAAAGCCACACATATTCAGTGACTGTACAGTTGAACTCCTATTCTGCAGCTTAAATTGGAGGAGCAGTCATGTATTCAGTCCAATTGAAAAATATGTACGTTCCTCAGCCCATGCAAATCAATAAGCAATTCCATCGTATCGAGAGCTGCCCGAAGGTTGGCTTTCAATATATCATCGCAGTTGGGATCCTGTAGATCAGCTTCAGTATTCATGAATCCGTTTATAGTCTCTTGAAAAGATTCTCGAGAATAATCCTCATCTAGATAGGGGCTTAAAAGTATTAAAGAGAAATCCTCGAGGGGGAACCATCTTATCCACAGTGCGGCCGCGGAGAACAGTTTTGACTTTGAGAGGAATTGACCCTTGTCGTAAAGAGTGTACTTCTTCCGAGATTTGTGTGATTTGGAAGCGGAGGTTCCAGAGCCAGCACGTTTGGTGTTTACTGGACTAGGAGCTGGGGCTGTGTGAACAGAGCGCGTTGTTTTGGGCATGATAGAAGACTAGAAGTAGAGGACAGGATGGGCTCGGGAAGTGAGAGTGCGTGTGAACAAATGCTTACTCAGTTCAATTGGACTGAATACATGACTGCCCCTCCGATTTAACCTGCAAAATAGGAGTTCGACTGTACCTGAGGACACTAGTCAGCCGTTCATTACGTTGGACTGGACGTTGTTTTATGAAAAGAATGCGCGAAGGGTCTTCAGGCAGCGACAGGGACAGTGCAGGAGGTAGTGTTCCTCATATGGGAGGATCTAATGGTGTATTCGGAACGGTATCTGTGAAGAGAAAGGCGTGTGGTAATGCTACTGGAGGCATTGGGTCAATGAAAAAGATGCGCATGGAGGATGAAGACGAGCGAATAAAAACAAGGATGAGTTCACGTCTTTTTGTTTATGTGTTAACGAATGTCCATTCATCATCAACTCATGGACCTTCTTCCCAGCTAGAAAGCATCTGCAATGACAGACATTCCCATTCTCTCCGTCTTGGACATCCCAGAGCTGCATGCGACAATTTGCGAGTATCTGTCTCCGTACGACATGGCACAGTGCATGGCAACAAGCAAGCGATTATCGCGTCTATTTACACCATTCTTTTGGAGAGACATCCGCTCACGCAAGACCATCAAGAATTTTAATGGAATTCGTCGAAACCTGCATCACATCCGGACTGTAGACACCCATAGGCAGGAACACGAGTTTCTGGAGGTCCTCACCACTGGACTGGACGAGCCTTCGGCTTCGAGCGGATCACTCGCCAGGAACCTGACAGGGATCCTTACCAGCATCTATAGTATTACCGAGGATGCCCATAAGGCCGCTTGGAAGATTGCCACTTTGCTCCAACACAATCCTGGCCTCACCCACCTGAAAGTCTCCACTGAACTCCTGATATGCGACGGGACAGATCCAGTCTTTAAAGCGATTTCGAAATTACGACACCTCAAGTGTCTTCATCTGTCCGAAACTTATCCTCATCTGTCGCCTGTGGCCATCGCGCATTTATTGCTACGCTGTGTGCCGCTTGTCAGTTTAAGCGAACTACAATGTGACTTTGAGGCGACCGACACCATTGAGGAGGGCCACGAAGGCACCCCAGAACTATTGGCAATATCGCCTCTGATACTGGAAACCATCTTGGAGAATGCGACGGAATTGAGGGCTGCAGGAGGGAGCATCGGTAGCAAGATCAAGAATCTTTCTTTGCCACGGGTACCTAACGGATATACGGCCTCCTATTTGTTCCCGATCCTAAAATCGGACCTCCTTGAGCTCGAGTCTTTTGAGATACCGAACATTGAAGAGAACTTTGATGCCAAGGACCTGGAGAATGTTGTTCGGAAGCATTGTTCCAAAATTCAGCATTTGAAATATCCACCCTACTATGACTACATCCATGATCTTCAAGATGACCGCGAATACAATGCAGCTGCCCGAGCTTTCATCCGCGGTTGCACAGCCCTTCGCAGTTTCAGTTCTACGCGTTTTTATGACCAAGACTACGAGCCGGAGGACGACGAGGATCTGGAGGACGTCTACTATCTGAATGGCGAATGCTATGCGGAGCCTCGGAGAGTGGTCTATACTCTGGCTCGGCGCCACGCGGACACGCTAGAAGAGCTCAATCTTCCATCAACTGGTAGGGTTTACAGTTGCGATTTACAGGCCGTCTTGTCGTCGTGCAGGAATCTCAAGAAGTTTGTTACGTCAGGAGCAGGCGGTTACGGAGTCATGTTTGGGGGTATCACGTCCCAGGAGTGGGTCTGTTTGGGACTGAAGGAGCTCGATCTGTACTTGCATAGAGGAGCCGATGTTCAACAAACACTGGAAGCTATGCAGCGAGAGTCTTTGGCTGCTGGAGAGCAGGGGCCTTTAGAATATACGGAGCTGGAGGTGTCAGATAACATGGAACAGGATCCGATGGATGCGGGTGAACTTTCTAAACGCAACAAGCGTGAAGCTGAGGCGCGGGCGGGCAAGAAGCTGTACGAGCAGATTGGCCGACTGAGTTTGTTGGAAGACTTATCACTTGATTGCAACTATTTCGCTCGCGTCGAGTGGGATCTCACTCTTTCCAAGGGTTGGTTGATCGAACTGGCAGGGCTAAAGAGGCTACACCACCTAAGCATAGGCATTCAGTACTGGTACAGGATGGGTCAAGCAGAGGTTGAGTTCATGGATGCACATTGGCCGATGCTGCGTACAGTCGACCTCAAGGGGAGGCGGGCTATACAATATTGGACTCCGGAAGGAGCTTGGAGGTGTGATCCGGCCCCTGCCTCGGTTCCGAATTCTGACAAGCTGGAGGTGCCGCCTCACTGGCGCTGGTTTCAAACGAAGAGGCCATATCTGAAAGTGAAGATGGAATAATGTATATAGTTGCATTCAATCTTAATTGGTGGCAAACAATCTCCCCACAGGAAATATATGAAATATATGCAGGATGGGCCATGCTGTGTGATATTCGGACGAACACTTCCCCAAATACCGAGGGTAGTGCAGGGATGAGCATCATGTCCTGATATATACATCCGGGGCCGACTTTTGTAGGCTTTTCCCTTTCTCTGTTCATCACCTTCCCCTTCCCCTCTTCTTTTTTCTTTTCCGTCTTTCCTCCACCATCAGCACCACCACCACCCCTTGACTGGCAAAACTCGAACCTGCCTAGTCGCTCTCCTTACACAAATCTCGTTTAGTTTTTTCGTTCTCTACGAGTGCACGGTGGATTATACTATGGCGCTAACATTTGACCTCTCGGGATTCTCCAACAGATTGCACTTTTATCTTAACGGCACGGAGATTATCCTTGAGAATCCTGACCCAAACACGACTCTGCTGCAATATGTCCGCTCAGTCGGTCTCACGGGGACGAAACTCGGCTGCGCCGAGGGTGGATGTGGTAGGCTTCTGAATATGTTCATGATTTCGGCTCTGCTCACACTGCTGTGTATACCGGCGTACACCGGAGCTCTTTTTGCCTTTGCGCCTTGTGTTTTGTGTTTTATGTCTTATGTTTTGTGCTTGTGTTTTTTGTTTTGCTTTTTGCTTTTGTTTTTTGGTGTTTGAACAGTATGGTTGGGTGTGTCGTGGGCGTGGGAGTTCTCTCTACACCTTCGTTTCGAGTGGCCAATTGTTCAATTGTTCACTGTTACAAATGAAATGGTCTATGGAACGAACGAATAAAAACGTTTGCGCCGAGTGTAGATTTTTTTTTTTTTTTTTTTGTTCAGGAGGGAGTTACTAATTTTATCTTGAGCTATTTCACAGGCGCCTGCACCGTCATGGTGTCTACGTACGACAAGGCGACCAAGCATATCCGGCACATGAACGTCAACGGCTGTTTGACGCCGCTCTGCTCCATCGATGGCAAGCACGTCGTCACGATTGAAGGCCTTGGCAGTTCTAAGGATCCGCATCCTGTCCAAGAGCGCATTGCGCTTTGTTTCGGGTGCGTGGACGGCCAAAGCTTCTTGCTTTATTACCCTCCATTGAATGTGTACTTTCTGAGCTAATATGAAGCATTGTGTCGCGATCAACGAGTAGATCTCAGTGTGGCTTCTGCACGCCAGGAATCGCCATGTCCTTATATGCTCTCTTGCGCAACAATCCCGCACCTACAGAAGAGGAAATCGAAGAGTCATTCGACGGCAATCTGTGCCGCTGCACAGGCTACAGACCAATCCTTGATGCTGCAAAGTCCTTTGCAGTTCCAAAACCAGCAGCAAAACTCAAAAATGGCATCTACATGAACGGCACGGCTGTCGACGGGTGCTGCGGTAGCGGTGGCCCCAATGGCGGCTGCTGTAAATCCAATGGAGAGATTCCGACAGTCCCTCAGGAGAGCTCTGGGCGATTCCCGTCAGTTCTGTTCAAGAAGTATGATCCAACACAAGAGCTCATCTTCCCTCCACGATTGATGAAAAAGCATGCGGACCCGCTGCACTTCAAGGGCCGCAAGACCGAATGGTTTCGCCCCACGACGCTCGCTCATGTTCTCAAGATCAAGGCGGCCTATCCGAGCGCAAAGTTTATCGGCGGCAACACCGAAGTCGCAATCGAAACAAAGTTCAAGCAGATGGAGTACAATCCTCTGGTATACTTGCACGATGTCGCAGAGCTGCAGGGAATCCGCATCACGTCCGAGAGTATCACTATTGGGGCCAATGTATCGATCGCCAATTTTCAGAAGGCACTGGAGGAGGCCATCGAGATCCTCTCTGAGGACCGGACCCAAGTGTCGCGTGCATTCTTGACCAACATCAAGTACTTTGCGGGCCATCAGATTCGGAACTCTGCATCGGTCGCAGGCAACGTTGCGACGGCATCCCCAATCTCGGACTTGAACCCAGTATTTATTGCGGCAGACACGACGTTCAGCATTCTATCCTCGGATCAGTCGGCAGATTCACATGCCCGAGCGGTGCCGGCGACAGAATTCTTTTTGGGGTACCGGAAGACGGCCTTGAATCCCGATACCGATATCCTGACCGAAATCCATATCCCATTGACCCACCCTGGAGAGTACATCCGCGCGTTTAAGCAAGCAAAGCGACGAGACGATGACATCGCAATCGTCACTGCCGCCATTCGAGTTCAGCTGTCGCCGGTTAATGAGGTGAAGAAGATTGTGTTTGGCTATGGAGGTATGGCTGCTTTCATCTGTCAAGCCAAGCAAACGTCAGCGTTTCTCGAGGGGAAGACGTGGGGCGACAAGAGCGTTTTGGACAAGGCACTCGAGTGCCTGGATGCTGACCTACCCATGCAGATGTCCACGCCTGGCGGGATGCCAGAGTACCGTCGCACGCTTGCAAAGTCGTTCTTTGTACGATTTTGGTGGGATGTGATTGAACAGCAGGGCTTGAGCGTCCAACACGACCATGGCGAGCTTCGGATGTTGACAGAAGATATCCATCGGCACGTCTCGTCAGGAACGCAGAGCGAGAAAGGAACTATCCAGAATTCGAACACGAATATTGTTTCAAAGGATATCGTCGCTGTATCGGCTATGAAACAGGTTACTGGCGAGGCGAAATTCACGGGTAAGATATGACAAACTGGGCATCAGCGGCTCGGGTTTCCTAACGTTGAAAACAAAGGCGCTATATTCACTCTAGCATCATTGTACAAATAGATGATATCCCAAAACTGCACAATGAACTCTATGGAGCCTTAGTCCTTTCCAGTTACGCCCATGCCAAGGTCCTGAGCATCGATACAAGCGTAGCTCTGGCCTACCCTGGAGTTAGAGGTTACTTTGATCACACGAGCGTCCCAGGTACCGACGCTTGGGGCGCCATGGGTCCTGAGGAAACCATCTTCGTGACTGATACTGTCAATTGCATTGGACAAACAATCGGCCTCATCGTGGCTGATACACAGGCCATTGCGCAGGAGGCTGCCCGTCTGGTCAAGGTCGAGTACAAGGTTCTTCCTGCGATTGTCACGATCGACGAGGCTGTCGCTGCAGAGTCGTATTTTCCCATGAAGAGATCGATCGTCCAGGGCGACGTCGACGCCGCGTTCAAGGCTTGTGCCAGGGTGTTTGAGGGTGAGACACGAGTCGGTGGACAGGAGCATTTTTATCTCGAGACGCAGGCTGTGATTGCAAACTACAAGGGCGAGGATGAGATGGAGATTTATATGTCCACACAGAGCCCGAACGACGTGCAGTTGACGATTTCCAGACTCTTGGGGCTCAGTGCCAATAAGGTCATCTGCAAGGTTAAGCGGCTCGGTGGGGGGTTTGGTGGTAAAGAAACGCGTACGATTCCTTTGATGGGCGCGTTGTCCGTGGCTTCGTATCTCACCAAGAGGCCCGTCCGCTGTATGCTCGATCGAAACGAGGACATGGTGATTTCAGGTCAGCGCAACCCCTTGATGGGCAGATGGAAGGTTGGCATCGACGAGAACAATAGGCTGGTTGCCCTGGACGCTCAACTGTACTTGAATGCGGGTTGCTCTGCGGATGTGTCTCCAGCGGTGATGGAACGTGCTATGTTCCAAATTGACGGCGTATACAAGATCCCGAATATCAGAGTCGTCGGACGTTGTTGCCGTACCAACCTTGCTTCCAACACGTCCTTTCGCGGCTTCGGATCTCCGCAAGGGAACCTGATTACGGAGTGTTTCATGTCGCACATCGCGGAGCAGATCAACATACCGGTGGAAACGCTCCGGGAGGCTAATTTTTACCAGGAGGGCGATCTGACGCATTACAACCAGCAGCTAGTGGATTACCATGTCCCCAAGGGATACATGCAGCTCAGGGCTAGGGCAGACTATGACTCCCGCCGCATGAAAGTGGCCGAGTTCAACAAGTTGTCCAAGTGGCGGAAACGTGGTATCTCGTTCATCCCGATCAAGTATGGCATCGCATTCGGGGCTCTGCATTTGAATCAAGGAGGCGCTCTTGTTCACATCTATCATGATGGGTCCGTTTTATTGTCTCATGGGGGTGTCGAGATGGGACAAGGTCTACACACTAAGATGATCCAAGTCTGCGCTGAGGAGCTTCAAATCCCGTTTGAGTTGATCCACACTGTCGACACCTCGACCGACCGGGTCGCCAACACCTCCTCGACAGCCGCATCAGTGTCCTCAGACATCAACGGCATGGCGGTCCAGGATGCGTGCAACCAGATTAATGAGCGACTGTCGCCTTACCGCGCCAAAGGTCTTGCCTGGCACGAGATTGTACACCTGGCATATTTCGATCGCGTCAACTTGAGCGCCAATGGGTTCTACAAGGTTCCAGGTGTCGGCTACAACTGGGAGACGAACTCGGGTCAGTTGAACAGCTACTTCACCTTTGGTGTGGCGATTTCCGAGGTCGAGGTCGATATGCTGACGGGCACACATACGATCCTTCGGTCGGACGTGAGCATGGATCTTGGCCGGTCGATCAACCCTGCTATCGACATTGGCCAGATCGAAGGCGCATTTATGCAGGGCGTGGGTTTGACGACGACAGAGGAGCCGCTCTGGTTCCCGGATGGACGGCTGTTCACGCAGGGTCCGGGCAATTACAAGATTCCGGGGTTCAGATGTATTCCTCAGGAGCTGAACATCTCGTTCTTTGAGGATGTTACACACGAGAGTATCAAGACGATTTACAAGTCCAAGGGTGTGGGCGAGCCGCCGTTGATCTTGGGTTGCTCGGTGTACTTTGCAATCAGGGATGCGGTGCGGTTTGCCCGGGTGGAGAATGGACATACGGGCTCGTTTACGTTGCCGATCCCGGCTACGGCGGAAAAGATCCGTATGGCGGTTGGAGACTCGATTGCGGAAAGCAGCAGGTTGGTGGTGAAGGAGGGTGAACAACCTTGGGTTGTTCAGAGCTGTTAGGCGCGTCTTCGAGAGTACTACGAAATTAAACAGCCAATCAGCATGCAACTCTGCTCCGGGGGGTAGTTCAAAAAGTAACAAAACGGAACAAAGAATCGAACACTTGTTCTTCCATTCCATTTTCACTCGACAGCCATGGATGGATTGCACAGTCCAGACAAAGAGGTCGGCAAGGACCTCGTCAAGGGAACAATGGTTGCCGGTACCTGCACACCTTCTCAATTGCACTTCGATTCCCGGAATAGTGGGGGCGAAAAAAAAAAAAAAAAAAAAAAAAAAGTGATCAGCTGGACTGATTCAGGACGAAACCATTCTTGCTGTTGGTTTTTTTTTGTTACCACGCAATAGGTGTAGCGGGAGCAACTGCAGGCACAATGCTCGGGATCTTGCGACAGCAACCAGTAGCAAAATACGCCTTCTCAGGAGCATTGAATGCCTCCCTATTCGGAATGACCTTTATTGGTACGCTATCGCTTCGCTCTCTCGGATTGGGCCCTCGATTCGTTATGGCAACTGACAGGCGCTGGTTACATCGGTATTCTACATAGCCTTCCGCGAATCCTTCCTCCGATTCCAGCGCAACAAGAACCCATATTTCGGTTTCAAGGATTCACAGACCATGGATATTGATCAACTCTGGAGCAGTACCATTGCAGGAGCGTGCACAGGAGGCATCCTCTCAGCATTAGCGCGTAAGGAGTCAGAAGGCTTCTTTTGAATTTAATAGTGTTGGTTCGAGATACTCGGGATACCTGCTGATCCTGCACAACTTCTTACCAATTTAGGAGGACCTAAGGCTGTGCCTTCAGGAACGTTCATGTTCGGGGCAATGGCTATGAGTGGTCAATGGATCTATACGAAGACGCGGCGATACAGACAGGACACAATCTTGGCGAGCACGACAGATGATGTACAATCAGCGGCTCACAGTAGGAGATCAAGGGATGCGGTGGGCAGTGGGATTTTGAACGTATTGCCGGTGCATAGGACGGATGTGGACGATTATGAGATACGACTGAGAGAGAAGTTAGAGAAGATCGAGAGGGAGCAGAAGATGTTGGAGGACGAGACATTGAGGCGGAAGAGGCTCGCGACCGATGAGGCTGTACAGGAAAAGGAGGTGTGATAGACCTATATGCTAATAAATCACCCGCTTCAGGGCCATTGGGCATCTTTCCCTGGCATTTTCAATGGCACCGATGACCTGGATTTAGAAGTGACTGGCTCCTTGAATGCAAAAGAGACCACGGGTGTTTTTGTTGTTTGTGGGATTTGCCACCATTTTTTTTGAACCTTCATCTCGACTCAACGCGTTCTGGAGTCGCATCGTTCATCCCCCCCTTCACGGAAAACTCCACCGCAGTGCTTTTCGCCAGGCGCACTCCACTCCAATACACCTTGATACTACACTACAGCAGAATTCACTAAAGTTTATTCTATAAGCTTCACTCCTCTTGTAATATTACCCAACCATGGATTCGCCCAGCTCTACACCCAACAAGTCAAAAAAGAGTACCAAAAAGCAGGCCCAGATATCGTCACCTGCAAAATCCACATCGAGCCATTCCCGTACATCCGCGTCCCCGTCTTCATCCCCTAGCAAGATTAAGTCGCCGTTAAAACCTCGACGAGAGGAAGACCTTTCATACTTGGAACGACCAAAAGTACCGAAGCCAACGCAATACCCGCCGCAGCCCCCGTTGAATGCCCGGTTCGAGCGCCCTAAAACAAGAGCGCATCGCGTCTCGGAGGCTGACTCGGATCCAATAGAGCCTGGAGGGCATCAGGCAATGGAGACATCACGATCGACAACAGTAACGCTTATGGACTCCACTACTACAGAAGAAGTGCCGACAGCATGGGAAGTACCACCGCCCCCAGAAACAGGGGAAGAGGACGATGCTTCTAATGATACCATGGAATTGGTGCGGGCGGAGCAGGTCGAGGATGCATTGAAGGATGTCATGACGGAGGAAGAGACAGCAGGCCATGCAGCAGGATGTGCACCTTTCAGCGATTTTGAGGCGGTTACCGTATCTGAAGTACCCTCGACCACAGCTGAGATACTGGTGACAGTGTCGAACACGGAGGAAACGGGCGCTGGACTCGGGGAAACAGCGCCCGACACTCTGATCCCGGATGAGGATAGAAACCGCACACCACCTCCCACCACTATCGACAAACTTGTACCTCACTCTGGCACACCAATAACGCCTGTCACTATACCCGCGCAGATTGCAGTCGTTAATGCTTCGCCCAGCAAGCGTGTCGCGTTCTCGCCCAATAAACAGGAATCTCGACTTTCCAATCCCAGCACACTGCTATCGCACACCAAATTGAAGAGTATTTTGAAACCACCAGCACCATTTCGTATCGAGGAAGCCGACAATGAACGCAGTATAGCCCCCATATCAGAAGCGGAGCCGTTTATAACAGATGCGATGTTCGCCCTGACTTCAGAGGACCCGCAATTGAGAGCGGCGACGTATTTGGATTTGCAGGCAAAACTCAGGATGGGAGATGGCAAAATGTATCAGAACGAGGTTCGGGAAACGATCAGGAGATTTACAGCGTACTCGTGCAGAGACTTGGACCCAAGTAACCCCTCGGCTCTGTAAGTTGACAGTATTCGTTCACACATGAGCGTGTCATTAGAGTACTATGGTATCGATACTTACCATACAACATTCTTTGTGCTTAACATCATAGGGTGCAAGCGGTGTTGAAGTGCATTGGATTTTACTTTTTCAACCAGAGCTTTGCAGCGTTATTTACAGGTAATATGTGGTCTATTGGAAGAACATTGAATCATCATGAATCAACAAGCGTACTAATGCTCAGAACGATTTTGTCCGCACTCCAGCCCAGGAGCTCGATCCACTTATGAACAGAATCCTGCATATTATCAACACTACCAATGAAAAGGTATCCGACCACCATCCAGTCGTACGATATGCAGGATATGGATCATTGATTCATGAAGTATTCGCTAACCGAAATGATCTCTGCTAGCCTACTTGCACTCTTGCCATCTGGTGCTTTGTCACATCCAGAGTGCCATCCCGACTCCTGACACCATATATCACACGAATGGTTCAGGTATTTTCGGATAACTTGGACAATCGCTTCCAGTCTATGGCTATCAGCAGCGAGTCGCTCGTGGTAATTAATACACACAGGATTGCATCGCCCAGTTACAAAGATTTATTATCAGAATAATGACTCTTCATATGCACCTGAAACTGACAAACTTAACACTTGGGCTTTTTGATCACTTTCAGGGATTGTTCTCTTTGTTCAGCCAGTTTCCAGGCGATATTTTGCCACATGTTCAGACATGGCTTATTCCTGTGATTTCGAAACTTGTGGTCAAGGTTCCTGGTATCCGCTCCAAGGCCTTGGAGCTCATCACGATGGCGACACCCAAACTGATCGAGAAAGAGGATCCACGGCGGAAGGAAGCCGTCACCAAATTTATGAATGAACGCTTTACGGAGTTTTTCGAGTCGTTGACAAAGAATTTCCTGGAAAACGGCGATGGTAGGTCTTTTTTTTTTTTTTTTTTTTTTTTTTTCCTGGGACAGGGCCTATTATCGACATACTACTATCTGAAAATGCCGTCTTTATTCTGCGGATCGAATTCTCGAAGATGCTAACAGCCTTTATCCGTCTATAGAAGTATACGCCGTAACTGTTTGGGGCGCCATGGTCACATTGATCGGCAGAGACTTGCAAAAGAGGTCCTTCCTCAATCCTATGCTCAAGATGGTGGAGGTAATTTTTATCGTGAAAAAAGTATCTGCAAGTGTACAGGGACTGAGAGGCAAGCAGCTAAACAGGTATCTGGTCTGTTTGTCGTGATGGACTTTAGAAATGCTTCAACACATCGTCGCAGCGGAGAACTGAAATCAAAATGGCGGCATACCAGGCCTGGACGTATGTTGCTAGAAGTCGTAGACTTTATGGTCAGATATTAGACAATATGTCGACTCAGGTCTCCATCAATGGCCATTAACTCATTGGGTTTATGGTTCCTTGATATAGACGACTTATTTATAATTTTGCAGCTGCATCTCTTATATCGCACGAGAAGCCTCTCAAACTTCTATTAACGCCGATCACGAACTGGTGAGTGCCATGGCTTCGTTATGTGAGAAGGGCTATGGCGTGCACAGTCTGTATTATCGGAACTCTAACAGTACATTTTTTCTCGTCTTTAAGTTTTTCTGCGGAGAGGCACAAACGGGTTCGACTTGGATGCACCAGCACTTGGTTCGCGCTGATCTATGCCCTTGGACCCTACTTACCAAAGGTAAAACATAAACTGGTATTTGATTCAAACCTTTTAAGGAGACTGGTGTCTATGGACGAAACTTGCTGACCGATACTGATTACACATAATAGAATGCGGATGAGGTCCTCTTTCCTCAGCTAATGCTCGCAGTTGTGGACGATTCGGAACACATCCGCGATGTGACACTGAGACTTCTTGTTGCTCTATTTTCCAACTCTGGGGGCCAAGGTATGCAACTGCTCGCTTTTTATTAATTTCAGGTCCTTGTTATGATCTTAATCTTCACGGTAGCCTGAATCCAAACGCTCTATTTTTACAGAACTCGTGGAAGGAACTCAGTATATCGTGCCAGGAACAATAACATTTGCGGATTTACGCGGGAGAGACGAAACCTGGGTCCGAACAGAATTACTGGCTCACGGGCTGGATTGTATCTACCAGACCATTCGACTACAACACAAAATTAGCGACTCTAGCCGTGAAGAATGGAGATGCAGCGCGCTGACCGGATTGCCAATATTAACAGAACGGTGTGCCAGAACCTGGGAAAGTATCGTCAAAGCAATTCGTGATCTCAACTTGCAGGAGAGAGGTAACAAATAGTGCCCTCTTTATCTCTGATGGAGTGAGGTTGATACTTTTTCTCTAAATTTGCACTTTTCTTGCTCTCTTTTTGTTATAGGAATGAAGGCAACCGCGGACGCCAATCAGTCCTTGTCCTCGCTACTATTCTTTATCGAAAGGGTTTCGCACTGCGATCCGAAGACTCTAATACCGATTGAATGGCCTGATACAAATCAGAAGGAAATTGGACTGTTGAAGCGAGACCCCGCCATGGCAGGATACATTCTTCGAGCGGATATTGTACACTACTTTTATGTCAGCGTGATCGAGGCCTTCAGCATCAAGACTTTAGTCGCCGCCCGGTACACGATTCGCGACAAGATTCATGCGGATGTTCATAGTGCCATCAAACAAGTGTCGGAGCCGCCATCACAAGCGAGTGAAGTGACTGAACCGCAAAATGAGACAACAAAGGGGGGGCCTTTGCCGATCCCACAAGAGGCATCACAGGAGACGACGCTTACTCCAATTGGTTAGTGACACGGGCATGGTCGTACCGCTGAATTGTCGAATGGTCTGGCAATGATATTCATTTCACTAACCGCTAGCTCCTTTCATCAATAGAATTCATCCTCAAGTGCTGGCTGGCAACAGGAGAATCGGTTATCGGAACGGCTTTTGAGACATCGTTCTGGCAGGCAGTAGCGACACTGGTGGATATGTCCAAGAGTGGATATCGCGTACTGGGCGCCCTTTATAAGTGTTTGGACCACATGGAGGACATCAGGGCCAAGAGACAGACTTCGAACGATCTTGTGTGGCCATCTGAGTCCAATGGTCCCGTTACGCCGATGGTCTTCCGCGAATACCAGTGCAAGTACTGGAGTATTGTCGGTACGTGGTTTATTCTATTGTATTTATGGTATGGATATGGCATAAGAAGGACCAGTGTCCTAACTATCCGACCTGATTTTTTATTACTACGTTCTTAGCCCAGAGACTCGGGATGACCATCAATAACAGAAATGAGCTCTCGGAGAACACGACGGCAGGGGAACAAACGGGCTACAACGAACTCTTCGACCTATTACTTTATCCCTTTGGTATCTTGAGCGAACCGGCGGAGACAAAAGCAAAGCTACTCGAGATGGACCACAGCCAAAGGGCGCAACTTACGCAAGATGCAGACTCGATGCAAACAAGGCTGCAGTTTATTGAAAAGTTCAAAGCGATCAGTATGCCAACCTGGACGGACTTGGTGCGGATTTTTTACAGGATTGCACAGCATAAGCGCGGAAATGCTAATGATGCTCTGAACACGCTCGCCAAGTTGATCCGAGAATCCTATGATACTACATTGGAAGTTGACTGGTAGGCATACTTGCTATGGTGTTGCATAGCCGATGCAGGATATAATGCAAAAGTTAAACGGATTGCACTTATTAAATGGATCATCTTTATCCTATTTTAGGATTCAATCGTTGAGTATCACCTGCACGAGCGCGATCGCCGATACCATACTCCTGGTCTACCCTGTAGGTTCTCAGGCACAAGGCTCGTCGTCTGGACATGGCCACAATAAGCAGCTTGACAAACAGTAAGTCCAGTTACGTCCTATTCAAAGGACTATGAATGTTTTGCTGTTACACAAATTAACTAATATTCCATGTTTTCTTTAATTGCTTAATTAATGTAGCTCCTTCGGCGAACTTTTAAATCTTGGTTCGTTCTTGTTTGGGGAGGCATACAATTGTGTTGAGAGGACCAAGAATATTTCTGGTCTTGCCTCTATTCCGTTAGACCAGGAAGCTGCGTTTTTAATGATGGAAAAGATCATCAACAAGGCTCCAGTGCCGCTTATCTTTAGATGGCTCCAGCTACTTGAGCAGCCAATCATTCGCTGGCTGGATGATCCGCGTATGGTCATCAGGAACCTGCCAAAGGTCGACCGTCGAGCTTATCAGGCCAAGATTGAGGACTTTTGGAGCACTTGCGTCTTGGCAAGACTGATGAGCTGCTCGAATGATGGAAGTAATGATGGATTGACGAGCGCTTTCGGTACGGTGTTGGAGGCTCATGTTCCAACCATCCGAGGCGCTGTTCAAAAAGCCCAGGCCAGTCGTGCGACTGGGGACACGCCTTCATCATCAACGACAACAGTTGCAGAGCCATACAATTCTGAGTCTCTGGCTATTTTGGCGCCGCTGCTGTTTGCAGGCCTCAATTCGCTCCGAAAGCCCATCGTTAACAAGACTCTGGAGTTTTGGAATAAGACCTTTGGCCGCTCCAAGGCGGACTTGGTGTATCCGGAGATGATTGTGTCGATTATGCGGCAGTTGAAGCTGGTCGCGACCATCAGCCTTCCTGGATGGACGTTTGAAGACATCTCCCAGACGGAGGTCCCGCAATTCGCATCGCTCTCACAGGAGCTATTCTCTCTGCCAGTGGAATTAAAGGCTCGGACAAGCCTCTCGAGGCTGCTTAAGCAGAAGGCGGAGGCTGCAGCTCAGCAAACGGCGAAGAAGAGAAGCAAGCAGAAACCTGATATTACGACTAACGGTCATCAGAAGTACATTGCCACTACAATCTATACTTCTTCCACAGCACACCCCGGTTCTCCCATGACTAATGATGGCAGTGAGACTGACAACAGCACGGCAACAAGTGCTACCAATAGCCGTGCTCCATCGCCCGCCGCTCCGTCGACACCTACTCGCAGCAGGAATCACACGCCGGCAGGAGATTCAGACTGCTCTGTACAGTCCAACGGGGAAATCAAGAAGGACAGGAAGCGGAAGAAGACCAGGATTGTACATTCTCTAGCCATCGATCCGTTGACAAAGACCCTCGTGGGACGAACGAGCGAAAAGAGCGTCAGCGGTACGCCTGAGGACTCTGCGGATGAGGTCGAGATCTCAACGCCAACAAAGAAACCAAGAAAATCGAACGCTAAGACGACTGTCCTCCCAACGCCTCCTGTCTGGCGAATGCCCACGGCACTCAAACCATTACACGGACCAGCCAAGGGCAAGTCGTTGCCAAAGGCACAGATGGCCGCGTTCTCTGGATTTCCTGAGATGGATCCCAGCTCGGAAAATAACTTTGAAGTGAAACCAAGGACGCGTTCTGGAACTGAGAACCAGGAATCGGTGTACTTTCCGGCCTCTAAAGTGTCGACGAATGCAATGAATGATGCATCTGCAACCCATGTCGTTGATGGGCAGGAAAAGGATGCACAGGGCGATATGACAATGGATACCTCGTCTGCACTGCTTATCTTTCCTTCTTTGAGAGAAACGGAAGGAACAAAAAATAGATCCAGGAGCGGTCAGCAGGCTATTGGATCGTCAGATGCAGCTTTCTTTGATGGCAGTACATCTCCGAACGTTTTTTATTCGGCTGGATCGGAGGAGGCAAGGAGGGCGCCAGAGGCAAGCGATGACGAAGAAGCTGGTATCCCTCGCGATCAGTTGACCGAAATAGTGCAGATGGAAGAAATGAGAGCTGTGGATGGTGCGATCTCCACACCCGCGTTTGCACCTGGCCTCGCACCGACTCCTATGGAGTTTGTAGCACCGATTGAGACAGGAGAAGGATTTGCGATGGCTGTGCGACGCCTGGTTGAGGCGCGTGCAATAGTCGGGCAGTTGAGCATGAGGTGAGCGAGACCTAACATTTGATGATTATATGACTATCAGAGTTACATGAGTATGATTGGGGTTGGCAACTAAACAAATGGTACTTTGTATCTATAGGGAGCTCTTTGAAGTGCAGAATCAGCTAATGACACTTAATCAAGCGATTTGTGGAGTCTGGGGCCAGTTTGTTGAAGATGACTCGAAGGATTGCGAACGCACTGATATCCAACAATAGAGCTATCTCAGCCAGCAAACAGCCGTCTGAGGACAGTATCAATGGAAGTAGTCCTACCCCAATGGCATTAGCTAGCATTTAACGTTAACGTTCGTTGTTATTACTGACAATCATAAAGTCTCTGCGTCCTTTGGTTCCCCCGTCCCAAGATAGCAGGATCATGCTGCTCTTCTCGACGAATGATACCATTGGTCTTTTCTTGGATGCATGAAGGTCACCAGATCCTTCTGGCCGGCAATGTTAAAGCTGAAGCAGTTGTCTATTAACCATGGGTTATGGCTGCAGTGCATAAAATGGATCGTTTCACAGCTGTAGATCTTGAACCTTGATCTACCATTAACCCGAGCTCTCATAGGTTCGTTTAGGACTCCTTGTTTGTGACAATCGCTAGGCGGCAATTATTTAGGGCGCTAAAATGATTAGAGTTGGCGCGTTGAGGACAAAGATTGATCACAAGGACGATGAGTTCCTCGTCTGTCATCGACGCGAAAAAAGAGAACAAGTAACAGGAAGCCAGAGGGTTTGCATAAGCAACCTTCACCAGTAAAGCACATCATCCGATATGCTCTCAAAAATATCCAGGCAAAGGTAACGGCAAGGATTTTGAATAGAAAGTTCGTGAGATTGCCCTAATGATAACAAAGATATCTCCTGCCTCATAAGGACAAAAAAATGCTAATCATCTAGACCATGAATGACAAAAAGCCAATGGACGCGCTGAGTAACAAAACCAACTGTCTTATGCAGTTTATGAGCTGGCGGTTTTACATGGTATTGAATAAAGGTATCTTATTATGTAAAGGCACCAGCTAAGCTGGCACCACTATCAATAACCTGCATGTACAACCCCGGACCCTTTTTTCATTTTCTTAATTATTTTTTTTTTACTCCTCGTCTTCTGGTTTGTCCAACCTGAAGGAGATTTTTTTGCATTTATCCCGAGCGTTCACCGTACAGCGAGAAGAGCCTCTTGTGCTTGCTGGTTGTGGAGAAGTTTTAGATGTAAATGCGATGCAGCAAACTACGAGAGCACCAACCAAGCAAGCAGAACAGGCCCCTGTCCTCTCTTTCTCCCTCCCCAACCTTGGATCTTTCAGCCTCGCACCACTTCTGATTACGACATTACAAAATAGAACAAAATTGTTTTTTTTTTAGGTAGATGCCTTGTAAGGTTACCCGCTATCAAGAAAGCATGGGCAAGGAAAGAACGCGGTGCACAATGCCGTCATCATCGGTGGACCAACAGATTGGAAAGGTCTGGGGTTTGCTCAGAAGTTGGCAAGTCGTTTCATTTTCGATGTCGAGAGAGCTTATAGAAAACAACTATAGAATGAATGGGATGAGGAGTGCGGAGTATATTTTTTTGTTAACACACGCACACACATTCTCTCTCTCTCTCTCTATCCTACAATAGTCTACATACTACAATGCCCAACCGCTCCAGAAAAAAAAACAGAGTTATATTAACGGGCGAGCGAGCTATGAGCATTTCCTGAGTTGTATCTTTTTTTACTCCAAAGGTAATACTTGCCCACTCTGTGCTCAGTGCAATGAAAAAAAAAAAAAAAAAAAAAAGGTCAGCGGTAACCAACTCATGGAGTGGTGGAGTGATAGCCAATTGTGGGGCGAGGACGGGTGTGGTTAGTCTAATTAACACGGAATTTTTTTTGAAGGGCGCGTGTGAGGCGATCTGGCAATGTTGACAAAACGCGTCCAAGCACTGCACGACACGAGGAAAATCAGGGGGAGGAGAGGGGGAGGGGGGATGATAAAGGACAACGGATCATCGGCGATCTGTCGAAAAAGAGGGGGAAAAAATTAAAGGAGAGAGGGAGATGGATGCCGAGGCCCGCAACAGCGAAGAAACATCATACCATCGGCAGCAGCAGCAGTACAGGACTACGGAGACCGATGTAGATTACACCAATACCTTGAGCACCATTGCATGATATCAATTTATTCATGGTTCATGGTGATGGGAGTTTCCCGCAGAGTTCACTTACGAAAGTTCAAACCATCTTTGTGCATACTTCGTCGTTCATTTCATTTTTCTCGTTGTACATATGAAAAAGCTCGGTTACGCTCGGATGGTCTAGTCCTCTATTTGGAAGTCTACAAAGTCATTTTATTTTTTTGATGGTCGTGCAAAGAATTTACTCCGCACTTTCACTCCGCCCGCGTATTGAAGAGGAGGGAGCTTAGACCTCTGTCCCAGCGCTTCTTCAATTATACTTCGCTCTGTCTTTGGCTCAAGAATGGAGGGCTCTCTAAGAAGAGGTACCTAGGTCTAGAGTTATATGAATCCAAGGAACAAAAAAGCGACAGTAGTCAGGTGTATAGTAGAAGTAAGTGTGTCCCTCCAAGGCCAAAAGGCCAACAGGCCAACTCTGGTGTGATTCGATACAGTGTCCATGTAAACAATACAATGGATTTTATGAGGGTTCATTTTGTCTCGAGTATGTCAACAACAACAATAGCAACAATAACAAAACGACAACAACAACAATAGCAACAATAACAAAACGACAACAACAGAGCGACAGTGCTTTTGCCGCTGCTTCGAGACCTGCTGCCCCTCGCATTTTATGAGAGGAAGATTTTCTAATAGACTATGTAGAATATCAAACAAAAAAGGCCCCTGTGAGATGACTATATAGCGGCTTTGTTTATCTTTTGCCACGAGCTCTGTTATGCTCTGCCCAACACCTCAACAACGCGAAAAACAGGGGATACAGGCTCTTAGGTACCGATTCGTTGTAGACAAGGCCAATGGAGGTGGATAGTGCGTCGCTCTGGATATTTTAGCTCGTTCTGTGTACAATACAGTGGCCCTTTTGGCGCCCTGTGTCTCTTTAAAAGTGTATAGGATGAGAAGAAGGGCGGTCCAATGATGGGATTGTTATTAGAACGATGGCGAAATGGGTAAAACCTGGAATACCATACGTACAATCCTATGGGGCGAGGTGGAGGATAGGAACAGACAGGTCGAGGTCGAGGATCCAGATCATGTTGCTTACTCGGAGACCATGACGTGAGGCGAAGGTAAGCGGTTGTATAGTATACTATGTAGTTGGCATATAATTGAACAGATCAGAGGAGGATTGACGGGGCCACCATGGGCGAGAGATGCGACGTGGTTGGATCCGAAGAAATAACGGCCAGAAGCAATTACGCTGTCGGTGTTACACGATGGAGAAAGGGCGTTTGAAGGACCACGGACACTTGTTATTTACCCATCTTCACGTCCAGGGATTATGCAGCCGAACCTACTACCACTACCATCTATGGCTAGGAAGGTACGGTAGTCTGGGGATGACACAACACTAACACTCTTCCAGAATAAAGTGTGAAATATATCGTTGGCCAATTCAGTGAATCCATTTTAAGAAATTCTTTAAAAGGAGCACCCCCTCACCCATTTCCCCATTATTTCCAAAAAAAAAAAAGAAAAAGAAGTACAAAACATAACCCGCCATTCACTCGAAAGGCATATATCACACTTCCTCCATCTTTCTTCAAAACTACTTCTTCCCCTTCTTTCTCTCACAACCTCACAATCCCACGGCCGTACAATCTCACAATCACATAATCTCACAATCTCACAATCTCATAGCCTCACAACCTCACTTACTGAAGCACCACAACTGAACAAACCGCAATGGGCGCCGCTCACTCCTCTTCGCGCTCTGGTACCGCACACGGCAACCACAGCTATAGCGCATTCAGCTCGTCTCATAAGGGACGCCGCTCCCTCTCCAAAGACAATCTCCACAATCATCGCTGCAACACACAGCTCCACTATCCCATCCCCAACAACAGCGGCAGTGCTCTCCACCACAACAACTACCTTCAACCGCCTTCCTCGCCCGCATACAAATGTCACGGCCGTTCTCAACACAGCAAAAACCATGCACCACACCATGGTTCATATTCTCCACCATCGAGCCATACTTCACACTCATCCTCGTTGCAGAAGGCATTTGGTCGACGGAGATCATCGAACCAGACGGTCGAATCACTACCCTCGAGTCTGGGCTCAAATGTTACTTCGTCGTATTCTGGAGAGAGTAGCGCAGGAGGACCTTTCGAGGAGCGCGAATTCCGATGGCTGCATGGCCGGCGGTACCATAACACGGATAGCCTGTACATGTTGCCGAACGACACTGAGGAGATTGATAGGTAAGGCACTGAGCGTTTATTTGGCGTTTTGAATCGGGAAGAGGGAATCGGGTGCCGAGGGGGTGGATCGGCGACCTGTGATTCGTCACTGTTCTCGGATAGATAGACAAGTGGGTACGTTTTGAAATTGGTGGAATCTTAGTCCTCTCCATCCACGACCGCACCATGAATCTCTCGACCGCCAGGCCGATTGCCCTGGTATCGCCACCACAACGAACCACACAAAGACCTCCTCCCCCTTCGATCGACATCTTGCTGCATTCGGACCCACTTTCGGGGGGGGCGGAAGCGGACTCTGTTCCTAAAAACAAAATACAGTTTAATACAACTCCACCAAACCGGAACAGGGGCCAAAGCCAAAAAAAATACAAGTTGCTGTTCATGTTTATGTCCAGCAATGGCACAGAGAGCATTAAGAGCCAATGTTGGGAAGAGGAGGGCTCAGGGGGCGACCTTGCATCGATCCACATTATCTCTTCGGACAAATGTTCGAGATAATGGAAATATCTCTCATGGTTGGGATTAGCGTCAGCAAACAATACCAAATGTATCTGTGTTCTAATCTGCTCTCTCAACTCCTATTGGAACGATCTTTATTATCATTTCATCGTTAGATTGCATCTGCAGCACTACATCTTCAAGATGCTCATGGGCAACAAGAACATTCATGTGCCCTTTCCCAAGGAGAACGGCCGCATCATCGACCTCGGCTGTGGCCCTGCCACCTGGACCATGGTATGTTATTCTCTCACTCTATCTCTCCATCCTCCGACCTTTCCACTTTTTTTTTTCCACCCCTTGGGCACGACATCATGATATCAACGTCGACTCATGCGAGCATTTGACCTTGTACAACACTCTCGGAAGCAAATCCGACCTACCCTCGTTTTATTTTTTATTTTTTTATTGGCTCTACATGTGGATGGGTATGCATGCATTTATTGCTTGCACGTCCCCGGGAGCGTCCTTGGGAAACAAGAACGTGTCGTCCATCTGTTTGTTTGCGTGTTTGCATTTTTTCGAATCGACCACTGGTTTTGCCTATCTCTTTATCCTGGCGATCATGCTTTTCATGCATACACATCATGACCCATTTGCGCTCGTACATGGTACCACTGCCAATGCACTTTTTCACGCAATAATACGTTATGACTCGCACACACGAGCAAAAATGGCGGGGTACATTCGTAAAAGGCATTTACTCCTTGAGGGGGTTTTTTGGAGGGGGCTCATGTCCTCCCCTCCCCTTTTCAACTCTTCTGGCCCATGCGTATGCAGGCAGTTCCTCCTTATTTTTTCTTTCTTTTAATGATCTCATGCCCATATGGGCGAGTGTTTGGAATGTTCTAAAACATTATTCGCCCTGTGAAAAAAAAAAAAAAAAAAAAAAACACTTGCCATCATGTGCTAACGCGCTTCGTTTTCTCTATGTTTCTATTCTTCCTCCTTTAGGACATGGCCACTGAGCTGACATCGGTTAACTTTATTGGGGTGGACATCTCACCGATCTTCCCTACGGCAATCCATCCTCGAAACTGCTCTTTTTACCGCGAGAACATCCTCCGCGGAATCTCCCAGCCCTCCAACACCTTCGATGTGGTCTACCAACGAAACGTCGCCCCCGGATTCACAGTCGAGAACTGGCAACAGGCCCTCGATGAGACCTACCGACTCCTCAAACCTGGCGGATGGTTCGAGAGCGTCGAATCCGATGTGACCGTCCAGGATGGTGGACCGTACACAAAGATGTGCTTTGAGCTCATGCAGTTTTCGATGATCTCAAGGAACGTGGACACATCGGTGGTGAAGATATTGGATGGGATGATGGCCAAAGCCGGGTTCGTGGATATCCAGGTGAAGGAGTACTGTGTGCCGCTCGGAGAATGGGGCGGCAAGATGGGACAGTTGTGGAAACAGAACTTGGCGGCCATTCTGGAGACCGTGAAGCCAAATCTGGTGAAGACGGGGAAGGTTGAGGAGGCACAGGTGGCGGAGATGGTGCATACAGCCATGGAGAAGGAGATGAAGGAGTTCCGATCATATCAGACAATATATGTTACCTTTGGACGGAAACCAATTTCATGACAACCCCCTATAACGAACAAATGATGAAAATAAACAACCTGTACATACTTTATCTTTTCATTCTGTGTGGGATGGAATGAACTAGAGTCTAGGGATTAGGGATGACGTTGGTCTATGGAGCTAGGGCTCTCCGATCTGGACGACGAGTCCGGTTGTGTCGACAGTCGCCTCCCAGGCCCACATCAGATCGTCCTTGACATTGATATCATCGGCGTGGTAACGGTGGTAGGTCTCGTTGGCCAGGGCGTTCTTGACGGTCGCAAGGACACTGTCACGATCGAGGTCTGGCTTCAGGAGTACGGCCAAGAACCCACCTCCGCCCGCGCCGGCCAAAGAGGCTCCTTCGATGTAGGGATCGAAATGTTTGAGAAGTAGCTTGACGACTGGAGGGTCTTCGAGCGAAGTGTTGGAGAGAAGACACTTGTGGGCGAAGTAGCGTTTCATCACTTCGCCTACATCTTGCATATTTCCTATTGAAAGATGTGAGGGAAGTGAGGAGAAAGCGCGTCTTGGACCGGTTGGCGAAGGGTTTGGGGCGAAGCAAAGTAAATGAACGTGGACAGAGTCGCGTTTGATTCAACTTGCCTTCGATGAGCGCACGCTCGCACTGAGACGCTTCCTGGACAAGCCGATGCATGGTCTCAACAACAACTGGCTCCTGGCCAGCCCAGTTCATGAGGACAGTTTGGAGCAAGTTCTTGGCGAGTCGGGTCTGGCCCGTGTAGATGAGCAGGAGTCTTGAGTCGAAGTTCTTGATGAACGAGTCTGACAGATCAATAACGTTCGTCTTGATCTGTCCTTGCACATATGCCCATTGTGTGGTTTCAGTAATCGTGTAATCGTGTATGTAAAATTTGACCGCTTTATGTGGGCAGAGATGATGAAGGGAGGCAAAGAGGTACCTGAATCGGGAGACCACGTTCGCAGGTCGATACCTTGAATCCTGGTAAAATGCCTCCGACCTGGTCCTGCCATCCTCCACCTATTTTTGGCAGGTAAAACCAACGAGTGATTTTTTAGTTGGCAATCCTTCATGCAGTGGGTCACCTATTCTTGCCTTGACCTGTTCGTCAGAAAGCTTCTTCCATTGTAAATCCCGTACCAGTGTTCATCATCTGCTCGACATCCAGGGTCAGGTAAATCAGGTCATCCATGGTATACGCCTCACCCTTCAGGGTCTTCAGCACCGCCAAAATCACCGCCGCTAAAATGCTGCTCGTGCCCATCCCTAGACGTGCGATAGTTTTCAAACGGCGTAAGTAAAATCCAATTCAGTTCACAATTACCACGCAGTCCCCCCCCCCTCTCCCCCCCGCATCGCATCGCACCTCATCGCTCTCACGCTCCCTTATTTTCGAATTGCAACCCACCAGAACCAAGGGGCAAGGTCGATCGGATGACGAGTTCGAGGCCGCCTCCGGAATGCTTCAAGGCCTCAGCGATGGTCTTGAAGGGCACATCGTCGTGTCGTTTGGGCGTGATGCCCAAGATCCCCGAGGCGACGATACAGGCCTTGAGGAGCGCGCCCGGGACGAGAGGGTCGGCGTGGTCCCGGATCTGGTCCAGGGAATGAAAATGCTCTGGAGGAATATCTGGGTCGTAAGAGAGAGAGAGGACAAGTCTATGTGTGTATGAGATCGAAAATGGGGGGTAATAGCTGTGAGATCAATTGGGCATCTTTGAAGTACTTTGGTTTGCATGAATAGAGAGCTGTTTTTTGGCGTTACGCTTCTGTACGCCGAGCCTTGACGGTGTACGGCGCCTAATTATGCACAAAGTACGGATTTTTAGTCCGAAGCAACTTGACAATTGGCCAACGTAAATGAATAGACAGAAGTGAAGGAACGTACGCGGTCGTTGATCTTCACAGCCACGTTGACGACCTTGCCACCGTGTTCGTGTCTAGGGTATTCAAAGGAGAACCGGACAGAAATAACATTCAAGGTCAGCACTGCCTTCTAAGAGCTAGGAACGCTACAGTGTCCTACTTAAAATTTAACGCGCGTTTTTTTTTCCCTCTATTTATGCTTCTCCGAAAGAAAAACCGGGGTTACGCGTACGTGATAGGGGTGGTGTCTGTCCATCCTCCCGCGAGGTCGATCCTTGCGGGGGCCGAAGCAGAGACATATGTCCCCCGGGGCACCATAGGCGGTCCTTGAGTGGGCAATTGGTGTCTCAGTGGGTGTTTTGCAAGCGCTTCTGTGGTGCTGTCAAAATTCTTGAGATTGCTTCGGTCCTGTGGTAGGAGGTCTGCGGGTGGTATCATGGTGTGAGATCCCGGGGCACTAGCGGTACTGAGCATGGGTCAAGCTGAAAATTTCAAGTGAGGTGAGGTTGCTGGGTGAGGGCGGTTTCTGAGTAATGGATGAAAGATGAATGAGAGAGAAAAGAGAGAAACGGGAAGAAAAGAGATGGCACACTGGTTAGGCTCGCTCTCATGAAGAGGCAGGACGAATGAAGAAAAGTACTGGTCTTATGCGATTCTGTAGGGCGAGGTCTCTCTTTCCAAGCAAGCTGAGTGGTCTGAGCTGTTAGCTGAGAGTTATTTTGACTACGACGACTACAAGAACAAGATCATACAGAAATACGCAATCGCTAGTGCTGCAGGGGCGGTACCACCAAGCTAGTGGCGAAATCCTGTTTGGCCAATGCGTATTTGTGAGCTGGACTTTCTATGCGGGTCGTTCAGTCTGTGACAGGGGCAATATCCAACTGCACACGCTGCTTGTTACTCCACTATGTGTTTACAGCTGGGCAGAAGGGCTTCTCCCTGGTCATGTACGTGTGTGGTTGCTGCCTCACTGCAGCAGTCCAGAACCTTTTTTGGGCTGCGAGACCTGGCTGGCCAATAGGGTGGCGATGACCCCCGATGGCGTTGTTTCCCACCGGTTCGAAAATGGAAATCGACCCTCGAATAAATACGAACAGGGCCCTTCTCCTGAACACCCTCCCTGTCTCTCTCGCTTCCATCATCCCCTCCCCCTCCTTCCGCCTCTGTCCATCAAAAGATCCTCCATTCTTTTGTTCGGCCCCACTCTCCTCTCGTAAACCCACCAGCCTTCATCCACGGGGGAGAAAGAGCATCAATCCTCCAGAGCACAACCAACACCTCCACTCGCTTTTTACCCGCCCTTTTTTATTCTTATCCCAACCCCATTTGCTCTCCCTCACTAGACCCTAACAGACAGGCACTCTAGTTGAACATTTCCTTGGCCGTCTCCAGCAGCTTTCTTTCTTTTCCATCTTTATTCGCCATGGCTTACTTCTACCTTACCTCCGGAGGCCACGTTGGCCGTGAAGTCGATTGATCAATCGCGGGAAAAGCACACACTCATCCTTGAACCAGTCCCTCTCCCGCGATAACCCCTCCCCCACCATCTCACACTATTCCACACTCCATAACAAAACAAAAAAAAAACGAAAAACAACTATATCCCCAATCCTTCACAAACGACTTCCTAGCCTTCCGACATATCCTCGACAACCCTTTACTACTATTCTTTTCTTTAACATCCCAGCGCCTTCAATTGCTTCCATTAGTCTTTGCCCTTCTTATCCCATTATTTTTCTATCTCTGGTTCGTTGCCATATCGGGTCTCCGGAACCTTCTTTCTTATTTCTCTTATCGAGTGAACCTTGCCTCTTGGTCACATTTTCATTTTGCACAAGTGCACACAAACCCCAAAAAAGAAAAAAAAAATGTTTGCCACCAACTCCCACGCGACAAACGCATCCAATGCGCCCTCGAATGCGCCAGGGCTCAACACCTGGCTTCAGGACGTCCTCGACTACTCCTCCTTCTCAGATGACGCTCACTCACCCGTCCTCCCCATCGAATCCTTCGACCCCTCTTCTGCCTTCTCCTTCCCCGACTTCTCGATGCCCCTGACTATCTCTCCGGCCCAACAAGAATTCCAGGACATGTCGTTGTCACCGACCTTCCAGCCCCTCCCGACAACCTCTCGCGCCGACATTGGTCTCTTCAATGGCGAAACTGCGCGTCAAGCTGCTTTACTCCATGCTTACCTCGCTGCTCAGGGACAGAGCATCGGCATTCCTCAGCAGTGGATGGCCCCAGCAATGACACTCCCCACCACTGAGCCCCAGCAGATGCAGGGAGAGGAGCAGCAGAAGCAGCAGGAACAGGAGGAGCAGAGACAGCACATGGCTAGGATTCAGCGCTCAGATGCCGAGAATCTGGCGCGGTACCTTGCTCAGACCCAACAGCAGATCAAACAGGAGAGCTCGTCTGAGACCGCGATGGAATACGATTCAGTGTCGGTGCCCCATTCGCCCTCTCCTTCGTCCTCCACCGCGTCTGAGGCCGGCGACAAGAGCCCCTCGACTTCTCCGACGCTTGCGGAGCGCTCGCTCAGCCCTGAGACTCCCTCTGGATCGAATGCCGATATGGCTGGCAAGACGGGATCTTCCTCAGCCAAGTCATCCTCACGTCAGCTCGAGTGCTTTAATTGCAAGGTGACACAGACCCCGCTTTGGCGTCGAACCCCTGACCGCAAGCACTCGTTGTGTAATGCTTGTGGGCTGTACTTTAAGCAGTATGGAGCCCATCGACCATTGAACGCCCGACACAAGTTACCGACGGTGCTGGCGAGTTTGGGTACCTTGCCCTATGCGCGTCCTACATCTGGTCAGTCCAGTCGCGGTCCTTCTCCGGGACCCTCGAGTCCGACTAGCCCCTTGGTCGCTCAAGACTCATCTTCGTCTGCGTCTTCGTCTTCGGATAGCGACTCGGATTCGAGCCATGGCCATGATCTCACAAGTGTATTCCCTGATCTGACAGCATTATATACCCAGGCGTTGCTTCCACCCTCACCCGTAAAAAAGGTCTCGCCACCGTTGATGACGGCAAAACAGGGTATCCAGTGCAAGAACTGCTTACAGACACAGACGCCGTTGTGGAGGAAGAACGATGCTGGGGAGCCGATCTGTAATGCGTGCGGACTTTATGCAAAGCTGCACCATCGGGATCGGCCGGTGACGATGCGGAAGGCAAAGATCTCGAGGAGGAGGAGAGATTGGGGAGGGAACCTTGCGCATAGAGCACAGGCCCAGGCCCAGGCTTTGGCGGCTGCACATGTGCAGGCTTTGACGCAGGCACAGAAGAGTGTTGTTGAGGAGCAGGCGGATGCAGCGGCGACGATTGTGGAGGAGATGAGTGGAAAGGCGATGGGTCGATCGTCCATGGCGGTTGCTAGCGACAGCGAGGATGAGACACTTCAGCGGCAACAGCAGTCAGTCCAGAGCTTTGCTTCATCGGCTGCCGTTGCTGCGCCGGCTCCTGTGCCCGTTCCGTCGTCGTCGGTTGCACAGAGTTTGTCCAACAATTTGATCCTGGACGAGCACAAGTTTGCGGATGTGGTTGGGTTGATGAACGCGCATCAGATGAATCGGTTCTTGTCGATCTTGGAGAGCCGATGTGGTGTGTTACGAGAGAGGTTGTTGGCGAGTACGGAGGCGTCGACTCAGCAGCATTATCGTCATCAACAACAACAACAACAACAACAACAACAACAACAACAACAACAGCAACAGCAACAGCAGGCGATTCAGGACCTGTTGTTTTAAGTGGCATTTATTTTCTTAATTTTTTTTTTGTGTACAGGTTGATGTATAATGTAGTAATATGAAATCGATAAAAGATATATTGAAAAAAGAAATGGTGAAGGCTGTGAATCTAAGCGCGATATCACTTGGGCGCAGACGACCTGAACGGCCTTAAAAAAAAAAAAGGAAAAAGATACGGTCGTTGTTCTACGCGTTATCTTGGGACTTGGCTGTTAATAGGTTCACCAGGTTATCCTGCAACGATTCAAGCTGCGCTGCCATTTGCTCCTTTAATTGTGTCCCCAGTAATTCCTTCAGTTGTATTGCCAGCTGCTCCCTCAGCTGCAATGCCAATTGCTCCTTCAGTTGCAATGTTAATTGTTCCCTCAACTGCACTGTCAGTTCCTCTTTCAGTTGTACTGCCAAGTGCTCCTTCAGCTGTACCGTCAATAGTTCCTTCAACATGTCCTCCTGCCCTTCCCCCACTCTTTCCTTCACTCTTTCCTTCACCCTCCCCCTTAAAAACCTACTCCTCTGAATTCTTGCGTCCAAGTCGTCTTCATCTGCTCCCCGTGGCATCTCTATATCCTCTTTGGATGATGTGTTGGCAGTCGCTGCGTCATCTGTTTTGGCTGGACTACTGTCACCCTGAGAATGAGGAGTTGTAATTGTTGCGTCAGCAGAGGCAGAGGCAGAGGCAGAGGCGGCATCAGAAGCAGCCGCAGCTGCAGCTGCGGTGGTGGAGGACGTCTGCCCAAACAGCTTTCGCAAAGAACCAGAGCTCTTGTTACTGTTCTCAAGATACTTCTCCTCGTAGGCCTTCACCTGCTGAGGCGTTGCTGAGTAGTATATCTCGTCCGGAAACCAGTCGTGGGCCTCTCTAAAGCCTTTGTTACAGAAATGGGAAAAGAAAAAAAAAAGGACAGGAAAGAAAGCCCCCTCCCCATTTTGAACTTGTGAGGACAAGCACATGTCTATATGTTTGTGTGCAAGAAAGTATTGTTTGAGAAATGTATGTACCTGGGATATGAAAAGTCATATTCTCAGCACTCTCGATGTATCTTAGCTTGTTCTTGAGCCAAACCAGTTGCCATGATTCGTCACCGGTGGTGAACGCAACATTAATCAACGCTACAAGTATCAAAGACAAGCATGTTTTCTTCTTTTGTTAGGAGAGTCATGGCATGGAGCGGAGAGCAAGCACTGTTCGGAACCAAAATGAGGCGCTTCTTCTTACCAATGAGGACATTCATCATGAGGATTCCGGTGAAGAAAAGGTTGACGACCATCAGTAAAAGGAACCCGTAATTATCAGAGACGAAAAGGCTGGAGACAGGATCATATCGGCCTCCCTTTATACAAATATATATATTAAAAAAATAAAAAAAACGCGTCAAGAAAGAGAATTAGAAAAGGAACAACTATCGCATGAGCGCCTAAGCATGTCCCGCATCAAAAACATATTACAGCGAAACAAATTGTTTCGGACCAAAAAAAATATAGGCTTACCATGAAATAGAAGGTTGCCACCATGGCTTTGAAGAATTGCTGCGGAAATTCGGGCTCCAGGTCAGTACAGACATTGATGGGACATGCCCAGAGGAGGTGAAGGATCGCGGTCGTGAACATGATGATTCCTGCGGCAAAAATAAGGAAGAAGACACGGATCTGAATGATGGTCTGTATGATAATGGTCACGAAGTGGCAGACCATCTTGCTGACCCGGAGCTCGAAGAGCTGATATCGCAGTAGTATTTAAGAGAAAAGAGAGAGGGGAAGACATGTCAGCCGTCAATACCATCCGTCAGTACTGTGGAAAAAATCCGACTGACAATGTGTACATCCTGCACTGGAGAATGAACGTCGAACGACTTACACAATGAAGAAAAATGAAAACCACCGAGAAGCTGAGGAGCGCCACGTTACTACGGTCAGAAGTAAGAACATCTTCCTCCGCAGGGTCCGTAGGTTGTGTATTCCTGTGCCGAATGGTCAATAGCTGAGTGATGCTCCCAGCCAAGGGAAGTCCATAGGTCACAAGGTCGACATAGTTGTATATCGATCTACAATGAACTCAGGCGCTCGTCAGCAAGGACCTAGGGCCGAAGTACAATGTTTCCGCGCATAGATAGACTTCCCACGGCTATTTAAATGTACCCTACGGCCTACCTGAAATAGCGTTTCCAGTTCTGAAAGCATTGTATCAATTCGAGCCATAGAAATAAACAAGAAAAGACGACGATGGCCCAAAAGACGCCCACGAGTGACTGATTGTGGTCCCTGTAAACCTGAGCGAACACGACGGCGAGTACCAACAAGTAGAAACAGCACTGGAGAGCAAATCGTCCCAGCCAGTACTTGAAGCCGATAGTGTTCCTACGCGGTTGGACGATCGATTGTTAATTAAGATAGCCGAATATGCAAGATAACACGAAGAAGAGGAGTCGTACAAACGCATCGATCCCTACCACTTGTACTCGATCAGGGCTGCGATGGCAGGGTTATCGAATGCCACCAGTGGGAAGTTATGGCACACAATAATAACCCCGCTTTTCGGCTTACACTTGTGCCATACCATGTAGGCAAGAGCATGAATCCATGATTGCGAAACCTGAATGTTTGCGGCTTCCGGTCGGATAGGATTCAGACTCAAGTTGAGATTGCGGCTATTGATCCATAGCAGATCGAATGGTGCTACAAACAGCTCCTGTGTGAAGCTATCATTAATTGGATTGTGGTTCAGTTGGGCCGTCAACTGAAGTACCGGGTTCTTGCATTGGTGCAGAGGTGTCGCGTTGGGTCTCCAGAAGCGCAGTCGAAAGTTCGGAGCATGAACGACTTTGTGGTGGTCGAGGATGAAAGATCGGCTCTTAACTGGAAGGTAGGCAAGTTTCCGGAGGATTTGCAGACCTATTTCAGTATGGCTTCCGGTCCTGTCAATCCGTCTGTGAAGACTGTGTCTAAGCGGCAAAAGGAAATGAAGGACCCTCTCATCTCTGACCTGGCGGATGCAGTAATCGGTGATGATATCGGCAAAGGCCATCGCCTTTGGCTCCTTGTCAGCGGTGCCGTCAATCATCAACAGTGGCCCGCATGCTTGAAAAAGACCTTCTCCAGGGACCCATCGTCCAAAAAGCGATCCAAGTAATGCTGATACCAAATCCTCGTACAGCTCCATCATTTTAGGTGCCCACAATCCGCAGATGATAGTCAGTCCGATAGCCTCTGGCATCTCAAAATCGAGAGGGTCATTGATATATCTACCGACGTATTGGAGTATCGCTTTCCTGCAACAGTCGTCGGCGTCCTTAAAAAGCATCGCAAGGCAGTCAACTGTCAAAGGAAAAATCCTGTGATCTTTTCGATAAAACTCAAGCTCAGCGCTTAGCCGGATGATTTTCTGGGGCAATATCTGGCCCTTTTCGTCATAGCACAGCTTACGAGCATAGAGTCGCCGATGAGAGCAGACTCTCCACAAGGTCTTTTCCCTGTTTGTTAAAATATCCCAGTTATCTCGGCCCAAGGTGCAGGCCAGCTCCAACGTTAAGTCGCCGTCCATGCTCGCCGGCAGTGTCCATACCATGAAAAACGTTGATGTGGCAATCACAAGGCGTGGAGGGTTATCCATGATAGCCGCAAACATGTTTTTTAGCCAGCCATCGGGATCATGGACCGATGGGATGACCTTTCTCAGATGCGACTGCCCGCGTCTATGCGATATTTCCAAGGCGACGGATGCTGATGCATAGTCTTGGTTAGGTGCCTCGGCTGCTGCACACCATACTTTGAATTGCAATCCAGATGTCGTAGTCAACTCAGTGGGGTATCGAGAGAGAGGAAAGAGATCTTGCGGACACTGGTCATCGCAGGCTGGGACAGGACGAGAAAATCGCTGGGAGTATGGCTGTACGAAACGGTTCTCTAGGTGGATGAGATCCAATGTTGCTTCATGCTGAACGAACACCGGTTGGCTCGAACCTGAAGCGCGCGGGACATCGGAAAAAAACGCTGTCGAGCAGGAAAACCAATTCGACAGCGTCATGTCGGCTGTATCCAGGATGAAGCTAATGTTTCCTCGACCAAAGTCCGCGTTAGACGCCCTTGTTTCGCACGCAATCTTGGTATCGTTGCATACAAACCGCAAGGTTAAAAAATATTGATATGGCTTTGGTACTTGGTAGGACTTAAGCCGGATGCCGGTATTGGTGCGGTATGTCGAGATGCAGCCTCCGCTGCATATGGCAATGATAGACCCATCGCTGGAAAGGTCGAAAATGGCAATATTCAAGAACACGCGCGTGTTTTGATACCTCAATCTAGGGAAGAACGAGGTCATCGACCCATCCTCCACATTCCACACTGAGATGATGTCGTTATCGGGAGGAACCCAAGCGAAGCGACTGCCCCGAAGGGCGCGTAGTGGTGACCGTACGATCATGGCATTGAGCTTTTGCATACCCAAGACCTCGAATGCGGGATCCAGTACAGTCTGCGGTAGACTGATAGCGATCGTGCGCAAATGGCTCCACTTTCCGAAGGCGCTGTAAGTGTCGAGAGAAACGCCGTCGAACGTGATAAACAGCTCGTTCCTGGTGTCTTGATCTTGAGTTGCTGAGATATGGAACTTTCCGAACCAATGCAGGTTCTGAAGGCCTTGGCAGTGATGATAGTTTTCTGACGGCGTCAAGGTGGTGGCCCTGCCTTGCTTGTCATCCCGATGGAACTGATAGATAGAAAATGCGCTTTGGTAATCGTTTGGGCGCCGAGTAGTGGAGGCCGATGTGTCTGTTATTGCGACCTGAGAAGCGTCCCAGGAGAGAACCACATCGAATAAGAAGAATATATCTTCACTCAGATCAACAATAGGCACATGGATGTTTGCAGAAGGCTTTGGGTGCAAAAGACGCTGCTCCAAGTCCCAGATATCCAGAAGAAAGCCCGTGTCAGTGGCAGCCAAAGTAGCGACATAAGCTCCATCTCCGGACATTCCGACGTTAGTGACCCGCTTCGGTTGATGCGGACCATCCCTGAGGCAGACATTAAACGACTTCAAATACGGACGATGAACTAGAATAGATGAGTCTATAATGTGGAGGTATACAGCGCTCGTTAATGGACTGAAACCCTCACAGATCTTCTCTGCTATAGTTTTAATCCCATTGAAAGGCGGGGGCGTTACCGCGGACAGCCTGAGATGCAAGAAGTTCCATGAACCTCAAATCGAGACACCCTGGGTCAGTCGTTGGCAAGTCGCTCTCCGAGGTCATTATTCCCATAAACAACAGCACAGAGCGACCGTCGCCCTTGTTCATGAGACGATGATGTAGCTGCAGCCTGACGATCTCCGAACCCGATCCTATGGAACATTGACCAGGAAGGTTGCCAAAAGCAATGTCAGTACATGGATATCCTCCCGATCAGGTCAACTATCTTTCTTTTTCTTTTCTTTTTTATGATCCCTACCCAACAGCTTTTTGACTGAATCCTTGGATATAATCTAGGTGAGGATGATATACGAATAGGGCGCAATGAGTGATTGATTCGATTAAATTCTAAGACCATAGCCAAGGACCTAATCGTGGATTGCACAATTATTTTACCTCGTTCAACTCCATTCGCGGTCCGCCTTCGTGTCCAAAACTGAAAGTAATCGATTCGACGTTGTCTATCTGTAGGTGCTGAGTCGAGATCCCCAGGACTATGTCGTGAAATCCGGGTTCGCAATGCTGCATATCGAAGCGCCACTGTGACGAAGCAAAAAAAGAAAGTAAGCATTCCAAATGCTCAGATGCATAGCCCGACATCTGCCTAAAATTGATTGGACTTACATTTGTGAATGGGGTAGAGGCCGCAACTCTCACAGGTGGGTGTTCACTGAAATCAAGATAGAGGCGAGCGAAATTAGCAGATGGCTACTTGTTCTACGATGTACCGCTACCTTAAACACCGACGTAGGAATCTACCACTGACACCTCGTACTTACTCAAAAGTGCAGAGGAATGTAGGCGCAGCCGATGCCTCGAGAGGGGTGGTATGGCTTGCGTCCACCGAGACAGCGCTGGGTTCCATAAAGTATAACCTGGGCGCTATTTAAAAGCTGTTTAATATCCCAAACCCAGCGAGGAGACCATCAACTTTCCATTCCGTTTTTAATGCCCACAGCACAGAAAAGGTCTCACCAACTTTGGCTTCAGCGGCAATACTTGCTTGTGCATCAGATATGCTTTTTTCGCTGACATTCTCAGAGCTCGGCTGAACAGTTCGTTGCGGGAGGTCTTGATCGGACGAAGTGAGGTTGTTTTTAATCAAATGAGCTTCCATAGAGATATCAGTGCTGGTGTCCTCAGTCGAGGGGTCGTCGATCGGGATGCGGACACTGTGATCCATCTTGTTTTCTACTTGGATATGTCTTGGGACGAAAGTCCAGAAAGTAGGGAAAAGAAAATGGAACGAGGAAAAAAACAAAAATCACAGTTCCGAGGGCGAGGGTCAAGATGCTACCCATTGTGTAGAGGGCGAGGTTACACAGCATTCCTACCAGGAGCAATGCGAGCGTTTAGCAGCCTAGACCAAGGTGCACATTCATGAGGAGCTGGCGTGAAGAGCCGTAAAAAGGCGGTGTGAAATGGCATAAGGAGGTATAAAGAGAGGCAGAATCTGTTTTATTTAACCACAGGGGATGCAAAAAAAAAAAAGGCTCATTGTGCTACAGGAATCGCCACCCGTCGATCATCCTCAAGTCCCTCAGCACCACCAGCACCATTACTATTACCTTCCGCGGTCACGGCTCCGTTCTTGATCTCATTCTCGAGCCACTCCCTCAGCACCCGCTCCACCAGCCGCTGTGTCATCGGACTCACTGCCCTCGGAGGCTGCTGCTGACCCCACAGCGATGGCGGCGGCGTACCCATATGCACATGCAGGTTCGTGCTACTATTACTCCTCGACGGCGGAAGCACATTCTCCAGAACCACCGATCCAGAACGACCGGTGCTATTCACCGCCGCCGGCCGCTTTGCATCCATGCTGTCATTCATTCCATCTGGGACAACCGGCAGAAGTGGACTCGAACAGACGCTCCCACTGCTAACACTTCCGCTGCTAACACTCCCACTTCTGTTCTGTACCGCACCTCCAACCACTCGATTCGTCAATGCCGGCGATGGAGCTCCAGACTGTCCCACGCTACTCTCCCGATCCCGATAGGTCAACTTCCTGCCCTCATTCAATAATCGCGACTGCTGTTGTTCCCACATCTCCTGTTCCCACAGATGCTGCCTCAACGTCCCATCCAGATCCCCACCACCCAATTCCCCGAGCACTCGAAGGATCTCCGCGCGTTTATAGTACAACGCACGTTCTTGACACCGCAGCTGTGTATTTGTGAGCAGTGGTCCCATCACGCGGAGGTACGCGTGTCGCAGAGATTCTTGTTCTTCAGGCAAATTGCGTAATTCACGGATCACGACGTCGACGAGGACGTGGAGATCGTTCGTGTAGAAGAATTCGTTGAGCATCTGATTTGGGGATGTGAAGAAGAGGTAGAGGAGTTTGAGTATCAACGTTTGGAGTGATGTTTCCTCTATAGATAGATTGTGCAGATTGTATGAAAAGAAAAGAAAAAAAAAGAGGAGGAAGCGATTAGATAAAGTTTTTAAGAATGGAGGTCCCCACGTTCATTATTTTTTTTATTTTATTTTTGTTCCGCGTTCAGTATGGGGTACTCACCAGCTCGATTCAGCATAAAGATCAAGTTCTCGCCAAAGGTGCAGCTCGCACCAGGACGATCTGCCAGGACCAACAGCAATGGGTTCGAGGGGGTATAATTGCTGGCAGCGCGGAGCGCGGCTTGGTGTAACATGTATTGTTCATTGAACGCCAGAAGCAATTTGATAGCTCCATAGTTCAATCCTTCATCCACATCCGTCCTCGTGCTTTCCACAAGATCGAGCAAGTAATGCAGGAAGTCTTCATCGACCAGCGCTATAGAAGATAGTAAAAGAGATATTTACCGCCCATGCAGAAATTAAAATCGTATCGTCGTGAGGAAGAAACGTTACGCGATAGGTGATGGAACTTGTATCGCGCCGCACTAAGTTCTTACCGAGATCGCGCGGACGTAAGGATTGCACTCGACAGATTTCATACATCAGACTAACCGCCAATGGCTGTAGCCGCGTCCCTAGAAGAAGAAAAAAAGAAGTTCGCCAGTGCACAAGGCGGGCAACACGCGCGTTAGTCTAGCATCCTATATCAAATCCCACACTAGTTTTTTTTTTTTATCTGCTGCAGGATTGGCCAACACACTTGTCCCCGTCATCATACCTTCCATCTGTAAGATCTGGTACTTGAGTTTCGCAAAGTACTCGCTCTTCAGCATCCAGTTGTATACTTTCGCGACCTCCGTCCCGGCATAGAGCAGGACATTATATGTGATCCACATGTCCTTCTCTTCTTGGCTCTAATTTTTATTTCCAGGCGTAACAGTTAATAACAAAGGAATCAATCCATGATATCATTTCTCGCACAGTCCTTTCGCCGAAGTCGATTCTGTCTCCTTTCATCCTGTCCTTCTGCTCCTTGCAGGATTGTTTTTTTTTTTTTAAAAAAAAAAAAAAAAGAAACTTTGTTACATCATTCGCCTTTCTTGAACCACCCGATTCCTGTCCTATCCATCCACGGTTTCCTCCTTACCCACAGGTGTCGAATGAAGAATAATAATAAAAATAATAATGAAAAGGCATTGTGAATTGTCTTCCAGCAGCACTGTTATGGTACGTTACCTGGATAGCACGGTCAATGATCGCGTCCATGATACTGAGAGTATTGTTTTGGAATAAGTCTGAATCAAAAAGTCGGTAACAGCATTGTGCCAGGTCCTGCCCGGCTGCATCCAGAAACTCATCTAAGACATAAAGACAATTATAGCAACAACAAAAAAAAAGATCTATTATCAAAAAAACCGTACTTTCTACACCTGTAATTGAACAAATTTCACAGAATTGAGGTGCCCTCTTTCTTCCTCTCCCCTGCACGCACGACCCAGACCACCAATCAGTCTCGGGATTCACTCTACACCACAGTTTTCGAGATACCTCACTGGCTGTGTGTGAGTGTGTGTGCGTATGTGTATGTACCTGGAGTGAAAGTGTGAAGTAAACAGCATGTAGGTGGGTTCAAGGGGAGGATCACTTTGCGCCTTTTCAAGTACAAGGAAAGATGAAAAAAAGGGCTAAGGAATGGACGATGGGATTAAAAATAAAAAAAAAGTGCATGCAATCTGATCCCATGAATCGAGAATGGGTTGCTCCTGAATTTAAAAATGTTTATTTATTTATTTATGTCACAGCGAGAAAATAAAAATGACACAGCAACGGCAACAAAAGTGAGCGCTGTCTTTATATTCGACTGTACCTTGATACTGAACGATGAGAGAAATGAACGTATTCGCCTGAGCTTCTGGGCTGTCGTGGAATCCGCCTTCCTGAAGGAGATCTTTCAATTCTAGCATGGTGTTTGAATTCAATTTCAATCGAAGTAAATAAATAAACGACCTGGACAGAAGAAAGGATACTCAAAAAAAAAGAAAAACGAGCGCCAATTAGTCCTAAGGGAATGTGTCTTCTACCTTCATAGAATTGTGCAGAAGAATCAAATTGGTAGGTGACAAAGTCCATGGTGAGATGAGGAATTACAAGTGAGAAGAGAAGAGTGGGGAGTGGGGAGTGAGGAGCGAGATGAGGATGGGCGCAGGGGGAGTGGTATATATAAGAGTGGGCTCAGGTACAAACAAAAGTGTGAAAGTTGTGAAAGGCGGATGAGAAAGTGAATGAGAATGTGTAGAAAAGAAGAATCAACAATGTCCAAAAAGTGGAGACATAAGGGAAGGCTAGGTAAACCGGCAGAAGAGCTCAACGTTATCCAGATTCATACCGCACTATGGCACATCATGTGTTGCAGTGTACTTTTGAGTATGGCATGGTCATGGTGTATCGCCAGACTTGCTCACAATCAGCCTCACACACGTTGTACCGATCCATCTTCAAATTCCTGGTAACCCCCAAGTAATACTATGTATCTCTGTCAGGAGGCTACTCCACCTCTTTCAGGCCTGAGTGGTCATGCACTATATATACATCACAGCTTCCACGGGTGATTGACGCAGTAGATGGATGCTGGTACAAACCATCATATTGCTGATCAAACGCATTCAGAACCATCCAACACGTTGTATAGTACAAAAGCATGCTGCTTTAATGAGAGAGTGGAGCTGTTTAGAATGGAATATTGGAGCACAAGAATGGATGGGTTCTTAGTTGCTGTACTCGGGGTTCAGGCTGCTACGCATCAGCTGATCCGTCACCTCCACATATCCCCTCTTGCCCGCCTGTGTTACATATCCCGAGACCAACGGCGCCGCCGGTGCTGTCTTCATCACCTCCACGAACGACTCCCCAAGCACCTGTGATGATGATGGCGACGAAGATGATCCATTGACACCCATCTCCGCGTGGTGATCCTCCGACCCCGATCCTGCACTCGAAGACCTTGAGGTCGATCGCACACGGACATGCGAACGAGTCATCACATCATCCACATGGCCGCTCGCAGTCGAAGACGCCCGACTGTGTCCTGGCCTCTTTTGTACAAACACAACCTTTGGCACCACACCCTGCACCATCTCAAGCACAGTCTGCTGAGCCTCCACATGGACCTGACTCTCCAGGTGGCGGACCACATGGCTCACACCTTCCTCGGTCTCACAAACCAGAACCTGGCGGGGATCAATCAGTTTGGGACCACGGCTACCAGGAGTCGTGATCAATCCTGCGTTCCTGAGCATAGTCAGGATCTGTTCCCTGTCCCGATCCTGGCCCAATTGCTGCTGGTGCTTCAACTCGTCCTGTTCCTGAATCGTGGGCACCCTACCCTTGCCATTGGCCTGGGTCGGTTGTTGTTTTTGCTGAAGTGGTGGACAAAGCAAAATCAGATGCAGGTTGAAGTTTTCGGCAAGGTGGAACAGCAGCGGGATTGCACCCTCGACAAACCCATAGTTGGGTGTCGTCGGATCGGGCGAAGGGTTCCATACGACCGTCTAATGGGAATAAAGGAAGTGATCGCTCCAGTCAGGTCTCCGCTCAAAACACAGAACATATGGAGAATATAAAAAAAACGCATGATGGCAATAAGACACCTACATTTTTAATCGAGATAGTCATGACTTTACGATTTCTCTTGACGGTCCTGGCAATCTTCGATCCAAGTCTTGATAATGACGATGACTGAGCCTGCAAGATCGGAAGCGACGGCACAAACAATCGTAGTTAACCACATGTTCAAGACAAGGAAGATAAAAGAGAAGAAGGGCTCTCTCAAAGCAAGATCGCATCGCAAAAAGAGAAAGAAGCAGGGAGCGGAAGGGCGATCGATGAGGGAAGCAGCGCCATGGGCAGCTGTTGTTATCGCTTTTACCTCTGTTGATCGGCCTTCATCTTGTACATTGGTATTGCTGCCGCCGTTGCTGCTGCCGCTGCCGCGGTCCAGACTGGCCCTTGGATTTCGATCCTGACCGGTGTTACTGCTGGTGTTGTCGCGATCGCCTGAGCGACGGGGTTTCTTTTGATGTTGGCGGTAGACATACACGCCAATGGAGGCCAGGCTGATGGCCAGGGTTGTGTAGGCAAACATGGCACCGATCTTTCTGCTCCTGCTGGGTTGACTCTTGCTCATTATGGATTATGGATTATAGATTATGGATTAAGGATTATAGATCAAGATGAATTTGAATGAGAAATGAACCGAGGTAGCACTACAGAGTGTGTGTGTGAGAGAAAGAGAGAGCAGAAGAGGGGCGGGTGTGTCAAAAAGAGAGAAATGATCTGGGGAAGGGAATCCTGCAAAGTGAACAAACAGCCGAATGCAGGTCCGAGGAGAGGCAGCAGAGCAAACAGTGTAGGACAGCGAAAGTATGGGATCGAGTCGAATGGAGACAACGAAAGGACAGTGGGCGCGGCTGAATGCGAAAGAGAGAGAGAGAGAGAGAGAGAGAGAGAGAGAGAGAGAGAGAGAGAGAGAGAGAGAGAGAGAGAGAGAGAGAGAGAGAGAGAGAGAGAGAGAGAGAGAGAGAGAGAGAAAGAAAGGAAGTGGAGGTGGATGAAAGTGTGTGGGCTGGAAGTGTGTGGGCTGGAAGCGTGGGATGGGAGCGTGGGATGGAAGCGTGAGCGCAAGTGCGGTGCTTTGGCTCAAAGACAAGGTGTTGACATATGAAAGTTCGAAAGCACTTCAAAGGCCCCGCAGGAGGTCGTTCGAGGGGCAAAGGCAGCACGCCGAAATCCTTTTACTAATCACAATTGGACAGACAGCCTGGAAACCCAGTTCGACCCCTGTGGAGAAGACGGAAGGGAACAAACCCAGGAACTGTTTGCTCTCTCGCTCTGTCTTCTCTTTCTCCTCTACATCTTCATCTACATCCATCGATACGAGCACATGCCCATGCATTCATAGGACACAGCACGTATGGATGCGTACCCTACCCCCCATACTATGCACAGCACTGCTCCCTCCCTTATCCACAACCTATAGCAACCAAGCTTGTCCTGTCAAAAGAACGCGTCCCCTGGAATCAACGCGAAAAATATTATCCATGGACGTTCTGATCAATGAACACGTCCCCACAACGACCTGCTGAAAAGAAAAAAGAGACGCGCATCATCATCCCATTCGTACTGTTCCTTTGTTTCGCCATTCAGATGGTCCGTATCCGATCCTTGCATTATCTTCCGGACTAGTATGGACTTCCCCTTATTAGTCGCATCCATGGATAATCAGTGACGAAGCTACTATTCGAATGCACCACAACTACTGCAAAACAGTCGTGCTTCAACTCCCTCAGTTGCTTCTGACCATGGTCTAATCGCTTCAATTGCTGCTTCAACTTCTATCTCAATTGATCAATGGGGTATCAACTTCCCAAGCAATCCCCTCACAAGTTTCTCTCCCAGATCGACCCCCCGCGCAATCGGCGCAAAGACCGACTATGCCGAAGCGCAGACGGAAACATACACATCTGAACGAGTGAAGTGAGCTGATCCTCTCGGAGACAGTCACTTCTATAGTCCACCCAAAAAAACGATCAGCCCATTGCTTTCAGTACTTCACCTTCATAGTTCCAACAACTTCATTCTCATCTCTCCTACTCTTCTTTCCACCTCTCCACCTCTCCACTCATCCTCTCGCCTACTCTTCACCCTGAAATCTATCTAAAACCAAAAGGCGGAAAAAAAAAAAGCCAACGAAGCAAAAGAAAAACGTATTAGAAAATAACAATGGCCGCCCACTTGAATCACCCTATCCCCAAGAAACCATCCGCCCTCAACGGCGCCCACCTCGTCGGAAGCATCAACGGAATCGTAGCCGATCACTTTGCTTCGGGTGCCTCGACCCCAGCTTCGATTGCCAGCCCTGCTCCTCTGTCTGCAGAGGTCTACTTTGCATCCCATATTCCACCCAAGGGACTTTCTGAGAACGCGGAGAAGATCCGGTCCTTTATAGACCACCATATGCACGAAGGTCGTCGGGTTGTCCTTGTCACTGTAAGCCTTTTTTTGTTCTTTTTTTTTCTGGTTTCACCGCTAAAAGATGCCAGCGTGTGGATTGCATTGGCGGGAGAAAGAGAGAGAAAACGCACAGCAGAGGAATAGTATCACGCCACAGTTGGACCGGATCAATTTCTGGTATGATGCTTTCTCTGTTCCTTCCAAGCAAAAAAAAAAAAAAAAAAAAAAGCTCAAGTGCATGCATCTCTCCGCGCCAAGCGTCTGAGGGAGGAGGAGGGGTCCAGCTCGTCATTTCGCGCCATGGGGGTTTGTCGCAAAATACGGACCACCGCTGTGGGACGTTGTTGATCCCTTTTGTCTTATTTCCTCCGATCACTCTTTTGTTTTTTCCCTCGCTTCGGCCACCTCTCCTTTTTTGGTCTATGCTGCAACATTCTTTAACTTTCTAACGCAATTAACTCATTCTCATGCTCAACCAACAAAAAATACACCATAGAGCGGTGGAACGACCGTGCCACTCGAGACACAGACCGTCCGGTTCATCGACAACTTTTCGGCAGGCACCCGCGGCGCTACTTCGGCAGAGTACTTTCTGGAGGAAGGCTATGCCGTGATCTTCATGCACCGACAGTTCTCCCTTCAGCCCTATTCGAGACATTACAGTCATTCGAAGAACTGTTTCTTGGAGTTCATGGAGGCAGATGACAATGGCATCCATGGTGAGTTGGAGAATATCAATCGGTTGGTCAGGATCAGGCTGTGGGCTAGCTTGCTTGTGGCATTCTGAGATACTGACGTTTGTTGTGTATTATTTCAATTTTGCATCTGCATTAGTCATGCCTGCATTTGTGGATCAGATGAGGACGATCCTGCAAAAGTATCGCGAGGTAAGCAAACAAATTTGCTTCAGATATGAAAAAAGGTGCATAACAATCTCATATCCTTAACCCTCCCCTCATCCCCAAAAACTCCTCTTTTTCAATTTATGAATCGATGCCTCACGTAGACCCAGAAAGCAGGAACGCTGTTGACACTCGACTTTGTCACCGTGAATGATTACCTCTTCCTCCTCCGCGAAGCTGCCCAGATCATCTCCAAAATGGACGTCCATGCCATGTACTACCTCGCCGCTGCGGTCTCGGACTTCTTCATCCCCGCCGACAAGATGGCAGAACACAAGATCCAATCTGGCGATGGACTCCTGAACCTCTCCATGGATCAAGTCCCCAAGATCCTGAAACCTCTCGTCAATGACTGGACCCCCAAGGCCTTTATTGTCTCCTTCAAACTCGAGACGGACGAGGCGCTGTTGGAGCTGAAGTCGAAGCAGGCATTGAAGCGATATGGACATCAGATCGTGATTGGAAATATTCTGACGACCCGAAAGAGGGTCGTGAAGATGATCACGGCAACGGACCAGACTGTGATCCGGCTGACGAAGGAGGAAGATGAGGTTCAGCATGTGGAGATTGAGTCCAGGATTGTGCCCGAGTTGGTTCGTCGGCATGCAGAGTGGATCGATGCTTGTGGAAACCGTGGAGAGTGCGGTATTCGTATCAGGACAACTGCTGCCTAAAAGGCGAGAGGGCTTTCTGGCCAGGGAACGGCAGGTGCATACACAGGAAGAGTTTTTTTCTTTTTTTTTTCTTTTTCTCATTTGTAAATTAGTCTCTATATCTTTATCTATATCTTTGTATACACCTTTTCACGCAACCTTTGTGGGCGATTGTTCATTTCATAGAACCCCTCCGGCACACATCAATAGAAAACAAAAAACTGATACTTCTTACAAAATGTCGATTAGCTATTTTTTATTTTATTTCTTCTATTCGATAATGGATAGTACAAGGGATGGAAAGGGAGGAGGAGAGGAAGAATGTACAATTGCCTCCACTAAGCAAGGCGAAGAAACCACTTTTTTTGTGTGATATAATTACATGGAGCTGAAAAAAAAGACAAAAAGAAAAAGGAGGAGGAGGGGGAGGGAAAGGAGGGTTATAGCTGGGCGGCAGCAACGAGCTCAGCAACAGCATTCAACTGACACCTCTCCAACTCGTCCTGCTGCGCCCTCCGATCCTGTTCCACATCCTCATCATCCAAGAATCCCTCCAACGGTGACCCCATCGTCGGTGTTGGGATCGAACAAGTCATCGAAGGTACCGCCGAGGCCACCGAAGACATCACTGCCGAGGTCATCGACACATCCGGAAGAAACCTTTGCTGCTGCTGCTGCTGCTGGTACCACTGATGCTCTTGCTGGATCTGCTTCTGGAAGAGTTGAGCTTCCGATGATATCAGCGATCCCTCATCCTCAACCTGCTGCTGCTGTTGCTGAGGACGTGGGGAGGACGAGTACGGCAGGTGTTGGAAGTTTCTTAACGACAGAGCCGCCGCTGCTGCTGCTGCTGCTGCTGCTGCTGCTGCGGAGTAGCTCGAGAACGTCTGCGTATAGTCGTTTGCCTGCTGCTGGTACTGGTGCTGATGCTGGTTAGGATGCTGAGATGGATGAGAAAGGTAATGTTCATCCAACAAAGGCGAGTACGGACTTGCGGATGAGCACGTTGGCGAGGACCGTTGCTGAAGTTGAAGCTGTGTTGTGAAATGGTGGTCTGGAAGATCTGTTGGGCTGTGAAGGCCGCTGTTCATGATCTGACTCTGTTGTTGCAAGAGCTGATTGAACGGCAGCTCGAATTTTGTGAGGATGTTTGGAGGTGTCGATGTCGTGATCGGGGAAGGAAAGTCCGTGCTGGCGGTGTTGGTATGATTGAGTGACAGGTCTGATAGACTCATGCTCATGTTCAGATGGGTTGCTAGGGCTGCATGGTGGTGGTGGTGCAGCTGCAGCTGCTGTTGGTGGTGGTGGTGATGATGATGATTCTGTTGCGCTTCTTGGTTGTATGCAGAGTGAATGTGGCTATTTTCAAAGAAGCTGGACCCAATAGGAGAAATGGGAGAGATCTGGCCATGCTCATGCTTCATCATATTGTGCAACTGGCCGTACCCACTGGTGTTGCATGTGAGCTGGAGATGTGGTGGTTGGACATGGTGGTGTGCTTGTTGCTGTTGAAGCTGCGGTACTGGCTGTTGCTGCTGATGTTGTGGTTGAGGGGCCTGCTGATGAGCAGGGTATTCGAACTCGTTAAGGATTGGGCGCTTGTTTTTGCTGTACTTGCGGACACCAAGACACGTCTGACAGTTCTTCGTGAAGAGCGAGACGAGTTCTGCAGGGACCTTGGAATATGATTTCGTGATCTGTCGCAGAATAATAGAAAAGGTTGTGCACGTGTAGGTGTGAGTTATGGGTATAGGCCGCAGTGGAGGATCATCGCGATGCATGGGTGGATGGGTGGGATATGCAGATATGTATTTCGAGACGGCAGTGGAACAAATCGTACGCACAATGAATATGGGTGGAGTAGAGGTAGGGTACGACACCAGGCCGATACCAACAGGAGTGGAAAAGAGAAAGAGAAGGAGGCTAGGGATTTGGTTGCCCCTGGCATATCCAATACGCGTCGCGGGCATTGTTTCATTCCTCCGCCATCAAAAAGACGCGTCCTTTGCTTGGGCAGCGTACATAAAAATGCTCACGTCCATGTCTAAAGACGTGTGCACAGTGCTTGTTCCCCCCTTTCTTTTTTTGAGTTAGTCTATCATCCCTCAAGAATAATTCATTTGGTGCCCTGGGAATGTGTTTACTCTCCTTCACTCCCCCTCTGTCATCCCTTCACCGACAGAAATCGCAAGGAAAGAAAAAAAAAGGGGTGGGGGACGGGGGCGGGAAGAGGAAACTTGAAGGGTCATGCTATGCTATTCATTTGTTCTTTGTACTTACAGCCGCAAAAGTCTTGTCGCGTCCTCCATGTCCAATGATATGATGGAAATAGCAGACCTTGTCGTACAACTGTTCGCGCACGCACACAGGCTTGCCATTCTTCTTATCCATTAAGATCCTTAATTCGCCCACGACCGTAAACACAAAGTGCTTACGGACCCACCAGCGAAATTTTGGGTTGAAGATCGCAGTGTTCTCCGGGTTGGTCAACACCATCAAGCAATCATTCGCGAGCTGTTGGTTGATCAAGGCCTTGTTGCGTTTGCGAATATGGAGTTGGCTGATATAGCCCTCGACCAACGTCTCAAAGGTCTCGGGGCTCAAAAATGAGTATGTCTGAGGCATGTAGAGGCCGGTGGCGGCGATGTTGGCTGTCATGGTTGCTGTCGTTGTGCTGCTAGGGGACATCGACGAAGGGCGATTATTGAAGCCAAGGATGTTGTGCGTACAGAAAGCGATACTAGTCCGTGAGAGGATGGGTTCTGAAGGTAGATTTGTATCCGTTACTTGGTGCGGATCAGATCAACTACTTCTCTTTCTCGGCCAGTGAGGGGAATAGTCTGAGGTTTAGAGATCTCAATTTCGAGGCGAATAGTGGTGTTGGAATCGGGAGAACGAGAACTTGAAGGAGGTGCGAGAATGAAGGGTACAGGGGTGTATTATTTGGTGGTAGACGGTACAAGGTGCGATGGTAGGATTTTGGGAATGGTGGTGCCAGGATGGAGATTGGTTCGGATGAAGGTTGACTAGATATGCTTCACACAATGAGATGATGGTTACTCAGGACGAGCTAATGAGAAAACGATGGGCGTGAAGGAGTAGAAAAGAAGTGGGAGGGTTGGCGAAATTCTAATCCTTATATTCCTTTTTTTTCCTGTTGTCAGGGAGGAGATGGGGAAGAGTGAACGCCTAACAAAGGAGTATGTGGTGAGGAGGGCGGTCAGACAGGCTAAACGTGTTGAAATGGAGTGTGCTTTCTTTTTTCTTTTTCTTTTCTTTTTTTCCTTTTGGGTATGTGGATAGGCTTTCTTAATGCCCGCGAGATGCTTCTACAACAGGAAGCAATTATGAATGCTATGAAAAGACGACGATAGGTATAAGAAAAATGAGAAGAAAGAGAAGTGAACCAATAGACAAGCATCGACTGGAATGTGGAATCTTTTTTTTTATGTCTATTGAGTCGCCCAGGAATGTATGGCAAATAGCGAGTTTAATATCGACGCAGACAAGCTGGCTTTGTCCACTCTCTATGTTCTATCTGGTCGCATCTTACTGCCCCGCTTTTGGTACAGTAGACTGTCTGTCTATACATATTTCCCCAATTATTTTTCTTCAATTCCACGCTCTTGTATGTATGTACAATACAGCAGCATCAGTGAGAACCACATTGTGAGGGGAGGAGAATCGTGTATTTGCGTTAATCTTAACGCGAAAAAGACGTCGCGCGCATTTATGATAAGCTGTCAAAGATAGGGACGTACCACAGCCACAGCCTCCTTGTCTGCTTGGACTGAAGGTATGCTGCAAGTGGTTGATGTCTACCCTTTTTTTTTTACTCCACACAATAGTGTAACACCGCCATGCAAGCGAGGAAGAAGACCAGTCAAGCACAACAGCGATGGTTACGTCAAAGCATAAAAGCATCGATGATTATCCATTGCAATATGGAACACTCAATGACCTAATGGCTCCATATGTAAATGATGTTCGCCCTGATCGACGTCCTATGCTTCGAATTGGATCTCTGTTATCATGAATGATTAAGAAGAAATTCCCTGCGTTATGAGCACTTTTTGCACATGGCTGCCCCGCATCGGCCCTTTTTTTTTTTTTCTCTTTGAACGTGTGGTGCGGGCTATTGTTTGTATATGATGGAATACGCAATAGTTTACGAGTCTTTGACTCCATGAAGTGTTCTTCAAGCCCTTTGTGCAATGGCACGGAGGTAAGGAGACAGAGCGAAAGAGAGAGAGGGGGGGGGACAAAGGGGCGGGGAGTAGTGCGCGCGATCATGTAATTCATACTACTGCATTTGGATGCGAGGATTCTACTCATCTGCGAGTCTTACCTCATTATTTTTGCTCCTCTTCTAGGAAGAGGAAGGAGAGAAGACGGGACATTAGAAAGACTGAGAGTCCACATTTTTTCGGTCGTTCCCACAGGTCTACATCATTGTACTTTTTCATATATGCAAAGGTCTGGATGTGCTAATAGAAGGGCCTTATTTCTTTTTCTTTTTCATTTTTTTTAGGAGGCACATCGGTCTAGTGCTACAAAGGAGACAGGAGAAAGCTAAGGGGCGACGGTCATCCTGGGAGAGATTTGCATTAAGAGAATGAGAAAGGACAAAGGGCGGGAAGGTATATGTGTATGTGTGTAAGTGTGTAGATACGCGTCAGTGTAAATGTGCCGTGTACACCTCTCCAATGGCCACATTTAAATGAGCATACTGATGCACAGACGTATGATCCAAGAGGGCCATAAGAAGTACCCTCTCAGGCTGGAGGAGATAGAGGGATTAAAATTCCATAACAAGTAGGGTGTCAAAGTTAGTTTTCGTTGCAATTGAGCAAGTGACCTTCGCTACACCTACGACGCTGCTTTGGCTTCCCAGTCGATGTCATTTTCAACTGGCGGCAACAAGGCGCGAGTGTAAAGGACCAGTCATTGGTTGCTTTCTCGGGTGCCATGTACAGAGGTGCAAGTTGGTACGGTGCTGAACTAGATCACCGGCTGTCGTGCAGAGGCGCCCTCGGCCATTTTTTTTTTTGCCAACCGCATTGTCATAATCTGTTTGTATAGTTCCTTCCTCTGGTGGACAACAGTGATCCGGTGTTGTTACACAGCTAATGGACATCGTAATTTTAAAGTTTTCCGCCCTTTTCTTTTTATGAGCTTTACCCACATCGCAAGCAACACTCTGGTTTCTGGTGTACCTCCTTCCTCTTCCGTCTCCCTCCCCTTGCTCATGCAAGACTAACATTGCTGGTTGGTGTATTTACACATATGGCCCTATCGACGTCTTTGATCAATCTTCTTTTGCTATAGAAGCCCATTCCTGCGTCCTATCCTTGTGTTCCGCCTTCCAGTGGTGGACCACAATGGTGTTTTCTGATTACAGATACATGTCAGATTCTGTAGACAAGAAAACAAAACCACACAACTGATGCATTGTACATGTACGGCTCGTCGATCCGGCTTGTCGACGGAAGCTTCGAATGCTACTGCAATTGAGCATACGCAATACGCCGACGTTCGAATCATCAAATGCCTCAGGAAGATGATGGATCAAGATTCAGTATGTGTTATTATGTGTCCCGATCGTTCGTTTGGACAATATCCTCCGTCTCCGCATCTTTATAGTGTCACTCACTGTGTACTCCAAAACCTGCGGATAAAAATATGTAGCTGTTTTTATTCCTTTTTTCCCTCGCTCCATGCGCGTGATGCCATGGGGCACTTTTTATGGAGGCCTCTCCTGGAGAATTTTAGTCGCGACCCAGAAGACGTATGAAGCACGCGAAAATGAAGTAATAAACGGCTCTCGTTTGGGACTGTCCAAAAAGCGAGTGATGTCCCATTATCATGGTCGCAATTGCTCTTGTTGTTGATCCCTTTTTTCTTTATGGGTTGCAATGACCCATGGGAGTGGAAGGAGTAATTCTGCCATGGATGGTGGTGAAGTCATTCTTTTTACTTTATTTTTTGAGGGGAAAGGTTACAACATGCTACCTGCCAATTATACTGCTTATGAACAATGAAATCAAAGTCGAGTACGCATACATGCCTTTATGCAAACGCACATTCTGGTACTTTCTGTTCCTGACAGAAGACAGAGGGTAGCACGGTTGTGGTCGGTGTAGCGATTCGGCCAAAGACGATATGAGGATGTAGAGTGCCGGGGAAGGCGTCAGCATGATCATCCAAAGGCAGGGTGTGTTCGATTTACCTAGCTTGATGTGCTTCGCCCACAAAATCCCCTGTCTTTTTTTTTTTTTTTTTTTTTTGAAGGCGTAAGGCGTGTGCTTTTTTTGTCCGACAGAGAGAGAGCGAAACATCCCGTACGCGCTTTGTAGCTGAAACTGGGAAGAATGTGAATCAATACGCCACCAATTTCAGCAGGTGATTTGTCCAGTTGGACATCGTGTGGTGGAGGGCACAAGCGATCTGAGGTACGCACACACGTCAATTGGACGCACAAAAGGGCGTCTTACGACTGGGAACAGGTGCGGCATGTTCAGGATACCGAAGTATAGCCAGGAGGAGGAGGGGGTGTACAGACTGGCAGTCATTTTGTTGAGTGTGTGTAGTCTGAGTGTGCATGTGTGCGTGTGTGTGCGTGTGTGTGGTATGTGTGTACATCTGTGAAGGTTGTGCTGGATGCGCGGGCTTAGGGTGCGGGGGGAGGGCTGCATCTGAATGGTGCATACAACATCAGTCCACTCTATGGGATGGGTGTGGGATGGGTGCGAGATGGGACAATCTGGGAAGAATGAAGCGCAACGGTTTCATCTGTCTGTCTACTTGTCGCACAGAGGAAAGTGATCATCCCATCCTCATCCCCATCATCCCATCACACTTCCACTCCCACCCCTCTCTTTCATCCTTCTTCCATCCCTCTCCTCCATCCCTCCTCCATCCCTCCTCCTTCCCTACCGACTGCATCTTATTCTTTTTATCCTCCTTGCTCGTGTCACAACCTCTTTGTCCGCGACTCTGCCCTTGCTTCTCATCAGTTTTTTGCTATACCCGTTTGTCTCCCATCTTTCCCCCTATACCAAGAAACAGCAACCCATCCTCCAACACAAACCCCTTCTCTCTTTCTTCATCCACAAAACAACCAGGAGACCATGAGCACTATCCGGGTGCCCTCTAGGACTAGCTCCCACACCTCCACCTCCAGCAACAACAACAACAGCAGCACTCTCAGGGCTCATACAATATCGCCTCAGCCAAGAAAAGCAAAGGTCGTCTCTCTCTCCAACCCCACTTCCTCCTCCTCTCTACCTCCCACAGCACGCACAAGCACTCTCTCTCAACAACAACCACAGCCACCTCGTCCGACTATCAAGGTACGGACCTCAGGTCCTGTGCCTACCATCAGAAACAACCCAGCAGCTGCGCGCTCAGATACCTCTGGTCATGTTGTTCGTGTCAGTAACGGAACAGGAGCAGGAGCAGGAGCAGGAAGCAGACGCATCGGCTCAGGCTCGAGTGTCGGGAGCAATGTTAGCGTCAACAACAGCAACAACAATCATCATAGTATTAGAGTCATGCGCAGAGAAGGCTCCATTACTTCTTCGGACGATGGCACCGTATCTGAGGACTCTATCGAGGACCATATACAGCTTTTTTCGGGAGCTGGGGGACTCCATGTCAACAGTCTACCCTTTGGAGGTGGTGCTAGTTCTTCAGCGAATGGTCGGAATGGGGGATCCCTAGGTGCATCGAGTGGACCGCGTATGGCTGCCTCTATGACAGGAACAGGGACCATAGGCAGGAACAGAACTCCTACTTCTTTTACCTCCTTCAATTCGCCATCATCGACACTGTCCTCAGCAGTAACAGGAACAACAGGAACAACAGGAACAACAGGCGTGACAACTGCAAAGCCCATGCGGATAGCAGCAGGAGCGTCCATCAGGATTGATACCTCATCATCTGCATCTATATCGGGAACGTCTTCTGTGCAATCTTTGAACGTGACAGGATTAGGATCAGGATCAGGATCAGGGATAGCAGGGGGTGGGGGTGGAGGGTCAGCTGTGGGCCTGTTATCGACCTCGGTCTCGTCCTCGACATCTTCATCTTCGCTCTCTTGGGCCAGCAATCCTTCGATCACTTCTCCTACGAGCGTACCGGGTAGTGCTGCAACGTCTAACCACCATCAGCAACCACCCTCACCCGTTTCAGGAACCTTCCCAGGATCAGGACCAGGACCACAACAGCCGACAGCTACAACGGTCCGGGCGGTTGCAAAGCCAACGAACAGCAGTGCGGCAGCAGCGACGGCGGCGGTTGCGAAACAGGCAGAGGAGAACCGACGGACAGAGGAGGCCGCACGGACACGTCGAAAGATTGCGGATCTGGAGATCTCGAATGCTTCGTTGCTTCAGGTCAACCAGACCCTGGAAGCAACGATTCGTAAGCAGGCCGCGGAAATGCAGGAACTCAAGCTTCGAATGCAGTCGTAAGGACCCGAGGATACGTGAACAGCTCTGGGTTATCTCTGATGGGGAAAAAGCGCTAACTTTTTTTGTATTTTTAGGGCGCAGTATGGTGGCGATTTGGGTCTATTGGCGTCGGATGTGACGATGCTCTCACAGGACAATGCTCTGGATCCAACACAGATTCATGCAGCCACGAATCCAGAGGCCGCGGTGATCATCCACGAATTGACGGAAGCAGAGCGACAGGCGGATTTGACCTTCAAGCGGCTCTGCATCACGATTGAGCAGATGATCTTTGAGGCCAAGCAGGCCATGGACCAATCTACAAAGAAAGCGGGCGTCAAGGTCTTGTCCTCGTTCGATATGTGTGAGTGACGAAAACATGATCCTGTTTCTTCGTTTCGTTTTTTTCTTGTCTGTGGGACATGACGATATGCTGCTGGTTTGGTAGGGCGACCGTGACTAATATGCTCCTTGGACTTGTCGATATTAGATGAGAAAGAATTGGAGGATGGCGCTGAGGACGACGACCCGGACACGGCGAACCAGTCGATGGTGATGAACGAGGACGACTCTTTCTCGCAAGATCTGCTTGACAGTTAGTCGCATTTTTTTTTCCCCTACAATCTCTTTGGTCGTTTTACTCTTTCCTTTACCCCTAATCAACATCATCAGTGCTGCTAGCTTGCTACACGTGTACCATATGCCCAATGTTCTACTACCACTCCACCTACTCTCTCTACTCTGCTTTGCTTCTTTTTTTTTTTTTTTTTTTTTTTTTTTTTTTCAATGTCCATCTTTTTCAAGCATGTCTGAAATAAATACGTTCAATTTGCTTTTTTGTTATATTCTTCCACACTTCAAAAATATATTTTTATGTATCGAAAAACAACCAATGCTCGCTGCTTTGGGTTGCTGATGGACTATTGGTACAAGGTTCTGAAGAGAGAGAGAGAGTGAGACACTGACGAGGGGTAAAATGACTCGGTGCTTGGGGGTATCATTCTGAAAGAGTATAGAAAGGTGAGGTGGTATACAAGAAACACTTATAAAAAAAGAAAAGAAATCCCTAACACGCTTTTTTTTTTTGGTTTCTGAGCGCGCGCTCATGTCTATGATTATAAAAAACAAAAAAAGGGAAAAAGAGTATCCATACACTCTAGTCGCTGGAAGCGTAGACAGGCATAGCATTCACGCCCTGCTGCCAGAACTTGTTCTCGACACCATCGTGGCTGCCGACCATCGACATCGCTGCAGGGACAGAGCCATAGCCATGACGACCATTGTCCTCCTCGGCATCCTCCGCATCCACCGCATCCTCTTGAGCCCGTTGGCTAAGCTGCTGTCGATAGTCGTTCATGTACTGCTGCTGTTGGCCATGGTACTGTGCCGAGGCATTGCTCATCGAAGACCAGGGGTAGGCCATCTGTTCATCCTTGGCTGGTGGAGAAGCGAGCGACAAGGACTGGAATCCGCACTCGGTCGTCGGCGTGTTCACCATTGTGTTTTGCTGCTGCTGCTGTGCCAGCATAACATTCAATTGCTGGTGCTGCTGCTGAGGCGAGAGCCCCGCGAACGCAGAAGCGGCCGAAGGAGGCATGCCCAAACGGTGACGCAGAACATGGCATCGGTTCTCAAGGATGTTCAAAAACCGGTACATCTGGCCCGGGCGCATGTGCTCGACTAGCACATGGAACCGCATATCATCAAAGATAGGCGATTTTTGACCGTTACCCGAGGTTCCATTGGTCGTCTCTTGCGCATCGTCACCGCCGACGGCCTTTGTAGGAATCGAAATCATGCTTTCAGCCGTGGAAGGTATGCTGGTCATAGCGGTGGGTGGGAGCGAATACGGCGCCATCGGGTCATGGGCCATGGCAGGAATCGTCGAATTCGTCAAAGGCGAGCAGAGTGTGCTGGTTGGAGAGAATGGGCCCCCATCGCACATCAGCAGAGGAGAATCTGTGATACTGTTAAGATCTTCGGGAAGGAAGCCAGTCGATGAGTAATTGCCATACGCGGCCGCGGCATCTTGACCAGAGGCAGTCAACTGACCCATCATCATGGCATTGGACATCTCACCCATTGGGTTGTAAGTTTGCCATTCGACCGACTGGGCCGTATTCTGACCAACAACGCCGACAGGCATACCCATGTACGATTCCGCATGAATGGGACCTGTGAACGAACGTGTCTGGCGATGACGCGACATCATTTTCTGGCCCTTGCTGTTGCCGTTGCTACTGCTTCGCTTCACTCGCGATCCTTCATGCTTGGAGGTCAAGGAAGTGCTCTTTGTCGCTCCATCAACTCGATTCTCGCTTCCGACGTCTTGTTGGCTAGCCGCTGCTGAGTCCACATCTTGCTCGGTCTGAGTACCAAAAGCAGCATCGTCCTGAGATGCGCCCTCACTCTTGTCGTTAGCGGACTCGACCATGGCCTCGTTGGCTGGCGATGAAGCAGATTCTGGCTCATCGCCCTTGAAGCTGTCCTCAGGGGACATGACTGGTGAAGACGACCCAGGGGATGACACGGACTCCCTCTTCTGGCCAGAAGGGGCTGCTGCACCATTGGGGGGTGTAAGGGTATAGGGTGAAGCGTTTTCGCGTTGCTGGCTCTGGCTCAGCGAGGGCTTGTGGCGGATATGAAGTGGGCGATGGCCGTTGTATTGTTTGTAGTACAGACCACAGGCGTTGCACAACGAATGCTTGCGATCGAGAGTGCGACGCCACAGGGGGGTCTGCGTCACCTTGCAATTGTAACATTCCAGGGCCCGAGGAGGTCGGGTGCTAGCCTTCTTTGTCTTGGTAGCCTTTGTACTCGGCTTCTGCATCGCTGCAGCCAATGACCAGACTTGATTTGGGCCCGCGCTATTGTTGGCCTTGAACTGGGGCATGCCAACACCATTGGCATCTGGACTGGATACGGTTCCCGAGGAGACACCGAGGGAGAGGTTGGGATCGTCCATGGGGCGGAAGCCATCGGCCATCATCTGGGAGTGAGACATGTTATCCATCAGCACATATTCGCCAAAGGGATCTTCATCGGTCATAGGAGACTGGATGTGATGTTGATGAGAGTAGTGTTGACTTTGCTGCTGGAAGTGAGATTGGAGCAGCATCTGATGCTGATATTGCTGCTGCTGCTGCTGCTGCTGTTGCTGTTGTTGCTGCATTTGTTGCATTTGATCTTGGGGAGAAGGCTGTGAATCGTTAGGCGAGGTGTTCAGGGGTTGACGAGAGTGTGCGACCGTGTTTGACGACTGTTCCCAGGAAGATTGAGGGGCGTTAAAGCTTGTGGAGGCTGAGGCGGAAGTTGGAGAGAAGAAGCTACCGATTGCAGGGGGACGCTGTGAGGATTGCTGCTGCTGCTGCTGAGGCTGCTGTTGGGATTGCTGCTGCTGCTGGTGTTGATGTTGAGGGTGTGGGAAAAGACCACCAAGGCCGCGGACGTCTAATAGCGACCAAGAGTATTTAAATGAAGAGAGGCAAATGGTTAGAGAACTGTGTGAGCTTGCGTGTTCTTGAACACAAAGTTAGTCCATGAGAAAAAAAAACTCAAAAGGGAAGAAGCATTCGGCCACTTTGAGGAGATGCATCCAGGTCAACAAAAAAAGGGGGCATATCGTCGTGTTTTAAAAAAAACCCCCCAAAATATTCAGATCACTGCAGTCCAACGTAAACAACAGGAGAGTACGCCCTGCGAGGCTGAGGACAGGATTGAGCTGCACCATGGGGACATTGGCCAAACGGACGATATCGACCATTAGGGTAGAGTATGTGAAGCAATAAAAAGCACAGGAAATACAGGAAATGGGCGGGATTATTCAGCATGAGCCCATGGAGACCCATTAAACTGCGGTTCAGATCCATGGGAGAGGGAAGATAGTGAACGTCAAAGGCTGTGGAGTGAGGAGACGGAGAAGGAAAACAAGGGAGCAGGGGACAGAAGAATAAGGAAGAGGCGCGTACATGGGCTACTTCACGCATGAATAAAAGCGAACACCACAGAAGGAGGATGCGAGGATGAGAAAAGGGCGAACGCGTTGTACCATGCCAACCAGTGATCGGGTACGATGAGTAACAGGCAGGCGAGGGACAGGACAATGTGTAAGAAGGGATGGATACATGCAGCAGTATTGCCTAGAATGTGGGAACTCATGTAGGCAGGTCGGCAAGACCGGACAGGTAAAAATAAAGGGCAGGTGGGGGGAGAAGGGAACGCGAGAAGCGAGGGGCGGAAGGAGAGGACGAGGGGAAAGGAGACAGGGAAAGAAGGGGGACGAAGGAAGGAGGCAGGCGTCCTAACCATGGCGGTAGACTGCAGCCCCACGCCTTTTTTTTCTTTCTCTCAATGCTCCCATTAACCACCATCTAGGACTCAGTTTGGTGATACTAAAAAGGTAAAGAAAGGATTGTTGTAGCACAAGGTGCATATAACATGACAGCACCGAGGAGAAACAATGCGAGGGAAGGTGCTGTAAGCAGGCGCGTGAGAGTAGCGCGTGAACGAAGCGGAAGAATACTCATACAACAATATGTATATATAACAGCTGCAATGCGATGCGATGCGGTGCTCTATCTTTGCACAGGCTACATACATAAACGGAAGGGTACACAGGGGACAAAGCACAAAACAGCTAAGGGATGATGATGACGACTGGGCCATTGCATTGCATTGGTGCCAATGGTGGTGGTGTGTGCTTGTGCTTACACTTGTACTTGCATGTGTATCCCCCCGCACTCCCAAGCAAGCTGCATGTGCTCGTGTTCGTGTTTGTGGACGTGTCGCTCTCCCTCCCAAAAATATTCCCTCCCGTGTTGAAAGGGAAGTGGTCCGCGGTATGGTACACAAAAAAGTAAGCTGCTCAAAAAGCAAGACGCGTCCCTCATGTGGGGCGAAGGACCCGAAGAGAACCGTGGACAGTAACACAAGGCATCGAGAGAGCAATTGGGGGGAAGGGGTGTTTTTGTCTGACATCGGTGGGCTAGAAAGGGCTGCAAGTTGAACACAGGCTTATGCGTACCTGTAAAGTTGTTGTTTGCATAGCTCTTGTTAAGGCCACTCTCGGCTGTAGCCATCTCTCGGGCGGCCATGCTCTGCATGAGTAGATTTCGCGATTGACTCAACATCTCTTGTTGGATCAATTGCTCGGGACTAGGTTGCTCAAATCCAATAGGGATCTCTGCCGCGCCAAAATATCTTGTAGGCCAGGACACTGTAGGGTTGAGTTGGTCCATCTTTGTGGCGTGCTCTTGGACGGTTGGTGGCGCTGAAACGGAAGCGGTTGTAGAACCAAGGTTTGGGCTAAGAGATGTAGGGGGCGATGAAATTCCCTGAGAATTGGTGGCGCTATTGTTGGTCGTATCGTTCAGGCCAGCAGTGTTCAAGAGATTGAGTGAGGTGTTGTTCTGCAGCTGAAGTTGCAGCTGTTGTGGCTGGTTTTGGTTGCTGGGATCATACACTGACCGGCTGATCAACTGTGCTGCTTCCATCGATGCTTTCACTGATTCGTCGCGATGAGCAAAAAAAAAAAAAAGGGAAGAGGAAAGTATATACAGAAAGAAGGTTAATAAAAATACTGCGGGTTGACTAAGGAAGAATGAGAAGGAAAGATCGAATGAGGAGCTCAGGAAGGGAAGGAGGGAAAGTGCACATCGAATAAGAAAACATGCGGCGGAGTGCATGTGTGCAATAAGGGTCAGAAAATTAAACAGACTGCAGCAGAGGGCACGAATACGGGGTCTAGCCTCGTCCCCAAACACTCCAAGGCGCGTGCGACCCTGGTACTTTGCTCCCCATGCTGTCCCCACGTCCCAGACGCCCAGTCGGCAATTGAAAGTAGAGACAGGGGGCGGTAAAGAAGGGTAATGCAATGTGTTCATTAACGGAAACTAGGATAGTCGAGGCGAATGGCAAACAAGCAATTGAAACTGCAGGGGTCGGTGTTGGAAGAGCATTCTCGTGGATATTTTTCTGCGCCTGTGCGAAGACGGTGGAGAGTAAAAGGGACCCCTGGCGGAGAATATAATCGTTCCTCTCCCCTCCTCCCAAAAAAAAAAATCATCCACCAGACTTTTCAGGCTGCTTTGTGTTGTTAGTGCTGCTTCAGGGAATCAATCAGTAGAAAGAACGGCAATAGTCTTAAAAGTAAATGCAGTAAACCCAAATGAGCGGATGGCTGGGTAAAATATAGGACCACGGGGGTAGGATGGATACATGGGATCAATGTATGGGATGGGTCACTGGTGGGCGACAGCTACAGCTGCAGCAGGATCGCGGGGTCGTAAACAAACACCACGAAAAAATATTCGCCACACGAAGGTTCAAGCCGCATGAGCATGAGGCAGTTGATCGACTACAGATATCGTGCCTACCTGTGATTGTTAGGTGATAATGTTGGAGAATGAAGAAGGTTCAAGGCAAATGAATGAAGGAATGGAAGACTGACAGGAAAGTTGACAGGAACTATTGATGTCAAAGAATAGGATATCAATGGAAGGATGGTCTACGAAAAGGACAAAGGAGGGGTATACAGGTGTATGTGAATGAATGTGTGCCTTTGAGACGGAAGAGGGTATATTCAAGAGGATGAACAGAGCGAGAGAGCGAGTGGAGGAAGGTTTGGATTGGTTTGCTGCTGCTGTGGAGATGTTTGGGTGGTAACAGTGCGATTTGCTGTGCAGTTCTTTGTACGGAGCAGATTCAAGAACAGTTTGAATGGGTGTGGTGAGAAAGAGAGTGAGTGAGAGAAGAGAGAATGAAGTGATGACAATGAGGAAATAGAACCCAAAAAAAGGGAAGACAGAAATACAAGAAAAGAGTGGGAATTAGCCCTGCTTTCCATGGGCTTTTATATACGGGGATGCCCGGTTTTCCTCGAAACGACCATGCGACCATGGCAAGTTTCGCGAAGCCGAGGACCGAGGCAATCGCCACGGCTCTAAACATGGTTAATGTATGGTCCACTATTCAAAACAAATGCCCTCCGTGGGGGAAAGCGGAGGGCATTGGAAATGGATAATAGTGAAGACTACCCAAGTCTTTACAATAGCAAGTCTCTATGGTGCACACATTTGACATGGACACAATATTTCTGGTCTATTCAGTCTACGCGCATTCTATCGAGCGACTTTATTCAAACCCTATATAAGCAAATCACTCCCCCTTTTCTGTTAACACTCTCTTCGTGCAACCATGTCGACCATTTTTTTTTTTCAACCGGCCGTCTATGATGTATTGGGAGGACTGAATTACTTGTATTCTAAGCGCTCTAGAACTCAATTGAAATAAATAGTAAACAGTTGTATTCCCTTACTGAGTGAGTAGAGCTCTCCTTTGCTCTATGCTCTGCAGTAATATACACTCATATAGTTCAAACACATTAGTCTATCTAAGCTGATTCAATGCAAGGAGTAAGGGCCGAGAAAAAAAGTAGGAGTAGTAAAGCAAAGGCCAGGGTGATCTTCGCTTTTACCTACGCGCAACCTGCATAGTTTTGCCGCCCGAAGGAGCAAAAAAAATCGATGTTGCCGTCGTCGATATCAGGGCCTGCCTCAAAAGTATGTGAAGAGCGCTTTTGTCAGGCGCGAGCTTCTCAATGAAAACCCAGCAGGTAGTGCTGAAAAAAATTCTCCGTTACATCTTAACTCTTCGCAGCACACGTATTTTCAGCCATGTAAAACAGATACAGCACTCATATCATCTAAGTTATTGCCAACGGCGTCAATTGCGGAGCAAAGATGTTAGAGAGACCAACAGCTGTCAGCGCATGGCGATGCCAATGCATTATGTGGCAATGCGGTTGAAACTATAGACCCGGCCATAATGATCTGGACCTCATTTCGCCTAATACGAAGCCTACTTAGTCCAGCCAAGGTTTGAGGCGAAGGATGCTCAGAGAGATCGCGCAAAGAGTCCGGCAATGTAAACATGACGCGTTTCCTGCCGTTCCCTAGAACATCATCCTCGCGGTGATGATCCCATGAGGTCCTCTCTCCCTTAATTAATCGTCCAATCGTCTTTTCCCCTTGCTAGGCGTTCTTGATTCTTGGATAGGGATAGGACTAATTCAAGCATGCGCCCAACCAACCACAGACGACAACTGTCTTTGCGTGGTAATCCTTATAAAAACAGTAATTGGCCATTCGTTAGGCGGGCAAAACGACAGCTTCCATTGTCTACAAACACTTTAATTGCAGCTAGGTGTTAGCGTGTCGTGGTTATTGGTATTTTGTCTCTAGGAATTGTACGATGCTCATGGTGAAATGCAGGTGCTTGTTTCATCATTTTATTGCACTACTCGTGGTCCATATTCAGAGCGTTCTGAAGGCAACGACTGCAATGTATACCTATGAATTGACATAGGGTTGGTGCTTATGTCAAGATATTAGGAGAGTCGAGGCCAAGGATAGCGACGGAAAACGCAAGGCTGCACTGCTGTGTGGTCGGTCATGTTAGGCTAGACAACCTTATCCATTTTCATGTGTGCTTAGATCTCTTCTCTCTCTCTCATCTGCATATCTTGGCGGGCCTGCAGTGCCTGAGTCCATGCACAGCGGCGCTATTGTCGTTGCTACAGGAGGTGAGATGGTCGGACAGCTGAAAAGTATGAATTAACCTTGGTAGTGGATGAGTAAGAACTCGGAGTAATCGCTCCTGTTTTGGAAGAGAAAAATAACCCCTCATCTTGTACCTCATCTCGTACAGTCTTCGTTCACATCGCATGGTCGAACTTGGCACAACCATGCACTACAAAGAACCCCACATAGACTACTGAACATGGATTACATATCATCGGAGTATCAGATTCAAAAAGCGACAGGCTACGTCTGCAGTTGTGACCCGAGTAACGTACCAAAAAAAAAAAAAAAAAAAAACACGACGCTATGCATAGTACAGGGAGATATAGGATGCCAATGTCGATCAGCCCTAGCCCCTTTACTCGGGTCTGCCATACAAAACAACTGCTCATGCCTGCTCAGGGACAGTGGAGCCAGGTATGTCTGCTATGTCCTCGTTTACCAATTTGTGCTCGTTGAACTATGGGTCTCTTCTATTTGATCCGTTCGATCCACAAGCTCATTTCTCTTCTCCACCGTCATGCTGCAAAATTAAATACCTGAAGACATAGGTACCTGAGCTGCGCGTTAAACACGCTGCGGATACACGAGAGTAGACAATCTGCGCCCCATATTCTATTTACATCCTTCCCGTGTGGTCGCAAGGCACGTCGGCAGCAACTTGTAGTGTTTCTGCGAACGTGCGAGATGAGAGAGATGTCACTCCATACGCTCTCAGGCTAATGCAATAATATACAAGAACCATTCTGTGGAGAGGCGCAGATGAGATGCATCAATCAGCTGGGAGGAAATCGAGGCGCGCAAAAAAAAAAAAAAAAAAAAAGCACGAGATGTCTCCCAGCTATTGGAGCCGGAATATTGCCATGTCAGTCAGCGCTTCGTTAGAGAAATGAAGCTCCTCGATTTTATATTTCTGGCACCACAGCAATTACTCCCGACTTGAGAAGTGGTCAACGGAATAGAATGCTGCAAGTACGGCGGCGAAGACAGTGCAGGTAGGGAGATGTGAAGTGATTTGAGCGTTTCGTCCCAACTTATCGTTTGAGCACGTTGTCGCCATTGTAGGTAGATCATCTTCTTTCGCTCTATCCCATTATTTCTCGCCTATCCTTTTGTGTAGATTTACATTAAACAGCTCCATCCTGCGGGTAAAGATGTCACCATGAGGGTGCGAGGGCGGGAAGACCTGCATTTCTTGACATACCGCATGCCCTCGTGGGTCTCTCCTCGTGGGTCTCCCTCATGCTTTTTTTCTCTGGACGCTTTCAGTCATTCCCACGTCTGGCCGCCCTTGACCATTCTCTCGTCTGAACGCCTTTTGGTCATCCCCTCATCCAGACAGCAATCATCTCTCTTTGCCTTGCGAGGCAGTGCCTAGATGACAAATGATTAGTGGTCCAGTGAGCACAAGAACAGACAGTGAACCTCATAGCTCTCCAATTTATTTTTATATTGTTGCTCTCATGCACCATGCTGATTCTATCTTCGCCTTGAGTTTTAAAGCCCCCCTCTCCCCCTCTGCTGTGCAGTACTAATCGTATTATCTGCGGATGGTTCATTCAAGGATTTTCATCCTCCGTCTTGCTTCCTTCGCCTGGATTACTTACTGCACGTCGCGTTACAAAGCATCTTCTTCATCAGACGAATAATTTAATGCCAGAAATCTAGTATGTCCCCTGCCCTGAGAGCCGACATCTCCCAGCCCTCAGCTACTCTATGGACCAACTGCAATACAAGGATTGAATTTGATATTAGCGGAAAATGAGGTGCTGCAAGGCCTTCAATTTCAATAAACCTCCGTGCATTCTTCATACTTTACCATGGAGCAGTCTCGACTCGACTCTACCCCCTTCACTGCCTGACTCCGCTTTCTCGAAGGCATTGGTGCGCGATTTTTGTAAATTTCAAAGGGATGTTGTTACGTGTTCGTAATCTGATGTGCAGATCGAGGCTCAGGGCTCGATCGTATCTCACGGCGACAACCGGCAGAACCAGAAGCCTATGCTATACATTGCGAAACAGGGTTTGTCTCAATTGCTTATTTGCATGCACGTAATTGACGTCCACGATGCATCTTTTGAGAGAAATGGCGATGCTGTCCTGCATTCCTTTTATTTTTCACAAATGCTCGTGGCCTTGTCTGCGTCCTCCCTATGTATGACTCAGCTATCAGATCGACTATTGTGAAAAAGTTTCTCCTTGCCATCCCATCTGATAATGCAGTGTTCAAGGGAAAACAGTTGGTCGCGTGTGAGTCTCACCATGAGGACGTCTTCAGAGACGCAAGATAGCCGCATTGGGTCATTACCCGCTATTTTCGCTCCACAATCCTCCATCACCCTCGACACCTGGCTTCGACCTTTTTTTTCTTTTTTCTTTTTTCTTTTTAGCTCACAAACAGCTGGCTGCTTCGGAGGCGCTATTTCTTTTTTCTCAGAACCAGCTGTTCATCCGAGCGGTGTGTTCCGTCAGCAGTCTCTGTTGTTACTACGTGATGTTTACTGGTGTATAACGCCCCCGCTTCTTCTTGTGCTTCTTATGTAAACAGTATCAGCAATAGCCTTTTGCTAAAAAAACAACATAGCGTGCAGTAGTATCGTTTGGCCGGAGGCATTGGATACAAATTTGGAAACGCGATGTTAGGGATCTGGCGCGTATTGCATTACGCCTTTTTTTTCTTGTTTCCTGTGCATAAAGCACTATTCAATATGCCCACATACTATTCTCATGGCCGAAGCCAGAAAAGGAACCTTCTAGATCGCGAATATGTCCATTTACGCCTCATTTTTTTTCTTGGCTCTTTCCGCAAGGGGCTTGAGGGTGCATAGAATTTGACCAGGTATAGCTCTCAGGAATTATGGACTGAGGTCCATAGAAATGTTTGCCTCCAACAATGTCCAATTCTACTGTCTTGGAATTTCACTGTTTCGTATCAACGGTGTATCCTTGACTGACTTCTCGAGAAAATGTTTGGATCGGGAAGCGACATTTTGGCTCAAGGACGTAAAAATTTATACATACATGTATATGCGCCATAGAAAGTGACGCGCGTCGCTCTTTTTCTGAACCTTTTACACCTTTTTGGAAACAGATCCAAAAAAAAAAAGATCCGCCTTCCATTGGATGTAATGCCTCCTAGAGATACTAGATGGCTACCTAAAAAGAGTCCGATTTTCACGAGGATTTCTGCCATGAGGGGCAGCTTCAAGAATAGGCCCAAGATCAATATAGTCTACCGGCAGTTTGTCAAGTGCTGTGTCGGGGAACGTGGCGTATGTTAGTAGTTCAATTGGTTAAAACCACACGGGTACATCGGCTTTACACTGGAATAGAGGATGGAAAAATAGGGAAAAAAACAACTATGGACACAACTCCAGAGTGTATACCACCTGCCTATTGTTTTCTGGTAACTTTCTTTCTCCTGTGAGGTGCTCTGTTTTGCTCAGTTGTTCTTGCCTGGCTGTAAGCGAGGCAAGTCAGTACCCCTGCAATTTTTTTTCTAAGTCATGTTTTTTTTGAGATGCTGTTGCTTATGTTTGTTACACAGACCTGAACACGCTTTCGTCCTGACTGCCTGTGTTTGTTACACCCTTGTCCTCCCTTAGACCGGTTACAATACTCTAACCTCATGAACTCAATTGAGTTCAGATACAGTACAATAGCGCCGCCTCTCCACTCAATTTCGTTCAGTGCGCCAAAGAAGCCCGTTCAATAGTGATGAACACAGCCGGGCACGCATTTGTTGAATTGCTAAATTACTGAGGCATTTAGTCAACCACATGTACATGGGGCCTACAACAGACTGGGACCCTTGCCTCTAAAAGCAGGCGTTAAAGGAACTCTGTAGTCTATAGATGCTCCAACTCACTTCACCCACACACAAACAGCTCACGCTACTAAGCATATAATTGTTATCTCCGCTTTCTGTAACCCCATGACCAGACACGTTTTCGGCCATGTTGTGTTTATGTTCGGAGAAAGGAAGGAGTAGCGGATGATGACACAGCTTCTTCAATGCTGGACTACAAAAAATCCCAAAAGCGTGACCGAAACGATGTTACCTTGGAAGGCATATCAGATTGGCGGGAGAAAATACAACACGAATACGGATGAAAGGCTATGTATGTACATTGCATGCAGTGAACGTTGAAGGTCAAGAATATTATGGTTGTGCCTGAGTCGAAACCGAGCCGACGGACTAAACAGGACAGAAATTAATAAGGTGTTAAACATGGATCGGGTATTTGGAAAAGAGGGGCCCAGGTCCAGCACACAGATCCGGTTGCTATACCCATGTCCCGTTGTTCAAATGCGCGGCCCTAGCAGCTTCGCAATGATCCAAACACGTCTCTAATTCTATGCCTCAAAATTTTTTTGAATTAGACTACAAGGCACTATTCTAAATGATAGTACCTCCAATGGCCCTCATCGTGAATGGTCCAAGGTGTGAATGAGCAATGAACTTTACGAAATGCAGTGAGCGCAACAAAAAAAAAAAAATCTCCTCCTCAAAAGGCATAAACCAAAGGAAAACAATTATGCATGTTATAGCATACATAGCAGCCTTGCTCCCCACAGTCAAATCGAACAAGCGAGAGCTCAAGCAACAAACCCAGCATAGAGACTAATGACCACGGAGGAAAAATAGGCGACTGAACCAATCATGGTATAACCCTTTTTTGCGTTTGATGTTTACGTATCGCATAACAACACAGCTCTTTTTTATGTACTCCTTGAATTGTTCTTATATCGCGAGAAAAGGTTCTAGGCAATGGATTTTGCGGTGCGTCATTTTTTTTTCTGTTTTTCTTAGGCGCGGCGTAGAACTAAAGCTTTCGCGGGCTGCTGGACTACATGCAGCTCTACACTCCAGCCCAATGCCCAAATAACCCTGCAGGACATGTCGGAGAGGGAAACGCACACCAGCTGTCGCGTCTTCGTTCCAACAACAAAAAAAAGGGGGGAATGAGGGGGACGAATGTATCGTACTTTTAATTGCGAACATGAAGGGTCAAACTCTAGCCTCAGTCAAGGATCGCCAGAGTCAATTTAAACTAATGTATCCAGAATAAGGGCTAGCGTACAGCTGAATTATACATACTTCTGATGGCTCGCTCGCGAAGAACTGACAAGAGCTGAAATGGAAACAAATCTAAAAAATGTTGGGTACGCGCTCAGTTCTGGCTGGGTACCTTTAGTCTACCTTCTTCTGCTTCTGCTTCTTTAGAGAAAAAGGTAAATGGGACAAGAAACAGGACAGAAAGGAACAGAGCGCAGGCGGGAAGGACGCGTCAATGAATCATTGCTGTGAGCGCGCCTTTAGTTGGTTCTTGATTCATCGTTGGGAGTTGATAAAAATAGGAACGGCCCTCATCCTCCCAAGGAATTGTGAGCCAGAACAGTGTGTGTATATTTATATGGAGAATAAATTCTCAACGATGAACCATGAATCAAGCACTGCTCTTGTGGTTTGTATAAAGAGCGGCTCACGGACATGGACGCCAAATGGAGGGCAACTTCCTCAAATAGCAGGTCCCCACCTGTTTACAATATGAAGGGCCATGTATTGAATAATATCTATGGCTACACAAAAATATCGGCTATGCTTATTCTCCGTAACCGGTTAGAAAAAATTTGTCCCGACTGGTCTACTTTACCTTGAGAGGAGTATCAAAGAGCGTAGCCGTCCAACGAGCTGTCGGCGCACCCGTGGTCATCAGTTGTCGAAGGACAAGTGATGAGCAAAAGTCTCCAGTAAGGCAAAGTATTGTAGCACAATGCAGCCAAATGCGAGTGAGCATGGTCAGGTCGAAAATGACGAACCAAACTACAGTAAACAGGACCGGGAGACACGCAAATGGTCCTAGTAAACCATGTCTGTCTTGAAAGATGATAGGATGGGCTATAGATCCATAATTTCACGAAGACAGCACCACGAGCGTTGAGAATTGGCCAGGGATGATCCACGCGCTGCAGGGACTGGCCAAGAATGGCCCATGGTAGTGGTGTTTGCCAGTTAATCCATTGGTTCAGATACAAAATCATAAATGAGCCGCTCCCTTTGCCTCCAAAATCAAGTTCCTTTTACGCGGGAGTGGGGTTGTTTGTTTGCTTGTTTGTTTATTTGTTTACAGTGCAGTGCTCGAGTATGTAGCCCATGGGGGGCGTGACTGAAGAGCTCTAAACATTGGAGACGACCTGATTAAAGCATTTTCCGGCGAGGCACTGTTGTCGGTATGAGTTAAGCAGCCTGCTAGCTGAACCATTCAGCAGACCATGCTGCTGGGAGAATGGATATGATTGGTCTGTATGCAGCCAGGATTGTGGATTAGGTCCACAGGCATCAGAATCATCTGGAGAAGCCCACTGCAGTGCAAATACACCAGACCCATCTTGAAACACTTGCAACAGAACAGGAAAGCAGGGTTATTTAGAACGCGCGCGATCGCCCGGCAAATTTCAATGTCCTATTCCCTCTTTACTCTATCACTCTATCACTGTTCCCCTAACTCCCTGCATGAGCATCCCCGCTTCATTTAGTATTGGCGTTAGTGCATAACAGCGTCTTATCCAATACCCAGCTCTTCACAGGTTTTAAGACCACTGGTTGTCCATAGCAAGAAAAGGAAGGAGTACCGATTGCACTCGTCATCACCAACAAGTAGCAGCCCTGCACGACTCTCGATCGTTGTTTTATTTTAGGTGATTAGTCCCCGTGTAGAATTGTGCCCATGGACTACTTTAGGCGGCGGCTCAATTGCTCATTTTCGTGGCACTGCAGTTTGTGATACAAAGCGAGACATACACCTTACTTGTTGATGAACAGCGCAGGTGCGGCATGGTTTGAGTCACAGCGAACTGTACCACACTTGTGCTACCATGGTGGGTCTGCTGCTTCTGTCATCCATCTGAGGGTAGTGCAAGCCACGCGCTTATGTACTCGCAGAGGGCCATTTGCGTATCCTTGCAAGATTGCACTGGGTAAATAAAAGATGAAATGTACCGAGTGCTTGTAGTGCAAAATGTACGCGAATTAGCGAATGAAGACGGCACTGGATGCAACTGAGTGTACTTGTAAAGTCCTTTGCATCGGACCTAGTTAAGAACGTTTTAACTGTATCGTTTCCGCTCATGATCGAATGGCCGCTGTGCACAAAGCAGTTGGGAGCACTATTTGCGTGCGAGAAACACTCTGGAGAGAGAGGAGGGGCTTGGAGCTTTAAGATTCTGAAAGGGGAAAGCGTCTAGCACAGCTTTCTTGGAAAACACAAGACGGAAAAAAAACTGTATTTCTAAGCATGCATGGAGCACCAACCCCCTTTGAACCCACGCTTCTCCACGTCTATGTTGTGATGATAAGGGGAGTCTCACATGAAGAGCAACCAAGAAGAGAGATCTGACAGATTTGACAGATTAGCGTTGAGCCAAGGGTATTTGACATATGACAGTGACATGGAAAATGTGGGGCTACATATACGCTTAGCAATCTCGAATGAGCGAAAAAATATAAAAGCATGGAAAGAAATCGGTCTGAGAAGTAAACCAGGACATCGGCGCCAAAAGTTGATTGGTCGGTGTAGGACGTCGATCGCCAGACGCGTCGCGTGGATGTCTAGGCCAATCGGATGACTTTGCTAGTGCGCGGGCCTGGGAGTGCGGGGAAGAGGCGGACGCCCGTCACATGGCGCCAATTGGCGAGGTACACGGAACTGCGATGTCAAGAATTCTCTTTTTTTCACCATTGCAATGTCCTCCAAGACATCCTCTCTCATCAAACCGGAGCTGCCACGTCGACCATCTCCTAGACCTCTTCATGTCGAGTACAGTCAGCCGCCCGTCCTCCTGCGTCCAATGGAGTGTACCACAGAACAGCGGTTCCTTGAGGCACTCTTCCTTGTCGCAGACGACGCACGCGACAACCATATACGCCAGCTCCTGAAGTCCCTCACGCATCTCGAGTCCACCAGCAATGTCGTGCGTTTTATGAATCTAAAATCCGACCTCTACGACCCTAAGTTATGCCCGCCCTTCTCAAAGCAAGCGAATGGCGAACGTTCGCAGCCTCCATGGAAGCAACTGCGTGGACAACATTATCGAGTAGTGACCAGGATCACGGCCATCGGCAGGACTAGTATGAAGTTACAGCACCGCGTCCTAACTGTGCCCAAGAGTCAAGTCAACCGAGATTTTAATAATCGGGATGAGGACACCAAATATCGAGAGTTGACGCCAGGGGACGAGCCAGAGCGACAGTTCGCGAGTGCAGAAGGAGTACTTGTCTTCATTCTTTGGCAACAGGATGAGCAAGGACATCGATTTTTTAAACCACACCCATGCCCGTTTCAGGACAAGGCTCTGCTCAGTCTGCCATTCGTTCAGATGCTATGTGAACAGGGACCTGAACCAAAAACTGTGGACTCCCAGCGACCAGAGAACGCCTTCCGATTCGAATTATATTTAAGAAAGTCGGACGAGGATGAGGTAAGGGGTTTTCGGATATATTTTCAGCTGCAAATGGAGTTGAACTGGTGATACTGCAGTAATAACCTGGTAGTGGTTTTCCATTGACGCTAATAGCTAGGACATGTCACTAATTCTCGATATGTGGCGCTGTTATACGAAGTACTGGTGTATGGACTGAATAAAGGATACTATGCCAATGGGTATGGGCCTTGCAGAACACTATCGCCTCTTCCGACGTATGCGAAGCAGGATTCTCAGGCTGGAGGTCCCTCAGACGCTCACCTGGCCTCTCAGATTGCTGTTCCTGCCAATTCCAAGTTTTACAACACTGCCAATATCCAGGAACTCTATGTCGGCTACGAGAATGAACTTAAAGTCAAGCCAGGAGTATTTGTCTGGAGTTGGGTAGAGAGGGAGCGGATTCAGGGCCAGTTGGATGTCATTCGGTTCGAGATCTGTTCCCATAGCGGGGCGTCTTCAGGCAAAGAAAAACCGGTGTCCATGTGCAGGGCCATTATACGCGAGTATCAACGGCCTTCGCAAAAGGCATCTCTTTAATAAATGTTCATTGCTTGATGCGCACTCGGCAATTTTGTCCGCATGGTGAAAAAGCGATCATAAACTCCTGGATATAACATTGTGAGGTTGATAGCTCATGGACTACTGCTATCCACGATACGCAATGCAAAGATCCTCCCCTCAAAAGGGCGGACATATTAGAAAAAATATGTCCTGTTGCAACTTCTGTTGTGCCTCCACTTTGCCGTGGTCAAAGTAATCATGGGAAAAGATCGACCTTTCCCAAGGCCTGTCAGTTCAATACCCTATAATGAGACAACTTCAACTTCTCGACAACTTCTTACAGTTATCAACTCGACTTGTACTTGCGTCTGTGCTTGTGCTTGTGCCTGCGATGTGTCCGCGCCTGGGCACGAGCAGATTAGTTCGAATCCGTAGCGGGGTCATTGTAATTTTCAACGCCGAGGAGTGGCAGCATGTTTGCTTGGTGGCATCAGCTGCGAGAGCACCCTTCTAAGTATGCATTTGAGGGTTGCAGCAAGGAAAGGAGAGAGCAGTCGTGTAGATGCAAGGTAGCTGGTGTACGGGTACCGCTTTGAGTAATGTGCTTACATTGTCACCCTCAATTCCATCGACACCAACGCCTGGTGCGACCACGATTATGTTCTCGATCTCATTCTCAGGCCTGTCCTTAGCATCGTTCCCTCCAGCTGCTGTGTCGAGAACCCACCCACTCGGAGGTCGCTGACCATCCAAATAAGGCGGCGGCTTACTCATATTTGCATGCAGGTCCGTGCTGCTACTACTTCTCTACAGGCGGGTGGCGATTCCTGTAGTATATCTATCTCTCCTCGTTCCTTTTACACCCCTTGTATCTCTGTCCAGGCTCAATTTTCACATTGTCCCTAATAGAAATGGAGGAATTTAGTAACCCCGCCTTTGATATAGATTATCTGAGGAGAATGCCTTGCCAGTTTGCCATCTCAAGTAAAATAATAGAATAGCAGCTTCTGAAATTATGATGAAGTAATTACTACAGTCGCAGCATTCTCCCTCCTTTCCTTGTTTCCGTTTTCCATCACCCCACTTTTCCCTACTTTTCGGCCTTTCATCTCGAGACAAATCCAGGCAGAACTAGGATAGAGTGTAGTATTCACATTCTGCTTGTAGGCCTTTCGATTGAAGAGCAGAGTGCCGATGTCCTCACGGAAGACCATTCGACTAAAAGCAATTCCGCTTCGTAAGATAAAAACCTTGCACAACAAGCTGACCAGGCGAGCCCAGAGACCGTCAATGAAGGAGAAAAATCCAATACACATGCGAGTACTACCGTATTCGGCAATCCTAGTAAACCTTTATCGTGCTGGCGGTAGTGAATGGAAAAGGAAGTTGATGGTATCCTTGGTAGGGCCATGGTACTGAGTGGTTTCTATGCAGCTCTCAGGCCCTACTTCATGGAGGCCAACATTCCCTCCATGAGCGTGAGTCGTATCGCTAATCTCAAACCATCGGCTAAACCAACATTTTCCTGTACTCTTGAATATGAAAACTGCGGGATTGGATCGTTGTTACGCCAGTGTTAGTATAGGTTTTACACCGTAGAACAAGTAACCGTTGCTCATTTGGTTTCCTCTATTTTGACTACGGTGAACACCTGCCTATGAAAATACCAGTTTCTACCTGGTATCGCGGCTTAGGACTTTAGGACGATACAATGGAAAACTCCATCTGACACTTGCATATCGATACAATTACGCCCATCACCTTCAGCTTAAAGATGAGGATAACAAATACGGACACCTGACTGATTTGAACAAGGTATGATAGAATGAGTAACCTCATAACGCATCTAATCTTGAAAACCAACTGCCGTATGTTTGATTCGGTTACCCATGTTATCCAGTATTCTGAAATCGTTAGCAATACTTTGAATTTGATACTTTGTTTGGATTTCTCGGGGAGAAGACTACATCTCAGGGTTGGTTCTAAGAGCCGGGCTATTACTCGCCTATACCAGGCCGCACTCGTTCAGCATGAAGCGACATTGGACTTTATTCGCTCGGAAGATCGGTTTGTACGCCCATACTCCCAGCGAGACTTTTAGCCGGTTCCAGCCTTCGGCGATCAATACCAGAACAAGCTTTCGTCACTCTCGCATAACTGGCAACACCGTCTGGACTGCGGTTCAAAGCGCGGTGTTCAATCGAGGGATGTAGCCAGGATTATGTATCAGGTGAGAATGATCGTTCTATCGAACAAGGATCCTGGGATATGTTTGTGGATATTATCGGTATTCTCCCGTGCATGGCGATTGCAAAATCGCGGGCTTTCATGATATGAACCCCACCGGCGACCTTGGACGGTGACCACAGCCGTGTTCGTGCAGGTCTACAGAGACCACAACCAGTCGCTCGTGGACGTCTTTTCATCACTTTCATATTCTCCGGGTGAAATGCTGCTCCATCACCGTTACTTTCGTCTGAGCTTAGTGTCCCGCTGCACCCAAACAACAGTTGCGGCTATTCTAGTCCTTCTCATGCTCGTAGACTAAGGGAGTGTAGCTAAGGCTCGAGATTGCGATTGTTTGTGGGGATTGAAGATAGGTTGATGCGAGAGTGAGTACTGGAGGGAATAAAAAGCGCGTCTTTATTGTTCTACTGGTCACCTATATCCACCCATGATCAATCATTGCTACGTGCGGTGAATGTCGATGGTACACGGGAGATGCGTCTGGAGCTAAGTAATAGTCATCCTAGAGGTCGTTGCGGGCGTTATTAGCCAAGGTGCACAGCGTGGAATAAAGTTTTCAATTGCTGTAGGCAAATGTTGTTGCATGGATTTCCGCTGCAAAACTTCCTATGCCTTGAAACTGACGATGTAGCGTTCAGCGTGATCATAGTTCCACCATCCTAACCTCATTTCACGAAATGTCGTCCTCCAACAATCGCGTTGCCTGTGCCAACTGTTTAATACTCCTGGCAGGAGAGGCTCCATTCTACATTCCAGCCAAAGCGATCCCTCCACCAACGCCCTTGTCCAACACGATTTGTAAGATCTGAAAAAAAAAAAAAAAAAAAAAGGTTGCGGCCGAATCAACCTACAGATCAGTTTTGTTGAAGGCTCTGTCTATTAAGAGAGAATGAGACCCTGGTCTAACATGTTTGAGTCATCGATTCCCATTGAATGCAGATGGAGCCGCCGCTTTGGATAACCGTCCGCCTTTAAAATGGCCCATCCACTTCATCCTAGGCGATGCTCCTACTCTCAACCCCAAGGACACGACCAAAGTGCAGGTAATGAATATCGCGATTAATCCATGTACTACGCATCAATCTAAAAAGCATGGCTATAATCTCACAGAATTAGTTGTCAATGGCAATTAGGTCTGCAAACAATGTCATGATCTGTACGATAAGGGTGACGGCACTCAGGGTGATCCCAAGGACCTGATCCCTCGTGCGCCTCGTCTCTCCATGTTCTCTCGTATCCCCGAGAACATGCAAGACCTCACCCTCGAGCAGCGCCGCGCTCTTCGATTGGCTGCTTGTCCGACGCCCGCGAAGGCGAAAGGCAAGAATGTCGAGGCACTCTTGTTTCCGTGGTTGTATCCATTGGGCACGGGAATGTATGCGGACGGGATGAAGGGTCCGAATTGCAGGTCGTTTAAAGATGATATGGAGATGAAACTCAGGAGCGCGGATCCAAGGTGGAGAGATGATGATGAGTGGCCTACTTGGGCTGCCTTGAAAGCTGAGGGAAAGGATGGGACCGCCGATCTGTTTAAGCCGCTGTAGAAGGTGTGCAGTGGCGGTATCATAGTAGCTACTTCACAGCCGCAAACATGGAGAGTGAACAATAAAGTGTTTATGGAGCGTACAAAGTGGAGGACATGTGTTATTATTATTACCGTTGTCATGGTATTTGATATGTTGTACACGGTTTGGTACCTGATTGGACATGTTGACCGACTTGGGGACGCACAACAGCGGCAAGGTACTAAAGCTGACGCATGCCTATCTGGAAGTACTGCCGCTCCTCAAGGATGCTTTCATTCTCGCGGCGGCTGGCCTAGAGGTGCAAGGAGATCACACGTGACAGTAAGGGCATGCAGAGTGCCATGGATCTTCACGCGTTCAAAAGGAGACGCCCACGGTCCTCCTGTTCGTCAAGCGTTGAATCTTTTCTCCACCGAACGTCCTCCTTCATACGCTCCATTCCACCATCACCCTCTCCAAAGAAGCATAAGCATGCCATCGTTCATTGGTGCCATCGACAATGGCACTACCTCGTCGCGATTCCTGATTTTCGACGAGAAGGGCGATCTTGTCATCGGACACCAACTGGAGTACCGCCAGATCTTTTCTCATCCTGGGTAAAGATTTGTGCACGCATATTCTTTTTTTATTTCCCGTCCCTTCTGATCGAACACGGTTCAACAGTTACTGAAAAGAAGGATTATATTCAATTGCCAATGATGCAGATGGGTTGAGCAAGACCCAATGGATATCCTCGGCAGCGTCGTAAGCTGTATCGATGCGGCCCTCCGCAAGTTCGAGCTCCAGGGCAATGCTGTCAAGAATCTGAAAGGTATCCTTCGAATGATAATTATGCGGAAAGCACAAATGTCTGTCAGGTCCACCATGTTGCTCTTTCATTATTTTTGCCCAAGTCATTTTTGAAATGTCTATTAACACGAGCTCCTTTTTTCACATGGGCACGAACGCTCAGGTATTGGCATCACGAACCAGAGAGAGACAGCCGTGGTTTGGGACAAGAGCACCGGACGGCCCTTGCACAATGCGATCGTCTGGTCGGACACCCGCACCAAGGACATTGTTCGCACGTATAGCGAGTCCTCAGAAAAGGGTGCAGATGCTTTGAAGGTACGCACCGTACTCAATTGGCCTCGATTGATTGCAATTTGTCATTTCTGCTGCTCTATAGAACGCCGTATCCACAGCCGCCTAACTGTCATTTCATGTGGAATTGTACTGTGCAGGATATCTGTGGACTGCCGATCACGACGTACTTCAGTGCGGTCAAGCTGCGCTGGCTGCTCGACAATTCTACAGAAGTCAAAGAGGCATACGATAATGGCAACCTGATGTTCGGAACCGTCGACTCTTGGTTAATCTATGTAAGCGCGGCACCACCACTCCTTCCTTCGTTCGCACATCTTGATTCGCCGCAATAGTCAAATCGCCTTATCTACTAACGAAACCGGCATGTTTATTTGCACCGTCATGAATGTCTGTAGAACCTCACCGGAGGAGTAGATGGTGGTGCCCATGTTACAGATGTCACGAATGCCAGTCGCACGATGCTTATGGACATTCGCTCCCTGAAATGGAGCGACGAATGCTTGGATTTCTTTGGTGTCAGCGCCGATATCCTTCCGGAGATTAAGCCCTCGTCATCAATGTTTGGCGAGATCAAGCACACGGATCTGGAGGATCTCCAGGGCGTACCCATTGCGGGCTGTTTGGGGGACCAGCATGCGGCTTTGGTGGGACAGCGTTGCTTCCAGGTTGGGGATACCAAGAATACGTATGGCACTGGGTGCTTCATGGTCTTCAATACGGGAAAGGATATCATCCCTTCCAATAATGGGCTGTTGACGACTGTTGGATATCAGTTCGAGGGCGAACCAGCTGCCTATGCGCTCGAGGTACGGGTCTATGATCTACGACTACGGCTGCAGCGTAATCGAAACAAATGCCACATGCGGAATAATGCGTCTTTCTTGTTAATAACAACGGTGATCAAATGCATAGGGATCAATTGCTGTCGCTGGATCGGCTGTGAAGTGGCTCCGAGACAATATGGGCATCATCAACAGTGCAGAGGAAGTCAATGATCTTGCAGCGGCAACGAAGGACAATGGCGGCGTTGTCTTTGTTACGGCGTTTTCTGGTCTCTTTGCGCCATACTGGCGGTCGGATGTTCGTGGCTGCATCCTTGGCATTTCACAGCACACGACTAAGCATCACCTTGCAAGAGCCACCCTCGAAGCAACGTGCTTCCAAACGCGTGCTGTAAATTTCTATCATCATTCGTTCGCAAAGTGGATCTGCCTGAGTTAGCGCCTGAGTTCTAACACGGCGCGCCCTCGCACATGAAAACAAATATAGATCTTAGACGCCATGAACAGTGATTCAGGAAAGCCACTGAAGACGCTTCGTGTGGACGGTGGACTCTCGAACAGTGATGTCTGCATGCAATTGCAGGCGGATATCTTGGGTATCGAGGTGACTCGGCCGCAGATGCGTGAGAGTACTGCGCTGGGAGCTGCCACTGCGGCAGCCGTGCATCTAGATATCGGCATGTGGAAGGGCGGTTTCAAGGCTTTCCTTGAGCGCATCCAGGAGTCCAAAGAGACGCTCCAGACATTCCAGCCCAGCATCAGCGAACAAAGTAACCAACCAGCGCTACTCTTTATTTCTTTTTGTTCTATTTCGATCTAACACAGCTAATGCCTTTTGTTTTTATTATTACTATTGCTTTGATCCATTCATTAGAACGAGAAGAGCAATACAGTCTCTGGCAAAAGGCCATTGACAGTGCCCTGAGCTGGACATGAGGGTTCTATAGATACGTAGAAGCTGCTCAGGACCATCGTCATCCGAAGTAAATCAAGCATACCCGACGACATTTCCATATTTGTGTGGTATGGCCAGCTGATCGAACCGCCTCAGTTACACATGGAACCTACATGCAACATGTTATCATAGTCTGGTATCTCATCTTGTACCTCCTTGTGATGTGGCTGCTAGCATGACCCAGATCGATAAAAAAAAAAGTAAAAAAGAGGATGGATAGAAACGTCTAAGAAAGGGTATAGCTACGCACGCCCTGGCGTTTGTTTGGATGACTGAGTGAGAAGGGAATGGGATGTGCGAGTAGAGGTCTAAGGAATGGTCTACTTGGTCCAAAAAGAGAAAAAGGCGGAGTTCCGCGGTGGTCTGGTTTTAAGGTTTTTCGTGCCTGAAGATCCAACCTTGGTCGTTGGTGCTGTTTCAGTCGAGGCGTGCGTGCCTTTGTCTTTTGCGTCCCTGGAAGTCAGGGACGACTAACGCGTCGTGGTTGATGACAGCGAATTGAGGATACAAACCTTTACTCGCAATCCCATATTTTCTTCCCTCATGTTCTTCTTGTTGGTTCCTCTGTGCACACCGGTGATCAACGATCGGAGGAAAATAAAAAAACAGAGCGAAGGAAAGGAGAAAACGAGAATAGCGAGAAAAAAAAAAGAGCGCTAAACTAAGTTTGTTTTTGTGTACCATGGGTTTTTTTTTGTCTTTGCACGCGTGCTTGGACCAGTCGCAGCAATGGTCAGAGACGAGGTGATGGGGTAAGCAGTAGGCGAAGGTTGGCAGGCTGTTCACCTTTTTGTGTTTGTTTTGGGTTTTGCGCATGAGCACAAGCGAGCCATGCGCTATTCTCTCCTCCGTCTTCATGCAGTGCAACGATAGGAAAGGAGCTGTTAAAAATGATGACACCACCTCCTCTCCGCCCTCAGGATTACATGTTCGTCGAACAAACAACCCGCAGCTTGTTTTTGCTTATTTCAGTAGAGATGTGTTCTTCGCAAACGTTTTGCGCAAAGGTTAACATAAATGGTTCAGCTACATAACAAAGCTGTCTGTAAACCGCGAGTTGCCGATCTAAGCTCATTCGACGACGGTTTGGGCGCACAAAAAAAAAAAAAAGTCGAAACAAGGGTCCCTAGCGTAGACAAGCGTGCATTCTTCGGCATGGCCTGCATGGTTATGGACAGACCAGGGTAGGGCGTGTTGATCAAATAAACGGATTTGCGCTAACAGATATCTCGAAACCACAAGTGGAGGGAGGGATCAGATACGATTGTTCCATCGCCCACCCTTCAGGAGCACTCCTGGCCTAGGACACAGGAAAGCACAAAAAAGGTTTTTGTATTTTGGTGGCAAGAATAGTCTCATGGTCGTACTCTTTTCTGGTGGGGCCAAGTGATGACACGCTTGCTCTTGTCTTCGTGGCCACTGGCTGGCTGACTGTCGATTGCTTCGGTCAGCCTGACATGTTTCCTCGCAGAAGAGAGTGTTGGTATCGTTCCACAATACAGCAGCAAAAAGGGGGAGGAGGAGCAAAAGAGGTTGGGTGTGCTCTCATTTTTAAGTCTCGATAGAGAGAGAGAATGAGAGGGCATGTCATTGAGAGTGAGCAAAAAAAAAACAACAATAAAGAGGCGGGGCATAGACTTTGGACGAGAGCACTATGCCGTTGCCCTGCAGCTTAGAAAGAAAAGCGGATGGAGATGGGAAGAAGAGAGCATCGCATTGTTTGCTGGGAATGGGCAATGGGTCTACCCAGATGGATTCCGAGCCCATCGCAGCATGCATAGCACCTTGTTTTAAATCTGAGCAATGGGATTGCATACGGGGTGGGATGAACCATGCTCCATGGCCGCCATGGACACTCGTTCCTTGACCCATGGTTTCGAGTTTTTTTTTGTTTTGATTGGGGAAGAGGAATGAGGCAGAGAGGCACAAAGGAGAAGGGGGGAGGAGGAGGGGTGAGAGTATGTCCTTTTTCTTTCTTTTCTTCTTTCTTCTTTTTCTTCATCCTTTTCCTCATCTTGTCCATCCTCCTCATCCTTCCATCTCCATCCCCCTCGCACTTCCCGACTGGTTGGTTGAGCTCCTTATTTGTGTATTTTTTTTTTGTTAGAACACCTTCTTTTGCCTGTTATCTTCCCATCGTCCCATTCCCCTACCTTTCCTGCTATTGCTTATTTCTTGACCCTGTTCTTTGCTTCTCTCCCGCCCAATCGTCAATTGTCCCTTTGGATTTATTCTTCTCTTTTCGTGCGGTGGGCATCAGAGGAACACAGCAGACTCACGGTCATCAACCAAGAATCACTATTGGCAGTGCTAGTGCAAGAACAAGTGCAAGTGCAAGAAACAGTGCGAGCACGACTCTATTGGGTCGCAGGAAACAATCTCAGATAACAAGGACAATCGATCGAATCGAAAACACCAGGAGAGCCTATTACAGCCATGAACTCAACCCAGTACAGCTACCATCCGTATCCTTCTCCGTCCCAGACTCAGGCACAGGTGCCTCAGCAACAGCAACAGCAGCAGCAACAGCAGCTGTCTCCTCAGCAGCACCACCAGCAACAGGTCCTCTCGCCCCAGCAACAGCAGCAGCAACTGCACTCCCCGGACGTGTCCTCACAACCACATCCCCAACAGCAGCAACAACAACAGCAACAGCTCTCGCCTCAGCAGTCGCCGTCCCCTCACCAACATTCACCTGAGCAGCAGCACACCAGCCATCTCGGTCTGGACCACAACAATAACAACAGCAACAATCTTTCCACCACCGCCAACAACACCAATAATACTACCAACCACATAGACCAGCACCCCTCGCCGAGTCACTCCAATGACGCCCAGTCGCCTATAGATGCCGAAGGTGAGCTCATCGTCCCAGGTCCTGGAGCGACCAGTCAACAGTCGCAGCAACCGACCTCCGGCGTGACCTCGAGCGCGTTGCACAGTCCAAATGCCGGTCAAGGCCACCCAACGACGCTCCTGCCCATGCCCTCGCCAGCCCTTGCTGCTGCCACGGCAGCCAACACGGCGGCCAATACAAATTCCGCTGGCAGTCGACAGCTGATCTTGCAGCAGTACCAGCAACAACAGCAGAATATGGGCATGTCTATGCCCCCCAATGGCGGTACCCCTGGTGCGATCAACACAATGGGTATTCAGGGTCCTGGCTACATGCTCCCATCACCCCAATCCGCAGGCACCCAGCCCCCACTACCACAGCTGCCGCCTCAGAGCACGGACCTGGATACAATTCTAGCAAAGTACGCAAACCAGCCTGAGTTGCTCAAGTTGATCATTGCGTCCAAGACCGAGGAGGACCGGCGGTGGGCAGAGGAGGCACGATACCGAATGATGGATTTAATCATGCGTGGGGAGAATCGAGGGATGGGGTTCATGGCTGGATACGAAGCCCTTGGAGGTATCCCTGGAAATATGCCCGGAAACATGATGGGCATGACGGCCAAGCGGTTCATGGAGGAAGGGGGATACGGACTTCATACGGCCTTTGGAGGCTTCCCACCTGCAGGACCGGGTCTTGGTGGTGCTGGATGTGCGCCCGGTACAGGAGGCGCGGCTGGACAAAGTGGCATGCCAGGATCTGCAGGATCGTTGTCAGCCATGAACCCGTCTTCGACTTCTACGGGATCAAGCAATACGGGTCTTCCGCCGATGTATTCACAATCGCAGATACCGAATCCATTTGGCATGGGTGGCATGGGCAGCATGAATCATGGGCCCCAGGCGACGATGAACCCGACGATGGGGGGTGCCTCTGGAGGGTTTAACCAGTACGTTGATCCGAGCCTGGCCCGCAAGCGATCCGTTACGTTCGCAGGCGAAGTCCACCATATGCGCTCCCAGTCGCTCTCCTCAATCCAAGCTCCCAATGCAGTTGGGCAGCTCGGGGGTATGTCCATGATGGCCATGAATGGCGGCACAGATGCGTTTGGACAGCACCAACAGCCGCATCACCAGCAGCAAGGGCAGGCCACACTTCAGACCCAGCAATACCAATTTCAGCAACAACAGCAACAACAGCAACAGCAGCCGCAAATGCACTTCCATCACCATGCGGTCCAATCATTTGGCGGTGGAAATCCTTATTCGCACCAGCCGTTTGCACCACAGCATACGCTGCCTAGTCTGCACCATCATAGTGCTGTCCGGAGGACGAATTCGCTTTCCCACATCAATCAGACAACGACGGTAACAGAACAGCGCCTAACAGCGGGGCGACCCCGGAATGAGAGCTCGGCATCGATCAGGACCATGGATGACGATAGTGGTAAGGGCATTTTGCTTTTTCTTTTTTTTTACTGCATTCGTGTCTGTCTCTGCTCCTGAGTGCAGGATATCGGCAGCCTTGCCCCTGGGCTTCGCCACTCGTTTCAATTGGATACGTACAATTCCAACTACTCTCGATGATTCTGTTTCTGGGCTGCTTTATATGATATGACCGAAAAAACGAAAACGAAAACGAAAGCAACTTCAGGAACCGTTTGGATCAGAGCCTAGGCACCTTTTCGTTGCGGCTCGACCTGACAGGATAAAACGACAAAAAAAAAAGAGTCTATTTTCACAACTTCTTTGACTGTATGAGATGAAGTCCTGACTTGACTGACAAATTCAACAAAACACTTGCTTTATTTATATAAAAATAGATGAAGATTCAGAAGACGATTACGAAAACCACCCTCTGATGGGTATGGCTAGTCGACCGGGATCGGCACTGAGCATTCACAACAGCATGGGAGGCAACGGCGAGACCTCGCTCACGCTCGAATTCTCGGACATGGCCTCCGTCTCCGGCCACGGCGCACACCATCATCACAGCCATCACCACAACGACGCAGTCGCTGGTGCCGGACAGGCCAATTCTTCTAATGGGGTGGGTAAGACTCATCGGTCGACATCTTCGGCATCGTCGCTCTCGGGTGTGACGGGCGGCAGTAACAGTGCCGCAGGATCAGGATCGGATTATAAACGGAAACGGAAGCGTCGAGAGATGCAGCCCGTCAATAAGATCGTGGACTCGCCCGAACCCCATGTGGATCCGTATCTGTGGAAGAATAACGGAAATACAACTCAGAAGAAAACTGGGTGCAAGAGTATTTATTATAAATGTTCGAATAGCACCGCCGGATGTACTGTAAGTGTCCTCCTTTGCCATAACTGCCCTGCTTCATTAGATCCATGGTTTCGAGAACGGAACAAACAATCGGTTGACTTAACACATGTACCCGAAATCAACGAAATGTAGGTGAACAAGACGGTGACGGAAAAGGAGGGCGGCGGGTTCGTGACCAAGTACCGTGGCGAGCATCTTGAGGACTGTATCCGGCTCAAAAAGGCCCAGCTGGCCGCCCAGGCCGCCCAGGCTGCCGCTAATGGACACCACTCAATACATAAAGAGCAGTGAATTCATGAACCCCTGAACAAATCCTCACACGACACATTCATACACACATTCTTGTAACATAAGCAACATAACCTGACACCACCAACTCGATCCACATAGTAAAGCGCGCATTGTCTCAAAAGAAAAAGTTTGCATGTGCTTCAGTTTGTTTTATTGAGTTTGTCTATTTCCTTGCTTCTTTTCCAAGACTTTCCCTATGACGGTGTAACGCCGTATTGTTTACAAGGTCATAGTAACCGTCAAGCTCTTGGCGTGGAGCAACAATACAGGGACGTCAATTCCCTCCATCAACAGATCCAGGTTCTCGAGGTACGCCAAAGAACTCTCTTCTCTCAGACATGTCCCTGGCTCGGGCGCTGGAACCGTTGTAAAAATGATTGACGTCGTCTCTGCGGACGAATGGATCCGCATCAGTTCGTTCAATATCCTCAGCTGTGTCTCTGAACTCAGGTGGTCAAATTGGATCGGTGGCAACGGCAAGGGAGGTGTTGAGAGCGGGTCCTCGTGGCCAAAGCCAAATGAATCAAGGTTCGGTGGCGGCGGTGATCCAGGCAAAATAGGTGCTCCTCCTGTCGCCATCTCGGGCGCAGCCATTTCCTGCGACATACTACATTGCTGAAGCTCAGGGTTACGACTGTATAGATTGGTCGGGAACGAAGACACATCAGTGCCAGCGGATGTGGCCCAAGGATGCGAGTTGCTATCATTAGCTGTTGGAGACAAAGGGTCTCGCTGTTGCTGCTGTTGCTGCTGGTATGTTTGAGGTGTTGCTACTGGGTATACTGAATGCTGCTGCTGCAAGCAATGTGCTTGGTTGATAGAGTCCTGCTCCGTCGCCGCAGAGGCGAGTCCAAGACTTATCCCAAGCCCTTGCTGTTGTTGTTGCTGTTGTTGTTGCTGTTGCTGTTGTGAACCTAAAGAGGTATGAGCAGACGCCAACTGCCGTGGTTGCTGTTTAGGCTCCATCGGCGCCTGTTGTGAAGGCGGTTTATATGTTTGATTCAATAGTAATTGCTGCTGCTGCAACGGATAAAGCCGTTGTACCGCAGGAGGCAACTGCTGTGGTAAATACACCCCGCTGTATACGAGATCATCGTCGTTGCGGTCATAGTCCTCATCGTCCTCGCTGCTCATAGAATCCGATTCGCTTTCAGAATTAGTACCGTGTGTATCAAGGTACTGACGCGGCAGAGGAACCGCAATCCGAAAGTTCATGGAGGTATTCAAAGGCGCCGAAGTTCCTAGACGGCTTTCCATGGGCGAAGTGGAGCCAGCCATGCCTCCGCGGTATCGCACACCGCCTCCGCCACTGCCAAAGGCACGGTGTGGGGACGATGAAGGGTGGGCGGAAACAGCAGCGATGGGCGATCCGTGTCGTAGCCGTGGCGATAATGCAGTGTTGACCCGAAGGGAAGTAGACCTTGCGGGGCGCTGTTGTTGATTGTCCGGATGCGAGATCGTGCGTCGTCTTTGTGGCGGTCCTGGTGGTGGTCCCGAGGGCTGGAGTATAGGATCGCGCCCAAATGATCGAGCAGGGCTCCCTAATGAAATGCTTGGGGAGGAGCTTTCTCTTGCCTTGTCGAAAAGACCCTGGTCCCCAGCATTCGAGTGCGACCCAACTTCGCGAGAAGGGTAATGTCCATCATTATGTGCCCGCGATGATCCTTCAGCCTCAGTCTCCTCCCCTTCTTCATCCTCCTCGTCCTCCTCTTCCAGTGGTTCGTGCTGTTGCCAGCGCGGGTTGATATTCCAAGGTCCAGGTTTCGAAGTGATAGAGGCAACAGGATCAGCAGCAACCTCCTCCGTCCCTTCGATACCGTCTGATTCGAAACCATCGTCGACACTATAATCCCTTGCGTCATACAGATTCTCTCCTCGAACAAGTCGCGCATAGGTTTCACTGTCGCCCCCATCCAGACACATGACATTGACCTCTGCTGGAATACGCAGGTTTTCTAGTAGAGCACTCAGCCTCTTTCTCTCCTCCTCCACATCCTCCTTGTACTCGACAAAGACCATGACGCGGAGCGAATAGTTGTCCTTCCAAAGCGGTACCATGTGGAGAATACAACCCATCTGAAGCACCATCGCATATGTGTCAAAATTGGTTAAGTTGCCCTCTGTCGATTTGTTGGAGTTGTAGCCGCCCTCCGAGAACATGGCGCCCCCGCTCGGCGATGTATGCAACATAGGAGAAATAGGGTTCTGATCTCTTGAGGCGCGCATGTGAGCAGAAAAGTTGAGTTGTTGCTGGCTTGGATCAACGCACTGCATAGGCGCCATGGACATCTGCATTGGCCACAGATCAATGTATCGCTTCTGGTTGCTTTCTCCAACTTTGTGCAAAGAGGATGGGCGAGACTGAGGAGTAAACAATGACTTTAGCGAGAGAATGCTGGATCTGAGGCTGAGAAGGTTGAGCGGATTCCAAAGCGCCTTGTGCTCCTCTGGGAGCTCTAGCCGCTCGAATCCGTACCCGATAGCAACAGCCTTATTTAACGACAAGACATCCTCAATGATCGAGACATAATCCGTGATCGCGATCGGCGTCTCGACTCGAATATTGTCGATCGGCAGACTGACTGGAACATTAAGCAGCGTATGATCTGCACACGGGTTGTTCATTGTCGCAGGCATAAATGACCCCTTTTGTATGTCAGGAGACAGAACATGGTGTTCCGGAGTGTTTGGCTGCTGTTTCTGCTTCTGGAGCAGGTATCGCTGAAGGTTGAAGGATCCCAATACAACAATGTTAGGTCGCATGCCGCCAAGCCCTGTCCCTATGAGCAAGTTCCTGGCTCCTATCCGTACGCTGTCTGCGACGCTTAGGTTGACAAATGCCTTGATGTGCAAAACGTCCACAAACTTGAGCCAACTGCTCTGCTGCCGCCTAAACTCCTGCAAGACATCCCTGAGATCGCCTAAGATGACATGTCCCAAAACATAAAGAGCGCCTTTCTTGAGGTGATTGCAAAATTGGATCAAGTTGTACTCAGATCTTGGGTGATGTACCAAAAGAAGGATCTGTGGTCGCCAAAACTTGACGTGTTCCTTTCGAGAATCCAATCGAAGTAGATACTTGCGGACTTGGTGATAGATCAAACTCTGCGTCACGTCTCCCCACCGCTTCGGCGGAGACCAGTAATGGATCCAGATAAACAGTACGGCCGTCATGAGACCGCTTAAAAGACTCTGTCCAAGATCTACGTAACACATGACGACTGCGGACAGGACCATTCCACCAAAAGCCGTCCACCAGTGAAAGAACCGAAAGCTAGGTCGAAAGTTGGGTGCCGATCCGACCTTGAGAAGAAAACACGCCAGGTTGAGGATCAAGAATGTGAGGAGTGTGATAAGGGACACAAATGTCGCGATCGCATTCATGTCTGTGAGCAAGAGACAGAATTGGCAAAGGATGTATGTCAGCAAGACTGCAAGTGTCGGCTCATCTGTCTTGGGTGTGCCCTGACCAAAGACTGATAGGAGTGGAAGCAAGTTATCACGAGCAATCGCTTGTAGAATTTTGGCCGCACCGATCACGCAACCGAGAGTGGCAAATACGGAGGCTGCGAGCCCCCCAGAGGCAATAAAGATTGGCGAAATAGATACCTAGCAGGCGATCAGAAAAAAAATATGATCAGACCAGATATCACGTAACTAAGAAATCTAAGAGCGATGGGAGTGGAGATGAAAATTTGGCGGAAACTCTTACATCTTGTAGTACACTGAGATCAGTGTACATGGTACTCCTCGAGATGGATCCACCCATCAAAATGACTATCAGGGTGTATACGCAAAATGTAGATCCGACTGCCCAGAGAGTACCCTTTGGGATGGACTTGCTTGGATCTTCTAGATCTCCAGACATGGATGCACCTATGAACGATCGAAACTATTAGTCCATTTACTGTACATCCGAATAGTATTTCAATACAGTCCATCCTTAAACGGTCGTCCATTACCTGCAAGAATGCCGATACAGGCGGGAAAGAGCACACCAAAGACTGTCTGGAAGCTCTGCTTTGCGCCCTCCGGTCCATTGGTTGTGGTGAAATTTGGCCACATGTTTTCTTGTAAGGTATCCCATGAAAATCCTGTGTACTCGATATTACGCTCGGGGTGTGTGAACGGAGGCATGAATGCAAAGGATACAAAGATAGACAAGGTCGATATCAGGATGATGACGGCCAGAACCAACGATGACCGAGCAAATAACTATGCATTGTAGATATAGGTGTGTATTCGACTTAGTAGCAGATTAAGATAACAGTGAGCCCGAAAGCATGGATGTGGTTCAGGCAATAAACCTCGTGTACTGTACCTTGGACCCGACGAGACAGACAAGCGTGCAGGAGATAAGCAATATCGTTCCGTAGATAAATCCCCATAGCTATGCATGCCATTTTGAAAAGTTGGCAGTAAGTTGATGTATGAGGTGGTTAGCGAACCTCATATTCCTGATCCGCAATACCATGGAAAAAAGACGTCCACATTGGAACATACAGGTCCCTCGGGCAAGACCCGGTACATCGTCCCTGAAACCTCGCCAAAGTTCGCAATCAGCGGCTCCACGAAACCAAGCACGTTCATGCCGCAGCCAATGACCGTGCACAGGAAATAAATGAGTCCAATGCTCCCGCCAAACTCGGGCCCTAAGCTGCGACTGAGCAGGTAGTACACACCGCCGCCTTGATCGCATTGTAAGACGAGGGGGAGATGTCAGATGCGGATACAACACGACATGCATGCATACATTCGAGTATAAGAGAACTATCTCCTCATGTCATCGAAATGCAGGGCGCCTTCTTTACCTCTTACGGTTCCGTTGGTGCTGATGGCACTCAGTGAGAGGGTCGTAAAGACATTGATCGCGTAGCCGACAATAAACATGGCCATCGTACCCATCACACCTGCCTGACCGATGATGAACCCGAAACGCAAGAACAGGATGATGCCCCAGATACTCAGGACGCATGGGACAAAGACGCCAGAAAAGACCCCTAGTTTTGACCTTTTGGTGGTTGCAAGAGCAGGATTGAGCTGGGTTGGGAAGACGGGCTCTGATCTGGCACCCTGCTGGTTGGGACGGTTTTGATTCGATCGGCCATTTTCAGAGAAGGGCAGGCCAACCGCAGTGGCACCATAAGTCCCTGCAGCGTTGTACGACGGTTTTGAATGCTCCTGGCTCCCCAAGAGTTGAGCGTGCTCGCCCAATCCTGGAGATACATTGCGTGCTGTGTAGAGGTGATGTCAAAGCCGTGAGGCATTAAAACGACGGAAGAGGATAGGACAGGAAGAGGGGCCGGGGGGTAAGGAAGAAGTATCAAGTTGAAAGTATGAAAAAGGGAGACATTACAGCGAGCGACTGATGGACCTATCAGACATTGCAGGAGAAAGCAAACCCCGCCGGAGGATAGATGACATGGGCACAGCCAAGCATCAATCCTATCCATCTACTTTACCTTGAGCGCCATCCTGATCGAGATGCTCGGCCTGTTGCTGATGCTGCTGAGCCTTGGTTTGTGAACCTGCATGAGACACAAGCAGCTCCTCCTCTTCCTGAACAGCAGCATCCAAACTAAGACTCCCTCGACGTAATCGTCGGTTGAACGCGTCCAGGTTTTCCTTCCATGTCACTGCCTGGTAGCTACTCTTGGGTCGGAACATGCCTGGCAGAACAGAACTTCCTGGCCGCGCTCTTCTTGTCGAGGCTGTATTTGAGGACGCTGTCGAGGATGGCGACGAGGAGAGCGCGGGACGGTGCGTAAGAAAGTTGTTGACGGTAGAGGGCGAGGACTTGGGGCGATTTATCCGCGGCCTTCCTGGATTAGAGGCGGCATTGTCGGTGCTAGCGCTGGTGCTGGTGTTGATCTGGGAGTTGTCTATGGAGGAAGAAGCGCCGTGGTGGTGGCGTTGTGTTCTTGGTTGTGACATGCGCTGCTGGACGTCTTGAACTGGGATATCGGGGCTAAAGAAGGAGAGGCGAAGAGAGGGCACAATCGAAGGGCAAGAGCGGATACTGGCAAAGCACAAGAAGAAGAGGAGAAGAAGAAAAGGAAGAAGGAAGAAGGACGGATGGAATGGTGAACGAGGAGGAGTTGAATCAGTCAGGTTGGTTCATGGGTTCATGGCCTGGTCGTTTTTTTTTTGTGTGTGTGTGTGTGTGTGTATATATGTCCGTGTATGTGTGTTTACACAAGGAGACCTGACTGGACTTGAACCTTGCCCTCTCGCTTACTCCCGCTTTTGTAATCCCCATGGGCACGGTCGATGGCTCATCCCATCCTGCCTCAAACACTTCGGCGCCCCTTCTCGTCCCCCTACTGAAGCTCTTCCTTGACAGACAATTAGAAACAGGACGCCTTCTACGACGCCGTATTCACTTGCAAAAAAGAAAAAAAAAAAGGTCTCCGCATCCCCGCAACCCCCGCGTGAGTTCACGCCTCTGCTTCTACCGCGTACAGTGACGCAGAGAAAGTAGCCATGGTGTGTCTGCAGGTTCTGTCCTGCGTCCGTATCAGGCCGTAGGAGGCAAGTACATTGCTGGCGCGATATTAACATACATCCCTATCGTAAACATGTCGATGTTTTATACGCAGCGGAGACTATGTTCCCTTTACTGTCCTTCGTTCTCGCTCGTAACACTATAACGGCTTCTTTCTTTCAATTGGCATTAAATGATTCTGTCCACCAGAGATCGTATGCAACGCCTAAAAAACTTCAGCGGCTGTTTCTAGACGGCATCCCGTAACTGTGTAACTGCCTCGGACACGGCCCCAGAGCGACTCGCCGAAGTTAAACTGAGCGTGGTGCCCATCACGTTCGGTATCCGCGCCAATTTCTTAAGCTTGGTTTCACTCCTAACGGCATGACGAGTACAGTCCCTACTACAGTCTGCATATCATTCCTGACAACGCCGTCCTTGATCTACCGTATATTTTGCGCGACCAAGTGAATGTACACAGCTAGTATTACGCGGCAGCGACATCAAATACGCTGTCTAGGGCTACTTCAATCCCTGGAATTGGCCACTTGAAATTCGCAGAGCGCATTCGAAGGATTCAAGGGCTCATTCATAGCTCTGAAGTCTTCGAAGCGCTGGTTCTACTGATTGTTTGAGATATCGCTCCACTGCGTGATTTCTGAGCGAAACACAACGATAGCCAATGTCTCGGCAAGATCAGAGCCAAACCCACTACCCTTCCAAGATTGCGCTTTACCGCCGCTATATGGGCTTTACCGCGCTTAAGGGCTCGATTGCAGGTCCTGTTTTTCTGGCGCGTCGTTATCTCGCCTGGACCCAGTACTGCAGCGAGAGATCGATCAGTAACTTCAGCAGCACGATTGCGACTGTCATTACGGAACAACGCGTATGTTGAGGCTAGCGGTGGTACATGGTGATTACCGCGCATAAAACACAACCACGCCAGCCCAAGGTCGGGTGTTAGTACAGTTCTTATTCCTCAACACATATACCTTCAGCCCCTCCCTCTTCTTCCTCATAGCCTCATTTATGTCCTCCTGCTCTGCCTCAACCTGCCGCACCTCGCTCTGCGCCAAATCGTCATTATCGCCGTCTTCAGCAGCGCAGTTATCGACGTCTTGGAGCACCTCGTCGTCCAGAATATCCTCTGTTGCATCTTCATGAACGAAATTGTGCAATATAACACATGTATAAATCCACCTGGATGCATTTTCGATGTCTTGTACGCACTTGATCACGACAGGCAAGCTTTGAAGAGACGCAAAATTCATCTTGAGCATACCAAAAGCATGCTCGATTTTGATCCGGGCTTGCGCCATGAAGGGTGTTAAAGCGTGCTTGATCTGTGTCAGCGTTCCTGAACCTCGGAATAACAGTGGCTGTCAAGGCGCACGCTGCATCGGCAAGTATATACTCCTGACCACTGAAGTACTCGTTTTTATGGGTATACAGGGGTGTTCTTTTGTAAGCCAACGCGTCATGAGTGGGTCCGACGTAGCCGGTTGCAAAGTACGTAAATCGTCCCAAATGATCGCATACAGCGGTGGCTCCTATGGCGTAGTCGCATTTTCTTGTTATCCACGCATTTGTCCCCCAAGTCGGCGCCATGTTGAGAGGAAAGGGTACACCATCGACACGCTTGAACCGGTCCTTGATTACAGCCTTGCGTGCGTGATCTGACCAAAAAACGTATTGTTGGAACAGCTCGTCCAAAGCATTGATGCATCTCCAGGTGTACTTTACAGCCGATTCAATATTGACGCCCAAAATCCATGAAGCCTTCAAAACGGAGATTCCTTTTGTACCAAGTCTGAATGATGATGTCCTCCAGCGGTAGATGTTCATCTCCACGTTTGAAACGCTCGCTTCTGCTAAGCAATAACGCGCTCCTCTGGGACTGGTCTTTGGTGAGACTCAAGGTGTCCTTGGACCTGTCTTCATCGTATGCGTTGAGGATGCGATCCCTTATGTCTGTGGAGGATGGTACCCGAGATCTAGGGTATAGGTATCTTTCATAGTGTAAATTTGCGTGTCATTATCATGATACGCTCACCTATTTGAATAAAGGAACTTCAAATCTCGACATTAACTTCCAGCAATAGTAATCGAGCAAGCTTTGTCTCCTTTGGGTCCGTACAACGATAAGGGCAGCATCGGCAAGTCCTCTCTCATAATTGCTAATAAGTCGTCGCTTGGTGGTGTATCTTCGTGCAAGAGATGAGGTGATGTTTGAGAAAATGCGGAGTGGAGAGCAAAAAAAGCACGCAAAGTGTGTTACTCTTTCTCCACAGAAGCGGCTCGAACATGGTCGAAATGGGAACTTTTAAGGGACTATCCTATTGAATCAGAAAAGTTCCTCGTAGGAACATTCCTATCCTCACAGAATCTCGCCTTTGAATGGGGCTCAGAGGACGTCCATTGATCGAACGCGACTAGTGGACCAGCGATTGGCCGGGCTCAGATCCAATGTCCGTGCTGTGCTGTGCTGTGCCGCGACGCGACTCACGACTACCTTCAATTGTGTACACACTGACTGTGGATTCAGCTTGATTGACCAGTGTGCCGCACTTCCTTCGCAGGAAATGGTATGGGTGTGGCAGGAACTTTTGACTTTAATGCCCTCGTTCTCACGTCGTTCGATCTGGAGCGAGCAGCATCCTGTCTACTCCAGTTTTTCACAAGACACATTGTTGCTTATACTCATCGATAGTATATCATATTGCTTGACACAAATAAGCTATCGCTCTCGCAGGCCTCGACACCAACAAATAAATATATATATGCAGCATCGCTTGGCAATATAAAAGGGTCAACAAAAGTTACAATCAAGCTCTGATCCTCCAGAAGGTTACGAATATCGAGTTCATATATGCACACGCATATGAGTCATATCATCCTCTTCTCGCATCCACCGAGACGGGGTCATCCTTGTGGGTTTGATTAAATAACTTTTAAAGGTTCTCCTAATACATGTCAAACGCCCCCCACATCTCATTCTTACTAGTACTTTTCAGCGTCAAGCATGGTACGCGTGCTTTTAGGATGACAGTCGGTCTTAAATGTGGGGAGCTTGGGACTAAGGCGCATAGCATTGATCACTGGAGGATGTCATTGTCTCTAAAGAACCGAGGTGCTGTGCCATTGTGCTCGTAGTGTTCACCGCATAAATTGGTTAACCGGGGAAGTCCGTCATGAGATCACGGTGGCCTCGCCATTCATGAGATACTCAACGTTCTCGATGCGGAATTGAGTGTTCTTCCACAGGACACATCATTTTCCAGTCGCCTTGTCGAGTTACGAGAGGGTCTTGGCGAGATTTGACGTTGATGGTATTCGGCATTGCTAATTATGTTTATTTTTCTGGTCAGGATTACGATTCTGGTGTCTTTGCGCAAAAATGAAAAGTCGGATTAGTTGAAAAGGAAGAAAGATACAAGTAGAAAGCACTCTGCACTTTATTTCTGTCGGCTTCGCCATGTCCTGAGCGACCATCAGCCATCTTAGAGAGGCAAGCCGTGGCATGTCCACAGCATCAGTACAGCTATATGTCGCTAGCTAGGAATTAATGAATACGCAATTCAAAGTGCTATCCAACAATGTTTCCAGGACTATGAATACTTTTACGTTTTCAATGGCTCTGCCTTTTATTAGTAATCGTGCAGAATGGACAAACTAGGATGAGTCTCGAGTGCAGAGCTCATCCATAGTCCTGCATAATCATGTCAACTGTGTTTCCTTTCAGAAGTAACGGTCGACAAGTGCTTCCTCAGAAGAGGTAGAAATTTGAAAGAGATGCACCATACACAGTGCATGTCGCCTTGGCTCGCTCATAATGCTCCCGGCCAAACCTTTCGTACGTGCGTATTGTTGTTCTCCTGTTCCTGGACTTGTTCGTAAAAGGATACCACCTCTGGACGCAGATAGATATTTGTGTCGACCTATAATTTAAAAACAACATGAAGGATCAAAATCATGTTAATATCAGGGTCACGGTCATAGGGTCAGAATTAAAGGTGAGCCCCTGAGTCTTGACAGGGGTGTCGAACGTGCCTGTGCTCGTGCTTTCAACAGAATTCGCTGCGCTTCTTGTGTCGTCAGTTTGTAGCAGTACACGAGCCAGCAGAGCACCACCGTCGCACTCCGTCCCCTACCAGCTATGGTTCAAAAAAAAAAAAAGGCATCTGTTAGTCGTCTATCCATGGTCAAAACCTTACCCCCTACTCATCAGACTCATATTCACATGGCAAATTGTACCTTTGCAATGGATGTAGATACGACCCCTCTTCACCTCCTCAATCTCTTGCCACTGGGTATCACATTTCACAATAAACCGAACTCCTGTCCAGATATTTTCGACTGAGGGAGTATGAAAATCCCGTGTCGGGATCCAGCATTGCACCAGTCCCAACCCCCGCATCGTCTCCAGGTGCCCCTTAAACTCTGCACACATGTTCACGATATCCTCGACTTGGTATTCCTGTTTTAGTTTTGCGAGTAGATGCTGTGACGGCACTGCGCCGAGGATCAGACTCGAGTGCGGGACGGGATCGTACCAGTGCCAGTGCGTGATGGGGGAGAAAACGGATGTTGCGAGCTGTTTACAAATAGGAGCTGATTGAGCGTCAGTAAAACATATCTTACAACTTGAGGCGTGATCAAATGGATTGAATCGCAGGAGTGGTAATGCTGGTCGGCACTTACGCGGTTATAATTGAGAGAGACTGAGTACGCAAGCCAATCCACGGTAAATTGTTGAGGAATCAAGAGCTCAGCTTGTGAGGGATCGGCGCCGTCGCCCTGAAACGGACCTGTCGCCGTCACAGCCAACTTCTTGTCCTCGGTATCCTGAACCGACGAGTTTGTATGGATGCTGGATTCGACCATTGGTCCTATCTTGGCATGAACTTCATTAGCAACTTCTGGCGAGTACTTCAGTTCGGTTTCTGAGGATGTGCTGATGGCAAGTGTGGCGGAAAGAAATGTCATTTGTAGGTGTATTCAAGCTGCAGGTGGTTTTCTGGGCGCACAATTCCTTATATGGAAGCTTGGAATGAAGCAGTCACCACATGGCGCCAGGCGCCAATAACGTCATGGTGAACTTGAGCGGGAAAAGCCGATTCCCCCCTCTTTCAACATCAACGCGCGCTTGCAAGGACAAGGACACCATCACCACCAAAGCACCAATAGATTAACCTTACCACACTTCACCACACGACCAACGAGCCAACAATGTCGAACGATGTATATTCGAGGATATCAGAGAGAATGAAGAACGAACACTTCACGGAGGAGGAGATCAGGATCGTCGGCAAGGCCAAGGAACAGCTCTCATCCTACGGTAAGCTACAGCCTCACATCGCTTATTTTCATCCGTGCTTCGATAGTCGTTATCTGGAGGATTCAATGTCATTGTATCCGGGCGCTCTCACACCAATGTATTTTTTTCTTTCGCGTCTTTTTCTTACGATCAATTAGCCACAGGTGGATCTGTTATCGGTGGCCTCGGCGGCCTTGCACTTGGTAAGACCATCCGCAAAACGTAGTGGCGCCAGCATCCTCCTTGTGCACTTATTTTTATTCTGAGATGTCTCTTTACCAAATATCGTTAAATTGCCTGGATTATCTAGCGAAGGCCAAGAACTTCAAAGGACTCCAGGGCATGGCCATCGCGACAGGGGGCTTCCTCATCGGATCTCAACTCGGATTAGTCATGGGCGCCATGGCCAGTGTCAAAACCATCCAGTCGATCCCCAACTTCCAGCGGATTCTGAACATTGTGCAAGAAGTTCGGTGAGCACGCCGTGATCAATGAAGGAAACACATTTCGCTAGGCTACAGCGACTGGTGGAAAGGAGGATGTGGCCTAAACAGTATTTTGTTCTTCATGAATTAAATTGACATAGGGAGGAGGCACCAGGATCTGGAGGGTCAAGAGGTCCAGGCGGACCCATACGACATGACCACGCCGCAACCATGCCCTCAGCAGGACACCAACGTTTCCCAGTCCAACCTCGTCGATCGGAGCTCATGTCCGATGATGCGGTCGAGCAGCAGAGCCAGCAGTTTCAAGAGTTCAAGAATGGCGATGGATATCATGGTGGCAATGACCCTAATGGGTCCGCGCTTCATGATCAAAGCAGTGGTAGGCATCCCTGTACACTTTCAAACATTTTTTGCTGCTGCATCGCGACATGACCTTGTTCCGAAAACAATCGTCTGATTCAAAATGGTATGGCTTCCATACTTCTTCGCAATGTAGCATGGGCACGCGCACAGCAACGCGCTAAGGAGATTCAGAGCAATTCTCCGAACTGGAATCAAATTCGTCAGATGAACATGCCCAAATCTGCCTGGAACGATATCCGCGATGGGCGTCATGCTTCTACCAAAACCGGCGACGACGGCGACGAAGACACCGACGATACAAACGACAATCATGCTCGCTCAAAACAATCTCCTCCAGTCAATAGCAAACGTAGGTCGGCATGGGATCGCATGCGACAAGGTGATGCCGATGGCTTTGTGAGTGTTGAGGCTGCGCCCGATGGCCCCAGCGAGTTCCCAAGGACAAGAGAAGATCTGGAATCGAGACCGTCGCGCCAAAAAAATCAATATGGCGATGCTCTCTAAAGAGCGAAGCAGCAAGCATCATGATTTGCTCTTTATGATAAATGTACCATAGTAAGCCCTATATAGAACAAAAGGACAATATATTATTATGTATGTTGCGCGATCAAGACACTGATCCTGAAGAAGCTCTTCAGGATCTCAAAGAGGAGGTAGCAAATGTCCACGTTGTCTTCATGCCGAACAAAAGGGGATGCCTGACGGGACTCGGCTCTTGCTAATCACCACATATTACGAGGTACAAAATGCTCACAGGCCATATTTTGACAAAAATAGAAAGAAACCAAGCAAACACAACCACGTAGAACGAACGACAACATATTATGTTTCAAGACGGCTGTTGCCGTCCAAAGATTGAGCAATTGGAATAATGATGCACTTCCCATGACGCACCCTTCGTATAAAGAAGAAAGGCTAATATCGCTTCAATGTTGATATGTACTCAATATATTTCAAAGTATATGTAGAGAAAAAAAGGAAGGGCTAGTCAAGAATGATTTATATCATACTAAACGCGCTATTACTCTAATGAAGTATAGCAAGCCTTTTGTTTCCCGTGGTCAACGCTCTTTCTCATTGTAAGGCTGCGTCCCAACCTGCTCTTTGACATCCATCCGGGGACAATGCCTCCGTTATTCGGCCTCCTGTTAGCCTGAGCTGCCGTGAAGGGGAAAAGCGTCTGGATCGGGAGCTGTAAAAAGAGCAGTGTCAGGAACCGCTCCGTATCCTCCGCCAATTCGGGCTCCAAACACGACGGTGCTGATGAGGACATGGTTGGGGACATCGGTGAGCCTTGTCCGTGTGTCGGTGAAGAAGGATCGCCACCAGGATTGACGGTTCTGGCGCCGAGTTGATATGCCAGGGATGCCGGTACAGCTGGTGGGGGAGCCAGAGGTGGGAGAGGACCCCATCCCTCAGGCGGAGGTCGTACCACTGTGGGCCTGCGCTGCAGTTTGCTAGATTTAGAATCTGATCCCGAAAGCGGCGATGGTTCAGGAATAATTGATCGCAGGTTGGGTCCTGATTTGATTGCCGGTAGAGGTACAAATCCTGACGTTGAAGGCAGGCTAGATGCAACGGGGCTGTTTCTGGTAGGGGGCGGTGGGGGCTTTTCGCCGTTCAGAGCTGCCTGCCGCACTCGCTCCTGATAAATCTTTTCCTGCTGCTGCTGCACTCTCTGTGGGTAATTGGGCGGGAGGAGGTCGACCTTGTACATCATCTCCCAAGAAGGCGCTCCATGGGTGGCGCCCTCCATAACGATGGGGACCAGGGGGTCCAGCAGAGGCTGAGAGGGAAAGAAAGGGGTGTTGACCATGCACGAGGTTGTAGGCGAAACACGATAGTAACCCTTGTCCTTGATGTCGAGCTCAAAGGGACGGGCCAACAATGTCGTAGCCCTCTCGATATCTCTTTCTGACATGGCCTCACCGTTATTTGTGGGATCCTCAAAGCCGGCGAGTTTGAAGATAGGGTGATGGTATCCGTTTGGTGTGACTAAAGTAAGAGCCTGGACAACGGGGCGTGCTAGGGCCGAGTTCTCAAAATACCGTCTTGACTTCAATTGTGAAGCCCTGAAGACGGCTTGCAACGAGGCTGGGTCAAGGTGTTGAAAGATAAACTCAAGCGAAAAGACGGCTTTGCGCTCTTGGCAAAGTGTTGCTTTGAGAACAGTTCGCTGGAGAGCAATGGTCAGGGTCTTGGCTGCAATTGCACGGCAGCGCTTGGAGAGGTGAGAGAAGTCCATAAGCTGGTTCAAGTCAAGGTTCCGTGCGATTCTGATGAGGATAGGGTCGTCGAGGCGGAGGAGAGGAGAGGCAGCCTTTCCGGTGTGCTGATGGATGGGCACCTGCGGAACAGGTGGAACAGTGCCCTGAGTGTAGACTTGACCATGCCGGGATTGACGACGGAAGAGCGAGCGTGAGCGACCCACCTTAGCACCTGGTAAGACTTGCTGGAGCTGCTGCTGGTCGTGGTGATATTGCTGGTTACGATGAGCCTGGGCATCAGAGTCGGCGTAGTGGGTGGTGGTAAGAGGAATCGAATTGAACTCGTCAGGATTGTTGCTGCTGTGGTCGCCAAAGGCGTTGTTGGGGTCATAGGAGTTTATGCGGCGGTGGATGCTGCTTTCTGCAGAGGAAGCACTGTAGGCCCTGGTCATGGTTGGGTGTGGGCTATTGTTTGAGGCGAAAGAGTCCTGGGAGGGAACAGGAGCGGCCATCATTTTGGAGGGCTGTTGTCTGTAGAGAAAAAGGAAACAGGAGACGGGGTTATTGCTATTGTTGTTATTGTTGTTGTTGCTGCTGTTGGTATGGTGGGGAATGAATGAAAGAAAAAGAAGAGGAGGGAGGAATGGAATGTGTGGAGGAAGAAAAGGATGGAGAGAAAAAAGAAAAAAAAAAGTGCGAGCGAAGAGAAAGAGTTTGATGTGTTCAAATAGCCTGCCATAAATCCTATGTTAATAATTGATAAAAATACCCAATGTAGTCATTGTGCCCCACCTGTCCTGGTACTCATTTTCTAAAACCGAAAAAAAAAAAAAAAAAAAAAAAAAAAAACACGGAGCCGCAGCAACGAAAACAGGTTCACTCGCTGATACAATAAAAAGGGGGAGGGGGGAGACAAAGGAGATAAACAGCAATGAAGAGAAGAGACCGGGTATTGGAGCTGGTCTGGAAAGGTCAACGAGGTACGTAGCATCGCTCCTCTCGGTTTCTGTCTCCTGAGAACCGCACTGCGCATGGGACGGTCCTGTGCAACTGTGTAGCAATGCAACCCAGCTGTTCGAGGAAAGCTGCGTGAATGTCGATGGGCGGGGACTGTGGATAATGAATGCACAGCACTGCCCATACACAAGCATACCGAATTATCGATTCATGAACATGTCCCTTGGTGCACATACCCTTTGCAAAAACAGATGCCCCACACATTACATACTATGTCCACATGATCTTTTTTTTTTTTTTTTTCTATGAAGGGTGCTAGCCGCTAACGATAATCTTTGCCCTGCAGACCCCCGAATCCTCGATGCAAGACAGATACAGCAGGCAGACAAGCATCACTAGAACGCAACAAGATAAAACGATGCATACACGCCCTTTGTTTCGCCTGCACTGTCGACTGTGCAGAAGAGTAGTGCAGCAGAGCACAGACACGTTCTTTAACATACTTGGAACGCTTTTTCATAAAAGACATGGCTTGAAAAAGTGGAAGTGCAGATGGAAGGAGAAAAAGTGTTAGAATACAAGTGGAAGAAGAAGAAGAAGAAGAAGAAGAAGAAAAGCAGAGAAGGGAGATAATCGATGGTGGCGAAGGAGGAAAGAATGAAAGAATGAATGAAAGGCCGAAAGGATAGAAGGGGTTTCTTATACTCGTTTCCACCTCGTGTGATCACCAGAAACGTGTCCTTTTCCGAGGAAAAATGGCGAAAAATAGGCTTTGAGGCCTGTGAGCCTACGTTCTGACCTTTCTATCGATTTTAGATCCAGGGTCAAAGCCAGGAAAGAAGGACACAGCCGGCTGAGAGGAAGGATGCTTAAGGAGCATCCCAATCAGAAATGGAAGGATTGTCCTCTCCTTTGCCAACGGTCCCACTTTTTCACGGAACCTTTTCGCTTTCCTTTTCCACAGTCAGTTGAGAGTAAGAAGCGGCTCCTTATTGTTCCCCTTCCTACTATCTTCTGTCTTTCCCGCTCTTCTCACCATTCCATTACATCGTAGGCAATTCCTTCCCCTTCCTTCCTGTCCTAAAATCGCGCCCACCATGAACACCGCAACATCCTTAGCAGCCCTGCGCAGACTGGTTTCGCCCTCAAAAGCTGCTACTCGATGGTACTTCTTCATCAATCGCTCTACATATTCACCGCATAACACCTCTTGTGCTCGTGCAAGGTTAATCATCTATCCATATCCTTTCAAACTAGCTTGACAACTCTTCAATGCTCCTCCTCTTCATTCAGCACAAAGATAGCACCAGCAATTCTCGCCTCAAGAACGGTTTCCCCCTTTCTTAATAACTCTCGTCTGGCCTTTGCTCAGCCTTCCTGTTACTCCTCATGGGCTACCCAGCGACTCTACTCAACAGTACGTGACACTCCTGGTGTCCCTCTGAGCTCAATCTTTTTACCCGCAAGTGCTGTTCCTAATCACGATGAACCGGACTGTTCCTATCTCTTCATAGGAGACCAAGAGGCTGGTGGATCAAGACGACAAGAACAATGTTTCTGTTGTGGACAAGAAAGTGCACCTCAATTGGATCGATGGCACCACCAGCCGATTGTATGTTCACTCCTACACAGGCACAGAAATTGATCTCCAACAATACGTGGGATTTGTTTACAAACCGTTAAACACGCCATTTCCTCTGATACAAATTACTTTAGCCATTCGTTTTGGCTACGGGATCACTGCCACTGCCCTGAGTGCTATCATTCAGTTACCAAGCAACGACTCTTCGATACTTTTAAGGTATGGTCGCTCATACAAATTGTGTGCACCACAGGGGAATAAATCACAGAGCGTCCAATATGCTGACTAACCAATACTGTCATTTTAATAGATCCCCCGCGACATCAAACCGAAGTCCGTTACACTCACATCAATGGGACTCGAGGTGATCTGTGAGTTTAGGTGCGCTTTCAGCTAAGTGTGCAAACTGGTTCCAGATACACCTCCCTCTCATCATGAACTGTACTTTATGATAGGGGATGCCGATAATCACAAGAGCCACTACAGTTACGGTTGGTTGCAGAAACACTCGTATGATCCAAAGATCAGGGACCCATTCAAGGCCGAGGGTGCGACGTATGTGTTCTTCACCCCATAATTACTCAATCAAAAGCGGAAAATGGACAACGGAGCAGACGGCTCACGGTCAGGATACCCTATCCACACTTTATAGGAAGATTACATGGGACAACTCGATTGCCTCCAAGCTACCAGAGGTCCCTTACAAGGAGGTCATGGATTCCGACAAGGGCCTTGCCACATGGCTCAATAACATCGTAATGCAACTCATCTCCTCGACTCGGACGTTTTTCCTATTGGATATGCAAAACGACCCCTAGAAATTTCAACTAACAGCATTCCCACGTTCTTCCTCGTCTTCCCGAACCTGATTGTGCTTTAGCATGTATACGGTTTCTCTTATGTGAGCGGGGTACCCGTTACGACAGACGCAACAGAGGCGCTGGCAAAACGCATTGCCTTTATTCGTGAAACACATTATGGTATAGGGGCCATTCATTTCGATTCTGCTCTACCAGGAATGGACTTCCGAAAATTGAGTTGAGACTCACATGAACTTGACTAACATGGGCTCGTTTTTTTTATTTTTTTATTTTTTTTTTCCTATGGTCCTGATCTGCATTAGGTGGATTCTGGGACTTCACATCAGATCTGGGACATGGAGACACGGCCTACACGGACATTCCTCTGGGCGCTCATACGGATACGACATATTTTACAGACCCCGCAGGGTATGTTCCTCGCTCAGCGCGTGGACTTGCGCCACTTGGACTGAGAGGATGCTGCCTTTCATAATTTCGAGGAATTTACTTCTAACAACTCGATAATTGCTTTGGTATCCACAGCCTGCAAATGTTCCATCTTTTGTACCATGATGGCGAAGGCGGACATAACCTGCTCGTTGACGGGTTCCACTGCGCCAAGGTGCTCAAGGAAAAGTACCCTCAATCTTACAAGGTTCTCTCCGAGATCGGTGTCCCTTCTCACAGTGCTGGCGATGCCGCAACCCATATCATCCCCACGCCCAGACGCAACCCGATCCTGAACCACGATCCTGACACTCAGGATCTTGTTCAAGTCCGGTTCAACAACGACGACCGCTCGACCCTGGATCATCTAGATCCTAGCCAGGTCGACGCCTTTTATTCTGCCCTGTTTGACTGGAACGAGGTCTTGACGGACGAGAAGCATATGCTCTGGACGAAATTTCAACCCGGACGTGTCCTGATCTTCGATAACTGGAGATGCCTCCATGGCCGCTCTGGATTTACGGGCAAGCGCAGGATGTGCGGCGCCTACACTAACTGGGACGACTATCGCTCGCGCTGGAGAACTCTCAACACCTCGCCGGAGCAGCTCGCTGAGGACCTGTAATCGACAATGGCCACACGCAGAGCGCCAATATATTTTTTCGTCTCCTTCTTTTAGACAGCTGTTAGAATCGTAGATCCCAAGACATCTTACATCTTGAAGATAGAAAATGGTCCCGAACACAGATTACATGCGGATGCTTTTATTAGGAACACGGTAATATTAGGGATGATGTATAATAAACATGTATAATGGAAAATGCAAAGTGAAGTGCATAAAGACGACAGACACCGTGGACCACGCATAGATTAATAGTCAAGAAAGAACGCTATGAGGTTCAGGCAAACTGGATCTTGGCAACAACCATACCCTCCTCCTCCTCAATGCCAGGGCTCAGTAACACCTCCTTATTACCATAGGACTCCTCGATTTCCTGCTTTTGGTACGTCTGCTCCAGTTCCATTTTCTGCGGGTATTCCTGTCCAGCACCAGTACCAGCAACAACATCAGTCTCGGTCACGCTATCCTGCTCACTCGCTGCGATTCCACCTTCCTCCAAGGACGTAGTCTTCCTAGACTCGGCGGGTTTAACATGAGGCAAGAAGAACATCGTCAGCACGAAGCCGATGACGCCAAATACAGCATCTCCAATGAGTGCATATTTGTATCCATGCATCCTCTCTGGTCCAGGGATCTCGCCGTTGAGCTTTCCGGAGATGACCGTCAGGATAGCCAGACCGAATGGTGCGCCAATCTAGTGGATCAGGAAATATTGCTTGTAAGATATCTGGACCTTCGACATCTTTTGCGTACATGATTTCGTTCGTAGTTGCTTGTTGTTGTTGTTGTTGTTGTTGTTGTTGTTGTTGTTATTGTTTTTTGCTTCGCGTCATACCTGGAGTCCAACATTATAAATGGCGCCGACAACACCCTGGTCATCGTCCGCAGCATCTCTGAGGGCAGTAACCTGGGCAGGCAACATGACCATACCCAGACCAAAAACGTTCACGATCAACGACAGAAAGGGCAGGATCCAGTAGTTGCTGGACGGTGTTACGAATGCAAACATCAAAGCCGAGCACGACAGGAACAGGAATCCAGCGGCAATGAAGGGCTTCAATGGCAACCTCGGCAAGAACTTGCCCAGGATAGAGTATACGACAACGGCCGTCAGACCATGGACCAAGTACGAAAGCGAAGTCTTCATAATCGCATATCCCATCACCTCCTGGAAGATCAGCGTGCTGTAGTAAAGGAATCCCTGGAAGGCGGCCTGCATGATGAAGATCAGGAGAAAGCTGACCGAGAAAGCGCGGTGTTTCCAGATGTGAAAAGGCATGATCGGGTATGAGATGCGCTTTTCGATGAAGATAAAGGCCACCAACAGGACAAGACCGACGCAGAGCACAGGCAGGGTTTGTGGACTAGCCCAGCCTGTCTCAACTCCTGATGAAATATAGTAGATCACGCAGACGATACCTACGGGATGCAAAACACAATGGCAAGCAGTTCAATAAGCGACTGAACGTATTCGCAATCATTATACACTCCAAGAACTGAGTTGCGCTGACGACGGACCTCCTGTAGCAGTGGCGGCACCACCAAAATCGATCCTTGGCTTCTCGCCATGGAGCCCAGGGACGTCAGGAATGGCGAAGAAACCGAGGACAAAGAGGATAGCACTCATAATCGCAGAAATGAAGAAGACCCATTGCCATCCAATCGTCGAGGTCAAGGCTCCCGACAACAACAGACCAGTGACAGCACCCATACCTACATAATCAAGGTTGGGGGATGACAATTAGTACTCAATCGAGCCTGCTCGTGTGTAGGTCCAACGGTAGATCCATGCTCATTAATATTACCTCCAATGGCACCAAAGACAGACAGGGCACGGGTTCTTTCTTCGCCTGCGGGATACTTAATAGCAATCAAGGCGAGGGCAGTAGGAATTTGTGCTATAAACGGAGCGTTTCTGCAATATGAATATCTGAAAGTATCGAAGCGCCTTCTGTCGCTGTGCACAGACAAATGAACAGCGCGTTATCCCAAGCGAGGCACATACCGGCAGCGCCAACACCCTGGAGAGCTCTTGAGATGCAAAGCATGACGGGTGACTTTGAGAATCCATTGACCATCGACCAGAGTCCGAACCAGAATAAACCATACAAGAACACTCTACGATGTCCAAATAAATCCCCCTGTGAATGACAAGCAATATTGGCCGTGATTAGAAAACGAGAAGAACATGGGCAAGGCAACGGTGTTCGGGAGAAATACAGCCTTATGAACTCCAAAATGGCCGTCAATACGTACCATACGTCCAGCGATCAGCAGAAGACTGAGAAAGTAGGAAGCAGAACGTGTGCAAGACATTGGGGGTTGTTGTTGTTGTTGTTGTTGTTGTTAGTACTTAAAAGTGTGTTATTATGTTGAATGTAAATGGTGGTAGAAAAACAGCCACATACCCTCCGAACGATCTATGCAGCATGGGATAGAAATGAAGAACGCGTGTCAACAATTGTATTCAAAAATAGGCAATGATTCCCCAAACAGAACGCGAGAGGCGGACTTACAATGCATAAGAGCTGATGAGCCATTGTTGCTGTTGAACCTCAAAGTGCAGCTCTTTCGCGATTGGTAACATAGCCACGGTCATACTGGCGCCGTTGACTACAGTTGAGATACGTAAAATAGCATAACGAAATGGGTACATAGTATGTTAGGAAGGCGAAATCGTCCGAGCTGAGCGGACAAGTCAATGGGTGTATTGGGTGTCAGATACAACGCCAACAAGCATGGGCGTTGTATTAAGAAGACGATTCATACCGATGTCTAGGAACTGCGCAAGCGAGACGACGTACAGCATCAAGGGCTGACATTTGAGTGAGAACTGCTGGAATTTGGACAGAGTAGCAGGATCGACAGTGGAGTGAGACAGTGACTGTGCGGCTGGTGCACTCTGATTATGACCTTTCTCGCTTTGAGGAGAGGGATCGGTAGGGAGGGAGACCATGGTGTCGTTGGATGCGGCGAAGACTGTATCTTTAGATGCCATGCAGCGCAGTATGTCTGTATTTGCGGATTAGGGAAGTAATGGTATATGTCAAGGTACCGGGCCAGAAAGGTGCGTGGGTAGGTGTTTGTATGTTAGATGGTGAGTACAAGCGGATAGGAGAAATTTATTGCAGACAGGAGCGATTGTCCTGCATAGCAGTGTGAGAATGGAGGAGGAGGAAGAAAAGAAGAAAAGAAGCGAAAGACGAGGAAATAAGCATAAAAACTTTTCTTCACACCGGGCATTGAAAGTGTTGAGAATAAAAAGCAAAAAAGAAGGTTTTTTTTTTCCTCCAAGGAAAACGGGGCTAGTTTCTGCGGTCCCTGCGGGACTCAGCATCCAGCTTCTCATTTTCATTTCTGTGGCGTAAAGATGCGGTACATCGGGACTGTGTAACATACGACTCCCAGTGTCCATTCATCGTTCAGAGAGGACCAGATATGGCAACGAAATCCAGGAACCATTTTCTAAGCCAATGAGCCTACTTCTCAACAGACATCATTGTTGCTACCGATATTGGTCTCTCTAACGCCCGTCAGGATTTGAATTTCTCTCAAGCGAAGTAACCTGTTTCTGACAAATATCCGAATTGGTGGCGTTTTCTTTGTGTATCCCCTCCTGATAAACACTCTGCCCCCCCCCCCGTCCCCTGGTGCTCTCATTGTACTTGAGCGTACCAGAGACTAGGGAAAAAAGTGGGTTCATTCTTGTTTAGCGGGGTAAATTCCTCCGCTCCCACTTTTTTGCATCGATGGCTCAGCGCAATTGACATTTTACAAATATCTGCTGGGAAATCCAAACCTGTGTTTTTGTCCATGCTAAAGAAGTACCGGAATTCTGGGAACCAAAAGCACAGCAACCCTGCTGACACAGCATTGGTGCAATCCATCGATCCTTAGAAAACAATTGTGAGCCGAGGACTAAAGACCACTGAAGACAGCCGTTGACAAATCCCCAAGATTTACGACCGTGAAGACGTGTTAGGGCAACGATTGGCACGATTAACACCTATGGCTTGTGGAGGCTTTGACATCTAGGGGACGCATTGAACAAGCCATCCTATACTGCGCGACAAATCGTAGGATCGCACCATTCGATGCGCCGCTCAAGATTTATATTTATCAAATGTCTATGGTTTTATTTTTTGTTGTACGCGATGAAAAATGATGGAAAAAAGTAAACTCCACAACACTGCAGCTCTCTGCAGCCCAGCAGCAAAAAGAAGGTGCATCCTATGTTCCAAACGGAGGGGGCTATGTGTCGTTGGCTCACAGATCGCTCCTCCTTTACAGATTGACATATTTCTTCTTCTTCTGTCCTGTCTCGTCCAAAAGTTCATCGACCTTGGGCTGTTTGCCATAAGTCGGCTCGCTCTGCTTAAGAACATCAGTGTAGATCCTGCTAACATCCTTATCCCAGACCTGGCGGAAGAAGGTCAGGCCCTTGACATTGAGTCCATATTGTGAGCAAAGTTCCCGAAGCGTCGTCTCTCTTGAAATATCACTCTGAGCAATTTGAACCTTGTCCTGACCTCCGTTGGGTTGCTCGGCCAGCAAAAGTGTATAGCGATGGTATCTCGTGCCCTTGGGTGGATGAGGGGGAAGGTATGGCAGAATAACATCTGCGTTTCCTGCGCTCACCTCCATCTGTGTTGCCGACAGCGGAACATTAGTCCTGAAATACACGAAGATCGAAAAAAAAAACCAGGTAAATAAAGATGATATCAGCTTGTAACGTGAAGTTACCGTCGCAAAATGATAGACTTATACAAGAAATCTCAATGCCCTTACATCAACCAGTGCAACTGCTGTTTGAAAGTCTCGTTCTCGACATCAGGCATGTCTGGGTCAATCAATGCAACGGTGTAGTACTTTTGCTCCGAGTGGAATGAGGTGACATTAACCTTGGGCTCTTTGATAGTCTTTCCAGGAAGTAGATATGATCCAGTCTCGAAGTAGTTGTTAGTAGAAGCCGATGGCGAAGATCCTGGACCGAAATCCAATTGAACGTTGAGCGATGGCGTAAACGACGGCAACAGATCGGGCGTAACAAACATCTGGGAGATGCGCTGTTGGATCACAGGCAAAGTCTCACGTTGAAACTGCTTGCTCTGCATGTACCGGAAGACAGCCTTGGACATGTCGATCTGTCCATGCTTGAACCGCCACTGGATTTCAGGGTCGTTGATCTCGGCATATGCCTCCTGGCTAAAGATGTTGTCCTTAAGCTGTGCAATCTCGGCGTCCCTTGCGACTGAAGGAGAAGCTACATTGTCCAGTGCACATAGACACAAAAATGTCAGACAACATACCACGTAAAGGCATAAACTTCAGTCGATCCAATTGTGCGCCTCTCTGAACAGTGACACAGTGCTAATACCTTTGAGCAGCTCCGCCAGCGATGCTTCCATCTTCTTAACCTCGGCAAGGCGCTTGATCCTATCCTCCGCAATGATTTTCAGGGCTTCATCGTACGTCTTGTTAACGCCCAGGGCAGGGGCCTTGTAGACGGGTTCGGCAGCGCTTCGTGCAATTGACTGGACGGAGAATGTGCGGGTAGACTAGCAGCGCATAGTAGTAAAGAGTATCAGCACTCTGGCGTTTTAGACCTGATCAGCTTCGGAGGAGACGCAGGAAGAGGAAGCGTTCGCGGTACCATGGAGGAGCATGCCCTGCTCACCCTGAAGGCGATGCGTAGGATCGACATTTGCAACTGTGCTGAGAGGGCGAAAAACGAGAAAGGACGAAAGGAAGTGCAACGGACACAGAACGCTATTCAAGCAGCGATGATGCACCGGACAGCATACACAAAACGGAAGCGAGAAGGGTGAGGACAGGGCCAGGAAAAGGGAAGGCAGTCCGATCGTCAGGTTGATGTAAACAGTGGCAAAACACATCCTGCCAGCACGCGACGAGTGGATCAGCCACGAAAATGCAATTTTTGGAGCCGATATAGACGTGTGTGCTGCAACCGCTGTGTAAAACCCTCTTTCAATCTTTGACTTGGTACTGCTCATATACCGCAAGAGGGAACGAAGAAAGGGGGAGACACATTGGATGGATCACATATCAAGACGAATGCATCCATCTATCAGGATAACGATCAGCAATCTCAATTGTCTGCCAACAGCAATCATATCATCGTTACTGCCATAGCCATTGTCATCGACAGCACCATCGCCATCACCATCGCCATCGTTACAGTCATAGCTGCCAAATCTATACAAGAAGGCTTATATTCATCGCGCCAGGCTTCATGAATGCAGCAGCGACTTCTCGACGACTCATAGCAGGAGAAAATACACATCACGGACGATCGATTGAGACAAAAAAAGTGCCCATCACTCATCCCTTGCGATATTTCCCTTTTGCTGCACGTCTTTTAGGCATTTATTCATCATGTCCTCCGACTCGAAGAGTGTTCAGTGCTACGGCCGCAAGGCAAGTCTCTTCTCTAGGGCCTTTGCTGCCCTCATCAAAGGCAACCAGCTATGCTAAATCAGGAACACACCTTATGACTGGAAACACCATTATTAAAGGCAGTAGACAAGAGACACGAGAGGATTGGGCCAGCATCAGATCAAACTGTTCAGGAATTCAACAACAGATCAACCGATCCATGGGAAGACGTGGGATCTGCTCATCGCGCCATCGTGCATATACTGAAAACCATGCTGAACCTCTGATCTCGTCTGGTCGGCGACATTCCATCCTCACAAAAGAAACGACCTATTTTGGCAGCCAATTATCCAGCTTGAGCATTTGCTGATACAGTGGGCGGCAATATCAGCTATCACAACTCGCAAACACAAAACGCACGCCTTTGTATCCAAACTGTTGGTGCTATTATCATTCAACATACAGGAGAACACGAACATCTTCAGGAGATGAGCTGACCGTTATCGGCATTATCGGTACCATCGAAGCAAACTGGAGAGCGAATCAGCGGAGTTCGTCCCAGCAACCATAGCAGAACTCGCACGACTGTTCGTCGGGAGTACATATCACTTCGAGAACAAAGCGGAAACATGAGGGGACACCTCCCAACCACAGCCACAGACACAGCCACGGCCACTCCTTACAATCGCATGATAGGAATTAGCGATCTAACGTACATTTTTTTATTTTTATCCTCCATATAGAAAACCGCCACTGCCGTTGCTCACTGCAAGGCCGGCAAGGGTCTTATCCGCCTTAACGGATCCCCCATTGAGCTCGTCGAGCCCGATATCTTGAAGTTCAAGGTCTACGAGCCCATCCTCCGTGTCGGCTCTGACAAGTTCGCCAACGTCGACATCCGCATCCGCGTCAAGGGTGGTGGACACACCTCCCAGATCTATGCTATCCGTCAGGCTCTTGCCAAGTCCATCGTCGCTTACTACCAGAAGTACGTCGATGAGGCCTCCAAGAACGAGCTCAAGCAGATCTTCCTCCAGTACGATCGTACCCTCCTCGTCGCCGATCCCCGTCGTTGCGAGCCCAAGAAGTTTGGTGGTGCTGGTGCCCGTGCCAGGTACATTCTTTTTTTTTCTATTGTTTTGGTGTAATAATGTGCAGTTTGATTTTCAAGGCATGCTAACATTTATTCTCTGTTTCCTTTTTCACTGCCTACAGATACCAGAAGTCTTACCGTTAAATGTCGAGGGACTGGCGGGATGTTCGACCTTTTTTTTGCGACCTGTTCAAGCTGGAGTTGTTTTGGACTTTTGTGCCAGCTCTTTAGTAGGCAGCAATATGGATCGACCATACACGAATAAATTCACATCCGTAACTGTAGCATTGGCCTCTGTCGTCTTTATTTTCTCTATTCTGTTCATGCAGGGCAGTGATTGCTCGGTACAACCTTTTGCCTCCGATTTTGAGGTTCAGGATAACAGATGAGGTTGTCAGAATATTGCCTCGGATACAGTACGCAACTGCTGATGCCAGTTTTTAGACAGGATATGGGTAGCGCGAGGAATGAATATGTTGCTGTGAGCACGCCTTACATAAAGCACCTGCGTATGCTCAAGGATGTGTGATCATGCTTGAGACAGAAACGCGTGTAAAATTGTGCTTGCTTATTTTAAATAAGGTTTGATCTCCTGGCGAAAGGCAATGAATGGTACCTGAGTCGCTAGCCTCCAACAATGCGAGAAGAGCTTCATATATATATTTTTTTTTAATTTACTTACAAAACTGAATAATTAAACCTCCATACCGACACCAACGTCAATCAACCGTCGATCAATCTTCATCCGAATCCATTCAGGTATGTGAGTACGCACAAAGTTGTACACCTCCGCATAACCCTCTCCAGAGCTCCAGTCATCATATTCGCAAACAACCTTCAGCGGTACTGTCTTGCCGCCACCTTGTCGCACGTCTCGGCCATGGTCACTACTGTTAAGGTTCGGTTCCCGCACTCGAACAATTACCTCCCACGAACGATTCCAGTCTCGTAGAAACACATCCAGCGTCTTCGGTCGATGGTTGAGCACATTCCCATCCTTAGCGCCGATTTGGCTCTGTCCACCCACCTCCTCAGATGCTACCAACAGCTGCGTCTCATACCCGGGCGCAGTCTCCGCTAGGTGGATCGAGCAGTGCCGTGACTCCAGCGCCAGAATCTGTAAACGACCTTCCCGCCATCCGTCTGGCCTACGACGAGATGGAGATGTCCAATTCACATGCACCGGCCGATCCCATCCATCGTCCTCAAAGACCTGTCGAGCTGGCAAAAACCGGCAGTACTCTGCAAACATGCCACCCTCGTCCGTGGGTGTAGGGATACATGTGCCGTTGAATGCTGTGAGGGCCATCAGATTGGTCGGACGAATGTCCGGGATACCCTGTACGATCCGCTCAAGATATCCAGGACCTGCGTCTGTCCTCAGCTCGACATACGATGATCGGGCTGTCTGGTTATAGTACTGAGTGAAATAAAGACCTGCTGGGGCATCGGCCGTGAACGGATCCGCCTGTGAGAGCCACCATACGAGAGGCATCAGTATCAAGATCTCTGTAATCAGAACAGTCTTGAAGTTCCTTCCTTGAGATATCACAGGAAGAGCCGGGAGTACAATGGGGATCAGCAGGACTCCATAAATGGTGTACACTATAGATCACAGAAGACGACAAAAAAGCGGTTTGGTGAGCGCAACATTCTCTACTCCAACACCACAAGTCCACCTCCCTTCCAGAACAGTTGCACTTACTGATGCCAAGGTCATTGTCCACGATACTCTGCGAGGTCATGTACACAACAAGCACAACCAGGTCCAGAACAATAACCCCAGGAACTAGCAAACTAATCCCCGCCACCACCGTGGTCCATCCAAACCTCGCGAGATCCAAGCCGTCATCAGGGCTCAAGAGACTTAGGATAACCTGGATTAGCGCAGCTCCTCCACTAAACAATGCCAGAACAGTCGTTCCATAGAATGCGCCCATGCCAAACCAGCCCGCCACACCCGCTCCCACAACGATGGCAATAATCCACCACCAGACGCCGAGAGCCAGCGTCCACTGACTCGCACCGCGCACAATCGGAACAGGACCATAGACCCGTTCCTCGATCCATGTGCACACACACACCGCGAGTGTCTGAATGACAAACAATAAACATACAAGTCCAAGTAAGACTAACCAAGGACTAGAATACCGAACCATAGAGTTGGTCTGCAACAGCCATCGTGAGGCCGCAAATACCGCCCCCAGATCCAGCGCGACAATCAGCGCTACCAATCCCGTCGTCCAGGCAACAGTTGTCTTCTTTGACAAAGTTTGACGGACTTTGTCTGAGGCGTCACTGTGAAGGCGAACTTGGCTGGGGCGAATATGAACCGATCCGTATCCATCCTCAGAGTACCCGATCGTTGACTGCGATCCCGAATCCATTGCACTGCGGAGAGAATGCTGTGTGCGATTCTGTGGTGGGGTGCGAGGATTGTTTCGCTGACGGGAGTGAAGTGCTCGCCCAGCATAAATAATCGTAACTGCGAGCAAAGGAAGTCCGAGTCCAAGTCCGAGGGCGTTGATCAAAAGAGCGGCCCATAGCTCTGAAAATACCATATTTGTTCCAAGAACGTCGTAGAACACGCTCTTTCCTGCGAACCATGGCCGAGATACCAGAGGTGAAGACTCCTTTCTGATGTCTGCTGCAGGGCTAACAATGTCGAGATAGTTGCTGTTACAGAGACTGGTGATGGTTTCCTGTGTGTTTAAGCCCATGTGATAGAGGGACTCGATTGGCAGATAGTCTGTAGTGGTATGATACATTGAGCGACGCTGGTAGAATGCAATGTCTAGACCAGGCAGCCCATGCTTCAAGAATACAGAGTAATCGGTGTCGCTACCAAAAGGCATACCAAAACCGTACAGTCGTTAAGCGGTTAGAAACTGAAATCATTAGAAAACATCGGGTACATAAGCACAGGTAACATGTACGTACCTCTGAATCAAATTCAACTGAAAGACATCGTTCGAAAAGACCGATGCATGGGGAAACGGCGCGCTTTCGGCATAGTAACGGATGATATCGCTATCTGTGGCCCTGAATAGCAATGACGGCCCTCCAGATCCTCCACCCTCTATTGTCATTTTGCGGACGAAATGTGCAATGTCAGAATACCTTCGACCGCTGCTAACTTGCTGCCCGCAATATAAAAATAAATGCGTCGTATCGCCATAGCGTACCCAAATTCACGAATGCCTTAACATATTTCTTCCAAGGATGACCCATTCCTGTTTCCAATGTGCTATTGAGAGAAGCGCCCATGAAAGCTGCCGCGCCATAGGAGCCCTGTTCCTCTGCATTGTTGATGTTGAAGATCAGCGTGTGTTGAACTGGATGGTGGATAAAATGACGGATCATGGCCAAGGCCACAGAAACCCCTCCGCCATCGTCTGTCTCGCCATAGCTTGTGGGAACCGAATCTATCATAAAGCCATCGAGTCTGGTTATTCCGCTGGACAACGCATATTATCTACCCTAGTTTACGACATTTTCGGTAGTCAAAATACATACCATAGTGCGCCGAGATCATCAACGCCGTCTGGCTCTCCTGGTCGACATCGATCTCAATCTTCACAGGGACGTCCCCCTCCATCGAGTCGACAACGCCACCAACCCACATCAGAAGGTTGTCGCCTTGCACCACCGTCAACAGCTCCTCTCTTAATGGTTCGCCGTCACTCGGTTCACTTTCTCCTGCATCCTCCATCCTCCGCTGTTGATGCGTCTTGTACAATTGGGTCCATGTTGAATTGTCAACTCTATCGTCATATCGCACATTGCGCCGTCCATAGGCGATGGCCTCCGCTTGCAATTTACGGAACTGGTCGAGGATGTAAGCTTTGGTGATATCGGTGTTGGCTCGAGAATTGAACGGATGGGGCGTCGTCGTAATGGCCTTAAGATGCTCCCAGGCGGTATATGGATTGAATTCGCCTTTTTCGGTGTAAAGAACCCCACGAGCGCTATGTTAGATGCTAGTGCCTCAGTAAGCCAATGCATGAACTCAGCTGTGGGGTATAAGCGATATGTCGTACCTGGGAGTGTGTCACCAGCAACCATGTCTGGCAGCTGTGAGACGAAGGCACCTGGCCTCCGGGCGATGTAGACTGTGGTCATGACCGCACCATAGAGCACTGCCAAGATCGCATACATGGCAAGGCATTGTTTCCGATTGACAGCATTCCGACGACGGTCCCTTTTCTCTTCCTCGTCTCTCTGTTGCCTCACGCTCCTACGCTGGGGAATCGATGGCAGGAGTGGGCTCGTCGCATTGTCGAGACTGGGGGCCCGCCTGCGGTTTGCTCGCGAAGTGATGGGGAATGCAGGTGTCATGGGGGCGAGTGCACGGATGTCAAGGGGTGAAGCGCGGTCCAACAGCGCAAAGAGTTCTCTGCTTTAAAAAAAGCAAAATGGAAAAACAACACGCATACACAAACTGAGCGCACACCACTCTCTACTGCCAAGCACGCCCTAAGCACAATGTTATGTGCTGTATGTTGAGGACGAGAATTGCCACCTCCCGCGCCAAATGCAGTACCCATTCTGTAGGATTTATACGCAGAGGTGCAGATTCAGAGAACCATATATTCATTGGTCCAGTTGTTGAGTCTCCTGGGTGGGGATGGGGAGCCTGGGTCCATCGTCCAGGTTTAATGATAGCACGCTACGCTCTTTCATCGACATGTGGATGTACCCAAGGACAAGCAAAGCATGCAGAATGTGCCCAATGCGTTCCTAAATCCAAATCTATACTCATATATGTATGATCAATACTACGCATAGATTTAACGTTCTCTTTCGTCAGCGAATTTATACATAGACTACCAGTTGCTCTTTCTTTTTCTCTCTTCTTTGTTGTTTCTTCATCTATGGACTAACGACATTGAAGGCAAAGGTAAAACGATATATTAAAAGCAGCAAAGTAGTATATGATAAAACGAATAGAAGTGAAGATACAACACCATAATTAATCTCTTTTTTCTTCCCTCTCATACCTTCACCAAACTGAACTGTCAAGAAAAAAAGAAACTGAAGGGAGCAACTTGACATTATAAAAAAAAAAAAAAAAGCAAGGACAAAAGCAGATAAAAGCAGATAAAAGCAATTAGCAAGCGAAAAAAAAAATATTAAGGAGAGTAATTGAACATAACAAGACGCGCAAACAGAACTAATGATAACAATAATAGTAGTAGTATCAATAAAAAAAAAGAGGGGGAGCAGTAAGCGTGTACTGGCATGTGTAAGGTTGCTATAGAGAGAAAAGAGCGTGGCGGACGAAAACAATATTAAGAATAAGAGTATGTGATGTTTCCTCCGAATACCATTACGCCCAAGTCGCGGCGGTATCGTGGCCAAAACCACCAGCGACGCCTTCGACCTTGACCAGCTGCGGAACGTTCGAGTCGCCCTCAGATCCTGACTGTGGACGCACATAGACTGTCTGTTTTGTGTCGTCAGGGCTCATTCTGCCGAAGGTTGAAACGGCCCCTTGCTGGGCCATGGCCCCTCCGACCGATGCTCCATCTTGGAAGGAAAGTCTGCTCCGCGAACGTTGAGGCGAGATTGTTCCTGATGCCGAGTACTGCATTGGTGACTGTGCAGCTCCTGGCATAAATCGCGGCCTTCCGGCAAGACCGACATCTCCCTCTCTTGGCGCATTAAGCGACTTTTGTTGCTGCTGCTGTGTCAATGCCAAGCTGTCGTAGTACATGCCGTTACCACTGTCGCTGACAACGCCGTAGTTGAGAGAACCTGGCCCTGAGGCGTCTACGGAAGTCACGGTCTGACCACTGCTACGGTCGAAACTATCATCGCGGCCATACCACTGCCCAGCCGAAGACGCGGGCGAATCCGCAGTGGTGTTGGACGTTCCTCGCGAAATTTGCCTTGGCCTTTTAGGAGGTGGGTTAGAAGCCTGCACTGCATGTTGATCCTGCGAATGATGCTGCTGGGACATGGGCGAGTGTGGCTCAGAAGGGGTCACAGACAAGGGAGGCGAAAAATTGCCGGTGCTCATTCCAGAGGCGACAACCCCAAACTGACCCGGGTCCGTAGGGTATACGTCCTTTTGAGGATGGGCTTGATATCCGTAATAGTTATGTGCGGCTTCGGACACATTGGGGCCATAACCACGCTTCTGTCCTGCCAGCACTCCTGCTTGAATGCGGTTTTGTGGTCCATCTACCAAAATGTGCCCGTTGGAGCAAAGCAGCACAATACGTAACTAGTAAGCCTATCTGTCACACGTTTATTTTTCAAATTACCGCCACCAAAGAACGATTCAATATGGTCTTCTCGTACCATGTGCCGAGGATGCAGAGAGTGGTGGAGGGGAGTCGTTCGCAAGAGGACCACCGAGCTGCAGCTGATGCTGGCCGGGGTGCATAATTGAATCTTGGTACTTTTGCGGGACATGAGCTCCGTAATATTGGTTTGGGCTGGCTTGATGTCCATAGTACGCTGCATGGTGATTTCCAGATCGCAGGTCTGATACTGACGAGGGCCCGCCAGACGGGATACCAATGAGGCCTCCAGTAGCCATAGAGGACTGGACGCGATACTCGAACGGAGAAACAAGGTTTGGGTCGTCATCTAAAGGATCGTCATGTGAACAAGCTACACGTGTTAAAATGACTAAAAATAACGGATCGTGGTACCAGTATGTAAATTAAATGTCTCTGCCCGTCTCACTTGCCTCCAGAAACTGAACCGTTGCTTCCGTGGGGTGAGCCATGCGGGCTGTTCACACCATGGCCGCGAAAGACGGGATGATGCTGATGAGAGTAGTAATCTCCATGGACTCCCTGATTAAAATGATGGTTCGAGTGCATATCCGAGTGGCGTCCTTTTGGAGAGTTGTCCGATTCGTGGTAAGAGCCATGCTGCTGCTGCTGCTGCTGCTGGGACTGGGAAGTCCAACGCATGTCTAAAGGGAGCAAGAGCATAATTTGTGCGGTTAGAGCGTTGTACACAACTTAAAATCTAAAATATACTACGATGGGGTAATGCACGTCATGCCCCTACCTGACGTGACCGAGGCGGTATGAGGGTGTTGGTATAAAAACGCCGTGGGGTCATCTACCAAAAGAGGATAGAGGATCTCCTCGATATTATGGGCCTTGGCGTGATGAACGGCTCTGTCGAGAGGGATCCTGTGGATATCAGAGGCCACATCGATTCCGAAGGAAAAACATGTTAGGAACGAGCACAGCAAAAGTCGTACCATTCCATTGGTGACAAAAGAAAACAGTTCGTATTCATGCACTTACCAGACTCCCTTCAAGTGCATCGCTCCGACTTTGACAACCACTCTTCCCTTTTCGTTCTTCAGGATGCCATCTCTCTTGCCACGGGACATGCCAACGACGTTGAGAAGCTTGGTTCCGTTCACCATATGATTATCTATTACACCAAAATCAAGATGATGGCGCACAAGAGTTCGTTAGAAGTTAATCCTGCCCTAGCCTAATCAAGCTGAGCCCAAGCGCAATATAAATAAAAATACATCTCGAAACATACCGGCTCTCCGAGCAACACAAACACCCTTGACATCGACCTGGAAGCAAAACGTATGCTCGTCTTCCCAGATGGTGTTTGTGAGCCTGGTGCGCAATGGCGGGAGGTCATGTTGAGGCACCGGTGCCGATGGTGGTGGTGTGAGTGCTGCCAGGTTGTCGTGGGAATGTCCATAAGGATGACCAACAAGACCACCGCTGTGCATTCGATCGTGGTCATATGACTCGTGTTGGTCCTGTTCAGGATAGTAGTGGCCAGGGGTGTAGGCAGAGTGCTGCTGCTGGAACTGTTGCTGTTGCTGCTGCTGCTGCTGCTGTTCATGCGGTGAGAGCTCATGTCCTGAGAGTTGGCCGTGATGGTAGGGGGAATGGGTATGATGGACATGGAGCGGCTGTTGCTGCTGCTGCTGCTGGCCATGGTGCGGGTGACCATGGTGGTGGAAATCCTCACGCGAGGGTGTTGGCGGCGTCGTTCGAACTTGCATGTCACCTTGTTGCTGCAACGCACCTGCCGCGAGTGATGATGCCAAAGGATCGCCGTTATGGTGTGTATGGACGCCGGGGGTGTTCATGCCGGTCTCGGCGCCGAGGGTCCCGTGAGAGATGGGACCATGGCCAGGTATCACACCATTACTGTTATTATTGCCATTTTGATTATTAGATGTTGAATGAAAGCCCTGCAGGCTCATTGGCCGTGAGGCAGAGTCGGACGGGCTGAGGTTTTGATCGCGCCAGTCAAAGCCCATGGGGATGGGGCCGACAGTTTGATGTGCGGAGGTATTGCTACCGGTCCAGGATGAGCTGTCCATGATGGGAGGATTGTTGAAGTTGAAGGGCTGAGAGTGTGAAGACTGTGCGTGCCAAAGAACTCCAGCGCCTGAGGACTGGTCTTGAGGCAGGCTTGGTTGCGAGGGCTGGTGCGCTTGCTGTTGCTGCTGCTGCTGCTGCGATTGTCGATGTTGCAGCGACTCGGGCTCGACTGCGACGGTTGGGCCTAGGTGGAAAGGAAGGCCCTGAACTTGCGTTTGCAGCACGGTTGGAATGTTTTCGGAGATGGAGAGAAGTTCAAGTGTGGACTCGGGCGGACTACGTGGGTCAGAGTCGTGTCTAAGCCCTAATTGGTACTGATGTTGTTGGGACGTTTGTTGCTGCTGTTGCTGCTGTTGCAATGGGCTGCTGTAGTATAAAAGATTGGTCTCTTGCTGGTGGTGCTGTTGTTGTTGTTGTTGTTGTTGTAGAATGGACAGACTATAGTCCATGAAACGGGCGTCAGATCAAATTCGAGGATGAACGAAACGACAGTGGGCTACTACGGGGAAGAAGAGAGAAAGAGAGGGAGAAGAGGCGGGTTAGGTTAGGATTTATACTTGCATTGCATTGCATTGCATTTTGTGTATCGCTTGCTTGTCACCCCAAGCAGGCACAAGCAAGACAAGCTGTGCTGTGGCATGTGTGAAGCAACAAAAGTGATATTTTGGTAATGGGCAGTGTTAGACTACGGTGGCCCATTGAATACAATTCAATGCAAAACAAAGCAAGAACGAAACAAAACGAAACAAAGCAGCGGTAAGGTTGATAGGCAGGAGAAAGCTGGGCAGAGCACAAGGGGTATATGTGTGCGGGTTGGTGGGATGGAGATGGAGGAGGCTGGGTGGCCCGTTCTCTTGACTCTTTTTTTTCTTCCCAGGTACAGGACGGCGTAATGCAACACAGGGAGAAATAGGAATACCTCCCGCCCGTCCCCCCAAGCACAGAATACAAACCAAAGCAGCATATCACCGTTCGCCCTTACGGACGAAGAAATACACCAAGTACAGTGCGCCGTCTTTTGCTTCTTTTAGCACAATTGCGGCTCGCCGTCTGCCGAGTATTATTCCGGACAGGAACAGTCCCTTGACACACATATACATGCTGTATCGAAAAAGATGAGATGAAGAGGGGAGAAAGATATGGGACACGCATCCCACAATTCATGTGTACGGGGATGAAAGGATAGTGTATGTGTTTGCGCGTATAAGAGAGTGGGAGAGTGGGAGAGTGGGAGGGAGCATTAAAGGAGGTGTGGAAGGCGGAAAAAGTGCGTGCTAATATTGAGAATAAGATACCTTCCCCATTATCATCACCATCATCATCTCAGAAGTGCTGTTGTTTTTGGTGGCACGGAAAGACAGAAAAGGTTGGTACAGCGCCCGATAGAGTTTTTCTTTTCCTTTTCCCAGACACAGACACAGACACACAGACAGGCTACGTCTGACAATGAAGTTGAAACGGAAATGCTTGCCGTGGAGCTGTGTGTGTGTCAATTGCTTCAATTGGACTGAGTTGAATTGAATTGAATTAAATCTGCATATAAAAATATGTATGTGGATGGGAGTATGTGTTTTGTGTGTGTGTATGAATGAGAGTGTGCGTACGTGCCGTCCAGTATGGGACGAACGGATAGGACGGATAGGACGGATAGGACAGATAGGACAGATGAATGGAAGGCGATGGCACTGACAGACAGCCTGTATGACAGGAGTGAGCCCAGTTCCTGCGCCTGCCTTTTCTTTTTTTGTTGCGTGGTAAAAGACTGGCTGGTAGGGGAAAAAAAGGGAACAAAAGGAAAAGGGAAAGGGAAAGGAAAAAAGAAGGATAACAAGGCGGCTGCTGAGGACTCTTGTTCCTCTTCACAACCAACCAGCTACCAAGACTCGCAAACAGATCAGTCAATCTGGTGCCTGAACACCAAAAAAAGTGATCAGCCAAAACAACAGAAAACAACTCGCGTCAAAAATACACGCAGAATAGAAATAATAATAAAAAGATACCCGGGTTGTTTTGTTGATGTTGCTGCTGTTGCTGTTGCTGACTTGCTTTGTGTTGCTTGAACAGAATGTGGAGTGTTTTTTGTTCATGCCGAGGCAGCAAAGCAAAGTGCGAAATGAGATGTGTCAGCTCATCCTACTTACCAACAAGAACGAACTTTGGGAGACGGGATAATTGAACAAAAAGTGTCGACCGAGAGAAGGAGGGACAGACACTAAAAGGACATGAGCAGGGATCGCAGCAGGTTGTTGGTTATCATGACCCGAGGGTGTCGGGGTGAGAGAGAGAGAGAAAGAGAGAGAGAAGGAGGCAAAGAGGGTGTGCGGGGAAGGGAAAAGGAGGGGATGGGCAGGATAGATGGATTGATAGATGTTGCGATACGGTGGAGGAGAGGGAAGGAAGAGAAAGGAAAGGAAGATGGAGGAGGAGGGCGAGCGAAGAAGTAGTGAGCGAGAGAAAGAGGAGGAGGAGAGAAGGAAGGAGCGAGGGGGAGAAACAAGAGAGAAAGAGAAAAGAGAGGCGAGTGTAAGTGTTCAATGGTCTGTCTCTTTTTGTTGTTGCGCGAATTGGTTTTGTCTGACTGGTACTGGTACCATTGGGCAAACAAACAACAACAAGGTCCCCCCCATTGTCCCATCCCATCGATGTCCTCGTCGCCAGCCAGGGCGCGGCTGTAGTCACAAAAGCGGATGAATGTGTGTTTGTGGGCACACAGGGAGGGGCTGAAAGGAACCACAAGAAGCACACAACACACAAAGCAGGGATGGAGGGCACCGCTGCCATCCACAAGAAACTCCATCGCGCCATGGCCCCTGCTCCACCACCACAAAGTGCGATGGTGAAGCAACGGGTTGCTAAAGCTCGTCGTGCTGGCGTGTGTGTGGTCCTGCTGTCGCACAGGAACGCGCCGCTCCATCGATAACACCTCTTTCGTGGGTCCCAGCGCCGCGCAAACATCCTTCTCGCTCTCTCCCTTGGTTGCTGTTACCCTGTTGCTCTTCACGTCCTCTCTTTTCTTTCATACGGAGTCTTTTTTTTTTTTTTTTTTTTTTTTTTTTTGATCCATAGATCATTCGATCCTTTCTTCCGCTGTGCAATTTCCTCCCCAACAATAAATGGCAATAATCAAAAGATAGAATGGACTTCATTCGGTCTTGGTGAGCAATGCTTTGCCGAGTGATAAACATAGGCATGGCACAAGCCAATGACCTTGTGGCCTGGTTCAGGGCAGTGTAGTGCAAGATGCTCAGCAGGAGCTGCACAAGAGGAGGGCCCAACAGCAGGAAAGGGGAGTATGGGGGGACAAGCAAGGTTAGAAACCTTGGTGGCACTTGTCGCTGTGCATGAGCGTGTAAGGCCCAGAGAGCGAGGGAAGGAGGCGTGATGGTGCATGCAGAGATGAACTATGATCCCTGTTCCTTTTTTCCCTTTCCGTTTCCCATTCATACCATGCCAAGCTATCCCATCCTTTCCCGGCTCATTAAACATTTTTTATTTATTTTTTATCCCATCCTTCCCATACCACATCGTACCATCCATCCCGTCCGTCCCTTTACCATTGCAACATCCCATATCGCCTATTTCATGGATCCCTATCGATTGAATGGTCGCAGGATCTTTTCCCTTCCCTCTCTCTCTCTTTCTCTCTATACCCAATCTCTCGCTATCCCTCTCGCCCTCTCTGTCATCTTTCGTGATCGTCAAGTACGTGCGTGGTCAAAGTATAATAGTCGTGATGGTTGGAGTAGCCTCTTTTTAGGGTTGCACACCGATTTGCAGTGCAGCGCTTGTAATAATGGAAATAAACAACTTTTGTGATGGACAAAACGGGATGTTCATCTGTGTGCGAATGAATGCGCGTTGTGTGCAAGGACATTGATATTTGAGTATTGAATACGCTTTAGACTCCCAATTGAATAGGGTCCGATGGACAACGCATGAATATGGAGAGGAAGGAGAAGGGACGGGAAGCGAAAAAGGAAAGGACGGCAAGCGCGGAATAAGAAAAGAATCGAGATTTCTCGACGGGACTTGAGGACAGACTGTGCGGTCTGTGTCCAGTTGCAAAAAAAAAAAAAAAAAGAGACCCATGCAGCCGGATCCTTAAGCAAAGCATGCGATGCAGCAGCAGCGATCTGCTTCGCGTTTTCACATACCTTTGTTTTGTTTCAAAAAAAAAAATCTCTGTTTGCACCGTCGAGTTCTAGAAGGAGAGAAGTCGTGTAAACAGGTCTCGGTCAGTACCGGGGCTCTTCTTAGCCGACGAACGGGTGTCAATCTACAGGTGTAGGTGCAACCACTTATTCGATGCTCGACATGGAAAAAAAGCGGACAAACAAAGCGAAGGTGGATTGAACAACAGCCTCAGAGCAACAACAGCAGCAGATAGAACAACTATACTAAAAATACAAGAAAAAACTACTGAGGTGGCGGAACAAACTAAAATCGCCACAGTCTGCGCCATAGAGCTGGGATCAGAAGGTGACAGATAGGAAATCAAAAGTCAGGAGACGATGCAAGGAAAGAAAATTGTATAGATGTTGCGAGATGTTCAAGGATGCGCAACCGGCTCTGGCTTTTTTGTAAAACTGGGCAGGTTTGAAGTAGTAGGAAAAGGCACTAAGGCAAATCACCTAACACCACAAACGGGTGGAGGACAGAGGGGGTTTAAGCACAACAGCCTTGGTGGATATCTGGTGATTAAAGGAGGAAAAGAAAGCAGCCGGAAGACAGACCACACACTCGCACGCGCATCTAACAATCTTTGAGAAGGCCCGAGAAAAAGGAGGGATAGACGGGCAGAGAGAGCCGAGAACTCGGTTCTGACCTCGTCCAAGGGGCTGCTGTACTGTACAGGTCTGCATCCTAACGGCCCTGGTGCCGTACGCGTATTTGTACAAGCGTCTCTGCGGGTGTATACGCACACATGCGTGTGTGCATGTGTAGCTGTGTAAAACTGTATGTGTATCTACGTGTATCCGTGCCGTACATGCCTGCGTGCATGTGTGTGGTTGACCCATATTTACTTTTATCTGATTATATATGATGCAGTAACGGTAGCTGTGAATTGGCAGCAAGAATACAGGAGTGCGCTCGGATATGGGGAAGCCAGTAAAGAAACAAGCTGACTGAGAGAGATGGAGGGATTGTGGGTGCGTGGGCGTGGGTTTGGGTGTGGACATGTGCGTGTGGACGTGTGCGTGTGCGAAAGAAGGATCGGCCGCAAGGCGCAGAAAAGAGTACTCGAGGACAAAAAAGCAGGAAGCAACATTGAGCAGTGGTCAATACCATACAACGTCCGATACACAGGCAAAGGGACGGACGACGAAGGACGAATAAGATAAAGATAAAAGGGAAAGGGGGAAGTAATGAGAGGGAAGGAAAAGGTGCAAAAGAAAGGAAGGGTTGCATCTTTTTATAGTTCCCCAGGACTGGGTCCTGGATGGAGCACCATTTTATTTTTCTCCAATGCCTCATTGCTCTTGTCGTTTAGTTCTATATAACAGATAGACTTCTGCTCATATTTATTTTGGCCTATGGTATTTTCGGTCGCCAGAAGGGGCCACCATCTCAGTGTCACCGGGACATCACCAACTTCTTGAATGGTTCAAGGTCCACAGACATGTTCAAGACGGAGCCATGATCCTTAACAAATGCAGGGACGGACTCGACTCACTTTTCATCTTCCAGCGCGCCACAGCAGTGCCATTGGACTTTGACTCAAAAAGACAGGGTGTTGTATTCATGCAACTAAAATGTGGAAAAGATATTCGAGTCGCTGGGGGCGTCATTGAAAAGTTACAATTCTTCTAGGAATTGCGTCTACAACGAGGATTCAACGTGTTCATTTTTCGACCGCGAGGTGTAACTTACTCTGACAACCAGGAAACAAGAGTAAGCATGAAAAGAAGAGATATGCGCTACTTTATATTTACATTAAGTGCACAAAAACAGAAAGATGAATAAAACGGCCCAATCCCTTTGTTCTTTTTCTTTTCTTTTTTTTTTTTTTTTTTGAGTGGCGATGCAACAAACAGATAGAGGTGGTGGGGTATCAAGTGCTAGAAAGGGATGAAGGAGAAAAGGGAGACAAGCGGAAAGGAAGCGGAGGCTGGACGATGCACCAACAAGGTGGGCATAACTGAATTTACAACCTTCAGCACAGGCGCTATCAAGTATTGAGAGATAGATACTGCCTGATAGCAAACAGACGGGTACACATTCGCTCTTTGTATCTTTTTGTATATGTGTGTGTGTGAACCGAAGGTAGCATACAGAAGAAAACAAAGAAATCATTGGTCAATGGTCTATGGCCCATGGTCCATGGTCTATGGTCCATGGGTACGCACAAATCAAATGCTGAATCATGGGTCAATAATTAGGTCTAACACCAAAATAAAAAAATAAATAAAAAAAGCTGAGCAATGCACTCTTATTCTGACACCAACTTTTTTTTTCTTCTCAACGATGCGGTGGCCATCAAGCATAACGCGTTTTCTTCACTGATCCAAGGCAGAAGGAACAGGGGGGTGATCAATAGAGCTATGTGTATCCAGCGCACAGCAATCCCAGTTTTTTTGTCCGCACAGAAGTGCCATAGAATTTTGTGTTCACATACGTTCCTGCCCGTGTATTGTTGCATTGAGCAAGGGAATGATACCCGTGTAAGGTTTTTTCGACGTTTATGTGGTGTGGGCGACCCAACTCTCTCCTAAGTAGACGATAGGAAGTATTGCTCGTTGGAGGCCTGTGTGGAGCAGAGAACTGCGATTTTGATGCAGCCTTGCCTCCCCTTGATCATTTGCTAAAGCAGCATCAACAATCTGCGAGGATCGACCTGTGCGGTGCAAAAATATGCGCGTTCTGGACAATTGACCTGACTTTGACCCTTCGTTGCAGCTGTCTGTTTTACTTGTTAACGTCGGCACAGATTCATGAAATCCAAATCTGTGTCTTTGGCTAGAGTCAGACGGTAACACAACAGGAGGTCGTACACATACTCAAAACAATACAGAGGAATAAAATAAGCAATGCAATTCAATGGTGCTGAAATAGTCGACATGCAGCAGCAACCGCAACGAGAACGAGATGAGGGTATGTAAATAAAGTACGTTAGTATATTCGCATACTGTTTGAATATTTTCCTTGCATGTGCGCGTCTGTTCTTTTTTTGCTGTATCGCTGCTAAATGCCATTATACGGGAGTCTCTATTTATGGTCACCATCCCTTCCCAGCTACGTTTCGATCCATCGACCGCCGACTCGCTTGCTTGCTCAATGTTTCTCGAACCTGTTATCGCCTCTCATTGAGCACCCGAAGGAGATGTGTAAGTGTGTGAGTTGACCGTAAGAGAATAAATACATAGATTCATTGCTCACAATGACACTTACTGAATCTAAGAAAAAACAAAAAGAGAGCAGCAATAGCAGCGGTGGCAGCAGTGGCAGAAGCAAAGCAGTGATCCTAGAGAAGGCTCAGTCAATGCTATGCGTCCCTGCCTCAAAAAAAAACAAAACCTTTATGCGCATCTGAAATGATGATCATAAACATTTTTTTGTCCAAGGGCACAACCCGAGCGCTCGGCAGGAATGCACATGCCACCCAAGGTTCTGTCAATCCCAGGCAGCATTGCAAAAAAACCAAAGGTCGTATTCGAGCATTCCATGCGGCATGGACTGAACTTTCGGATGCGTGCCTCACCCTCACAAAAGTCGTCGACCCGTCATCCCCTAGCATACAGCTACTGAATCAATTGCTTTCGCATAAACGAGTTGCAGGATAAGGAAGGATATGTCCGTCTGAATACGGGTGGATTGCATGACTGACGGGTGTCCACTGCTTTATTCAGTGAGGTCTATGTTCAAGCATCAATCGTTCAGATTTGTCTATTGTCTTTGTTGTTTTTGTTGTTGACCCATTCAATCATGCGAGGTTTTTTTTTTTTTTTTTTCGTGGCATTTGCATTGGCACGTTTATGCTCTGCGCCATTTCTTTTATCCTATTTCACCTCAGTCTGTATCTGCCTTCGCCCCTCCCCCCACCCCTTACCTTTTCTCAAAGCAAAAAAAAAAAACCTGCCCTTTCCTTTCTTCCATCTTTCCATCGACGTATTACACTTCTCCGGTAGTCGCACAGAGCTCGCATGAACGGGACATGATTGGACTGCCTCTCTAGCATCCTCCCATTGAAATAGGAAAGAAGATCAGTGCTGGGATAGCCCATTGGCCCTCTGGAGAACCCATAAAGCGTCTCACGACCTGCAGCTGTTTATTCTGTCTCTCTCTGGTACATTCCGCTTTGTATGTGCACCCTGTGCTCTTCTGCGAATCTAAAAAGGCGCTCTTCTTCCCTTACCTCCCGCTTTTTTTTCTCTCTCTCGCCCCCCTGTCTATTATCAAGGGGGTGAGCAGGAAGATGGAGTACCCTGATAAAGTTGTTCCAGTACCTATAACCTTCTAAATGCAGCTATGCCATCGGGGTCGGTCTTAAAACCTTGTGTTCTGCTTTCTAAAAAACGAACCTCATGGCATGGCATTTTCTGAACAGGACAAACCATAGGATAAGAGAGATGGTGGTGGGGCAAGCACCATTGCCTGGTAATCGACAGCCGCTGTATACTATTTCAGAAATTATGAGCGGTTTCTACTCAATCACCATGCAGGTCGGCGGTTGGATGTTGAGAGCACAAAAGGAAGAGACCAGAAGAAGACCAGAAAGACGGAGTCAAGTTGGTAAAAATAAAAATAAAAGGAGCATTGGATTGAAAATGCAAGGGGAGGCTGGACATGAAGAAGGGGAGGGAAAGGGCGAATAAAGGACGCGGCAACATCTGCCGGTAGGACAGCAAATTGTCGTGCTGATAACAAGGGAGAATGCGCTTATGGCTTGTGCGTGGTATTTGCTCGTTGAGTTGAGCTCCGAGAGACACAACCGTCCGTTGCAAGTCGCCAGGAGGGCTACTGCTCTTATTTTTCTTACTAATGTGCAGTTACGACAAGTCGGCAGGAGAACATTGGACCAGCGCTCATTCGCGTCGTGGACTTTTGCGAGCTGTGGACCATATTATATATATTTTCGCCCAATCACTGGCCGTGCCTGGAATTTTTTTTTTAGGGCCTTGCTTCGTTCGGGGTAGACCAAAATGAACAACACTCCGGTCGATGGGTCTGCGAGCCAAAATAAAGAAGAAAAATCGCCGCCATTGGGTCGAGCACTTTCTTGATGGGAAATCGAGCACGATTACGACGGATGGGCGCACAAGCACAAAACATAGGCATGACATCGACCGACCTGCTGCCTGCAGCGCACTGCACTGCAGTAAAACTATTTTTTTTTCTCTCCTGTGCAGATGCTGCTCACCGGGGGAGAAGGAGAGGGGAAGACAAGCTGAGGCACATGTTCATGTGGGGGGATTTTTTTTTTTTTTTTTTGCACAGCATTGAAGATAGAAAAAGAGCATTGTCACGAGGGAGGGGTAGCAGAATAGATAGGGAAGGGATTATCGACATGACAGGGATGGTGTCTTGGGTTACCGGAATGGCAGCATACACACATGTATCATATGTTATATACACGTTGTAAGACGAACAGACGGCATCAGATGACTACATCCGTATGGTTTTTGTGCAAGGAGGGTTGAGTCAAAGAGGCCGCGAGATACGATATGGCGGAGAGGTGGGCGATTTTTATGAATCATCACAGATCCCGTGACATGACCACTCGACTCATTCTTGCCTTGCTCATATTTCTGACCTATGGGCGCGCTGTGTCCGATGCGTGAGTGCGTGTGTCACTGGCGCCCCTCCTCCACCGCAGACGGTTTATATATCGGACTGTTCCTCGCCTTCGTCCCTTTCCTCCTTCCCATTAACTCCTCCTTCGCATCACCAACACTTCAACATCCCTTCTTAATCAAATCCCACCAAAATGACCCTCATCAGATCTCCTGCCCCCCTTACCCCCCTCTACCCTTACCCCTGCATCAACACCCAGACAACTGAACAACACTCCTATTCCATCGCTCGTTCCGCGGGTCTGTCCTGGCTCCAGTTGCCAGCGACGGCCCCTGCCCCTTCGTCGTCTTCTGCCGCGGCTACCTCCCAGAAGTACCGCACCCTCGCCTCAATCCAATCCCAAACCCGCCACCAACAGTGCGAGCAACACCTCGCCAACATCCTCGGCTCCACCAGTTCGCCCGCCTCCCCAATTTCGCCCTCCATCAAGCCCAATCCTCTTGATAGCCTTCCTCTCACCACCCCTCATACCCCCACTCCTCACCAGCAGACACTCGCCGATGCTCATCACATCAGCTCCCCATCCAGTATCACGTCTGCTATTCAAGAGATGGATTCCACCCACGGCACTTGCTTCCTGACCTGGATCCACAATCCTGCGAACCTCGACTACATCTCCCTGCGCCTTCGCCCACTCTGCCTCGAATACCCTCTCGTCGATGTGGCCAATGTCCTGAGGTGGATTGGCGCCGATTGGACCTCGGCCGATTGTAAGGCACTCTTTCGGGCCATCACTCAGTCTTGGGATCAGTCCAAGAGACGCATGTTGGCGTTTCTTTTGATCAGAGACGAGGAAATGAGACAGAAGGCCAAGAGCAAGTTAGTTGAATATGCACAGAAGTCCAGAGCGAAGAGCCAGCAGCAGCAGCAGCAGCATCTTTGGCGTCGCTCCCAGCAGCATCAGAACCAGCAGCCGCAGCAGTTGGGCGGTATCCAAGGCAACCAGCTTCATCAGCAGCTCCACAAGGTCCAATCGACTGCTGCGTCCGCAGCCATCGTAGACGTAGGGTCCGTAGGGGCCATTGTCGACACCGCCACACCTACCGCAACCACAACCACAGCTTCTACAGATTCAGGATCTTGGGGCGATTTAAAGACATTGGAGGATATTGTAGCGGCTTCGATTATTTCAGGCATTGATATGACCATTCCATCCGAGTCCATCGCCCCTCATGCCAGCCTTCGTCAGCACCGCTTTTCTCCTTATTGATTCCTTTGTTTTTTTTTTATTGCGATAACAGCGCATTTTTACTGTAGCCATGAATTAATGTCTTGATGAACCAATGTCATAGCAATCATGCGAAATATAAGAAGAAAAAAAAAACTACAAAAAAACTCCCCGAAAAAAAGCCAGTAAAAAAAAAAAAAAAAAAAAGAAAAAATGAACCAATAAAGACCGAAAAAAAATGACTTCCAGCTCCATTTTTCTGAGTAAACTTTCACGAACCCAACGGGCAGAAGTACCCATTGGCTCGCCTAGAGATCTTATCTTGCATCGAACAGCAATCTACTAAAAAAAACACAAGGTGGTCAAAGCAATCTTGCGCCGCCAGCACAGCCCCGCCCGCTGTATCGAGCAAGCACAACTCCAAAGTGCGCGTATGGGAAAGAATAAGCCTGAAAATAAACATCCTGGGATGTCTCCCACGATAAGCCCATTTCTTTCTCTCTCTCTCTCTCTCTCCATCCTCCCTTCGCCCACTTTCTCTTTCTTTCTTTCTTCCTTTCTTTCTTTCTCTATCCATCTTGCTCTGTTTTTCTACTTCGCCAGGACCAGAGATCGACCGCTGTAAGCATCCGCAGTCAATCTATGCGCCTAACGTCCGTTTTTCATTTTACGCCTGCGGAATACAAATAAAGTTATATACCATGGTGGCACAGCATCATGTTGGAAAGTTTTTTCTTCTTTTTATGCGTAGCCAACAAAGAATGACTACGCAAGTCTACCAATTAGTGATACAGTTCTAATTCAAAACCCAACGCATACAATGCACGCTGCCCAGTGCAACAGCGTTTATCCAACATGAAACAGAATCTTCTTCTTGTTCTTCTTCTTCTTGCCGCCCGCAGTCTCCTCCTCGCCATCGCCCTGATCCGCTGTAAGGTTGCTCCAGCCCATCACCCACCCATTCGGCGCATCATCCTGATTGGCCTGGTTACTCCTGCTCTTTTGCATCGGCAGCAGCCCCAATGAGGGCTTACCTCCAACAGGTGCCTGTCCTACCAGCGAAGGGAACTGTTCTGCAGTGCCTCCGATTCGACCGCGCCCACCTGTCGAACTCGATGGCCGGAACTGAGGTGTTGGGGAACTCTTTCCGGACGACGACTGCGAGATTCCTGCCCATGATGATGTAGACTGACCTCGACTGGCACTGCCGACATTAGTATTGCTGCTCTGATTGGTACTACTACCATTACCCAAACTGGGCTCCGGCACGGCGCTATCGCCTGACCCCCGCGGCAGAGACCATGCCGCAGACGAATTCAGCTGCGGAGTCGGATAGAACACAGGCGTAGCGGTTGACTTTGACCCTGAAGGAGAACTCGTCCTGTTCAAAGACGCTGCCGCTGCCGCTGCTCGATCCCAGGTCGCCGTCGACTTTGGCTTTGAATGTCCGAGTCCACCACGGGTCGTTCCAGAAGACTTGATTACAAGCACACGGCGCGTGGATGGGGTCACAATGTCTGCCATAGTCGGGCTGGACGTTGCAGTCGACTCTAGCGACGGGAACTGAGTCTGCACCGTCTTGTAGTCACGCCAAGCACGCATCATGTCCACCTTCTTGCTCTCCGAGTCCAGAACATCATAGAGTCCCTGTATAATCTTGCCGGTTTTATCAAGATCGTTCAAAAAGAGAGAGGACAGCGAAGCGATGTATTGGTTGGCTGGAATCTGAGAGTTGCGGTATTGGGTCGTCAGCGTTCTGAATTGAGACAATGTTCCTGACGAGCCTTGTAAGTACTGCTGAACCCTATCCTGCAAAGCGGCGTGTTTGCTATAATAGTAACATACAGAAAGAGGCATCGGTATCAGTAACGTAGCCGTATTGTCAAAAATAATAAGAGAGTCGCGAATGGAATGGATCATTACTTGACAGTTTCGGAGGCCACATCGCCTCGCGAGCTGCTAGCACCGGATGACGATTGAGGACGAGATATAGGGCTTGCAGTCGATGCCACTGGGGCCGCAGATGCAGCGGACACAGCAGGCCATTCAGCTTTGGACTGATTTACGACGACGGGCGAAGAGGGTCTCATAGGACTCGCTGTTCGCTGAATGCCCGCAGCAACTCGAGCAGCGGCAGAAGTCGCTGAGCTCTGGGGCCGCACTGGAGTCGGCTCTGTAAGGCTCGAGCCAAAGCCAGTGGGCGGTTTAGTTCGCATCATGGATTTAGTTCCTGAAGCGGAGGAATCAAGCGAAAGATTTGAGACACCTTCCTGCGCAGCGTCCTGAATCTCATTGTTGTTGCGTCTTTGTTGTTCTTCCGCCATTTGCTGTTGGAGGGCGATCTGTTGAACCTGATGGGGTGTAAGTTGAGGCTGACGTGGGACCTCTTCCTCCTGCGCGCGGCGGCTTTGGCCCTGATCACGTCCATTTTGACGGTTGTTGCGGCCGCCACGACGAGATCCAGAGCTTTCGCTAGTAGACTGGTAATTGAAGCTGATATCGATCTTCCGGGCATCTCTTAGTCTCGTTCGCTGGCCATGGGTCGAGTTCGGATGCATCTCAGCCTCGTGGGCCTTCAAATCCAAGTCCGAATCAAATACGACGAACTTCTTTTCCAAACACTCTGGATCCATGCAGGCATAGTGCTCAGAGTGAAGGTGGCGCTCCTGTATACCATAGAAAATAAACCAATGCGTGTTAGTCACAATAAACAAGAAAAGAAGCACACACAGGATATGAAGCGACACTGCAGCAGTGACTTACGAGATCCGGATACTTGTTGTAATACTGGTGGCGAATATTCCTTCGAAGACACAAAAAGCACTGCTCGTGGTTCTTTTTGCAGTGTTCAAACAGTTCGTCATCGCCATAAAAGCTCTCCTTGCAGAACCCGCACTCTGGATGTCCGTTAAACCCAGAAGGCTCGGCCGAGTTTTGGTTTGTCTGTCCAGAGTCACCGTTCTTGAAATGCTTCATAAGCTGAGAGGCCGTCATCAAGTTGTGCTCGTGTGCAAAGACCTTTTTATGGCGGACACAAAGGTCGCTATCATCAGGAACAGCATTAGGATGAAGCTGCGTTAAAGGTGATCCCGACGAAAATGTTGCCCATATTATGATTGTGGAAATGTAGACGATGAGACCTACCAAAGCATCAACTTGTGGACCTTCTTGACGTGTGACTTGAGTTGGTTCCAGCCGTCTGGACAGGCAACTTCACAGGTGGGGTCCGGGCAGTTGAACCTCAGTAGCACCATGGTATCCTCGTACATCTCCTGGTCCTCGAAATACACGTTCAGCTTGCGGTCGAAATATGCCATCTGCTTGAGATCGTAGTCCTGGAACGCCTTTTCTGGATCCCGCGTAAAGATCATGATGCCCTGATCAGCCTATTGCACAATGCAGAATGATATTCATAAAGATGAAGGGTCAGCGATCGTATCAACTAATGTGACCACGTTACTGCGGATTTTATGCATAGTATAAAGTACCTTGCAATAGGCGCAGTTCTTGGTCTTGTAAAGCGCGCGCAGACGCAGAGAGCAAAGATGGCATGTGCGATGATTGCAATCTGACACTGCAAAAATAACAATATTTTCAGTGCAGATGAAGCAGGAGTGTTGCTCCGCATTTTCGTCACCCGCAGCTGCTGCGGGAATTGCCTCGGTGCTGGTGTCACTTGTCGGCAATGTCTTTCCGGCCTGCAAATCAACAGGGTCCGTAGCGGCTATCGTCCTTGGCGCCCGTGAGTTGAGGGCGGGTGCAGTCGAGGAATCGGTCTTGTCTTTGTCCTTGTCCTTTCTGCGATTGTCATTGCGGTGATTGTTGGATCCTCTGCCCTTGCCTTGTGATTCCTTCTGGCCTGATTGCTGGTTCGAACGACCGCCCCTTCGTGGGTTACCGCTCCTTTGAGATGTCTCGCTTATGGCAGGCTGCTGATCGCTTTGAGCGGCAGGCGTTGACGAAGCGGCTGGTGCTGAGGGATCCATATCGATGGTGTTGCTAGGTGGTGCTTGTGAGTTATTCTTCACTGCCAGTTTGTCCGTCTCTTTGGTGTGCATCCACGAGTCGGTTACTAGATTAGATGATGATCAAATAGTGTTGTGGGAGGGGAGAGTGATTAAAAAAGAAAAAAAAAAGATTGCGATGTGGAAAAGAGAGCGACAACAGCCGTTTTATTTATGCTGAGAAATCTGTCCACACACACCTTTTTGGGCTGAAAAAGAGCTGGAGAGCAAGAGAGTCGATAGTGCGATGCTGACAGATCAACTAGCATGCTTCGAACCACCCATTCACTCCTACCGTCGAGTTAATCCTTCTCCCCCACACCTGTGATTCATTCCTTTGGCCTTATTGCCCAGTATCGCGTCTCTTGCCAAAGGATGATGTATCCATTGGAGCTGATGGACATTTCATTTTTACTATTTATCATCTGCGGCCTCTAAACGAGCCGCAGTGTGTACGATTGTTTTCCACCAACACATACAGGAATCGGGGTACATGTTGATTTGTCTTCGTTGTTTATTTGCTGGAAAGGCTTCTTTTTTCTTGCGATGAGTTATTTTTTGTTCTCAACTCATATCAAATGGGCCCCGTTCGAATATAGGTTGTAGTTGAAATCAAATGAGCGATTGAGAGAAAGAGAAAGTGAGGGAGAAGGAGTGTGTTTGCGAGCGAAAGATATTGGGGGGTGAAAACGCGAATAAAGACAATAATAAGTAAAACTAGCATGGGCGCATTGGGCAAGAGTAATGAAAAGCAATCCAGGGCGTAAGACACGTCCTTCGTCATCAAGGTACTGATGTAAACGACGGTTCATATGCCTCCCTGGGCATTGGGGGTAGCGGCCGATCTAACGACTCGGCCATCGAGGTGGGCCGTGCGCGCATTGACTGCGGTCGTCCAAAACTAAACGTCCGCGTTGTCGAGGCGCGTTCCAGTTTTGCAGAATGGGTGCGCGCATGTGTTGGTTCCCTCGGGTGGCCGTTGCTGTCTCGGTCCTTCTCCCTCTCCTTGTCACGGTCACTGTGGTGGTTAAAGACCAAGCTCAATCGCCGCAGCACACCTCCGCTCGACTCTCGAACGCTTCCAAACAAAGACCGTGCCGCATGGGCCGCAGCAGACTGTCCAAGAGCGCGTTCTGATCCTTTGCCGCTCTTGACAGAGCCCTCTCGACTCGGACCGTTTGAAGCACCATTTCCATGTCCATGGTTATGTCCATTGCTGCCTCCATGATGATGAGTGCTATTGCCACCATTGGTGTTGGCGTTGGCGTTGGCGTTCGCATTGGGATGGCCGCCCGTTGTATTAGATCGCAACAAGTCACTAGCAACAGATTTTGCACGAGGACGAAGGGACTTGCGACCAAAGGAGGCAAATCCACTCAATGTAGAGCGAGCAGAGGAGAGCGCGCTGCCCGGTCCTATCGTACTGCTATTACCGTGGGTGCTATGGCGGTCACTCATGCCGGCTTCCAAACCAGATCGCGGATCGGCTGACGCATGACTCATGCTCTGGCGGTGCAGCGACTGTGGTGGCTGCTGGTGATGCTGAATTGGCACTGCAGTCGACTGAGAATACTGGTGGTGCGAACCACTTGGGGATGGATCCAATGTAGAGCCACTTCCATTATTCAGGCCCGAGGACATGGTGCCGGAAAGTCCTTGAGCCGACATGCGCTGCATGGCCTCCCTGGCCTGCTTCTCTCGGACAAGATGGTAGATCGACGTCAAGGGCGTCGTCAGGGGTATCTGAAGCTCGGCCTCACGTGCGGCAAAGCTTTGCATCTTCTTTTTGTGAGAGAGAGTGCCGCTAACAGACATGTTGAGCGCATGCCAATTTTTGGCGGCGGTCTGGTACGATTCGCTGCGAATAATGGCCAACAAGCGCTGCTCAATCTCCTGCTCTGTGCCAAACTCAAATCCTGTCATGCCACGGATGACATTCATATCCAGAGGCTCCGTCAGGGGGCTTCTCTGAGGACAATAGCTAGGCTGGGGAGCATCATAAGACTTGTTCATCCAAGGATGGGCTATGACCTCCGCCATGGTCGCTCTTTGGCTCGGAACCGTGACAAGCATCCTTGAAAGTAGATGCCTGCAATCTGATACAAACAATGAAATTGGTACAATGTCAGTTTTTGATGACAAAAATAAAGTACGGAGTTACCCCGTTCAAAGGGAAATGATTGCATACCGTTGCTGAGCCATGCAGGATATTCGACAAAACCCCTCTTGATCTTGGCATGAAGGGCAGGCATTGATTGATCATCAAAGGGAACCTTTCCGCAGACCAAGACGTAGAGTACGATACCAAAGCTCCAGACATCAACCTCAGGGCCCGTGTACACTTTGGCGTTTAACAATTCGGGTGCAGCAAAGTATAGCGATCCGCAGAATGTGGATAGATGTGACCGAGGCGAGTACAGGTTTGACAACCCAAAGTCAATGATCTTGATGTTGCCAGACTTTGAAATCAGGATGTTCTCAATTTTGAGATCGCGATGAACAATCGAGTTTCGGTGGCAATAGTCTAACGGCGCCATGGGAATGGAGTGAGTAAAAGTTCATATATGTTCTTTGTTACACCTCTTAGTTTCAGATATTTGAACTCCAGTGTTCCTTACCAAGAGCCGATGCAATCTGGCGCGCAAACTTTCTGGCGTGCTTCTCCTTCAGTTTTCCATGCGAAATGATGTAGTCCAGCATTTGCCCACCATCAACGTGCTCAAGCACCATGTAGTAGTGATGCGGCAGAACCATGACCTCGTACAGACTGACAATGTAAGGGTGGTGCAGAACCATCATAATCGATGCTTCTCGGATGGTTCTGGTCTCGCGGTTGTCCTCCTTCTCCTGTTGAGCCGGTGTCATGTTTGGATTTGGCTGCACACGAGGGATGATCTTGATGGCCACCTAGGATGTCATTTTACACAAACGTCGTACAAATGAGTCTCGCATGCACTGTCCCCTTCACACCAGCCATTTCGTTGGACTAAACGTAAATGCCGATAAACCAATGGGCCACTCAAAGCAATGGCAGCAACCACAAACAAATAACAAATGTACCCAAGCGTCAAAAAAAATCGGCGCACTACACATAGTATCTCTTCGGCTTTGCGCGTGACACGCATGATATGGATGTTGGGATGTGGGAGAAATGCGCAAGAAAAGAATGACAAAACATGCATGTTTCCTTTTGCTTTACCTTATCGCGGGTGCGACTGTGGACTCCGAGCTTGACTTTTCCCATGCTGCCTGCACCCAAGGTCTTGGACATGTGGTAGTTGCCCAAGACGCGGCGAGGCTTCACGCGCGATGGATCCTCTGCATTAGGATCGATTGCATTTCCATGTGTTGCCTGACCGTCGGGATGGCCGTTGCTGCTGCTGATATTTCTGCTGTGATGGTCGCCGTTGCTGTTGTTATTAGGAAAATGAGCGTTTCGGTTGCTCGTGCTCTCTGAGCGATGATGGCCCGCTGCCACAAGGGCGCGGTCGTCCACCGATATTCCGTTTCGATCCTGGGCATGCTGTTGAGGCGGCTGGTAACTAGTTGTAGGCTCTGGCGTTGTAGAGGTGCGATTAGTCAGCGTGGTGGTTGTCGTACGAGAGGAGGATGGGGTGTTGTCTTGTGATAGGATGAGGGCACTTTCAGGGCTAACGGCATCTCGATGATATTCATGTGCGATAGATCCAGAGACAACCTGCTGCTCCTGCTGTTGTCGGTGCCGTTGCTGAGCAGGAGCATCGCCTCCAGAATAAGGCGGAGGCGGGCCCATTAGAGTCACTCGCTTGGATGCAGCCCTCTCCTTGATAGTGTCGGGTAAGGATGGTTGATGGGACAAGAATTTTTCGTCCCGCTCATAGGTACCGGAGGCAAGGGCTATGCTTTGAGGCCGGTCTGCGGGCCTTGCCGAGGCAGAGCGAGTTGTTAGGGGACGAGGATTGGCACTGACTGCTTGATTTATTTCCGAGGCAGGGCGAGAGGGAAGGACAGCAGAAACGGGAAGCATAGGGGTAGCAGGAGAAGCCGAAGTGGAGGACGAAGAGGAGGCAGATGAAGAAGAGGTGAGCCGGAGGGTGGAGTTGTCCGGTGTTGGCTCGAGTGTAGTAGTGGCCTTGGTGGTGGTGACCTTTGAGGGGAGAGGGGAGGCAGAGGAGGCAGGATGATTAGGACTGGGACTGGGACTGGGACTGGGACTGGAAGACAGATGGTGAGGGATTGAGGAGTGGTTGAGAGAATCGCTCTGTTGTGACAGGACTTGGCCTTCAGTTGAGGCACCGACCTCTGGCGGGCCTAGATGACTCGAAGAGGTTGGTGTTGGCGGGAGATCTTTATCATAGAGAGGCTGGGAGTTGGTCCTGGACGGAGGAGTCGTCTTGATGGCCTTGGTCGCTGAGGGAGATTCTAGCGATGGCGGACTCTGCAAGGTATTCGGGGCGATGGGCATTATTGCCATGACTGCATGCGAGCACAGATGAGGATGATGATAACGGTAGTTCTGTTGAGGCTGAGGATGATGATGGAACTAAGGTGAGGAAGAGAGGGTGTATGTGTTAGATAGTAATTAGGGAAAGTTGTTGTTGTTGTGGAAAGAGGGAAAGGTGGAGAAAGAGAGAGAGAGAGAGAGAGAGAGAGAGAGAGAGAGAGAGAGAGAGAGAGAGAGAGAGAGAGAGAGGGGGGGGGAGAGGAGGATGGGATGGGATGATGATAACAGCGATGACAAAAGGGAAAACACTTGTACGCTCTTGTCTTTTGGCTACTCGCACTGTAGGAGTGTATGAGGTGAGTGAATGGGTGCGTAAGTATGGATTGAATGCGTCGGTAGGTGAGAGCACGAAAACCAAAACGATAAAATAGAAAAGAGGAACCGAACGAAAAACCAGCTGCTGGCGCTTTTTTATGATTGCAAAGGCAGACAAGACAATGTGTATGGGGAAGAAATTGAAGACCATGCGAGGATTGGTGGGGGAAGGGGGTATTTTTTTTTTAGTTGTTGTTAGAGAAAGAGAGAGTGATAGTGACAATGAGAATAGTAAGGCGTACGCGAACCCAGGTATGATGCTTCTCTCTCTCCCTCGGACGTCCAGCTCCATGGTGCCCCGCCCTCCCATCTCACAACCAAGTGCCCATGTGGGGTGTGATATAGGATGCTGCCATCGTCATTGCCCACTGCCTCTTCTGAACCCAATGGCATTTTGAGTGTTTTAACATACATGTGGCTCGTTTCTTGTTGAAAGCGACTGCTACAACGGGGAGGCCAGAGGGTAGTGCTGTGAAGAGGGAAGAGGACCTCAGTGAGCTGTTGTCTGTTGCTGGGTCGACAGATGCCACAGAGAAGGACAAACGAGAAAAGTAAAAGAACAGAGCCACAGAAAGAGCCACATATCCATACAGATTACAATCGTATTTGAATATGTATGCTGGTAATTATACACGCATGCAATCAAGAAGAAGAGCCAGAGCCGAGCGACCAGATTGGAAAGGGGGCGGGGACCCAAAAACGATAGCAAGGAGAAAGGGTAAAAGAGCGCGAGGGCACACGGAAAAAGGTGATGGACGGCAGAGATGAAAAAGAGAGAAAGACTAGCCCTCGATGAAGAGGAGAGAAGCATATTGGAAGGGGTAATCATGAATAGGCGGAAAAGAGAGACAGGGGGTGGCCAAAGATCCCAGTATCTGGTTTAGAGGGATACCATGATGGCATGGATGGTGGCAAGTGGTTACCAGACCGGCGGTGCGTCAAAGGACATGCGAGCTTACCTTGAGCGGTATGGGGAGGGAGTCCTGTGGTAGGGGGATAGGGGGTAGGGGTGTGTGTGTGTGTAAATAGATGGGTGAGGATGCGGGTGCGGGTGCGGATGAGGGTGTTGCAGCCCAGGATGTCTGTACAGACAATGAGAGTGGGAGGGAAGGAGGAGTTGGGAGGGAGGGATGAACAGACAGATGATGACTGCTTCAGTGAGAGTGAGAGGTGCAGGAGGGATGTCAAAAGAGGGATGACCGAATGAGGCGAGTTTTGCAGAGAAGGAAGAGGACGATGGTGGCAGGGTTGCAGCGGCAGAGAGCGAGTGGCACCAAACAACAAACAACGAAACGACTTATGCAAACGAGTAAGGTTAGAGCGCAGGGGTACACAAGCGAAGTAAAGGAAGAGCAAGAACAAAAAGGTCCTTCTTGTCTTCTTGTCCGCACCACTCATTGTGCTGCATGCATGCGAGTCTATACCCAGCACCAGCCAAGATACGCATCAAAATACTGTGTGCACACACATTCACATATCTACACATCCACACACCCACACACCCACACACCCACACACTCGCACTCCAGCATGGACTATGCACTGCACATGCAAGCACTACATGTACGTAGACTTCGGCTCCAACAACAACCCAGCAACTATTATTAACATCTTCTCTCTCAGTAGTCTACACATCCACCTAGACAATGCACTAAATAGTGCTCGGTTGCCGTCTTGGCCTCGTCTCACTCTCATTCTCGCTCCCACTCTATTTCTCCCTCACTCAGCCCATTCTCCAACTCTCCACCTATGATTTGTACTCACGTACAACAGACGACAGAAGCAAGTTGTGCAACAGTCAAAGAACTCAATGAACCCAACTTATATTTCTCTATTTCTCATGTCATGAGGACAAACAAATACGTTTAGTCTAATGAAAGAAGTGACTGGTTGACCCCTCCGCTCATTGAGTCAGGAAACGAAGCTGGCTGTGCTCCTTCTCATGCTCCTGGTGGTGCGATGCCTCTGCCTCATAATACGTTTCGGTGTCGATCCACCCAATGTAGTGGATCCCACCGAATCCTCCGACATAATAAATCTCCTTGATCTCGAGATGATACCACTTGAAATCATGGAACCCACTGCCGGGTAACCACCACTTTGCCTCCGGGTGCTTCTCAACAAAGCACTTTGCAGCTCTATCACGCTGTCAAAGGGAAGGAAAGAGTAGGCTGTTAATTCAATCAGCTCAACCATCATCCATTCGTCGCGTACTCGCTTTCCTGTGCATTTTAAATACCCATGGTCCACAGGCCAAACAAGAACAAACAAAAAGAGAGAAACCGACAAGCAAACCCCAGTTGCATAGGGAAGCGCCCTATGAATATGTTCACTTTTCATATATACCTTGGCTGCATCCAAAGGAACCAAGTGTCCAAGAAGTGTGAGTCGAGGATCAATCATGGGGTTACCGCGCTCGCCCTCTACCGGCAACCTATTCATATCAAGAGGATTCAGAACCCAATCGTCAGTCCTTCACACCATGGAAGGTATAAAAATGCACATTCTCCTGCTGCAGCAAAAAATATCTTTGTCTCGAACGTACTTTCTGATGGCGAGTGAAACGCGGTTCAGGCTTTTGGCGTTCTGAACATTGATCTGAAGATGCGAGAGCAGCATTAGAGGCGTTCCAGGAGTCTCGCAATCGTCGACATAGTAATCCATGCTTCCAAATGGATAACCTATAACAAAGCAGCAATGTATTTTTTTCTTTTTTTGTGAGGACGACGCTTGGATATGAATAGTCGGGCATGGAAGTCAAAGAATGTCATCCACACCGGGTTCTTTACCCTCGAGAGTGCCATCCTTTTTATCTGCGTTCATCACAGTCATGAGCGTGCCGACGCCCGTGTTCTTCACAAGATTCCTCGCAAGACCTGCAGCCTGCTCGTGGGTTTCACCAAGGGCAGTAACTCCATTGTGAGCGTGGCCATGGCAGGGCGCAGCAGGCAGGGCCAATGCTGTTGCAGACAGCAAGGCCACTGAGACTGTTAAAGCAAGGGTGCGAAGGGATGGCATCGTCAAAGTGAAATGAGGAATGAGCTTCGTGTAGGATGGAGGAGGAAATTTAAGCAGAGGGCAAAGAGAAAAAAAAGGAGCGCGCTTTATGTAATTGGTAGGGGGAGGCTGACCCATGCAAGAAGTGCAATTGACCAACGCCCCGGCTTATCAGATCGAACATGTAGTCAAGCGCCTTTCCTTCGGTTCGTGGTCGTATTGCCAAACTAGAAAGTATTCACATTCAGCATTGGCAACCATGGATCTGTTCGTAGACACCCGGAACAAACTGGTGCCGTCCTTTATGAGGAGTGATGTAGCCTGTTTACAGGCATGTCAATAATTTGTGAAAAGGAACACACCACGCGAATGTCAGTTTGGAACCCAGTACATGGCGTAGAAGATTCCTCCGCTTCCTTTTTCTCCGCAATCTGGCCGAAAACCGGAGCAATTGCTTATCAGATCCTCTATTCATTTAGCTTTCGGCCCACAAATATCCCACGATGGGGTCCGTCTAACCACTTACAATCTGATATAATCTGATAACAGGATTGTTAACTTAACTGCAAAGATCGCCTTTGTTTGTCCGAGAATTCTTACAGAATAAACATCTCTCTCTATGACTCAAGGACGATCCTCATCCGCAACAAAGACTGGTTACTCCAATGTTCAGTGTTCAATGACGCCTATTGGTGATACCGTGCGACTGGACGCTTTCGCGGATAGAGGTTGTTTATGGGTGCATCATGCTGGTTTTTGGTGGGCCACCTTGCCATGTAAAGGGCTTTTCAAGCTTGAGGATTACCGAGAAGATGCAAAATATGGATACGATTGAGAGGGCGAAGGGAGGAATGGATGTATGTGTAACTTTTTTTTCCCACCTGCCACTTTTTCTTCATGTCTTTCCTTCCTTTCATCCTTCTAAACCATTTTATTTTTCACCCAGAGGTAACAGAATCATGCTACCTATCACTGCACATACTGCCCTATTAGGTCTATACCCTGTTACTATCCAGGAATCGTGCTCGGGGTAATGATGAAGGATACCGATCAAGGAGTCATCGGCACAGCATAGATTGCCTCTCGCGAAACTTTTGTCCCTGTTTCGCGTCCTTATTAGGGCCATCCCATGCTGTGGTGTGATGTAGAAATGACTTGAGCCAGGACACGACATACATAGGTTTTTATTGGAACAAGCTAAGAACCTCACTACTTCAACGGCGACTGAGATAGAGAAGAGAGCTTCCAGGAATACCTTGAGCTCTACCGGTCGTACGTCGAGTCTAGCGTCTCTGACCTATCAGTTCAAACAGCGAACATCTAGAACACAGTGGCACAGCGCTTCGATCCTTTAGAGACAATGACATATTCCAGCGATTGGTGCCATATGCCTTAGTTCCAAGTTCTCGACTGTTAAAATTGCCTGCCATTCCACCATTCCAAGAGCACGCGTGTCATACTCACGCCCCCTCACTCTCTTTCCCCCCTCCCCCCCTCCACATTCTTTCTTGCATGTTGCAGGTGAAACTGGTGCAGCAGGATACGCGTACGAAGATGGGAGTGAGGCAAGGGTGTGTGATGACACTGTGTACCTCATGGACGCGTTCATGGACAAGAGCCTACACTCCTTTTTGCGAAATATTGCACATTTCATAGGAAAAACGCAGTATTTCACTGAATTGAAAATTATTAACGAGATTATTCACTTTTTTGTGACGGCCGACCTGCCTTATATCCTCGCAGTGTTTATGTGCATATCCGCATCAATGGCGTGTCATGCTCACTTATTCCCTCTCTCACTTTTCCCTGAAAAGCAGCACGATTGGTGATTCGTAAATCCAAGCAAAAATAAAATCTGGACTGAATAGTCCCCTTATAATTTTCAATTCAGTGAAATACTGCGTTTTTCCTATGAAATGTGCAATATTTCGCAAAAAGGAGTGTAGGCTGAAATCTTTGTTCCAAATCAAGTATGCGCTCCCTTGATTTGGTTGGCGCCTATTCTGCTTCCACAGTAGACGCGTGTGTAGTCTGCTCCCTCTTCCCTCTTTACGCGTAGAGGGCCATTTCTGGTGCGTCTGCAGCGTATGAGGTCAGTATCTGTTGCCTCCATTCACGCCCTAAACGAAGACTAGCGGCCTTGACTCTGCCTCGTTTAAGCTGCTCTTTCCTTGATACGATGAGCACATGAAGATAAGCAACGAAGGGCTGACTTGTCTTCTTTGGCACCGAGTGGCCCCCTTAGGGCCAACACTAAGTTCATCAAGGGTATGTTCGTTTGCACACCACGGCCAGCCATGGACTGGAATGCCACATAAACCTCTGCCCTCCCCCACAACTCTTGCTTCTTCTTCTTCTGCCTCACTCTGTGAACTCCAAAGCGTCTCCAGCTATTAGCACTCAACCATTGATCCTCGCTTGCTTTCCTCATCTTCCCATTCACGTTCACACTCGCACAAACACACACACTGTGACCAGCACCGCCCCCGTCATCATCTGAGCCCATATCTTCATGGACACCGACCTCCTCTCTCACAATGCGGCTCTTGTTACTGGTACCTACCATAAGGCCATTAATACCATGTGTCCGCGGCCCCGTCGCCAGGTAACACCCTGATTCGATACTGCCACTTTATATGGCATATACAGAACTGCACCTGACATCCGCTCATACTGACTGCGCCTATCTATCTCGCGACTTTGCTCCTTCATTCCAACGCTCTATCTCAACTTCACACCATTCCTTCTTTGTTGCTGCTCGCCTTTATTTGCTGCTTCTCACCTTTCCTCTTCTTATTCTTTGCTTCCCGCTTTCTATGCCTCACAGCCAGCAGGAGGTCGTTCTCTTTATCTCGTGTGACCCTCACACTCTTCACGCATACCTGCAGGTCGCCGCTGTTGAGGATCGAGGCTCCGACAGCATCGCAGTGGTATGGGACGCAACCCACGCTGAGGTGTTTAACGTGGCGGTATGGTCCAACCTAGCAAGGAAGCGCGATGTTGTCATAACATCAGAAGGCATTGCCGCGAATATATTAAGGCACCAATTGCTGGAGCTTCGGGTGGCAAGTTATAACTTCATATTTGCACAAAACCATGTTCACGCATAGTAGAAAACAAGTCTGCACAAACCCATACGGACAAGATAATACAGCCAAGACGATATGGCCAAGACGATATGGCCAAGGCGATATGGTCATGACGATATGGACAAGTCAATTTAAACAAGGCCATCGAAATGAAACTCGAGTTTGAGAGCCAATTGAATGCCCGAACTGACTGCAACGAGTGCGAATGTCATAAAATCAGCTATATTTAATGGGATGGCGCATGTTAATGATCTTCAGCTACTTAAGAGCATCATTGCCAAATAAATAGAACGAGCTCTTGTTTTAGACCTGAACGTACTGCAGCCTTTGACGAGTTGGGGAAGTACTATTTAATGTTTAATTCCAATAAATGCAATATGACGATGCGAATGATGATCTTGAAAGGCATTGGGTGGCGGAGATGTATCAAGGGCCCTGGAATGAGAGCTTTGGTGACATGGACAGAAAACACGCTGATCTTGCCCACGTCAAAAATTATATGGGCTGTAGGAACCCGAAAGTCCCTTCATTTTTTTATTACTCGGCGAAGGCTCCTCGTTTGCCTATGCAAAGAACTCGTCCCAGTGTATAAATCCAAGACGTATCTGCGGCGCCCGGGTCTGCCAACGCACAAGTACCTCCTCTGGGTCCTGAATCTCCACCAGATCCCACCCCAATCGCCACAAGAACTCCATCTTATGAACCGCCTCCATGACCTCATCCAACTGAACTTCTGTACACCATGCTAGGTCCAGGATCTTCAACCCCGTCAACTTAACTGGAATCGCCCGCACGAACCCTTTTGTTAGCGGCCAACGTCCCAGAAGCTGCAGTGTCTGTAGCTTGCTCAGAGAAAGAATTCCATCCAGCGGATTCCCCTCCTGCCCACAGGACTCATCCCCGTTCACGACCAGCTTGAGTGATGTCAGGTTAGGGCAGCATCGTAAAAGACTGAAATCGAATTCGAGTGCAATATCTCCATGGAACTGGAGATCTTGAAGAAACGGCATCTGGATCTCGAGCGGCCGGCCCCAGGTAAGAGAAGACTTTGTTGCGCGATGCCGCTCGAAAGATGTTGCCTTCAGAACCCTCAACGACTGACTCAAACCCACACCTGCATCCTCGAGAGCGTTACGAAGATTGACGTGGTTGCCCGAGATGTAAAGTCGCTCGACTGGCGGCACCACAGCTTCTTGTCCTCCTGAAAACGTCCCCAGTATTGTATCTGGGTCATCTTGCGTTATGATTTGATGTCGGACTTTGAAGAGTCGGGCCACCCCCATGAAAGTATCATGTTCCGGGATGAATAAATCGAGGTACTTTAGGGACCTACACCGCAGCAAAAAATTGGTGCCATTTTTTGGTGCATGGCCTTCTCCATAGTCCAGAACAAGTCTTTCCAGTGCCTCTACAGGGATTTGGTCGATCATCGTCCACGCTTCACTCCAGGATCTCGTGTCCAATGCATATAGGTTTTTAAAGGCCAAGGGCAGCTGTATGAGGTCCTTCAGATCGCCCACGTCGTAGTCGTTAAATTCTGTTAATCCACCGATCTGTAGCTCTCTTAGCGTGCCGTGGACATTGTCGTGCTGTCTGATCCAGTCGACTAGGGCTGCAAGACTTGACTCCGTGATCTTCTTGATATGATGGACCTCTAGCCGTTTGAGGCAGCCCAGGACTGGGATGAGTTTGTAGAACTGCGGCACATGGGTCGATGTGAGACAAAACGAGACAACTCGGTGTCCACAATGCTTGAGAAAGAGCACGTCCAGCTGCGCGAGAATGGCCCGGCTCTGAACGCGGGTGATCGTTCCGAAGAGACGAGGGATCGCTTTCGCTGCGAGGAAAGCGTGGTCTTGTCGCCGGTAGTGGTAAAAGTAGCCGCCGTTCTGTGCTGAGAATGACTTTTCTAGTGTCCGCCCGACTGAAGAGTCGTTCGATGCCTCGTCCTGATCTTCGTCGTCATCGTCGGCTATCCTAGGCGGCAGCTCCTCCTGGAGAGCTGGGTCAAGCTCGGAGATAAAGAGGCGCAGAAGGACGACGAGGATGTCCGCCTTTTCGTCCTCGGACAGGAATCTGTGGGTGCGCACGAGCAGAAAGGGGTTCTGATAGAGGATCGGGACGGTAAGCTGGAAGAGGGTCTTGTTGACGCGCATAAGAGATAAGAGGGTCGGCACTTGATTGAACTGTAGAAACGAGAGGACGTGCTGGAGGCACTCCAATAGCAGCACCGGCTTATTTGAGGACGACATTCTGTGATGAGACTATGAATGGTAGTCTGGTATGGCTTGTTCAGAAGGCCGGATCAATGAGAAGAGAAGACATCGATCTCATCAAAGTAACTCTTCATTCCTCGTCGCCGTCGGTCTTCTTAATCCCAGCTCCATTGGCTCCATCGCGCGCACTCGCTCGATCGCAGGAACACGTGGTATGAAAGGGGTAACCCCTTGCGCCACCAATTCTGACGGTGCTCAGCATGCCATGGTCGCGTGGAGTGCCCTTCGACGCGACGCGACGCGATGCGACGCGACAGAAAAGACACGGCCACCACAGAGACGCGTTGCAGCGTAAACTAGAACGGCGCACGCAGCCGAGAGGGTGCAGCCGAAAAGAACTTTAAAGTGGCCCGTGGCCCGAGTGCTCTGAGGGATCTCATTCGGCAATCAACATCAGCAATCAACATCAGCCTCGGCTCAGGATGAATGGGCCTGACCCTCCAACCCATCCGGCCTCCTACTTCTGTCGACCCTTCTAGTCGTCTTTCTTCCTCGCTTCCACCTTCGTTCTCTCACTCCCCGTTCCTCCACATCTCAATATACTCCCCGTCAACTACAGAACCTTGTCCGCTGACGCTCGAAAATGGTTTCGGTAACAAGCGCCCTGGCTCTCCTATCGGCCGGGCTCTATCTTGATGGCAGAACCCGCTTCTCGCGCGATCTGAACTTTGGACTCCCTGGCCTTAGAACCAAACTATGGTAACTTTCGTCTCCTTGTGTTTGCATAATATAGCCTGTCCTCGCTCGCTACATACTAACAAAAGCTGCTACTGTATTCGCACACAGGTTCGAGCGCTTGGTCGCCAACAACGACGTCAGTTTCTACAACCGCTTTGAGGACCAATGCCGTCTACGGCCCTACGCGATCGCCCTCGTCTTCGAAGGCCATTCCTACACCTGGCGTGATCTCGAACTCGCCTCCAATAAACTCGCACACTGGTACCAAGCCCAGGGCATCGCACCCAAGGACCGTGTCGCCATGTTCATGACCAACTCCCCGCTCTTTATCATCTCCTGGCTTGCCCTCCTCAAGATCAAGGCTGTCGGTGCCTTTATCAACAACCAAATTACTGGGACCGTCCTATTGCATTCACTCAAAACCGCCAACGCCCAGCTTCTCATATTTGATTATACGTTAGTGGATCCATTACAGAAATCGAATGCGGAGATAAAAGAGATGGGGTATAGGCTGTTTACGATCACGCCACAGGAGGAGGTGTTGGTGCGATTCGATGAACATGATAGGGATCCTTCAATGAGGTTTTTTGAATTTATGAATTGGCGGGAGTGCAGCTCCGAAGGCTATTCAAGAGAATCGCGAAAGGATGTTGTCATTGAAGACGCAGCGGCGCTTATTTATACCAGTGGGACAACCGGGTTTCCGAAAGCTGCCATCATGGACCATGGACGATGCACCTGTATGTTCTCCTATCGTTTTTTAGCTGCTCGACAAACTACTGCATTTTTTTTTTTTCATCCTAACCGCCCTGTCTTATGAACTCGTAGTGGCCGTTGGTGTTTGGTCCGGCATATGCAAGATCACTGAAAAAGACCGTGTCTACGATTGTTTGCCCCTGTACCACTCAGCTGGAGGTAATGAAGCGCTAGCGAAACAGCAGCGCATGCGGTTGGAAAATGAATTGCATCTAACGATACTCTTTGGATTCCTCGGTCGAGATTAGCGATCATTGGGATCGGTCAGAGCTGGATATCTGGAAGTACTATCGTCCTCGCTCGAAAGTTCTCAACCACCTATTTCTGGAAAGAAGGTACGATATCATCGCCACTTTTATCCGCTATAATTACAGCACAGCAATAAGGAAGCGCTAACACGAATCGTTTGCTGTACATGCCATAGTTCGCGAACAAGAAGTGACCTTGATCCAGTACATCGGTGAATTGTGCCGGTACCTTCTCAATGCACCCGAGAGTCCCCTGGACAAGGCCAACAAAGTCAGGATGATTTTTGGTAATGGACTGCGGCCGGACGTTTGGAGAAAGTTCCAGGAACGCTTTGATATCCCGACCGTCTTTGAGTTCTACACCATGAGCGAAGGTATGGTGAAAGTTTGCGGCCGAGGCTTCCAATGCAGGCGGCAGAACGACCTCCCGTAACTCATGAATGAATTTTAATGTGGGGCCGTATAGCGACGAGTGCATTATTTAATCTTAACAGTGGCGAAGATGGCGCTGGCGCAGTCGGGTAAGATTTCCTTCGCCTTTTCTAATAGCATTGATCCTGAAATGAACGACTGTTATCGGGCTGCAGCGGACACGCGTTCTGACCATCTTTTTCTTTTCTTTCCTTCCTTCTGTTCTTAGATTCCGCGGTCCACTTGTTCGGTAATACATCCGGCTCATTCATAGTCGTCCGTAACGGACTCGCTCTTCGGCCCTTCATATCACGCTAACCACGTCTCGATATGGCATTTTATAGTAAATTTCAGCCTGGGCTTCGAATCGTTAAAGTCGACCTTGACACCGAAGAGCTGATCCGCGACAAGAACGGCTACTGTATCGAAGTAAGCCTTTCGCCACTACATCTCAATTTTTACCCGCCAAAATTTGTCCCGCATTATCCTAATGACCGCTTCATTTTATTTTCTCTCTCTTCCTTTGGCCTTCCATAGTGCGAGTTCGGCGAGACAGGCGAACTACTAACCCTCGCCGACAACAAGACCAGTCAATCTCGATACATCGGTTACTTCAACCAACCGAAAATGTCCTCTGCCAAGCTTATCCAGAACGCTTTCGAGCCCGGCGATCAGTACATGCGCACGGGCGATCTGCTGTATCGTACGCGAGACCATTTCTGGTACTTTGCCGACCGTGCGGGGGACACCTTCCGCTGGAAGGGCGAAAATGTCTCGACAGCCGAGGTTGCGGATACACTGGGGCGGGTGGAAGGAATTGCGTCCTGTACGGTTTATGGGGTAACGGTTCCGGGACAAGATGGGCGCGCAGGCATGGCGGCTGTCGTTCTGAAGGACGGATATTGGGAGCCTGAGAAGGAAAAGGATATGTTGCAGGGCATTCCGGATTCCGTTCTCGGAGGCGATAATTCTGTGGAAGGAAATCCTGACGCTCCAGAAAAAGGTCCCCTTACGACCATTGGGATGCGGTTGAACGAGAAGGTGCTGGAGGAGTTTATGGATCGACTGAGCACACATGCGAAGAAGAGCCTCCCGGCATACGCAATCCCGAGGTTCGTGCGAATCTGTGAGGGCGAACTCGAGGTTACGGGAACGTTCAAGAACAAGAAGGTCGAGCTCAAGAAGGAAGGGTTCGATTTGAGTATGATCCAGGAGCGATTGTATTGGTGGACCCCAGAGGGACGGTACTCGCCCTTTGGACACGCAGAGAACAAGGTTATCCTGGCTGGTCGTGCACGGCTTTAGAAGACCGGAATCTCAAGGTTGTAGTGGGTCGCAGCATATGTCTGCTTTATGTCATAAATAAACACCAAATGGTTCATTGCCTAGCTTAGAACAGCTTTTCCGAAGATGAAAAGGAGGGAAAGGAGGAAGGCGCGGTCTTGTAGGTAACGCGATGGTCCCACTGACGAGGACCCCATCGCTTCTTCACAATCCTCCGTATCTCCTTCACAAACTGTTCCGCAACCTCCAGTTCCGTCCTGCTCCTGTCCTTCGACGTCAACGTAACCCATTCGGCCACTTCCTTCTCAACAACACCCCATCGCGCCTTCCCCTTACCGTCCTTGACACCATCACTCCTTCCACCATGATTTACCAGAACACTCGAAATATGTGCCAGCACCACGGGATCCACAGGGGCCGGGTCCGAATCTGTAAGCACTGCCAAGTCGCGTTCAAGAAATGGGGTCAGCAGCGGAATATCCGTCGCGACAATCTGGTCCGCTAGCGGGTATGTCTCTGCAGGGTACGGCTCCAATCCTGCAACGTAGACATCCCTCCGCGACGGAGGAACCCCAGGTGCTGAGGGCTCTGAATCTGCATCCGTGTTGAGTCCAGCGGACGAAGAAGTGTTGGTCTGTGGTGCGTAGAGCTCTGAGGAGTCGTAGATGTGGTGGTAGCTATCGATCGGGGTCATCGATCTAGATCTGAGTCTGGAGCGCGAACGGGATCTGGAGGTAGACCTTGAGCGTGAAGGTGAAAATGAAGGTGAAAACGATCGTCGGTTGGGTCCTTGGTTTCGTTCAACACTGCGGCCTCTCTTTCTCGAAGACGAAACCTCCAAAGATCCTGATCTAAACTGTACCTCTTCAACCTCTGTTTCCAACGACACCGCATCCAGATCCTCGGTGTCATTGTGTGGAACACCCGTACGATCCACATCCCGCACGTCCTGCTTCTTCTCCTCATCGTGCTCTGCCAATTCCGCGACCCTCTTTAACGCGGCCCTCCACCCTGCTACCTCCCTACTCCTCAAATGCACCGATCCATGACTTCTATCCGCCACATCTTCCAATTCTCCAGCCTGTGTCCTTTGTGTCCTTCCTGACCCTGAAGCACCTATCAAACTCGATTCCTGCGTTGACAACGTCTTTGTGATAGTGATCGTGTTCAAGATCCCGAGGGCCGTATCTACACCCCAATGGAGCATCGTCGGCTGCGCTTTGCACAGCGGGCACAGGAGTGTCACATCGAGCCAAGCAGCGAGGCACGCAGCGCAGAACGAGTGGAAACACGGCGAGAGATACACTCGTCCACGATATGGGGCCAGGCAAATGGCACATTGCACGCCCCCTTCTTCCTCGGTAGTCCCGAAGTCCTCATGCTTTGGCTCTGTTGGCATCGGTTCAACAGCCTCCATCAACTTTCATCTTAGGCAAAGATCGCTTTCTTCAAGGTCTTTAAATACACGTGATGGATATATGCAGTTCGAGTTTATTGTGAGTGCGATGGTGATTAAGGATGTTAGAGTACAAGGCCCCAGCACGGCTCCCGCGACAAACCTCATTCCGTAGGCTTTTTAGACACCTTCTTCTCCCTCCGAAAAGCTGCCGCTTTTCTAGGCTTGTTCGCCTGTAGCAATGCATCCTCATCATCGCGACGATCCAAATATTCCGCCTCCTCGTCCGTGATCGCGATCTCGGACTCGTCATGATGCTCACTATCCGATCCGTCCTGTTCCAGTTCCTCTTGCTGCTCCTGTTCCTGGTCCTCTGCCTCATCCAGGGCATCCTCGTCAGTCTCATCTGCATCTTCCTCTCCGTCCATCTCATTCTCCTCCTCTTCCTGTGTCTCGTCTTTCTCGACGGTCTCGTCGTCCACGACATCCTCCTCAGGATTCTCCCCCACCACCTCTTCAGAACCCGCATCGTCCATTAGCTGAGACGGCGCCTCGTTCGGATTCTTCTGCTGACGCGCCCTTGATTTTGGTCGATAATCCTTCAAAGTAATAGGTCCCAGACCCTCGTCGACTCCGTTAGGCGGCCGGTTCAACAACTCCTCCATCTGCTTCGAATCCAACAGCTCTGGTTTCCTGTACTTGTCTCCGACGACTACACCTCCCTGTTTGCAATCAAAACCCATCAGCTTCCAGTTCGAGGCTCGTCCCTGGCACGAGTAACACATGGCACATCGCTTCTGAGTGAGTGGGTCACAGATCAAGATCGTCGACTGGAAGTTGCGGTTATCCTTGTTTGCCTTTAGTTCCGCTCGCATGAGATTGATCCTCTCCACCATTTTGATAGGATCGTCGCGTGGGTGGGATAGTAGGCTAGGTTCGTTGTCAAAGTGCTTGGCGATCAAATCCTCCTCGCAGACAAAGGCGCCCGGCTGGATGCGGGTATCGTGCTGTGGTTTGATACCGTAGCCGTGGAGCCAGATACCGAGCGATTGGGCACTACTGGCGACAAAGTAGCGAGGAGCAGGAACAGCCAAGAGACGCACAATATCGCGAGACAGTGTCGTGAGAGTACCATCCGTGAACACGGGCATCTCTCTCAGATCCATATCATCCAAACGTGTATTGGGAACATTCCTATACGAGACCATTCGAACGTTAGAAATGTACTCGAGCAAAAAAGTCCGAAAATAAACGCTGGCAAATTTCCCACTGATTTGCTCTGCGACTTACTTGAAGACAAGACCCTTCCAGAAGTATGGCTTCTTTCCTTGCTTGAAAAGCTCTCCCGATAACGTGTCCATCCTCACCAGCACATCATCTTCCGTCTTGACCAGGTAATCAAAGTCAAACTGGTCCGCCCATTCAATGGCCTTGTACAGCTTCTGACTCTTGCTGTCCGGTCTATCCGGTGCCGCCACAATAAACAGATCGCCCATCACCTTGTGCTCCTGCTCCAATTCCCGCTCAACTGCCGGCAACGAGTTTCCGATAAGAAACCGATATTTCACCACAACAGCCTTGTTACGTGGGCTAGGGAACAGTTTTAATGTCGTCTCGCGGAACATCTGTCGGTTCCTGAATCCCTGTTGCGTAGCGGATGACATCACAATCATCGAAATCACCATCCTGCTATCGTTCTGACGATCTACCTCGCTCATGAGCGAACCTTCAATATTGCTCGGCGACGGTATGTTGAACGACTGGTTTGGGTCCTGAGCCATCCCTCCGGGACCAAGCTCCTGCATACCATGAGTACCGCGGGTAATGATCAACATCCATGAGCAGAGCCCCACAATGACCAAGGGAAGAACCAAGAAACGACTTGCAGAACGACCATTAATATCGCGTCCCATGAATCCGTCCTCGAGTGCATGGCTGGTGAGACGCTCCGATAGCTGCGGGAAGCCGGCCGCGAGCATCTGAGTCTTAAACCAAGGCAGGTACACCACTACAAGCAAGAGGAGAGCCTGCACAAAAGTAATGAAGACCCATGGACGGGTCGGCTCTGTGGCAGGTCTAGAATTAATCACGACACCGATGAAGATCCAGCTGACGACATGGGCAAGAGCGATCCTGAGGACGACGTTTGGGGGTCGATATGATTGGAGCAGTCGCTGGATCGTCGCTGTTGTCAAGAGGAATGCCCAGTACATTGAGAGTCCACACTAAAAGCAGCCCAAAACAACAACAACAATAAAGCGCCGATTAATGGCGATGATAACGGCGCAATAGTCCAGGATGAATGCAACAGGGGGGTGCCCCAGCTAGCTATGAGTGTGAATAGGCAAGCACTTTAAAGAGATACTTACCCACCTAGCGTATGAAGAAGAGAGAAATATAGACAGTGGTGAGTGCCATGAATACAAATGCACATCGTCGTATGCTTCTCCATCCTCATTCACCATCCTCACGGCAAGGCGAACTTACATGCTCGCGATCCAAAAGTCCGACTTTGTCAAAGAAAGCTCCTGACTAACGCTTTGATAAGAGCCCTCTCGATGCCGATAACGCTGCTGCTCTTCCTGTTCCTCAAAGAACTTATTATTCCTAGCAGCTGAGAGACTATACATCAATCCCAACAATCCAGGGACGCCCGCCAGGATTCGCAGCAGCGTCAAGGCCAGACTCTGCCTGGACCGAGCGAGGCCGTGTCCGTGTCCGAGATGGCCATGTCCGTGGAAGGGACCGCCACCACCGCCGTTGCCGCTGAGACCAGAGGCTCCAGGTCCTAAAGAGCTCGGTCCATAGCTGTGTCGTTTCTCCACAGGCGGGCGGTTTGGGTCTTTAAAGACATTGTGCTGGTTGTTGCTGGCATTGGCAGACCGGGGTGACCCTCGGTTATGTGCCTGGGAGAGGTTGTGGGTGGTGATCACGAGGTGGTTCGAGAGAGGGCGGACCGGAGTCGAGGGCATCCTGGCCAGTCAATCTCTTGTTGGGGGTGTGAAGCGTGTGTTGTTTGGGTCTCCTGGTTCTCTTTCCAGCCTGGCTGCGTGGGGTCCTTGCTTGTCGAATAGGATATATACGGAGTGGGGGGATCGACGAGCGGCGGAAGAGCGATGCGAAGGGGAGAGAGTGACAATCGACAGCAAGAAGGAAGCGATTTGCTTGGATGACGAGAGAGTAAAAGGATAGAAAGCGGTTAGAGGGATGTCCGCCTAAAAATACCCCCCCAATTTGGTGTTAGGCTACGCCAGGGCACTGCCAGCCTGTTTGAAAATATATCCCGAGGCACATAGGCTATTGGGGGTTGGAGTAGCGGTCGGGGTATCCAGGGGCACTCGCTCTTCATTCGTCAATATATCGCCGCAATAGCAACCCGCCATCGTACCCACCATGTACTCCCCTTCCCCCTTCTCCGACGACGAGAAGGATGTGTGCGTCCATGAACTGCACCGGCCATTTTTTATCCACACGCCATTAATGGCGGTGTCTCTCCCGGTAATCTCAAATTAATAGGACGCAGACGGCCTGCGCAGCAACGCCAACAAGCATCAGTTACAGGCGCCTTCTGCAAACTACCGTTCCCAATTGCAATTGACCATCGCACAATATGTAGCAAAACCATGGCATGCATTTATATATGTATTTTTCTACTGCCCTGCAATAAAACCTTACACGCGTGCAAGCGACCGGCCAGATCGTCTCACTCTCTCCTCCTCCGACAAACGTCTCTGCAGCTACGCTAAATTCCTTCTATCCTCTATGCCTTCTTGGTCGTCTTGGCACTCGAGTCCAGTCCTCCCCACAGATACACAACTGTGAAAACCAACAACCCAACTCCCATACTCGCCGCACTCGTGTAGTACGGCTTCGCCTGAGAGATAAACCTTGGGTACTGGTCATGTCTGAGCGGATGGATCCCCACAGTCGTCACACTCTCAATGTACGACAGACCCGGTCGCTTGTAGTTCACCGTGAACTTGTACACTCCGTACTGATCTGGCAACTGCAACGTCGTCGTGAAGGTCCCCACGGTGCTCTGATCATCCAAGGGAACCTGATCGAGCGTCTTGCGGATGTAGGGGTCCAACATGATCAGCTCCAATTGAATGTCGTCCGCAGAAAACGGGTGCCATTCGCCATCGTGATACTCTGCAATCGAGATCGTGTAGGTCTGTCAAGAACAAAAAAAAAAAAAAACATATCGTATAAAAAGTAGACAACGGTTAGTTCACAATGCTCTTACACAGTGCAAGTGGAGAAGTAGCTCAATGCGAATGCAAAAGGCAACACGAACCATGTTATCCTTGCTGCGGTAATGAGCGGGTGCTTCCTCCTCCTGGGGCTTGTGGTGCTGAACCGCGACAACTTCCAAAGCGCCCTTCTCCTGGAAGGTCCACTTTGTCAGCTCCTCGATGAACTTGCGGTTACCAGAGTTCACTCCCCTAATACCAAGTACAAATCCCAAAAAAACAACGACGAGCGTGGCATCCAATTAACAAACATATCCAATCGCCCAAAGTCAAGACGACTACCTAATACAAAAGATACAAAGCACAATCCACTTACTCCTCCTCGCCAATCTTCTTAACCTTCGACTGAAAGAACATATCCGACAACATCTCCGAGCTCCCCAGGAAGGCAACTCTAGCATTATTCCTCGCCTGCATCACCGAAACCAAACTAATGTCCTTGCCCGACACCGTCGGATCCTGATCCGCTCCTTCCTCCAAATTCACGGCCTCCCACGAATACGCCTCCTTGGGCGCCCACAAAACCGGCGTCAACAACGAATTCCTCGGGTTGACCGTATGCGCAATACCCCTGAACAAAATTGGACCCTCAACCTTCTCCAGCGGGACAATCGCATCGATCTTCGACATTTGTGTCGAGGGATTGACTACAATAGCATCATGCTTCTCCTTGCCGAGACCGGAATCATAGTTGAAATGGTCCAGCACGGTCGTGAATCGGTTATCGTACTCGACATCGAATTCTCGAGACAGCTCCCGGAGCGTGTTGCTCATTTCGGGTGATCCCGCCACCAGCACATTGCCGCCATCCGCGACGAATCCAACCACCGCCTTTGCGCTCATTCCCTTAGGATACTCTGTTTTTTTGATATACACACGGATAAAAATGGTCCGATTTCATTTCATGTTAGCTATTGTCTCAACTAATCCAACTGATCCATTTGATCTACTCAAAACTAATTGACCACTGTAGACATCCTTCCTCGAGAGAGGAGAGGGAGAGAGAGAGAGAAAAACAACACATACCTTTCAACTTGGGCGCAAGGAAGATAAGCTGATCAAATTGGCGTCGGTCATTTTTGCTGAGCGTGATAGGCGTGCCCACCTCATGGAGCGTAACATTGAACTCGCGGTCTAATCACAATCCAACCATCCGCACATCCAAAGGAGTCAAGTCGTGTATAAAATAAAAATAAATAAAAAAAATTCCAAAAACGCGTCGCAGCAGTTAGATGATGAAGCTTGTCGATGAAAGATTCCAGACACGACACGAACAAGGACACGGACACGGACACGGACACGACATCACACACACGCACACACGCGCGCGCCCCTTCCCACTATCTTACCCTGCAAGTCATTCCAGAAATCCATGTAGGATACAGCATCGTCCAGACTGTCCATAAGGACTAACGTGCGGGGTCCCGTCAAGGACCAAGCCTGGGCCACCATGGCCATCGCCAAGGTCGATAGAAGAACAGTTGCTCGCATTGCGTCCCTCAGCGTATCGGTTTCTGAGAGTGTCCTTGGAGGTTTCTTTTGATGACAAACGATTTGTCTGCTTTATTGAGGACGATGTCAGATGAAGGAAATGATGAGAGATGAGAGGAGGAAGGAGTTTCAATGCCTGCCATCCACGCTCATTCCTCATTCCCCCACTTTTCGTGAGGGAAAAAGAACACGGCGGTTAGAAGGCCCTTAAGTCTTTTCATCGATTGAATGCCAAAATGAGCGTCCACGTCAGGGGGACTCTTTTCAATTGGTGGATAGTGCATTGCTAACGCACAGCATAAAATACATCATATATATTGCATCTACTAGTTCAACAGCGAACTAAGAGAGATTCGACTGCTAGCACTTCCAGAATTTTGACCGCCCTGTCCCTGTCCTTGTGCTTGCCCTTGTCCTTGTCCTTGTCCCTGTCCCTGTCCTTGACCCTGTTGATTGGAACCATGCTGGCTGCTCGATGAATGATACCCTGGCTGACCGCCTTGCGATGGATGATAGGGCTGAGTAGGGTGCTGTGGATATGCTCCTTGTTGATAAGATGGATGCTGCTGCTGTTGCTGTCCAGGGTGATACTGCGCATGGTGCTGCTGCTGCTGCTGCTGCTGGTCTTGCTGCCCCTGGTACCACTGCTGCTCGCTTCGAGACTGTGACATCCTGGGATGTTCACCCTGATGACCTTGGGGAACTCCATGCCTATGTGACGACGACGATGAATAAGGCTGCTGCTGCGCGTAATGATGCTGCTGTTGATTCTGAGATGAAGATGGTGCCTGAACAGGGGTCTGTTGAGAATACGCCTCTGATGGCGACCTATTATGCGATCTTGATGGAGGCTGCTGAACACTCGACATCGACATATCCTGCGACCGCGAGGCAGAATGACCATAACCAGGATGTATCTCTTGAGGATGGCGTCCCTGTTGCTGTGGTTGCATTGCCGGTACATAATCGATGCTTCCACGGGAATGGTGCTGCTGCGGCTGTGTCTGAGGTGCACCGTGAGGTGGTGGCTGCGAAGAATAAGCGCTACCTGCTAGTGCGGGCCCTGGCCCTGGCCCTGGACGATTCATATAAGGATCCATAATTTGCCCTCTAGGCGGCGCCAACTCGTACGTGATGGACGAGTTTCGAGAATGCGTTCCTTGTCGCTGTCCGACGGGGACCACAGGCACAGGGATCGGCATGGGGCCATGGGATGAAGGACTGATGTATCCACCGAGCGAGGGGGAGGAACCTCGGCTTCTGCTATGGACCGGTGCTGCATGAGGATAACCATGAGCAGAGAGACCTGGGCTACCGACCCTCATTGAGTGATCCCTGACTGCTGCGAGCTGATCCATGGCTACTGGCGGTGGGTTAGACACTGGGCTCATCATCATTGCCGCGCCTTGTGGACCATTCAAAGAGCTATTACGAGAATGTGTAGCCGAACGACGACCAACCGGAACGGACGCTTGGGTTGAAGGAGGATAAGGTGGGGTAGCCATGTGTTGTTGTTGCTGATGCTGCGGAGGATATTGTGAAGAATGGACAGCGTGCTGGCGGACCTGCTCCCGTCGCTCGTGCTCCCGCCGCTCTTGCTGTTGTTGCTGGTGCCGCTGTTGCTGCTGTGCTTGATGCGCATACTGATCGTATTCAGGATGGTAGCGTTGCGACAGCATCTCTTCCGGCTGATCCTTAACCATCACTGGATTGCTTTGGACCTTGGCTCTTCTTCTTACTGGAGCGACCGGCTCCGCGCTATATATCGGTTCATGGTTCGGCGAGCGTCCAGGTATCACACCGTGCTCTTGTACTTGATAGAACTGAGGCTGTTGCTGAGGTGGAGCTTGATGCTGGTATTGAGACATCCTGGATTGAGTGACAGGCTCTTGTATAGATGGTGGTGGACCGCCGTATCGACTAGGATCTCTAGAACTCTGCGCAACATATTGTGGTCCAGGCTCCATTCCGTGTCCCCACTCCTGCTGCTGACGCTCCACTGCCTGCGGCTCGCGCTGTTGGCGCATCTGCTCGGCGTATTCCTGTTGTTGATGGGGATTCTGTTCCTGCTGCATACGCTGTTGCTGAAGGTATCGCTGTTTTTGATGGTACTCGTATTCCATTTGCTGGCGTTGCTGCAGTTCAATCTTGCTCTCAGCACGATGATGTTGCTTCTCTGATACTAGTGTTGCCGCGCCAGGCTGCATACCGGTCGATGGCTGTCTCTGGTGACGGGATATGGATGGGACGTAATATCCTTCTGGGCTGCCTTGACCTGGGTATGGTTCCTCACGCGGGGATCCGTGGGCAGACATAGGAGCAGCGGTGAGGGACGCGGTTCGATGGTGCTGAGGAGGAGTGTGGGTCCTGGAAGGATGTGCCGAGGGATCAGGCATTCCAGATAAGTGAGCTGGGTAGCCGGGCGCCATGTCACGACCACGTTCTCTTGGATCGATTGGTTCCACGGCCGGTTGATGGTGGTATATCTCTGGACCGCGATTGCCGTGCTCTGCGTAGTACCCGGGATGTAGTTGCGGCTGAGAGTGTATACCAGCGGTAGAGGCAGGAGATCGGCCCGCCATCAGCTCCTCCTCAACAGCAGCAAGCCCTTGTCGCAACTGCTGTGGCATCTGGGGTTGTGTAGGCATAGGCTGCTGGCGTTGAAGGTCCTGCGGATGCTGTATATGTTGATGTTGCTGCTGCTGCTGCTGCTGCTGTGCTGGTTGGGATATCTGCTGTCCCGGTTGGGACATCTGCTGTCCTGGGTGCTGAGGCTGTTGTTGTGTCGCAGAGGCCTTCTTGCTACGTCCAGGAATTTTGATGCCCGAAAGAACATTCGGTGTCGAGTTTGCTGCGAGCCACTGCGGCGTACCAGACGGGGTCCTTTGGTGCTGATTAACAAATGTAGGCGCTGGCAACGATCGCTGCTCATTCTGTACTTGGAGCTGCTGGGGAGGCTGTTGTTGGAGAGCCTGCTGCTGGGGAGGTTGGTGTTGTGGGGCCTGCTGTTGAGGAGGGTACTGCTGCTGCTGCTGCTGCTGAACAAGTGGCTGTTGAGAGAGTTGCTGTTGATGGGGTGGTTGCTGCAGTGGCAGTTGTTCCGGCTGGTATTGCTGCACCTGCACTGGCCCCACAATTCTCGGTTGCTTTTTGCTTGCTTTGGCCTTCGGCTGCTGTGGTGGCTGCTGCTGTGGCGGCGGCTCCTGATATTGTTGCTGCACCTGCTGCATCTGCTCACCTTGCTGGGTCGGCCACTGCTGCCGCTGATCCTGATCCGCTTTTCCTGGCACAAAACCCTCGCCGCTCTCCCTTTGCAGCACCTTTACCTCCTGTGTCGCGCGTTCCTCCGCACGAAGCTGACCAAGACTCAGTTCCTGAACTGTCTCCTGAACAACAACCGCTTCCTCTAATGGTTCCGCCTTGACCCGCTTCGCTTTCTTGGCTCCCGTCTTCTTCTGCCCAGGAACAGAGGCAGACGCTACTGCAGCTGCCGGTTCTTCACCATGTCCCTGCATGTTCGAAGCACCCGACGGGAAAGCTGCTCTATCTGCGCCACTGTCCATACTCGCCTTGGCAGTAGTCGACGAATGGATCGGCACACCCTCGACAGAAGACGCATCGTCGCTAACATCATCCTGAAGTTCTCGTCTCCGCTTTTGTGGCGCCAAACCAGTACTCTTCAGCCGCATTTCATCTGAATCTCCTTGGGGAGCGCGTCTCTGCTGTTGCAGCTGCTCAGAGGATGCAGGTACTGCTGGGGGCTCGGTAGGCGGACGTACGAGCTGTCGACGACTCTGTGATACGGAAGATTGCTCCATAACTGTATCCTGCTCAATATCCTCCGCCTCAGCATCAAGATCCTGCTCTTGTTGCTTCTGTTGTTGCTGTTGTTGCTGTTGTTGCTGTTGTTGTTTTTGCAGTGGAGTCAATGGAGATGGGATACGTTGTGGTACAGGCGTACTCTCGAGAGACCGCTTCAACTTGCCTTCCTGTTCAATCGATAGTTCTGCCAGACGTTTCTCTGTCGCCTCGTGCTGTTTTTCAAGAACAACCTGAACTCGGCCTTGCTTAACAGCGCCCCTGATCAGAACGCTACCTCCGCCCAAATTTTCGTCTACGCCCTCGTCTTCATCGTCCTGGTGACCACGACCGTCGTTATCGCGGCTTTCACTCTGGCGCGGAGTTTTAGCAACTGGAGGTGTACCCTCAACAGGGGTAATAGCCTCTGACTTGATTCGATGGGCCCTTCCACTGAGCTCCAGCGGTTTAATGCTAGTCTTCTCCACCCTCTTCTCTGACGTAGGCTTCACAATCGTCGACACTGAAGCTAATGATGTGTCTTGTCCTATTGGAACCAAACCTCCAGGCTCATTGTGGTAGTCTCGACTGAGGTCTTCTGTCATCATGTCATGCATGGCCTTGTCGTTGCTACCTGCTGATAGCAGGTGGTTGATACATGTCAATAGTCTTCTATGCGTCTCCATGGAGCTGTCGATTTTGCTATGTCAGTGGAAAATAGAAACATGCATTAGACCACCATCCTAAACTTATGCCGACTCGACCCAATACTCCTCTGGGTTCAATTATCAAGAGCTGTTACCTAAGTGCCTTGTTGAGCATTGCTGTTGCACGCAGAACTCCATCTTTGTAACCATACATGTCCTTCAATATGCCCAGGTTAACAAAGCTGGATCATGGACAATGTCAGTCGACAGCACTACCACATAATCGAGCTCATTTTAACGCACATTACAAGAGCTCACCTACTTGTGTTTGATCCTTCGTTCAAGTTTCTCATCATATGTTTTCGTTTTTGAAGCCTGAAGAAGCTTTAGGTCCGTCCAAATCTCCTTCAGAGCCAACTTGACAGTCGTAAATTGCTCTAATCCTCTGCATGCCATGAGTTCTTGAGAGCTGCGTTTTATCCGTGAAAGATCCGAACCAGAGCTGTCCTTGTCGCCCTTTGTCGTCTGCTGAGGCAGAAACTGCGTCTCCAGCGCTGGGACTCTTGAGGGGAACTGTGGTCTGTCCTGATTTAAATCCGGAATCCAAGGCGCGTTTGTTGTGATTGTGCACTTTGGCATGATGAGCAGCACGAATTGCTCTGGATGATCGGTATATTCTATTGTTGTGAGGTTCATCAAAAAGATTAATAAATCGCATTGATGCTCAGCACAAACATGGTATTTCAAGGGATCCTTGTAAAGGAGGCTACTTACCTTGAGTCTTGCTCAAATACACTGGAACTGAATGGAATGGGCTGGCCAGGAAATGAGACGCCACCATCAAAAGACCAATCCATTTCCGATCGTCGATAATCGTCGGAAGGGAAGCCATGGCTATCGCAGAGCCGACATCATCCTTCGACACACCTCCTGCCAAGGCCGATGCCGTCAATGCAGAGCCCATCATCGATCCTGATAATGAACCAAACGAAGCACTGAAGCTATTCCCTGAGGTACTGAGATCTGGTGTAATACCCGAGGAAAGATTTGGTGACGATCCTTGCGAGTACGACAGCCGTTTAGACAATAGGTTGGCAGTCGAGACTCCCGAGGAAGCCGCCTTCTGAGTTCTCTGCGGCGCCTCCTCCTGTGCTCGCTTCCATTTACGTAGCCTCGTGCAGGATTTGTCGGGATACTGTAACGCGACAATGGCGACCATGGCTTGCTGGTCCAGGGCTTTATGAAGGGTTGTGAAGAGATGCTGCTGTGGAACGCTATCGTGGACCCTTGAGTCCGCTTCCTTTGTGTTCTTTTTCCCTCCTGGAAACTTGGGCGACGGCTGTGGTGCTGCCGGCGAAGAGTGACTCTGCTGATCCTGAGGCATGTTCGGCATGTTGTTGTCCTGATAGAATAGAGAAGGCTTTGAGAGCGTTGGAGGGACTTTTGGCATATGAGGTAGATGCATCATTCCTGGAGGATGGCTGGGAAAGTTGGTATGGAATTGAGGATGTTGTCGTTGTTGGAACTGACCACCAGGTGGTTGCGTTGACTGAGTCTGAGCTGGAGGAAACAATACGGCAGCTAATGAATCTTCATCCATAGGTGCCTTGGAATCAGTTGGTGCGGATGGACCATCCTTTTCGCTTGAGGGCTCCTCCTTGACACCAGCCTTTGGAACTGCATCCTGCTCTTGGGGGCGATCCATCGTGATCCAATGACGGGACAGCACTGGTGGAGACTGGACGGCATCCAGCTTCATAAAGCCGATAATTGACAGGTCCGTGGCGAGGATAGATCCTTGATTGTATAGAGTCTGACGCTGTACAGATCCGAGTCCAAATCGTCCTGCTTTGCTCCTGGGTGGCGTTGCTTGGCTGGGCGTGTTCGCTTTGCCGCGAGTATTCTCTTTTTGGTCCGAGGTGTCATCGACCTCCATATCCCTTGTCGTGTCATGAGTGTGTTCTTGTATGTCGTGGGCCCTCTCCTTGTTAATGGCGTCCTTGTTGGCGCGGCGGCCGAGATGGTGCTGCTGGCTGTTCAAATCCTCCTGGTAAGCTTGTCGTGGGTCTGGATTCAGGCAGATGCGGCTGGAGAGATGGCCACAGACGAGCGTGAATGTGGAGGCATCGTCTTTCTTGGATTCTACTGGCATATCTCTTCTGTCCTTTTCTTGTTTTTTTGTTTGGCTGCCGTGTTGATGTCAAGCAAGAGGAAAGGCGACCTCATTCAGCGCGTCCAAGGACTGCTTAAACATATATTCGATTTCACAAACCGATAAACTAAATATCAAGTTTCATGGGATGAATGCGTATTTTTATTGTGTTGCTTCGACAATAGAAAGAAAGCGACTCGCGCTCTGGATAAAAAGATACACTGTGATGAATGGTGGGCGGGTGAATATTAAGAGAGGGAGCTATATAGTGTGTACAAAAAGAAAACAATAAAGGAACAACAGCAATATGGCGATAGTGAACAATTTGAAAAAATATGAGATAGAAAAGGGTGTTATGAGCGGACAATGCCTAACGCCTTGGCCGCCACTTAGCACAATAAAGAGTGAACGCTCATCCGCTTGCGGGCAGCGTCCATCGCCTTCTCCGCCCGCGTCTCCTCATCCTCGCCAGAGCACCGGCAGACGCTGCCACAAGCCCCGCTCAGACAGACGACTGGCCCTTTGCCTCGGTTAATGAATGGAGACCGCCCCACGCTGCTTGTTCGGCGTAATGTGCTCCCGCATCTGTGGTGGCCGTACGCCTCCGTAGGAGAACTAGGTCCAGTGCTAAAGGGGTTGACAGCGGCTTGGTGACTAGCATGGCTCCTGTCCTCACCCTGAGTACTAAAATGCCTGATATTGTTATCGCCTGAGTACCGTGGTGCGCCTGAACTAAGGGGATGGCGGTGCGTAGATACTGATCCCTCGTGGTCAAAATAGTCCTTCGCTGCCTGCGCGTCTGCTCCACGCTCCTGTTCGCTCAAGTGCTCGCGCCTATGCTCGTGAGAATCCGAGATGGATTCAGAACCGAAACAATCGTGGCCTGGAGGCCCATCGTCCCTGCAATCCCTCCACTCGTCAGTCATCTTGGCCCAGCGGCAAGGCCCCCTTTCCTGGGCAACACTATGACTATGACTCTCTTTCATATCGACTTCTCTGGTAAGCTGGTTCACCTGCAATTGGGCCTGTCGGACACGGTCTCGCTGCTGGGATCCATGCACAATTGGACAGACACCTGCAGATGAAGGATCGATAGTGGGATGATCTGGTGGCATCGCCTGCAAGTCTAGCTTGATGCTCGACTGGTAGGATGGTCGGGAAGATGACGACGCAGACGATGACATCGTATCAGATGTCATTGATGATCGCGAAACCTGGTGCTGATGGTGATCCTGGTGACGATTGTCAATGTCTCTGTTCCGATCCTGACTGTCTGCCATGTCTGCCAGGGGTCGCTTCATAGATGAAGGTGGAGAGCGTGATGCAAACGAGGCGCCAAAGGACGACGAGGAGAGGTCCCGCTGCAGTGTTTTTGGGTTCCGGCTTGCAGGATCCAAGTAAAGTCCTTGTGAGGCCTGCAGTGTCGAAGACGAGGGCAAAGGAAGCTGATGGCGACGAATGTTATTGAAGGATGGAATAGATTCTCGCTGGCCACCCAAGTATTTGGCGACACCGAAACCTCCCATAGGTGCAGAAATGGATCTGAAGGGGTCCGAAAATATTGTTGGGAGACGGTGGTTGGGCGAATGAGTAGGTCCTGGACCGCCAAAGGGCTCTGAGTCGTATAGCCACCGTGCAGTGTGAAGAGGACCAGTTCGCATGGAAGGCAATGAAGACGAATGTGAACTGGGCTTCGACAGCGACACAGTGTATGAAGATGAGGATGAGCTAGACATAGATCCACTGGGCGCGGACGAACCGAACATGACAGATGGTCGGCCATTCAAGCTGTTCGCGCTCAATGGAGAGGAGACAGAGGATGAAGACAGCGAAGGCGAATTTGTAGAGCGGGCATCTGTGAAGATAGGAGGCAACGAAATCTTCTTGCTCGATTCGTTACCATTACGGGACTCCAATGGCGAGAGCTGCGGTTGGGATAATGGCTGCCTCATGGTATTGTATTGAGATTCAGCAAGGTTCGAGCCATGGGCGTTGTTGTGTGAAGCCGTCCGTGAGTCGTCCAGGGAAAGCCGCTGGTTGTTTCGAGGGTGGTCATTCATCACTGGAGGCGCGTGGTGAGCCATGATACAGACAACGTATGCGTGCTCGATGTTGAGACCACGAACAAGGTCCGTTCCTAGTCCGCCACCGACATACATCCTCACGCTGAATAACTCTGAGCCTCCATCGGCACGGCACACTCGAATCACGTCCGTATATTCGTTCGACCCTGGCGCACTAGAAGACATGATGTCTGGTCGGTTCTGGTAGAATACTGCTGAGGTGGACTCCAAAAATGGGAAGTGAGAGAGATGCTGTCCGTTTGGAGAGGCTGCTGAAAAGACGGCATCCCTGATCAATCCCATGAGGTTCCTCATCTTGCTTTGGTCCTCGTTGGCAATGATCGAGTAGAGCGGCTTGTTACTGATGTCATGAGGATGATAGCCCCACAGCACCTGGGACTCGTCCGAGACTCTGGCACAGATCAGGCCCATGGTGAGAAAGACTGTCGCGAGAGGAGTGCTGCTTGGTCCGGAATACAACTCCTGTGGTCGTTTGATCTGGCTAGTGGGGGATGGGTAGTAGAAGGGATCCTGATGATCGCCAGGCAACGGTGGCTCCGAGTGCATGGAGAGGGGACGACCTTGGTAAGACTGTGCTGAGGGAGGATGTGTGCGGTAGGACATAGAGGACGACGGCCGCTCCTGCTCATGGTGTGATGGGTATGATGATGGCCGGCCCTGTGGTGCATCCTAACAACGGAATTATGAAGACGAAGAAAGGAGACGATAGGTGAGTACGATGTTTTTTTGTGTGTAAATTTAATAAACCACAATGGCTCCAGCTCTTACCAAGACAATATCTCTAGAAGGCGTGTTCGTTTGCGGCACGGCAAATGCCTCAGTCGGTGCCCTATGAGAGTAGCCACTGTTGGTTAGATGAATAATACATGGAAATAAACTAGTTACGAGGCGATAGCGAGAACCACCAGTAGTGGAAGCTTACTTTGCACCATTGGTAGTCTTTCTTGGCATCTTGTAGTTAGTGGACTTTGTGTACTTGCCCTTGACACGCGTCTTGGCTAATGCGGCGGCGGTAGTAGTAGAAGAAACAGCTTTGGAGGCGGCTACGGAGCCATCCTTGGCCGCTGTGCTCCAGACGCCATCTACTGCAACGAGCTTGTCGACGAGCTTTGGACGACCCCTCTTTTTATGCTCAACATCGCGACAAGTGTCGTCCTTCCCTACGGAGATGCACCTCTTGCAGGGTCTTGACACTACGCGAGAAGAAGAGGAGGCAGTGGTGTCAATGTCGGTATGGATGATGGTGCTTTGGTGTTTGGTGGTTGGGTGCGTGAGGGGCGTTTGTATGAGTTTGTATTTGGATGCATAAAGGCGCAGAGGCCAATGTGATATGATGGCCCAATAGGAACACGCTCCTTGATCGATCATATCGCGTGGATAATATTTCCACAATTTAGTGCTGCTCCCCTCCCCCATGCATTGTGCGTGCGCAACGTGCACTTGTGTGTGGAGAGAGGGGTCTTTTCTTTTCCTCCGCAATTGCCCTGTAGATACCCCCGTGAATAGATACTGAACCAACGCCATCACCGATGCGGGGATTTGGTGTAAAAGAAAAGCAAATACTCATAGATATGCGCGTGTACAAAAAAAAAAAAAAAAAAAAAAAAAAAAAAAAAAAGAGCACGTACGAAATGGCGCAGGATGGCAACATTGCTCCTTATTTGTCCAACGGCCCCCACCATCTCTCTCTCTCTCTCTTTGCAAATTTATAAACTTGTCCATGTTAACTAAAGGAACCGTTCCTCCCCCAACAAGCTGTTTTTGTCGCAGAGAACTTTGCCCACTTTTTTATTGCTGTTATTGTGGTTGTTATCATTGGTGTTGTTGTTGTTGTTGTTGTTGCAAATAGCCCAATATTGTTGTGGTTATGTTTGTGAACCAGCGTGAGAATGAAAGTGAAGAATAGAAAAAAAAATAGTTCTGGACACAATAGAAATGTGTGAAATGCTCTCGCACCCTCTCTGGTTGGCCCGTCATTTCTGTTGCATCGGAATGTGGTGCAAAATAAAACAAATGAGAATATGGAAAGAAACGAGCATCACAGGGACCAGGGACCAATGCCAGAAAGCTGGAAAAGGGCAGTGAGCTGTGGACACAAAGATGATTGAAGTGCTGCTTTGTTCACAACTTCTCCTTTGTGGTGCAACTCAATACCTGACAATTGCCAGGGCGACTACTTGCATATTGAGCCCTTGAACATTCAAATCTGCATCAGATCAACAAAAGGGCTATCATAATTGCCATCATATAAAAAAAAAAAAAAAAAAAGGGAGCACATACACAACGGATGCTGACTAGCGCGAAGGAGAAAAAGAGAAAGAAAAAAAGACGTTCCGTTTTGCTTTTGTAGCAAGACCCACAAAGGTGATAGAAGGAATGGGCGAGAGATATGCAAGGAGTCATAGGAGAGAGGGAAAATAAAAAAGCAGCAAGTAATGTAACCATCGCCACCAATGTCCGATGGGCGCCGTTAAAAGACCGAATAACGGGCGCCAGCATTAACATTAATACGTTAATGAAAAAGGGCGAGTAACACGAAGGAAAGGAGATAGGGAATCTGTGGATGCTCTGCTTTAGAAGAACACCGAATAGAGAATTGCGCATTGCACCAAACAGATGTTTAACATCATGTTCTCCCCCATGGACCCCTCTTTGCCTAGGGTACGCGTGCACTATCTCCAATCAGAACAAACGCGCTTCTCGTCATTATTCCTAGTCAATTGACTCGTAGATCTCCATTTGGGGAGTGAAAAAAGGGCACGAGAACCAAGGGACTAAGGGGTGACGGGATGAGCGAACCGGCGAAAGAGTAAACGAGGGGTGGGGACACCATGGACACACAACCAAATAGAAGCGTGATATCTCTCTGATACGAGGAGGGGACAGAAGAGACACATACAATGCGATATGACACGACATTCTGAAAGTGGGAGGACAGGAGGAAAGAGCTCTGGAGGGAAAGGGGAAGGTGTTGAATCAGGTTGTAGACTTACAGTCGCAGGCAAGGTGTGCTTTTTTGCAGTTGATGCAGGCACTCGGTACATGAGGCTTGGTTGACTTGACTCTTGGGACAGGCTGGGGATGCAGCGGCACTGGGGCCGGCACTGCGGTAGCTGAATGTGGCGAGGATGAGGAGGGTGGAGCAAGGGCGGGTAAGGGAGTCATTGGAGCGGACTCGGGATGGAGTGATTCTGACTCCATCGTGTAGGAGTGTGACATGAGGTGTGTATGTGCTGACTGAAGACAGAAGAGAGAGAGTGAGAGGTATGAATTTGCGGGTAAAAAGAAAGTCTGGGTATTCTTTTCCCTGCCTTGGCTGACGTTGTTGTAGGTGTAAATGTATGTAGGGGGTTGATGGTGCAGAGAGGGAAGGGAGACAAAGGAAGAGAAGGGAAGGGAGGAAGTGGTGCCGGAGAATTAACAAAAGGTTAGAGAGACAGACGACAGTTATTAGACCAGCAGCAACCAGCAGCACCAAAAGGACAATAAAAAAAGGGGGGAGAGGTTGCTGTCGTTGAATGAGTTTGCTGGTTATAAAGTGGAAGAGGATGTTGTCAGCACGCGAGATCGACCTTGTTGTTGGTGTTGTTCGTGTTGTTGCTGTTGCTGCTGCTGTTGTTGCTGTAGTTGGTGCTGTCGCTACTGTTGCTGAAGTGTTAAAGAGGGATGAAGAGCGGAGAAAGGGAGTGGTCTTGCTTACTTGGGCTTTTGAAGAAGTGGAGTTGTGATTAGGTGTTTGTTGGCCTGATGAACAAAGACCGAAAGAGAGTGGGAAAGGAGGTCTGGTGACTTGTAGAAGGAGTGATTCTTGAATGGGAATGAGAATGAGAATGAGGATGAAGACGAAGTGGGAAGTGAGATAGGGTAGGAAGGGCTCTCTGGAGAGGTGTTTAGCAGCAGGTGTGAAGTGGGTAAGAGGTTAAAAGTGGGGAGACAGCTGAGTGGCGGGATGGAAGGACGACTCAGGAGAGGAGGAGGGGCGTGAAAGTAAAAAGTGCCAGCCTATAGCAGTAGTCAAGGGCGTTCCTATGTCGGTCTATTCCACGGAAGGGATGGCTGATCCAACAAAGGAAGGAGGAGGAAGAACGAAGGCGAAGGAGGAGGGAGGATGGGATGGGCAGATGAAGAAGAGAGAGAGAGAGAGAGAAAAGAAGAAAGAGAAAAGAGAAAGAGTGAAAGAAAGAGTGCGAGAGAGGAGGGAGTGAGAGGGGGGAGTAGATTCTGGAGACAACTCAGTTGAATAGAATATGACAAACTAAGCAGAATAAATTAATAATAAAAAGTAATATACAACGAACCCCATCCTGGTTCATATCCGTCAGCCAGCGAATAGGAGAATAGAGAGTTGGACAAGCGAACCCTTGCACTCTATTTCGTGCAGTCATTGCTCGACCATGTGCCCACATGTCTCCCGACAGCTCCTCTTCCTTTTTCAACAGCAACTGAAGAGCACCTACGTCAGGCTATCTCCCCTTTCCATTTCCTACACGAGCGCTGCCACTGCCGCCACTTGGTTACTCCCCTGGTAGACCCCCTCCTTCCCCCATACGGTTCCTGACCGGCAGCATGCAGTGAAGGCTGCAGTGGAGGCATAATGGCAAAAACGCGATATCTATAGAGCAAATTTCAATAAGAAAATTATTCGAGTACATTTCCTCTCATCCATCCTCCGCAAAGCCGATATGATGCCGGTACCATAACCTGGATACTATCTATTTCCCGAAGAAAGGCCTTGCTCTTTATTTTAAGGACACAATTATGTGGGTATCCAGACTTTCATAGAAGCAAGCACCTTCCTAAGCTAGGCTAGGCTAGGCTAGACCATCTAGGAGATTTTTTTTTCAGTGATCGATCGAACGAGGAGTCAATGTCAGACTTGACTTTGCACAGCTACCCTGTCGCGTCTACTTTTGGCTTTCCTATTTTTTGATTACTATTTTTTGTCAGGGGAAGGAAAAGAAAATCCGGTATTAGGTACACGTCTGTTCGATCATCGGTTAGGAAAATTATCCTCTCTTCGATCGCATGGATGCCCCTATGGCAAAAAGGATTGATCTTCGATTGTTTACTGTGTTGCCGTTTCTTTTTCGTTTTTTACATGGATACAATTGGACCGGGGACTAATATCAAAGAAGCGGGGGGGAGAGCATGCTATCTTTACTCCTTCTATAACCTGAATTCTCTAAAAAAAAAAGGGGGGGGGAGGGCACGATTACATTCGACAGCGACCTCCGTTGTTGAGGCCACGAAGAGAAAGAAGAAAAAAAAACGCAGCGGATAGGGTAGATTTGGGAAGCAACTTACACCTGCACCTGTTCCTGATTTCTGTTGTTACTATTTGCTCATGCTCATACGCGTGCTTGGATTCTCAATTTCTAGTCGGCCGGAAGGTCGCCGTTTGCAACAGGCACCTGTCATTGTTGATTTGCTCTCCTTTCATCATTTTTCTCGCTCTGCGCGTGGGTGCTCCTGTTCTCTTGCTGTTTTATTTTTATTTTATTTTGTTGCACGCTAGCTGGCTATCCCTGGACAACGAAGAGGAAGATGGAGATGGGTCAACGCCTGATGGTGATGCGAGCGAATGCCAAGCAAGCGCAGAGGATACGCGATCGTCTATTGGCGAATAGGAACGAGATCAAATGGACTATTGGCCATCATTGACCGGAGGTTTTTTTACCTTGCTCTTTTTTTTATCAGTTGACGTCCTCTGTGTGCAGGCACATTACTCTAAAATATGTTCCGCTGCAGCATCTCTTGTTAACAAAGAAAATTTGCTGCTTTCGTTCTTTACGCCATCATTCAATCGGCGTAAAAAAAATGATTTACAGATCGTAATCTCAAATTCTCCGGCGCCTTCTTTATTTGTCCAAGGAGCGGACACGCGAACTTTTTCTCTTTCTTTTTTTTTTTTTTTTTTGAAAAAGAGTGCACAAAGGGGCGTTTCACTTGGTCCCCATCAATGCGAGATGCGACGACATTACCCATAGTGTACCTCTGGACCATAAAAAAAAAGAACCAGAGATGGTCGGATGAATTATTATTACGGCGCTCAAAATCCGGGAAACACACGCACCGGTTGCCAGACCTGCAAGCCTACCTGCCGGCTATTGCGAGCCCCTTTGGGAGCGATATGTCATTTTCCATGTTTGTATATTCGTACCCTCAGAGCACTAGCGCACGACAAAGAGGCAGACAGGACAGACAACACAAACACAGAGCAAAACAAACAAACCGTTGCATGAATTGAAAATCAGCCTCTCGGAACATTTCCTGAACGATGTTTATTTCTGAATCTCTGTAATTGACGATAATTTTGTTTATTATGCACCAAAGACGACATCCAGTGAGAGGAAGAGGACAAAGAGGGAGCCATGGGTAGTCTAGGGAAGTAGTGCTTGCCAGGTATCCCTGTTTTCTGGATGCTCTCAAGCGCCTGTTATGTATTGTGTGCCGATTGAGGTGGCCACGCCCTCGTCTACTCCCCCTTCGTGTGCTTTGACTATCGCAAAACGCCGTTGTCCATTCACGGTTTAGCAAAAGTTCTCATGGAGGCCCATCCCAAGTCAGCCATTGACAAACCAAACACATACACAACACACATACAACACACACACATAAATAATAGAGAGCACCTCCTTTTAAACCCATGTTAAAGGACTCCAGGAAGTACCGGATGACGACTATTTCCCATGCAATAATGAAATCCCTGAATGGACCGAGAGAACTAAAAACACCGAGGGACGAAAGCGGGTTCCGCATAATCAAAAATGAATAATATTAGTCTAAAATGCGGCGTCTAGTGCGGGGAGGACCCATCGGTACGGTGAATGGTTCCGTATCAATCTCGCCCTCTCTCTCTTTTTTGCCTCTCCGCCTCTTTACCCACCAGGGTACGACACACCACGAGCTTTAAACCCCTAAAAGACAGCTGATTGCGTGCGTGCGTTCGTGCGTTCGTGCGCGCACGTATCTTCACACACCCAGCAACACGGAGCTCTCGTTCCAAACAAAAAGAAAAAGAGCATTATAATTTGTTTCCAAGTCGGCGCGGATCAAAATATTAAGCGAGGAGTGAGGGGCGGGGGAACTCGCATGAACAAATTGACGAACTGGGGATAGCAAGCTTGTCAAAAAAAAAATTGCGCTTCCCTTCGCTCCTCTTAGGGTTGACTCCCTGCAAAATGAAAGAGAGTTTCCTTTGTTTGTGCTCTAATCAAACCTGCTCCATTCCAGGGTCAATAAGCGCAAGCAAGTGAGAGACATGGAAGCTCAGCAAGTATGTACAGTAGACGATTATTACAAGATGCACGTGTGGAATGAACCATGGAGAGAAATCTTAGAAAGTCCTAACCTTACTTCCTCCAGAGGAACATTGCCAAATATATTATATCCACAACGTTGTATATTGACAGGATCGAGGATTTTTTTATGTCCTGGCAGCGCATTGTTTGTTTGTTTTGCTGCGCTTGAAGGACTATTTCCAGGCCTTCCATAGCCCTCTTGCCGCTTTATAGTCTATAATGGATATAAATCCATATGTACACTTTTGTCTGTGTTTCCGTTGCATGTCAGTTCAGTCGCATCTACCATGTCATGCAGGAAATGACATACATGCCATTCTACATCCGTTGAAAAAATAAACCGTCGCCGCTGCAGTACAATCTGCATATGACATGTTTCTTCACCTTCTTCACTCCCCGCTCTCATGTTCTTGCTGCAGCTGAACATCCTCTACACCCGGTTTTTTGTTTGGCCAATTTATATAATCCATTGGACCGCAATGGTCTACAGGAACGGATGTTTGATACTTTGTCAAAAGTACAATAAAAAAAAACATTGCTGCAGCTAACCAGACAACCAGTCGGTTTATTCAGTCGGTCGGCTGGTCGGTCGGTCGATCGGTCAACTATGTTTGCTATATTTGCTGCTGAGAAAGGGAAAGTACTCTTTGTTCCTATTCCGAAAATTGAAAGGGGCTGTAGCATATTCTTCGTCTTTTTTTATAGTCTCGTAATTGCTCGTATTTCACGTCCGACATTCATTACTATATTTCCACTTTCTTTTGGAGCGGAAGCGACTTCAGACTCATGAACACTCTAATTAGTCTCTCTGTCCAGCTGGACGAATCGCACTCTTTTTTTTTGGTTGCTCTTCTTTTTCTTCGATCCTTTCTTTATAACAAACAAACCCCAAAAATTAAGAAGAAGAGTCCCTGGGATCCTGTTTCTTTTGGTCACGCATGCGCGAGCGCTACGGTGTGTAACTTCGTTCCTGAAAATACACACGCACAAGAAATGGGATGCGAGTCTTCCATCCCCTCCTCCTGTCCTGTCTTCTTGGATGCTTTTTCTTGATATAGTCCTCTCTCATTTTCGCTCCTTTTTTCGTCGAAAGTGAGATCGCTAAGGATTCCAGCGATTCTATTGGCTGGAGGGGCATTTTCTGTCAGTACTCTATGTCTAGGCTCGCAGCATTCTGCCCGGTCCAGCGCACCTGCAATCTTAGAAAGCATGGGGTGCAACATGGTGAGAGAGATTGAGGAGCACTGGCGCTGGCGATCCTAGTGATGCTGGGAGCGCTGGCGATGAGGAGGAGGAGGAGGAGGATGGGCAGAATGCTGCGAGCCTAGACATAGAGTACTCTGACTGACAGAAAATGCCCCTCCAGCCAATAGAATCGCTGGAATCCTTAGCGATCTCACTTTCGACGAAAAAAAGGAACGAAAATGAGAGAGGGCTGTGCATGTTTTTGGAGTGTTCTTGACCACGCGAGGGAGTTGCCTGGATCTCGGAACAGGTCAAAATCAAAACCTCTTGGAGTTTCTACAACTGCACATTTTACAATTGCATGTTCGTTAGACATTCCGCAACTGCACATTCTATAGATGCACATCCAATTTTCACCATTTCGGAAAAGACAGTCCTCCAGGCACGTTTTTTCTTCCCCATGCTTGCAGCTCCGCTCACTGTGAGAAAATCGTTCTTTCCGGAATCGATTTCCTTCTTCACTCCTCCACTCCACTCCTTCTCCTCTCCCTCACTCGATCCCCACACAAACACACCACCGCCACCATGTTCAGGTACCGTCTACACCTCCCCTTCCACTCTGCTCTCCCCAACAACACTTCCCTTTCAGCTTTATGCTTCTCGCCACCAGTAGACTTCAGTGATCTCTTTTTGAGGCATCACCTGTGACTCACACAACTTCCGGATCGGATCTTTCTTTTTCTCTCGACAATAGCAAACTCGTCAACTTCTGGGTCAACAAGGCCGTTACCGAGACTGTAAGCATATCTCCCCTCTCTTTCTCTCCTTTGCTCACCAGCCAGTCCAAAGCCCTCTCCCTATCTCTCGCTCTCACAAACATGTTCTTGCCGAGAAACTAATCAAGCCCTTTCCCTTTTCATTTTTTACCCCACAAACGGAAAATAGCTTCTCAGCAGCCCAAAGTTCCATGAATTCGCAGCCAAGACACATCACCATGTTAGCAGCATCTCTCAGAAAGGTACTTTCTATCTTTTGCGAGAGGAGGGGGGGGTTTTTTTTCTTTAAGAGAAAAAAAAGAAAGTTGATTTCGGGTCTTGATGGCAATATCAAGCGCAGTCGCTCATTACCGACTTGATTCCGATTCGGCAGGATGGATTCAGCTAACAAGCCTTTTTTATATTTTTTTATATTTGTTCTTCTCTCTCTCGCCTTTGTTCTATACTGGACACGTAATAGCGACCCCAATGATCTCCGAGAGCACCAACAGGGCTTCGGTCTTTGCCAAGGCCTTCAAGGAGACCATCATCAAGGAGTCTGAGAATCTCGCCAAGAAGAAGTAAAGGAAAGCCAGAGATTTTTTTTGCAAACAAAGTGACGACTCTCTCTGTACAGCAGGAAAAAGAATCGAGCATCAGAAAAAAAAAGACAAAAAAAAAAGTACCAACGACGGGCGGGACACCTCGGATCTCACTGGAGTTACTCTGGTGCTCTTATTTTATTTTATTTCTTTTCTGTGTTTTTTTTTTTACGCTCGCTCGGGAACAGGGATGCACTCTTTCAACCGCACATTCTTTTCCTCTTCATCACCCACATTGTACACCATTGAGTCAGCCAATATCTTCCTTTTGTGCCCTTTCCTTCTTGCATCCTTAGAACGCTTTCTCTTCACTGTAATATAACTTAACATAACCACCAATAAAAACCATCTCCTTTTCAGTCACACAACTCAACAGGATGCTGTCGTACACAGTTTTGAAGGCGGTCTTTTTTTTTTTTTTTTCGAAGATATATTATGGGAGGGTGAGTTAAGTATATATACACTTACAACGCTAGAACTACACGCAAGAAAAGAAAAGGAAAGAGAAGAAAAGGAGGAGCAGGAAATAAAAAAAAGGGACAATACAAAAACATACAAAAAAAAAAAGAAAAGAAATCAGAAATCAGAATAAAAAGCAGGCGGCTCTAGTATATCATTGAAGCAGGCAAAAAACTTGTGCGTCAAATCTAATGCAGGGCGTCTTTGTTGTTTTGGGGGGGGGGTAGTAGCGGTGATGATTTTGCTATTATTGCTTGTAGCAGGAAAAAAAAAAAGGAAAAAAAGTTCACTTATTCACGCCTCCGTCGTTACTTCCTGGGGCTTTGGGGGCGTCGTCATCCAAGGGTGGGCCAGGACATCCTCAATGAACGGCCGCTTGTCAATGTCTCTTGTGAGCATCCAGCGAATAAGGCCAATGGAATCTATTTCACACATCATCACAACATCTGTTTAGTATTCCAGGACCGACAGTCGCGAAGAAGAAAAAAAAAAAAAAGCATGAAAGATCAAATAGGCACAAATTGCGTACCTTCAGACAGAACAAAAGGAACCCGTAGATCTCGGCTGAGGATCTCGTCAATGTTGTAGAACGGATTCTCCTTGTAGATCAACGTGTACAACAGGATACCGAGCGCCCAAATATCCTGCTTCCGGCCCTCATACTTCTTGCCCGTCAACACCTCAGGAGCTGCATAATCGAGCGTCCCACAGAACGTATCAAACTTCCGACCCTCCTTCAAGTACGCGGACGATCCAAAGTCGATCAACTGAATTCTGCCCTTCTGGTCCAGAATCACATTCTCGTCCTTGATGTCCCGATGCACAATCTTGTTCGAATGCAGGTGATAGACTGCATCACAGATTTGTCGAAAGATCGCCCTGATCTCGTCTTCGGTCATGTACGGCGTCAACTCGATATAATCAAACAGATCCATTCCGGATCCATGGAGCGCCATCTCCACGTAATAGTACTCCTCGTCCTCGAAAAAGTCCATCATCAGCACAATGTTTGGATGCGGCAGCTTCCGTAACGTGTGCATAATCGACACCTCCATCGGGATCATACCCAGAACCCGGTCATTCGTCCAGCAGTCGACGAGGATCCGGCTCTTGACAATGTACTTCATCACTACCTTGGTTGATCCTTTCTTGAGGCAACACAACTTGACCTGACCATACGCTCCCTGGCCCAACGAATCAAGAATATCATAGTCCGCAATACTGTGCAGGTGTGTAACAGCCGAATACTGAGCCTTCATAATGTCGATCGAGACACGCGACGAAGGTGTTGATGGTGCTGGTGAGCCAGGTGATCCACACGAAGATGGCGATGAGGTAGAGTCGGATGAGAATTGCCGACTGAGGGCCGTCTTCACACTCGGAAGCTGGCTTGACTTGGGTGTCTTTGGTGATAAGTGTCCATTGCTGGCTTGGTAGCTGTTCGCGTCGTTTGTGTCCGGTACTACTTGCTCGCTGCTTGCGTCCGAGGTCCCGGTTGGTTGGACGTCCTCCATGGCTGAAGAGATCGATTTCATCGGCGCCACTGCTGCAGGTTTTCGGTTGGGCTCCCGCGTAAAGCTGATCTCGCGATCGTAGGTGATCCATACTGCGAACATGCGTCCTTGTGGAGATTCAATCATGCGTATCTGGATGTCGACATCGAGCGGTGTCCCATCCCGATGAAGCGCAACGATCCCAGAGTTTGAAACGAACGTAATGTTGGGCTTCTTCAGCATGGTCGACATGCCAAAGTTGCGCTTGAAGGCTGATGACTGCTTGGTGATGTTGGATGGTCCGGATGTCCCGACCGAGTTGGCGTCCTGTGCCTTTGGCTGAACAAAAAAGTCGGGTGACAAGATTGAGGGCTTGCTGACCTCGGCTGCCGTCCTTCGAATGATGGTTGCAGTAACAACGGCGCCCTCGCTCAGATGAATGTAGTCACCGTCCTGTGGTGCATCGGTCTTTTCCAGTAGCTTTTCCAAGATTGGTTGAAATTGAGGAACCAGGTCGTTGATTGACCGCTTCTCATTTAGCTCTGTTGCAGGGTATCCAAAGAGGAACTTTGTAAAGACGGTGTTGGCGCTTTGAATCATCCCCGAGTCGTGGACGGTGATCACGCCAGCAATGGCTGGCATAGAGATGATGCGCAACAGGTAGCCATCCATGGAATCCTGATCTAGATTGAACGGATTTGCCTCGGGATCAATATGCTCGGATGGATTTAAAATCTTGCAGACGATTGGGAACGTGCTTCCGTTTTTGGTCCTTGATCCGAAAAACTTTATGCCGTTGATCTGGTGGACATCCAATGTCGCGAATGATGTTTCTGGATCCACGGACTGCAGCTTTTCCAGGGCTGGGATCAGCATTGTGATGGATCGGCCCAGGAGCTCCATGTAGTCGTAGCCGTAAAGGTCAAAGATAGCGCCTTCGATATTCAGAATCTCTCCCTTCAAAATGAACACGAAAAATCAGAGATGACAGAGTGATGTCAGCAAGAGAGGTAGAGAAACATCTTATAAACGACAATTACAGGCCTATGCGCTGGCGCAAAAAGAAAAAAAAGAAAAGAAATAGAAAAAAAAACCTACTGAACTCGAAATGACCGCAGAGACAACGGATTCAGAGATCTCCTCAAAGACCCAGATGTAGACCAGCTTCCCGGAGGCATCCTTTCTTTGCTTGAGCCATACAGACGCAGCGGCAGAGTGCGAGTTTCGCTTCTGGATACGGACCTATGCGGGCAAGAAACGGCGCAACGGAAGCGGAATCCAGGAGAACAGTTAGTCATCTTTAAAGGAGTCATTCATGTCCATCTCGCCGCTCCTGCCATAGCGCTCTTGGCCATGTGCCTGCACCAACGCAGCAAGCACGCAACCCTGTAGTGCATCATCTGACATCTGGGTGTACAAACGTTAAATGCGACACGAATCTCGGGGGGCTACACAGCTCAAAAATAAAAAGATCTCCACCCATGTTGCATATGCTCTCATATTCATGCCGCCATTCCTGGCGACCAAGGAAACCATCGACAACTCCAAGGGACCGGAGAAAGAAAGAAAGAAAGAAAGAAAGAAAGAAAACACAAGACAGGCTGGATTGAGGCAATGCATCATTTCGATACGATAGAAATCCAATGACTTTTATCGATCAAAGAAGCATCGCAGGGTTCTCTCCCTGTCCAGGGTCCCCCCTCCCTCAAACCCCCGGGAAGAAAAACCACAGAAACCGCAAACTGTGGTCAATTGATTGGGGAACATGCGATGCATCTTCCACGAGAAAGAAGAGCGAGGGGAGAAGGGAGCGGAAAAAAAAAATAACAACACTAACGACAGAGAATCAGAGATAACAAACAAAAATCGAGAAATGCAGCGTACGCGAACGGGAAAAGGGAGATAGAGTGCATTGTTGGGTTGTGATCCAGAGATACGTGCGTCCGTGTGTCAAGCGCGTTCGTTGGGTTCGACCTACCACTTTGCCACAGAGTAGCACATGCTCATCCTTACTCTCGTGCGACCCCTCCTGTAACTGCTGATGAAGAAGAGCCTCCAACTTTTCCTTGTATGGACTCGCGACCAGATCGAGGATCGTCATCGTCGAGAGCTCACTTCCATGATATCCAAACACGAGCGAGGACACATCGTTGGCCATGACTATGCTCCAATTCTCGTCCGTCGTGATCATGGCCTGGTTCTGGGGCACAAATCGAGTGGGCGAGTGCAGTGAACCGTAGTTGCCCGCTGTGGAAATCGTTGCGATTGACAGAGGCCGGTTCGGACGTTCCTTGATCTGCTTGAGATCAGACCTTGGCGCAAAGGAGGGTACGTCCGTCATGGTCCGTTTGAACTTTGGTTTCTGACTGTCGATGGTGCGACCTGCAAAGGCCGAGGCGGCAGACGATGAGTTCGCTGGGGTGGGATAGGCGCCGATGGAGAAGTTGTCGATCGGGGTTGTCGGGGCGGATACAGGAAAGACATTGGAGATGGGGACCTGCCATCCCTTGAACTTTTGCTTCATAAAGTCGATGGATCGGTAAAAGATGCTCCGCCTGCCCTCGACAAAGGCTTTGTCGTGTGTGCCGGTGGTGAAGGAGTACGAGTGCAGGGACTCGTTTGAGAATTTAGCGAGCTCGTCCGTGGTACTTGCTAGGATATCTGTTGGGCGGGGCGGCGGTGGGCCGTCTTGGGGACGGGGAGGGGATCCACGCAACGACTCATGGGAGGGATGTGGCGATGGCGTTGCGGTGGAGGCGAGCGGCATAGGACGGATGCGGAACAGGCCAGAGTAAGGGATCGGGTCCTCAAGAACGGATGCTTCGGCGGTCTGATGAGAAGAAAGGGAGAAGGATGTGCTGTTGTCGAAGAGAGAAGAGAGATGGAGAGATGGAGCGAGATGGGGCGAGAGATGGGGCGAGAGATGGAGCGAGATGAAGAGATGGAGCAGTATATTAGCGAGGCGGTAAGGCGAGTATGCTGCGAAGAGAGGAGAGCAGGAGGCAGCTGGAGCAGAGGGGAGAGAAGGAGAATCCGGGCGAGAAGAGGAAGAGGAAGAAGAAGGATGGAGAAGAAGGCGGAGGCGGAGGAGGAGTGGGATGATGTCGATGGAAGGAGGAGGAGGTTGATGGGAGGAGTTTTTTTTTTTTCAGTCGGTGGTGGTCCAATTGATTATTGTTATTCAGTGGATGACTCTTCTCTTATTTTTTTTAGGCAGCAGCTGCTGTGTGTGACTGACTGACTTGAGCAGCCAGCCAGCTAGACAGTTAGACATACAGACACTTAGAGAGGGAGGGGGGGAGGTCCACGACTGAAAAACAGAAACCAGGGCACATGGAATGCTCCATACACGTTACCTAGACTCCATCCTGAGGGTGTTTCGCACGAGCGAGGGTTAAGACGAACGAGAAAAAAAAAAAAAAAAAAAAAAGGTAGGGTTTTTTTTTCCTTTGAAGCGTAAAAATAGGAAAATAGGAATTATAAACGAGACTTGCGACAAAGGGCAAGGGCAGAACAGGGCAACTGAAGGGGGGGGGGAAGATAGTTAGAGAGCAATACCTGTCATCCACCGCCCATGCACACTTTGGCAGCAACTACAGACAGACAGACAGACAGACAGACAGACAGACAGACAGACAGACAGACAGAGCAGAGCAGAAACCGATCCAAGCAAACAAAGCAGCAGAAGCAATTGAAGAACGTGCAATAAAAAAAAATAAAAAAAAAAAACAGGGTATCACGGACAGGGTGCTTGCAGATAGAGAGACAAGGACGATGTACAGCAAAAATGAAGACGCGGGCTGGAACGGAAAAGGAATGAAAGAAAGAAAAAAGAAAGAATAAATGGATGGAGGGTGGGCTGGTGGGCTGGGAATCAAACAAAAGGGAATAAGAGTGGATGAGAGAGAGAGAATGAGTGAGAGTGAGAGAGGAGGAAGAGGGGGAGGAGGAGGGAGGGGGAGGGGCGGATGGAATGGAATCTGCAGCTCCACCCCACTCCATCTCCTCCACTGCTGACCCCTCTACGTCTATCATATGCCATGCACATATTACATACATAGTCCACAGTCAGAAAACAGACATCCGTGTCCGTGTCCGTGTCCGTGTCCGTGTCCGCGACAGAACATATGACAGCCTGAGAGCACGACCCCTCTCTCGACGCGTGCTTTTCCCTCTTCTTTCTTCTTTCTTCTTTCTTTCTTTCTTCAGTCCATCCGCAAACAGCCCTTTTTCAGCAATTAGAGCCGGCCTTTGGACGGAAATAGCAAGCTGTTCGCCGAATAAACCTTTCCGTCCAGTCCATTCCTCAATGTTCTTGATTGCCATATGTCATCCAACAACTTCTGTCTCCTCCTGTAGAAAACACATATCCGGCCCATGCGTGCTCAGTGTGTGTAATGTCCAATGCGTGGTGTTGAAAGTGTAGTATCCAGAGTGTATATAGGTGGCCGCGCCCATGTCCTCCATCCTAGCCATCTCCATCAACCATAAATCTGCACTCCTCCAGGTATACTCCCGAACATTACAAAAAAGCAGCTAGTTCATCTTGTTTCTGACGACCAGAGAAGCACTGGCAACATTTGAAGATGCTTTAATAATGGTTGTAAAAATATCCCGTGTTTTTTTTTTACTTCTTCTTGTTAGCCTCCTCCTCCTCCTTGGCCTTGCGACGGGCCTCACGGATACCGTGAAGACGAGCGACCGAGCGGGCCTTGCGGTGCTGCTCATAGGCAGACTGGCTCTTCTCCTGCTCAGTGATCTTGCGAGCCTTATCCTTGCCCCAGACCTGGGTAACAGGGAACAGAGAACCAGACAGCTGGATCGCGTCACCCAACTCAGTGACCTCAGCATCGCCCTTCTTGACCTTGCCGGCCTTGCGGGGGAAGACGATCAACTTGGCCTTGTAGGCCTTCAGGCGCTGAACGTTCAACTGGAGAGACTCCTCCGACTTGTTGCGGCGGCGGGGGTCAACAGAGACACCGATCGAGAGGGCCTCCTTGCGGCGGATACCGGCAGCCTACAATACATTAAAATAAAAATGGGCCATGTATCCAGAACCGTTAGATACTCTGTCCTCTTAATTCTGCTGTCGTCCATCTTCTTATCAGACGCTATAGGTCGGCGCCAATCGTTTGCTGTATGTGTCAAGAGGCTCGATTCATCGTAGATTCCCAGTGTATGTCACAGCGTGGTGCTAGTGTGGATACGATCCTGTATATACATATTCTTTCCTGTCAAAGGACCATCGGCATTCATCCTGCAACCAAGATCCTTGTCATCTACTCCACGACCAAAGTTCTCTCCAAATGCTTCTTTTTTTTTTTTGCTTTGCCAAAATGATCTGCCTTGGAGACAATCCGTACCTTGAGCTCCTCAAGGGTGAAGCCACGACCAGCACGGAGCTTGGTGTTGTACTTGATGGTGGGGCAGCGAACAGCAGGGCGGATCAAGCCATCAACGGGGCGAGGAGCAATGCGTGCAGCCTTCTGGACACGCGCAATGCGTCTGGACTTCTTGCGACCAGCCTGGTCCAACCAGGTCTTGACGCGGGACTGCCAGTCCTTGCGGAAGTGCTGTAGACAAAAAAGAATACCTGGTAAGTCTCTAAAGACAATGTTCGTTGCCCTCCACCCTGTTATTCAAAACGATGAGCCTACAGTCGATTTGCTACAAGAGAGCAAGGAAGCAGTACCATGTCACTTTATCCACAACGCAGGTTGGTCAACGACCAATGCTTGTATTGAAGGGGAAAAAAAAAACATGTGCTCTTCCTTGCTCCTGCTTGTCACAATCAATGTCCTCCTCTCCCACCATCTCAGATGCTGATACATACGTTTCCGGGCAATTGGTTGTTGTGCTTCATGGTCTGTTGTCATCCGTTGAAAATGTCCAGTCAATAGATGTCCGTATCAGCGTAAACCAAACGGCCAACGTTGCAAGTCGAAAGTCGAGCGTCCAGATTGAAAGCAGTGTTGTAAAGTCCGTTATAATTGTGGGGAGGAAATAGTGGGAAAAAAGAAGAGTAGGAAAAGAACCGTGGTCAGTTTAGGTCAAAGCGATCGGATCGGATCTGATTTCTGTACGCCTCTGATGCTCCAGACTCCTGCTTTTGATGCATGGCGCCCCTTCGCTCCAGATGTTGGGTTCGATCCTGCTGTTCAAGACTTCACTGTCTCCTCCAAAAAAAAAAAAGTTCGAATCCTTTAGCGCCTTTGCATGCGGCTGTATGTAAAGTTGGTGGCGATCAGGTTGGTTGGTGGAGGGCTGTTCTCAGTGAACTGATCCGCACTGTAGCCGAAACTGTAAAAGCTCCACTGATGCCGAACTGCTCCCTCATCCTGAAGCCGAAACAAAATGGTAGTGAGTCCTCGTGCGACGTACGATTCAGCCGCTGCATCCAGACTTGCTTCACCATGAAAGTTTCGTTGCATGTCTGGTTACCCTAGATGACGAAGGGTGGATGCGTGTGCGTGTCGATCCATATTTTTTCCAGAAACTGAAAGGATAGCACATTCGATCATGACGGGCGCTGGTATGTGCATCCTGAGCCCCGATAGATTGATGGATGCATTTGATGATGTATGGCGATGGATCCGAATACTCTCTCGTCTCCCACTGCACATTGACGCTACCGAGTATAATAAAGCTGAAAGGGATTTTCCACATTTTGCAGTCCCCGCCTACTTCAACGCTTTTTCGGCGCCATGCGAGACTGAAACCCCTTAACTTTGTGCTTTGGCATGCGATATCTCGCAAAGTACTATTGCAATATGCATTCATTCCCAAACGTACCACTACCCGCTCTAGCTTTTTGGCTAAGATCAAGTGTAGTATCTGTTCCCAAACGTACCACTGAGTTTACCGCTTGACATATGTGCTTTATATTGTCAACTGTTTTCTTTTTTTTGTAATTTTTACATTGTTGGAGGCATTAAATATGTACGAAGAATCCGCGACTGAAAGAATAGTAGTGGAATAGTAGTGGTAGTGGTGGTGGTATCATTTTTCATAACGTTAAAAGTATAGGTCTCGAAGAAAAGAAAAAAAAAAAAAAGGTCATCCGTTTCCAAGTGAGGAAAAGTAAGGGCAATCCGTATTCAGAGGATATATAAAAAAGGGTGCTTAGTACAAGCGTGCGGTTTCTCTGGTCGATGTGATGGGGTTGTGGGAGGGTTGACGACCACTCAATTGGGCTGGCTTGGAGTGGTACTGGTGGAGGCCATGGGCCTCGTTCGTGACACCGTCACCGATGGCAGCCGGCACAGGAGGGCTCTTGAGCATCGGCTGTGGTTTGGATCCAGTAATGCCGGTCAGTCGGTTGGGAAGGAAGAATGTGCAGTAGCCCAGCATAGCCACCAGGATGTTGATGGGCAAGAACAGGAGACTGGATCGATGCTGCTCCTCCGTAATGCGGTATGCCAGGACGGTGTCATACTCGCGCAGTTTTTCGTCGATGGTGGCAAAACGCTCCTCTGTGTATGATCTCAACAGGGTCTCCTTCTTGTCGTGACGCTTGATCTGCTTGGTGAGTTGATGGAGCGTAGGCTCGACACTGTCCTGCACCTGAAGCACATCTCTCTTGGTTGCGAATGCACGGCGAAGCTGGCTCATCTCAGCCTCGATCGACGCGACTTTTCGCCTGAGTAGCTCAACCTCAGCATCAGGATAATGGACTTGCTCCTGCAGGTGCAGTGCGCGCGCCTTCAACAGGCTGATAAGATGGGTCAGGGGTCGGATGCCTGAAGCAATGATAAAGAGCTCGATGTTGAGGGCCGAGAGATAGTCTTCATAAGACGAGAAGAAGGTCTTCAGGTACTGCAGCGTGTATCCTCCGATGAAGGGAGAGGCAAGGACCAGCAAAAGCGTAAAGAATTCCTGGCGCCGAAGACTTGCGGCGGCAGTTTGGCGTCTCAGCTCGAGAACAGGATCCACAGGCGCATTGGCACTGACAGACGTCAACAGGATTCTGCGTGTCCGGGCGGCATAATACAGATCCCAGGGCACTTTAAATGACAAAGAGAAGAAAAAAACGGATGAGCAAATTGTTCTTTGCATAATTACCACTTCGCATGATAGAACGCGCACATGCAAACTGCACGCGGGAAACAAAGCGGGGCCGCCATTAAGTGGCGAAATACAAACAAACAAACCCAACGAGCGATACATTACTAGGATATGCATACAGGGAGCATAAAAGATCATGTATAAACACCACGCCCTCTGCCCCTCCTTTTTTTTTCTTTTTTTCCCTCTAGCAGCATAATGTCAATGCTTTCTCTCCTTTCATATATCGGCCATGGGTAGTGCAAGAAAGAGTTGAGCCAAGTAGATTAAAAACAGAAAAAGAAATGCTGCTGATGGCGGCCCAAACGCCCACTATCCAAAGGTTGATGCCCCATGATAACAAACAAAAACAAAAAACAAAACAAAAAAATCCAATCATGAGAATGAAGAACCAATCTTACCTTTGATGATATTGTAGAGGAAAAAGGCGATCAACAGAAGCGTGAGGATGTCGCTAAAGATGTCCGACTTGCCAAAGACAAGCGCCCCCAATGGTGGGATCACTGCAAACAAAATGGGCCAGCTGTGGGCACCACTTGAGTAGTCCGTGGAGTCGTGTGCTCCTGACCGCAACCTGTCTGATGAAGCTGAAGCAGCTCGACCCGGGGCCAACGACGCGCTCGAGCCATTGTTAGAGTGACTGGCATAGCCGCCCGCTCCGGTTCCATTCTTGCCAGTCTTGCTGTTGTTGCTGTTGGCAGCGCCATTCTGAGTGTTCTTATGGCTCGATGTCTGACCATTTTCAGAAGAGACGGAGGAGAGAGACGAGGAGCGGCCACCGCTGGTTGGGCGACTGTTCTCGAGCTCTAGATGGTTGCCGGTGCTGTTCCCGTGCTTGGCGCTGCTGCTGTTGGAGCGGCCGTAATGCATTGCCTTCTGAGAGTTGTACATGGTCGTCTCAGGGTCGGAGGCGAGAGGTATGGTTGAGGAGGCAGTGGTTGTGGTGGTAGAGATAGTTGTGGTGGTAGTTTCCTGGCGGACCTTTTCAGGAGCCGAGTGGTGTTCAGAACGATGGTGTTGCGGGTAGGTCATGGAAATGCGGTTATGTATGAATGAGCAAAAAACGTTACTGCTGTATTGGAGTATAGAACAGAGAAGGTGCGAGGCGTTTGGTTGGTGGGTTAGTTGGGGCGTCAAATCAAATCGAAATAAGTGAGAAACAGAGCGAGTGCGGTGCAAAGGAAGTAGGCGAAAATGACGGGACAAGGATAACAAGGATAGTGTGTGAGTATGGATGCGCGAATGTGCGAACAAGCTTAAAAAGAGGGGAAGGCAGAGGATAGGAAAGCTGGGGGGAGGGGGGGGAGGAAAAAGGAAAAAAGGAAAAAAGGAAAAAATGAGAGGACGGAATTGCATGAAAAGAGGAAAAGGCGGTTGGATTGATACGATGCCCTGCTCTGCCTTGCTACCCGCGCGGATAGACTAAACTAGATGGCCCAGATATGGCATCAAGGCTGAATAGTTTGGATATTACATTTGTTGCTGCGTGAATATTGCGAGTGTCTTTGACCAACAAGTGGGCTGGTCTGTGTGCCATCCTCTCCTCTTCTGTCTGGGCTCCCAGGAAAAGTCGGAAGGGATGAGATAGAAGACTGCCACCCGAGGGACCACTGGCTTATTTGATGTTGTGAGGAAGCACATTTGTGAATGAGGGAATGGGAGCGATAGGCAGTACAGAGGGAACGAACATGTGGATGGTGAGAGGCTAGCTCAGTCTTAGCACGACGCTTCTTCTGCTACAAGCAGGAAAAATAAAATAAAGGAAGGATAGCAGCACGAGGGAAATGATGGGTGAGGTGGGAGATAGATTCTCATTCATGTATCCGTATCGTATGGCATTCATCGTACACGCCAAAAAGCAACTGGGTGTATGCACCAACAACGGTAGAAAAGCAGCAGAATGATAAACAAGAAAAACGTTGGGTTGTACGACCCATACCGTGGTGGACTATCCCACGCATGAATCGTAGAAACTGTGGTTTGAATAGAAGACATGTCCTCGCGTCGTCCTGTCTTTACATCGTGGTATGAAGAAGGCAGCAATGTCAAGAAGACTTACCAACGCTATGGATAGCAGGAAAGGATACTAGAGAGGATATTAGAAAGGACGAAAGGGATATAAAGTAGGATGCGTAGAATATGATATGGTGGATGAGAAAGAAGAGAAAAGGTTGCGAAAAATGGCGTGGGGTGAAGGGGACATGCGCGCTATTTAAATAGTCTAGGAGAACGACCTATTCACTGTGTGCAATGATGCCGTGGAGCAAGTGGATGCAACACCCATGCACAATAAGCGCATGTCCTCCCACCACGACCATCGATTACATCGGGATGGGAAGAAGATACAGCAAAAGATACAAATGTCGTTGGTTGATGCAGAGACGCATGGCTAGCAAGGCGTGCGTGGGCGCCTGGGCCAAGCTGGCACATGGCATGGTCAAAGTGCTGCTTTTCACAAGGCAATCGTGCATGCATGAAGAATCCCGTTTTCTTGGTTTTGGGGAACGTTACTCTGAAAGAAACAATAAAAATGCGTTCAAACGCGTCCCACAGCGAGACCACCCTACGCATATACACAGACAGGCACAGACACTCAGATATTCAAATGCACATGCATCCTCTTCCAGCGACGATAACGCTGTCCAATGCATTGGGGCGACATGCAACTCTGTCCCTCTGTCCGTTTATCTGTAGTCGGATGACATTCCTTCGTATACATCATTTCCAAGCGCGTATAATGCAACAAAACATCTAGCATACATTGCAACAATGGACGGAGCATATGCGCGTGAAATTGTGGCTGAAATGGTGAGTACAGATCTGTCATAAAGGACCCCTTGGCCGACCACGTAAAGTTTGTGTTCTCTTGCACAAAGAAACAAACATCTAGACTATATAATAGCATTGACCGATCGCGGACAATGCTCGATGGTGTCTCTTTCACCCTCAGGTCCGGAATGCAATAAAATCTGTTGTTTGCATTCCATATGTAGAGCACCTTTCGGAGTGGCGGGCCAAAAAAGCACCACCGTCTCTTGTCTCGTGCACTTCCACACCTCGATCAGCATCAACAACACCAGCATCAGCGCGTGGTGTAATTTCCACAGATACGAATTCATTATGATCTAGCGAATTTAGTTCTCTCCGTCGGCCATGATAAATTACGGCGCTGTTTACTCATGAATGCAATCAAGGCAGGGACCGCGGCGAAGGTGAACCAAAGAGGCAGCAGTCAATTGCAACAATGTGGTTGTCGCGCTAATAGACTAATTGCCGGCGGATGACCCTGGATCGATTGTCACAAGCCAGCAATATACGACGCGCTATTCAACGATTTCAAATTCATTAGCGCCCCGCATGTGCAAGCACGGAAGTTCAGGGACAGGGCACAAAACAAACAAATAAACAGACAAAACAACGTGCCCCGGTTGATTATCTGGCAGACGAGAGAGCGCACTGTTGCCCTTCTTTCCATGTGAGCACACGGGCAATGATGGCTAAGGGCTGTTGTAGTACAGCGCTACGAAGATAAGCTTCGGCCAGGAGTATCTTCCTCCTCCTCTTCCTCTTGTTTTTGTTATGTTTTTCAACCTCTCCGACAATTAAGTCGAAACAAGAAGCCCATCTTTGCTCGTGGGCCTTACTCTTTGAGGGTAAAGTCCGGAAGGAGGAGCAGTGATTCCCACTCTCACCACTTTTTTTTTATATTTTTGACAGGTGTTCAAGTTGACCTCATGGCATGTCTGTTCACTTTAAACGTTGCACAGGCGCACGTCTGAACCTGCATAACTTCGAACCTCGTACCCCAAAACTCTATTATTGCAGCGCCCCAGACAATCAACTGTCTTCTAAACACGCAGACGTTGCAGGGAAACGAGCTCTGTGCCGTTATTCTTAGGCTGGAGTAATGCTGCAGCAGTGTCAACGTGGTACTTTGATTACCAGAAGTATACATATCGGTGACCAATAGAGCGTACTCCTGGAGTCTGTACAAGTGCAGCATGCTAGCGAAGAAATTGCAGGATAGTGCCCCTGCTATGCATGTTTCCATGAGAAGTATCTTATTGCATGCTTGAGTAGTGTTTCCCGAGATGAGTAGTTTAGGCAGCACGTGTGGATGAGGACATCAATCTTCAGTAATGTCGGGTAGTTCTCCAAGTCGAGCAGGCCTACGGTGCCTACAGTTGGCTTGATGCGCCTCCTCTTCCTCATGCACACCTGGAAGCATTCACAACTCCTGATCCTCTAGATAGAACATATCACGTGTGGCCTACCGTGCTTTTCCATGAGCCATATGAATCATGGACCGTAAGGCTAGAGGTCATCCAGCTCTCTTTCCCATCAACCCACGAGTCCAGCAACATGCAAGCAGCACCTATTCGTCTGACTTCCTCGAGACCTCCCGCTGTGCACTATAGTACACTGCGTCTTACTCCTGAGGATCATTTGGATGTTCATTGGCACCTGTGACCTTCCCATGGGCCAGGTGGAAGACATAACCGACGATGACAGAGTTGGTGCGACAGATGTTTGGAGGCTTAAATTGGGTGATCCAGGCACACACGTTCCTCAAACAAGTTGTGTAAGCATGCATCTAGGAGAAAAAAAAAGCAAGGACCTGCTATGTTGTATGGGCGTACACGAATACACAGGAGGAACACAAGAGCATCAAAGGAGCGGCTTCTTGCATTGTATTTATCCCCGTCCATGGCTTGCTCAGGTATTTCAAGGCTGGCGGGAAACCTTCCACATGCCATGCTGCTGACCTTTTGCATAGGTCATAGACTACCAGCTGGACCGACCATAAAAAAATTACCTCCGCATGTCTGCCACCTATCCCTTTGTCAAAAGGAGGTGGAGAAGGATCGATCTGGTGGTTCGCACTAGATCCTCAGTAATTCCTGTGCACTACACTTTATATTATACAAATTGAGTACTGCAACTAACAATCTGATTGCTGTGTATGTAACCACTGAGAGTGCATGGTTGGACACTCAGGGTTTGACGCGTTCTGATTTGCTATTTCAAGGCGTTCATCCAAATACGTGGTGACAAACGACAACGGGTATAACCTTTGCTTGCCATGTCACTAAAGACCACGCCGCCCGTATTCGCACCCATGATTGTCGTCCGGGCAGAAATTATGCACTCACCTCAGGCCCTCATGGTCCAGCACCCCTTCCCCCCACCCGACCATGTAAGCCCGCCTTTCTTTACGCTGTATGACTAGGAGACAGAAGAGCGCGGGTGTGAGCGCGCGTGCCCTCTTCGAGGCTACCGCTGCTCTCTGCCTCTTTTTTTTTCCCCTGGAGGACTGTACCAAAGGCCTTTTTGTTGTTGTATCGTATCACAAGACGGGGTCATCACCCCTTTTCTTTTCTGTTTTTACTTTGCGCGCCATTTTCTTTTATTCTTTGTATACGTATTGTTCATGCTACAGCACGGAGACCTTCCACCACCCATGCTGCATGCTTCTCCCTATGCCCAGCCTACATGTACAAACAGAGTAGATCCATAGGCCGATGTTTACATAGCTACTTGGGGGCAAAGGAACGGGAAACACCAATGGGACGCACAAAAAAACACGGTGTGCGTCTGTATGCCCGTGTCCGCGAAGAGCACCCACGACCACCCTCTACCATAAATACGTCCCCTCCCTGGCCCTTCCGTCCCTCTTCTTTCTTCTCCTCCCCCTTCCCCTTCTGCTCCTTCCTCCCCTCCTCATCGTCCCCTCCTCATCATCCCCTCCTTCGCGCATCCATCGTCCATCATCCACAGTAAATACTGCCACACTGCTGTATTCCCAACTGTGACTAAAAAGCCCTTTTACGACGAAGCCAAGCCCTCGCTTTTCCATCTCTTTCCAACCTCGCAGAAACGCATTTGTCCTTCTCTGTGACCACGTCCCCTTACCTTCACAGCTCCCGGCCTCACACCTGCCATCACGCCCCCTTTCACGACCTTTGACGTGCGTGTCTGCTTGAATCTGGTCAACACCTCAAAGCACAACACTATTTTATTTGCAACGAGTCCCTACAAACACTTCAATCACCCTCTCAACCCGTCTTCCTTCCGCTACCAGTAGTAACAGAAAATAACCAAACCCAGAGGTACGCCATGCTTTGTCTATTTTTTTACTTTTATGTCTCCTGTAAAGGAGGGAGGATATATGCCAGGGGTAGATCGACTAACAACTTTCTTATTTGTCTCAGCTGATACACACTCGCGTTGAAACCTCAATATGGCACTTGTATCCGGAAACACTGCATCGGACCTCGGCAGCATGGCCGCCAAGAACCGCATCTCGTTCCGCGAGGACCTGAACGATACGCGCCACTGCGACGATGGTTTTAGCGATGACGATTTTAGTAGCGACGATGAAGACGAAGACGAGACCTCGCCTAGAAAGGATCCCGAGACTGCGGAGATTGCCAATATGGAGCGACGGGCACTCAAGTACCGGAAATCATTGACGATGCTGAACCAGCTGGCGGGACTGCAGCTAACAGATACCGACGGGGCAGCCACCAACGGAGTCAAGCAGCCAACCAAGGAACATCTACTGGCGGCCAAAAAGAGCATTGATGACTTGACAGCGTGGGTAAGCAGAGCACGCGTATTATCTCAATCTGCAAAGCGAAGGGGATGAGCGTTTTCGACTAATGATTGTGCCTTGGTGCTGTGCTGATGTGCCTCTAGGTGAATGCTTCTGCGCTGGAGAGCGACGACGATCCATTTGGCGGCGACGACGACTAGAGAGACCGAGAGCGAAGTAGCAAGCCAGACACAGGGGTCCCAGCTATATCATATACCCTTTTCATGGAGCCGACGAGCGTTTTTCGTCCGATGCCGGCGATGCCGGACACGCAAAGAGAACATGCGAACGAAAGAAAAAAAAAAAATACCCTCCGGTTACCGGATGACCGGGGATCCACATTTACCCAATACCTTAAACTTATTCCCATAAGCCTGCCTCTCCTTTTGTTTTCACACACCAACTGCATTGGCCAGTCTGCAGCAGCTCGTAACGATCTGCTCAAAAGGCGTTCAGCGCCACTAATCTTAGAACTAAAAAGAATCAAATCAAATGGGTTAAGTACACCTTCTAAAAATAATAAAGCTGGCCAAAATATTCAAATAGGAGACCCAATGGAACCTGAATCCGTTCCTGATCGCAACCTTCACTCCACTCCACTCCATCTCACTCCGACTCCCCTCGCTCATCATCTAATCAGCTGCCCACCATGGTCTTTGCTCTTGCTCGTGCTGCTACCACCCGTGCCTCCCACTGGAGCGTCAAGGTAACGCAGCTACTCTTACCACAGTCTCATTGCCTTTATTCACTTCTTGTCCAGTTCGCTGATCTGAGCTGATCTGGACTCGAATGAGCTTGTTCTAATGCACACTTGGTTCATCTCTAGTCCTTCCGCTCCTCAAGCGCCAACATGGTACGCATCTTCCAGAGTCCAGAGCGACGTTTAAAGAATCGGAATGGAATCACTGAGTGGAGCCAGGTCTGACCAAACAACACATGGTATTATTTCCTGATCATTTTTATAGCACGGCATCAAGCGTGTTGGTGTCCTCGGTGCTGGACAGATGGTAGGGACTACGACCTTGATTTTTGTTCCTGTCAATTGGAATTATGAAGTGCACAGAATGTTGACGCAACGAGAGGGCTTCACTTTTTCTTGTTTTTGTTTTTTTTTTTTTTTTTTTTTTCTCCCACGATATACCATAGGGTTTGGGAATTGCCTTGGTCACTGCCAATGTCTCCAAGTTGCCAGTTTTGTTGCTGGACTTGAATGAGAGTCAACTCAACAAGGGTCTCAAGTTCATGGGTATGTCAGTGCTCCTCAAAAATAACCCGTGGGCCGTTTACGACCCTAATTATTCCTTGTGCCAGGCACATTAAACTAGCACCGTTCCGGAGCGTGGGAAATTTTGGGGGAGGGAGAGGGGGGAGAAAGAATGAAATTAATTATCTGAATGCCCTTTCAACGGTCAGTATGTACCCGTCTAACCTTACATCTCCTCTGTCTTGCTTTGACAATAGATTCGCTGCTCAAGAAGGATATTGCCAAGGGTCGTTTGACTGAGGAGCAGGCGGAGGAGACCCGCTCTAGGGTCAAGACTACTCAGAGCATGGCTGATTTCTCCGATGTCGACTTTGTGATCGAGGCCGTCTCCGAGAACCCTGCGCTGAAGGCCAAGCTGTTCAGCGACCTGGCCCAGGCCACACCCAAGCATGCCATCCTCTCGACCAACACCTCGAGCATCAGCATCACCAAGATTGCTGCTGCGGCCAAGGGACGTGAGGAGCAGGTGATCGGTATGCACTTCATGAACCCCGTCCCCGTCATGAAGTTGGTCGAGATCATTCCGGGTCTCGCTACCTCGGATGCAGTCCTCAAGACCACCAAGGATCTTGCGGTCGCCATGGGCAAGACCTGCACTGTCAGTCAAGATGTCCCTGGATTCGTTGCTAACCGCTTGTTGATGCCCTACATCAACGAGGCCATCATCGCCTACGAGACCGTAAGTAACTGCGTTGCTCTCTCTTTATTATCGTATACCATTCCGAGGAGACAGAGAATGCTAACATGGCGTGTTTTATCAATATCAGGGCATCGCTTCTAAGGAGGATATCGACACCACCATGAAGTTGGGCACCAACATGCCCATGGGTCCTTTGACATTGGCCGACTTTATTGGTTTGGATACTTGCCTGGCCATCATGAAGGTCCTTCACGAGCAGCTCGGCGATACCAAGTACCGCCCCAGTGTTCTGTTGAACAAGATGGTCGATGCTGGCTGGGTCGGGAAGAAGTCTGGTCGCGGATTCTACACCTACTAAAAGATGATTTTGTTTCTGCCGGGCTTTGAGTAAAAAGAATGTACGCAATAAATAATACATAGCATAGATAGGTGCATGCAATTTGTACCGTTATACCATGGCCATGTGTCGATGATGGCGAGGAACTTTATCTAATATCAATGTCTATGCGTAATAAGGCTTGCGGGTTCAGGACTCTTCTTCATTCATGGCCATCAGCAAGTCCGTTTGCTCTTCAATCTTAAGTGCCTGAATGAACTCTGGTAGCGACTCGCCATCCAGCATTCCTTCCAGTTCGTGCAGCGTCTTGTTGATCCTATGGTCCGTTACGCGGTTCTACATGATACAATAATACAATTACAGCAATTAATATCAGCAGTTCGAGACAAATGCTTGGGATGACGCTGGAATCAAGCACGCTGAGCGCTTCATATTACCTGAGGAAAATTATACGTCCTGATCTTCTCAGACCGAGTGCCAGATCCAACCTGTTTCCTTCTTGTGTCCCGTCTCTCCATCGCCAACTTCCCTCTCTCCAGCTCATACAGCTTGGCCCTCAGGATCGTAAAAGCCTTGGCTCTGTTCTTTTGGTTCGAGCGTTCATCCTGGATGGCAATGACAATACCCGTTGGAATATGCGTCAACCGAATCGCAGAGTCTGTGGTGTTGACCTTTTGTCCGCCGGACCCAGAGGCGCGGAACACATCCACACGCACATCCGAGTCTTGAATCTGGACCTGAACTTCTGTGGGTTGCGGCATGATCGCCACTGTTACTGTGGAGGTGTGGATTCTTCCCTGTGTTTCCGTAGCGGGGACACGCTGTACTCTGTGGACTCCTGACTCGAACTTCAATTGACCAAACACGTTTGATCCAGTGATGGCGATTGTAGCATCCTAATTCGAAGAAGAGCATCGGAAGCGTGGGTAAGCATTAACATATCGATAGGTTCCACGCGTACTGCTCCTTGAGTAACCGATCATACCTTGATGGCTCCGAGGCCGTCATGGGTCTTTGCGATCTCTTCCCACTTCCATCGCTGCCTCTCTGCAAAACGCTCGTACATTCTTAGGACATCCGCTGCAAATAATCCGGCCTCATCACCTCCTGTCCCTGCACGAATCTCTAGAATTGCATTGGCCTCGTCCGCAGTATCCGTTGGCAACATCGACAACAGCAGTTCCTTCTCCTTCTCAGTAATACTCTCGGTTGTCGTCTTGATCTCTTCCTTTGTCATCTCCAGCAGATCCTTGTCCTGCATTGTGAGAGGGTCGTCCAACATTTGTTGTAATGATTGCAAGTCCCTAATTAGGGACTCAACCTCTGAGTATCGGTCCGTGATCAGGGAAAGGTCATGGAGCTGCTTAGTCTTTTCAGCGAATTTTTGTGGAGAAAGGGATTCGATATCGTCGGTGGATTGGCCGTTGATCTCCTTAAGGAGTTTCTCATGAAGCTCCTTCATGGAATCGAGTTTCAGTCGCATCTTGTTGAGTATAGGTGTGTGAAAGATGACCGGGGTCGAGGACGTGTTCTGGCCCACGGAGGAGGATGAGAAGGCGTGCAACTGCTGCTGCTGCAGGTGGCGGTTTATCGACTGTCCAGCGGCCGATCCTTGTCCATTGAGCCAGTTTTGTTGCGTGAGTACGAGAGCATCGGGTCGGACAAAATTCCTTGCAGTTGCTGAGGCTGTCCGGACTGATATCGAGGCTCTTGATGAGCATGGCTGCGAGTATACAGAGGCCGAGTAGAAGCCTCGTATTTGGGGCGAAGGTACTCTTGTTGAAGCATAACCAACAGCCCTGGCGAGGCGTCTGGGCAGTCGGGCAGTAACCTCGGCTGATGAGCGTAGACAGAATGTCATGGCGAATGGGGAGCGGGGAGGTGAAATGAGGTGGAGCCCCCGCTGCCTGGGCGCCGGCCCATTCCCTTCTCGCACTCGGAGTCAGGGGTAAAGGATGGATCTGCGTCAGCCACTTATTTTGTCCTGCCCCTCAAGCAGATCTCCCTCAGAAAAAAAAAGAAGCCAGTTACTTCAACTCTCTCACGCTCCCCCACCTTCCCCACACACACACCGCACTCGTTACAGCTCCCGCTTTTCTCATCTCCGTGTCTCATTCATCTCACTTCGCTTCCCCGCTCTTCTTAATCCCACATCATGACCATGTTCCACTCTAAAGCACTGGCCCCCATGGTCTCCAGAGCCATGTCCAAGACTGCCCTGTCACGCTCCATCGGCCTCATGCGTCCCTCGCTTGCCGTCGGCATGGTCAGGACCTACTACCGGGCCTTTGAGGATGAGAGCACGGTCTTGCCCAGCAACATCGACACCCACAAGCCAGAGTTCAAGGTACTGATGAAACTCGGGAAGCAGGACATTGGGTTATTCATTCAGTTTGGAATCGCTTTGCTCTCCAGATCATCTTTTCTCCTTGCTGAAACAGCCGAAGGAACTGTGCCCTTGGGTGTATTCAGTGTTGAACGATATCACTAACTTCATCGGTAACTTATGGGTACTGTCATTATAGGAAAATGCCGCCAGGATGCAGGCCCTTGTTGATGACATGAATGCCAAGGTTGCGGAGATCAAGCTGGGTATGTGGCTCATATTCAACCTGGTTCTCGCCCAGCCGATTCACTTTTTTTCCCACGTTCCCCCACACGACGCTCAATAATGAATTTTTGGTTGTATTTCGCCGATACGCCACCGTCAACCTTTTTTTATCTTGCTCAGTCCATGGATCAACTAATACGACGTTGTCCTATTTCTTCTTGAACCTATTCCTTAGGTGGAGGAAAGGTTGCCAGGGACAGACATATCGCTCGCAACAAGCTGTTGCCAAGAGATCGGTATGTAATTGCAGGACGAAATCAATGTTTGCTTTAATGGACACTTGCTCTGCGACTGTTTGTCTGGTTAAAGAAAACGTTTTTTTTTTATCACATTCGCCGCCAATTGACCCGATCTCGCTGTTTTCTCCTCCCTCTCCGTCCCCCTAGTGTTGATCGGCTCTTGGACAACGGATCTCCTTTCCTCGAGATCGGTCAATTTGCAGGATATGAGCTGTACGACGATAAGGTTCCTGCCGGAGGAGTCATTGCCGGTATTGGTCGTGTAAACGGCGTCGAGTGCATGATTGTCGCCAACGATCCTACAGTCAAGGGAGGCACGTACTACCCCATCTCTGTCAAGAAGCACTTGCGAGCTCAGGAGATCGCCAGGGAGAACCGTCTGCCCTGCATTTACTTGGTCGAGTCTGGTGGAGCGAACTTGCCCCGCCAGCTGGAAGTTTTCCCCGATAAGGAGCATTTTGGACGTATTTTCTACAACCAAGCCAACATGTCGGCTATGGGTATTCCTCAGGTTGCTGTTGTCTTGGGATCCTGCACGGCAGGCGGTGCCTATGTGCCCGCTATGGCTGATGAGAGTATCATTGTCCAGAAGCAGGGAACTATTTTCTTGGCTGGTCCTCCTCTGGTCAAGGCCGCCACTGGTGAGGTCGTCTCGGCTGAGGATTTGGGAGGAGCGGACATGCACTGCAAGGTCTCTGGTGTGACAGATCACTTGGCTGTTGACGATGAGCACGCCCTGGTGCTTGCCCGTCGTGTCATCGGCAACCTCAACTACCAGAAGAAGCCCCAGGTACGAGTTTTTTCACTGTTTCGCGCGCAATTGGTCGATCCTCACGTTTTCTTGACTAACAATCGATTCGCTTTTGTTCTTTGTCCTTATGAAACTTGCAGCTTTTGATGAAGAAGGTCGAGGAGCCATTGTACTCTGCTTCCGAGTTGGGCGGTATTGTCGGTGACAACCTCAAGAAGTCCTTTGATGTCAAGGACGTGATCGCACGTATTGTCGATGGCTCCAAGTTCAGCGAGTTCAAGGAGCACTACGGAACGACCGTTGTCACTGGATTCGCACACATTCACGGTTACCCTGTCGGTATCGTTGCCAACAACGGTATCCTGTTCTCAGAGGCGGCTCTCAAGTCGGCCCATTTCGTCCAGCTTTGCACACAGCGCAAGATCCCTCTCGTCTTCTTGCAGAACATCACCGGTTTCATGGTCGGATCGTCGGCTGAGCAGGGTGGTATCGCCAAGAACGGAGCTAAGATGGTCACTGCGGTCTCCTGCGCACAGGTGCCCAAGTTCACGGTGATCATTGGAGGATCTTTTGGTGCTGGTAACTATGGTATGTGCGGCAGAGCATACTCGCCCCGCTTCCTGTGGATGTGGCCCAACGCCCGTATCTCGGTTATGGGAGGCGAGCAGGCTGCTGGTGTGTTGGCGACGGTCAAGAGGGCTGGTATGGAGAAGCGTGGTGAGACCTGGGATCCTAAGGATGAGGAGGCCTTCAAGAAGCCAATCGTTGAGGTGTACGAGAAGGAGGGTCATCCCTATGTTTCGGGTGCCCGTCTGTTGGACGACGGCACGATTGACCCTGCCGATACCCGCGCTGTCCTGGGCATGGGTCTCTCCGCGGCCCTGAACGCGCCTGTCACCAACACAGATTATGGTGTCTTCCGCATGTAACGCCGTTATGGTATACACATTGTTCCTGTTCTTATATATTCTCACCACATAGATCGTCTCTTTTTTTTTTTTTTTTTTTTTGAATAAACCCATCTCTTTTCCTATACTTTTACCATCGGCAAATCGTGATCTTCATTCTCTTGGATCTCTTGGAGAGAAGGGCTACAAGTCTTCATTGTTTCTATCACTGATTCCTTATGGGTCAAGGAGATAATGATGGGGCAAAATGTGACGAAGCAGACATATCAAGAAAGCGATACGACTACCAGAGAGCATTTATGCGCTCTGGTATCTCATTCTCCCCTTTCAGCCACTCCAACTACTTTCTCTCTTAGAGGCAGCAGAAACCATAGCGCATCCTAATCAGAAAGCGAACTACAATCAACAGTTCCGAGTCTAGTCGACGTTGAAAACTATTAAGGTCGCAAATAATCGGAATCAGTGGAGTAAATTTAGAGCTTTATTGGATCCCATCCACCATCTAGTCTAGGTATAGATAGACTTGTACACTAATGGAATCACTATCACAGTGGTTCTGGAAAGCTGTAAAAACTGGGCGCAGCATCATTGGCATCATAGTACAATAAACTTTTTGCAAAGATCCCCTTGCGACTCGACAAAACAACCGGGGAACATTACATTCCTGTAGAAGAGCATTCAGCTCTGCTTCGAGAACGCCAAGTATGTCACGAAGGACGAAATCGCCATGGTTTTTCATAACGGACGACGACGATGATTGGAGAGCAAAGTCCGATAGTGCATTTTGGGCAGCCTGCAGTGCTGGTGCACTCAAAGAAACTGCAGGAACCTGGACCTTGACGATCCCTGATTTCGCCACAGTAGATCTGGTGCCCTGGAGAATCAGCTACTATCCAGGGGTCATGCTCGAGGTGGCGATGAAAGATGCTGACCAAGGGAACCATCGCTGTTCCTTGAGCCACTAACCACCTTTTCGTCTACTCTATTCCTGCGGACATGGCTAAAACATAGCGCGCCTTCGACATCCTTGATCTGTCAGGAGAGGGCCAAGTCGAGGCATTGTCGTGATGCTTCGAGGAAGTGTCTGAGCGGGGAGCTCACTCTGCAGATCGAGGACCGGGGACTCATGGTTCCAAGGGACAAGAACCGCCCTCTGCATGCTCGCTGTATAAGCACTGCTCGCGAGTATTCCGAATGGTTTGGTGCAGCGCCCGCATGATCGGATCGTCCGGTACGATGCCAAGAGGGATGAAGGACGACCCCTATGATAAATGTTGGGAGAGCACCTCTCTCCGACAGAGGATGGTCTGCTCCGAGCTTTAATGTCTTTGCCGTTGGTATGGGCTCGAGTATGTTTCCAACGCGTTTGAACACGCGACGAAGCCGGCACAGTAAGCTTATTTTGGTTAGAGTTTTTGTTGACGCGTAAAAAAAAAAAATCGAACTTGTAGCACCCCACGAGCTTACGTCCAGATTCATCTCTAATGGTCAAATCCGCTCTTCCCACTACCATTTACTGAACCAGCAGTATCGTTCATGGACTTCAAGCCGATCGCCAGCCAGTAAGTCAACCTTTTAATCCCCGAGAGGTTCGTAAAGTAATCCAGCCATAAAAGACTGATTCAAATTGAAGGAGTATAAGAAACCCCATTAAAGAGAGACGTTCATCGTCTTTGAGCGCGAGTACGACAATTTATAGGCTCTCGCAGTATAATACAAAATTACTTTGCTTTCTAAGCTGCTCTGTAACGCTGCTTGACGGACAAGTAGCAGGGCAATGAGCACATAGCAAACACTCATTGATTTGACACGTCAAGGTTTTTTTTTTTTTTGCTTTTGCCAATTGAGAGAGGACCCACATGGATTCGAGAGTAGTGCCATCAAATGCCTCGACACGGATCTTATCGTTCTTATTCATTTACAAAAGGGAGCTAGCAATCCCGGCTTTTGCTCGTTTATTTTATTGAGTCTGTCAAATATGTACACCCTTCCCAGCATGCAATTATGCAATTATAGGTCTTCATCTGGCCGAGAAGCCATTTTGTTATCTTGAATCGTCTGTAGTGAGAGAGAACAACAGCAGCTGGTGGTTCTTGCTCTACTTGGGGAACCTGCTGAACAAGTCCTTAAGGTGATCCAGCGGCGCTGCCAGCAGGCCAGCAACGTTCTCGAATGGAGGCTTGTCGGGGGCATTGGGATGGCTGCGCGTGGGGGCAAACATCTTGGTGCGCTTGAAGCTGGTGGACAGGTCCTCCGAGTCAGACTCTTTCAGAGCATTCTCCAAGGCGATGAGGTCTTCCTCCTCTTCCTCCTTGATATGCTGTCTCAAGTCCTTCCAGAGGGCCCTGATGGTAGGCTCGAACTCGGGATCGGTGGCCTTGAGGTTTTGGAATTTATAGAGCTGCTCCTTCACCTGTGGAATAGTGATTCGTGTGTAAGCAACTACTCTTGAGGTGTGTCTTGGGAGGTGAAAACGGAAATTAACTTACAACTGCGTGTTCCTTTCGGTCCTTGTCGGCCAGGGCTTTGCCGTTGGACAGGTGCTTCTCCATGGCTGGGTAGACGACCAGCTCTTCGCCGACGGAGTGACGGGCCAGCTCCCAGGTGAACTGATTCTGCCAGCGGGTCTTCTCGTCCTCGGTGGTTGCGCTCAGGATGTTGTTGTACTGCTCCTCGAGCTCGCGGTGGTCGTGCTTGACGGCATCGGAGACGCGTCCCATGGCTGGAATAGTGGATGAAAAAAAGCGTGGGGTAGTGGTGAGGGACTTGATAGGGAAAGGAAGCGTCTTCAAATTGCGGATAGAGGTAGCGCGAGATAAGAGCATAGTCTGGTGAGGGGAGGAGAATGAGTGTTGCGGTGTGCAGACTGGACGAGGAGGGGGGGCTATTTATGGTGGATGCGAGGACCCGACCTTGCGCCAGGACATCATTACCACGTCGATGGCCCTTCTCCCCCCCAGGACGAGAGGACGAGGTTACGCTTCTGTGAGCAAGAACGATGTAATGGAGAGGACGATGGGGGCGCCTATAGGGGATGGATGCATGATGCGCATGAGGCGAGAGAGGCACACCAGTGGCACAAACCCCATGACAAGCGGTGCATGGACAGGAAAGGAGCTCGGCGGTACGGATCCTGGGCCGAAAGAGTCCAGTGCCCCGTAGTGCGCGGGGGTGCATTTGCAAGGCACTGAATTACGGTTGGCCGTGGGAGTGCGTGAGAGCTCCGAAATTTCAGGTTTTCCGAATTTCCGAATCTCCGAATGATGTGATGCTATCTCTGGGGGGGGGGGGGGGGGAACGGCTATTACGAATTCTCGCATAATTTGCTTGAACCCCCCTTCTTCCTCTTTTTCCGCCCTCTCTCCCTCCTCCGTTGTGTTTCGCCTTATTCAACACGAGCATGTCGGCCTGCGCTGCTGACGTGGCGAATCAACGCGATGGGCTCGAGCGACTTGGCTCGCGCGATTAGGCGATGAATCCCGTCCGGATTGCGGAATGCGCTCCCAAACAAGGCCCAACCTGCCTACTTTTCAAGGTCTTGTGGACCGAGATTTACTCAGATCTAACAGAATTGGGGTTCGATTCGCTCCGATGACCGAAGGGGTTCAACAAGTCCGGAACTGTGTGCTATGAGCGGGTTTAGAGTTATTTGAGCAAAGTTTAGGATTCTCTATAAAAGTCTGTATGGAACGCGATCAAAAACATGCGGTATGAGCTGGACTGGACCAACAGCTCGGTTTCATGTTCCGAACAATAGTAGCTCGCTGCAAAGGATTCGACCAAGACCGAATGTGATACTGACTCGTTGGATGGACAAGCCTCAGGAAGACCTTGCGAGCGTCTCGAGTTGAAGGGCGTGCAATCGGTGATGGGATCGTGCAGAAAAGCCGACAGCCTTGGTCATATCTTGGCCTTGGGCTCATGCGTTGAGAGAATGACGTGTGAAATGGCCTAGGGCATGGGCCTGCGTGGGAGGGCCGAATACGATCACGATTTCGGATTTCGGATTTCGGACATTTGAGCTCGTGGCGCAGCGTCCGAACCTTAGGTATTTGTTGTCTGTGTCCAAAACCTGCGTTGTTACACTGAGCGATTTATCAAGGAGACGATCCGGCATGTGCATGAGGGATTCCCGTCACGGTTCGAAGATCTGCTCTGAGCCTTCTTCATGGGGAAAAAGCATAGGACGCCTTCGCAGAATAGCCATGCCTTGTGTGGAGAGCTCTAGGTTGAGGGGGTGAGACGCGAAGGGGCGACACCGGAGGTTCTGATGGGTTTGTTGCATGTCGTAGTTTTGGAGCCCTCTCCGGAAAACAAGGATTTGCAGGCGTTCTTTGCAAACTGTCCGTGGCTGGGCACTTGGAAATGTGGTATACGGTAAGGAGGATGGGCATTGTATGGAGGGTTGAGGGAGCTCTCAATGCGGATCTTTGGAAGTCGACTAGATACTTCAGAGGCGGGCGTGGCAGCCGATCGGGAAGATGAACTAACTGCGATGGTTGAGTGTCGGAATGATGGGCGGGGCAAATTCGACGGAGACAATGGAGGAGACTAAGAAAGTTGGCCGTCGATGGCGATGCAGGGATCATTGATAGTGTGGGATAAGGAGTGGCTCAAGAGGGAGATATCATTGCTGGAGATCGATCGTCGGTGAAGATACGACGAATACTGAAAACAAAGTGCCAGGGGTCTCGCGTCCGGAGCGACGAATTTGCTCCGCACGGGCCCATAATATTGACTTTATTCTTTGCACCTGAAGCAAAATGAACTGATAGCATTTGTGCTCGTTGGTCCTGTATAGGGTATATGTTTTCAACCACTCGAGTATGTACACCAGAATGAAAGCACCCTGGGTTTACCACGAGGCGCAACCGGCCAGACAGAGAGAGTGCCCGGGCCACACCTAGAATGAACACTCTTTCCAACATTGTTTGTCCATGCCCGCCTTCTTTTCCAAGCCCCAGTATGTTACACCGACGACCTGGCCTTGAGCGTTAATCCAATGTTCCCTCGTTCCCAAGGGTGTACCTAGCACAGTCGACCCATCGGACAGAGTATTAGGAAATCATGGCCTTACAAGCCTGCGAATTCCAACTGCGAGAGGGCTATATCCAGGGGCGGGGGACAGCAGTCTTAGTCGACCACCGCAATCGTACCCTCAGTCAAGCTGAGTGAGACCCCTAGGCTGACCGCAATCACTGCATGAAATGCAAGACGCGCGAGGGAAAAAAAATAAAAAATAAATAAATAAAAAGATCGCGCTGGAAGTAAAGCATGGGCGAATAGACTTGTTCATTCCAGCAACAGCAACGAACCAAGCAAAGCAAACAACAGGGTCAGGATTGTTGGCATGGCTGGGGTAGAAAAGGATGGGCAAGGCACGCCTTCGGAGCCCTGTAGGAAATGCGTTCTGCCGCTTTTGGCTTTTGTTTCCACGGATGAGAATTCTAATTCTAGACCAATGGGAGGCCACTTTCTCACGCAGCTGCAGCAGACCCAGCCTTCACTGGCTCATCACCTCTCTCCACAAACACACATCATCCCCAATCCCGCCGTTGATCCCTCCCTCCGTCTCTCATCACTCCATCACACATATACAACATATATACACACACACTCTCTCTCTTTCTCTCTGCAACCAGAATCACACCACCACCACCGACAACAACACTCACCATGAAGACCGACACTCCTGCTGGCCCTGCCCCTGGCATGAACCATGCCGATGTCGCCCTCGCTACCCAGGCTGAGAAGGATAAGAAGGGCGTCCAGCGCAACACAAAGTTCCTCAAGATCGACATGCACACGTAGGTGGAATACCATTGGCTGCACTCCTTTGAAAGAACACCTTCAATGGGTTGTATTGCTGTGTCCCCCGTCTATTGCTTTCTGCTGACATAACCACCCCCCAACCCCCCTCCTTCGTTCATTGTTTACATATTTTGTTAGCCACATCCTGCCCAAGCACTGGCCGGACCTGAAGAGGAAGTACGGATATGGTTCCTGGATCCAGCTGGACCACATTTCTCCAGTAAGGACAATCCACCCTCACATTGATGAAAATCGAATCAAGGACTGCTTCACTCAGCTAACCTGTGTTGAATCAACTGCGTGTCTTCAATAGGATAAAGCCAACATGATGATGGACGGCAAGAACTTCAGGACCATCGAGTGCAACTGCTGGTCCTCGGAGCAGCGTATCAAGGAGTGTAACGCAACCGATGTTGATGTTCAGGTAATTATCCTCAGCCCCTACTCTTGTTCCCCTGTCTCGCCTTTTTTTCATATGCAGTAATATCCCATTTGCAACTGGGTCACTTTGGTTTTCCATATTCTTGGGGTGTATCGTGCATCTCTAATCCTGACGCTTGGTTTGGTTTCAAACGACAGGTGCTGTCCACAGTCCCAGTCATGTTCAGCTACAATGCTCGCCCTGAACACACGCTGGATCTGGCTAGGTATTTGAACGATCATATAGCTCAAGTGGTCGCCGAGGACCCCAAGCGCTTTGTTGGCTTGGGAACATTGCCTATGCAGGCACCCGAGCTCGCTGTCCAGGAACTAAAGCGTTGTCGTGAAGAGCTTGGTCTGGCGGGAATTCAGATCGGAAGCCACATCAATGACTGGAACTTGGATGCACCGGAGCTGGACCCCATCTGGGCAGCCTGCGAGGAGACAAACGCTGTGGTGTTTGTCCATCCTTGGGACATGGACAACAAGGGAAGGATGGAGAAGTACTGGTTTCCTTGGTTGGTCGGCATGCCCTGCGAGACCACAATCTCGATTTGCGCCATGGTGATGGGAGGTGTGTTGGAACGCTTCCCGAAGCTGAAAGTGTCGTTTGCTCATGGTGGCGGATCTTTTCCTGCGACAGTCGGTCGTATTCAGCATGGATTCGATGTTCGTCCCGATCTGTGTGCTACAAGGACAAAGCATGGACCTATGTAAGTGGATGCCTGATAAGCAGCTGCTCGGGATGAATCAACTGGAGCCAGGAAAAAAATGATATGGGTTATGATGAGTAGATCGACCCTAACTAACATTCCCTTCACACTTTCAACCCAATAGGACCTATTTAAACCGTATTTTCGTAGATTCGCTTGTCCATGACGAGGAGACACTCGAGTTCCTTATCAAAAAGATGGGTATCGACAACATCATGCTGGGATCGGACTACCCTTTTCCTCTGGGTGAGCTCCACCCGGGAAAGATGATTGAGGAGGCCCGTTGGTTGACAGACGAGGAAAAGATGAAGCTGCTTAGCGGAAACGCCATCAAGTTCCTGGGACTCGAGCACTTGGAGGACCAGATGATGGAATAAGTTATCGGGTTATATCTACATCAGGGAACAGACTGAATAAAATGTACCCTTCGTGCCCTCCGTATTCTTCGTGTAACTCGCCTGTTCTGGGGAGACTTGGCTTCGTGTGGCTTGGCAATCCTACTTGACCCCCCATGCTGTCAGAGGTTGAGGTGCTCTTTCGTTCCTCCACCCACTCCTCTTGGCGACCCAGGACCATCGCTACCGCCATCACAGCACCATTAACAGCACTACAGTCTTCAGCTCCATCAAGAAGGACACTTCATCATGTCTTACAACGGAATCGGTCTCAGCACTGCCCGTGGATCTGGCACCAACGGATATATTGTGCGCAATCTTGGTCATTTGAGACACAGAAGGAACGACTTTCAGCAGGTGGATCCTTACGACGATGAACCCAAGATCCGAAAGCCCAACGCAGACCTTGTCTTGCACGAGCAAAAGAGGTCGATCGAGGTCAAGTGTGCAACCTTGCAGGATGAACTCGAGGACGAAGGGTAGGTCTTCATAGTCCTCCCTCTTTACCATCAGCAGTTAACAGCTCTGCTATTGGTCTATTGGTCAATCCGCTGACCAGCTTCATATCTTTTTCCTTTATTGTTTCTTTCTTTCTTTCTTTTTTAGAGTGAAGGAGGAGGAAATCGACCGGCAAGTGAGTGCACTGAGAGAGCGACTGACGCAGCTTCTGGAAAAGGCTACCACGGCCGCTGCACTCGCAGCCACGAAGGCCGCCGAGAGAGAGGCTGCCCAAAAGGCAGCTGCAGAGGCAAGAGCTGCAGAGAGGATCGCCGAGAGGACTGAAAGGGAAGCATCCAGACCAGGACCAGGATCAGGAAAGGATAAGGGCTCGAGACGAGGACGATCTAGATCCCGATCTCGTTCGCGGACACCGGTTTCGAAGCGAAGGCGGTATTCGCGCTCGAGCAGCCGTTCTCGCTCGTCCTCTCGATCGGTTTCACGGGCTCGTTCTCCCTCCAGCTCACGCTCACGCTCTCCATCCCGTTCTCGTCCTCGTGCTCGTTCTATTTCACGGTCGGTTTCTCGTTCACCTTCACCTTCACGTTCGCGATCGCCGTCCGTTTCAAAGCCATCGAGAAAACGCAGAGGGCATTCGAGCTCGAGGTCTCGTTCGCGCTCGCCCGTGAAGAGCCGTCGCCCCCAAAAGGATAAGGATTATCGTCCAAGAGCTAAATCGGCCTCTCGCTCACCTTCGCGATCGCGCTCGAGATCGAGGTCGAAATCTGGATCTGAGACACCGGCGTCGCGTCGGTCTAGGTCGAAGTCGTATTCTCGCTCACCTTCCAGGTCCCGCTCGCCTTGAGGGATTGCAGGATGTAGGATATTGATTGCGCTGCAGATCCCTTACACTGGATCTGAGGATGACAGCCGAGAGGATACCTAGGAAACGGAAGCTCGGTTTTCATTGATAATTGGAGGACACTGAATGCAATAGGAGAATTCTTCTTCGTTTTGTTCCATTTCTTTTTTTGCAGCACCCATCTGCTGGTTGTAATGTACAATAAAAAAACCACTCGTCTTGAACAAGAAGACAAAGTCGGAGATAAGGAAGAAGAGCAGAAAGGACGGGTGTTCATGTGGAGAGGGGTATGGGAGAAGGTTCAGTGAAGGTCCATGGGAGCTCAAAGGGACATGTATCCTCCTCCTGCGCTCTCAATATCCAGTCTTTGTGCGTCACGGGTTCTGCTTCTTTCTTTCTTTCTTTCTTTTTTTTTTTTTTTTTCATTGTCCTTTCTGCTCTTTCTTGACCCTGTCTCCTTTCTGTTCGCTCTTGTTCTTATTTGTTCTTCCATTACCTCTTGCCGCCTCTTCTTCATCACCTCCTTCATCTACGCCCGCCTCTTGTCTTTGTCTGCCTCAGTCCCCATCCCTGTTGAATCTGCAAAAGGGTCCCCCCGTCTCTTTTGGTTCCTTTTCGGTTTCCTCCCCTCCCCTGAACTGAAGCACAAACAAAGAAAAATACATACCAAACATCAACCCCACCCAACAAGAACCCCACCAAATACCCAACACAGGACAAACTGAATGGCGGCCTCCACCATCGCAACAAATACAGCTTCCCCTGCAGGGACTGCAGACGCGAAAGGAGTAGTCACCAACGGTGCCCTAGCGTCAGCAGGAGCAAACGGCGTGTCTACAGCAGGAGCAACACCAGCAGGTGCCGCCGCCAGCAACAGCAACAATTCTGGCACCGAGGTCTGGTCAAGCCTGTTGAAGAGTGTCGCGTCCTCGCGGCTGGTACCCACAAAAGATGTCATCATCCTTGGCGACCCTCATTCGGGCAAGTCCACCCTGATTGAGCTCCTCAAGACCGCACTGCCGACTCCTTCCTCGAATGGCCTTGCAAACGGTGTCGATGGCTCCAAGACTATCAACGGAGTTGCTGCAGGACCGAACGGAGTTTCCAACACGGGCAATGGCCCTGCGCCGGTGATGGTCGAGATGGGCACGGGCACAAGTGAGGACAATATGTTTGCGGATGGACAAAAGAAGAATGACCTGGCTCTGAGCTACTCCTACTGGGACGTAGATGACGATGAGCATGAAGGTAACAAAAGAATCTCTTCATTTCACACTGGAAGCTACATTCACTTTCCTCCATACCCCTGCGCCTGCACAGCGACTAGCGAACGTTGACTGACTTCCGGTTTTTTGTGCCCTATAGACACCGTGGCGAGATTGGGCTTATATCAGATTGCAGGATCACACAAGAGTTATCATGCGTTGCTCAAGTACTGCCTCAACACGAAGACGATTGCAGACTCAGTCGTGGTCATTGTCCTGGACTGGTCAAAACCCTGGACGTTCATGGAGACCCTGCATCGCTGGGTCAAGGTCCTTGAAAGTGCAATCCAGCAGATCTGTCAAGAGGGTGCCGTGGCAACAGCGACCTGGACCAAAGGAAAGGCCATGATGGATGAGCTCCAGGAGAAGTGTACGTATCTTTCCTTCACCAACACCAATTTGCCTGTCAGTTTTCTCCCGTTTGCTCGTTCTTGTCTGTGCCTGTGCTTACGTCTGAGGTTGCGCCTGTATTTGTGCTTATACCTGTACCTTGAATCGTTGCGTGCTGATATGTCAATGCACGTCCTCGCGCGCGCGCGTACGCTCCGCACGTCTCATTTCTCTTTATTTGTCTCTCATGGGCGTGCTGTGGTTTTCCTTTCACTTTGTTTTTCCCCTGTCCTGTGCTGGGCTAGTACCTTAGTCGCTTGACTGATCACATTTCCACGCCCAACACACGTACCCTGCGTAAAAAAAATTGTTTGATTATAATTATTGTTGAGCGTCGCTTGTGCTTTCACATGGGGGATGAATCGCGAGGTCACTATCGCTTTTGCTCCTCTTCTGCAAGGGCTAGCAATTGAAGATACCAAACTAACGCTCGACCCATGTGCTACCGTTGTTTGGGCATTGTCCGTGCCGCTATCTGTTTAGTGAGCCGCTTCCTTCAGGACTATAACGAGCCACAGTCGAATCAATCCGCGGGAACCTTCAATGAGAGTCAGACCTTTGGCATTGGATCGACTGATGCCCAGTCCGTTCTTTTACCCTTGACAGAGGGATGTCTCACCAACAACACAGGAGTACCTATCATCATTGTCTGCACAAAGGTACTGCGAACGTCACTTGGTTGTCTTCATTTCCTTTTTCTTTTTTTTTTTTTTCTGAGGAGTTTCCTCCAATTGCACACAGGCGAGGCCCATTCTTATCTCTAACCAATTGATTGCTTACATAGTCCGATCATATCAACAATCTGGAGCGCGAACTGGACTACAAGGAGGAGACATTCGATTATATCCAGCAGTCGCTGAGGACTATCTGCTTAAAATGTAAGGGCGCGCAGTGCAAATCCCATGAAGTGGCCACACTCAATTGACCAACCGTCACCTAATTAAAAATGGTTTCGGATATCCTGCAATAGACGGCGCCAGCTTGTTCTACACATCGATTCATCATCCTCACACATATGCCGACCTCCGCCAGTATATCTTGCATCGACTCCTGACTCCGTCAACGCTCAACAACCCCCAGCAGCAACAACAGCAACAACATCAGCAGCCGCAGCATCAGCAGCCATCGTCGTTCCCGTTCAGGTTGCGCGCGCAGGTTGTGGAACGCGATCAGGTCATGGTTCCCTCTGGCTGGGATTCAATTGGAAAGATCAAGGTGTTGAGGAATGGCTTTGATTGTGAAGGTGTCGCTGACGGATGGGACATGGATATGAAGCAGGAAGGGGCACAGGCTGACGGCGCTGTAGTCTCCGCAGGATCACTGGCTGGGGCTCGACAGGTATATGAAGAAGTCATTACCAACCCAAAGCACAATCATGCAGTAAGTCTCTTCTTGTTTTTTCTCTTGTTTTTCCTCGTTTGGAATGAGGTGGTGTGTCGCGATCTGTAAATACTAACCGTTGGGTCTGCACTGTGTTCCGTATGATGATAGCCCGCAGCAATACAACCATTGATCACTGCAGAGGACGACCAAGTTTTCTTGGACAGATTTTTTGAAACATTACAGCGTGCCAACGACCGGACCAGTAGTTCTGCAATGGGCGGTGGCGTCGGATTGGGATCTCATGGCGCGCAGGGACCGCCAGTAGTTGGACCTCTCAGTTCAGGATACACATCGATGCTCAACAGCCATCACGCTAGTCCGCCACCTTCAATGTCGACCGCTCAATCGATCGGCAGTGGTGGACGATCAGGAGCGAACGGACTTGATGTAGATGATGTCGAGGGTCGTTTGAAGCGCCTTACTTCAAAATCCAAGGCAAACGGTGGCGCCAGCTCCTCTAACCTGATTGGTCCGGCATTGACGGAGGCAGGGCTTCACGAGAAGAAGATGAAGATGATGATGGACCAAGCTCGATCACCGCCTGGATCGGGCGTCTATGGCAGCGCAGTGTCCTCTTCTATGGGAGGCATGGGCTCAACAGGAGCCGGCCTTGCTCGTCCAGGCGGTGTTGGTAGTACAGCAGCAGGCACCATTGGAGGCGCCGGTGCAGCGACAGGACAGGCGGAGTCAGCAGCAATCTCACACTTCTTCCAGTCCTTGATGACTCGCAAGGGCACTGGCACGCTCACGGGCGGTCTCGGTGGTGCGGGGGGAGCTGGTGGATCGGCAGCCGCTTCTTTGGCCGCATCTCCATCGGCCTCGGCTAACGCGGGATCGGCAGGTGCACCTGGCAGCAATGACGCATAATGAGCTTCCAGTAACATGAGTATTTTCAACAGAGTAAAAAAAAAAAAAAAAAACATCCCACTTGCGCGACGGCATGCAGACCGTGGTTGGCTAATGTCCGCTTGGGTTGGACAGGTTATCCTAGCCAAATCTTGGAACGGCCTACTGTCGCGCGCACCATCCCACCATACCTCATGATAAAGAATTCGCCTACTACTTGTCCATTTCTTTGGTAACAGGTACAGCAGGCACAACAGTTTGAAATCGCATCAATAAACATACAAGAAACAACAGTTGAGTGGCTACCACGGAACTTAAAACTGCATGTCAATTTGGATATTATTGGCCTTCGGCTTTCGTTTTTATTCCGCACTGTAAATCGTCTGCAGTCCTGATCAAAGGCTGCCCCGTGCATCGCCTGTTCGTGTTCCTGAGTGTTGTTCAGCTGGTCGTAACAGCCAAGGCACCCGAGGGTACGAGCTGCAGTTCGTTCAGTGACTTCTCCAGGTTGTCGCCATCGAGGACCTTCCTTGGAAACGTTGTCATCAGCTTGAAACTTCCCTGTCGATGTTCGCGAACAAAGTCATATACGGCACTCAATTTGTCTGATGCCTGGAAAGCTATGGAAACCAATGTGTATCGCAAGAGAGAGGAGGAAGAGTAGTTTGTTAGAAGCTCTGCAAGTTGCGGATATATCATAATAAGGGCTAAATGGCGAGAGCCGCCAGAAAGGGGAATAAAACAAACACACGTACTGTGAACAATGGGCTGCTGACCCTCCGGTTGACGGATCTGCAGTCGTGTCTCCGTATAAACCTTTGCAGGCGCAGCCTTGGCAGCGGCCGCCTCTACATTCGCCTGGGCCACCGCAGCAGCCTCGCTCGCCTGTCGAATCCCCTGAGCCTCCTGCTTCTTCCTTGCCCTCTCGAGTTTATCGGCCTCGATTCTGGCCTTGATCGCCGCCTTGGCCTTCCGATCCTCTTCCTTCTCCCTCTTCTTGGCATCTGCAAGCTTCTTCATTTCCTTCTCCTCGAGTTTGGCCTTGACCTCAGTTAGGTCCTGGCCGGCCTTGCGACGGATCTTTTCAGACGTCTTTTGTTCCTCCTTCTCGACCTGGGCCTTGAGGGCACGCTTCTCCGCAAGGCGTTGTTTGAGCTCGGCGAGTTTTGCTTGCTTCTCTTCTTCCGTCAGAGGTTTGATCGCGGTCGTGGATTCAGCAAAGTTGACGTGTTCCGTGCGCATGGCGTGTCTCTGGGCCGCGTCAGCTGCGAAAACAGGGCGCAATGTTAGGACACGGGGGAACGGTGCATGTGAACTTTGTTATTGCATTGTTTTCGGACACGGCAGCAAGAAAAAGAAAAAAAAAAAAGGCTTACCATTCTTGAGGATCATTTGGCAATCTTGGCAGATAAGTGATTGCGCCGTCTGCTCTCCGTCCTGGATCACATCGCCCTCTAAATCATTTTCCCAGTGAAAGCACAAAAGTTTGGTTCAAACCATGTCAGGAACTGTAATGTAACCCATCAATGAGCGACCGGGTCCTGAGATACAATCCACTGAAAAAGAAGGAAAAAAAAGAAAATAAAAAAAAGTACCCTTCTCCTCTGAATCTTCCGATCCAGCAGCAGCGGATGATGAAGACGCTGCTGTTCCAAGGGCTCCTCCAGTATGTTCGGGAATGGGATCATCAATATCAGGATCTTCAGAGTGCTCCACAAGCCTGTTTTTCAGAAAGAAAGAAAAAAGACGCAAGGTAGGAAAGGCTGGGGTTAGTTCATTGCCACCACCGTCGTCGTCGCCGCAGTCGTGTTCCCAGTGGCTCCTGGTCTAGCTAGGACGCTCAAACATACCAATCCATGGCAGGTTGGAGTCCTGCGTTCTTTGTGGCCCTCAATGCCTTAAGACTGTGTTTAGCGGAGAAAATAAAAAAGACGGCAAGGAAGCATGGAAGCATGGACTTTGAGTGAGTTCTTAAATCTGGTTCAAGTTGAATGAACTTCATGTATTTTCTGCGTTGCTGATGTCGAAAGCTCGGCGTTTGCGGATTGCGTTTTCCTTACACGCGGTTTCGGGGGAAGCCCATCTCCACAAGTTGGTCAGCGTCGGATGCCATAGTTCTTGGTCGTGCGGTTTATGGAAGCTGTCGAAGTCGGTTGGTAGAGAAAGGGTTGTCAAAGTGGTGTTGGAAGGAGGAATGAGCAGAGCTGGAATGACGCGCCCTCTTTTTTTGGGCTGCGACCACCACCACCCCTCCTACGTGGTGTTCGCGTCATCCCGTGATCTGCCCGCAGTCCATTTGGAGAAGAATGTAGAACCGATATTTCGTCTATGCAGAGAGGGTTTGAATACGTACGGCCCAACTATGGGTTATTGGGCATGCTATATAGCGCATATCCGAGCACCCTAACACCTTAAAAGCTTAGCACCTACCGTCTTTTTACTAGTTTTACCCAAAGAGCTGCTTGTGTGAACTCTAGGCATCAAGGACCGGAGCCTTGGGATCAAACTGTCTGGCAAAGAAGAAAAAAAAAAAAAAAAAGAGTTTAGAACCATACGGATATGGTTTGCAGTAGACTAAGCATCGACAACAAAGACAAGAGTGTTTGAAATGATTCAGATATGGTTTGCACAGTGAGCTATCGAGCACAAACATAGCCCTTGAACGCAATCCAGGACAAGCATTAAGGATAGAGTGAGAGTTAGGTTACGATCGTCATCTTATTTTTTTTTTTGTTGTTGTCGCTGTTGCTGGTTTTTTTTCTTGTCACTTGTTTTTTAACTGTAATGGCGATGTCTGTACCCTTAACCTTCTCGTGTTTAGGACGCGTTTGGCCATGAGAAGGTCGCCATCGTGTGCTGACGTGCAGTCGAACACACGAGGACAAGCCATTGCACTTTTCTAGAGAACGCTAGGCAGTGTTGCGCAATTTCTCCGCGGGGAGCATAGTTTTTGCTGTTGTTGGCTGCCATGTCTGGCTCCGTTAGAACGTATACCCGGAGCAGTGGGGTTCAGCTCACATGCTCATAGTGCCCAATATACTTCAATATACTTTGAATTTAGATTGGCGGCATTTTACATCGGGGTTGTTGGAGGGGGGCCACAGAGATCTGAAACCTGGAACTGGGTGGACTGACGTGGTGACACCGATGACCAAATTGAGTTCCCGGTATTCTTCTCTGCAGTTCCGGTCGGTACCTATGGTTTCATACGTACATGCAATTAACGCTGTGTGTTCAATTACCTCCCCACTTCGTAAACACAACCCCACATGGCTAGATAAATGATGCTGCAAGATTAGGTGGATTAGGTGGTACGGACGAACTACTACTTTGATCAGGTGCAGTCGTCGCATGTATTCCCGTCATCATAAAAAAAAAAAAAGAGTGTTGTTTCGTTCGTGGAAGGCTCAATAGACAACTAACAATACCATTGTAACGATTCTATACCATGGCTCTCAATCAAATGATTATCTGCAGGTCTTCCTCGGATTCGGAAGAATCGCTGGCCCTTCGAAGGGATAGGAAAGTGGACCCTTGTTTTGGTACGTTCTGAACTACCAAAGTATTCGCTTCGTTCCTGGGGGACGTTTCTGAGATCTGCGTAACCAACATTTGAGAGTCATTGTCAAATTACAGCGCCAGTTCATTTAATTTCCGTACGAGACTATTCAGCCAACATCTGCACTGTAACTTAACAGGGGGGGGGTTTATAGTTCCTGGATCTAACCCTCCCCTCTGGAAAGATGATTAAGATTTCATGCAGGCCTCTTTTGATAGTCTTTTTTTTTTTTTTGAGTTGCTTCTGTCTGAAGAGTGTTTATGGACCTGGCAATAAGGTAAAGTATAATTCAAAGCACATGTGGGTCGGGTATCAATCAGACAGTAAAACTTCTTTTGTGCCCTGCTTCATGGATTCCATGCAATCTACAAAATTTACTCTTCACCTTGGTCTTTTGGTCGATCGAAAGAGAACGTAATCTCCGTCAAGTATGCATCGATGTAATGGAGGGGCTAATTCGCAAGGTTAGAAAGGAAAACGGAAAAACGCTCAACTCTTCTGCAGAGAAATGCACCAAGTAACCAGACCCGATATTCGTTATGTAGGTTCATAGTCTAGCACGTCCATTTGAGATGATTAAGCAAATTGCCGCGACGAACAAAATGAACAAAAAAAAAAACGCTCTCTTACACACTTTCTTTGGGTCGAAAGTGCATGAACATGATCCAGACTGGGCTTGTCCATGTACATATCTGTTCATTTCTTTTTAACTAGGCTATAAGCTCATCGGACTAATTATTATTTCGGGATAGTATCGGTGGCGTGGATGGCTCGTTCGGACCCTGCGCTTTGAACGCACACCACGGCAACAAAATATCCGTGGCGATCGATCACGCAGAAATCTCAGCTCCGATGTGCGCTTGGATAGTCAAAGTCCAATTGGGCTTGATGAAAAGAAACAACATGGGGGCTGGAAGAGGCTAGGCATTACTTTAGAAAGAATAGCGGGAGGAGAGAGAACCTGGATGAGCGCGGATAGGCTGATCGCAATGCAAAGACCCGCTGGTCGAACTGCGATTTTGTGGGTGAAGTGAGAAAAGAGCCCCAGTATGAAAAATGACCAGCCAGCTGACTCGAAAGATATTGCTGTGTGCTTTCTATAGCAGTTAGCACATGTCCGCGCAGCGGGACTTCTTTTTAGGGCGCAAGGTCATAAAAAAAGACACTGGTAAAAATAACATAGCTCTTTGCCATGGACCGAGACAAGGCCCTTTTTTTTATATTTGTTTTGCATGGCTTCATGAATATTTGGAAGGGCACGGTGGATGGCATTAGAGATGATCTGGTCATTCAGACATTGTTTTTGATCTGTATTAGACAGCAATGTCGCGAGTTCGTCCAAGGGCGCAGAGCTACATAATCTATTGACCTTGTATCATCCAGGCCTGGAAATCGAACCAATGGAGGGTGAGCTCGTAAGTTCGAGAGTGTGGAGAAGTAACTGTTCGTTGGCTTATGCAGTCTATTACCTGAGTCGTTCATATTTGTTATCCTGATGATACATTGTACACATGTACGTTGGGTGGCCAATTTGTTGTGGATTGGCGCCAAGGCGAGAGAGGACGATGCATCGAAAGGTACAGTACATCCGACTTTGGTTAAACCGCCCCAAGTACCCTAAGCACCAGTGATGCGGATTAAAGTTGCAGCTATTACCAAAGACAAGACCAAACCTATTCAGAAGGTTTATAGGGAACTACGCTCGCAACACACGCACTATATGATAACTACCCATGCCAAGTGCGAATGAAAAGCTGCGTGAGCAGGGTTAAGGCGCATACCCTCGCATATTTTAGAGGATACGGAGGCAGGGGTATGACAGACCATGTCCCCTCCGAGAGCGAGCGAGCGGGGAGAAAGAGAGCAAGGACGAGAGCAAAAATGACAGATAGACAGAGCGCGAGAGAGCAGCACGAGAAAGAATGGGCCAGGCTGATCCATGACCTAAGAGCTCCGAAAGAAGGGACAGCAGGCGCTGGTGCGACCAAGCTTCGAGGAGTGGGCTGCATGCACTGTTAATGACAACAGTCGGTCTTGGCCCATGGCGCTCTCGATCACGCTCCTGCCATGTGCTTCCTCTGTATCCCTGGACGCTCAGCGCTGCCCACGGTTGGAATGTGATCGAAGACCATTTGTTGTTGTTGTTATTGTCATCCATCGATTCAGCTCTTCTCCTACAGGGTTCATTTGTCGTACCTTGCTCTGTATACAGTTATACAGTAGAGTTCATTCAGAGTTCCCACCAGCTCTCAAAGGCTCCGTCCCCAGACACAACATTGGCATGCTTTGTCCCCTCTTTCTTTCCTAAACTTCAAAGTGCGAGCAATTCATCACAAGGTTCCAATCTTCTTTGTGCAAAACGCCGATTTGCTTCCTCCTGACGTCGCACCGCTCAAGCGACCAAAGACCATCTTTGGGTAACTACTGGCGTTCATCTAGGTCGCGTAATTACAAACTAGGAAAGTTATGAGTGATCAGTCAATGTGGACTCAATCCCCTATCGCTCTTAGTTTCCATATGCTGAGAGCACATTTTTTTTTTTTTTTTATCCCACGACCCAACAGAGGAACCAAGAAGGTTCTCAATGGTATGCATCAACGTTAACGAGACACGGAGAAAAACCAGAAGTCCATTTTGTTGGACCAGGTGCCGATCTCTTGAGCCTGGAAAAGCTCCATTCTTCCTCTTGGCACCTGAAGTCCGCGGAGCCTCGAATCCATTTTGCCCAGCCTGTTGAAAAAAAAAAAAGTACCCCTGTGCAAGTATTCCCTTGCTACATCCACCTGCTGCAATTGCTTCGGCAGTTACAACCACAGCTACATGTCGACAGTTCCCTGCCCGTTATCTTCTTCATGACCCGTACCTTGCCAGGTTTCCCTGACCAAACAGCGATAAAACGAAGAAGAAGAAGATATTCACCCTGCAAAAAATACATGGCAAACGATATAGGCACCGAGAGGAATAGGCCGCTTTTGAATCAAAACGATAGATAGCCCCTTGGACGGCAACGGCTGAGGAAGAGAGACGAGCAGGCAAAGCATCTGGGCCCGGGGAAAAGAAATTGCTGAGGAGAGAGGCAGGGCTCTTGGGTCTCTTTCATTTACCCATGGCTGGCGACACACTTTTGTCCCAGCGCGATGTTATCGCCCGCTCAGGAAGCTCCTGCGCTGTGATTGGCTGTGCGGCATACATTACGAGACCACCCAGGCAGAACCCGGGACCAATTTATCAGCGGACACATGTACGGCGTTTCCAATGCAATAAATCCCATTTTGATTAGCAGACGTCCATCGCCAGGATAAAGTGTCCAAGGAGACTATCATGTCATAGTAGGCCAGTACATCACCAAGTACGTGCGAACTGCACATCATGACTGGATCGGTCTACCCGAGTGGCTGCAGAGAGCCGGTCTGCAGGAGTTAAGGAGCCATACCCTTTGCCATTGGCTGCCTGTCCTATCCTTAGTCTACCCATGTATCCCATGTATATCTTTTTATCACATCTCGTCTCTGGACGTCCTATACATTGCCTCTTGTCCAAAACCGATGTTTTCCTTTAACAGCAAGATAGGACGTATCCCCCCGCAGATACAATAACTTTTTTTACTTAGCTTTTTTTTTTTCTTTTTTTTTTATGCGTGCTTGGCCCTCCTTACTTTTTTTTTTTTTTAGTCCTATGCAATGTTGGTCCCTAAACCCATATCCACCGTTTTATAGTTTCCCATATTTTTGCTTAGTTTGCGTCCGTATTTTACGTTTTTTTCCCTGATTCAAAGTAATAAAACAAAAAAATAAATTGTCCGAACTAAACCCTAAACCCCTGGCTCGGTTTGCTGTTTTCCCAAAGTTGGTCCTTAACTCGCGTGCTGAGGGCGTTAATATCTGCTGAACCCCTGGAATGGATCAGGCACTAGTGATGATGATAATAATAATAATAATAGTAAAAAAAAAAAGGAGTAGAAAGAAAAGATGCTGCAAAAGGACCCATGCCAAAATGCCCTGGCAAGTCTTCTCTAATTAAAAGGACCAAATGAAATAGCTTATATGTCACATGTGTTCTTCTTAAGCAAAGTAATAAAGCAAAGGGGGCTCCTGGGCGGGTCCTCGCTGACCTATAAGGACACAACTCCGAGCTTTGCGATAAACGAACAATGTCTTCATAGACAAAAAGGCCACGCGGCAGGCCCCCAATCGGGCGGAGGGCCAAGATACCCTTCTCCAGACATGTTTCACTTTGTTGACGAGTCATCCTTCAGCGATTGGAAAGATAGAGAGGACGAAGGGGGGGGGGACTTACTTCAGCAACAAGCAATAGAAAGACCGCCTTCCAGCGTCTGCATAAAAAAAACGATATTAAAAAAAACATGGCAATGGATACCATGGCATCATCATCATCGCCATAGATCTCGACCTGTTCGACGGCCAAACGGATATCTCCTCATCCATGAGCGTGGGATGAGCAGGATTATGAGAACACAGAGACTTGCCTCCACTTTGTTTCGTTCTGTTTCGTTTCCCTTTTTTTTTTTTTAATATTTTTTTGTTCCTATGGAGGTTTGGTCAATGAGTACGTTATCCGGGCTTCGTTGTTTTGATTGCTCTTGGTGCAGTATGCAGACGGAGGATGGAAGAAAGATTCAAGCGGCATTTGGATCTGGTTTTAGCACCTTCAGGAGACGAGTCGAGAATGGATCGAGGTTTTTTTTTTTTTTTTTTTTTTTCTGTTCCTCAACGGCCTTTTGCATACGTGCTTGCATGCATGCATGCATAGACAATCGTGCAGTTTCTTCGGGAAAGCACGTTGTCCGAGAACATTCTGCCTGCAAAAAAAAAAAAAGCCCATACACACACAACAACACACAATTCAACAACACACACAACACACGTCCCAATTCTTGGACCCCTCGCGCGTCATTTTTTTGTTTGTCTGTCCGTCCCTTCCGTATTTGTCCAGCGGCAAAATCAACATCCGATTGGATGAGCTAAAAATAAAAGGGACCCTCTCGCTCATGAAAATTTGAATTCGTTCCCCAGATTCCTCCACAATTCGATTTCTATTAAATCCATGTTTTTTCATGGTTTCAACGAACAAGTAACAAACAAACAAAAAGGCCAAGTCGGGAAGGGTTGTTTCCCCGCTCTATATATGTGTGTGTGTGTGTGTGCGCGTGTGTATGTATGGTTTGCAAGTACAACATGAAGATGTACCGATGTGGCCCACACCGGGAACTGAGCACTGTTAACTTCCCCTATGCCTGTGC